TAAGGGCCTGTTCAGCTAGGTCGATGAATTGAATGTCCAATAGCTTTTGGCAGAGGATGGGAACGGCGCCACCATAGACGACATTGGCGACCGAGCCACGTAGAGCTTCCATTAAATTTGCAAGGCAGCGGCATGCGAGGAGCATAATTTCGGGATTCTCCTCGCCGAACTGATTTGGCTGCATTAAGGTGACCAATTCCTTGACGTAAGGATCGGGAGAAAACTGGCCAGAGAGGTTGTCCTCGTTTGAAACGAGCAAGAGGTCCGACAACTCTTGAAGAGCAATCAATTGAACGGAAGGATCGTCCTTCGCTCTCAGATTACAGAGGATATCTCGAAGACGACTAGACATGCCAGACATGATGCCGCTGAGTGCACGAAGTGTACTCTGAAGGCCCATGGGTCCACGGCCTCCGAACAGGCTGCTTGAGAATGGGTCCAGGTCCTCATCATCAAAGGCCGAGTGGTTAGTGTCGTCATTGCTTTCCCCAGTTGGAGATTCCTCCAGCTCTTCGTTGACCTCTTCCTCCTCCAAATCCTCCTCCGCGTCTCTCATTATTGCATCGGGATTCGACTTGGTGGCTCGCTTTCTCGATCGTCGCGGTGGTGGAGATTGTGTTGCGGCGAGGCGATCTGAGAGTAGTGAAATGTTAGTATCCATGAATGTAGAAGGGGGTTCCAAAAGGGAAGTAATGAGCTCACCGTTCCGGTTGGATCTCCGCCGTGAGGGGGGCGGCGATGTAGTTGACTTTGATTCCTCTGAAGGGCGAGAAGACGGTCTATAGAAAGAGTCAACGTTAGCATCGAGATATAATACTGGCATGGCCCCACAAGGCCCCCGGAACTACCTACCCCGGCTGTGACATCGCTGTTCGACCACGAGTGGCGGCGGATCGGCGAGAGGCTGAGGCAGCGGGACCAGCAGGCGCAGCTGGGTGAGAGGCTGTAGTCTTCTGTCTTTTTGATCGCCGAGGGGAAGCGGGAGCTGGTTGCTGGTTCTGGGTGTCTGGGTGTCGGTCCCGTCGACCAGAAGCTTTGCGTTTCCGGGAGGGGGCCGAACCAGCGGCGTGGGTGGAAGTCGAACCGGAGTCAGCGTCGGGAGGGGGGTCTGTAGCAAGTCTCACGGAGGAGCGAGTCGTCCTGGATGACATGAGAAACTGCTTGATGGACGTTTGTGGGGGAGAGGTGCAGAGATGGAAGCTTTCAAGGGTCACAATCGCCCCAAAAGAAGCGTGGGAGGAGATGGTTGAAATGACCGGGAGAGAAGGAAGGTGTGAAGATTATGAGTGTATGAGGCTGAAGCTTTGGGGGAGGAGAGATGGAAGTCGCCCGCGGTCGGAACTATCACGCCTGGGGCCCAGTTGATGGCACCACATGCACACGAGGGGGAAGATAGTGATCTGCTAGACTATTGCCTCCAGGACCTCTAGTGACCGGCACGGTGGAAACGAGAGAAGAGAGATGCGATATGAAAGGGAACAACGGCGAGGAGAGAAGGGCGGGTAGCTACCTCAGGGCAGAAGAGGCGGAAGAAGCTCCTGCGGGGGAAACGGAATAATCCTCGAGAGGGTCCTGACGGTTGGCGGAGGGCCTTTGCCTGGCCATAAGTTACCGGGTCGGAGAGTTTCGATTAAGTAGACGTCGACACCGTTTCCGCCATTCGTCCACCGATCCTGTTGCTTGAGAAAGGGGGAGGGGGGGGTTTGAAGGCGATGAGGATGAGGGGGAAAGGGAGGTTTCGGCTAAGTAGTTGGGGCGAGAGGTGTGAAGTGGATTCCGACTGGGGCGGCAAGCTGGTAAGGTACTCTAGTCTGCGTGTTCCGTAGTGCCGTCGAGGCTATATGAACAGATGGCAAACGAGAATTAGAAACAAAAACAGGAAAGTGGTCGATGGAAAGAAAGCGGCAAATAATTAAGATGGTGGGGGGAGGGAAGAAGAGGGCGGAGAGGAAGGAGGAGAAGGGGAGTGTTTGACGTGGTGGACTGTGACGACTGACGACTTCGGAGGCGGAAGGGCGAGCTCAGGTGCAACCTGGATGATATAAGATACGACAGCTCATTACAGTACTATCATTTGAATAGTTATCACGGAACAAGTTACTTAGTAATTCATTACAATGGTCTATAACTATTAGGACACCTTTGCTTTTCCATTCTACAATCCTGACTCTGTACCTGCTACTGGACCCAACTACCTTGTGAATTGCCATTACGCCCGGGCAGAGTCAGCAGTTGGGCACGGATCCACTATCGCTGTTGGAGTTGTGCCGCGATATGCAGGCTGTCTAAGGAAGGATGAGTGTTTGAAATGCCAGCGAAGAGTTTCTTGTGATACGTCGTTATACGGGCGGGTCAACTAATGGGTTAGTGAAAAGACTCGTATCGAGAAGAAAACCACGGACCCTTGAGCCACCATGAAATAATACAGTCAATGGTATTCTTGACTATTGGCAATAGTAAGTGGAGGGCTTTAATTCCCTCAATGTATGTACGAATCGTCAATATCTTGTACCTAAATTACCAAAGCTTATGAAAGTTTACGAGCTAATATGCCCTACCCATATTGTCTATCTATACAACAGCGTCAGTTGATACTCTCAAAAGATCGGTAAAGGTATTAACAGCAGGTTGACGGTCGCTTAATAGAATACTTGAATTAAGAAGATAAACACTTGAACCATCAGATATCTTGCCACAGATTCAAATTATTCAGAAGTTTATAATTGCACTCACCTTCCAAGCTTAAATAGGAGAGAGCCTGTCTATCTTCTACCGACCGCTAGGATATCGTTCGACCAGTCCAAAACATCCTCTCATACATCTGATATGCCTCTGAGATCGTAGTATATGACTAACACAGGGTCATACTTAACGATATCTTGGTGAATGAGAGAAAATATTGATCGACAACTTCACCACTGTCATAAGGCGGGACCTCTGACAGATACGCCATAGGTTCACTATGCTGCCGCTTTAGCGTGGGGTGCCCGGATATGGCCTCGTGTCACGTGGGCATTCATTTCCATAGAACAAATATCCCTTACTCTTTTCTACCCTCGTAAGTCTCCATCAGTTCTAGAATTCTAATGCAACAACCAGTGGAGTATTTTATATCGAATTGAATCAAAACCCAGCCCACGTCAGACTCAGAGCGAGGATATGCTTAGAATAGTTTCATCACCCTATGCGATCATGTGACCTTCTATGACCCCTTACAGAGCGTCCGATTATTAGCTTTGACGTTCTATCACTGAAGGTGACATGTTGACTGGTTTTAGATCTGTCATTTTGCTGAGGCTCTGTTTAGTTCTCTTATGTACAATATTCTGTGTTGGCGTAAGGACTATGATTTTGAGTAGTAGCCAGATCATTTGACCGTCTTTCTTTTCTGATATCTAGAAAATAATAATGAAATCTTTTGAATATACTGTTAGCCTCACAAAGTATGGAATATGTCGCTGATTGATACAGTATTTGATATGTTGAAAGAGGTGGGTTGCCGTACCTGTGAGGAGTGAGGCTGAAGGGTTTTACAGACCACTAAATGAGTGCTTATTAGGCCGAGGCCCTGCCGAATCTTGTCTTCCTTGGCACAATTTTTTCCAGATTCAATGCTCTGGTTTGGATAGACAAGTTGCTCCTTTTTCCACTGCAGTCCTCTGGCTCGCAAGAGCGGCTTCATAGTCCCGGAATGTCAAGTGCTAGACATAGTTAAATGGAGCATGCCTAATCCCTTTCACTTTTGCCGAACTTTTGATCAACAGATCGGAGTTTGTACTTTTTATCATTTTTAATATGCCTGGGCAGTCACGAATGAAAATGGGACCAATGGTCCATGTAAATATTCGCTTTTGATTCAGTGCCCGTGGCCAGAGTGTAATGGAACAGGTTGTTCTTATTTTGAGTTGGCCGCTCTTGTCAACTGATTTTTGGTTAGTTCTGGCGAAGCATTATATCTTACAATGTCGAGTATATAAGGCAATATTGATTGCTAGGGTTGAAGGCTACACAGCGTTAAGTGTCCTAGGTTGGCTTTTAAGTCACGGTACGCCATTCTCTCCCCCCAAGGGCTGATCAATTACCATAAGCAAATCTATGCTATGACTTATACCCCAGAACCGGTCGAGACTCATCACTTCTGTGATATCATCAGCCATCATCCGCGAAAATGATCATCACCATATAGATAAAGGGACTGATACACAGTCTAAGAGTCAGGTGGATAGAGAAGTGGATGGCTAGACAGCCTGGGCATGGGTCTTGAATACACGTTACTGTATGTCGATCGATCGATTTCTATAATCTTGCCTCCCTCATACAATGTTAGTCATGTGTAACTATGTTATTCTTCATTTGATTGTACCTTAACCCATCAATCGGCCCGCAGTCGAATGAACGCTATTCCGGATATGGCTAAAAGGTAGATTGACATTCGTCTAGACTTTAGCGAAACTGGCTAGGACGATCTCCTTTCCGCAATGCTGATTGGCGGGACCCTGGCCGACGGTAAAACCTGGAATGGACCATCCAAGGCAGTATCATGCCCCAGCACAATAGTTAATAATAATATGTACTCCGTGCTTCGTGGCCGGATCCGCTACGATCTGGTCCGTTTAATCTTGACGCTATTTTCCTCGTGATCGAGAAACCCTCGTTTGAGTGGGGTAACTGAGGCGATTCCTAGGCTGGAATTTATGACCCTGCCAGTTCAAGTTTCCTTCATATTTCTGACTTGCAAACTTGCATGCGCTATATCATCCTAGTCTACGGAAAGAGATTAAGCGCTACGTTCAGAAATTCGATCCAAATTCGTTGCTAGATTTGATGGCTGCCGCCTCCTTGATCATTCTCGTCGTGGCCTACCATCTCAACATCTATTCGATGCGCTAGACATTCGACATTCTCTTCAATAACAGACAGTTAACATCCCCGCGTTTCCCTCGCCATCTTTATCGGTCTTATCGCCTTTTTTTAGAAATTGGGCGCTCGAAATCGCGGCCATGGAACCCAACAGGGCCGAAGAGCACCAAGCTGGTCGCCGGGCTCGTGAAGTATATCGCTACTTCCGACCAGAGCGACTGGAGACTATTCAAGAGAATACCTCGTCACCGGCCGAGCCAGCCTCTTTACTGAAGCCACCAGGCTCCAATAATTCCACCCCCGCGGAGCACTTTTCGTCCCCCGGGAATATGCCACAGGCGTCGGAACACCCCACCTGGGCGCCGCTACAGCCCATGCCCGAATCGTTGATTCTTGGCGACGCGAACGAGACATTGAATTCTCTTGCACAATTAGCCGCTCTACGTCTTAATGTGGATCGCGTGTTTATTAGGTGTGTATCGATATCTTGGTGTTGAAATTACGCCGCTAATCGCCCATGTCGCTTCCCAGTGTCTCGGACCGAGATTCACAATTTATAATTGCGCAAGCTTCCCAGACCAAAAATGGAGATGGTGGTTATGATCCCATAGGAAATGCAGTCAATACAGGCTGTTACACTCTCGACGTGAGCGCCTGGAATATGTGCAAAGCAAGTCATCCACCATAGATGCGCTTTTTAACAGTTGACAGCCCTAGAACTAACCAGTGTCTTTTCTTTGCTACCAACAGGATACTGTCGCACTACACCAATCCAATCGGGAGAAAGGAGAATACAACTTTCTAGTTTGCAACGATCTGAGTCAGGATGGGCGGTACAAAGATCTTCCTTTCGTTGTAGGGGAGCCCGGCTTCCGGTTCTATGCTGGCACGCCTCTTACTACGGAAAGTAATGTCAACATTGGTTGCTTTTTTGCTCTCGACACAAAATCTCATGACGAGTTCAGCTATATCGAGAAGGAAACGATGGGTTATATGGGAATGCTCATCATGGACTTTTTGAAAGTTAGTCGCCAGGCCTCAGACGGTCGCCACGCTGCGAGGTTATCGCGCGGCATCAATCTTTTTGTCGAGGGCCATTCCTCCTTTGAGAAGACTTCATCACGGCCTGTCTCGGGTAACTTTGGCTCCCAGCCAGGACATCCCGGGATTTCAACCTCAGTATCACGGTCTCCATCTACGTCTACGCAACATTCACGCGATGATTTTTCTAGCCGTTCGCGCTCACGCAGTGTACGATCATCGACCTCGACAGCTGACAGCGTTGATGAGCGGGCTATCCCATCCAGCCTTGACTCTTACATGGCCGAGCGGTTGACAAATATATCAAGCGGTACCCGGGGACTTCCAGCAAAGTCGTGGACTTTTCGTCGAGCCGCAAACCTCATCCGAGAGAGTCTAGAACTTGAGGAGAAGAGTGGTGTGATCTTTCTCGAAGCTGGTGGAGACCTTGCTGCAGATATTGGAACCGACAGTGACACGTCTAATTCGTGCGCATCGGAGAGTTCCAGGCCTGCCTCGGTTGTGGCACTATCTACCCCCGAAACTGCGTTTGGCCCAGATTCTACCTCGCACAAGCCTCTCCCAGTCATGAAGTTGGACGAGGAATATCTCCGAGGTCTGTTAAAACGACATAAAAGAGGACATATTTGGAATTTTCACCGAGATGGGCAACTGTCCAGTTCGGATGGTGAAGATTACTTTCAACAAAGCCACACACGCGGCCGAGCGAGAAGTTCTACCGATCTCTCCAGGTCACGGAGGAGGACCAAAGCGAAAGATAACTCTCTGCTTAATCGATATTTCCCCGGGGCTACTCAGGTCTTGTTTGTGCCCCTGTGGAATGCTGCCAATTCGCAGTGGTTTGGCGGCTTTTTCTGCTGGACCAATGTGGAACATAAGGTGTTCAGTCCGTCGATAGAGCTGAGCTCTTTGCTCAGCTTTGGATCTTCGATCATGGCCGAGTGCAGCCGCATTGAAACTGTGATCTCGGATCAACAAAAAGATGATTTCCTGGGCAGTATTTCGTAAGTTCTGCCGATATTGACTTTTTGAGAGCCCAACCTGACTAATAAATCAACAGGCATGAACTGCGCAGTCCACTTCATGGTGTCCTAGCAGCCACTGAAATGCTCAAAGACACGAATTTAGACCAGTATCAGAATTCGCTCATAGAGACCGTTGATGCCTGCGGCCGAACATTGCTTGATACCATGAATCAAGTCCTCGACTTCAGCAAGATCATGTCTCTAGAACGAAAGTCACGTCGGCGGAGGCGATGCAAGGCTTTGCCTCAAGACCTTGACAGATCACATCTTTCTGCTGCACATCTCGATCTGTACAAACCCACCGACCTCTCCGTGGTTGCAGAGGAAGTGGTGGAGGGCGTTTTCCTGGGACATATGCACAATCAACGATCAACTGCGTCTCTGGACCTTCTAGGTACTTCGCTTGTCGCGCCGGAGTTTCCAGAAGATCTTCACGCTGTGAAGCCCAACGTCAAGGTGATTCTGGATATCGCACCTACAGAATGGATCTATCACGCCCCTCCCGGGGCTGTGCGCCGCATTATTATGAATTTGTTCAGCAATGCGCTGAAATATACACCGGCCGGCCAAGTTCGCCTACGGTTGGAGGCGGAAGAGAAACCCGAGACCTCATCAAAGCGCCCAGCAAATAGAGAGCGAACTAAGGAGCGAAATGTCATCCTAACAGTTTCTGACACTGGAAAGGGCATTTCGGAGGAATTCTTGCGTGGGAAGTTGTTCACTCCGTTTGCGCAAGAAGACAGTCTTGCTGTGGGCTCTGGTCTTGGCCTGTCTATCGTTCGCAGCCTCATTCAGTCACTGGGCGGTAGTATCGATATCAAGAGTTGCCTCGGCGAGGGCACAACTGTGAGAGTATCACTCCCGCTCACGCGCTTGGAGCAGAATGGTGATGAGTTTGGGTTGGATCTCGTTCCGGGTCGCGCCCAATTGTCGAGACAGATCTCCACTCTACAGGGCCATGAAGGCCGGACGGTTGCCATACTCGGAGTGGATCCAGGTGATGCACCGAGCGATCCGAAATGGGCCGATCTATCTCGTTATATTACGGATTGGTATGGTCTCAGGTTGGTTTCCATGTCTGCTTCCGAACCGATCGACCTCATCGTGGCCGATGAATTGCCGAGCGAGACTGCGATCAGCCAAAGCTCTGCTACCATGAAGACAGCCTTGCTCGTGGTGAGCGATCAATATGTTGGTCGTGAATCTGTTCCAGTCCAATGGCTGGGAGGTACCAAATCCGCCAACATGATCAATCGCCCATGCGGCCCTCATAAGCTCCGACGATATATCTCCAAGTGTCTGGATGAAGCGTCGTCGTTGCCACTGCCGTCCGAGACCAACGAAATTGTTCTACCGGAACAGCCTGGTCCATTCTCCACGAGGGCAATAGTAGCGAGTCTTCACTCTGCAAAGAAACCACCAGCAAACGGAGATATCGACAGGAAGAGAGCCCGTTCTTTCACTCTTCCGGCTGAACTCGTCCCTAAGCCTTTCATGGAACCAATGACTGAAAAACGCGACGCCCGAATCTTAGTTGTGGAAGACAACAAGATCAATCTCAACCTGATGCTGGCATATTTGAAAAAGAGACAGCTGGCAACCTTGGATTCTGCTGAAAATGGCTGTCTGGCGGTTGAAGCCGTCAAGAAACAAGATGATGACAACTACGATATCATCTTTATGGGTGAGTTCTTTCCTGCTTTGTTTTCTAAACATACAAACTAATGTATCGAATTAGACATCTCAATGCCGGAAATGGACGGGTTTGAAGCAGCCCGGGCGATTCGTGCATTGGAGAAAGAGCGTAGCCCGGGCTCTACGCCGGCCATTATCATTGCGCTCACGGGTCTCAGCAGCTCAGAAGATGAATCCAAAGCCCTTGAATCGGGGATGGACATGTTTTTGACAAAGCCCGTCTCTTTTAAGAATGTCGGGAAGTTACTGAAGGAGTGGACGGACAGACAGGACGAAGGGAATAGTGATTCCTCGGCATAATCATGTTATAAACCTTTGTATAGTGTACATTCATCTTAGCGCTCATGTCCGCTGATCTAATGATACCACGCATAACCATTGTCAAACAAATAGAGTGTTCTGTATAGTACTTTGGTAGTATGCAAGCCGTTCGGGCGGGGCCCGGCTTTACCAGAGTCGGCGACCGGAGACACGCCGATGGAGAAAGAAAAAAGGCCTCTCGATTGACTCACCGAGGCCTTAATAATCACAGTTGAATTCTCCCTTTAGATGCTTGAGACCGGAATCAACTCCTTATAACCTCTTAAACAACATCAAGACTTCCCTTTCACTGAGGAGCCAACTCTTTTTTTTTTCTCGCTTTTCTCCGGCGCATTCTCTTCCGCCTCCCGGTTTGCCCCCCGCGTAGGCCACCGCCGGGCGAGTTTTCTCTTCTTGCCCCCCTCTTCTCTCCAGTCTCCTCCCCACTTCCCCAAAGAAGTCCCCCCCCCCCCCCCCCCTCAAACGCCCTTGCGCCTTGTGCCCCCTCCTCTAATCCACCTCGCTTCTTCCGACCGTTGACCTCCATCGACTGTTTTATTTATCCTCCGCCAAAACCACCACCCTCCATTCCCTCCCCTCCAAAACCAACTGCCCTTCGACGATGACCATTACGACGGAAATGGTCGGCGGGCAGAGTGACGATGTGCACCAGCAGCCTGCGCACATCCCTCCGGCTCCCATGGGCGACTACGTTTTTCCAGAACTTCGTCTCAAGGGCAAGATGAATGACCCGGAGAAGACCCCGCTGCTGCTCGTGGCCTGCGGCTCTTTCTCGCCCATTACATATCTGCATCTGCGCATGTTCGAGATGGCTGCCGATTACGTCAAGTTCAGCACGGACTTTGAACTCATCGGTGGTTATTTGTCGCCCGTGTCGGATGCCTATCGTAAGGCTGGTCTGGCCAGTGCAGAGCATCGGTAATTATGCTCTTTCGCATGTATGGATGTTGGAGATGAATCGGCTGACGTATTCTTTTCTTTCTGCTAGTGTTGCTATGTGCCAATTGGCAGTCGATCAAACCTCGGATTGGTTGATGGTGGATACTTGGGAACCGAATCAGAAGGCATATCAGCCAACTGCTGTCGTGTTGGATCACTTTGATCACGAGATTAACACCGTTCGTGGAGGTGTCGAGGCTGGAGATGGTACCCGCAAGCCTGTGCGAATTGCCCTGCTTGCCGGTGCCGATCTGATCCACACCATGTCTACCCCCGGTGTTTGGAGTCAGAAGGATTTGGACCACATCCTGGGCAAATATGGCGTACGTTGAACCCGTGATTTGCGCCGTTCGCATGTTGTTCGATTTTCTAACATTTTGCTAGTCCTTCATTGTGGAGCGAAGTGGAACCGATATTGACGAGGCTCTAGCGAGTCTGCAGCCATGGAAGGAGAATATCCACGTTATCCAGCAGCTCATCCAAAATGACGTTAGCAGCACCAAGATCCGACTTTTCCTGCGCCGTGAGATGAGCGTTCGCTATCTTATCCCCGTGCCCGTCATCCATTATATCGAGCAGCACCATCTATATGAGGATGACGGCACTTCGAATGAGAAGGGCAAGGAGAGGCAAGAGCCCGGCAAGTCAGGGTGATTCAGTTTCGGATTCATCCCTACAAACTAGCTGTACCGCCACGAACGAAAACCCTCCACCTTGAGCAAAGCATGACCTTGATACGATACCCCGTCTTGTCTGCTCCTCTTGCCTGCGCTTGCGATGTCTCTTGTCCGCAAGGTCCCCGCCTAATACTCAGACCATGCAGTTTCTGTCGCAGCTCCTTAATGAGCGGGCCAGACTCTGGGTGGAATCGCACTCTCTTGACGAGTACTGAGAGCATGGTGCGCAGCAGAGTTGAGACGATTAATGATTTTTTTTCTATGGAGTTTTGGGCGTTATCATCATACTGGGCTGGGATTCTGCACTTTTAACCTGCTCTAGCTCTTTGCGACCTGGCTGGCACCCGACGGGATGGTCCTTGCTATGCTTGCAGCTCTATAGCTGTCTACTTACCAGGCTAGGTCTGCAAGAGCATTACTGGGAAAATGTAAATAGCTGCCGTTTGGTCCTGTCTCTTCGATACACCGTTGTACATACGCGTCATAGATCGATCCTCTGGCTTTAGATTCGCCAGAACCAAGAACCAGCAATACCGAGATATCAAGACTTTTATGTTTACTGGGTTAGGATACAAGATCTAGGCCGTAGGAGACGATCTGGAATAGTGAGCAAGCTAATAGATTACAATACAGTAGCCTTATCTCCGAGTGTCGGTTTTACTTGAAACGGCACCGATCAGCCATATGCGATTCGCTCGAGTGATGACACCATCTCGGCATGGCGGCTGCCAAATTGTCCGATCCGATCGAAAAAAAACTGCAACTCGAGTGTCCTTAAAAACCAGATCTGAGATTGAAAAAAGCCAATTAGATATAAGCAAAGGATCCGTACCAGGAAACATTACCCCTAGCTAGCTCCATATCCAACGCAGAAATTCAAAGGTGACAGCGGCTGAAACGATCGCCCGATCCCGCCTGTTATCTTCCGCAATCGACGCATCTGCTCCATCGCCCCTCCACATTTTCCCGGACCGCAACCTGGTCCCCCTCCTCCCCCCGTCCTTGGAAGGCTTGGACAGGGACGCGGTCTTTTTTTGTTGTTATTAAGAGCTTAATTCTCTGATTACCTCGTCCCCATCCTCAAGCCAGGATAGCTCCCTTCACAAAAGAGAACAGGATCATGGTGTACACAGCCCTTGATTCCTTCATTTTACCACCCGCCATGTCCTCCGACGCGACACAGCGCCCGCTCACCCCTCCCGACCCCCTCGATAGCCCCTCAGTCTCCTCCAAAAATGATGCCTCCGCGATTGCCACAGCTCTCCATGTCATGTCCACCGAGCGCGCGGCCCTAGCGCACCTCGAACACCTTTATCAGAACGATGCGCGGGCCCAGCAGGATCTTGCGCGCGCGGTGGACTTGATTGCGCATACGGTGCGTGCAGCGGGCAAGTTGGTTGTATGTGGGGTGGGCAAGAGTGGGAAGATTGGACGCAAGATCGAGGCTACGATGAATAGTTTGGGGATTTACAGTGCTTTCCTGCATCCGACGGAGGCGTTGCATGGGGATTTGGGATTGGTTCGACCGGTAAGCCACCTGCATCTCGGATGTTTGCTTTTGATGGGGTTGCATTTGCGTACATTTGGGGAAATGCATTGCAAGACGATTGGATGGGTTATGTACTGACTTTACGGGTTGATAGAACGATACGATGCTTCTTATCTCGTTCTCTGGTCGCTCGCCGGAGTTGCTCTGTCTGCTCCCATATATTCCTACCACAGTTCCTATCATCGCTCTCTCGTCTCATACTCAGCCCGATGCATGTCCTTTACTTTCTCTGCATGGTCCCCTCGGTATGGGAGTTCTTTTACCTGCGCCTATCCATGAGGAAGAGGAAGCTTCTCTGGGCGTCAGTGCCCCGACATCATCGACGACGGTAGCGCTGTGTCTGGGAGACGCCTTGGCCATCGCTACGGCACGGAAATTGCACACTGATCCAGGACGTGGCCCTGCCGATGTCTTCCGTAGTTACCACCCCGGAGGTGCTATTGGAGCAGCGGCAGCAGCAGCTGGAGCGACGCCGTCGACTACACCATCCAGTGGGGTGTCGACGACGGCTTTTGACTCTCCTTCTTCATCTATTTCATTGCCCTGGGAGGATTTCTCAAACGGCTCGTCTATCCCGCCTTTTACTCTTCAACAACCTCCCGAGCATCGTTTAATACCCTTGGACATGCTCGTCCCTCTCGATCAAATCCCGACAGCCTCGAAATCCCCTGCTAGCGATATACGATTACTGGACATACTCCTCACAGCTATCCAACATCCAACCGCGAAGTCCTGGGTCTTCCTATCAGATTCAGAATTAGTCCCGCCTCGACGAATCCGCTCTCTTCTTTCACGACATACGGATGTCGACCTGCTCGTATCTGATGCCGTGGCTCAAGACTCTGGCCGACCGCTATCCGTATCTCGGGCGAATTGGTTCCTGGTGGCTGAATCCACCCCACTGGCCGAGCTGCGTCGTCTCGTCTCCACATCCCGAGATGGCCCAGATCCTATATCAGTTATTGCCGTCGTGAAGGATATTGCTTCTCCGGATAGCTGCATTGGGGTTATGGAGGCTGAGGATCTTTGGAGTGGATAAAGATCTGGAGCTGGACATATTTGACGTGATATGCTTGATATGACGGGTATTTCCATACATGGACATATCTTACTTTTCTTCTCGTATCTACTTTATTTCCCCACTCTGCACATACCATGCACATGGGTTGACGATGTTACGCCTGTTTCTGCCCAGTATGGGCTCTCGCATAGACTTGGTTTCTTGTTGATATTTTTTTTTTCGTGAATAGTTCATATACTGCATTCAAAACGCCCCAAATAACCCACGGGCTACATGATTTACAGGGTTCAGCATATCGCTCTCCAAAATCTCGTAACATTGGATAATCAAAATAATACAATTGTTGCAGAAAAAGCCGTAATCTAGTATACAATCCCATCTCCACCTACCGATGGGCAAGATCTTATCCCCCACTAATTCCGAATCTCATCCTCTCCAAGCAACGCCGACCCCACAACTCAAACCTGAGTAACCGGCTTGATACCCTTGTGAATAGCAGCAATACCACCAGTCAGATTCTCATATCCCTTACCAGGAATCATAAACCCAGCCTTTTGAATCATACCCCGGAACTCCTCCTGGCTGGGGAACCGCTCAATACTCTCAACGAGATATTGATAACTATCCCGATCCCCAGCGACAACCTGCCCAATCAAGGGGATAGCACTAAAATTCCACCTCTTGTACACAGCATCAAACACCGGATTCTCCACCTTACTAAACTCCATACAAGCAAAAACACCGCCAGGCTTAAGCACGCGGAACGCCTCGTTCAATGCGGCCTGCTTATCCGTGAAGTTTCGAATTCCGAAAACGACGGTGTACAGGTCAATCGAGGCGTCGGGGATATGGGGCATGTGTTCGGCGTTGGCCTCGACGAAGGAGAGACGGGGCGTGTTGTAGTAGGGCGTTGCGGTGGAGCGCTTGCGGCCTTCGGCTAGCATGTCGGCGTTGATGTCGCTGATTGTGACGCGGGTTTCCAGGTCGTGGTTGATGTTGGTTGCGTGGTCGAGCATGCGGAAGGCGATGTCGCCGGTCCCGCCGGCGATGTCGAGGATGTTCCAGCCTTGGTCTTTGGCGTTGGCTGGGCGGTTGGCGACGGGGGTGCCTGGGTTCAGGGAGCGCACGAAGTGGTCTTTCCAGAGGCGGTGGATGCCCAGGGACATTAGGTCGTTCATGTTATCGTATGAGGAGGCGACGGAGCTGAAGACGGCGCCGACTGATGGTGGTTGGGGGTTAGGATGAGTTCGATTCGGTGGCATTGGTACTTGCAATGCCATAAGCTAGGACTTTTATCTCACCTCGCGACTCCTTCTCGGATTCGGGCACATTGGTGAAGCCAAAGTGTGTCATGCGCTCATGGTCTGGTTTAGCCTGGTCGAAGGCCTGGCGGGTGCAGGAGAAGCAGCGGTACGGAGTGGCCGGTTGGAAAGTGCGGCGCTTAGCACTGTAGTGCAAGGCTCGCCAGGCAGAGCGGGTCGACATGGTGAGTTTGGGAGGAATTGGAGGGAAAGTTGGGAACCAGGTACGATGATCGGAACGGAGCTGGGAACTTTTCGGCCTCGCGAGAGATCGCGGAGACCCACTTTTCCCTGCAGACGCTGGCAGTTTGAACCAATCACAGCACAAGGATGGTAGTTGAAGGACAAGGCTGTGATAATCTAGAGAAGCTCACGGCATTGCGGACTTTACGGATCTAGTTGGATTTAGATAGATTAAAAGCTTATGCCCGGTTGTCGAATTCAAGCATCGTCATCGCCAAAGTATAACTATATAATATACCGGATCCAGCTGATTTACGTTCCCAACTTGCACACAAAACCCTCCGGGAATAACAATATATATTCCTGTAGCCTTCGACAAAATGACTTCGAACTCGCTCTCTCACTGTTGTACCACCGGTTCCCTTCATGAAGGTGAAGCCAAGGGCGAAATCAAAAACATCGGCGATAGTACGTCCGATACTTCCACAATCACACTAGCCACATCTAACAACCCCCTCTAGTCTCAACATACTTTGCATACCCCCCGGGCAAATCCACCGAAAACGCTATCCTCATCTTGACCGACGTGATTGGGCATAAATTCATCAATGCCCAACTTATTGCAGACCAATTCGCTGCCAAGGGCTACTTTGTCGTCATGCCGGATCTATTCAACGGTGACTCCGTCCCGCTGAACAGACCAGAGGGCTTCAACGTCATGGATTGGGTGCAAAACCATTTGCCCCCGCAGACAGATCCTATTATCGATAATGTACTCAAAGAGATGCGTGAAAGCCTTGGTTGCAAGCGTATCGGTGGTGTAGGCTACTGCTTTGGTGGGAAGTATGTCTGTCGGTATCTCAAGCCGGGTAAGCTGGATGTTGGGTTCACGGCGCATCCGACGATGGTTGAACCGGATGAATTGAGGGGTATTGAAGGGCCACTCAGTATCGCAGCTGCTGGTGAGTTTAGGTATCGTCAGCTATCTGTATCTGTCCGGGACTAATGCTTCAAATTAGTGCGAGACATCATCTTCACGACTACTAAACGACACGAAAGTGAGGAGATTTTGGACAGCCTGGATGTTGCTTATCAGATCAATACGTTCTCAGATGTGGAGCATGGGTTTTCGGTTCGCTGTGATTTGTCGAAGCCTCGACAGAAGTTTGCTAAAGAGCAGGCTTTCAGCCAGGCTGTGGCATGGTTTGACCAATACCTCAAGGAATGATTTTGTGGTCTCAAGAAGACAGTGCAGGTACTTCGATTATCAATGGGCATGATATCTCGAGCATCAAAGGCTGGCATGGAATGGACTTGGTGGTTTCATTGGCACAACACAAAACTAGAGGGCAGCTTGATCTTATACTGATACCACAATAGATAGACACAGATAGATTCATATTATTTATGACGAAACTCAAGATACTCGAGTTCCACCCGTCTTCTTTCATTAATAGTATGGCATTCTGAAAATCAAAATCGCCATACCACCCTAGCATAGACGAGCCACAGTCGATCGGGCTCAACAACAACGAAGCTAGACACCTCTGACTTCCTCCTCATGGGCCAGGCCAAGATTCTCTTGCTTGGTTCTTGCCGCAATCTGCAGACTGTTGCCCATTTGCTTTCGCTCCTTGAACTTCCGACTCTGAGTTCCCGGTACAATCCACGGCTCCGTCTTGAACAAAGCGTTCATGTCCTCCAATGGAAGCTTGGCAGTCTCGGGCAGAATAAGCCAGAAGAAGATCGCATTGGTGAAATTGCAGACACAGAAGAGAATGTAGAAGCGCCAGCCGCCAATATGGTCGATAGCGACGGTGGTTATTTGACCGATTAGTGTGTTGAATGCGAACGAAACCATTGTAGCGATGGAGACACCCTTGGAACGAGTCTTGGTGTCGAATATCTCGGAACAGATAACCCAGGTCAGTGGACCAATGGTCGAGCTGAAGGAGAAGTTGTAGCACCATGTCATGACGATGAATGCCCAACTGGCGGCATTGTTGTGGGTAGTTCCAGGGGGGAACTTGGCAATCAAAATGGTGGGAATGATCTAAAAGGTCAGCCAAAGGTAAACTCCAGGAAGGGAATGGATGACATACGAAGAACACGCAGTTGACCAGGTTTCCAATGATCTGCGGCCAACGACGACCAGTCTTGTCAATGAACAACAAGCAGCAGAGCTGGGCGATAATAGCAATAATAGAGCTGATACCCTGATACTTGAGAGTATCATTGGTCGCAATACCGATTTGCTTGAAAATAGTAGTGCTAAAGTACTGAATAGCACTGACACCGGTCATCTGGCAAGCGGCCTGGATCGAACAGGCCAGGAAAAGGCGACGGAAGCACGACGGATCGGTGAAAAGCTCAGTATACGACTTGGCCTCCGCCTCGTGCTCGTTCGCAATAGAAGTTTGAATCTGATCGAACTCGGTCCGTACCCAGGGATCATCGACATCGCCGCCCGAGTGCAGGCGAGCCAGGGTTTGCAGTCCCTCGTCGAGTCGGCCATTGTCAATCAACCAGCGAGGCGATTCGGGGAAGAGCAAGATGAGAGCGGCGAGGAAGACGGCAGGGACCATCTGGATACCAAGGGAGATACGCCATTGACGTGAATCGTCGTCAGCGAAGTTGATGTAAGTGCCCCAGGAGATCCAAGCAGCCACTAGAGATCCAACTCCCAGCATCAGTTGCTGGAGAGAGGTAATACGACCACGAATATCCGGGTGGGCCAACTCTGCCTGGTAGAGCGGGACGATCATAACCAGGATACCGACTCTAAAGGGTTGCAGGTATATTATTAGCATTTCATATTTATACGCGGAGATCCAAAAGTCTTGACCAACTCACCCCAATCCAGCAATGGACCGTCCAGCATACAGGAAATTGATGCTCTGTGCGCCGGTTTGAAGGCCACTAGTATTGTTAGTGTGTCTGCTCCGAAAATCAATGGATTGAATCTTGTTCACGTACCCCCCGAGCAAGAAAATAACAGCTCCCACGAGAATAGTAATCTTTCGACCAGCATAGTCACCTAGTGGACCCCCGAAAATAGCACCGAAAAAGGCGCCTCCCGTAAACACAGACGTGATAGCTCCACTTTTCGTAGAATCGACATTGAAAGCGTTGACCAGCGAGGGACTAGCAATAGCCTCGGCAATAACGCCCAGATCGTAACCGTAAAGTACGGAGCCCAGAGAGGCAAACACACATACCATAAACTGTAAATGTTTAGAAAGCCGCTGGTGCCGAGGCGGAAAGCTAGAGACGTACCTGGTACCACTTTGGGGACAGCGCCATGATTAGGCGTTATTATAGATGACTTGCTATTATTCTAGTTGGAAAAAGCGGCCTTCCGGACCTCGAACGTGACAAGGCATTTCAATCCCGGGAGATGCCATCTTATAAGACTTTCCACGTTCGATTATCACTCCGCTGTGGTGCCATAGCGTGATGGCAGGCGCTTTCTTGTTGGAGGAATTTTGTCTGGGGAAGAATTCCAGGGACTACTTCCCCCGCAGGAGTTTTCCCCAATGTTGTTGGCCTAGTGCAGGGCTATGGAGGCGATGGAGCTCCAGATTCGATTGCGTGGAGCCAAAGTGGGTCGACCGAATGCCTTGAAGGCGCTCGGCGTTCAATTCACAGTGACCTATCAACCCGTTCGCGCAGCGAGATTGCCTAAAAACTTGGCTCTGATCATGGCTAAGAGGCGTCAACTCCTATAAGACTTGTTCACTTCATATTTTCCTCTGCTGGTGGTGGGTATTCTTGTACTTATAGGATAACGTGCTATGGCACGATGTGGGGGCAGATCGCCATCCTATCGAGGGTGTCAGTTCAGCCTAGCTCAGGGAACACCATGCGGTCCTCTCCGCTCAGAAAACAACGCGAATTTCCGTCCGTTGGGCAGGCAATACTTCCGAAAGGAGATATCGGATAGCTTACGCGGCAATGAGGTCTGTCCTATTAGCGTCACAGATGTGGCGTCGGAAGGCGCGAGGCGTAAGAGCCAAGGCCGAGCGGGATACCGACACTTCTAATGTACAAACTACACAATACTCCGTAAGCGGCTGCATTAATACTGCATAAGGTATAGCGGCAGTTCAAAATCCAGAATCTCGTGACCGTAGAAAAGCTCTAGCTAGATATGGTAGATCGGGATTTTTGCCGTGGAACTTTAAGATCGAAATTTGGAAGTGGGTTTCTTTTTCTCTTCCCACACAGTACAGCTTAAAGGTAGACGGTTATAGTATATAACAATAGAGAGTGAATGCTAACAAAAGTGGTACATTAAATGTCAAGGTTACTATAGCAGTTCATTAGCCTGAATCTAGCGACGGTCTAGCCAAAATACCTTTTAAATTCTTCGTAAGGAAATCCCCTTATTTGCCTTGAGGCTCTCCGGGTCTTCCCCGTTTGCTCCTGCGTCGTTTGATGGTTATCTCCAGGACCAGACATTCGTTGCCCTATATAGGCTCTTTCTTTTCTCCTTTCCTCTTCATCCTCTTGCTCTCCTAGATAGACCAATTTGACTTCGTTCTCCCCTGCCTCCTGTGTGCTTGGTATCTGGGATACCATCATCCATAATACAATTTCGGATTGCTTATCGAATCATCTTCAAAGCCCGATTGAAAATACCTTTTCGAAGTTCACTTAGGAGGCTCAACCTTATAGAAACTCTCTATGGATATTTAGAGTATAAGACTTATGCAAATAATGTTTAGTCTTAAAAGTATATTTCTCCTCTTCATCTTCATCTACTCATACCATCGGGCAGACCCAAACCAGGTACGCTCTTTTCACCTTCCCTCTTACCTCAAGTCCCCAAATTCTTTTTCCTTCCTCATCACATCAACTTCCATAACAAAACCACAGATATTTAACGCGTCTCTTCAACTCTGACCAAATCACACCAGCAGACTCTCCAATGACAAAACCTTAAGAGAAATTCTACGAATCTCTTGAACTATAACAAAGCTACACCAGCAGTTCCTCCTCGAGACAAACGACTCGAACCCGATTTTTCTCCTCCCTACCTCGACTCCTATCATCTGTGAGTTGGTCCTTTTTCTATCTCCTTCTCTCTCTCATCTTTCCACGTGCCAGGGATTTCCGAATGTCTGCTTGGGCTTCAGCTAACTCACACTCTAGTCATCATGGCGCCTCCGTCCACGGGTAATACGCCGGAGAAAATCGTCATTCAATACACCACGGATGAAATTAACCAGATGCAGAATACCTGGACAAATTTGACCGGGGATTTCGGTCATGACTGAGTTCAAGAGGTCCATGACATCTACTACCACCTTCCGGGATATCAGAGATCCCGCGATTTGATCAAGGCATATCTAAAGTCCAAATTTTGGGACTTGGTCAATACGCCAGAATTTCTCCAGGCTCTCTCAATCCAGCCTGCTGCGGAGTTCCGAGTCCATGCACTTGCCAAGTTTTCAGAGCGCGACTTTCCGACTGTTGTGACACTGTGGTATGTTTCTCGGCTAATGAAATCGGCACCAGACATGTTTCATCGATCGAAGATGGCGAATGCACCGGTCGAAATTAACACCACGCAGTTCATGCAGTTTGTCTTCTACATGAAGACAGACCTTCACAAGTTGAATCCACAAATATCTCGCGCCCCTGTCCCCCGCAGGGCCGTGCGGCGAAGGAAACTCTGATGAGGATGGGAAGGACAGTGGAAAGCCACGAGATCGGTGTTCAACACAACACACCGACCCAAATTGCAGATGCATGCACAGACTCTTCCACGATGGCCTGGAACCTATTCAACTGCATACTTTGGCAAAACTGAGATTGATACCTGAGGTGGGCGATACGGTTTGGCTCTGCCACCGAGGCCACATGTGGTATGCCCTGCTAGGCACATGGTGATGGACTCGCTCTTGATCTCGTCCTCGTTGCCTGGCAATACAAACGCACGGATTCTGGCGGTCTTTTGCCTTTAATTTCACAACCGACACCTCTGATTTTCTGCATTTTCTGGATCTCACAATGACCTTGGCATGAAGTTTTTGTAAATGCCTATCCAAGTTTTCCGAAGATGTTTCTGCGGACACGGGCCGAAAATACGCGCATTCAGGTTGATCATACCCAATTCCATTACTTGAACCTTTGCAAATGCTAAGCCAAGTTTTCCTTTTTAACACCTCTTTTAACACCTCTTTTAACACCTCTTTTAACACCTCTTTTAACACCTCTTTTAACACCTCTTTTAACACCTCTTTTAACACCTCTTTTATGGCCTCTTTTATGGCCTCTTTTATGGCCTCTTTTATGGCCTCTTTTATGGCCTCTTTTATGGCCTCTTTTATGGCCTCTTTTATGGCCTCTTTTATGGCCTCTTTTATGGCCTCTTTTATGGCCTCTTTTATGACCTACTTTAACACCTTCTCCCTTCAGCACTAGCCGAATAACCCTGCTGCTCCGCCGCCTAGACCCACTCCATGATCGAACGTGTAAATGCAGCCTTTTCGTTCTCCTATGCTTCGAAATTCGAATCGAAAGCGGCGATTCCACGCACACCTGTCTGTCCATGTACGAGGTTGTACTTTTGGATGTTGTGAATCTGAGACTAAGAGGAGCGAAAATAAGAGTGAGTCCATAGGCCCAGTAAGAATATTCACTTACAGAGATCCTGGGCAAGTTCAGACGTAGGCCATACTAATCCTCATGTGCACGGATAAGGTTCAGAGACCTCTGTGTAAGGGTCCGGGACACATCGACCAAGATCAAGTTTCTGTGGGGCAATGCCACAATAGCCTATTCGCCGTGTTCTTTATCCACATCTTCGACAACGATGGGTGGAAAGATGTCATGGAAACGCCAGGCTGAATCAGCCACTGCATCGTAGAGACGAACTCGTCTCTCTATCGTACTAGTCCTATCTGTACCGATAAAAGATTAGTAAGTAGACTATACTAAGCAAGTCGATTAGCTCTTACCGGTTGGTATAAGATAAAGTTAAAGCGGGAGAGGGAGGGAGGTGACCCTCTAGTTATTTATCATCGCGAGCGAGATCGTAGCGGCGCTTAGCTTCAGGTTTAGGAGACATTATACTTTAGTGAAGAGGTAAAAATGAATAAGTATAATGGGAGTGAGCTAGAGTAAAATTTGATTAGATCGAGTGATGGTAGGTAATGGGTCATTTTTAATATAAAGGGCCTAACGCCTAGGGTATATAAACAAAAGATCATACTCATGACACTACAGAGGGCTCTCGTGACACTGTAAAACCAGGCCTCATTGGGAATGTACCTTGTGGGCAGGGCTGCCTGAAAAGATGTTTGGAAAGATATCCTAAAAGATCTTTGGAAATAGAGGAGGTTAAAGCGTATCTAACTGGGCCTTCTCCCTAGCTCTTGTTTCACAATTTTAAACTATCACTGCTTTATACATAACGGCTTGATAGGGATTATACTGACATCGGATCTATTATGCTATATGCTACTCGTAAGGTAAGTTTCTCATTAGGCGTCGTAGTGTCGCTGGAGTCTCTTGTAGTGCCTACCCTTATAGGCCTCTAATCGGAAATCTCCGGCAAACAGCCAATCGCTGGAAGGACTAAGCAACATCCATCTCTAAAAGGAAATTTCCATTCCACTGATAATCAAGTCTGTGATTGAAGTATCTAAGCCCAAGGGGTCTTAACCTGGGAGGAAAACTCGGAGCATGCTCCATTATTAGGTTTGACATACAAGTCATATAAACCTGAATTTTTATTATGTGCACACTAGATTAACACCAACACGACTCAATATACATCACACACATTTCTACTATTCAAAAGCCAAAGGTAGAAAGCCCTCTGAATGAGAATTATCAAGAGGCCACGGCCAATTTGTCAGCAGCTCCGGGGGCAACTGGAACTGCATCATTTGATCCCCAACACTTGCGCCCACCGGAGTTGGATCGGATTGCGGAAAAACGGTTTGCGGTACCATTGCTTCCGGCTTGATATTGACCTGTATAGAGGAAGCGCCATTGGGAGGAGGTGGCGGTACTGAGAAATTGACTAGCCGGGATGTGCGCATATAGCCGTCGATTCGGTCAACTTGGGAGCGTAGTCGTTGACTGGCACCTGCTGAGCGATGGAGGCCTGTTTCGAGACGGTGGAGGAGGTCTGCCATTTCAAGTCTGTGGAAGATGGGTTAGGAGAGTCCAGTTGATAAGCTGGGGAAGGGTTGGCTTACAGCAATGTCCGTACTCGTTGATAAGATGCGTCAGACAGACTTCCCTCCATGACTGAACCGAGAATGTACCCAATACCGCCGAGGTGATGTAGCTAATTTGAGTCAGTCGGGTGAACAAAGGCTCTATAACAGGAGTGAAACCTACCAGGGGTGAGCTGATCGCCTTCAGATATTCCACTGGAACTTTGGAAAATACGCTCAGCAGCTCGCCAGCCACATCACACTTCCGGTCGACCCCAATCTCCTCTGCAGATAACAGAACCATTCGGAGCAACTGCAGGGTCGCCTGAATATTGGCAGACTGGAAGCCAAACAGATCCTTACTCATATCCCCCGTTGTTGGCGGCGTCTCACGGAACTGCGGCGGCAGCGCAGCATACATGGAATGAACTCTCTCCATGACGGTCGGCTCTGACATGGATGCCGGGCTGAAAAGAGACCATACTTCAGTGGTACCGTTGGCAGAAGAGAATCGTCGTCGAGTACCATCCACCACGTGTTCGAGTATGCGATATAGATCAGTTGTAAAATTCCAGCCATGCATCCATGATACCGGTTGCCGAGACACAATCGGAGTATCACCATGGCTGAGTGTACTAGAATCTGGTGATACCGGCGGCAAGCCGTAGCCATGAGGTGTAATGAATTCGTCATCCACCTCGCTGGGGTACCGCACGAGGGAATGGGCTTCGCGATATCGAATGATGCCTCCCCATACAATGCTCGCGTAGATATCCAAGGTATAAATTGACCAGAACTGTTCGATCGGTTAGTCAGGCACGGGCAGCTCCAGCTCAAAAGACATACTAATCTCCGTCGTTCCTCGGTCTCGATAGTTCCGATATCCTTTGGCCATAGCTTCTCATCATGAAGTCCTTCCATGGTTGTCAAAGTGTGATACATTCCCGAATACTTTTGCAAGTTCTTGATCTGGCCATTTTGAATGCTAGCAATGGCGAGTATTGCGCATGCTCGCATATAGTTAAACCCCTTTGCAAGAGCCAGGTCTCTAGGAAAAGAATCCTTGGCCGCAGCGTAAAAGGCTTCTGATGGGGGCTCAATGAGCTCTTCACGGCGCCATCGGGTGGAATATAAAGCGCCGTCGCGCGCTCGCCCGGAAACCAATGCACATACCGCCATGGTGGAGGCAAATAGCCCTTGGTTTCTGAGGTGCTCTTGATTATTAATTCTTTCAATAAATGACTGTTTATGGAAAAGAGGGAATCTAGAGTCCGGGTTAGCCGAGTCAAAACATGACGGAAACAAGGGGTTGGGCGAGTCGTACATAGGGTAGACAATCTCAAAGTACACCTGAACAAGGTTCCTGATCTGCTGATCACTGGAGATAGCAAATGCTTTCCAGGAGTTGCGGAGAGCACCGTCATCATCGTACCCTTCGGTCGTCGACCACCCCGTGTTGAAAGAGGTCCAAGGATCCCCCGTCAAAGATGGCTGGGAGGCCGTTTCCTGATACATTGAACTCCTAGATGCAGATGAACCGGAGGCCCTCTCTGGCGCAGGAACTCGACCGATCGGAGTAGGGTCTCCCGATACTCCTGGAGCGGGCGTCTCCCGCATGTTCACCTTGACCCCAGCTTTGACGCCTCGCCTTTTGGCAGGGCGATCATAGGTACAGGGAACATCGAAGTCTGCACAGTTTTGGCATCGGCCTAGTGGGTCTTCACTCTTGCCGCACTTGATGCTGCGCCGATTGCAGAAGTCGCCTAGTAAGCGGTCAGTGCAAGCTGCTTAAACGCGTATATCTGGAGATCTGCCAAGCACAGATCGAAAGTGGAGCAGGGGCATTCTGAGAGAATGTGGGGAGACATACAGGCCTTGGAGACGCGCTGAAGCTTTCGCGGTTTTTGCGACATCCATTCATCGGCTCAGGCCAACGCGCTTAAAAGCTTGGTTCTAGTAGCGAAAATGCCTCCCGCGAGAAAATCCCGCCTCGGATAAGAGAGGGGTGGATTTCTGGGGTCTCCGTGGGGTTTGCAGATCGCGTTGTTGACGCGCAAAGGTAGGGCTGAAGGGTGGTGAAAGGTAAAACGGCAGCAGAGAGGAGTTTAACCGGTGGTCCTGAAAGTCATCTCCGATCGCTAATGTCTAACGATTTTTCTAGAAACGACTTGTCCCACGCAAGAGCGTGCTGGCGCCTCTGCTGGGCTGACTCAGCAAGGTGTCATAGACTGTCGCGCGCGACGAATCGGCGGCCTTCAACTTGATCGCGGAGAGTGTGGGGCTCCACTAGAGGAGCATCATTGATAAAGGATGGTACTAGTGATGGTAGAATAGCTCTGTTATGAGTTGGCATGTATATCGCTTGAATTGATATCTATCGTGATCACGTTCCCAATATTCCTTCTATCCCAGTTGTCCCTGCATGCGCCCGTCGAGATTATAATGCGTTCTATCCAGTGAAAAAAACATAAAGGCTCCACTATAGGCTTCAAGCTTGGATATGTTCCGGCTCTGCCTTTTCAGCAAAGACCAATTCACTCTGACCAGCTTCAGAGGACCCTTTAGAAACCCCGTGCTCGGCGAGAACATCCCCGTGGAGTTTATAGGCTTGCTCCATTTTCCAGGAGAATGGACTATGCGTTGCGAATAGTGCCTCAATCGATTCCAAGGAGCGGTTGCGTGTTTCCGGATAGACTAGCCAATTTAATTAGACAAGACATTTGAAACACTGGGATAAGTGATTCTCACAGAGGAAAACAATCGGGATCCAAAGTAGATTGAGGCCTGCAAATAGGAAGTAGATACGACTCTGTTCAAAGTTAACATCACAATATCTCCAAGGCAGAGATATCAGCCGGGCCATACCTTTAGGCTATCAAACATGATCGGATTCACAAGCGTCGTCATACCAACTCCAAGGGCCCAGCCAGTGATACCGAAACCGTTCCCTTGTGCTCTCAAGTCGCTGGGGAAGATCTCGGTTGGCAATAAGAAGGCGACGGTACCCCAGGTAGCCGCATACCTATAGAGAATTAGTCTTCATTACTGGTCCATGTGGCACGGTAGGCCCAATTTACCCTAGATTAAACAAGAAGAGCATTGTGACTGCTCCGGGCGCGTATTGAGCCGCTTTTTCAGGATGGTGGAGTGACCCTTCGTATACTGCCCCAGCCTGACAGAGAGTTAGCTACGTCGGGTCACCGTTAAGGAACGTTGGCCAACTTACAATCAGATTCACGGCGAATAGGACGCCAGCACCGCCCATCAAGCACACCCGGCGCCCTAAAAGATCGATGATCTGCGCACTAATAATGGTACCAATGATGCCAATGGTGTTAATCCCGCCTGCGAGACCGTTCTGCTTGATATCACTGTATCCAGCCTGCTTGAGGAGAACTGGAGAGTATGCAGTGACAGCCTGAAAATACCTCTCAATATGAATTTGTTCGTTTCAATGAATTGGTTTGCCCACTCACCGTGATACCAGTCCACGAAGCCATGATCTGAAGCCAGACACATAGCCATGCCCGACGGGCTAGATTCGTACCGGGTCGTCCCCCCTTTCCGAATAGGATCTTCGCAAACTGCACAGGAGAGCTAGGTCTACTCTCTCGCGCAGTGGTAATAATTTCAAGATATTCTCGATCGATCTCTTCTGGAGTGGCACGGCCCTCGCGGATCCGAACCAAGAGATCACGGGCTTCTTCCTTTCGTCCAACGGAAGCCAGATAACGCGGGCTGTCCGGCAGCATTTTGATAAACAGCACCAGTAGCAGTGCCGGAAAGCACTGGAACGCCAGTAAGAATCGCCATCGAACGTCTGAATACCCGTTATCGACAAAGGCAAGTCCAAACGAGATCCAGTAGGCGACCGAAATTCCTAGATCTGTGACCCGTTAGCCTCAGACGCTCACGGATATCCATCGACTGCCAGCATTGGCGACTTACAATTCGCAATAAAGACGTAGCCGAGAAATCCACCCCGGTGATTTGCCGAGGATGTTTCAGAGACCAGCACAGGAGTGATCCCAGTTAAAGCTGTTGGCCACGAGACTTAGATAAAATCCACTAACTCCCTTAGTTTGGCCCCCGGGGTCATGCTAAAGGGGGGGGGGGGCATGCTAATGCACACTAGTAAGGGTCACTCACCACCAGTGCCAATCCCCGTCACGACTCGCGCGCAGATCATAAAGTTCGAGTTCTGGGCAGCCGCCTGCAGTGCGCCGCCCACAAGTGCAAATAACGAACCAGCGAGGAGGCCATTGATGCGTCCAATCCTATCGGCAAGCCATCCGCCGCCAAAGCACCCGAAAATCGCGCCCAGATAATAGACGCTAACAATGCCACCCTGATGCGTGGTGTGGGTGATAGTCCCATCTGGCGTGCCGATGCCAACCTCTGTCACGTACGTTGGCGCGGCGTTGACGCCGCCCATGACACCCTGGTCATAGCCCTCGAAGAAGATCGAGATGAGGGAGAAGGCATGGATGGCGACATTCAGTTGACGCGGCGAAAGCCGTTTCCATAGAGACGTGTATCCCACCATCGTCCCACTTTGAATGCAGCTAGCCGCGACTACTACGCGACCGTGAATTTCTTATAAAGGGGTCCCACTCTAGATAGGGTGTGATGGGGACGGGGGGATGTTGATCAACCGGGGCTTTCTTCCAACCGGGATGGAGCTTCTGGAGAACCGCGGGGAGGAGGGACCACTTTCCCAGGCGCGTAACCATTTAGCACTGGCCTTGTGGGTGGACTGTCTCTCGCATTAGTGGCTCTCGTTGGCCTCGAGATATCCGTTTTGCCGGTCAGCCCTTTAGGCGGTCTGGTTCAAGCACGGACAGTGGGAAAGTGACGATGCAATCGGGAATGCTGGACTGCAGCTGCACTTTAGGTGGACATCTACTGTAATGTACAATAGGTTCCTTTTCCCCCGCTGATGGCTATGGAACTTCGTTGGAAAGTGCGCAGGTGTCGGTTGGGCCCAGGGTTTTAAATCATTTCATCGCCAGCTTCAACAGGGCACTCCGACATTTCTTTGTTTAAAAAGTCCCGTACTTCATTCGACCCCTCTTCGTATCGACCATCCCTGCCACTATGGGCTCAACATCCTCTGGAGATGTCCTTCCTAATCAGCCCTTGGACTTGACGGTCCTGGGCTTGAACAGTGGTACATCTATGGTGCGTTGATGTCCATTACGGACTTTGGTCTACAGATATATACTATGTCCAAATACTAACATCAACAGGACGGCATTGATTGCGCGCTCTGTCGGTTTCGTCAAGAGACACCAACCTCTGCCATGCATTTCGAGTTACTAAAGGTACTTTGTGATTCCGGTCGGCGAGTCAGTCGTGGTTAACCAAGAAACCATCTAGTATGGCGAAATCCCACTTGAACCAGTCATCAAGAAACGTGTAATGAACATGATTTTGCATAATAAAACCTCGCCTTCGGAACTATCAGAGGTGAATGTCATCTTGGGTGAAACATTTGCTTCCGCCGTGCATCAGTTCTGCAAAGGTTATCATGTCGAGATCAATTCAATCGATGTCCTCGGATCCCATGGCCAAACGATATGGCTACTTTCTATGCCGGAACCAGGCGAGACACGGAGCGCTTTGACAATGGCCGAGGGGTGCTTTCTCGCGTCTCGCACTGGTATCACAACGGTAACCGACTTTCGCGTGAGTGACCAAGCTGCAGGACGCCAGGGGGCCCCGCTCATTGCCTTTTTCGATGCTCTGCTGTTACATCATCCCACCAAGCTCCGTGCGTGTCAGAACATCGGTGGGATTGCCAACGTTTGCTTCATTCCACCAGACACACATGGCGGGGTCGATGAATGCTACGACTTTGACACGGGCCCAGGCAATGTTTTTATCGACGCCGTGGTGCGGCATTACACCAATGGAGAGCGTGAATATGACAAGGATGGTGAGATGGGTGCTCGGGGTACGGTGGACCAAGAGATTGTGGATGACTTTTTGAACCACCCATACTTTGCTTTGGAACCACCCAAGACCACGGGTCGGGAAGTTTTTCGAGATACACTCGCTCACGAACTTATCCGCAAGGCAGAAGCCAAGGGTCTGAAGCCGGACGACGTCGTTGCCACCATCACTCGTGTCACTGCGCAGGCTATCGTGGACCACTATCGTCGTTATGCCCCAAAGGATCTCGAGATAGATGAGATCTTTATGTGCGGTGGCGGAGCCTTCAATCCTAACATCTCAGCGTTCATTCAAGAGAACTATCCCAAAACAAAGATATTTATGCTGGATGCCGCTGGCATTCCTGGTGGTGCGAAGGAAGCGATCACGTTTGCTTGGCAGGGTATGGAAGCCGTAGTAGGTCGCTCCATCCCTGTTCCAACTCGCGTTGAGACTCGTCAGGAATATGTTCTGGGCAAAGTGGCACCTGGAAAGAACTATCGCAAAGTTCTACGTCAGGGTATGCTTTTTGGGGCCGGTCACGATCATCTTCCGCCCGTGAAGGACTTGGTCAACTATGTAAGTGGGGAAGCTTTCGACAACAAGTGGTAGGGGAACAGTGATGTCTAGTAGAGCGCTTGGGAGTCCGTCATCGGGAGCCTTGCTATGCATTTTCAGGGGCCAAGAGTTTCATATTTTTATTGTTTCGCTATGGGCAATTGGCTTCTTCCTACCCTTGAAGTAGCGATGAAATACAGAACAGACTGTATACGTCCTGCACTGGATGACAAAATCCAACAGCTGAAGAAGAAATAAAATAAAATAAAATACGGGTGATAGCAGAAGGGAAAAGGTGTGGATTAATCGAGCGAGCGAAGAAGGGCTCCCATCTCCCATTGGTCTTAGTTGATCTACCCAGTCCTGATCTGTACGACTTTAGGCTGTTTTAATTTCCTATTGAGCTATCTAACTGTAAGATTCCACTGGGCTACCGGGTGTATCGAAGCCCGAATCCGAATTTGAATAGTGGATCTTCAGTGTCAAAGGGCACATTCTCGCGGCTGTTGGCAACGGCCCGCATCGAGCTTGGAAGGTCAAAAGGGAGTTTACCCTCAGGCTGCGCCATACCGAAGACAACGTCAAGGAATGCATCGTCACTACTACCAAAGCTTGCAAAAACCGCATCCGCCTGGCGAATTATCTCTGGCATAACGGCTGGACGATCCAAGTACATGTCGACTATTGTAGCTGGGCACTTTCGAAAAATGTCGGCCTGGCGTTCCTTTTCCTCTGCAGAGTATTCGAGTGGTCCGGCATGGAATAGCTTCTCAAACCCGCCTGGTCGGTTCTCATAAGGGCATCGGAGCCGCAGAAGAGCTATATCTGCACCTTCAATTGATGGCGAGACTTTCAGACCCCGTGTCTGCACCACGACAGGATCGATGCCCTCGATATAGATACGTTTGTCTGATAACTTGCGTGGCAAGGGGAGAATGTTGGCCTTGTTCTCAAGCAAAGTGTAACATCTTCGTTGAGCTAGTTCGCCTTCCTGTTGCCATAGTGGTTGTCCAACAATCTGGCCTGCGGCGTCGATGTCAACGAAAGGGGTATCGAAGAGACCTAGAGTAAACTTGTCGCGCAAGATCCGCTTGACAGACTCGTCGATGCGACTTTCAGGGATCAAATTCTTTTCTACCAAAGCCAAAATGACCTCTGGGCAGCATTCACCTCCAAATTGATCGCAACCGGCTTCAAGGACTCTATATGCTTTTCCAAGGTTGGTAAGATGCTCACACCCCCACGCTCTAGCAGGCATTTCTTGTCCAAGAAGTGTAACGTCAGATAACAAGCCCCAGTCAGTACAAACAACGCCGTCAAACCCAAGCTCATGTCGGAGTAGGTCTGTTATCACCGATTTGTTAAATGCAAAACCAACTTCCTCCCATTCGGTACCAACTGGCATGCTGTAATAGGGCATGATTTCACGGACACCAGCTTGAATGGCTTTCTTAAAAGGCTCCAAATGGTAGTCGATTTGCTTGCCGGGATAGACTTGCTCACGTCCATATTCAAAGTGAGAATCCTCTCCGTTCATTTGTGGCCCTCCCCCGGGAAAGTGTTTGGCCATAGTTGAAACACTTTGAGATCTAACTTCGCCCGTATCTTTCGGTCCTTGGAAGCCCCGAATATAAGCCTGTACGATCTCTCCAGTGAGATGTGCGTCTTCGCCAAATGTTGCGTTCGTACGAATCCAGCGATATTCGGTGCATAGGTCAATTTGGGGATGGAGTGCCTGTCGAAGACCCATCGCGAGATACTCTTGTCGGGCGATATCGGCAAATCGTTCAACAAGGGATATATCCCGAGTTGCTGCAAACCCGAGAGGTTCAGGCCAGAGACTCATAGCTCCTGCTTTGAATCTAGTGCCGAGATGCTCGGAGAAATGATTTCTTGGATCTGTAGAGAGGGTAATGGGGATGCCCATGCGGGTCTCTCTAGCACATGCCTGGAGTGCATTGTTGAATTTTGCGGCATCTGATGGATCGACGATAGGGCCAACAAGGTTGAAATGGGATATGAATTGCTCAGTGATCATTTCCTTCGTATCGCGTGTATGGAGATACGGATTTGGACCAGCTAATGTGCCATCCGGGCCCATAGTGATCATAGTATGGAACAACTGTCCGGCCTTTTCGGCCAAAGACATGCGGCTTAATAAGTCCGAGACTCTTCGGTTGATTATTTGCAATGGGTCCTTATAGAGAGGAGAAGATTCGTTGTTAGAGGAGGCCATTGTAAAGTAATAAGATCTGCAATTATGGAGAAATGATTGCTACCACTGCGTGTTGTTAGAAGCTGCCAGGTGCCTTCGAGGTATTTCATCTTTTTACGAAAGGCGCAGACGGCCCTGAAACGGTCGGCACATCGGAGTTGCGTGTTCGCTGACTTCCATGGACGATCCACTTCTTTAGTGGCTCTGAACTAGAGCTACGGTATGTAAATGGATATTGCAAGCATTGGTCCATGATGAATTAATCCCGTGGAAGGATTAGCCTGTATTAACCAAGCTTTAATTTCTTCATAGATTTAAGCGACACATTGCGCAGCATTCAGCCTACTGTAATTCATATCCGGAGGTAATCCGGAGCAATCTGACGCTCTAAGCGAGCTGATACTCCAAGCTGACTGGCTCTATGCCCCCTGGAATGTATGAATTCCGGGGAAGTATAGGTACCCCGCATTATCATCAAATCCTTTTCTGACACTTGGTAAATGGATGTGAACTATGGAGTTTGAAGTGCAAAACGTCCATATAAGCTAGTCATTCCACAAGAAATTTGCCCGCTACGGAGGTGGTAGAATCATTCCTATCAAGTGCCATCAATTACATTGCAGCGATGAACGTGAAGCCCCGAATTGCAAGGCATGGGGTTGAAGAGACTGGACATGTTTGTTATCTCACACGCCTAAACCTAACTAAACATCTAATGATGGCGGATTATAGTCAATTTCCGTCTCCAACCGGCCATGGTATGGCACGCCCCCATCTTGTCAAACTGAACCTCATCATCCTTTCTCTTCTCATGTATTCGGGCTCTCAAGGATACGACGGGTCTTTAATGAACTGCTTGCAAACCTTAACCCAGTGGCAGATATTCATGAATTATCCAGTTGGAACGTGGCTGGGATTCATCAATGCCTTACCTACCATTGGTTCCTTGGTGTTTTTACCAGCCCAAGCATGGGTTTCCGATCGACTGGGTAGGCGGGTGAGTCTTTGGGTTGGGATCTTGTTCTCAATTATAGGGGCCGGTGTTCAAGCTAGCGCACACTCACCTGGCACTTTCATTGTCGGTCGACTCTTCATCGGTATCTCCACGGCATGGTTCGCCGCCTCGGCGGTCCTTATTACCGAGATCGCATACCCGTCCCATCGAGCGAAGTGTACCGCATTATACAACTGCCAGTTTTGTAGGGACCTACCCCTTCCCCCTTTCCCTCAACTCTGAATCAATTGAAAGAAAAAGTAAAGAAAAAAAAGCAGCTAATGACATATACTCGAAGATGTGGGAAGCGTCATAGCGGCCTGGGTCACCTATGGTGTACGAAATATGGAGGGATCCTGGGCATGGCGAATCCCTTCCCTTCTCCAAATAGCCATTCCTATTCTAGCTCTCTCGGGCACCATCTTCGCACCGGAATCTCCTCGATGGCTGGTGGCCAATGATCGATCAGATGAGGCTCAGGCAATCATTGCAAAATACCATGCTGGCGGACCCCTCGATGATCCACGGGTCCTATTCGAGATAAATGAGATAAAGCAATCGATTTTGACGGAGCTCGAGGCGATGAGAACAACCACATACGGTGATATGGTCCGAACAAAAGGTAATAGACGCCGTATGTTTATCACGATCACGCTTGGGGTATTCGGTCAATGGGTCGGCAAGTAAGTCACCCCTTATCACGCGGATATAGGAGATGAATATACTAAAGCCGGAGAATATCTATAGTGGAGTCGTTTCCTTTTATCTATCACTTATCCTGAGCACGGTTGGGATAACTTCTGTCACTCAGCAAACCCTTCTCAATGGATTCTTGAATGTCTGGAACCTCTTTATGTCCGTTGGGGCCGCTTTGATGGTCGATAACATCGGTCGACGAAAGCTCTTCTTCAGCTCCGGTATCATTATGCTGCTAAGCTACGTTATCATTACCGCTCTATCTGCTGAATTTGCAAATCATGGCACCAAAGCAGTGGGCACAGCTGTACGTATAAATTCGGAGTCGTGGTTTAACGTACACGTCCATGTTTCCTACGAACTGCTGACTCAGACTAGGTCATCCCATTTCTGTTCATATTCTTCGGGGGCTTCGATATCGGTTTCACCCCGCTCGTCATCGCATATACTGCCGAGATCTGGCCATTCTCATTCAGGGCCCGAGGCGTTGCGATTTGCCTATGGTCGACTTCAGCAGCAGGGCTCTTCAATATATTTGTCAATCCTATTGCTCTTGCGGCCATCCAGTGGAGATATTATGTGATTTTCATCGCCGTTCAGCTCCTATGGTTAATTGCCGTATACTTCCGGTATCCGGAAACCAGGGCATATACGCTGGAGGAGATGACAATCGTTTTCGATGGCGAAGGTGACAAGACTAAAGCTGTTAATAACGAGATTCAGGTCAAGGAAGCTAGCTTTGCGCACAATGAGAATATCTAATGAGTCAAGCTAACCTGATAAATGCGCACAAATTAATGGCGACAAGTCCCATGATCAGTTCTTCTCGTGCATACTGTCTTGATTTTAAGTACCTGTTGGGGCAACTATGAATTTCGCGAATTCAACACAAACTCTCATCTAACCAAAGTGGTGAAACAACCAAAAAGATAGCCCCTGCAGACTCTATTAATACGTCTCATCAAGTACTTCTACAAGGCCAAAATAGATTAGACCTCGGTTTCACAAGCGCAGGTATTGAGGGCCGCGGCTAGCCGCCAAGAAAGCTACTTAATCATCAAAGGCTGAACGTAACTAACCAATTGACCTTTTCTTCAAAGGCTCTCGAAATATCTCTTTCACGTTATCTTGTTTCGCATTTTCACATATTCTTAAATATGTCAATCTCGATCTCGACCTCTCTCCTCCTGGGTTCGCTACCCTTATTAGTTTTCTCGGAATGGCAATCCAGGTCACACACGGGTACGGCAATTTTCAAAATGCTCTCTTCGATTGCCTTACTTAGCAGCCCATTGTTTTTACCATCCACAGAGTGGTCAGAATATCGCCGTCTCATCACCATCGGTCTTAGCTTTTCCTTGCTAGGCGACTTTTTTCTTATTCCTTCGCACCGTGAATTCTATGCCTTGGACAGCAAAGCCTCAACTCGCGGTAAAGTAGAAGAGCAAGGAAAAGTATCCATATCTTTTCAGCTCGGTATCGTCGCCTTCGCAGTGGCTCATATAGCCTATACTGCGGCCTTCCTCCAGAACTCTCGTGAGATCTCCTCGACGGCTTTTGCTGCTACGTTCGTAGGGACTCTGGGCGCTGGTAAATGGTTGGGTGTTATTTATCCCCCGCCCCGTTCCTCACTCAAGACCAATGTACTGGACCTTCATATTGCTCCAGAGATGAGACCACTGGTGGCTGTTTATGCTGTGATTATTGCTACAATGTTTGCTGCGGCTACTTCAACGTCACCATCGGTGGTTCCATCCCACTGGTTACACTCGCGAGCTTTGGGAGCTGCTATGTTTGTTGTAAGCGACCTTTTCGTTGCCAAGAATGCTTTCGGGAGATCTTCTAGGTCCAAGAGCCGTGGAGTCCTCGAGATACTTATGGGCTATGGGCTTTATTTCTGGGCCCAAATGGTGATCGCCGGAACAGTGGAAGCTTAACGATACAAAGTTCTATAACGGATGAGAAATTATCATTCCAGGCATATGTCGAGATGCAAGGCTGGTGTTAATATTCTAGATAAACAAAGCTTTGTGTAGACGGTGCCTTCGGACACACAAACACACACGGAGATAGAGAAACAGAGAATGTGTACCATGAAAATCAAATGACAAAATTGTTGTTTAAGGAGCGACCGGTCGATAAATCTCTCTTGTGCGTCCGATATGTATGCGGGACGACGGGAACACGTACCATTACGTCCACAGTCGGAGACTAATCAGCGGGTGAGACGATTCATCGCTCACCAAACGCGATTTGAATATACTCAGGGAGTATGGCTTCAATCCGGGTCGTAATGGTCGAGATAGAATGCTCTTTGGCAAAACTCCTCTCTTTTAGTGTGCTGATATTTACTCGTAGCCTGACTGCCTGATAGCCAACTACCCACCCAAGTCGACCTCCCGTCTCACAGCGGAATTAGCCAGAGACTGCAAGATTCGAACCAAGCTCTCGGTAAACCCAGGCATCTCGTCGAGTGTTAGCGTACCCTGCCGGGTGAAAATGCTCGTAACGAGTGCACTGATAGATTCAGGCTGGTGAACGTACGCAACAGAGGCCACGCTCTGGAGTCGTATAGCTGGAACTCCATAGCCCGAGGCAAGGAATACCTGCTGCGCTTGCGCGTTATCATCCATTTCACCCAGCCAGGTGGTAGGACTAGAATCCAGAGTTTGTGTGGAGTTCAGCGCGTTATTACCAATATGCGTTCTCCTCGTTCGTGTTGTCACGATAACACCATAGCAGAATAAAGCCAGCCCGGCCGTATACACCGCGTAGGCGGAGAATCCATGTAAACATGGCGTCTTCGTATGATGTGCTGAATGTAATATCCGAGCGGCGTAGTCTAATGCGTATCGACTATTTCGGCTGAGCATCCAATCATGAAGAAGTGGTGCAGCATCTTGCGCTTCTTGGTCTCCATATCTACCTAGGAATTTCTGCAGCGCGGGGAGCGGGGTATATAAGGCGAGGGAGAGGAATGCGGAGATCATGGGGAGCTGTGGGTCCGTTTCTGTACTGTCGCTCTTCGTGACAGGGATGGCCTGTATAGTATTCGCGAGGTCATTCACCTCAGAAGAGACTGGAAGCCCCTCGGATGGCATGTCAAGTCCATTGGACATGAGATCGTGGTTTTGTCGACAGCTCCATACGTGAGACCAGAGACCGTACAAGATTAGTGATGTGGTGGTAGATGAGCGGCTTAGGTGTCGGGATAAAGCTTGCCGCACGCAGGAGATAAGAGATGCAGGACGAGAATCAGCTACGCAGGTGGATTGACCTGCTTCGTTCATGAATTCTTCCTTCCACTGGACCGCGCGCAGCGCGGTCCAGACACTCTCTGCGGAATATAGTGGGAGTTCCAACTCGGATACGGACATGAGCGGGTTTATAAGGTGCATCATGCTCATCTGCGCGTCATGGATGAAGAAAGCATGTACTAGCCGGAGGAGAGATTTCGTCAGTCGCAGGGTTCTAAAAGCAGTGGAGTTTGGATACTATTACATTTTTAATGCCTCTTGCTCTGCCCACCTATGCCACCTTTCTTCTACCATAACATCGGAGTCGCCTGCATGGGGGCGATAGGGGTGTAGTAGCCACGCCGAGAATACTGGCACTACCTAAATAGTTGGGTTTAGTTCAAAAAGCATGGTACGATGAGACATAATAGAGTCCTCAAAAGGAAAAGGAAAAAAGCAGGAGCCTTACAATAACGAGCGACATCTCCAATTTTTCCGAGAGGCGCATCTTGCGCCCCAATCCTGTCCAGAACCACGTTGACAACACAACCACTGCAAGTCACGTCGTATGTTAATGAAGTCAAGAGCGAATATATATCCAGAGCCATCTGGAAACTCACAATAGGACTGGAGGAGTTGGAGACCTTGCGAATGTACACGAGATGATTATATGAGGTCCTTGTCCCACTAATAGTACCCAATTAGTGGATCTGAAATATCATTACCTAAGGTGCGGCATGTATTTACCTGGGTGCCAATAGCTTCTTTACTATATAGGCGAGCGTAGCTCCAAACTGCTGTACCTCACGGACGGGCATGACACACGCACCAGCGGCCACAACAGCAGCGAGCAACTCCGTGCGCAGTTTATTACAATCCCATGTCAGGAAGTGAATCTATCCGGTGTGAAGTGAAGCATGGAAGCGGAGATAGGTCTCCACAGAAACTTGAAGCGCCTCTAGTGGGGGGGGGGGGGGTCAGACAGAATCTATAGGAGGTTCTCTTTGGGATACTTTCCAATTACCAACTCAAGGAGACGCTCGCGGGTCTGGGGTAGAAGAAACTATGGCCGTACACTGGGCGATTATTGAGGGAGGAATGGGAGCGACTGGGTGATTTTGGGGGCGAAGAGGAATTCTGAGAGTGCCCTGCCCTGGGAGTGGCCATCGGGCATGACGATCGAATTCCAGAATGAATTGTCAAATGCGGCTGTAGCTCGAATTCCCCCGGCCAAGACAGCGGGTGTCTCACTTGATCCACTGGTGCAGGACCCAGGACTCGCGAGACTGGCGTGCTGGGAGTCCATCATTGTTGGACTTCTAGCATCCGGCTTGTCCCACATATTGGGTAGTGCAGGCAATGCATCCCATGCGTTATGACCGTCATGCAAGGTATTAACGGCCGTTGACGGTAGAGGCTGTATAGCCTCTTCCATCAAGAAATTCTGCCAAGCAGAGGCGAACGGCCAGTTGCCTGAACTCGTGAACATCGAGTAATCGATAGCGGTGGGCAACACTGTAGCATCAGTACCTCCATGCACCGGAGGTTGCTCTGTTGCAGAAAGGCTCATTGTGGGAGGAGCGTCAAGCATAGGGGAGCCGTTACTTTGCTTTTGATAATTGTTTATCGGTGAGTTGGGCGGGCTCTGGTACTCATCAGCCAAGCCTTTTTTGACACAGCGATGGCATGGTACGACCTTTGAAATGGGTTGTCCTTGTATTCTTTAGAAGGAAAATGTCAACAATGTCAACATACACCGATGGTGGATACATAGTATAGTGGGAGAACTGCTAACGGGGCTGCTGGCAGTATGGTAGACTAGGCGGTCGTCTTATGTATTGTACAGTATCATCGATGTCTTTGTTTGATCTGATCGTTAACTTCGGCTCTCCTATTCACACTGGGGGATACGTTTGTCCTGTTGGTTGAGAGGATTAAGATAGAAGGCTTCATGTTAAAGAAGGATGTGCAGAAGATATGATTCAATATCTGACAGACAAACGTCTATATCGCTGTATTGAGGAGTATTGGAGCATATGTTAGGGGCTGCATATGATACTCACCATTGGGTCAATATATCGAGGTGATAAGGCTCTTCAACTTCGGAACTTGACAACAGTCTAAATCGACCACATGAACGATCGGTCAAAGGAAGATATTTGAGTGAGAAAAATACTTCTTAGTCTATGATGTGCTCTTAAACCTTCGCATGCGTCATTTTTCAGCCCTATGAAAGCGACCGGTGTTGTCATGCCGAGCAGATCCATATTTTGGTCGGCTTTATCTCGGTGCCGATAGTATGCCGAGTTTCGCCCCTCGATGCGGCACGGTTTCACCGAGCTATGTGCGAAAAGTAACGCAAGGTAGGTTTTAGCAAGCTTCGAAAGGATCAACGAGACCTATCAAATTTCATGATGCACGATATCAAACTTTGCGTGATAGGGATCTATCTCGGAGATCATTCGGCCATGCGCCATTATTTACTATCACATCAATATCTATGAAGCTTCTCAAGCTTATAAGAACAGATGTATCTCCTACCTATTTGCCTGTTCTTCAGATACATTCACTATTCATAATTCATCCAAGATCCTTGACTTTTCACCATGACTGCATCAACGATACCCGAGTCCCAAGAAGCTCCCGAGCCAGTGCAGCCATTGCACCTGACCAGGGTCGAGACACGAGAGACCCTTCGTAATGTGGGAATCTCGGAGCACCCCGCACCCTTGGACTACAACTACCCTGAAGTTGGACGGACGGAAAACCCATTGTTCCCCGAAGAATATGTCATCGAAACTAGCACTGGTCTTGTTCCACAAGCTACATTAGAACAAGTTCGATCTCGAGCCTCTACATCTACCGCGGCCACAAGACATAACGACATTCCTATTGACCCAGAAAAAGGGTCCGGCAAGGGTACTGAATATGTTACTTTTACTATCGGAGATCCTGAGCACCCCCACAACTGGTCCCGTGTTTATCGATGGTACATTACGCTGGTTGCATCAGCATTGGTCGTGTGCATTGCATATGGCTCATCAATCGTCACGGGAGGTCTGGGATTGATCCAGGAAAAGTACAATGTCTCATTGGAAGTTGCCATCTTGACTTGTTCAATCATGGTTTGCGGCTTCGCGGTCGGCCCATTGCTTTGGTCTCCCTTGTCTGAAATCATCGGTCGCAGGCCCGTTTACATTATTTCGCTGGCGCTTTATGTCATTTTTAACATCCCATGTGCGCTCTCACCTAATATTGGAGGACTCCTTGTGTGTCGGTTTCTGTGTGGTGTCTTCTCCAGTTCTGGGTTATCTCTGGCTGGAGGTACCATTGCCGACATTTGGAGCACCGAGGAGCGGGGCATGGCTATCGCCTATTTCGCCGCTGCTCCATACTGTGGACCTGTCGTCGGTCCCATCGTTACTGGTTGGATCAATGTTGGAAGTGGCAGATTGGATCTGTTCTTCTGGACAAACATGGCGTTCGCCGGCGCAATCATGATTATGGTCGGCTTGATCCCCGAGACTTATGCACCTGTCATTCTTAAGCGACGAGCAGCCAAGCTTCGAAAGGAAACCGGCAACCCAAACATCATCACGGAGCAAGAACAAAATAAGCTCACTCTGCGCGATATCGCTCGCACGAGTCTGATCCGCCCGATCACAATGATCATGACTGAGCCAGTTCTCGATCTAATGTGCATGTACATTGTCCTTATCTACGCCATGTTGTATGCATTTTTCTTCGCTTACCCAGTCATCTTCGGGAAGCTTTATGGCTACAATGACGGTCAGATCGGCTTGATGTTCATCCCTATCTTGATAGGCGCCGGGTTCTCACTGTTGACGACCCCCATCATCGAGAAGCAATTCAAGCGAATCTATGACACGCGAACACCCACCCCAGAAGATCGACTGATTGGAGCCCTGATTGGAGCTCCATTTATCCCAATTGCTTTCTTCCTGCTGGGTGCCACTTCTTTCAAGCATATCATCTGGGTTGGTCCCGCTTCCTCTGTTATTGCCTTCGGATACGGGATGGTTCTGTGCTATTACTCTGTGAACAACTACATCATCGACTCCTATCAGAAATATGCTGCTTCTGCTTTGGCGGCCAAAGTGTTCTTGCGATCCGGAGGTGGTGCTGCTTTCCCATTGTTTACTACCCAGATGTATGACCGCCTTGGGCTTCAGTGGGCCTCTTGGTTGCTTGCATTTATCGGAGTTGGCATGGTGTTTATTCCCTACGTCTTTTATATGTTTGGAGCAAAGCTTCGTGCAAAGTTGACGCGGAATTAAAAAGTGACGATTTTGGAAATAGACTTGCTGGTGGTTGGTGGGAGTGAATGAAAGATAGACTTAGGGGATATATTTAGAACAAGAGTGTGTTGAAGCACGATATATTACATACTTCATGGAGGGTCCTAACTAACTAACGAATATTATTGTCTTTAATTACTAAGAACATACTATTTGTAGTTAATCTAGGCGGCGGTAAAACTACGGACTCGGGAAATGATCGGCTCCCGCAGCATATAGCGTATGCTGTCATAGAACAGGAGCATTAGATACCGAGGGGCCTATGAATCTAACTATGATATTGGGTTCAGACGAAAGGCGAATGTGCGATGCAACCAATTAATACGATCATAGCCAAAGTGAACCACGTATTTGGTAGGGCCAGGTCTTGCTCGTCGATCATCAACCTCTGAGATGATCGATTGAACGAAAATTAATTCGTCATCATCTAGCTTATAGAGAGGATTTTGCAGTACAGTCTATTCCTGAAACATCGATGATGAAGTGCGATTGGCCCATTTTTTTCGATCTTAGTATATACCTTGTAGTATGAATGGTAATCACGCTGCCCAACCCAGAGGTGTTACATCTCGAAGCAAAATTTTGGGGATAGGGACATGAACATCACGGATGAACTCCTTAAATCCCTTCCTGAATCCGCCCAGAAGCTTCGAGATACACGCAACTCTACTAAGCGGCCCATAAACGACGAAGTCAACAGCGCGAATCTCGGGCATCTCTACACGCTCGATGAAATGCTAATCCTGCCAGTCTGCGCCTATCAACTCTTGCAACTTTGCTCGAGTCATGAAAGACCGGAACCACCTCCACTGCTCATCCGTTTGTACGTACAGACCTATATTGACATTGCCACCTTTATCGCCCGATCTTCCAAGGGTAAGATCCCCGAGCGGCCTATTGACAGTCACACCGAAGCTGGCGAGTGACGTTGCCCTAGGCGCGTCATAATTATCCCTATCCTTCAATGGTTCGGTTGACTTGGGTGGACTAACTATAGTGCGCGTAGGGCTTTGAACAGAATCACGGCCGAAAATGTCGATGGCGTCTGTAAGCTTAGACTCCCGGATCTTGGTAGGGAAGAAGCCGAGGAACGTGCTTGTAATGACAGTTCGTATCTTAAGGGTGCAGTGTATGCTAGCAAAGTGAGCTATGGTATAGAACTGCTACGCGGCTGGTACGGGGGCGAGAATATTTGAGTCTTTAGCTTAAGTAAATATCCGTAGATAAGTAGTAGAAGCAAGCTGAAAGGTTATATTCTCTATAACACTAAGCCGCTGGAAGTTAAGTATATCTAACTGGGCTGTCACCCCACTTATTTAGTTTATCCCGAATTTGAGCCTCCTGTATATCCTATTTGTGACTCGTTGTATATCTAATCGCGTTTAATAGTATCTTACACTAATAACCCCCTTTATGGAAGATAGCTAACTTAGTAGTCGCAGGAGGAAGGTATCCCTTGATACCTAAGACATAAACCCGGTTAGTCGTCTCTTCTTTAACTTTGATGTGCGTAATATCTGCCTTAATATCACTATTTAAATAGAGGTTTCCCTAAAGTTCATAGAGAAGTTGATATTTCACGGTATCTAGTGTGATAATGGCATTAAGGCCCTCGTGCTTCGTCACGACGTAGTTATCGCTACTAACTATCTCCACGATCGATAGGCTAAGTCTGAGAAAGGTTTCTGAGAAAGGTTTCTGGAGGATAGCGGAAAGTACCCGAGAAGTTTGCGCCTATCATGTATATAGAACATTCGATGAGATACCCGTAGATAAGGGCTCTAGCTAGGTAGTCTAGGTCGGACTCCTGCTAGTTATGTCACTAGGTAGCGGTGGCGATGACGGGGGATACATTAGCCACACGCCCGCAGATAATGATATCTGCGCCTTGGTCAAGACCGGCCGTGATGGCACGATAGCTAAGATAAGCATTTGCGTAGACCACCGGTATAGTTTCCGGGTGATCCAAGAAATCTAAGGAGTCCTTTGCTAGATGGATGTTCTCATTGTGACTATCTAGGTGGGCGAGAGCACCAGAGTTGATGTCGGCTAGGATACGATGAGCTTTGTGGATGATGTTGTCTCCGTTAACATAGGCGACGGTTAAGTTAAGTGCTTTTTCCTTGACTAATTTGTGTGTTTCCTCGGCTAGTCCTCTTGGGTTGATGGCACCTCCGTTGATCACGATCTTAATGCGTTTCTCCGTAGCAATCTCGAGAGTCTGTTGGAGCCTATCCTATGCTGTTAGAACCCAGCCGGGACCTGTGGAATTCTTAAATTCCACGGCATGGTTCGCTAGATTGAACTTTGCAAAGAGATGGTGGAATTAGCAACGGCTTCAATTGTAGATGAAAGGATCTATGTGATCGATTGAGACTTGAGTAAGGGTCTGTATCGTAGCCTTGCCACCAACATCTACAAAACGAAAGATGGCCGGTTTTACTATCTTTATGGAAATATCAATCCGGATTCTGCACTAGAAAGTCTCGATCTGCCTCTATATAGCGAAGAAAACGATATATACGAGGCCGTGGTAGAGAGAATTAGTAATGTTGTGGCTTAGTATGACTCTGGTAAGCTTGACGAGCTCCAGAGCGAGGAAGCTTGAACCTTAGGAACTATCGTATACACTGCTAATAAGTTTATTGCCACTGACTATAGTAAGGTATATGCTAATGTTGAATTATATGAAATTTTTAAGGATCAAAAATCGGCCTAGTCGCCGAGTTGGTGGCTAGAATACTCTTCTGTTCCTTCGTTACTAAAGAGACCTCTTGCGGGCCTTAAGGTTATTGGTTTAACGAGAGTTATCGTAGGTCCTACTATCACACGTTCTCTTACTGAAATGGGAGCTAGTGTTATGCGGGTGGTGTCGCCTAAAGTGGTAGATATGGCTGTCGTTCACTAGGACTTAAATTAGGGGAAGTGGAATACCTATCTTGATTTAAAGAACGAGGCCGACGCGGAGAAGCTACGTGAGCTAATCCGTAAGGCGGATATTATTATAGACGTATATCGCCTAGGAGTGATAGAAAGACTTAGGTTCGGGCGATAAGCTATCTTTAATCTAGTGAAGGATCGCCCCCGTAGAATCATATATATGTGGGAGAACTGTTACGGATGGTATAGGCTATGGGTCTATCGTAGTGGTTGGTAGTAGATCAGTGATACGGTATAGATAAATCATAATATGTGTTTACTCTTGGTTTTATCAAGTGTCTAAACCTATTTTAATAGTGTTACGGTGTCTCGCGAGTATATACGTAAGCGATAGGGCATGATAAAGCCGTGACCCCCGTTTTCCCTAACTCCGACTACTAGTACGTTAAAGAGTATTATCCTAGATAACTACGGCTAATAGTATTCACTAGTACGGGAGCCCTCGGGTCTATAGCTATTTTAGAGGCCCTTATTCGACGCTTAAAGAACGGTAGTAGTTATAGCGTGGACGTAAGATTCATTTCTTACTCATATCGACTTTCTTTCCTTAGAATCTGCTCATTAAGTTCTCAACTTCTAGATCTCGCTAAATTACTATTCCTAATAGCTTGTTCGCTCATGTGGTATATATGATGAAGATATTTGGAACGAAGTGTGGAGCAGACACGACTCGATCACTTTCCGACACTATCATACCATGCAACATCTGCTTCCTGCCATACTTCGAAGCTTATACCAACATAATCAAGAAACTTTGTTCAAGCCTGAGTTTTTTAAGCCTCGGGTGGCCAAAAACATGAACGGTACATTTATTGTAGTGAAACCAATCGCTCAATTCCCAGGCAATGATGTTGACCTCAAATACAACGTTGGTACTCGTGGCAACGGTATTGACCAACCTGTGTGGCCAAAAGATCTAACAGTAGAGGTCGTCACCGGGGTCAACTAAACCATTTTTAAAGGAAGAGTCGATGGCATGTCTGAGTATCAATCAATGTTGTTGTTAGCTCTCAATACAAATCATGTATTTCTTCGAGCATCTAAATGCTACGCTTATCAACTGTGGCGGTGCCCACGCTCATGTACCTTACTAGTCCTCTCACCCATTTTGGTTGTTAGTATTTGTCAGAAGTATCAGGACAAATCAGTATTGCTATGTGTATAAATGTAGATATAGAGAACGGCTCGCAACACTCAGCTTAAGTTGCTTTAGGTCGCGGAGTCGCTACCGCAGCTCGCTGTTTAGATTTCTAGGTTGCTTCATAGATTCTTACAGTTTTTACTGAATATTACACTGAGTCTACGTTCATGAATAGCAGAACTTTGTCCTTCTGTTGTGCAATTCGCATTTCTTGCCCCTTTTCCTCATTAAAGTAAAACTGTATTCTCCCATGGAAACTTGATTGCTCATTCCAATGGATAGACCTGTCAGCCTATTCAATCTCATCTTGCCTTTCCATTCTCTATGATGCTCTGGTGGTCCCTTCCTTCGCCAATGCCTGTCTGAAGCTAAGGCAGCCCGCACTCTCGCATCTCTGGTTCTTATACTTCTAGGAAGTATGTTGGCTCAATCTGTTGTCTGATCCCACAAGCTTTGGACAGTGACACCTTGAGCCCACTTCCCACCAGTCTCATCTTTCTGGACAGTAAAGCGGACCGTCTTCTTCTCTCCTGGAACCAAGGTGAAGGCATTATCGTCAAAGTACCCAACAACACCAGCAGGATAGTCTAGCCAAGTGTATAATGAAACGCCTCCTTTGGCTTCCACCGTGAATGTGTTGCTTGACGAATCATGAGAAAGTTCAAGCTTTGGATCCACAAGGGAGAGCTTGTTGGGGAAGACGGTAGTGACCTTTTCACGATGGACAAAGGTGGAAACAGACTCTGAGTTGGGCATGCGACCATGGGCAATCAACGAGAGGACGAGGACCGCGTCTGTCTTATCGGGGATAGACAGTTTTGCGGTGTTCGCCTCATAGACCTTCGTGGTGTTGAGCCCACCCACTGTAAACTGCCGGCTCTGCGGCGTACCAGCATTTCCTGGGATAGGCTTTCCTGTCAAATCCACCCAAGTGAAGTTCACAGTTCCACGTGCAGTTTCCCATAGATCAGATGTCACGTAGACGGACAAATCCCCACTTGTATAGTTCCAGAATGGAGAAACAATAATGGGCTGGTATATATCGCGGGCCACATAATGGAGAACCTTCCAACGACCATCATACTCAATACCCGCCCAAGTTGGTGCCTGCCAGATGTCCTCTAATTGCCAATAGAGAGAGCCAAGCTGGCGTTCAGGCATACCACTTCCTCGGCGGTAGAAAATGATCTCGGATTTGTACATGTCGGCTTGGAACAGCTGGGTAGCATGGCACCAGGCGCTGAATTGCTGAACCGAGTCCTTTTTGTGAGGGATGGGATAGTAGCGCTCGACGGCCATTGTCATCTCACCCATGCCTTTTGACGAGTTTCTGAGGTTGTGAGTGTCGGTAGTCCCAGGGGGATAATGATGGTTGCGAAGAACAACGGTGCTGCTGTTGAAATGGAGGTCTTCAGGATCGATCGCCTGTTGCCAGCTTTGTAGACTGGGCATGCTGTGGTAGCCGAATTCGTTGGCAAATCGTCCCACTGGATAACTGCCAAAATCAAATGCAACACTACTATCATAGTTGTAGTGATCAGTGTCTGAGTAGTAGTGGCCGGCTGTTGTATTGTCGTAGCGTTCGGCCATCGGGACCGGAGCAGACAGATTGACGTAGAGGAAGCCATTATTTGTGCTGCTAGGCATGTAAGGGATCGAGCGTGAGTTCTCATAGACAAGAGGCAAAATCAAGCTGATGAAGAGCTTTTCGTACTCCCCAACATAGAAAGCGTATTTATCAGGCGCAGCTCCCTTGACGATAGGCAGCTCCAAGCTTTCAAGTTCATTTCCACCAGCCCAAAGGGCCAACGATGGGTGGTGATTAAGTCGTCTCACGTTGTACGAGACTTCAGCAGCGACATTTTCGAGGAATTTGTCATCAGATGGGTAGAGAGCATCGCTGAATTGGAATTCGCTCCAAAGCAGGACTCCTTGCTCATCAGCAATATCGTAGATAAAATCAGGGAGATAGGCGCCTGAGGCCCATACACTGGAAAATAAAGGTTAGCATGGATGTATGTCATTGTCAAGAAAAGATAGATATTGTGGGCAAACTTACCGCAACATGTTCTGATTTCCCTCAACAACCGCATTGAATAGTCGTTGCATCTTTTCTTCAGTAACTCGCGGCCAAAACGCATCTGGGGGAATGAAATTCGATCCCTTGGCGTAGAATTCTTGCCCATTGACTTCGAAATGCCAATTTGCACCGGGCGCAATACCCTGAGCAAGCTGATCCTCCGTAATGTTGAGTCGGTTGAGGAATATAGTCCTGAACCCAGTACGCTTGGTAACATCTGCTAAGGAATGGTGCTTGCTATCCTGGACAGAGATCGTCGCATCGTACAGGTTCTGCTTGCCTAGACCAGTCGGCCACCACAAGTTTGGCGCATCAGCATCGATAGTGATGCTTCCCGAGATCGCGCCGCCAGAGACCGAAATACTTTCAAGTGGACCTGATTTTAGAATCTTCCCAGACTCGACATCTTTGATCTCAATGGTCATGGATGGCTTTTTCGGAAGCGATCCGAGGAAGTCAATACTCGCATTCACTACCCATGGCTGGGTTTGATCGGGAGCAACATGATTGATTTGCCCCTTGCGGAAAATATCCAGATCAGTGTTCAAAACGTAAATGCTTTCTTCATTCTCAAATTGTACGAGGTATGCATCTCTCCAAGGACCGGCAGGAGCAAACGCGGGGCCCCAGTCCCATCCAAAATCAGATTGCTCTTTGCGGATGTACCATCGGTTTGGGAATTCGTAGATCTGCTGCGGGCCATATGGCCATTCTAGCAAGTGTCAGAATAAACGATGATAGTTTACGAGGTCGTGAGACGCACATACTTTCAGAGCTTGGGTCACTGGCAATTGCATTCGCGATCTCCGGGGCACTACCGAAGTTCAAGTCCAGAGTCGGGTCTCCCTTGCAGCTTTTAAGAGCTCCAGAGATGTCGAACGTGTACTGGCGAAATTGGTTATCGGTCGTACCGACGATTTGTCCGCAGACCTCAATTGTTGTGAAGGTGTCCAAGCCATTGAAGACAAGCCAGGATGACTTCGCTTTCGTAGACCTAGAGTACGGTCAGTACAGTCCATAGATCAATTTCATGAGATGTCTTACAAATTATGTAGGGGATGACTGGTATATGTCCAATTGTTGTTGCAGATCCAGCGCTGGTTAAAGTCGTTCAGACCGTGGTACCTGTGAGACTGTGGGTTAGTTTGGACACTTGGCAGTCGAAGTATGAACTGACGGATCATCTACCACTAGTTAGTCACTGTGTCTTTGGCGCAAGGCAATAGAGGAACTTACCGATGGCCTTTCCAGCAAAAAGATCCAGATGCACCTGCGAGGGGAGTTTACCGGGAACCGAGATATTCAAGGCTTTGCTGCTGACCGTCCAGCCATCACCAGCCAGGTCGACAACCTTTTGAGCCAGCGCAGGATGAAGAGTCGCTGGCAGTGCAGCCAATGCCAGATGTTTGTGTAAATGCATTGCTTCGTCCTACACTGGAATTCTCCCTTGAGCTGAACACGGCCGGTATCTCGATCGGGGCTGGGGCAATCCACTCGATTTATGCTGCGAGATCCTCGGCCTCAGCGTCGGCAAAATACCAGCAATTCACCCAATGGAAAAAGGACGATCCAGGCAACCTAATGTAGAACGGATAATTCAGTCAACCTGGTGGAGAACGGAAATTTGGCGACCCGTGTTGTGGTAATCAATCGTGATGCCAGGCCTGCGGTCGTGACATATTGTTTGCCTGCACTTGAAGTACAAGCTCAACCTCGCCAAGGCATCGGTGGGACCTCCCGCGCGGGGAAGAAAGCAACGGTAGCAACGCTGAGTTGCGGAGAGGGGGAAGATCTCCACGGAGTCTTGAAATCGCGAGTCGCTGATTAGGATGCAGCAGCAGAAAAAAGAGCAACGATCTGCGTTGCTTGACTGCGGAGACTCGGAGAGAGGGGTAAAGGGTAGGGTGGTATACAAGGGAAGGAACAATTGTACTTGGATGGCAGAACAGACGCGGCAGACGCGGTGAGTCGGGTATTAGCATGAAGAAGAGTTATCAATCTTGAGTAACCAAGAGAAAATACCAGAAATCTAGACCAGTTTCCTCTTGTTGACAGGAATGGATCCCTTGATTCTAGCGCACTGGCCATCTCAAGCCCCGACGAGGCGTTTATGGACGGAACATATCGAGGCAATCAATGGACTCTATTTCTATTTCTAAATACCATGGATATATCCACGCTCAATATTCTCTCACGCTGCCAAGTTCTTGTACATGAGCTTGGTATCATCATGGGAAAAGCCAAGCTTTGTGGTCAGATATCCCTCGGCGCCACTGCCGTATGTGGAGCGGAAGGTCTGAAGGAAGGCCGCCATGGCTTGTGCCCGAACACCACTCAGCTCTAACATGCCGATCGCTTCGGGGCTCAGGTGGTCGGTGCCTTCATCAAGAGCCAAAGCCTGCGTCAGATTCTCTCGCACATTTTCCAATCCCGCCCGCGTGAGAATATAATCCTTGATGATTTCGTCTTCGGGCCGACCCATGAGGAGGAGAATAAGTGCCGCCAGAACGCCCGTGCGGTCTTTGCCGGCTATAAAGATTAAAAGCACTTTGATCAGTGATTGCCTAGAACATGCGACCGTGTGGCTACTCGGAGGTCATGAAACGAACGTACCGGAACAATGGAACACAAACGGATCATCAGGTTGATCCCTGATATGTTGAAACACTTGGGTGAACGCCGGTACAGATGCCTCGAGTATACCCGTGTACATCTTGACAAACCCACTGCTACCTTTGTCCTCCCCAGCAAAGTCGCGCAGATTCAGCGAGGCTGGCCTGGTGCCGTAGGGCATCCAGATCGTGTCAACTCCTTCAATATGTGGAGGCGGAGCCTTGGCTCTCTCGCCTTCATTACGTAGGTCGAAAATCGTTGTTATGCCTAGGTCGGCAGCGATCATCACCTTTCCTTCTTCTGTAATGTCCGACAAGTTCGCAGACCGGTAGACATAGCCAGGACGTATGTTGTTCTCATAGCTTAAGTCTCGAAAATTCGAGACTCCAGAGATAGTAATGAATGGAGGCAAAGAGATGATCTTAGAAACTGTCGACCCTGGGATTGGTGTTTTGATGTCGGTGTTTAGCACATCGTGGAGGTTATCGGACTTTATCATGGCAGCGTGATGTCAAGACAGTGCTGGGAATATGGTTGAATGGATGGAGATAGAAGGGAAATTGTCTTAAGAAATACCTACATTTAAAGTCCGATACCCTTCTAAAAACCTCTCGAATATTCAGGTTTACAACGGCTATGTCATAGTACCCATCGGGCCATTGTAAAGACAGGGAAAAGCTCCTGTGAAAGTGGAGTCCCATCACCGTTCAAAGCAAAAAAGGTACCAATTACAATGGTCAGGCACCGCGGGAAACGATGTCATCGCCTCGGTGTAAAGTGGGTCTGGATCTCTATCCTAGTCAGAGACTACATGTACCCTTATCGTAACGTCCTGCCCGGGGCTCAACCCGAGGCTATCTCTGGAGTCCGCTTAGGTAGCTCGCCATTGTTGACCAGGAGGTTCTTGTGGCAAAGGCAGAGGAGGCAGACAACGTGCAGGGTGTCATATGGGCCCATATTCTTTTCTCCCATGTTTGATCGCTCAAAAAGAGACGTAACTTCCTTCGTCAGTCCGCAGGCATACCACATAGTAAAACAATTAGTACTTCCAGTCACATTCATGACCTTGACAGGAAGGGCTAGTCGCTAGCTACTTGACCGCGTATGGAGAAATCCCTTCTTCCAGGTCAACTCCTGAGCCTCCTTCCCATCGATGGTAGGAACATCCAGTTGCTTCTCACTAGCGACCCGTTCAAACTTGTCGTTCAGTCCAAACTTATAGTACTAGAGGATGACATGATGGGTAGCCTCATAGTCCGGGTGATAACAGAGAGCGTGAAGAGTTTTAGGTTATCATGGCTAAAGACACCTCCTAGGTGCTGGCTGGCGCCCTCTATCTGCTCTAAGTCACCATGGGTGTATTTGATATGGGCGTTGGAAGGGGCCTTCTTATAGATTTGTGGTATTTTGAATAGGGCGCTTCATCGCTCACCCAAGAATTCTGATGAATTATCAATCAAAGCTGTGGCAGAGCCCTTATCAAGACCCTCGTAACTCTTCGCCTCAACGCCCGATCTGTGCTAAATTTCCATCCAGTCTCGCTCCATCAGCCGGTGGTAATAGTCGCCGTGGGTCAAACATTTTATGAGTGTGCTTTATACAATAATTCTTCATTATCTAGAGAGGTTTTACGTTGCCTGCTAAGATTGCTGGCTTTTTTCTTTTTCTTTTTTTCGTCTTTTTCCCTTTTTAGATTTTAATTCACTCTTTTGATTCATCTGTACTTTCATTATTTCAATCATCTTCTTCATGCTCTTTCTATTACGTCTCCTGTAATGCAACGAAAATACACACATATTTCCACTAGTACGTGATGAGTGTCACCTCAGAAAGTCACCAATCTAGGACGCCATACGCTCAGGGCGACGTTGCAGTTCCTTGACCATATCTACCCCGACTTGGGTGGCCTCATCCAGACTCTCCTCTCGTAAACCCAGCAGTTTGTTATGTGCCTTGGCCGAGCAATCACTCGCGTCATCCGGGTAAAATGCCCGCGCATAGAGCAGCTTAGCAAAGCCAGTCATGTTACCAGTTTTAACGAGCGCCAGACCATCTTCATATCGCTTCGTGGTAGCCTCATGAGTAACCGTCCAGTCAATATCACTAGTGCCTGTAACGCGCTTGACGCTTTCGAATATCTCATTTTGGTTGACAACAAAGCTCTTGACATACACAGCGTTGTTGAGCCACGCCGACACCGTAAGACTCTCGTCGTTTTCGTCGTCTGGGAGCTCCTTCAGGCTGAGCACCTTGGTGACAGCACGACCAACCTGCGACAAGGTCGATACCGAGTTCTTGGTGTTGCCGTCGTCATAGATGGTTAGGGATCGCTTGTCAAAGTCAAACCCGAAGCGCGCTTCACCGCCAGCAAGGCTATAGTCATACCAGAACCCACAGCAAACGGTGATCCACTGCATCCCTAGTCTGTTAATCTCGTCCCGGTAGGCTTGGGCCACGGGCCCCAGCATAATCTCCTCTCCGAGTTTGACCTGTTCAATGTCGCCAGCGTAACTATTCGGCATGATGTAAGGAACACCAGCCTTGGCAGCTGCCTGGACAAGCTTGCTGTGGGTATCGCGCGGTGCAGTGGGAGACAATGTGATGATAAAGAATTGTTGGCCTTTGAGGGCAGTCACAATGGTGGCCTCGTCATCATAGTCAATTGGGGCGACAAGGACGCCCTCAGGGAGTGTGTTGCTACTATCTTTGCGAGAAAGGGCCGTGACTTTGTGTTTTCCAGTTTTGAGTAGAGCAGCGACGAAGTGGGATCCAACGGTGCCTCCGGCCTGATGGTGTTTCTTAGTTGTTGTTCATGTCGTGCTGTTAGAAGGATATACTTACACCGACAATGGCGACTCGCTCAATAGCGTTCGTGAAGCCAGCGGGCTGGCTCTTGGCGTATTCGGGCATTTTGACTCTTCTTGGATTGGAATTGATTCCTGATTGAAGTGTATGGATTGTAATGGTCACTTAATTGGAAGTGGTGACTGAGTAGGTAGGTTGTTATGGCTATTTCTGCTTAGAGACTGAGAATTCTTGTCCAGTTATATATTTCCCTTCCAGCACCTATGAGGTTGAAACCTCTCTAGGATCATACTTCTAAGTCATTCTCGGCCTCTCAGCCTTGTCAAACGTGACGGAAACGGGAAATCCAGAATAGCTAACTCCGGGCCGGTCGAATATCGGGGTTAGTTTGGCTAGACTTTCGGACGGAGATACCGTGTTCCTGGTGATTATCCCGCACCTCTCGGCCGCAGCAGCCGCAGGCTTGAACTGTTGACCAACGAACATAACGCGGGGGGCCTGACTGGGTAACTCCGCAATAGCCGCACCGCACCGACCGCAGGAACAATAGAGCGGTGTTAAGACAACATAGCCTTGCAGTGTCAAGATAATGACGCTGAAATCCATTTCTCTTATGACTCATACTGGAGCTCATCCTAAAACTTGTGGAGCACCAATAAAATGGCTCTAATAATTATACTGTATAAACCATGACAGCTCGTCCAACCCAAGACACAAACCGCTATTTTACTACAGTTGCATATCGGGGCCGATAATCGATAAGTATGGCTCGATCAAAAACTGATCCCAGTCCATACCCCAGCCAATTTCCGGCAAAGTGTCATTAACCTCAGGTCCCGGCTGCTCCTGGGAGGTTTCGTATTCCACCTCGACAGATTCCAGCTGAGAAAGCTCTTTTCGCTTCTTTGCTATGCTAAGGCTGAGAAGATACCTCGCTATTGACAATGCCTGACGGGTCAGTCCTGTGTCCGCAGCCGTGACAAGATTTTCCAACCCCTTGAAGGCAGTAGGGATATGAGCGGAAGATGCTGATGTGTTGATGGCCAACAAGACACAGATATACTGGAAAACGCTGCCTATGACGTTCCATAATAAACGGCCATCTTTGGCTAGCTGCGCAGCCGCCTGCACTGCATTATTACCGCTATCGATCACGAGTTGGATTACCTCATCCGTTATCCCTTCCTTGAGCTGATAAATGCGTCGATAGAAACAAAATGCTAGGTCGGCCTTGGTCGCTACTAGAAAGGGATGGGTGAAATGGAGTTTACTCAATGCCTTGAGACGCTCAAATAGCTCCTCCCTCGGAGTTGAAGGCTGAAATTCCAGCTGGAACGGCGAGTTCGGCGACGGGATGATCTGGACTATTTGCACAAATTGGTCGGCAACGGACCCCGGTGTTGGGAGGATAGCCTGACAAGTTACGGCCCCAAATCTTACAGCCGAACGATCATACTCATATGAAAGCATCTGATGCCCGGCCCATGAGATCCAGAAAATCCGCCTCAGCCGATCTGCGTCATGCCCTAGGACACCAGCGCCGGCGACAGACGCCATCCTTTTGATATTCCCTTCCTCATGGAGTCCGACCATTTCGCAAAGGTGCATGAGAGTACACGACGCGATCCAGGCATTACTGGGGCGGGTCGTGGCACGTAGATAAAAGAGCCGCATACCCCACGCGATGATGTGGTCAATGCTCAGCATACGCGTAGAGACTGGATCCTCGAGAATAGCTTTCGCGTATTGCACCAGCTCAGTCTCCCGTGGGTATCTGATTGAAGACAGGAACGACCCGAAAGCAGCGACGCCGGCAGCTATAGCGCCGAAGGCCACTGTGGTACTACCGGACCCATGAAAATATTCACGGCACCGCTGAGCATAGATTCTCGGGTCCATGATGTCACCTATAGGGCCCATTGCAGAGAAGTATGCATTCGAGTAGAAGGCGAGGTCGTCCTTCGAGATGAGATCCCCGAGGAAGCCATAGTTGTTGGAAATCTCCTCGGGGCGGATCCCAAAATTGTAAGCAAACGATTTGATCCTGGGAGGGCTATCAGAGCCGAGAGCCACCCCCAGGATGTGCGGGAAGGCCATGGCTGCCGATGCTCCGGTGTATCTGGACTTTTGTTCATCGAAGATGCCAGTGCCCACGGTAGGACTCTTTGTCAACGGACTGTCGGCCCCATGGGGAGTCTTCGTTGCACGAGGTTGGCTGTCCGGGCAACACGATTGGGCAATGAACTCATTTGTCATATTTCTCTTGCTGTTGGGGACGACGCGTTTGGCTGAAGTTGGAGCATGCCCGCTTTCACCAGGCACCGGTGCAGTGCTGATGGCGTCGTGGTCGCCGTACCTGCAGGTATATTCGTAGGTGGTGCATGTGCCACAGGGATACTCCGAGTCACATTTTCGTTTACGCTGGTGGCAAGGTATGCAGGCCTTCTTTGTACGCTTGCGCTTTCTGATTGTCGTCGACATGACTCTGTATTTACCCTGTCATCATCATCTCACAGCACCGTCTAGGCTCGGGTGTGGCTGGGTTCAAAAGGCCACTAAACTCAAAAAGGGAATACATTTAGGACCCACCCGGATTACCCGATTTGTGTACTTCGTTCGAGAACTTTGGTATTGTTATTTGTCTGATTCTGTCATTTTATATAGGGATATTCATAAGCCCGATTCCATCCAATCCGTTTCTAGATGTTCAATAAATTGAATAATTTGAGGAGGGTAATTCGTATCAGCTCTACCAATTACTCTCGCCTTTCAACGAAGAAAAACATACGTTCTCCGAGAAAGCAGTAAATCTATTAGAGGGTATACTCCCTAGGGGAATTACTGTGTTATAAGTAAATAAAGAGATTATTGACTAGGTGGGGAGTGAATTGTATAGCTATATCTCCTTATGGGCCATGGGAAGGTTGTAAGCCGACGATAACCCATAGAACGCTTTTGTGAAAACCTTCCCCGGCATTGATATACCCCAATCACCTTAATTTGGTCCGTAACAAGTGCCGAGCGCTCCGGAATCAAATTTCCTTATTTTAAATACGCAAAGGATTAATCTCTTTTGGCTGTAGAAAAGGCTGCAGAGTATCCTTGTCAGGATTCTTAAGCTTCCCAGACATCCTGCCACAAAGCATCTGTTGACCATATAGGAGAACTGGTCCGGGAGAAAGCTAACAGCCCCAACAATCAGAAATAGAAGACCACCTTGGAAAGAATAAAGCCGCTTACTGTAGTAAACTTATGGTCTAGCAATCTGGCGGCACAAACTTGAGTTCGTCTACTTTGAATAATACGTCTGTGAGAAAGAAAGCTAGTCTACAGAGGGAAGAGGGTCAATTTTGCAAGCGATCAGCATCATCTTTTTTTCATTTTCACTCAAGGTAGAATAGATCATGAATTGCTATCGGCAGTGAATGAGATCATGTCTTCTATCCTTGAATGAGGATCTTTTTTGAATCGAGGCCAAGCTTACTCGTTGGTCTTTGGCCGCTTACCAGACTTGGAGGACTGCAAGTTCGTCTTCGCTTTGCGATTGCGTGTATCCTTGCTTTGAACTCACTGCGACTTTTTGAATTATGGAAGGCGCTGGGGCTGCGGAATGGGGGCATCCGACGTAGTGCGTGCCAGCTGTGAGACTCGATTAGACACTGCCTGGCCGTTAACAACCTGTATTCCGAGCGTATTCTTGTTAAGAAGTTCCACGAAATACGGGTGGTCATCAGCCACACCGAGTAGGTCACGGATATGATCCTCGCAGATCTCCGAGAGTTTGTTTTCCCGAGACCGAGTGTCATCATCATCTCCGGAATTCCCCTTGACGGCCATACGTCGATCGAGCTCTTCGCTAAGATAGTCCGGGTATTGGGCGGCGAGTTTGGGGATCATCTTGGAGATGTTGTTTCCGGCGATGTAGCGATTGATCGTATGTTCCTGAAATAGGCGATATGCTCTTTGCGGGAGAGTCTGCCTGATTCGGTGAATCCGGCCAATGGCATGAGTCTCCAAATTGAGATTCGGTGCCTGTTCAATCAGGATCACGATGTGGCAGCACCTATGGAGATCCAAACCTGTACCTCCGCAATTGTAGGTCGTGTTCAGGACCTGGCAGTCTGAATCTGGGTTTGTGAATTCGCCGACTGCTGCCGCTCGCTCCTCTGGGGAGCTTGCGGTGGTTATAAGCACTGATCGGATCCCAATGCGGCGGAGCACCATCTCCACTAACCAGCAGACAAGAGGCCAGTGTGATAGTAGCAAAAATCGAGGCTTCGGAGCTTCTGACTCACTGGGCTCCCTGAATGCACCTTCCATGTCCATAATTCGCAGTAACTGTACGAGGCGTGGACTCTGCGCAATGAGGTATTTCACCTGTTGGAATGCATCTAGAGGTCGCGGATTCGAAAAGCTAGGGCATGTGACACCCCAGAACAACGTAAATCCATGATTTGGTGCACTGATAAACCGCGTAATTGCGTCGCTGAGAGTATTATGGCTGCCGACAATGCGGAGAAAGTCATCTAGGAGGGGGTTGAACCCTAACAGGCAGAGTCGTTGGAAGATTTCGAAATACTCGCGGTCAACCATGACCTCTCCTGTTTGAATAACTTCCCTGTCAGATTCACTCTCGGAACTGCTGTCAGATTCACTGTTCGGACTACTATCAGATTTGCCGTCAGAACCGGTATCGGAATCCTCGTCGCTGTTACTTTCGCTTGTGGTCTCGATGGAAATAGGGCTCTCGGGCTCACCCTCCTTTTCGCCACGGGGAGAATGATTTTCTAGCAACCCCACCAGGGCTCTGTAATGCTTGTCATGGTAGTCCTGTTCAGAGGGAGAGTACCGGAGTTCGTTCGTCATAACCCTGATGGGTGGAATCTGGGCGCCCATAACAATATCCTGGCCATTAACCCCATCAATCCTATCCCCCAAAGATCGTATCATGGTAGATGCTCGGAGAAGGAACGGGAAAATAGCTTGACCCAGAGCTGGGCTGATTTGTCCACCCGGGGCCAACCGAGCTAGCATAGCAGGATTCAGCAATGCATAAGGGATAGAGTCAAAATCTTCAGGAAGGACCTTAACCTTTGACCATGCCGTATACAGGTCACGGAGGTTGTCACATGTAACACCTTCAGGGCGTGGAAGGGAAGGTACGTCATCTTCCTTATCCTCCTTGAGTCCTCCAGCCAGAAGGCTGAGATAACCAAAGAAATCCTCAATTGTGTTCCACATAGGCGTTGTTGTCAGACCAATCAAGGAGTTTCGCGCAAGCTGCGCAATGCTTTGGTGCTGTGGCGTCCGAATGCATTTCACGTTTTGACACTCGTCGAGGATGACATGTTCCCAGTGGTACCTGTGGCATGCACTATCGGAATCCTTCCAAATGTTCAACCTTCCACGTAGATCTCCGGGTATCGGCAATCCATTGTTGTGAGCTTCCTGGTTGTCATTGTTGGCCAGCCCAGCTAGCAGCTGAGCTATTTCTAGCTCACGTGCTGCTTGGGAAATGGTAGAGGTACGATAAGGCTCATTCTCAGAACGTTGGTTTCCAGCCATGTTATCATTGTCTAAGACCTCTTCCATCTCCCCGGGATCGTCGCTGCGAGTTTTCTTCGAGGACTATACAGAAAATCGTAATTAGTAATTCGCCGCCAAGTGAGGGGAATAAGACGCTGAATTATTTCAACCGTTCATAAAACATCAAAAAGGCAATGCGCCGGAGAGATATATGTAATTTAACGCGTGGGGCTCATGAAGAATATACCAGTCGGGTTGTCCGGAGATGCATTGTGTCATAGGTCGTGACTACCAGGGTGTATGCCGTTCGAGGATCCGAAGGATCAAGGTCATCCAGCTTCTTCAGAAGATCCGCTGTCGATTTGACTGTTCTTTGTTTTCGATTGGAATCCTGAAGGTGCTCAGGATCGCCCATAAATATCAAAACATTGAATTTGGATCCGAAGTACCGCTCGATCTGATCCACCCACTGTGGGATGTCGCTAGAGGGCACAACGATCAAGCTGGCGCGGAAGGTAGGGCTCCAGTCATATTCCATCTTCCTTTGAATCAAAAAGTAGATCACGCACAAGGAAGTCAGAGTCTTCCCCATGCCGCACGCATCGGATAAGATACCTCCTTGCAAGGGGCTCCCCAATTGTCCCATCAACCAGGCGATCGCAGAAGGTTGCCATGGCCGAAGAATCGTGGTCCTTCCAGTACCAGGCCGAATATTCTCTGGGCTCAAAATAGGAACCCCGTGAATCACCGGAATCCCAGCGTAGCCGCAGGCGTCCTCAAGAGGGGATGATGGGGCAGAGACTTTTTCTAGTCTCATCTTGTGAGCACTTTCAACCCACTCGGAGGTGGGCCACTGCCCTCGAACGCCCTGTTTCATCCTGAATCACTAGATGGCCGGTAATCTAGATTAGTGATAGCTCTCTCACGTTTTATCCGTAGCCAAGGAATGCCAAGTTGAGAAAGGAAGGCTTACGGAATCACGGTGCTATGGGGATGGTACGATATGGGTGGGAATGGTTGGCTTGGAGACCTGAGGTTGAAATCATCAAGGTTAGCCTTAGGTCTGCCCAGGTATGGGGGAATCCAAAGCCTGGCCAGATGACGAAAGATGAGGGCCACGAAGACTTACCCTATCAGGCGAGGGAACGATAGGGTCAGATCAAGGCGCGCCTTACGTGAGTTTGGAACCAACTGGGGATGTCTGAAGCGATAGAAAAAAGGTTGGATAAGGGAAAAGAGAGGTTGGAGAAAGGTAAGAAATCAAGAGGAGAAGAAACAGGGAAACATCGTGGGAGCAGTATTTGTGTATGTCCTCAGAGATTGGGCTCAACAAAAGCCTGAAGATGAAATACACCGCCACAATCGTATGATTACACTACAAGAGATCATAGAATCAGCTCAGCGAGCGGTGCTGTATCGAAATCTCTCTTTCGGGTTAAGTCCTTAGGTGGGCTAGGACACATCACCGCAACGCAATTACATATAGCATAGACATCAAAATAGACCAGCAGCCGATCAGTTTGCACATTTATTAGTTGTGAATACACCTTTTATAATCACAGGGCTGAGATCGTCAGTCTTCCACACAGAAGTTCCTTCCTCCTCTTGTTCGTATTGTTGGCTGGAGTCTCCACTTATGGAATTTGTGCAGTTCTCTGTTCATCCGACCAATTCCCTCTTCTCAGTTATATCTATCTGAGAGAGCTAACCATGCAGGTGATGTATTGGTAGTTTCCCAGTCACTATACCCATCTTCTCTTTCCTCAGACAACAAAAGGCAGACTCCCACTAACCCTGGCCCCACCGATACCGACGGATCGACTTCGGACGACGATCACGATGCCGACCACAAGGATGAGTCGGACGGAGAAGAAGTTTATGCTATGGAGGTCGTTCATTCAGAGGTGAAAGTACGTTTGGATCTTGCGCGCCAACCTATCACCATCATCTACGATACGGGCTGTGGAATGGCCCTGGTCGACCACAATATTGTCGCGCAGGAAATTCGCGACGTTGAAATCAAAAAATTACCCAAAGGAATCGCCCCACGATGACATGCAGCATCACAATACCTCATCATTAACTGCTACGTGGATGTCTTCACGAACGGCAAACCAGTGACAGCGATTTCCAGCGCTAGATGCACGTTGTGGACAAACTCGCACCCGGACTCCTTCTTGATATGGGATATATAAAATGGACTACGTCTCCTCCACCTCCATAAAGTACCGTAGCTCGATCCACGACAGCTAGAAATGCCCGTGCCTCGAGCGACTCACCTGGCACAGAAGAACACCCTGGTACCATGATAGGCTCAGGACATCACCCCGTGTCAATATACACGCAAAAGGGGAAAGAATAAACGTTACAGATTGCCCAAGAAATTGCTCCGATTCCATTGCCAACACATGTTCCGGATCCAACGGAGGTCATCATTCTCCGACGGCGTTGTGATTCATCTCCGTCGGAGGAGAACTAGCACCAAAACAGATATAGAAGGGTGGTGGTCGATTATAAATGTGGAAGTTATCATAAACATCAACTTGTCTAAAATACTTCCAAGATAATTTCAGTTCACTCTTGAAATATGGCCCTCGTTACCCTTCTTGCGTCGCCATTGACTATCGCCATCGCCTTCCCCGTGTGGCTTGCCTTTTACTACATCATCCCATATTTCACATCGTATCGGTATCTCTCTTATGTCCCAGGACCGTTCATAGCCAAAATTAGCAACATCTGGGTTGGTCTCAGCGCTCGAAGAGGCCGAAAGTTCGCTGCTGTAGATTCAGCTCATCGCAAGTATGGCAAGGTCACCCGCATAGGATTCAACCATGTATCTATTGCAGATGAACGGGCTTTGAATGTTGTGTATGGCCATGGAAATGGGTTTCTGAAGGAGTAAGATGCTTACAAGACAACGTATACGGCAGATGATGCTGATGAAAGCATTTAGCCATTACTATGAAGCATTCATAGCCAAGACTCCTGGGATGTTCAACGTGCGCGACCGAGCAGAGCATACACGAAAGCGCAAGATTATATCGCATGCCTTTTCACCACGATCGGTCGCCGAATTTGAACCGCATATGGCAGCAAACTTGGAACGTTGGGTGAAACAACTCGATCGGATCGCCGCCTCTCGGTCATCTGACGGCTTCGGTCAATATAATGCCATGCCGTGGTTCAGTTACCTTGCATTTGACATAATCGGCGATTTGGCATTCGGATCCCCTTTCGGCATGGTTGATAAGGGAAAGGACGAGACGGAGTCACAGCTTGTCGTTGGGGGACCTATTACGTATACCCCAGCGGTGGACGTGCTCAACCGTCGAGGCGAAATCTCGTCAACATTAGGTCTTTTACCAAACTTACGTCCCGTTGCACGATATTTACCCGACCCATTCTTCACGAAGGGTGTCGCGGCCGTCGAGAATCTGACCGGCATTGCGGTCGCAGCGGTAGCATCCCGCTTAGACGCCGCCAAAAATGGCGTCGCAGACAACCGCAACGATATCCTGTCCCGTTTATTGCAAGCTAAAGATGCTAATGGCCAACCGATGGGGCGAACTGAACTCACAGCAGAGGCTCTCACTCAACTTATCGCCGGATCTGACACGATTTCCAACACAGCCTGTGCAGTCTTCTACTGGATTCTTCATGGAGAAAGGAGCGCACCGAATTCTATTCTTCCAAGGTTACGCCAAGAACTGGATGCCTCAATTGGGTCTGACGAAAGAATTGCCAGCTACTCTCAAGTCAAGGACTTGCCGTTCCTACGGCGCTGCATAGACGAGGGCATGCGGCTCCATTCTACTTCTGCAATTGGGCTTCCACGAATCGTTGCCGATGGCCCTGGTGTAGAGTTTGATGGTTTCTATTTCCCACCGGGCACTGTTTTATCTGTGCCCTCCTATACAATCCACCATATGTCAGAGATATGGGGAGATGACGTGGAAGAGTTCAAGCCCGATCGTTGGCTGAACTTGACTCCGAGACAGAAGCTTTGCTTCAATCCATTTTCATACGGACCGCGTGCCTGTGTTGGACAGAACGTTGCGATCATGGAGTTGCAATTGATTATCGGAACTTTGTTCCATCGGTATGATTTTACACTCTATCAACAGGCGCTAGAATCGCATGAAGGGTTCTCGAAGAAGCCGAAAGAATGTTACGCGGGCATTAAGTTGAGAAGCTAGGACGAAGGGCTCTACTGATATTGGAGAGCTAGATTTGGAATGACCTATTCAAGGATACTAATGAAATTTCACATCACGTTTGCAAAGAACATCTCTTCTAGAGACGGAAATTCTTGTTCCCAGTAGGCATCTTCCCAAGGTCTCGTTGTAGTTTCTTGAGGCAGAAGATACTGACCAATATTTTGTATCTCATTTGAAGTAAGTCGGCCTTGGTCAGGCTCCCCTGAAAGATGCTGTCGTACCGTATTGAGTGCCCAGCGACTGACTGGTTCGGCCTTGCCTCCACGCTGGATATGTGAGATGGCTCGGTCCATGAGCACAATTACCTCGCCGATATTGCCCACACATGCGACAAACTCGGCTAAAGTGACCATTGCAAATGAGCATAGCAAATTTTCATAACTCGGATGAACGTAGCTTGTCAACTCTGATAGTGATAAAAAGTATTCCAAAATCTTACGACTCTGGGAGATCGCGAATATTATGAATGGCGTATCGTTTTTGTCGTCTTCGCATGGCGACTCGCTCAGGTGCTGTAGTGTCTGACGCGCCAGTATAAGATACGCGCACGAGTAGGCAAATCGCAAGGGCTCAGAAGAGTCAAGGTCTATAGCAAAGATTTATGAACGATGAATCAACCTGCACATTATCAATTGACTCACTATATATCCCTTCTTGTGACTTGCGTAAATTATCTATCTCGGGCCAAGTCGGTTCCACAGTTTGTATGGAATTCGAGCTAGTGAGGCTCCAAAGCACTCTGTATAATTGAATGCCAGCGAGAACAAGCCCATCTCGTGCATTGTAGGACGGGAATTCAAGGACTTTGGCACATTGCTCAAGGTACTGTTCGGCAATGACAGGTGGGCGACCTGAGCCAACGGAAAATCTGCAATATCTGTCAGACTGAAATCTCTGGAACAGAGCGAGATCGGGAATAGCCTTAACGTACTGCAGTTGGCAGAGGCAAATCAAATTCCACGTACGAATTACCTCACGGGCTCTTTGCTTTTCCACGCCTTCGGTTGTAATCAGCAAATCATCAAATGGGGTGGTTAGCATAAGTTGCATTGCTGCTGTCCCACTCAGGAGCCAGGAATTGCCATGATCAGAGTCTCGCATGGGTCGAAGATCCCACATTGAAAATATCAGCATTGATTGGACAGTATCGAGGGAACTGTGAGAGACAAGATGCGATCGGCCTAGGAGCCCATGCACGTGGCGATACAGTGCGTAATGTGTTGGAGAGCCGTGCAAGGTAGAGTTGACGTGAAGGCCAGCAAGAACACAGGCACCGAATAGTAGCGGAGACCGCGCTCGTAAGTTTTCAGGGTCTGTAGTCATAAACAGCCATCGGTTGGACATGTTCGAAAATCTAGACATAGGATATTTAGCTAAATCCTTGATCGCGCTTGGAAGTGGGGATCGTCACCCTTTGAGGAGCTCGCGAGCCAGGTCGTCTGAAATTATCCCATTGATGATGATATCTTCAGAGACATCATAGATATCATACGACTGCTCTTGTATAGTAATGTTGTCTCTCAGTTCCTGAATAAGACTCATGGGAGCATCACGAGCGGTTCGTTCGGTTATCGACGAAGTTGGTGGACTTGGGGGCAATTCAGGACATCGTGTGTTGGTCGCGGCTTGTATCTGGCAAATAGAGGCCTCGAGTGCCAAGATTCTAGTTCACGAATGCCAGTTAGAAACTTTTACCAGATAATGTGAGAGTTGATTTTTATTTGAGAGGGCAGACCTGACATGACAGTCGCATTTCCTGCTGCTTCGGTCTTTTTTGACATCAACCGTGATATTTTGATTATTCATCGCCACGAGAAAGGAACATTCAAGTCTACCACAATCAGTGCATACGATCGAGATAGCGACACTAGAGAACATTTACGTACCGGAGAATATCGCAACGGTGGCACCGGTCACTACCGGGATGCAGCTCACATCGTGTTTTGAGCCGTCGGCAAGCCTCGCATGATCGTGCTTTGCTAGCTTTGTGCGATTTTGCTACGGAATTCTCGCCCTTTCTTCGTTTTGTAACATGGCTTACTGGTCGAGGCATGGAGAAGAGGAAAGGTTACGACTGGGAGATCGTTGCATCTGACTCGGCGCACGGAGATGCGGAGAAGGGCCTCTTTAACCCTTGTCTCACCGACCATCCCCCACTTTCGAGGACACCCACTCTATGCACATTTGAACCAATTGTACAGAGCCTATATACAGAATTACCCCAATATAGTGACGATAGATATGTGGACGATTGGGGCCTGGTATAGATGCCTACTTCTGCTCGTTTTCTACATGCTATATGTACTTGAACATCTTCCCGCCGTATCCCTTGCTTCTCCTTGATGCATAAACACTTCATTTAAAAACCACTATCTTGGTTTTAACATTATCTCTTTGTATCCGGCCTTTTAAACATGGAATATGCCAGTATGAGAGAGATCGCCATGGAAGCTTGCACTTACTATACCTTTCAAAGTATAGAGGGCATAACTGCCCGTACCTCGTTTATAGTTAACAGAAACCCCCACTTTTGAAAGTTTCTGCCTCATTGAATGATAAGGCTAATTAGCGTATCCAAATTGGATGGCGATGTAACGAATGAACATGAAGGTGACTGATGTAGGATTAATGATTAACAGAGTAGCGATCATTTCAACTCAAAGACGGGGATTGATTATGTGGACCAATAGTGGTCGATTCAATTCATGCCCTACACAATATTCAATGCCCATTACCTACTAAAAATGCATTTGGCTCTGTTGGCCGTTCGGATGCGATGCCAATACAAGAATCTCCCTCTTCGTGACCATGTACTGGTACCCTTAAACACTTCATTAGTTGATTGTCATGAAAGTAAGGGGTATTGATTATTCAATACTTGACCCATACGTAGCTGGTATATGAGGCTTGGATAAGAAGGTGCCTTGATAGATCAAGAAATTTGGGAAGAGCAAGGATAGCTACAAAGCCGATGTGAAGACTGATTAATGTGCTTTAGATAAGAGCCCAGCCCTATATTCCAGGGAGCGTTCTCTATGTTCATCCAGGCTCCTTGATGACTAGAGCGAAATCATTTTTCCGGTGAACCTCCAATATTCAAGATTGGGCAATTGTACCAGAGATGGAAAAGGTGAATTCGAAGTTCCGAAATTTATCCTTCGGGTTTCTGCAAATAAGGAGGTTCACCAGGAGTTGCGTTGGAAGAAACGATATTTTGTGTCCATTCTTCACTATATCATGAGGGAATATCTGACAGAAAAAAACAATTAAATACGTAAACGAAAGCAACTAGGCCACAACAACACTAGTATCACTGTACACCTATACATTATTGACTCCCTCTCCCACTAATGACGGGTCACATAAGGAATTAGACAACAAGATGAACAACAGAAAGGAAAGGGGAAAAAATGAACAAAAGAAATCCAAGCATGTACACTCTCGAACCAATATCTTCATGTCTTACAAGTGGGAGCATTCGAGACTGTCTGTGTGATGGTGGTCGAGGTTGTAGAAATAGTCTTGATGATCTTCGTCGATGTGAAGGTGATCTGGGAAGTAATTGTGACCGAAGGAGTTCTCGTATGGGTTACTGTCGTCCTCAGCTCGGATGGAATTCCAGATTCTGTGGATGTAATCCACTCTGTAATCACCGTGGTAGTTGGAGCTGGATGTATGGTGACTTCAGTTGTGCGAGTAGTTGTTTTCGGGGTTGATGTGTCTTCTGCTATCAGCGGAGACTCTTTCTTGCTCTTTGGAGGATTGTTAATCGTTGTCGTCCGAGTAATCGTGATATATTTGGTCGACCTTGGTACAGTGATGGTCGAAGTCGTGACATAGTCAGTCACTGTTGAGCGATGAGTGGAAGTGGTTGACGCGGTAGTGGATCGTGGTTTGAGCAATCCACGCTTTATCGGTTTCGATTCCGGGATGCAGCTGAGAGTCGTCGTTACAATTTTCGTGTCGGTTTGAGTTGATGTAAAGCTTGACACTATCGTTGTTACGTCCAACGATTTAGTCACAGTCGCGTTTCCAACCAGACTCGTCACGATAGCGTCCGTTGTCGATGGCGTGAGAAGAAGGCCCTGCTTGACTGTAGTCGTGATAAATTGAGTGACGGTAACTGTGGATTGCGGAACGGTCGTGGTGACTGTAACAAAAACGGTGGTCTCCTGCGGCTGTAGTAGAGGAATTGATGTTCCGGGAGTCAATGAGAACGACAAACTCCCCAGGTCCAGAACGACGATGATAACCGTGGTGGAGGTTACCGGGGGCCCTGTTATGGTGGTGTACGAGGTGGCTGAAACCGTTGTTGGGCTCGTGTCAGGGTCGGAGCCATTTGCTCCTCCACTCCCAGATCCAGATCCCGCATCGCTAGATGATCCGGATCCTCCACTAGAGCTCGACCCTGAGCCTGAGTCTGAGGCTCCACCGCTTCCGCTCCCGCTCGATGATCCTCCACTTGGAGAGGAAGATGTTCCCGAATCACCGTCAGCACTCGACCCTGAGCCAGAGGATGATCCGGTTGACCCATCGCCTGTTCCATCCCCAGATGACGAAGAGCCTGATCCACTGGTATCACTGCCTGTGGCCCCATTTCCATCACCGGTCGAGGATCCTCCTGAACTATTGTTCCCCGTCGTTCCCGAAGCATCAGTTCCAGACGCCCCTGAGCTAGAAGTTGAGCTCGAGCCCGAACCAGTACCAGTACCTGATCCCGACGTACCGGTGCTCCCTGGAGAGGTGCTACTGCCCGTTGAGCCTGAAGCCCCAGGCGACGAGCTGTTTCCGCCAGTGCTGGCCGTGCTGCTCGGAGAGGCTGTCCCCGGAGAGGTGCTGCTCGCAGGAGCACTACCCCCGGTTGACCCCGAAGCCCCAGGCGACGGGCTACTACCGCTAGTGTCGGCCGTACTCCCCGGAGACGTGCTGGTCGGAGACGTGCTACTCCCAGTTGACCCTGCGGCCCCAGGCGAGGGACTGGCCCCAGGCGAGGCGCCATTGGAGGTAGAGGATATACCGCTTCCACCTGTGACTGACGTACTACTCGAAGAGCCAGCCCCGGAACCTGTACCGCTTCCACCATTGCCGGAGGTATCACTCGATGACGAGCTGGCCCCCTCTGAGCTGCTTCCCAAGCCATCTCCGGATGTATCGCCCGATGAAGTTTCGCCTGAAGACGAGCTACCGCCAGCTGAAGTGTCCCCTGAAGATGTGCTGCTTGCATCCCCAGAGCTCGACGACCCGCCAGAACCGTCGCCTGAGCCTGTTGACCCTGAGCCCGACGAGCCTGAAGAACTAGAACCGGAACTAGAATCACCGCCAGTGCCTGAGCTTGTCGAGCCTGAGGAGCCTGAGCCAGAATCACCGCTAGTCCCTGACCCTGTTGATCCTGAACCCGTTGACCCTGACCCTGTTGATCCTGACCCTGTTGATCCGGAGCCAGTCGAACCTGAGCTGGTAGATCCTGGGCCTGACGAGCCAGAACCAGAATCATCACCACTCCCTGACCCTGCCGACCCTGATCCTGTCGATCCTGACTCTGTTGACCCTGCCCCAGAACCATCGCCTGACCCTGTTGACCCTGAGCCCGACGAGCCTGAAGAGCCAGAACCGGAACCAGAATCACCGCCAGTGCCTGAGCCTGTCGACCCTGACCCTGATCCTGTCGATCCTGACTCTGTTGACCCTGCCCCAGAACCATCGCCTGACCCTGTTGACCCTGAGCCCGACGAGCCTGAAGAGCCAGAACCGGAACCAGAATCACCGCCAGTGCCTGAGCCTGTCGACCCTGACCCTGAGGTCGCTGACCCAGACCCCGACGAACTCGAACCGGAAACATCACTCGACCCTGAATCACCTGAATTGCCAGAGTCATCGCCTGATCCTGATGAACCGGTACCATTGCCTGAACTTGAAGAGCTAGACCCCGACGAGCCAGTCCCTAGGGAACCACCAGTTTCGCCAGTAGCTGACGACCCACCAGTACCATCACCAGAGCTTGAAGAGCCTGAGTCAGGACCCGATGAGCCCGAATCATCGCCTGAGCCTGTTGACCCCGAGCCTGTTGATCCCGAACCTGTCGAACCTGAGCCTGTCGAGCCAGATCCAGAATCTTCGCCAGTCCCGGAGCCAGTCGATCCCGACCCTGTTGACCCTGACCCTGTTGACCCTGACCCTGACCCTGAGGAGCTAGAACCAGAATCATCGCTAGTCGATCCCGAGCCTGTCGAGCCTGAGCCCGACCCATCGCTTGACCCTGTTGATCCTGAGCCTGAATCATCGCCAGATCCTGTCGACCCTGAGCCAGAACCATCACCCGTCCCTGACCCTGTTGATCCTGAACCTGAATCATCGCCTGAGCCTGTCGACCCTGAGCCAGAATCACCGCTAGTCCCTGACCCTGTTGATCCAGAGCCTGTCGATCCAGAGCCAGAACCATCGCTTGACCCTGTTGATCCTGAACTAGAATCACCGCTAGTCCCTGAGCCTGTCGATCCTGAGCTTGTCGAGCCTGAGCTTGTCGAGCCTGAGCTTGTCGAGCCTGAGGAGCCTGAGCCAGAATCACCGCTAGTCCCTGACCCTGTTGATCCAGAACCCGTTGATCCAGAACCCGTTGATCCAGAACCCGTTGATCCAGAACCCGTTGATCCAGAACCCGTTGATCCAGAACCCGTTGATCCAGAACCCGTTGATCCAGAACCCGTTGATCCAGAACCCGTTGATCCAGAACCCGTTGATCCAGAACCCGTTGATCCAGAACCCGTTGATCCAGAACCCGTTGATCCAGAACCCGTTGATCCAGAACCCGTTGATCCAGAACCCGTTGATCCAGAACCCGTTGATCCAGAACCCGTTGATCCAGAACCCGTTGATCCAGAACCCGTTGATCCTGACCCTGTTGATCCTGAACCTGAATCATCGCCAGAACCTGTCGACCCTGAGCCAGAATCACCGCTAGTCCCTGAGCCTGTTGATCCTGATCCTGAATCATCGCCAGAACCTGTCGACCCTGAGCCAGAATCACCGCTAGTCTCTGACCCTGTCGATCCAGAACCTGTCGATCCAGAACCTGTCGATCCAGAGCCAGAACCATCGCCTGAGCCTGTTGATCCCGAGCCTGTCGAGCCTGATCCCGTTGATCCTGAGCCCGTTGACCCCGACCCAGAATCATCGCCAGAACCTGTCGACCCTGAGCCAGAACCATCGCCTGAGCCTGTTGATCCCGAGCCTGTCGATCCTGATCCCGTTGACCCCGACCCAGAATCATCGCCAGAACCTGTCGATCCCGAGCCTGTCGATCCTGAGCCTGTCGAGCCAGGTCCTGCTGATCCAGCACCACTACCTGAATCAGAACCCGATGTTCCTGAACCATCGCTTGAGCTTGATGAGCCTGATCCTGACGAGTTAGAGCCTGAATCATCGCCTGAGCCTGTCGAGCCTGAGCCCGACCCATCGCTTGACCCTGTTGATTCTGAACCAGAATCACCGCTAGTCCCTGAGCCTGTTGATGCTGAGCCTGAATCATCGCCAGAACCTGTCGACCCTGAGCCAGAACCATCGCCTGAGCCTGTCGACCCTGAGCCTGTCGACCCTGAGCCTGTCGATCCTGACCCTGTTGACCCTGAGCCCGTTGATCCTGACCCTGTCGAGCCAGGTCCTGCTGATCCAGCACCACTACCTGAATCAGAACCCGATGTTCCTGAACCATCGCTTGAGCTTGATGAGCCTGACCCTGACGAGTTAGAGCCAGAACCATCGTCTGAGCCCGTTGATCCAGAGCTAGTTGATCCTGAGCCTGTCGAGCCAGAACCTGAATCATCGCCTAGGCCCGTCGAACCTGACCCTGTGGAACCAGCACCAGCACTATCACCGGAGCTTGATGAACCCGAGCCATCATCTGACCCTGATGTACCTGACCCTGACGATCCTGATGAACCATCCCCAGTCCCTGAGCCTGTCGATACCGAGCCTGACGACCCTGTGCTTGTCGAGCCTGATCCTGTTGAGCCAGTACCGTCATCGCCTGAGCCGTTCCCTGACCCTGAAGATGCTGATCCTGAAGACCCAGTACCGTCATCGCCTGAGCTATTGGCTGATCCTGAAGAGCCCGAGCCATCGCTTGACCCTGAAGAGCCAGTACCATCTTCTGAGCTTGACGAACCTGTCCCTGAAGAACCTGTCCCATCGTCTGCGTCTGCGCCTGAGCCGTCCCCATTATTGCCAGGACCTGATCCATTTCCAGCACCTGAGCCAGTGACCGAACCCGAGTTTCCATCCCCATCTCCAGTCGATGAACCCCCTCCGGAACTCGCATCGGCGCTTTCAATGGCGGCTAGAACAGCAGGGTCAATCCAGGTCGTGTCCGAGTTTCCATCAGCGACGATTGCGCTGATAGACACTGAAGATAGGCTTGAAGTCTCGAGGTAAGAAACGAACCCGGACCTAGCATCCTGGTTGTTGAGGTAGGCGCCAGCGCCCGTCGTATCGTATTCACCAAAAAGATTGGCGTCATTTTGAGTTCTGCTGTCTATCTTAACTCCACTGGGCGCAATGAGGGCTCCCAAGGCAGAATCCCGGTAGACCACAACGGCTCCTGGTCCAGCAGCTGCCGCGAGGTAGACATTGTCGTTGTTCACTCCTGGCTTCTGGGAGACTCTGGATCGATCAATCGCCACCGTAGACTTTCCGTTCGACGTCGGTCCTTCGACATATACAACCACGGCGGAGCTTCCGGTAGGTACGATGACTGTGTTGAAAATGTAGATATCCCCCGATCCTTCAATCAAATTTGTCGGTGCCTCAATATAGCTGTTTGCAATCACGGCCAGGACTTGGTTCGCACTGATAGCCGAGTCACCAGATGATATGAATTGGCATTGATAAAACCCAAGATCCGTTCCTTTGAGAATTGCCGCGCTTCCAGATGATCCAGTGTTTACAAATTTGACATTTTTAACTGTCAATCCTGCAAGATTGGCGGAAATGGTGAGGGCAGTTCCGTCGCTCGAGACAACCACCTCGTTTTGGGTATAGTCGTATTCGTTTTTGGTTTCCGCAACGATAGTGACCGATGGTGTAGATTCGATGGTGATAGCTGGATACGTGCCGCTGAGGACTGTTACAGTCGGTATATCCTTTCCTTGGGCATATGAGATCGCATCACCGATGGCTGTGAACTGGCCGCTGCCGTCTGGCGCAACCGTAACGGCGGGTGCTGTAGCTGGTCCATATCAGTATTGATAATTCCTCGTCCTGGCTTCTCAATAAATCATACTAGTAGAGGTTCCATCCGTTGTCTTAGTGATATAAACCGTGCTCGAACAGGTTCCCGATGCATCTGCTGCCGCCGCCGCCAGCCCGGCCAGATACAATATCGACACAATCCTCATGCTTGATGAGCATTGTCGCATGGGTGAACCGGAGAATATGGCTAGACTAAGAGGTAAAGCGTCGTTGATATCATGAGGCAGTAGCATCAATATCTCGAAATCTCAAGTATACAAGGAATGTGAGCCCAGGTGGCCATCCCGTTGCGCATTCCACAGCCACCACTCCACGTCGGGAATCCTTGGCCTATCTCCATCCAGGCAAGCGGGCTCACAGCTTCAGTATTCTGAGACCGCGATAACGCGACATGATCCAGGTTTGACAAAAACTTATCCGCTTTCGTGTTTAATTCATGACTCTCTAGTGTGTCTATTTCTACGCTAGATATTCTCCTATTCATGAAGCTTTACCTTCCTGAGTTCTGATGTTATTGAGATGAGCTGTAGCAGTGTTTCAAATCAGAATGACTTACCAATCATGAATTTATTATGCACTTTTATCCAAGAGCTATTCTGCTCAACCGATTAAACTCGATTTGATGCTGTGATTCGCGGATCGATCACATCGAGGCCGCACCCTCCTGGTGTAGTACCCACCATAGACCCACATGGGGGATATTCCATAATCTTAAACAGCGGGAGAATACCGTAGTTCCAGGTACCTGGAAACCATGATCGAGAATGCCACTCATGTTCTGAAATCAGTATGAGGGTAATATTTCCGGAGGATGAACTCAATTCCGTCCAACGCCCATGCATACTGTTTATGTGAGATCAGATGGTCTGAGCTCCATACCATAAAGACGATAGAAGAAATTTCATCCTCATGTTTGAGGCTACAGTTGGAATTGGGCCTGGGAATACCCTCACATTATTCATTAATCGGAGGTCACTTATGGCCCCTAATCCCTCTTTGTTGTTTATGTTATTCAGTTCTCTTCAAATTGAAATGTTGAGCTTACATTTTCGGCTCAGCATAGCAAACGTCGGAGAATCCAAAACTCCTTTGAGAACAATGTTTTGCCAGAATTCCAGCTCTCCCACCATTAAGAGCAACCTGAGTAAGTGGCTTCGCCTCTTTGGAGAAATTTTAGCTTTCTGTCGTCATGAGATCAACACGGTTGTCAATCCGGCTGGCTGCCGAAGAAGTTGTGTCCAAATCTAAAGTTTTGATTCCTCGTGGAAATGACAACAAAAGTCCGGTCCATAATGCTGGTTTCTATCACGCGGGGCAAGGACATCTATGAAACATGATCTTCAATCATTCTGCTCGGTGGTATCCAAGTCCTGTACTACAGTCAAATCAGATCGGTTGAATGATAGGTCTTGTCCGGAACAGTAATGTTCTTGTCCGACAATAAAATTGAGTCATAGAAGAGGGAAGTACGCTCTTATTGATTGAATAAATGCTACCCAGACAGCAAAGACATCGTCGAAGGGGATGCTTGAATTATTGAAACATTCGTCTCTTCCATCTTGTTGACAAATACTGTGCTCCGATTTCAAGTCATTCGTCATTACTAGACTCGTACTCGTAAACAAGTTGCATTCTTCGGAGGCTGAGGAACTCTAATCATCGTTTAGGTAAACTTTTATGCGCACAATTATTCAGTTCCCATCATTACCATACAAGGTTAGACCAATTATTGGTCCGACAGACTCCTAGCCTTTGAGAGACTCTCATAAGCTTGTCCCAGTAAAAGCTACTCTACCAGCTAAATATCATGGTTATATATGGGCTTCTGGCTTCTATCATCTCGAGAACAAATAAACTCTTACCACGGCCTATTCTTGGCCGTAATTTCGAGTAAATTCAAAGCTACCTACGCGGCTCGGAGGTATGGTGCGGTGTATAATCAATCACAGGCTCTCCAGAAGAAAGACCGACGTTGAACATCTAGAATAGGCAAATCAAGTAATGGAAACCATGGTAATTAATCTCCCTGCCTTGTATCTAGGTATAGTCACTGCTAGGAAACGTTCCGACTGTAAGAGCAACCTTGGGATATATATCTCCACCATTAGCTGCTCCTCGTAGTTCCTAAGCCACATCTTATCAGTTCAAAGGCCAAGGCTCAAAGGCTGATTTAAACAAAGGTTGAATGGTATTCCATAAGGGCTTTTTCTAGGGACATTATCAAGGAGGCTTATCGACCAGTAAGGTTGGAAGCAAGGAGGGAACGTGGGGCTAATCTAGTCGTGGAAAGCCCAAATAGTTAGAACCAGAGAGTGACTCATTATCAAGACCCATAATCTCTACCCTAGGGTAGTTATCTAGGCCTTGCCGATCAGAACATTAACATTCAAAACAAGGAGGTGGTCCCTACCGGTTCACCACAACTTGAGAAAACATCTTCTGCTCGACACTGCTTCCAGATTGACAGTGATAAACCTGACAATATATCCATAAACAGAACAGTGATGCAACAGTAAAGGCAATACTTGGGATATATGACTGTAAGCAATACCCTCTTGTTTGGTTGTAGACGGGAACAGCACAGCGACGAGTGTAGACCCATTGAAGACGGGGGAATTTTGTCAAGAAGATATAGGCCGAGTCCACGGATGCCGTGGTTTTGAAAGTAAATGCTCTACAGGTGGCCTCCGTGAGTTTCAACCTCCGACAAGACTTGAAAATTGTCTTATCAGTACCTGACTGAAGTATCTCCAAAGATGATTGGTGCGCGAGTGATCAGCAAGGATAATTTGGAACGAGTTTAAACCCCTCTTTCAAAAGAGAGTTAATTTCTCTGTATATAGATTCAGTTATTAGAAGCTTCACTAAATAATTCTAGTACAAAGACTAGGCCACTCTGCAATTATACGGAGCGGATAACGAGCGGTCGGCGGTCGGCTACCAGCGCCCCAAAGTGACGTGAAGATGCCGACGCCAACCGAGCCCTCTCCGCGTTGCCTTCTCCATATTTCCCCAGAACCCCAAATCTGCCACTCGGTCTTTGAAAGGAGATGATTTCTTTACTCTGTCAACACCCAAACAATGTCATCTAGAGCTCTTCTTCAGCGCTCATGGCGAGCAACTCGCAACGGCCCCAGGGCTGTGACGCCCCTCCTCACATACCCTGCTCGGCGATGGGGCAGTTCCATCTCACAAAGACCGGGCTCGGATCGGTGAGTCTCTCGTCGGAATTCTTTTAAGGATATCCATTGACATCAGATTGCATATAGGGTGCTCTTCCCCGGTGCCGTTAACAGCAAGTTTACTACCGAAATGTCGTTCCTCAAAGCCTCCGATCTGCCCGCAATCCCTACATATCGAGTAATCGACTCTGATGGCGAGTTGGTTGATAAATCAAGAGGACCCCCTGATGTCTCCAATGAGGAGGTTCTGACATGGTATAAGAATATGTTGACTGGTATGCATTTTGGAACTCCCAGATGGAGCGCAGCTGATTGGCGATAGTGAGCATCATGGATGTGGTTATGTTCGAGGCACAACGCCAGGGACGACTGAGCTTCTATATGGTATGATCGCGGCGATAAGGAGATATCGAAGATTCACACGCTGATCTTGAAGGATAGGTCTCGGCTGGTGAAGAAGGTATCGCAGTCGGTTCCGCCGCGGCTCTCACTCCAGATGATGTAGTGTTCGCCCAATACCGCGAAGCCGGCGTTTTCCAACAACGAGGATTTACTTTGAAAAACTTTATGGGCCAGTTATTTGCCAATTGCAACGACACGGGTAAAGGGCGTAATATGCCCGTTCACTACGGCCAGAACTATCCTCGCATGGTGAGGTCAGCCCGGAAGTCCTTTTTTTTTTTTTTCAAGACTTCGATGCTAACCACCCGAAGCACACAATTTCATCACCTTTGGCCACTCAAATTCCCCAAGCCGCTGGTGCCGCTTATGCCCTGAAAATGCAGGATCTACAGGATCCCAACCGAGACCCTCGTATCGTTGCCTGTTACTTTGGCGAGGGCGCTGCCAGTGAAGGTGATTTCCATGCAGCACTCAATATTGCCGCCACGCGATCATGCCCCGTTGTATTTGTGTGCCGGAACAATGGATTCGCTATCTCCACGCCAACCCTTGAGCAATACCGCGGTGATGGAATTGCCAGCCGTGGTGTAGGCTACGGCATTGACACGATTCGAGTCGACGGTAATGACGTGTTTGCCGTCAATGAGGCTATGAAGGAAGCCCGCCGGCGAGCCTTGAGCGATGGTGGACGACCCGTCCTAATTGAGGCGATGAGCTACCGCGTTTCACACCACAGCACGAGCGATGACAGCTTTGCATACCGTGCGCGAGTCGAAGTCGAGGACTGGAAGCGTCGCGACAACCCCATTATTCGGCTTCGCAAGTGGCTGGAGAACAAGGGGCTGTGGAACGAGGACATGGAACAAGAAACTCGGGATTCTATGCGCAAAGCCGTGTTGAAAGAGTTCAGTGAAGCCGAGCGTGAAAAGAAGCCACCTCTCCGAGAAGCCTTTACAGATGTTTATGAAGAATTGACGGAAGAAGCTAAGGAGCAGATGAAAGAGCTCAAGCGAATCCTGGAAACATATCCGGACGAGTATGATCTACGGCCTTACAAGGATGGAGCTAAGGGACTGGATTAGACATTAGATGCCTGGAGGTCGGTTCTTTGTCATGTTTCTAGAGAGGATTAAATGAATAATGCAAGATCCTTATACAAATAAGTCAGATGCATAAGGAAATGATAGCTCTAATTGATTAGAATATGCCTTTCGTACTGTCTCTGAAAGATGCACGTGACCTCGTGCAGCGATGTGCAAATATTACGTAATCACTCCGATCGGGAATTCTAGCATCGGGATCGGATACAAAAGTTATGTCGGTCACATCGCCGGGGGCAATTGGGTTATGAAGGGCATGGCTCAAGACTAGCATTTAGCACAAGAGAGGGACAGACGAAACCATCTTTTGAAGCGTTCAGCCAATATCTCGACACAGAATCCTCGAAAACAAGATGATTCCTTTCTTCCAGCGGGCTCGGGGAGATCCTTGGCAGCGGATTGGGCTTGCATCTACATTTCCCGATCTGAGCCTGGATAAAGACTGCTCCAAAATCACACCGAGTTGCAAAGCATTCCGCATTCCCAAGGCAGATGGGTTCTCCAGTTCAGATGGCCCGGAAGAAGCAGAAGTCGAAGCGCCTGGGGACCTGAAGGACCAGGTTCTTGTGTTTCAATACAAAGGGAAATTCCACGCTGTTGATCATGTAAGTGCAATCCTCTATGTATTTATTGCTAGAAACACATGCCTAGGTTAATGTCCCCACTAACATGCCCCTTCTCAGTCATGCCCACATTCATCTTTCCCGCTTTCACAGGCTAGTATCTTCGACATTGAGGATTTCGGCATCACCCTGAGTGCCGGGTTGACATGTCCAAAGCACGGGTGGTCCTTTGATCTCTTCTCTGGACAGGGAGATCGCGGCAACTACAAACTTAAGATTTGGGAGGTTGAACTACGGGACCCGTCGGTATCGAGCGATCAGGCCTTGGAAGGTGACAAGGAGGTATGGGTGAGGCGAAAGCAGCGGATTGGCTGATGCGACTCTTTTTTTAAGATATCTCTACAGTGACCCATGACTATATGTGCCCCTATGGGCTTTGGACCTATTCATAGAAGGCTTGTACATTACATAGAACAATAGCTACAAATCATAGATTCCGAGCACTCCTGAATGCGCCCTCTATCACGTAGTAGAAGCGGCCGCAAGCGTCGCCACACTGTCAAGAGACATGTAATCGTCACTGCTCGTCAGGTAAACGGCACCCAATCCCATACTCTGGGCATCTTGAACAACGGCCCTGTAATCTGCCGTCATAGGTGCACTGTGCACAATAATAGCATCTTTGCAGTATGTCTCACTCGAAGAAAATTCGTTGGCCGGGATAGCTGATGTCCATTCAGAATACGACTTTTCAAACTCGACAATTAGATCGGCTGCCTTGAAGTATTCAGCTGCGGACCCTTCCTCTAGCTTGGTACCGGGGTTGAACACGACCATGTTCAGGTTGCTGCTCTTGGCCGTGGTTGATATGCTCTGCATATATGAGATCGTGGTGTTGTCATTTGTACGTGGAGCCTCGTCGAAGAAGATTCCGGAGACTGAAATGTTTTTCGCTTTGTAGGAAGACCAGCCGCTGTAGGCGGCGATCTGGCTGTTAACCTCCGCTTGCGCACGTTCTGCATAATTGGTAGGAATGTAACCGATTACTTGGACGTTGTCATAGCTGTTTAACGTGGAGACACCCGTGATGAGGTTCTCATCGGGGTAACCTAGTAGTTGTTAGATATGAAGGTTGCCACTGTAACCTGTATTCGTGTTCTTACTGGTATCCCCTGGGCCACTGTCAGGGTTGACGATGACTTGAAACTCAATATTTGGATGCGATGAGATGGCATTATAGACAGGGGCCCAAGTGCTATCGTCCGTAGGCCAGACATACAGAGGGATGATAATGCCCGTGGAAGAAACGGCCGAGGCCATAGAAAGGGCAGTGCCCATCAGGTAGGAGAAGCCGCGCATGTTCAACTGAAGGAGTGAATAATGAATGAATGGACAGATTTATTTGTAAAGGAGTGAAATAGATATAAACCGCCAGGTTTTATGATCTAGGTTGAATGTGAGGAAAGGAGCGACAGGGGAATAATTCACGTAATACTAAATTATTCTTCCAAGAGACTTGACATCTACGAGTCTTTATACTGGCAAATCTTCTAGGTTGAGACTTTAGACCCTCAGGGCCCTAGGCTAAAAGAAACCCCATGACAGCTTCCAGCATCAAATGGCGTCGAAGTGATCACAGATTGGTTTCCAACAACCACAAGGCAACGAATAGGGCAGTAAGCCCCTCGTTTCAACAAACAACCCATCAATCCTGTTAGACGAGGCGCAAAGGATCTTCCCCGCCAAGCTAAGTGTATACTGTACATTAGATCGGGATACAGATTTCCAGGGCCACCGGGAAAAAGAATCCCCCTGGGGGGCGAAGAATCCCCATGTGGCCCTCGACAACTCCACCATAGCAGTCTTAATGCCAAAGTGAAAATCTAATTTTTAAAAGAATGGGCCGATCCCATTCCAGGGGTACTTGTCGCAAAGAATGCATCTCCAAGCGCCTTATCCACACCCCCCACCGTCCCAGATCAGGGCATCGCTACCGGAACCCAATGGAACGGGTGTCATTCTGCTTGGCGATTTAGAGAAGTACATTTTACATTCTCTTATAAAGTAAAAATGTGAACTGAACCTTTTTCAATGAATGGATCTGAGGATTGTGTGTTATTTGCACTCTGCAACCCTTGCAAGTCTCTGACTCGGCGAGTTGGGTAGATCACATTGCGTGAGCGCCACATACACGCAAGGCTGGGGCCGCTGTAATGAAGGACCGTTTCAAATCGGGAACTCCAGCAAATGAAGCATTTCGGTCGCTTCCTTTGGCAAAGATGGCTCTGTATTAACGAGGGTAAGGCGCTTCGACGGTAAATGGTGATGGAATGAAGATGTGATGTGGGTGACGGGAGATATTATTTGCTTTTTGCTCGGATATTTTTCTAGTCAACTTGCATTGGATCCCTATGCACCTAGGTGCCTCAGCCAGGGTTGAGCGTAAAGTCGGAGATTTTGACAACAAAATGTATGAAAGGAGCGACAGGAACAAATTGCACTTGAGCTGTATACTTGAACTCTGGCCGTGACTAGGCCCCTTCACCACTGGAGGGGAACTCTTCATACAACGGTCAAACAGATTCTACACTTACAGGAGAAACTACCACGGAAATAGTTTAATAATACAAGATATTGATATTTCGATAATATTACATGGTAATCATACATGGTCAAGCGCCAGCTGAAGGTTGACACGCAACGTTGGAGCGCCAATGAATCATAGACCTAACCAGATGCTCGGCAAATCCCTTAGGCTTCCTCGGTCAAAGCCAAGGCCGCCTGCTGAATCTTCTTGTTGCGACGGAGCAAAGCAGCAAGCTTCTTGTCCAGTACATCAAGCTCCTTGCGATTGCTCTCCAAGTCCTTTTGAGACTGACCAGCGAGTTCCTTGAGCTCTTCGTTGGTCATGGCAGCAACGTCGTCGAGGCTGGGGTTGGTTCCAGGGACACCGGCAGAACCCAGCATCTGCTTAGCAGTTGCGGCGGCAAAAGAACGAACAGCAGCAGTGGTGGTCTGAAGAAGTTCAGCGGAATGGGCTACGGCCCAGTCGTGGCTGCGCTCACTGTCTGCTTCCATGGCCGACAGAACGTTAGGAGGAATGACCGAGTCCGCAGTGTTCACGGTACCAGTGGGAGAGGTGGCGCCCATGCGGGCAGTGTTGTCATCAACCCAGCAGATATTGTACTTCTCGGGTGTCGCGAAGAGGGCGTCTAGTCCACCGTTGATGTTGCTCGAGTCGTCACCGACCACAAAAGGATCCATGGCGCCACCTCGATACTTCTCCAGCTCAAGGTATCGATCTTCTTCCTCGGCAGAGAGATGGCGAAGCACACAGCCGCGAGGAGTGATCAGACAGCGATCGGAAAGCTGCTCGGCGTCAATTCGTACTGGCTGGCCACGCATGAGAGCACGACGATGAGACTCAAAAAGCTCCAGGGGTTGCTTAAGCAAGAAGTAATCGGAGTCAATGCCCTTCATATCGGTACGCTGACCGAGATTGGCGGGGTTGAACAACGAGCCTCTGTTCAAGTCCAGTTCACCAGACTTGTGCATCGCGGCAAGCACTTCATGAAGAGACTTGGTTCTCTCGACAAAAAGGTCCTTCACCGGACGTCCGGAATCCTCGGCGTCTTTGATCAGTTGCTCGACCGTGTTACGGGAGCGCCAAGCCTCAGGAGGAACTGGGAGTGGTGCAGGTTGCTCCACCACCGGGGCAGGCTTGGTCTCTTGGACAGGTGGCTGCACCTTCTCCTTTACTTTCTTGGCAGGTTCAGGCTTTGGGTCGACTTTCTTTGGAGACGGAGCAGGTGTCTTCACAGGGGTTGCAGGCTCAGGCACAGTAGTAGGGGCACTGTCCGCAGAGGATGTGGTTGCAGTGGGTGCCTTCTTAGTCTTGCGCTTTCGCCCAAGAATAGGGGCTTGGACAGGCTCTTCGGGGGTTGCAGTCTCCGCCTGCTTGGCCTCAGCTTCCTTTGCCTTCTGTCGTCTCTCCTTTTTGAGTTGACTTTTCGTGATCGAGCGAACAGGGGCGGAACCAATGCGCGTGGTAGCCGGCGGGGAGCTAGCACGAGACACGGATGCCGAGGGGAAAAGATCGGCTTCCGAACCAAAATCTCCAGGCGTATCTGGCCTGCTGCTGGATGAAATGCTTTGTCTCCGGGATTGCGTCTTGCCAGATTTAGCGGTAGACACAGGCACCGATGGCGCATTTGTAATTGGGGGAGGGACTTCGGTCTTCGGGGTGTCTACCACTCGCAGAATGCGTGGTTGACGAAGAACGGATGAGTCCGAGACACGAGAAACAGTGGTCAATGGGGTGTTTGGGCGTGATCCAATTGCAGAAACAGATCCGGGTCCAGACACCAAAGTCCCAGACGAAACTCGGTCAGACTTGGCGGATGCGCTTTCTTGACCAGCCAAATGCATAGCAAGAGGAATCGGACTACCTTTAGTGCCGACGAGAGGACTTTGATCAGGTTTGGTGGGAGCATCTAGTGTGGACAAGTCGAGCTTCGTCATCCGAGCCTTGTGTGCGGATTTAGCCACAGGAGAGCCCAGGGAGATTTGGGATACATCTTTAGCTCGAGCAGATGTGGTGGCCGTACGAGCAGGAGGCTCGGGTGACACGGCCGAAGGTTCAGCCGACGAACTGTTTTGAGACGGGGTCCCGCCGCGAGAGATGTTCACATTCAAGCCGGGAGGCAGACTAGGCGCTGGGGATGATGGCTTCGACAAGCTCAATTGTTCTTGAAAAACGGCCGATGCGGGATGGGATTGCGGCAATGGGAGCCCAGGAGGCAGAGAAGGTGTTCCGACACGCCCGGCAGAATCACTGGGAAGCTGGGACTTGAGGAAGCCGAAAGTATCAACCGATTGGCTATCCTTCAGTAGCCCACCTAGCGGAGGGAAGTCTTCGTTCACTGTCGATATCTTGTCAGCCACCTTGCACAATCAGAGTCACCGTGAGCAGTGTATATCAACGAGGTGCAGCAAGCGATTGAAACGATGGAGCCAGGTGCAAGGGGAAGTAACAATCACGCGGCGAGCCTAATCAAGAGCGCTTTTCAAGATACCGACGCGCCAGACGGGTAATTACATGATGGGTACTGTCCCTTACGGGCCAGGTACAAGGTAGGGCAGAGGGTCTATGGACAACGGCTGTGAGACAACTGGTTTCGAATAAGACCCTGTTCCAAGAAATGGCGATATCAGGGTAGGGAGGTCTTAACGTACATTAATCCATGAGAAAACCATCCACGGTCTTCAAGACGCTGCAAGCAGTCGAAAGAAGATCCGAATGCAATATCAGGAAAAGGGATATAAGAGGCAAACAACAGCCGCCGGGTAGAAACAAAAAGAAGGACCCTAGTACATGCAATGGGTCGACAAAATGCAAGACTCCCTCGGAAACCCGAGGGAACAAAAACGGTATAGACCATAAAGAGAAAAAAGAAAGAAAATTGAGAAAGCCCATTGCAATACGCCCAAGGCACGCTAGCCAGTCGCATTGATCCAGAGCTGCTAGCCCTGTTTTTGAAAAAGAAACGAAAAAAAGGACAAGATGCAAGCCCGACGCGTGATTGTGAGATAAAGAAAAATAGCCAGGGGAAAGATATAAAGTCATCCGGGAATAAACCCCCATCAAAGCACATGTTGAAAGATCATGATAGGGAATCGCGAGCGAAGAATGCGGAGGGAAATCATAAACATGGTATAGGTATAGAGGGGGAGATTGAAGGAAAGGGGACAGTCATTCACCAACGGCTAAAACCACCGCCGCCGTACATCATTGAAGGGTTGTACCCACCTTGACCCTGGCTCCCGTACAACGCCTGCCCAGCAGTAGCATTGCCACCGACCTGATGCATCCTCGCCTGCAAAATGCTCGGGTCCGCAAGATCTACTACACCGCCTCCACCGGAGGAAGTGTTAGCGTGTCTCTGCTTCTTCCCCTTCTTCTTCTGCTTCTGTGCGCCACCAGAGTCAAGTACTGGACCTGTCTGGGACCCATAGAAAGAGCTGAGAAGGCCGTTGACGGGAGTCAGGGGAGGTGGGGTTGGGTGCTGTTGAAGAAAAGGAAACATGAACTCACGCTTTGCGGCCTCCTGGCCCTGTACACCACCGATATTCGCACCGCCTCGGCCACGAAGTAATTCACGCATCAACTCAGGTGTCGCATCTTGTTTTCCCATATTGGAGCCCAGTCCGATATTGGCATTGGCAGTAAAGCCATGACCTTGTGCAAACATACCACCCCCGCTGATCGGAGGGGTTCCGGCCGTCTTCAAGCCTGGGGGGGGACCTTGAACACCACTGGCATAGAATCCACCTGCAAGAGCATGCTGGGGGCTGGGAGCGGACAACGGGTTGGGAGTCCCGGCCTGCATCTGGCTGAGCATACGTGCATTGCTGATATTCTTGGAGCCAACATCATTGGCAAAGGTGAACCGTGATGATTGGCGGCTTTGGCCCTGTAGCGCATTAAACTGTGCCATCTGATTATGCAACAGGCCTTGTCGGAGCTGGGTGGCTTGGTCCAGGGCAGCGGAGCTCAGATGGTCGGCAATACCAGCTTGCTGGTTACCGGCTGACTTGAGCAGTATCAGTTGCTGCTGTTGCAACGGTGTCAAGCTTCGGCCTGCCAAGTTCAACCCTTGGAATTGATGACTGCTCGCAGATACTGGCGAACCAACGGTCGAGTTGTCGGCAGTGCCTTGCTGGGAAGGTGGCTGAATGGCACCGTGGGATTCACGAGACTGTTGAGGGCCTCGTGGGGGGTTAGACTCCTCCGGTTCCCCACCAAGCTGCAGGCTACCGGCTTCACGGCTTTCCTCCTCGACAGCAGCAGACTGGAGCAACTCTTGTTCGCGCTTCAAACGTTCCTGCTCAGCCTTCTCCCGCATTGCCCGACGCTTAACGCCGCCATATGGGTCGATGAAAGATGGATATGACTGGATCGCCTTGACCTCCTCATCTGGCAGATCTGCAGTAGAGAAAATGAACTTGAAGTTAGGGTTCATTAGGTCTTTAACGAGGTTGTCGAACGGTGTTGGCGCTGGCGGCTCCGGGGTTGGTGGCTGAGCGGGTTGAACTGGGGGTTGGACCGTCGGCGATCGTGAAGCAGGTTGAGATGTCCGCTGCGCTTCCTGAGCAACAGGAGATGGCTTCTCGACCCGCTTAGGCTCCTCAGCAGGCGTGGCAACAGTAACACTCGCAGGTCGTGGGCTTTGAGATGCCTGGCTACCAGTCAAACTAGCTCGTCTGGTCCGGATGGTGGCATCCTTGTTTGCCCAGCTAGCAGACGAGGGGAGCGCAGGCCCGTCCGGAGCGGCCGATCGCCCACTGATCGAATCATCTTTGCTGGGTTGTCGACGCATTGTGTGCTGCGTGATGGGCTGGGCCGGGCGAACATGGGGAGGATGTTGAGCATGTTGAGGGTGTTGAGGGTGGCTTGGCCGCTGACTTGACAGAGTGTTCATTGACGAAAGATCGGAGCGACTGTAGCTTTCACTGTCTTCTCCGGTTTCGTGTAGGAAGGTGCAGTTGCGGTTGTTGCACTGTTCGTTGCGGAGGAAGGAGGAACAATATTTGGTTGTCCCATACTGAGCTCTTAGAACACGGTCACCGTTCGCAGAGCCGTCCACAGCAGCGATGCAAGTGGCAGCGTCAATCTTCCGAGAAAAGGTGACGTAGACACCGATGCCCTGGTGGGGGTTACCGCCGGGTTTGGCCTTGCTAACCACAATCTTCTCAATATCACCATATTGACCGAAATATTCCCGCCCGCGGAGAGTCTGTAGCAGCTGATTCTCGTCGCGAATTGTCGGATTCAGTCCGATGACGTAGACCAGGTTCTTTTGAACGACACGGACACCGGCCAAGTTCTTTCGGCTGGAAGCTTCGATTTCGCGTTTTTCGGCTTCCTTCTTCTTGGCTGCGGCGGCCTTTCTATGCTTGAGTGCCAAGTCGGCCTTGAATCTATATTGTCGAAGGAATATGTCAGTGGCTCGGATGCTCGGTGGTCAAGTCGAAGAGGGGAAAGAGGGGTCATCACTAACTCCTCCGCATCTGGTATCTTGTATTGAATGGTGCTGTCATCGTAAGGGCGGCGACAGTTTGGGCATCGGCCTTCTTCGCTGTGGGTTTTGATATTGTTGTAACAGAATTGGCAGATCTGAGGTGTAAAATGTCAGTGCCTCGAAAAGAAGGCCTCCAAAAAGAACCAGGGAGTTGTGGCGAATGCGGATGTCCATTTAGACGTACCTGATATCCACAGGGACATGGCTTAAAGTTCTTGTCCGAAAGATCAAACTCTTCGATGCAAAGGGGGCTTGAGGAGGGTTAGTGGCCAAGCCGCATGATACTCGAAGGCGTAAACACATACCAGAACTCATCGTCATCGTCGATGACGGAGTCGATCTGTTGGCGACTGGAGGACATGGTCGCGGCGAAGGTGATGTGAACGGGGAAAGCGACACGGGAATCTCAACGCCAGTACCCAATAGAAACGGGGCTTGCAGAAAATAAAAAGAGACGAGGACGCGACTCCGGAGCCAGGGCAAATCAAAGAAACGGAATGAAGAGAAGAAAGAACAAGAGAAGGGAAAGAGGGGTGATGAGTTGGGGGGGGAGAAGGTGGACGGCGAAGGAGAAGAAAGGAAGGAAATTGAAGCGCGGCTTCATTTTGCTGGCATTGCCCGATGGCGTTTAGCGTGGTCCGTACATTATGTCAGCATCACGTGACTCCCGCAGGTTCGACCAACCTCCATCCTCACAATCCGCCTTACGTGCCTTCGTCCCCTCTTGTCGCAGCCATTGCTCTCCGTCCCAGAATGGCCTCCGCTCGCTCTCTGATGCGCCTAAGCTCTAGACGCTCTGTGGCTTCGGCTGCGAGGTCCAATGCTTCTCGCACCTTTTCCTCATCCTCCCTGCGGTTTGCCGCAAAGGCATCAACACAATCGGGCGCCCCGGAGCCTGAGAACATGCGCCAGGCGCAACGGCCTCGTATGTGGATGACTTTGGCGATCTTGTGAGGGTACAATTGGACTAATTGAACTACTCTTGAGCAGCTACTGGCCCCCTCCGCGCCCCTGTCGTCAACCCTACCGACAAGTACCAGCACATGGCCGACGGTCTGCACAGCTACGGACAGTATATCATGTCCTGCCTGCCCAAGTACATTCAGCAGTTCACCGTCTGGAAGGACGAGCTCACCGTGTACACTGCTCCCGCCGGTGTTGTCCCCGTCATGAGCTTCCTGAAGAACCACACCTCCGCCGAGTTCACTCAGATCTCCGATATCACCGGTGTCGATTTCCCCACCCGTGACCAGCGTTTCGAGGTCGTCTACAACCTGCTGAGCGTCCGCTACAACTCTCGTATCCGTGTCAAGACCTACGCTGACGAGGCCACTCCCGTCCCCAGTGTGACTGGTCTCTTCGAGGGAGCTTTGTGGTACGAGCGTGAGGTCTACGACATGTTCGGTGTCTTCTTCTCCGGCCACCCCGATCTCCGCCGTATCATGACTGACTACGGTTTCGATGGTCACCCTCTGCGCAAGGATTTCCCCCTGACCGGTTACACTGAGCTGCGCTACGACGAGGAGAAGAAGCGCATCGTTATTGAGCCCCTTGAGCTCACTCAGGCTTTCCGTAACTTCGAGAGTGGTTCTACCGCTTGGGAGCCTGTCGGTGCTGGCCAGAACCGGACGCCTGAGTCGGTAAGTGATATTTCGAAATTCCACCGTATCGAGTATCTTCTAATTACTTCAATTACAGTTCAAGTTGCCCACTCCCAAGCCAGAGCCCAAGGAAGAAGAAAAGAAATAGAAAGGGATTGTACGCGTATCAATTTTCATTACCATGTTTGTATGTACATATCGTTAATCGATCCATTGGTGTTTTCCACCTTCCACCAGATTGTGCCAAGACGTAGCATAGCGCTCAGATATATATCCGGTGTCCCTCCGGGCACTACTTCCAATGCCGGTGATAAATGTTCCAATTCATGTTTGTTTCATAGAATTGGTATGCTATCTTTCGAGTAAATCATTGAGTTTTGAACTAGTATCTATTTCAGCGAGTAAACACAGTGGTAAAAAATTGATAGGAAAGAGCTTAACATCGAGTTGCATCATATAGTTGCTCTCGAGGGGCCGAGCGGATATGGATGGAGGCCGGAGGCGGAGAATCTTGGCAAAAGGTCCGCGCCTGCTAAGAAAAAAAAAAAAAGCTCCGCAAATCCAACATTTCAAGCTCTGCTAGAAGTAAAAGCAGTCTCAACGCTGCGCTTCACTTTTCGAACTTCCACTCGAATCTATATCATCAACCATATTACATCCATCCACCACAAATATGCCCAAGCGCAAGCTCTCTGAGTTCAACGGTCCCTCGCGACTCGACACCCGCAAATTGTCGATCAAAGCCGTCCGGCTCACTACTAAGTTCGAACAAGGCGTACAAATCCTCGCGAAGGGCCTGAAGACCGCGCGCGGCTTCGAGAGGCAAAAACTCAGTCGACGTGAGAAGACTGCCAAATCTGAAGGCAATGCTGCGACGTTGGCGAGGTTGGCGGAGGAAGTGGACGCATTGAAGGTAAACGCTGGGATCAATAAGCCCATGTTTAAAAACCTTGAAACTGATTTTATTTGTTTCTAGGCTATCGACTACCCAATCACAGCAGAGCGATATTTATTCAAACAACTCGTTAAGACAAAGCGGATTGCCGAATCACCAACTTTCAAGGAATTTCAAGAAGCCAAGAATGTATCGACCGAGGGTCCGAAGAGCGCCGCCGAGTCCAATGTGCATGGCCGACTATTCAAGTCCACGCCCGTGAAAAACGTGATGCCCGAAATTATGAATGGGATCCGGAAACTCTTGGGAGTGGAAGATGCGCCCGCAGGGAAGTCGGACAAGACTAGTGCTAAGAAGGATGCGCCTAAGAAGGAGAAACCCGCAGCTAAACAAGACGATATCTCCGGGTCAGAAGAAGAGGAAGTACAACCGAAGAAGTCAACGAAACCATCGACAGACAGCGACGAGGAAGTAGAGTCTGCCGACGGACGAGACTTGATCGCCTCTGGCGACGAGGAGTTTGACAGCGAAGACCTCGCACAATTCGATGCCCGCCTAGCCCCAGGTTCAGATTCCGAGGATGAGTCAGGATCAGACGATGACATCGAGAACGCGCACAAGCAAGACCTGGCAGACGACATCTCAGACTCAATCTCCCGCTCTCCATCCCCAGACTTCTCCGCCGAGGACTCACCACCATCCAAAAAGGTCAAAGCAGCCAAGGGCTCTAAAGAACCCGCGCAAAGCACCACATTCCTTCCATCGCTTATGATGGGTGGTTACTGGTCTGGCTCCGAGGAGGAGGCCACCGACGACGAAGCAGCTGCCGGTCCCCCCAAGCGCAAGAACCGCATGGGTCAACAAGCCCGCCGAGCGCTCTGGGAGAAGAAGTATGGTGCCAGAGCGAACCACGTCCAGGAGGAGCAAAGGAAACAGAAGCGGAGTCGAGATAGTGGATGGGATACTCGTAAGGGAGCGACGGGTGGTGATCGTGGTGGGCGAGGCGGCGATCGCGGTGGAAGGGGTGGCTTTGGTGCAGGGCGGCCTCAGAACCGTTATGATGACCGCTCGGGCGCTGGGCAAAGTTATGCCAACAACCCTAGGAATCCTCCTAAGGATACTGGGCCATTGCATCCGTCGTGGGAGGCCAAGCGGAAGCTCAAGGAGCAGGCATCTACGGCGACGTTCCAGGGAAAGAAGGTTGTATTCGATTAGCGATACCATTTTGTACCTTACTTGTTGCTATGTGAGCCATGGTTGTCTAGGCCGAAACCAATGTGAATATGTAAAAAAAGTTATCTCCAAGTAAGGCGAATACGGAGACGGCTATAGTCCGACAATCTACCTCCTTATAAACAAGATGCGAAGAAAGCGAACAAATTTGCAACATGTGGTATAAACGGAAATCCAGCACTCCGACCAACAAACACCAAATACAAAACTCAGGACACCCTGAGGAAAGCCAATCACTCGTTCATAAATTGCAACCAATGCGAATCTGTACTGCCAGGGGTCTTCAACTCAGTACCAACAGGCATACCGGCCGGATTTCCCTGCGCATCAGGCTCAAAGCATGGAATAGCCGTGAACTCACCCAGCTCTTGGGGAAAGTTCGAGACAAAGTGGTCAAAGCCGAAATGAGGCATCTGTGAAAGGGATTGATGGGAGACAGAGTAGTTATCTGGAATGGAAATACTACTGCCCGCCATATCACTTTCAAGGATCTCGTGCTCATGGCTACCTAGCGCTGCATGGGAGTCATGTGCACTATTTGGCGGCAAAACCGGAGGCGTGATGGGCACACCTGGCATAACGGAGTCCGCCACGGACGAGTCGGGGACTTGGTGGTTCATGCCATGCTGCATAGCGGGATCGTTGGCATACGCCTCTTGCTTCCATGCCATGGTTGTAGGTGAGACTGGTCCGGTTTTCCAGAGCATTTCCCAGTTCTTGAAGCGGTCGTAGGCGGATTCAATGCTGCCACCGTTGCTTTGTGATTGATGGGATTCACTCCAGAGCTCAAGACGTCGAATGGCTCGCTCAAGGGCCTCGATGACACTCACAGCTGAACGTGCGGATCCAACACCCATGGACATGATTTTAATCAGGGAAATGCCTTGGTCGAGCGCAGCACCAAGACGCTCAGTGCGTTTAGTCAACCCTTGAGCTAAGATGACTAGGAGAGCTGCGCGACATGAACTGAATTCAGTGAACGAGGCGCGCGCCAGGCCAGTTTCGTCTCGAAGAAGGCGACACAGATCAATAATTTCCAGAGCTGCCTCGACACAGTCTGTGACAAGTGTAGCTCGATTCTTTGCCATCATCCCAGACGGGCCCTTTAACGTGGCGGCATGAGAAGGGGTCTGGTACAGGCCCTTGATGTTGCTGAAGAGGAAGGGGCGTCCAATGAAGATTCGAGTAAGGCAGTAATCAAGCTTAAGGTGAACATTAGACCGGAATAATGGTCCACTTGGGTTGAGATCACGACAATTTGTCTCTTCTGGGAGGGTTGACCACCATTCTACCAAGTGTTTCCGAATGTTGAGTAGTCGTTCAAGACAGTCTTGCTGTTGCCCCTTCCGACAAGTCCGCAGCGATGAAATCTCATTGGAGACTTCTCCAAGTTTTAGAGTGAGCGTAATCAAGGCTATCATGTTTGTATGATTTGACTGTTGAGTTGCTGGCATGATCCCAGGGAAATCCACAGGAAGCGGTGCATCAACATCCCCATCCGCTAGGGACGCCGGCCGGCCGTGCAGAATGCTGATGCGTTTTTCGATGGTGTAAGCAGTCCAAAACACTCGGTTTCGTGTTTCGATCATTCGAGGCGAGAGGCCTTCGCCATGGTATCTTCTATGCATGCCGTTTTGAATTGCCAATTTCAAAGCCAACCCAAAGTAGGTGTAGCAGAGGCCCGAAGTATCGAGAGGAAGCAGGTACGTGCCAATCAACAGACAAGCTTGTACACTTCGCACCGAGGCTGTTGCAATGATATCCGGTAACAACTTGGAGGCGAATTGGTAGAATGTGAGACCGACCTCATCCTCGGAGAAATGGTGGTCTTGATCAGTGTTGGCAGCTGGAGGTGGGCGATTCACTGGAGTGGTCGATTCCATATGTGCAAATTGTGTACCAACAGCCAAGACCATCAGTAGAGCACATACTGCGCCCGCGTCGTCAGAAGACAGACTGGATGGATTAGTATAACAGATATTCACTTTGTCCTGAAGCCAGTCCTCTTCGACGTAGAAGTTATTTGTCTGTGCATATTTAAAGAAGATCTGGACCAGGAAGTCTGCCACGTAGCGTGGAGGGAGACACGTAATCGACGCTGAGACTAATGAAGATCCGGATTGAAGTTGAGTGGCCCGCCATCGGTCTTCAAATGGTTCAACTTCGGTAGAAGCCTGCAAGACAGTTAGTAAAGGTTTACGTCCTGGCCCGCGGTGGACATGAGAGCCCTTACTTCTGGTGCTGCCGTCTTCATCCACTCGTCAATCTTCTTTCGAATTTTATTGGAGAAATTGAGATAGGAGAACTCCCCAGAATATTCTGTGAAACGGGTTAGCTCGTGATCGGGGCCTGCTTTCACCGTTTAGAATGGGACGTACGAGTCGTATTGTCGGGCAGAGCTTTGATTGTAAAGTCCTCTTCATCAATTGCCAAGTCTTCCAAATCATTCGCATCGGCTTTCATCGAGAGTACATCCGACTCCGAATCACGATGCTTGCTTTTCAAATCTTCCGCAGCCTGGCGCAAAGACTGGATATCGAAGGTGATGTTGGGAACATAGTACGATAAAATACGCTCCATATAGCGCACCCGCTCTGCCTCTTGGATATCATGCCGACTCAGCGACGCAGCTCTCTCGAGCAGCCTGTATACCCCCCAAAACGGGATTCGTCAGCATGGTAACGCAACTTCCCGACAACGCCAAAACTCACGAGACAGAAGCCGATCGACTCTTCTCAGCAGGATCTATATGTGTAAAGATACACTGCCTGCGATAGCGAAGACATCGGCGACAGGGTACACCGCCCTCGCATTTCTCTTTCACTCTGCGACAGCCGTCACACCTGCACGAGACCCGAGTATGTTAGCGCGATAAGGACGCAATGCAGAGCGAGTGCCATGTGGGAAAGTCGACGTACGCTCGGACAGCTCGTTTGCGATTCTCTTCGGCCACGCGAGGGCGTTTGGGGTGCTGCTGGGGTGGCTGCACTGGTGCTGGAGTCGAGTCGTCCATAGCGGGCGGGATCAACGAAGGTACGGTCGGCCGGGCATCGTCTGCGGAGAAGGTGGACAAGGCGGAGTTGGGGTTCACCCCGGGCAGTAGTTGGAGGCTTGGAGCACGCTAGCCTGGCGGACAGGCAGGCCGAAGGGGACAGGGGGTGTCAGATATGTCGGGGGCCGGAAGTCGGTCTGGTGAAGCGGAGGGGGAGGAGAAAGTTCAGGGAGTTCGAAACGGTATCTCGATAACGCATCGGTTCGGCCGGTGGCCCCGCATTCTGGCAGAACTGCCTTTTTTTTTCTCCAATTGGGATTTCTTAGCCTCCGCTTTTTACTCCTCTCAGCATTTGCAGTATATCCACCGAAACGCACAGGACATGTTTCGACCAAACCATCTTTCACTCAATTCGATACGATTGTAGGATTTATGGGATCATGGCTATTGAAAGCATGTTCTAATTAGAGATCATTCTATCATTCAAATATGGGTTGAAGAGCAAGCCAACTTTGTAGATGTGTCTCCAAATTTCGGCCCATAGAACAAAGTTTAGAAGCGTGTTGTATATTCTCTAATGCGTGTCCTATTTCCTCGAAATCCAGCAGCAAAACCCTTAAAATCCATCAACATGCGTTCCTAGACCACCCGCACTCCCAACCTCAAGCACCTTCTTCCCAATCACCAGATCCATCAAACCCATCCCAACGCACTTGTAAATCACATTAGCACCCTCAGGAATATCAATGGCCTCCGCAGGCCCCAATCCCCCAAGAAGATCACCCATTTCAGTCAACTGGTCCTCCGTAATCTTGGCCGTAATAAGTTCACCCGATTCCTCCAAACAGGCAGATTTCGAATCAACATAGATCTTGCCTCCACCCGAGAGCAGAGTCTCCGTATCAATCTCATGCATGGGCGGCTTATAAGATCCGATCAACGAGATGAAGCGCTGCTTTGGCGCAGACTGGAGTGCTGAATAGGAAAAGTTTGGTGTCAGGGAGGGCGTGCAGCTGAAGATTACATCGCAAGCTTGGAGCTCTGCGAGAAGTCGCTGTTCATAGTCTGCAGTGCCTTCTTTGGCGAGCGTATTCACGGAAAGATTGGGATAACGCTGCCGCAGATTGTTGAAAACACTCTGCTCCATTTCTTCGAGCCGTTGACGGCCGCGGTTGACGAATGTCACCCGTTTAATTTGATCTGGGTATAAGAGCAAGGCAAGGCGGGCATGCCACTCTGCTTGACGGCCTGATCCAAAGACCAAAACATTCTCCTTGCGAATTGCAGTGCTTCGAACGAAAAGCGTCATAGAGGCTAGCGCTGTTCGAAACGCTGTCACCTCTGCGGCTGCCAGGAGACCTTGTAGACGTCCATCGGGAGAGAAGATGTTAATGACACCTTGGATACCACCCTTGGCGACGGTCACTACCTTGACGCCCGTAGTAACCGTATCTGAAACTGGCATGAAGATGCATGAATTCTCTGCCTTTGTGGCGAAGACTGTGCGAAGTGGTTGATGAATGAGTTTCTCCGATGCAGGGACATTCGGTTTCGACTCGGCAGATATGGCTACCAAAGCGTCGCCCAGAGCTGTGATGAATTCATGGCATTGAGACTGGGTCAAGCTGCGGAAGATCTGGGCCACGTCGGGCTCGGAGAGAATATGCATTTTGGGTGCGCTCTGTTAAAATCTTTGTCCAGATTAAATTGAATTTTGATTTCGTATTGAATGTGTTAGGATAGAAAATCAATCGGACAATAGGCAAGATAGATTGTACATGTTAATAGAGGAGAAGGTCGGAGGGGCCCTCCGATAACCGCACCGGCGAGGGGTCGAGTGGAGTCACCCCCATAGCCGGTGCAACTATAACGAGAAGGTAATCCAACATCCCATGCGCAATCGGCAAGTGATTCCGGTACGGTCTACATAGCCAATGGGGAAGTAAATAAGAGATGTAATCATCTATTCTTGAAACTTATCGCTATCAATAGCAAAACCATGATTTATCAAACGCTAACGCCATTCTATGGATGCATCCCCAATAAACGCAATGCAAAAAGCTGTCCCCGCGTGGTCCAAGAAGGCCACAAAAAGGGAGACAAAACCAGCATGGGGAATCTTTTTCAAAACAAACGAAATTGTGACCGTAAAGAGCTTCGTCAAAATGTGAGCAGGCCAATGATGGTTTAGTTGCTACCACCGAAAACGTTACGGCAGCGGCGCTTAAGCTCATCGATCATGGCGATCTGAGAGTCCTTGGTACGGCCAACAGCCTCGGTGTTCTCGACAGCGCGACGCAGCAAGAAACCCATGCACTCTTGGACGGAACCCCAGGTCAGAAGCTTGAAGACATTAGGAGCGGCGGCGGGAGTCATGCCAGCGTCGGCCTCGGCACTCTCAAAGCCCTGGAGGAGCTCGAGGCTAACCTCGTCCGCCATACCCTGGAGCTGGGCATAGCTGAGATCAACACCATAGTCCTCACCCTTGGCAGCCTGCTGGACCCGGATAGCATGGGCCTTGCGCACGGATTCGCGGTTGTGGGTGGCGATGATAACGTTCACGGGGGGCAGCTCAGCGGGGGTATCCTTCGAGGGATGCTGCAGCATGGAGTTGTACTTGCGAGTCAGAAGAGCTTCGACGACCTCGTCGTAGCAGCGGTCGGTGTCTTCCTTCTTGGCCCAGATCAAGTGACGGGGTTCGGTCTTCATATAGGCACCACGAACGAGCTTCACACCCAGAGTGTATCCCTCCAGGCGAGCAGTCTCCAAGTGACGGGCCAGAGTCTCGCCAGTCGAGCGGAGGTAGGCCTGGTAGGTACCATAGAAGATAGCACGCCCGGGAGTCTGCGAGTTGCAGTACTTCTGGTACTTCATGATCCAAGCCTCAATACCGGGCTGCACGGCCTGCTCCTCAGCATCAACGAGCAGGCGCACACGGCGAGAGATAGCCAAGTCGCAGACCTTCTGGATTGATGCATCCATGAACTCAGTGGGAGCGGCCTCCTTCTGCAGCAGGTTGAGGGCATCAGTTCCCATTCCGGTGAACTTCAGAGCAACGAAGTCTCCCTCTTGGGCCATATCAACAGTGCGGAGAGTACCGTCGAGCCACATCTGGATTTCTGCGAGAGCGGCCTTCTCATCACGAGTGGCCTCCTGGTTCTCGCCGACCAGAACCTCGCGGGCATATCCCAGAAGCACACCACGGCATCCCAAGCCCTTGATATTCTCGATTGACTTTTGCACTTCGGCTTTGTTCTCACCGGCGTTGAACTGCTTGTAAATAGTGTGCTTCACGAGCATATTCAGCAGCGGGTTCTTGGATACATCCCACAGAGCTGAGCGAGGGTGGGCCAGACGAGAGAGAGCAAAGATGCATGGCTTGAGCAAAAGAGACGAAGATGAGACGGAGAGGATCAACAAAGACCGCAGAACCGACGAGAGAGGGAGTTTGGAGAGAGGTGCGTTCAGTGCCTTCCGAGGTGGCGACGCGGTGGAGGATGGCGATAGTGGGTGAAGCAAGGTACTGGCGGCGACTGACGATTTGGCGTTGCTGGTACCGCTCACCAGGCGCTTGTTGGCCCGTGTAGCAGTGCCCTGGGCGCGGGGTATCCGCACGGCGCGTGCGGCCTTCATAGTTGACAAGTTTTGTTGGCGATAATAGATGGTGATAGTGTGTGGGTGGTATGGATAAGTGAGGTATAGAAAGAAAGATTGATTTGAAGACGAGGCTCTTAGGAAATTGAAAGAGGCAGGGGCAAACTTGAGACTCTATGGACAGAACCCAAATGGCCACCGTCCTATATAGCTTACATGCCCCCTCCATCCCACTTGATCAGGTGGCCAGCGATACATAATGAAAACCGCTTTGCCGCAACCACATAGTTCTCCGGGCCGAAGGTGACCGGCACCAGAGCCGGGCGTCTGAAAGAAGGAAAGAAGCACTGGACCCGCCGTCCCTAGCCGACCGGTTACATCACGTGATGGGAATCTCTATAGGTCACGAGACCTTGATTTTTCTTGAATGGTGCATGAATTATTGGACTTGGCCAAGATGATCAATAGTAAAAAAACGCAAGCAATAATGCTCTGTACTACAATTACAGAGATCACCTGGACTCATACGTCTCAACCGATGTTTCGACGGTAGCCGGTCGCCTGGAACCCGCAACGGTACCCACAGGATCAAATCTATTCAAGAGCGGTGCCTTAATTTTTAGCGCGAAAGCGTTTGTCATCTGTACCAATCGATCCGTGGAGCCAGGGTGCAGCTCGGCTTAAGTTCACTTTGAGGTGAGGATATGATTGCCGTAGAGGACTCCCTTGTGCCTCGACAGGTAACAACATGCTTGTGATTCACGTCGCAAGCATCGAGCTGCTCTGGATATATTCCCGGAACCTCAAACCAAAGCCAAGCTAGTCATAGAATCTATAAGATTCGCAAGCGCTTGCCATCCTTGTCAAATATTGTATATTCTCAATGGCCATTCCATTAGGCCTCATTTGCCCAGATAAACACTTTTGATATTAAGTGAAAGTCGAAATCGGACTGATTCTGTCGAGCTCCTAAGTGTAGTTGTGCATCCAGCTATGGCCTTTGAAGCTTGTACTTCACCTATGTACATACAACAGTCGTATCCACATTCCACACAGAAGAAAATGGGTCATTTTTTTTACAGACATTCGCCCCATTGCGTGTCATCTCCACTTATGATGCTAAGATGTGACTTTGCGAACAGCGAGAGATACCTTCATAACCGACAGCCTCACTTTGCCTTATCCTGAGCTGTACCAAGTTACCGCTAAGCAAAGACCAGCACTGACGCAGAACATCCTGAATTAAGAGTCGACACTTATAGCCAGCAGAAATCAATTTCAATTTGACATAAACACAACTCATAGAAACCCACTCCACCTGATAGGAAGGTTTCCGAAACGATAAGCCCCAAATATCCGACCCCAAATCTCCTTATCGTTCTCCCCAAGTCCCCACACCGGGCGCGGTCTCCACGATGTCAACGTGAATCCGCGTTCATCGCTGATAATGACTTCAATCTAGCCAATCTGCTGTTTGTTGTCGCAATCGTAGAGCGAGTTTCTCCGTCATCCTACAATTAATCGTCTTATTGTCTTGTATGTCTTTGCAAGCTTAGACCATGCGCAGATAGCGAATGCTCTTGCGAGCCTTCTCTAAATAAGTACTTGGTTGCGCCATAGGTTTATAAGCATTCGTGCCCGCTAAAATTCCCCTTGGGCTTATGCTCATTTTTAACTGAATACTTATTCCCATTCTTGATTACATTGACTATGGGATTATCGCCTAAAAGCCTGGAGGGAGGCGTTGTCCCTTCTCCTTTAGAAGAGGACATGAAGCCGATACCGGGCCAAGTTGACGGTCTTCCCAATTCAGAAACACATCGTGGATTGAGTTCTCGACATGTTCAATTCTTAGCTCTAGGTGGTTGTATCGGGACTGGATTGTTTGTTGGTAGTGGACAGTCATTATCCACCGTTGGTCCTGGTGAGTTGAACTGAATATATCTTCGAAAATAGGCCTGCGACAAAGCGATGGTAGTGTCCCGCCAGATAGCCTCATCAATCTAACGACTATTTCTAGCTCCTTTGCTCATGGGATACATCGCCATGTCTACTGTCGTATATTTCATTATGAATATGCTAGGTGAAATGACGACCTACCTGCCTGTGCGCGGCGTTTCCGTGCCGTACTTCATAAGCCGGTTTACTGAACCAAGTCTGGGATTTGCTATTGGTCAGTCATTTCAACCCGTTTATATGTGTTCTAGCTCTAATTAGTCCCAGGATACAATTACTGGTATTCATTTGCGATGTTGACTGCATCCGAAGTGACAGCCGCTGGCCTTGTTATTCAATATTGGCCTTCGTCAGTCAGCGTCGGCGTATGGATTACAATTGTACTTCTTGGTCAGTTATATTCGGATGCTCCATGTGTGTATGATCTAATCGTGATTATTTCTTTTTCAGTTATCCTGCTTCTCAATATTGTCGCCGTCTCTTGGTATGGAGAAGCTGAGTTCTGGTTTGCTTCATTGAAGATCATCGCTATCATCGGTCTCATCATTCTCGGCGTAATTCTGTTCTTCGGTGGAGGCCCCAACCATGACAGACTTGGATTCCGGTATTGGGAGCACCCTGGAGCCTTCGTCGAGCCATATCTCGTGCCAAATGTCAACACTGGTCGATTTCTGGCATTCTGGACTGCGTTGATCAAGTCCGGATTCTCTTTCATTTTCTCTCCGGAGCTAATCACCACCGCTGCTGGTGAAGCTGTCTCACCACGCCGCAATATCCCCAAGGCAACCAATCGGTTCATCTACCGTCTGTTCGCATTTTACGTCCTGGGTGCGCTGGTCATTGGCGTGACTGTGGCCTATAATGATAAGAGTCTGCTGCAGGGTGTTGCCAGTGGAGGATCTGGCGCTGGCGCTAGTCCGTTCGTGGTCGGCATTCAGAATGCGGGGATCAAAGGACTTAACCACGTTATCAACGCGGCTATTCTGATCTCTGCGTGGTCATCGGGAAACTCATGGGTCTATGCCGGATCACGTACTTTGTACTCAATGGCATGTGAGGGCCAGGCACCTAAGATCTTTGCCCGCTGCAATAAGAATGGTGTGCCTTACGTGGCTGTCCTGATTACCTGGGCGATCGGTCTATTATCTTATTTGAACCTCTCCAACTCGGGCTCCAACGTCTTCTACTGGTTCACCAACATCACCACGGTTGGAGGATTTATCTCTTGGGTTCTCGTGGGCGTCGCTTATCTGGTACGTTCTTTCTCTCTCGCTCGTACCTCTGGCAATCTAACTTACAATTTGGCATAGCGCTTCCGCCGTGCTCTGGAGTTCCATGGCCTGCTCGATTCTCGACCTTTCAAAACGCCATTCCAGCCATGGGGTGCCTACTATGCGATTGTAGTGGTGTCGCTGCTCGCCATCACTAATGGATATACGATATTCTTCCCCGGTGCATTCACAGCTTCGGGGTTCCTTGTGTCGTATGTTGTGTTCGCCATATTCTTCGCGTTATATTTCGGCCACAAGATCTGGTATCGTACACCATGGATGGTGCCAGCAGCGGATATCGATATATTTTCCGGGAAAGATGAGATTGATCGGCTGTGTGAAGAGGAGGTGGAGAAGTTACCGCGTAACTGGCTGGAAAGGGTTTGGTGGTGGATTGCATAGACTTTGCTATTGGAAAACATGCTATCTAGCAGGAGCTGTACTTTAATTGCATAGTTGCTGTTGAACGAGCAGAAGTGTTAACTTAAACCACGTGATTTTCTGTACATGGATGTTCTTCGAAACTTTGCCATAGAGTCGTTGACTGTATGTAGATACCTCAACTGAAGCTGTTCATTGTTCGTGGTATCCTGATGATTTCCAGGTGGTAAGTGGGGAAGTTGTATCTAAGAAATCCGCCAAGTACGGAGTCCGGAGTAGTCGGTGACTTGACTTTGATTTCGATAAGAAAAAAAAGTGGTTGATAGCAGAGCAAGCACTCACCCGGGCCGGTGTAAGTGGGGCTGACGAACTGCTGGCGGCGGTTATCAGTGGAATAGCAAGACTTGGCATTATCGTATAAACGAGATACCCTGACTGATCCGGGCCCGGCCCGTGGCTGAGCGGGCGTGAGAAAGTTACGTCATAGCATCTTCCGAGAAATACACCTCTTTATAACGATACATGGTGGAGCTTTATCTAATCGGCAGAGGCCGACAGTTTCCCGGTGGATCTACTCATGATCATTCGCTGCAGGACCCTCGAAGCTCGCTGGGATGGCCGGGCGGGATCAATCCCGGTAGCCAACCGCCTTTCTTCTGTCTCCCCGCGTTCTTGGGAGCTTTCTCTTCTTCTCTTATATTCTCGTGCAAGCTTTCGACTTGAATTTTCGCAAAGCTGATCGAGATCCTGCCAACTGAATTTCAAGCATCATATAGATCTTCAATATGCAGACCTCTTTGCTGCGCGCTCGTGTGCAGCCTTTCTCGCGCCTGGCATGCCGCATTCCTAGCTCCAGCTCTCGCGCTCTCAACACCTATGCGACTTTCAAGGTGCCCCAGATTAACAATGAGCCTAACGTGAGTCGCCTATCCATCCTACTACTATAGCCTACATCTTACTTACGTTGATAATGTTTTAGAAACACTATGCTCCCGGTAGCCCTGATCGCAAGGGCTTGGAAGACGCCCTGGCTTCATACAAGCAGTCGGCGCCCTTGAACGTGCCTTTGGTCGTTGCAGGCAAGGAGGTAAATCTCAATATTACACTGACTGTTTTCAATATTCAATCTTTAACACCGAATAGATCAAGAACTCCCAGACCTTCACTCAGAGCAACCCTGCTACTCACACCCCCGTCGCCACCTACTCCAACGCCTCCAAGGCCGACGTCGAGGCCGCCATTGCCTCTGCCCTCGAGGCCCGCAAGTCATGGGCTGCTACTCCTTTTGCGGAGCGTGCCAGCATTTTCCTCAAGGCCGCTGACCTCATTTCGACCAAGTACCGCTACGATATCATGGCTCTGACCATGCACGGCCAGGGCAAGAACGCCTGGCAGGCAGAGATCGACTCTGCTGCTGAGCTTGTCGACTTCTTCCGCTTCGGTGTGAAGTACGCCGAGGAGCTTTATGCTCAGCAGCCTGTTCACCACGCCCCTGGTGTGTGGAAGTGAGTAACATGTACTATACTTTGAACTAGATCGATATAGATCACTAATTTTCATTACAGCCGCCTCGAGTACCGTCCTCTGGAGGGATTCGTCTACGCTATCAGCCCCTTCAACTTCACCGCTATCGGTGGCAACTTGGCCGGTGCGCCCGCTCTGATGGGTAACGTCGTCCTCTGGAAGCCCTCGCCTTCGGCTATTGCCTCCAACTGGCTCGTTCACCAGATCCTTCTCGAGGCTGGCCTCCCCAAGGACGTTATTCAGTTCGTGCCCGGTGAGGCTGAGGAGGTTACTAGCACCGTTCTCAACCACAAGGAATTCGCTGCTCTCCACTTCACTGGTAGCACCGATGTTTTCCGTATGCTCTATGGCAAGATCTCCGACGGTGTGGCGCAAGGCAAGTACCGGAGCTACCCTCGCATCGTTGGCGAGACTGGTGGCAAGAACTTCCACTTGGTCCACAAGTCTGCCGATGTGCGCAACGCCGCAGTCCAGACCGTCCGCGGTGCCTTTGAGTTCCAGGGCCAGAAGTGCAGCGCCACTTCCCGTGCTTACGTCGCTGCCTCCATTGCCGATGACTTTGTCAACCAGGTCGCCGCTGAGGTGAAGCAGATTAAGGTTGGCGAGCCTTCCGATTTCACCAACTTCTGCGGCCCCGTCATACACGAGGGCTCTTTCAACAAGCTTGCCGGCGTCATTGATGAAGCCAAGAACGACCCCGAGCTCGAGCTGCTTGCTGGTGGCTCCTACGATTCCTCTAAGGGATGGTACATCCAGCCTACTGTGTACCGTACCTCCAACCCCGACCACCCTCTCCTCTCGCGCGAGCTCTTCGGTCCCATTATCGTCATTCACTCGTACAACGACGCCACCGAGGCTGACTTTATCAAGATCTGTGAGAAGATCGATACTACCGGCACCTACGGTCTGACTGGCTCCGTGTTCGCCCAGGACCGTCAGGCTGTTCAGGTCGCCGATGAGCACCTTCGCAACGCCGCTGGCAACTTCTACATCAACTGCAAGAGCACCGGTGCCGTCGTTGGCCAGCAGCCCTTCGGTGGTGCCCGTGCCAGTGGTACCAACGACAAGGCTGGCAGCGCCAACCTGCTGTCTCGCTTCGTGAGCTTGCGCTCGGTCAAGGAGGAGTTCATCCCCACCTACACCGTTGCCTACCCCAGCAACGCCAACTAAGGAAAGGGCAAATATGACCTTTCTACGTTGACTGTTGATTTTGCATGCCTTATGACAACCCGGCGTCTATTTTGCATTTCCACCTTTGGCGTTTTACTTTCCTGTCGGAGTGACGATTGTACTCCATGAGCCTTGCTCTAAAAAAAGACAAGCACGTGTATCTCTATATATCACTTGAAATTGATCATTTTATCTCAAATCCCTGTCCCAAACTCACCTCAAGTATCCGTAGAACAGTTCTTCAACAACTTCTGCATACTCTCCATCGCCCTCTTCGCAAACGGTTCCATTTCATACTTCTTCCCCTTCCCCTGGACCCCCGCATCAAAAATCTCCATTGAAAACCAACCCCGGAATCCCGTTTTTAACACTGCCCTGGCAACATCCTCGATCGGCAAATACCCACCGTCATACGGCATCGGCCTATAATCATGACTCCACTGGCCTCTCGGCCTTAACCCGTCAACAACCTTATCTTCTAAAGGCGGAGACACCTTATACGCATCCGAGATCTGCAAGAGATAGATTTTCTCTGCTGGGACAGTACGCGCCAGCTCATCCATGCTGGCAACGAACTTCTTGCTCAGCTCACTTGCGGGTAGGTCATTGATCAGCCCGGTGGAACATGTCGGATCGCCCCATTCACTGCCGGCAGTTTGGAAGGTGTCTAGACAAAGACCGACGTTGGGGAGATTGACATCGCGCACGATTTCCCAGACTTCTTTCCATCCAGGTGCGTGGGTGGACCAGCACCAATTTTCGTATGCGAGGCGGAATTTATGCTTTGCAAGCATTTTGCCCAGTTCGCGAATATCACATACGATCGTGGAGCGATCTGTGGAGATTTTGTTTGCTGGGGTATCGGTCGCTCCGACCTGCCATGATATCAGTACCGATATGATTAGATCTTGAAGAAATGAGTTATATACCTGTAGCATATCTGTGCCAACAACCTTCATGATCTCAATCCAACCTGCAGCTCTCTCAAAGGCCTCCTTCCGCTTGGGCGAATCCTTCGGCCACCCTTCAAAGTTCGCGAATGGTTGCAGCATCATAATCGACAAGCCATTGGCTTTGCAGAGAGTGCGAATCTCCCGGGCGACCGCAGTCAGCTCATTGTAGTCATCCGGTGGGATTTCGTGACCAAGTAGTTGTTCGCCGTAGTCGAGGATGTCTGGAAATGAGAGCTCGATAGCGGTAAATCCTGCTTTGCCGATTGCTTCCAGTCTTCGTGGTAATGTGTCGCTAGCTCCGCAGCCGATTGAGCAGGTGGCATAGGAGAGCGGGATTTGGTCGAGTGATGAGGACGCTACCGATCCCATGATATGCGGTTATAGGCAATGTTTTTGAGATTTTTGGATTCCGACGTTTGATTTGTGAATAGAATGTGTAAAAGTTTGCCAAAAGTTATTGATTTAATTCTAGTTACGGAGAAATAATGCGACTTTGCTACCACTTGGAGGAGTGAAGATAGAATGATGCAATGTTTTTGTCTCCGCGGGCGTCAGGCAATTATCGTCAACTCGACATCATCAGCTCCAGATAGCCTCTACCACAAATGTGCTTTAAATAATACCCTGGTAACTGGTATTCTATTTCCAAATTCTAGAATACAAGTTGCCTGTCACTGTTTGCCACTGATCCCATATTGACAACATATGCCGGGCTCTAGATCCGGTGGCTAAGGGCCACTCCTTGAAGAACATTAGAACTGGCATCGTTCTCGCATCCCTCCAGAATTTTCTCACAGATATTGTACACCATTTGCGATATTACCCGCATGAAGTAGATCAGGCCACTGCTCATCTATCTAACAATCATCATGCCGACCGCCAGTCCAACAGAGAAATTCAAGCGCATCGGCATCGTCGGAGTCGGGAGTATGGGCTCGATGATGGCATTCGCTTTCTCAGAGATCGGCCTCGATGTCTCCGTGTGGGATGTAGACAAGAGGAACGTTGATAAAGTGATGGAATGGACCAAGAAAGCTACGACCATGAAAGGCAAGATTGAAGGGTTCACCGAGATCGACAAGTTCACCAAGAGCCTCGAGGGTCATGGGATTGGCAAATTGTTCATGTTCTCCATCACGCATGGAGAGCCTGCAGACTCGGTGTTAAAATTGATCAAGCCAGATCTGAAGAAGGGCGACATTATTCTCGATGGAGGAAATGAGAATTACCGCCGGACTGAGCGACGCCAGAGAGAGTGCGAAGATATTGGAGTGACTTGGATTGGAATGGGTGTCTCTGGTGGCTACCAGTCAGCACGACGTGGACCCAGTCTATCCCCTGGTGGTGATGCTAAAGCTATGGAGCTTGTCATGCCGCTTCTCAATGCATATGCTGCCAAGGATCCCAAGACAGGAGCACCATGTGTGAATCGCATCGGGCCTGGTGGTTCCGGTCATTTCGTCAAGATGGTCCATAACGGAATCGAGGGTGGCATGCTGTCTACGCTTGCAGAAGCTTGGTCATACATGCACTTCGGCCTCGGTATGGACTACGAGCAGATTGGCGATGTGTTCACCGATTGGAACTCAAAGGGTGAATTACGGAACAACTTCCTGATCAACATCGGCGCCGATATCATGAGAGCTAAAAAGACGCCTAAAGGTGACTGGCATGGTGAGGGTGCTAGCGACAGCAATGGATATGTGTTGGATGATGTACTTGACAAGGTGGTTCAAGACGATGACAACAGCGAGGGCACACCTCTCTGGGCTGTCATGGAATCTGCTTCCCGACACGTTTCGACTCCCACTCTAACAGCGGCACACTACATGCGTATTGCGAGCGGAAACCGCGCTGAGCGAATTGAAGTCGTCAAAAGGCTCCAGATGCCCACTCCACGGAGTATGGAGAATATCAAGGACCGCGCGACAGTCGTCGAAAAGCTCCGCAAAGCAGTGTACTGCAGCTTCCTGTCATCTTTCTGTCAGGGCTTGGAGCTGATTGCCCGGGCATCAAACGACGAAGGCTGGGCAATCAGCCTGGGCGATTGTCTGCAGATCTGGCGAGCTGGGTGTATCATTCAGTCCGAGTACATTGCGGACCTTTTGCAGCCACCGTTGACATCTAACAAGCATGTGACGAATCTCAAATGCATCGACGCAGTGGCTCGAGAACTGCACGGCAATTTCGCTGCCTTGAAGTCAACTGTCTTGGAGGGCATAATGTACGACCAGTACATGCCTTCGCTTTCCGCGACTGTTGAGTATCTCAAGTATGACGGTGGTACTATGCTTCCAACCAAGTTTATGGAGGCTCAGATGGATTACTTTGGCGCACATTGTTACAATAAGCCGGTTGTTTGCGGAGAGGACCCTGGACCGACTCACAAGGGTCCTCATCACTACGAATGGAAGTCTGCCTAGATGGTGGGCCCATATCAACATAAGAAAAAAGTTGTATATTGTCTTCGACAAGAGAGTTGTGAATAAGATTTCTAGAATAAAACTCACAAAATTCGCCTCTAAAAACCACTTGACAAACTATATTCTTTAATTTCCAGTATTCCGTTGAATTCTATCCTCCATAACGATTAATTTGACCATGTAAGCTCCATCGTCATCGGTCGTATAGATCGCGTTCACCCCGCTTGACCTAAACAGGGATAGCGTCGTAGCCTCAGGAACCCGGCAGCACGTGGGGCCGCGACCCAATCGGAGCGGGGCAGAAGATCTGAAATTTGTCCAGAGATGCGCTGGGTCGCCGGCTTTCGCCAACTTTCCTCCATATCCAAACCCTTCATACGAATTGAGACTGCGAAGCAATTAGCACGCAGAATGGCCGCTCTTCCCTCCACCTACGATGGTATGTTTCACCCCCAAGCTGCTTCTACACGGCCCTTTCCAAGTCACCCCTCACCCCACTTGCGGGCAAAAGCTGACAGGCGCAAATCATACAGAGCCCGTCTCAATCGCTGTCATCGGCGGCACTGGCCTTCGCGAGCTTCCTGGATTCACCCAGGTCGCTTCGCTGAACGTCTCGACCCCCTGGGGCGAGCCTTCCTCCCCGATTACTATCCTCCACCACCAGTGCAAGCACAACAACAAGACCGTTGCCGTCGCGTTCCTGAGCCGTCACGGCCTCCACCACCAGATTGCCCCTCACGAGGTGCCCGCTCGCGCCAACATCGCTGCTCTGCGCTCCATTGGTGTCCGTAGCATCATTGCTTTCTCTGCTGTTGGCAGTCTGCAAGAGGCTATCAAGCCCCGCGACTTCGTTATCCCTGATCAGATCATCGACCGCACCAAGGGTGTCCGCCCATGGACCTACTTCGAGGGTGGTGTTGTCGCTCACGTTCCCTTCGGTGACCCCTTCGATGAGGGTATCGCCAAGGTTGTCCGTGAGTGCGGACACAGCTTGGAGGGCGAGGGTGTCGTCCTGCACGACAAGGGCACCATTATCTGCATGGGTACGTAGCTGGTGCTGGAGATCAAACCCCCAAAATACTAACCTCCGCTAACAATACTTTTCTTCTTAATAGAGGGCCCTCAATTCTCCACCCGTGCCGAGAGCAACATGTACCGCTCCTGGGGCGGTAGCGTGATCAACATGTCCGTCCTCCCCGAGGCCAAGCTGGCCCGCGAGGCCGAGATCGCCTACCAGATGATCTGCATGTCCACCGACTACGACTGCTGGCACGATTCCGCCGACGTCACCGTCGAGATGGTCATGGCCAACATGAAGTCCAACGCGGCCAACGCCCGCCACTTCGTGACTGCCGTCCTCGATGCGCTGGCCGCTGACGAGCACGCTGACCTGGTCAACGCCAAGCACCTGGCTGGCTCTATCAAGTTTGGTGTCAGCACTCCCCAGACGAGCTGGAGCCCCGAGGCTAAGAAGAAGCTGGACTGGCTGTTCCCCGGCTACTTCTAGTTTCTTGAATTGAACTTGAAGCACGTATATTTCATGATGCATATTCATATATAGATATCTTGGAGATAGACATCAAACGCTGAAACGAATGTCAATATCGATCCCGGTATATTGGGCATACAGAGTACGAGTTCTTCTTACATACGATTTACTGGAAGATAGAAGTCTCATCGATGGAAGGAAACAGAGAGACGTATTTGGAAACGAATAGACGTGCTGCATCCACTCGTCTTCAATTCCAGCTCTGAGGCCAGTCGTTATAGCAACTTCCCTTTCTTGCCTTCTACCTAGTCCCCGTTTTCCTTCTTTGTCTCTCCAACCTCAACCTTGTCAACACACCAAATCTTGACACAAATCTGTCCTCTTCCCAGTTCCCAGTCAAACCTCCTCAACCTTTTTCTTCACCATCTCTCCTCATTTCCCTAGCTCGCCCTCATCGCTCCTCGTCCTCTTCACTATACCATCACCTTAACAGTCACCTCTACCACCAGCTTTCTTCCCTCTTCCAATATGGCCGAAGCCGAAGCCGACGAGCCACGAGGCTCCTCCCTCCAGAACCTGCCTGCTGAGATTCTGCACATGATTGTTGAGCACATGGAATATGCCTCCGATGTTCACGCACTTTCACAGACGTGCCGCCGACTCGCCGCGTTTGGAGATAAGTGTCTCGTTTCCCACTTTGCTTCACAATGCTCTCCACGAGGGCTTAACAGACTGATAAAGAATCGCAATCTAACCGCCGTGCACACACTTGTTTCAAACCCCAACTTCTCCTTCCTACCGTAAGGGCTATCCCGACCCTCTTTGTGGAGAAGGATGAAAATATGAACATCAGAAAATGAAATTACTGCATTGCTCAGACTGTATGAAACTTAGTATAGTCATTAAAAGCTAGCCCTCATTCAAAATAGTTGAGCCGTGTCACTAAGCTGTCATTCAAGCCGGCGTATATCTACAAGGAAGTAATTATGAACTTCACTCATGCTTTACCTGGATTGGGGAGGATACGCTATAGGAAGCCTTCTTGCTCAGGCATCATTTCTTATATTTAGATGCCTTCATATATCTCTCTTCCAGACATCCTCTCTTCTAGTTTTGATACTTTCATACAGTATCACTCTTTCATCCCTCACTTTTCTTTCTCTTCACAACTCTCCTCGCAACTCTCCTCATAACTCATACCTTAAGACTTCGGATCCTGTCAGACTCTCGACATCTTGCTCCTTCAATGTCCTTTCTGTCACCCGTCAAACTTGCCACTATCTGGCTCATCGACTTCCCTCACTCTCACCCTCGGCCCACCATTCGACATCTCTAACCGATCTTGCCATACCTCTCGACTCTCCCCACCAGTCTCTGGCTAGCTCCGAGGAGATCTTTTACGTCGACATACGTTACCAAGATGTCTGGAACGTACGAGCCACGAAATCCACACCTCCAGAATTTGCCTCCCGAGCTCCTACATATGATTTTCGGGCACCTGGAGTATGCATCTGATGTCAATTCTCTCTCGCAGACTTGTCGCCAACTCTATGCATTTTGAGACGAACGACTGTCTTCCTTCTTTGTGGAGCGGTATTCTCCTCGCGGGTTCGAAAATGTGATCAATAATGGCAATGCAGCCTCAGCGCGCAAGCTGTTTTCATCCCCGAAATTCAGCTTGGAAAAATACACAAGCACCAACGAATCCCCAGAGATAACAGCTGCGGACCTCGGTCACCTCGAAATGTTGAAGCTTATCATGGATAAGATGTCATCAACTGCCGATTCCTTCAAATTGATGTTCAGCGCAATCAGGAAAGATCATCTCCACATCATCAGCTACAGCGTAGCCGAGTGAGTTCAGCTTCAATCATCCCCGTTGTCGTCCTTACAACGACCAGATGCTCCTTGGTGTCCAGTGGCTGCAGGATACTCGCAATTTTAAGAAACAGCTGGCTGTGTACATCGACCAGTGTCTTCTCCCCCTTTTCCAGAGGAGTTTTTTCAGTTGATCCGGTCGGGCATGCCAATCATTCAGATTAATTTCCCATGGTTGACCCAAGGCACGGAACTCGATAACCCCAGTTTGCAAATCGACCCACTGAAAGTATTCAGTGACGAACTGATCGGGGAAATCTCCTGTGAGTAGCGTCTGGGGTAGGAGTTGCAAAAGATGAGTTGGGCTTCGTGCTCTGATAAAAACTTGGTTCTCCTTTGAAATTCCGAAATGTACTTCGAACTCACCACACAGCTGTGCAGACACAAAAGAAATTCCTGGCAAGTTGGAAGGCATCACTGGTAGTGCTGTGCAGCCAAATAACCTTTGGTACATACCATTAGCTGTGAATCTCTGTGGAAGCCTTCCTGGAGGAGTTCCGTCCACAAGAAGTTCACCCATGAGAACATCAAAATGGATCTGTTGCTGAAGAATTTGGCTTGTGCCTTCGGGGCAAGCTGAGAGCCACCCATCTGCTCCATTGCACTGCTCCCAAGTCTGGGAAGAGTTGAGATACCATAGGATCCTCCCAACGGCTTCATTTAAACCTGCAGGGTTTTCGCTGACTATGGAGAAGACCTGATCCTTCAATAGGCAGCGGATTCTTTGTGCGTTCTGCAGGGCAAGCTTGAGGTCATTATGAGACAGCCTGTCGATATCCGAGGCGGAATTCTCAAAAAGAAGAATCGAGCTCCTGATTAGACAAAAGATATCTCGAGCGCTGTGCAAAATCCAGCCAATCCGATTCGAATCCACATCGTAGGTCTCTTGACATGTTATACCAATTTAGCAATTTTGAGGATAAGATCTTGGTATCTCTGGCTCTGATCTTTGTCACGGCCATGGAGATCATGGCTGAGTTGTTCACACCAATCGAGCGCGACTTCTCTGCAATCTCGTAAAAACTTTGCGAACCCCTCAAGAATGAAGCTTTGAGATTCTTGGCTAGATAGGTAGCCACCCGAGAAACAAAACGAGCGCACACCAAGGGTGACAAGGAGGTTGAGAGCTGCGTGTTCATTCCAGTTGCCCTCAATCATCTCCAGTCTTCTCCGTAGCACCTCCAGGAGACGCCCACAAAAATTGGAATCCTCAAAGGCTCGGTGAGACACCCTTTGCATAGTGTCGTGGTAAAATGACCCAAATTCCCATGCGGCCTGTTTGAAGAGTTGGACAACGGGTGGCTCGTTGAATGATAGGGACGATGATGCCAGTTCCCGCAACATGTTGTACCACTGTAGTTGCTCACCAGCACGCAGTGATCCATACGCGACGAACTCATGAAGAGTTAGCTTCTTGTCGCACTTTGATTGATCTGCCAAGACCATATTCTGAGTGTGGGAGCATGAGTTCAAAGCAAACTGCAAATTGCAGTAGGGCCCTTCGGAAATTTGTAAGGTACACTGCTCCTTGGTAGTCCCCAGCTGATTTTTCTGGTCCTGGACCCATCCATGTTGCGTACTACAAGAAGTCTGAAGCGCAGTGCATTGGAACGGCAGACATGAGAGTTGGTCGTAGGCAGGCGAACACCAGAGTAGTGGCTAACATTCCATGACTTGTTGACTGAGCCCAGGGTCAATCTCTGTCCATGGCTTGTCTTGAAACCTGAAGTTCCCTCGTAATTGAGAAGTTGAACTTGCAAGTCGCTAGCTTGCACGGTAAGTCTACCGCAGACGTCGTGAATTATCTTCCAGGTAAGATCTCTCCACGACGCAAACCATTGCGGAATTCGAAGCTCAAATACCACAGTCTTGCAAATGAATTCATCTTTAGGGAGGGGCCACTCATGAACTCTGATTGACATTCCATTCATCTGGCTTTCCAGCAAGCATTTTCGACAGTTTCTGGGTTTCGTGAACCATCTGACCTCCAGTGTCACTATTGCCATAGAAGTGGCCAGCGTCATTGTTCGCATCGTCTCTGAATTTGAGCCAGACGCTGGTCAATCGTGCCAGCTCCTGTTCTTTCATCTCACGATAACTTCGCGCATAGGTTTCAATTGCAGCTCGGAGACTCTGGTGGTCTGGAAAGACATCATAATATCGGACTGCGAAGCCTCGAGCAGAAGGGTCGCTAAAAATGCTGGGCGCAGAGGGATCGGCAGAATCACGTCGTCTGCGGATGTAGTCGAAAAATCTCTCAGCACGTTGCATCTGGCTCCATTTTGGCAGGAGAAGGGGGTCCAGAAAATTGGCGGGAATTTCGGGTGGGAAATCCTTGACCAGTGGACAGATCAAATTTCCCATTTTGTCGACAGCGACCCAGAGCTCCAAGATCGTAAGCATCATCAGTGATCTGGCCGGTGGATTGTCCGCATATCTCGGGGCAGCGATCGTGAAGTATTGCTCAGCAAGCTTCTCCACCTCGTAGCATGCCTGTGTCATCCAGGAGACCTTTGCACCGTGAGTCAAAGGCTGGAGCGTCTCTTCGACCCATTTTTCAAACGCGTTCAGAGCCATGATCGAGTCCTGCATTAGGGCTGGAAAACCATGCTCATTGATACTGAAATGATCTGACGACTTTCGACTGAAAACAAACTCCTTCCGTGGCTCTGTGGAGTAATGCATCGCATCATAGATCCCCTGCTTGCAGTTCGGCAGCGATAGACAACAGTGCTCTGTATCAACAGATGTGGGAAGTTGAGGGAGAGTGCGGCGGGTGCCATCTTTCATGAGCTGTTGGAAAGTTAGGAGCTCATCAGAGATCATTTTTGTAGCTTCGTAAACAACATGTGAAACGAAAGGAAAGACGCTGTCATGCAATTTGTAGGCCCGACGACCAAGCTTGGTCCGGATAACCGAAAGACCGTCAACAACAGTATGCGGGGGCATATATGATGATGCCTTACTTCCCAAGCCCGCCATCAGATAGAGCAGGAAGTTTTTGTATTGAGCGGAGCACTCCTCGGGAGGGAAAGAGCGTCGAAGGGTGAGTTGGATGGCCACTCTGAGAACAAGCCATGCTGGGGAGCGTCTCCATGGCAGGTAAGCATCTCTCCAGTTGACCTCGTCGCGTACAGATTTGGTGATGGGAAGGTCATTTTGATTTCTCGGTTTTCCGAATGCGAGGAGTTGGGTCATCAAGCCTTCTGTTACCAGGCCTGGATGTGCGGTGTCTCGAAACTCATCAACCACGGTACCAGCTTTTTTACTTTTGGGTCTCATTGCTGAGACCTCCTCCGAGTCGAGTTGGGAGATGCTAGTGGCGAGATAGGAGCGGAATGTCGGCTCGGCCATTTTTGCGGCTGGGAGGACGACACTGACTCCAGGGAAACGGCGCATGAGGGCACCGGGGGCGGCTAGAACCTGCTCATCTTGAGCGCACACTTCGAAGGCTTCCAGAATAACCACCTGTTGACTGCTGTCGTAGGTTGCGACAAGCCCACAGTTCTGAGCTCGGATATGGCAGGCAATTGCTCCTAGGATAGTTAGTGGATGAGTAAAATCGAATGCTCGTCTCATGGGGATATCGACAAAGGTTAGGTCCCAACTCAGTACTTACCCGTAGACGTGAGACGATAAAGAGCATCAGCAAGGGAGCAGATGGTGTTGCCGGTAGTAATCTTGACCCAGTTGTCCAGCATCTTCAAGGCAGGGTTCCACAGCATTCGCTCTCTGAAGGGCAGCGTGTCGATGAAGTCGCGCAAGTAATCCAGCACCACCAGTAGGAGCTTTCGTTCCAGCTCCCTCAAGTTTTCGTCCTCTTCTGAGGCAGCTTCGGCGGGAAAAACAGGTGGTGGAAGATAAACATGGCCAGCTCTTGATCTAGCTCCATGGTGAGGCGATGGGATACTGATCAAATGGATATGGGAAGGATGTAAGCGGGAAGAGTAAAATAGATGGAAGGTTGTTTTTGAATCAAAGGTAGTTGTTGAAGGAAAGGAAAGTTCCGGTCAGATGAGGATGGAAGAGAAAGATAAAAAGATTGCGAAGAAAAAGATTGCGAAGGTGGTTGTTGGGAAGTGGAAAGTCCAGCAAACCGGAGATTTCCACTTTGGGATAGAAGACAACCTCAATTTGGCCGCTTCCAAAGAGGGCGGTAAGTAGCCCCAATCCAGATGTCTTATAAAGGAATCATTCAATCTCGTTTCAGTCGTAGTGTCCGGCGTTCGTCTTATAATGTTGTCCTCCATAATTGACGGAGAAACTATTCATAACCAACGATATCTACCAGGCTACGGTATAAAATTAGAATTATAAGGGGAATCGCTTTGTGTATACACGGGGGGCTCGTAATACAGGAACCTGGCAGTCAAACGACGTTTTGTTGCCACGGCTAGCAAGGACTCCTCATCTTCCTTTGCATCTCTCTCACCATCTCGGACTTAACTCCACCACCAACTTTCCCCCGGCCTCGAGAAACCCACCTTCCTAACGTCCGATCTTCGAAATACACATAGCCCGTGACTGCTTCCCTCTAGCAGGTCTCCCAGACCCTCTGGCTGAGCAAGCCATGGCTCACATCCTGAAGCTACCGAACGAGCTCCTCGACAAGATTGTCCAGGAGCTCGAATACGGAGAAGAAGTGAACAACCTATCCCAGGCATGCCGCCGTCTTTACTGGGTCGCCAGTTATCGTCTTTTCCCTGGCTATGCGATACAGTATACCCCTACTGGTCTGAGCCGCATCGTCACCACTGGTAACGTCGACTCGCTGAGGAAGCTCCTCGCAAGCGGCATCAGCTTCAGTCGATATTCCGCCATGACGGGCTACAATTCCCCTCTACCAGAAGCCGTCAAATTCGGACAACGTGGAATCGTCAAACTGTTGATTGATTCTTACGGATCTGAAATCACTTCGGGCTCGTTGTCTGACAGGGATACCGCCCTGACGGCTCTGGAAGAGGACTGTTTGGACATACTCGAGCTCTTGGTGAAAACTGGTCTATCAAAGCACGACGCAGTGCAGGCCTTCGTCGTGGCGTGTGAGCTAGCACCACTTGCAACGATTGAATATTTGGTTTCGGAACTTGGTATCAACATCAACGCACGAGCTGACGATAATATGACCCCGATAAGGTCCGCTATCCTGTCCGGCCGTCTGGAGGTTGTCAAGTATCTTGTGGACTCTGGAGCAACAATTGACGATATGCTCCAAGCAGGCTCGCCTACCCACAAGTCCGTTCTCTCTGAAGCCGCCTCGCTGAACCATGTTGACGTGGTACGGTTCTTATTGGAGAAGGGAGCCAGTGTGAAAGGATTCACTGCCGACCAGCTCCGGGATCTGGTGTGTCAAGAAGCACCTCAATGCGCCGCGCTCATTTTCGAGCGGATTGGCCGGCGTAAAACTATGGGACGGCTTAAATATCTGTCTGTCAAGACGCGCGCTGCTTTCCTCGTGCTCGCCGCCGCCCTTGGGGACGAACCACTCTTCGCCAAACTGATTCGTCTTGGTGCTGGACGTATTAATTGGCCGGAGTCTCCGGTACTTGGTGTTGCTGCCTCGAGCGGTCATACGACGATTGTCATGGCCCTGCTCGATATGCTCAGGGAGAACCCCGATGCCCTCCCCAGCCAGTACAGCACCGCCATAGATTCAGCAATTCGGGGCAACCACAAAGACATCGTCATCGCCATCCTCGATCACGGCGCCTACGAATGGATCAAAACACGGGGCATCTGGTGGCTGACAGAAGCGGCAAGAAAAGGACGAGATTCAATTTGTTCAGTCCTCATCAAGAGGGGTGCTTTGAAATTTTTTTCACATGCGACGAAAGTGACTTCCGAAAAGCTCAGGGCTGCCTTGAAACTCGGTTATGCTCTTGGAACCCACTTTCATGGAAACATGGCCGTGCTTAGACAAATCCACAGGATCCTAGTCATCGGCTGTCCATACGGTGCCAAGGTTGCTTGCGGTGTTCTTTCGGGGGCAGCCGGTTTCTGCAATGAGGAAACCCTCAAGATGTTGAAGAATAGATACCGTCACATTAGTGGTTCCGACCAAGAGGGATGGGCCAGGGCCCTTACCAGCGCGGTGAGGGAATTGAACCCAGAGCCGATTGCATGTATCCTCCGATACGTCGATCCCAATTTTCGACCCATTGAAAAGTTCGATGAGGAATTTCCGCCGATTCTGGTCCTTTGTGGTCATAAAGTCAATGCCGGCAACGACCCATCAGTCGATGTTTGCCTCGATATCATCCGTCAGCTCTTGAATCACGGCGCGCAGGTTGATGACCTTGACTCTACGGATGATTCAGCCTTGAGGTCAGTGTCACTTCGCGGCGACAGTGCAATCCATATCGCCAAAGAGCTCATCGATCACGGTGCAGATCCTCTGATGACTGAGCACGGGGATCCGTCCGCCTTGGAGTTGGTCATTCGTAGGGGGGAGCCTAAGTTGGTCGAGCTCTTCCTGAAAACCTTGGAGGATCGCGGCACGCTGGAAGAGAACTGGAGCCTTATCAAAAGGTTCAGAATTCCTGACGTCCTCGCGTGGGAATCATACGATGCTGAAACAAGTATCCCTGCATCTCGAAATACAAATTCCTCCACAATGGACGCTCGCACGACCTGGGACACTTTCTTGATCAACAAGACGGTTCGCAAATATGAATTGCGAATGGCATGGTCTCGGCCCATCTGGTGACCAGCCTGAGCTTTTTTGGTCCAAAAGTCAGATCTCGGCAACTTAGGAATTACACGAATTCCATTGAATATCCACTACTCATATCTCGCATAAGTATCTTCCATCCGCAAAAACACATTTTCACATTAGATATACAATAGTACAGACAATAATCTGCACGAAGATTACCAAATCTTCTTCGCCACCATCTCATACCGTTTAACATGGTCTATCTTCAGGTCCTTATCCTTGTTCTTGTCCTTATCCTCCTTCTCCTTCACGCGCCGCAGACCTTCTGGGTCATCACCATAGATCCAACGACGCTTTTCATCACCAACCTCGACCATTCCCCAACCGCCGGCGCGCCGACTCCCTTCAACATTAAACTCGTCTTTACGAGCGGTGTTTTCAGTGGCGGGAGGGTGCGAGGATGAAGCCTTTCGCGATTCACTCTCGAGATTTCTCATTTTCTTGTAGCGGGAGCGTGCGAAGGCAAGTAGGCTCATTCCCAGGAGCAATTTGAGGATCAACAGGACAATGTATGCCGTCAATAGCAGGATGACTGTGAAGATCTGGACGGACTGCGCAGGTGAAGGCATAGCGTTGTCCACCAGGGTACTGAAGAAAGCACTGACGTGGGCAACAGACACTGGGATAACATTGCTCAAGGTCAAAGGCGGCGTAGACGGGAGAGGTGCGGGTGCATAATGGTTATGGATCGATGATAAGGATGTCGACCTTAGCGCGGTTGAGGACGGGTGTTGAGGGAGTAACGAGGCCAGGAACATCTGGTAGGTTTGCACCGACACGCGGATGAAAAGGCATGACAGTGGGATGACAGGAAGGCCAAGCCGGCGTGTCAGGTTTTGATCACCAAAGGCGTTGGTGTAGTAATCCTTGGCAAGAACGTCAAGATACCGGCCATACAATGCGGGTCGATAGTTGTTGAACTTGTTGATATACGCATGCTTCAACCAGTCCACCAACATCTCGGATCCCAGGACAACCAAGAACGGCCCCAATACTTGACCCAGTGTTGGAAGGAAAGAGTTGACACTGCTGACTGATGACAGGATCGATGATGGGAAGAAGGTGAAAGATTGCGGCAGGATTGACGATGCGGTTCGAGGAGGAGTAGACAAAGGTGTACTGTTGGTGCTGGTAGAAGCCTGGCTAGAAAAGCCAGACCCCAGTCCGAGATCGCCGATGAAGTTGAAAGCACCCGTCTCCACGATATTACGTGAGGCGATGATAGTGAGCATCAGCCACAGTTGGAACCTCTCCACGACATCCGCACACGTGAGCTGGAACAGGTTTTCTTTCTCGAACTTGCGGAAGACGGTTGACTTGATCTCCACGAACTGATTGGACAAAAGAAGGGTCATGAGTGCGTTTGAGTATGAGTTGACGGCCACATTCAATGTCATGACCTGAGAGAAAAGGGACGTTGCATGTGCCACCGTGTAGACGAGTGCAGCCAAAAACAACCCAAACGGACGCAGAATTTTGCTACGCCCATCTGGACGACGCTCGAGAGCTTCCCGTGAGAAAAGGCATTCAAGGACATCCTGTCCGATAGCAGCCAAGAGTCGATCCAATACTTCCAGCACGTTGTAAATGACGTACAGCTTGATAGCGGCTTGTCCACGAATCCAGTGATACATCCGACTGGCATCAAAGTACATCAACGCCCAACAAGTTGCCACCATAAGCAAACCAGTCAAAATGTCTGCCTTGTCATCTGGGAGTAGAGTTGATGGGATTGACTTCTTCCTCCGATGGTGTCGCCGCGATTCCGAGACGCGATGTCTTCTCTTCGAAGGCTCAGGTTCCCGATGCCTAGATTCTCGATCCATAGATGCTGTTGCATCTTGCCCCGTAGAAGACCCGTTGGCCAATCGAGATGTCACATCAGGTTCATTTTCGTGTTTATCGCCATGGTAATTCCTCCTTTGCCATACTCTCCCAATTCCATTGACCACAAACTTCCAAATGAACCAAAACTCGGCATTCAAGTTCTTTGCCCAGGATTCGAAGAGAATATAAACGGCCTTTATGAAGCGTAAAGGGAGAATAGTGAAGGAGTAGAGCCACGAGTCAAGACATGCGAGTGAGCCAAAACATAGCACCTGTTCCAATGCACCCGGCAGAATAAGGAAATTCATCAATCGTTCGATCTTTGCGCTGGATGATTCATATGGAAAGTCATTTGATGCTGATCGATGGATATACAGCGGTGATGGGCGACCAGATGCAAGCTCAAGCTGGAGATAGGTCGGTATCGAGACAGGGGGTATGGGAATTGAAGCCGGCAATGGTGATGGTAAGGGGCTCTCAATGATCTGAGGAGACGCCGCAAGGTGGCTCTTAAGATCACGATCGGGGGCATTTCGATCTTGTTTCGAACGCGAAGCCCATGTTTGCGCAAGCCGTTCATTATTCGGCAATGGAATAGAGTTCCGAGCGAGCCCCGGCGTCGAAAATGTCCGAGATGTATGAGGCCGATTACGGACAGATCCATTAATGCTAGGTCGTGGAAGTGCCGGGCTTGCAGGCAAAGATGATTCTTCAAGAACCGGGACTTTCGCATGCCGTGCTTTCAAAGTATCGTCTAAAGAGGGCGCCTCGCTGAGGGATTGCAAAATAGAGTCTCTAATTTCCGGACGAAGCGTCCCATTCGGATGGGAGTGGTCTGGAACCGCCCTTTGCCCAGTAGTCGTATCTGGTGTTGCTGTACGGTAGGGGATCGATTCGGGTGAGGATGTCAGCTCCTGAATCTTATCGGGAGACAATTTCAAGATCTTCTCTTTGTCGTCCGAAGGTCTTCGTGACGCATCCTCGGCAAGCTCAGCCAGAGCGGCCTTCACTTTAGATCCCTCCAAAAGGGTCGTCCGGCCGTTCGTCTCCGCATCATCTGGCGAAAGCTGGACAACGATGCCAAGTCCTTGGCCATTTGATTCAGAGTGCTGCCCATTTGTATGACCTCCGTTCGTAGCTTGTTCCTCCACGCCACCGCCGTTCACATTGTCCTCTCCGGCATCGGTTGTTTGGTCGTGTGTGGCGGTAGGACTCTGGCTAGCATCTGTCTCGGAGGACGTCAAGATACCAGATCCTTCATGATCCTCGCCGCTGAAGTTCCGTAAGGGGCCAGCTTCGCCGTTCTCCCTTTTCCCGTGGCCGTTAAGCTTCAGCTCCTGGCTCGGAGTAGCTCGGTTAATCTCCGCCGCAGGGCTCATATTCGCAGCTTTTCCAAGAGCTGCACTGTCCCAAAAATACCCTCCCGAGAGTTCCGGATACTCAGATCGTCGTTCTTACTCCCACGCAAAGAGTAGCTATCGTTCGCATTCTCTAAGTCTGATTCCGGCTTCGAGGACCGCGGAAGGTGGTCACGCTATGGTGCTAGGCGAAGAAGCGGTGAAGGGGGCGCTGGAAATTTAAGGTGGGCCTGTAGAATCAATGAGCAAAACTTCGCGCTAAGCTAAATGCTCATTTTCAGCCAGAGACGACGTTTGAAATCAGGGGCATGGCGATCATGCAACTGGTCAAGGTGAGCTGCAGCCGGGGAAGATAAGGGAGATTATCTGGCAAGTCGGAGTGACAACCGTTGTTTTGGCCTGAGGCAACCATGTTTATCATCACATGATCCAACGAGCAGTAACAGCGAATATACTTCAGTCCACACTAAAGTGATATTACATCGTAAATCTTGCAACTACTTGACTCCAACTATGACTTTAAGTATTCAAAAATATTCAATTCATCTAATCCAAAGAAACCAATTCTGGCACAGACGGCCAGACAAAACAGAACGGGGGTATGGTATGAGGGGTATGTACAACGTTTCAGTTTTCAATTCAAGAGACTTGCTCGCTGTTCGTTGTTCATGAGAAGGGGGTATTAACGACCTGAGCTTAATTTGAAACATCCGGTCATTATTACTGGCAGGAAGAGCCAGCTCTTCTGCAGTCGGTCATAAGAAGGTTCGAAATAAATCTTTGGAAGAAAGAAGGAATTCGAATCAATATGAGAACTCCGTGAAGGAGTGGTCTCAGTATTGATTGGTGTTTGCACGGTTGAAACCGTATCCCGCAGGAGGACCGGGTCGGTTCATCGCAGAGGGAGACGCGGTGTTGGCGCGTACGAAGGGTTGGTACCCAGATGGACCCGGGGGTCTTTGCATCCGAGGTTGTGGTGTCTGTGAGGGCATTGGAACGTTGTTGGCATTGGCGCTGTTAGCGTTGGGGTTGAATGCCGTGTACCCAGATTGAGTGTCGACCGGGCTTTCGGGACTGAAGGGAGTGTAGGTTCGTTGTGCGCCTTGCATTTGTCCATCCGATTGAGGACCAGGTGTGCTTCGATAGCTTGCCGGTGTCATTGACCGGCCAGGTGGAGGATGTGATGTTGCGCCGGTGCTAGCGGGCGTCATGGATCGGCCAGGCGGAGGATGGGGCATTGCTCCTGTGCTTGCTGGCGTATAGGATCGATCTTGGTATCCGTCATGGGAGGGGTACTCTTGCTGGGGGCGAGAGGGTGCCCGCTGGTTGTAATGTGCTCCAGCGCCCAAGTCATCATCATATTCGTCCTCGGGAGGAGCACCATAGTAACCAGCAGGTGTTCCATAAGGATCATAGGAAGAGGCCTGGGCAGCCGGGGTATGTGAACGGTCAAAGTAGTCATCGATAACGGCTGCACCGGGCGTGTGTGATCGAGCATAAGGATCAACAGCAGGGCTGAATGGACGGTATGGTTGAGCACCAGAATCGGTCAGGTTGCGCATTCCGGGTCCCGGGCTATTTCGGCCAACATCGTTGGCGAACGGCTGTGGGCCAGGAGTACGTCGCGACTGAGCCGTGTTTGTCCTTGAGGGGGGCACGTTTGCCATATGTGTCGGCAGAGGTGGAACAGGAGGCAGTGGGGTGTTCTGGCGATCCAGTGGACTGTATCCCATCGCAGCCGCATTACCAGTCAATGATGCAGATTCGGACATGGCAGATGACTGAGTCGCTGTTCGAGTGAGTGGTGGCTTGCTATCAAAGTCAAGGCTTGGCAGAGTTGGGTTTTTCTCAGTTGCAGTAGAGTTCGACCGCGTGTAAGGAGGCAATGTAGTCTGCGTGGTACTACGGGATAGGGTCGACACAGCAGGTGTCTTATCCGCCTCGAGATTGGGCAGGGATGGCAAGGTCGGTTTGGTATCTCCGCCTACCACACTGGGTTGTGTCGGTGCGCGATCCTGTAGCTTGAAGCCATTCGCCAAGGCCTTGTTGACCTTCTTCCGAACGATGCGCGTCAACCGGGTGCTAATCTTGCGACGACAATAGGCTTTGAGAGTTCCGTCCGTGGAAGGAATGTGATGGAACAAGAAGATCAAGTAAAGAACGACGGCTGAAGCCAGTTTCAAAACTGACAGAACCCAGATTACCAGAGTAAACAGCATACCGAACAGAACCACAGCTTGGAGGTTATTCTCCTCTGCGAGAATCTTCACGTTGTTGAAGAATTGCAGAATATCCGAGGTTCCATTGTCTTTGGCCGCATTCTTGCCACCTGGAATAAGGTCGGCCTGCATGACGGACCACAGCGTGATGGCGTTGATGACCTGGCGGGGCCCATCAGCGAAGACAGTGTTCATCCAGAATTGGAAAGAGAAGTATGAGTAAAGCGCGACATACTCGGCTCCTTTCTTACTCTTGGTCAATTCGGCAAAGACAAGGAAGCGCTTCCACCCACGACCTTCCTTGGTGAACACTCTGAAGCACTGGACGCGAACCGCAAGAGGGTCGAGGTAACTCCGCGTGATGCTGCCGGAGCGCATCGCACGGATAGCAAGCATCCATCGATAGATCAAGAGGGCGAAAGACACAAGGATACAGACGGCAAAAATCCACCGAGAGATTCTGAATGGAATAGCGGGTTCGACGCGGCCACTCCAGCGAGAGAAGGCTAGTAGGTTGACGGCGGTAAAGGTATCGACACCATAAACGGCAAACGAGACGAGCAGAAACACCCAGAGGAAGAAGTAGGAGAAGGGAGTCCAGCAGGAGTCGGATTTGAAATCGTCGAGGTTCTAAAAAGGCGATAGTTAGTATGAACCGCCATGGTCGCATCAGCTATCAAAACACTCCTATACGCACCACATAGTCCCATTTCTCCTCCATTGAGACTGCACCCTTTTCACGATCACCACAGCACCCCATTATGACGGTGATCCTGGACCTGCCAGGTAGCGATGACGAGCGATTGAACGAGTGTACGGGTCGAGCGACGAGTATGGACTTCCACGGGCCAGCCGGGTAAAGTCACGATCAAGTTCGACGAGTCAGGTGGTTGGTGTCAGAGAGCGAGTGCGACACAGCAGGTGTAAAAAGAGTGACCTGGGTTGGAAGATGTCTTAATCTCGTGACTGGCGCATAACTATGAGAGGCTCAGGTAGGAGGCTGGCAGAAAGATCGAGGGGGCCAGATGTAAGGCGTCAGGCACAGGCACCGACAGGGGGGCAACCGTGACAGGCGCACGACGAGACGACAAAGACCAGCGATGATGTTTCAGACTGGCATCCAGCGTTATTCTACACGACTGATCATGCACGAATGCGCAAGCAGATCGTGGGTATCGATCGCAATGCCAAGCGCGCGAGGGTTGATCTTCTTGTTGTCTGAGCGCCAAGAAAGGGGGTGGATTGGATGAGGGCCGACGATCGGATTGCGGAGAAAGAATGCGACGTGCGTAAAGGAGGTTGGAGATGAATGAGTGTAAGGCAAAACCGAAGGCCGAGTAGTAAAGACTGAACGATGGTTTTAAGGGAATGAATGGCGAAGGCAGAATTCGTGACCTTGGGCCTTGACAGGTTGAAAGGGGGAAAAGGGAAAGATGAAACGTGCCGCAGGAGTTCGACGAGTGGAGAGTGGAGAGTGCCAACGCGGGAAAAGGGACGAACACTTTTAGGGCTGAATGGTCCTTTGTCCTTTTGTTATCCTCTGGTCCATCTCTTTCTTTGAATTTTATCAGTACTAACGTCCTCTCGTTACTATTCTTGTCATGAAACGGCTGCCTCCTGCAGATGTTGGCGCCTATTGCATTTGTTGTCTCGTCAGGGCTTCCATTCCCAACGAGTCCTTGTTCTTCATACTTCCTACATGGAACCAGCGTCGGGGCTCACTTCTCCACCGTCCCACTTTTTGCATCTTTGAAACGAATCATACGGGGAATCTCCTCGGGGCTCTCTAACCGACGGTCAGACTGTCAGTGCGTGATTTCGCGTTCCTGGCCCTAAGCGCCCTCTTGGGCGCTTCCTCTCTACAAGATTTGTCCATGTCAGCTGTGAGGAGGACTGCGCAGTGCTCTGGACAGGATACGCAGTATATCTCCTAGTCTCACCCGCCAAGCTGCCTCGTAAGCCTTGGTTTTCCCTAATGCCTCCATAGCTCTTCTGTCTAGTCCGTAGTGTTCCTTTTAGCGCGACGAGTAGGTAAATTGGTTAGGAATTGCGTGGCCTACAGCTATTATTGACAGCCAGGATATACATGGCAGAAATTAGTACCTGGTCAGTCTATTGATGATTACGACTCGCGTAGAATATTATGATTCTATTATGTAGAAACTTTTGCAGCAATATATACAGCGGCCCGGTCGCAAGAGTGGGGGTTGGTAGCAAGTATACATCGTCAGATCGCGTAGAGTAGTCTAGCATTGCCCCCAATGAACAGTCCTCGGTACAATTACAGGTGATAAGAACATCAATATCTCAATTAAGTCGCTATTCAATTAGAATCTGCCAAATGATAGCTCCAAAATCAGTAGAATGGTCTATATTCCAAGGTTCCCTCTTCCCTCCCCCATAATGAAACCACCCCCCGCAGAAAGCTGACCCCCAAGCAACCTATCAACCAGTCACAGTGGACAACTCGAATTTAGGCTCAACTACTATTTCCCCCGCAGACTACTTCCTAGCAGCCGAGAATCAACCTCGGATGACGAGCGTGTCGACATGAGATGTCTCCGATAAAGTCTGTAACCAGAGTCGCTAATTGGCCCGTCATGACCCTCAGTGGTGACGTCGAGTCGTAGTGGCAAGCTGCGATCCGGCAATCGAGATGGATACTGGCAGTTGCATTTATAAGCCGGTGGAGTTACGCTGGAGTGACCTTGGTTATAAATGTGCTTTGAAGGTAGTAGGTTGTAGTCAAATTCAACGAAGGGGATTTGAGAAGTTCTCGACTTTAACCCATATCGGGCAAATTGCTCGTTTTCCACCTGGGTTGACTATCACCGATAACATCTTCCCATTACCTTTTCTTCCACCTGCAGTCCAGACTTCATTTTCTATCAACCCTCCATCGCAGTCATGGCCCCTCCAGATATCGTGAACAAACCTGCCCAGGGCATCTCCTACTTTACACCAGCCCAAGCGCCTCCAGCCGGGTCCGCTGCAAGCCCACAATCCGACGGATCACAACCTCCCAAGCTCTTCCAGCCCTTCAAAGTGCGAGGCCTGACCTTTCACAATCGCATTGGCGTAAGCTTTCCTTTGACTAGCATATCCCTTGACTCCATGAAAATTAATCTAAAATATCCCTCGACACGCCAATAGCTCTCTCCACTCTGTCAATACAGTGCCGACGATGGCCACATGACGGACTGGCATATGGCTCATTTAGGGGGTATCGCCCAGCGCGGGCCCGGTTTCCTCATGGTAGAAGCAACGGCAGTGCAAGCGAATGGCCGCATCACCCCTCAAGACCATGGTCTCTGGAAGGACTCGCAGATCGAACCCCTCCGCCGAGTGGTCGAGTTTGTGCACAGCCAAAACCAAATTATTGGCATCCAAATGGCCCACGCAGGTCGGAAAGCGAGCACCGTCGCGCCCTGGCTTAGTATGGCAGACATGGCTACCGAGAAGGCTGGCGGATGGCCCGATAACGTCAAGGGGCCCTCAAACACGCCATTCCACGACAAGTTCCCCATGCCCAAGGCGATGACTCTCGCCGAGATTGAGCAGTTCAAGGCAGATTGGGTGTCGGCTGTCAAGCGCGCTGTCAAGGCTGGTGTGGATTTTGTGGAGATTCATAATGCCCACGGATACCTACTTATGAGTTTCTTGTCCCCCGCAACGAACGACCGTACCGACGAGTATGGTGGCAGCTTCGAGAATCGTATTCGTTTGTCGCTCGAAATCGCCCAGTTGACTCGCGACAATGCACCCAAGGATATGCCTATCTTCCTGCGTGTATCAGCTACCGACTGGTTGGAAGAGTCCATGCCCGACCAACCCAGCTGGCGCGTCGAAGACACCGTGCGTTTCGCAAAGGCTCTCGCCGAGAGCGGTAATGTCGATGTCCTAGATATCAGCAGCGGAGGTAACCACCAGAAGCAGCATATTCACGCCAAGGCCGCGTTCCAGGCGCCATTTGCCATTGAGGTGAAGAAGGCGGTTGGAGATCGGCTGCAGGTTGGCACGGTCGGCATGATCAATGACGGTCATTTGGCGAATTGCCTGTTGGAGAATAACGACCTGGACTTTGTCCTGGTCGGGCGGGGATTCCAGAAGAATCCCGGTCTTGTGTGGACGTGGGCGGAGGAATTGGATGTTGAGATCTCCATGGCCAACCAGATTCGGTGGGGCTTTGGGAATCGCGGTGGTGGTGTTTACTTGAAGAAGCGACAGGAGAAGATGTAGAGATGCACGGTCGTGACGTCACTTTCAGCCTCGTGATGAATGGACTTGGATATGAATACGAATGATCATGCATGAAGATACGAGGAATATCGCAGAGGAGTATACGTGGACATTGTTTACAATGGAAAGCGCCAGTATATTGTCGCCAAGTATATTTTTAATAGAATATGTTATGTGCCATCAAGTATCCTTCCAAAACAGCCCAAAGAGAGCGTTTCATCTTCAAATATGATATTCAACCCCTAACTAATAAAATCTCGTCCATCCCATGGAATAATTCTTCTCCCAAGCAACTATTACTAGTTTGGGCAATGGTGATTCTCGGTCGGGACATCTATCCAACCGAAATACGAGAGCGACGCGGTTCAAGGGTCCAAGCCCGACCGGAATTCGAGTCATTCCGCCCGAGAACCGTAGCCACTTTTGCAGAACCGATCTGATAGCAAGGTGTATAGAATGTAGCTCAAAAAAAATGACAGAATATAAATATCCCATACATACCTCCGTGGTTCTTAATGATCATCTTGCAAACCCAATCCCCTCAAAATGGTGACCTTAACCGACGTCCAGTCCTCGAATGCCCAAATCGCAACTGCCCTTCCACCGGGTTTAGTCGCAGTCTTCGTCGGCGCAACGAATGGCATCGGTGAAACTTCCTTGCGAGAATTCGCACGCCATGCGAATCAGCCCCGGGTCTACTTTGTCGGCCGCTCGCAAGAAGCCGGTGATCGAATTGCTGCTGAATGTCACGAGTTGAACCCCGAGGGCGAGTTCACCTTCATCAAGGCGGATGTTAGCCTGCTTAAATCCGTCGACGAGGTGTGTCGCGAGATTACGAGGAAAGAGAAATGCATCAATTTGGTATTCTTGACTTGTGGCTCGGCACTTTCACACGTTGGTACGTCTATACTTCCCCATCATCAACCTGAATACCTGCAATCCCACAAGCAACGGCGTTAACATTCTTTCTCTGGCTTTATACAGACACCAGCGAAGGCCTCCACATCTTCATGGCCCTAGCATACTACGCCCGAGCACGTTTCATCCTCAACCTCCTCCCTCTACTTCGTCAAGCCCCCAGCCTACGAAGAGTCGTCACCGTGCTGGCCGCCGGCCACGAAGGCCCCATCTATGCAGACGACTTCCAAAGCCGAAACGTGCCCCTCCGCCACGTACGAGGCCACAACGTCTCCATGACAGACTTAATGCTCGAACACATGGCCTCGCTCGCCCCCGAAGTAAGCTTCATCCACGACTACCCGGGCCCCGTGAAATCAGGCTTTGGTCGAGAAACCAATAGCGTGTTGATGAAGGTTGCGATTACGATTTTCAAGATCGTGGGACCGCTGGTTTATATCCCGCTTCGGGAATCTGGGGAACGGCATTTGTTCTTTGCGACTAGCGCGAGGTATCCACCCCGGTCGGGCAGTGAGGCTGCTGGGGTGCCGGTGTCTGGCGATGTGGTTGTGTCGGGAGGTACGAGTGGGGACGTGGGTAGTGGTGTTTATGCGGTGAATTGGGATGGAGAGAGTGCCGGGGCCAAGTCGTTGCAGGTATTGGCGAAGATGCGTGGGGAGGGGATGGTGGCGCGATTGTGGCAGGATACGATGGCGGAGTTTAAGAGGGTTACGGGGGTGGAAAGCTTGGCTAAATGAGATGGACGGTGGTATTGATGCTTGCGCTGTTCTATTGTTATGTGATAGTAAAATAATAACTAATACAATCATGAAATAAAACAAGCTTTTGTTTAATTATGAGCTCAGACTAGAAAATAAAGTCGGAGCGGAGTTCGGGATAACTCACCAGGATGATCTCTTTAGCAGCGGCTCGTGAGCGTACCCCTAATCCGGTAATATGCTCGTCGCAGATGCCAAGGGAACTTCTATTCTCCGCGCTCGAGTCCTACTAGTAAGCCTGTTAGTGTTGACAACTCCAGCGTTTCAGTTGGCTACGAGAAAACCAACCAACCGACGGCCGGACCCGCATCGTCGAATCGGGTATGACTTGCGAGAGCGACAACTAACTTAGTGCCTACTCGATGGGGAATTATTTGGGGGGCCTGGAAAGTCCGTTGCATTCAAATATCGGTGCCTGGTCGACTGTTCGTATATCAACGGCAAGATATTAATATAGTGGTGGTCGCATCTTGTCAACGGCAACGTGTCCAGGTCTCTCTTATCGCAGCCTGCGCCTGTCAGATTCTCACATTCATCGGTCCCACTAGGGCGCCACATCGTCCGAGGCCATACGAAACAGGTGTCCACCTACGAATTCGCAATCGTTATAAAAGAGTCGTATCCCCTTACCTATTCGATTTAAGGACGGCGCATGTCTTGTACTAAAGCTCGAGAGTGTTGATCAAGCGACATCGGCGATCGACTCGGTCTCAACCTACTGGAGTGAGACAAGTGGTGCCATATTCACATTTGCCAAATTTGGCCTCTTCTTGATATCAACTGGCATCATTCGAGAAGGGTCGACAGATCTCTCAACCCTCCAAAATGGGTGTCATAAACGATAATCTTAGTGTGCTCTACCTGGGCGTGGCTGCTGCCATGTACTTCCGACCAGAATATGCCATCCTCGGGTCAAAGGCTGGAACGCTGATTCTATCATTTGCGATTCTGACCGCTTGGAAAATACTCTATCAACTCGCGTTATATCCTGCATTTTTCACACCGATCAAACACATTCAGGCACCATCGGTACGTGAATCAAACCCACTTCTGCCAATGCCATCTTTCGCTAACAACATCAGGGCCGAAATTGGCTGAGGGGAAACACCGAGACCATCTTTCTCGAGACTCCTTACAAGCGGATGCAAGAATGGGCGGCGAAACTGCCAAATGAAGGCCTCATCCGATACTATATCGTCGGAAACCTAGAACGAGTCGTTCTCACCAGCCCCAAGGCACTCAGCGAACTGCTAGTGACAAAAGCATACGACTTTGAAAAGCCCAAGACATTGCGACAAAGCTTACGCCGTATCGTTGGAGATGGTATCCTGCTTGCTGAGGGTGACGAACACAAGGTAAGTGTCACGAGCATGACCAATATTATCGCGTCTATACTAACAGAATACGCAACAGATCCAACGCAAGAACTTGATGCCTGCTTTTGCATACCGCCATATTAAGGACCTATATCCAATCTTCTGGTCCAAGAGTGTGGAAATGGTCAAGCTGATCCAGCAGGATCTGGAAGAGCGACGAGCCTCTGGAGACAAAGACAACACCACCACTGTCCGCAACTGGGCAAGTCGCGCTACGTTGGATATTATCGGGGTAGCAGGCATGGACCACGACTTCGATTCTTTGAGCGACCCCTCCAATAAACTCAACCGATCATACCAACAGATCTTCCAATCTCCCGGCCTCGGCACCAAGATCCTATTCATTATTGGAATGTTGATGGGAAACATCACTCTCCTCCAGAAGATGCCGACGCAACGCAATAAACGCATCGACGAGGGTGGCGAAGTTATCCGCGACGTTGCCCGACAGATGATCCGGCAGAAGAAGGAGAAGATGAAGGATTCCAACTCGCAGACGGGCGTCGATATTATCTCCGTCGCAATGCATAGCGGTGTCATGGATGAAGAGAATTTGGTCGACCAATTAATGACCTTCCTGGGAGCAGGCCACGAAACCACTGCCACGGCGATGCAATGGGCCGTTTACGCACTCTGCAAGAATCCCGAAGTCCAGGTTAAACTGCGCGAGGAAATCCGCGCGAATCTCCCCTCGATATCATCCGATGAGGCTGGTAACATTGATGCTACCACGATCGACAACCTCCCCTATCTCCACGCCGTCTGCAACGAAATCCTCCGCTTCCATCCATCCGTCCCAGGCACAATCCGCACAGCAGTCAAGGATACATCACTCGTTGGCCATGCGATTCCCAAAGGCACGACTCTCATCATCGCCCCCGAAGTCCTGAACCATATGGAGGAGCTATGGGGACCAGATGCGGATAAATTTAACCCGGACCGATTCATGGGCCCGGGCAAGGCGAACACGGGCGGTGCTACTAGCAACTACGCATTCTTGACTTTCATTCACGGCCCACGCAGCTGCATCGGTCAGGGCTTTGCTAAGGCTGAGCTAGCTTGTCTGGTCGCTGCTACGGTTGGTCGGTTCCATATGGAGTTGAAATATCCCGATCGAGAGCTGGAGCTTCGTGAGGGTGCTACTGTCTCGCCGAAGGATGGTGTTTTGGCTGTTTTTACCCCGTTGGAGGGATGGTAGAGTGGCTTTGATATTCTAATGACTTTTTCCTATCTTTTTCTCCTAAGATTGACGATTTTATGTTAGTGCTGATGGCACACCTCTCCACTTCGAGTTGGACAGCGCTCCGGATGATGTACTGTATACTCTCACGAATCACATATCGAGTCACTTAGATCTCTTAATTGAAACTCAGAGCATCCAACCTATTTCCATCTATCTATCCTGCTTGAGATCAAATCTAGATCTGCATAACATTCGGCAAACGGGTCATCTTAGGATTTGGATGGCGGCAAGATGAAACCGGATTCTATGGGGATGCGGTCGAACATCGTCCCGATTTCCGAGCCGGCACAACTCAAACACCCGCCGCAAAGAATGTACGATGTTCGATATGGACAGATTTAGAAAAGAGGCATCTCCACTTCTCAATGCTTAAATACGTTATACGCCTATCATCTCCTGTCTTCCTAATTCAACCACAACCTATTGCACCTGCATCACGCATACATCATGTCTAGCCTCAACTTCAATCCGGACAAAGAGATCCCTGACCTTACGGGGAAATCTATCTTTATCACCGGTGGTACGTGACACAATCCAATCTAAAACACTCCCAAATCTAATTCTATCAGGAACCAATGGTCTGGGCGCTCAATCAGCCATCCATCTAGCCAAGCACAACGCATCCCACATCTACATCAGCGGCCGTAACGCCGCAAGTGCCGAAAAGATAATCACCCAGATCCGCGACACAGGTTCAAAAAGCGAAGTTCAATTCATTAAATGCGATCTAGCATCTCTCTCCTCCGTCAAAGAAGCAGCCAAACAATTCCTGTCTCAGTCACCGACACTAGACATCCTAATGTGTAATGCGGGTATCATGGCCAAACCACCATCCCTAACAACGGACGGCTACGAATTACAATTCGGCACGAATCATCTCGGTCACGCACTACTCATTAAGAAACTACTACCCCTCCTCGAGAAAACGAGTACCGCAGGCGGTGATGCACGCATCGTCACGCTCACATCAGAGGGCATGTTCCTCCATCCCAAGGGCGGAATTGTCTTCGACAATCTAAAAACCGTTCAAGATTTTTGGGTCGGTGGACCATGGCGTCGATATGGTCAAAGCAAATTAGCCAATATGCTCTACGCCCGTGAAATATCCCGGCGATACCCCGGTATAACCTCCGTGTCTGTCCATCCCGGGGTTGTGTCGACGGAGTTGGTAGGAAACTCGAAGTTCATGGACCGGGCTCTCATTCACATCACTAATTTGGGAAACGTACTTCAACCGGAAGAGGGGGCGTATAATCAGGTATGGGCTGCGACGACGCCAAGGGAGAAGTTGGAGAATGGGATGTATTATGAGCCTGTGGGGAAGTTGGCGCAGAAAAAGCTGGATAAGACGGGGAGGGATGATAATTTGGCGAAGAGGTTGTGGGAGTGGACTGAAGAGGCTTTGAAAGCGTATTGAGGGGAGGTTATGAATGTTTGACTTGCTATAGAGCTTGAGAACCTCTTCTAGACACAATCTAAATCGAGCTTATCGTTTATGCTGTCGTCAGTAGTGCTCCTATATCGTGGAAATGTCATTAATTGGGTAGTTTACCGGAATTCTATGGATATGATAGGGCCATTATCATTTTACGGTTTGCTAGGGAGTTCATCAGTCGAAAGACGTCGAATTGGAGCTTAGAACAGTAGGTGCAAGCGATTAGCAAGGTGCGATACTTGTAATACGAAGAAAGCTATTCGAGAGTAGATCAAATATCAAGCTACCATAGATCCCCCGACATTTTCTGTTCTCAAAGAAGGGTACGATGCGGTGTTGATTAACAATTTCGGAGCGAGAATTTTGATGAGACGGCCTGCATCTCCGTCCACTAAAGGAATAATTTCTGATTCATCCAAAGACCTCGTGCCTTCATCTGTAGATGACGCAGCCATTCAATAATATCCGCCAGATGAACTCGAGTGTGAATCGTATGGGACTCGTTCTGGATCTGAGCGGTATGAGCCTCGCTCAGAATCGGAATAGTATGATTCTCGTGACTCCAACGAAGCCCATATTTCACGCGCCTCAGTAGGGCTGATCTCAGAGGTCATTGACTGACCCGGTCGTCGATAAGCATCAAACTTCAAGTCGACTTGGTTATCCTCTTCCTCTGAGCCGTATCGAATGAATCCTCGGATGTGACCCTCACCCATGAAGTAAAGCCCGTTGAGCGAACCAGCGCGATCATACGTGTCAATGTTGAACAGCTTACGGTCGTATCTCTGCCTCGGAAGGGCATTCCCACGCCAGAACACTGTTAGTGGATGATCCCTAGTCACTTCATATGGACGCTCTACTTTCATCATGCCCGTAGCAACGCCGAAATTGAAATTCAGCCACAAATTGTTCCCGTCAAGCGTTGCGATGAGGTTCAATCGGTCCCGATATTCTTCAAAGTTTGCCTCGACGTGGTCACAAGATACGTCGTATCGTCCATTGAGCAGGCCAATCCTTCGCCGAGGGCTCGACGGCGAGATCGACTGCTCAGGTCCTCGCCACCCAGAGGCAGATCCTGGGTCGTACTCCGAATAAGGTGGTGGTGCATCGTTGTTTTCGCCTTGAGAGTGTGCCAAGTATTTAGAAGCTCTGCTTGTAGCCCCCTTCGCCTTCGCAGCTGGTTTGGCAACAGGCTTTGTTGACTTGGTCGGCACGGCTTGCTTTTCTTTAGCAGTCGTCTTCGTAGCCATTGCCTTTTGCTTAGCTGTCGTGGGTTTCCCGTCTTTACGCGTTGTGCTTGAGGCCGTCGTCTTCCTAGCGGTTTGCTTCTTCACCTGAGGGGCAACGGTGGACGAGGCTTGTTCGGCAGCCGGCGTGACCTTCTTGTCCTCGACCGTGGTCTTCGGGGCAGCCTTGGCTTTCTTTGTAGCAGGCTGTGTAGCCTGCACCTCAATCACTCCGGTTCTCGAGACGCTAAGACTGACGTTGACGTTGACACTCGTCGAGGCCGATACCTGGTCTGCCTTGCGCTTTGTACCCTTTACCGCTGGCTTCGTAGTGGCAGATTCGTTCAACATCTTCTTCACCTCTCGTTCCTTCTTTGTCCATTCCTTCTTCAGGTCGGCCTCGATCTTCTGGATCTGCAGCGGCACGGCAAGGCTGCCCCCCATGACCGCATCAAAGAGACGCTTATGGGCGGTGCCCTTGACCTTGGATGGAGGCAGACCATAGTGGAGGAGTTGCGCTTCGTACCAGTGTGCAGGATGGTTCTCTGTGCCATTACCGTTGAAGTGATTCTTAAGCTCTGGTAGGGTCGCTCGACGGTGGCGGTTCAGGTTGCTCGTTTCACGATAGAGGGAATCCCCGGCATAGGAGAAGCCATCTTTCTGAGCTGGGGGTACGAGTGCCATCGGGCGGGCTGGCTTAATTGCTGTGGAAAATGTCGAGATAAGAGACGAATTGGGAATGGCAATAGAGGTGGAATGTCAGTGAGTTTGAAAAGGGAAATGTGATACGTGGGGTGCTTGACGTGGCGGGGGTTTAGTCCATCGCTCTTGACGTAAACGGATAATCAAAAACACCCAGCAATTATGAGTTGGGAGGTGGTACTTAAAGTAGCAGGCTGCTTTGTAAATTGCGATCCAAGATGAAAATGATAAGATTGTTGGGTCTCATTGCCAGTACATTTTCAATGAAGGGAAGTATTGCGGGGATAGAAACGTACTCTAGGCCGCTTATTGATGTAATACTTACATGCTCTGAGAGGGAAGAGAGGCCATATGCTCCGTGCTTATACTATTTTGATCTACCTACTTGTTTACATCTTTTAAAATCTACTAACTCATGAACTAGGTTATATTAAACTGCTATAGCTTCTAGTGGTTAGTTTGTTGACTTAATGATCGTCATATAGTAGCCCTATGATCACATGACCCGTGCTTATCGTATCTTATCGCGATCAAAAATTTTTGGATGAAGAGCATCACAATTGATCGAGTGGTCCCCCAACATTTCAATTCATAACCCAAAGAAATCTCAATCGAGACTTCCCCCGCTATCACGATCCAACGAGTGGTTCCGACGAATATACCCATTCTCAACACCCTTGATCGGCTGCGTCCTCGCTATCACTTCTTTTTCGATCGGTAACAAGCCCGCGGGGTAATCCAATTTCACGCATTTCTCAATGGACTCACAATCAACGATGGCGGCCCCGGCCAAAGATGCCGCCTCTTTCCTCGACCTTGCCATCGCTCTCGTCCTGAACAACTGGCCCGCCCTCACATTAGCCGTGCAATCAAACTGGGGCGGCCCTACCTCTGGCGACAAGCGCGACTGGCTCTGCGGCGCCATCTCAGACATGCTTAACGAGCGGCCCGAGACCGATGCCGAGGATCTCGAGGACGTCCTGATCCAGGTCATGAATGACGAATTCGAAGTCATGATTGATGACGAGAGTGCCGGCAACGTGGCTGCCGAGATTATGGAGTTCAAGGCACAGACGACTCGGGGAGAGTTCGGCGCTATTCAAGAGCTGTGGGAGACGTGGCAGAAGAAGAGCCAGCAGAAGTCTTCGGCTGCCAGCATGTTCAAGAAGGTTGATGCGCGGGACGAGGATCAGGAGACTGATGAGGAGGAGGATGACTCTGAGGATGAGGATGTTGAGATGGGAGAGGCGCCTTCTTTGGTTCGGGCACCGAGGGAGAAGGTTGAGCCTGAGATTGACGAGGACGGGTTCACTATGGTCAAGAAGAAGCGGTAAATCAACAGTACCGCGGGCAGTTGTTTATTCTAATGATCCATGATCCATGATACCTCCACTGTCGCTCTCATTTCATGTTTCTTCTTACAGTGAACGCATGAAGCACATAAATACATATACCTCCCCTTTTACATAGACGAATTGACACAATTACAACTGCTTACCCTCCGCAACCTGACGCTTTCGCTGTAGAAAAGATACAGTTACATGGAGTATTGCAATTTGACTCATTATTGGAAAAGACAAATAGCAATTCTATATATGGAAGGGGTAAAGAAGTTTCATAATCGTCAAAATGAGGCGTACGCTTTTGAGTGTATCATCGCCCAATCTCTACCCATCCTAGCTTCTCTTTCTTTGGAGGGGCAGATTGATGGAAGAAATTGAAAAACATCCATAGCTTCCACGGTGGTATCCTGTTTAAGGTCTTGTTCCCGCAATGCGAGAATATGCACATTCCGTTATATGTTTCCAAGCATCAAGCATTTACTCTTCGTTTTCGGGCAAGATGAGCTTAGTGATCATACCAATAGCAATGGTTTGTCCCTGAAGTAGAATGGTTAGCATCTGAATCATCTAACATTAGAAAGGCTAATGGGAGACGTACCTGGTCACGGAGGGTGAATCGTCCAAGCTGCTGGTAGTCCTCGAATCTCTCAACACAGACTGCGCCAGCAGTGCCGGTCACCTCCAGGCGGGCAATGATAGTCTGGCCCTTGTTGGCGAATGGTGGGGGGCGCTTGCTCTTGCGGCCAGTGCCAGGCTCGAGCTTGTGAAGGAGGGCAGCGAAGGTAACCTCCTCAATGGCAGAATGAACGTGAAGAACACAGTTGAAACCAGCAGTGAGAATGCTCTTAAGATCGAGAATACGGATCTTGGCCTCGAAAGCAGACACACAGTGGACAGGGCGCTTGGGGGAGCAGAGCACGAAACCGGGGAAGAAGTCCTCCTCTTCCACACCGCGCAGACGCATGCGGACCTGGTCACCACATGAAGCGGTGGAAATTTCGTCTTCAGTCTCACCGTAGAGGGCGGAGAGCTGAACCTCGGTGCGGTTAGGCATCATAAGATAAGTGCCGTTCTTCTTGATGACACCAGACTCAACACGACCCTCAGCCATGGTACCCATGTCACGGTACTTGGCGCTGATAGGCATCATGAAAGGAGCGTTGATCTTACGCTCGGGAAGCTTGAAGTCCGTGAGGTACTCCAGAAGAGAGGGACCGTCGTACCAGGGGGCGACACCGGCGGGAAGTCTGTCCTTGATGTTCAGAGTGGTCTGGGCAGAAATAGGCATACAGAAGATATCGCTCTTCTTGTAGCCAAGAGCTTCCAAGAACTTCATGACCTTGACGGTACACTCGTCGAAACGAGCCTTGCTCCATTCGACGGTAGGGTCGTCCATCTTGTTGACGACAATGACCAACTTCTGAACACCAGTGTTACGGGCAAGCAGGGCGTGCTCACGGGTCTGACCACCCTTCTCGAAACCAGTCTCATACTCACCCTTACGGGCGGAAATGACGAGGCAGCCCAAGTCGGCCTGGGAAGCACCTCCAATCATGTGAGGGACGTAAGACTTGTGGCCGGGCGCATCGAGAATGGAGAATTGACGCTCGATGGGGCCATCGGGGTGGGGGACCATGATCTTGAAGAAGGCGCGACCAACTTCGACAGTCTTACCCTTAGCACGCTCCTCGTTGGTCAAATCCAGAGCCCATGAGAGGTACCAGGTCTCACGACCAGCTTCCTTAGCTTCCTTCTTGTACTTGTCCAGAGTTCGGTCATCGACCATGCCAGTGCAGTAGAGCAAAGAACCACCCAGGGTGGACTTTCCGGCATCAACGTGGCCAATGAACACAACGTTGATATGCTCGCGTCTCTCACCGTAAATTTCCTTGAGGGTTGCCTCGTCGACATCAGCTTGCTGAGCCTTGGCCACAGCATCAGCGGCACGGGCAGCCTTGGCGACCTCAGCACGGCCAGGGCTAGAGCGACCGGAGGAGGGAGTGGGCGAAGACTTGCCACTAGCAGCAGCCTTCCCATCGGCCTTCTTCTCAGTCTTCTCGATGGCCTTGGCAGCGGTCACCTTGGCACCAGCCTCGGCAGCCTCAGCGCCCTTGGTATCGCCCTTTGCGGTGGTGGTGTTGGATGTAGTCGCAGCAGCAGGGGCAACGGCGGGGGGAGGAGTAGGCGTTCCGATGGAAAGCACCTTAGTCTTGGGAGCGGCGCTGGAGGTGGTGGCACCGATGGACAGAACCTTGGCCTTGGGAGCGGCGGCGGAGGCATTCGCAGCAGGCTTGGGGGCAGGCTGGGCAGGCTGTTGGGCGGCGGCGGGCGCAGGCTGACGAGGCTGCTGCTGCTGCTGCTGCTGGAAGCCACCAGGTTGCTGGTTATAGTACTGGTTGTAACCACCGGGCTGCTGGCCATATGCGCCGTATTGGTTGTAGGACTGCTGGGGGTAACCGTATGCTTGTTGGCCGTACTGGTTATACTGGTAACCACCACCACCGTATTGCTGGTACTGCTGTCCAGGAACGAAGGACGAGGCGCCGGGGGTGAAAGATGCAGCGCCGGGCTGGAAGGTCGCCGCACCAGGCTGGAAAGAAGGCGCCGGTGCCTGTTGACGGCCCTGTGCGTTCAGGTTGACACCCTCCGCTTGCCGGGAGAGCTCATCCTCCCAAGAGTCGGGGGTCTGGTTCGACATCGTGAGATAAATTCCGGGACGCAATGAAGGACACGGCAAGCGACACGGGAGTCGAGGTTGTAGGTTTCAACAATAATGAGGGGTCCTGTGATTTTGATTTTGCACAGCTGAGTCAGCGCCCCGCGATAAGTTAGCGTCACGTGTCTGATGCGTACAGTGACGAAACGAGGAACTTCTCTTTGTTTTGTCTTTCTGACTAGAAGAGAGTTTATTCTCGTTATCTGAATGTCTGGAAGGCCCAGAAGATTTTTGTGTCCCGTTGCTGGTGGTGTCCAACTCATCGTTGCGATTGGGCTCTTGTTGCCCTCTTCTTCTCTCTGACAGTTGGGCACAACACAAGACGGGTTATCGATAAGCCCCTCTATGCTTTGTCCTCAGGGGACGCTAACTACCATACCCAGCCCAATCTTCTCGGGTTGATTTGAGCCGTTCAAGCAGTTGCTGTGGCCAAAATGGAGGTCTTTTTGGCTCGCGTACGTCACTCATATCGGCCATATAGATCCATGGTCGTCTACTAACAGCATGCATTAATGAGCAGTTGACCCAGCAGGCGATGAACTATGCCATTCGGTAAGCTCAACAATTGCAGACTGAAATGACATCAAAACTGACATATTACGTGCAGCTCAGGCATTGCAATCACTGCGACCTATGCGATGCGCCAATCATCGCGCTTGCTCAAGGTATGCCCGATCTAGTCCGGCTGCCAAACTGTGGATCGGTTGCTGACGTCGGGTTGTCGATCAGACCGTTGACGGCAAGGACCGCGAGGAACTATTAGCTTTGCAGCAACGTCTTGAGAGCAAGATTCAGGTTTGTCTAGGTGCATCTTCGACATTCTTGGCTTTTGACTGACTCGGGAATGTAGGTTATCGCTCCGTCGATTGACATGATTGAGCTGATGTGAGTCTGTCGAAAGAATTTTGCAAAAGCGCTTCTAGACACTGACAGCAATACACAGAGCTGCTCGGGGAAATACGTCACTTGAATCTGCGGTCGCCCTCACTAAGTCTCTAAGATGGGACATCCAGGCCCTCGGTCAAAGGTTGGCAAAGGCCGCTGCTTCAGAAGAAGCCATGAGAAAAGCATCCAAGTCATCACAAGAGCGACCAGGCAATGAGGCTGAGATCAAGTTCATCATCAGAGACATCAAGAACTTACTTGCCCGAATCGAGGACGCAGTTCCTCTCATGAATCTAGCCATCACCACATCCGGTGCTAAATTGTCAACAAATCTGCCGTCGACAGTGTCGCCATCACGACTTTTGCAGGCTAGCACTTTCCTGACGGCAGGGGACACTCAGTATTCCATGTCACAGTCCGTCGATTCTCAAGCGGTGCAAATAGGACCAACATTTACGCTTTCAATGTACATGCTCTTTGCCAGTCATCTCCGTCCCCATGACGAGGAATCCGTCCGAGAAGCGACATGGAAAGAGGTCATGCACAAGGCACGACTGAAGCTACGACGCGTTCCTATGAACCTCTACTACTCTGACGACCAATCAAAGTCGTCACAGGTTCCAGCGCGACCAGGTATCGATGAATATGCTTATCAAGTCATGATCATTGAGGACCTTGATGATGGGAGAGTTCACACATTTGAAGAGAATGAACCTCAGCCCCATAGCTATGACGGGGTAGCTACGGCTGGAGTAAGAGAGATTCTCCCTATTCATCAAATTTCCAAGATATTCTACGCCGACACGGGCAGAATTCTCAACATTAGCACCGAAGGAGAAACCAACAATCCCGTCCTTCTGCTCAAGAGAGACTTGAATGCATTGCCTCCTCGCCGCATGATGGAGCACGATGATGTCGAGGATAATTCTTCCCAAGAAGGAGAAGATCAAGACTCGGTCGATGAGGAGCAAGCGCAGCTCGATGCTCAGCTGAGCGGAAGCAGTTCATCTGATCACACCAACCTCCATTCTTTACATGAAGACTCCATCCCCGAAGAATGGCGGTTACCTCCAGGCTTGGACCCGGAGTGGATCGCATTTGAAGTTTACAATGAAGACGAGGATTCAGACACCGAGTCTGAAGCAGAGCCAGGGGCAGAAACTTCCATTGATCCTAACATTATGGCTAAGCTGTCATTAACGGACAGAAAGAATTCACCATCCCCATCCCAATCTCCACTCGGTCGCCATTACGTCTCGCAAGGACCGTCATCAACCCAACCCGGCGCGACCACGATGACGGTTTCAAATCCATTATTCGAACACATCCGCACATCACTCTCGCTACTGGAAACCCTCCTGCGTCTAACCTCCCTTCAACAGTTCCAACAACAATCACACCTTTCAATTAGTGATGAACTATTGAACTTCTTCCTCGAAGAGTCATCTACCACCGGTGCCGGTGGCGACGAGCAACATCGCCAGCGTCTCCGGTCCGAAGCACGTCGCCGCGTCGGTTGGGATCCATATGATGAGAGTCCGGTCAAACACCGAGGGGAGGACTACCAGTATGGCTGGGGACCTGGTAGTCCCTCCGGCTTCCCACGAGACGGCGATGAGCTCTACTCACCCGGAGGTGGATCTCGAGGATTCCAGATTCGTTCCCGCGAAAACACTCCGGAGACGCCTCAGCGAAGAGGTTCGCCCAGTGTGCGCCCAAGTGGGCTGAGGGACATGACTCCTGCTTATTCGGATGACGCTCACGGGAGGCAAAGCTCGCCTTTGGGGAGGAAGACTAGTCGCGTCCCCAAGGGTAGAAATGCCGGCTCTGGGTCGGCAGTATGACATCCTGGACGTCTAAATTTTGTATGATTACGAGTGAAGGATGACAAGGGGGATACCCTGGCATCTCGATAGAGCTTTAAAGATCAAACTTTTACAGACATGATCATGAAGAAATGAAGACACAAGAAATGCACTCAATATAAATCGAGTTGATATGTAAATTGGGGGCGAATCATGTGCAGGTTCAGCGAGAAACAAACGGGAACATGGTAGAAACGGTAATAGTACGTTATCGATCGCTGAACTCAAGATACGACATCATAACGAATCCGGGAATAAGCAGATAAAAGTCCTGACAACGCCATTGAACCAGCCGCAGCGGTCTAAATCCGGCAAAAACCGACGCAAATGTCATGACCAGATCAACTGGTCATTGGGGTCTAAGAGACAACGTATAGCCTTCGAGACGTGCTCAAGAAGGCCAAGTTTATACGTTCTTGTTCATAGACCCTTGGGATCAACAGTTTACTCCCAATCCTCGTCACTGTCATCCGCCTTGGTGTCGGCAGTCGGGCTCTTCTCCTTGGGGCTGCCAGGGGCTCGGCTAGCGGTCCCGCTCACGACATCGTAGCTTGATTCACTGTCGGCCTGGGATTGCTGGTCGTTGGATCGGCGAGGTTCGGGCTTCTGAGTATCTTTGGCGGCAAGATTCTGGGTGCCAGGGCGAACCTGGGGAGTAGACGGGGATTCAGACTCGTCCTCGGAGTCGTCGTCCCAGCCGACTTCTTCTTCCTCTTCAACGTTGGCGCCTAGATATGAGGATCAAAGTTAGTATATACAAGATAAGGTATACAATGGGATAGTAAAGCGACTCACCCTTCAACAGCTCCTTGCGCTTCTGCTCTTCAGTCTCGATGACAAGGCGCAAGAAGTAGTACCGAGTCCAGAACTCCGCATATTCCACCTTCTCCGGGACAAGCTTCTCCATGGTCGCCCGCAACTCAGGGTACTTCTCCAGGTCGGCGGCAATTTCGTCGGTCTTGCTCTCCACATTGAATTCGTTCTTGAACTCGGGGAACTTGTCGCTGACCGGGTCCTTGGTAAAGCTGTCCATATTGGAATGGATAACGTGGAGCTGGGCCTCGAATCGAGTGGCATGAATGACCCGCTTGCCGTCGGCATCCTTGCTCTCGAAAAGAAGCTTGCCCGAGTCGTCGGTCTCGGGCGGTACAATGCTCACAGCCTCGCGCAGCTTTTGGCTGATATTCAGGCCGAATCGCAAGATAGCTTCGTCGGCAGCTTCTTCGGCCTTTTCAATCTCCTTGAATCGCCGGGCGGCTTCGGCCTTGAACCGAGAGATGAATCCCTCACCACTAGCACCGGCTTCCTGCGCCTGGTCCTTTGAGGTTCCTTCCGTTGCAGCCGTGGGCGTAGCGGCTCCATCCGTCGGTGCTTCGCTGCCAGTAAGCCCAACCGTGCTGAGAGACAGCCCCTTTGTTCGATCGACGATGGTGTTGCGCAGGTCTGAGAATCCCTTTACAGCTTCCTCGCTGGCAGCATTGTATTCCTTCTGCGCGCCTTCGTAATAGCTTTCTCCCTGCTTGCGTACATTGTCCCAGAGTCCTCCGATTCGGGTACCCCACGGACTGGCGGAAAAGGCGCGGAAGGTTTCTTGGAGCTCGGTGTTGAGGTTGCTGTTGGATTTCTCGTTATTTGATTCAGAGGAGTCCTCGGCCTTGTTTGAGGCCAGGATCTCCTCCTGGATATGGTCGTATGCGAAATCCATGGTGAGGTTGACAGGGAGGGGAGGTCCCAGACCGACACAACAATTGAGAGGTTGCACCTCCGCGTTCGACGATGGTCCGACCGCCCCGCTCGTCCCGTGCTGAGAGCTCGACGCAACTACTGAACGAACTCATGAATAAGGATCGCCATGCAGATTTTTGTTACAAGGAGTCGAAAAGACGGACGCTAAATTCAAGTTCGTAAATCTATGGGTATCTAAGAGTTTCACTGTTCAGGCAGACTATAAGGTTCTCCCACACTATCTTGGCTCCCTATCCAAAAGTTGGGCATAGGAATGCTCTCCATAACACTGGAAGTCAGAAGCTGACTGCGTGACAACATCCCACCCGGTCCATGATGACCCCGATCAACTGGTTGTGATGATTCGACTTGGACCACCGACCCAGGAGGTTGAGGTCGCTGAAAGACATCTTCATCACGGTCCATGCTGTTTTCATTTTCTCGGGCGGGCGAGGACTCGGGCACAATTTCAATCTGGTCTGTTCCCTGGCTTTGGGTTTGAGTGAGGGAAGAAGGAGGAGCACGCTGGGATGAATCATGCGTAGCTCCTTGGCGAGGATATTGTGTGCTTCCTTCATTAGGAAATAGCTCGGACAACTTTTGGGTGTTCAACGTCGGAATAGGCTCATATGGGAATTGAGTTGCCGGTTGCACTCGTCGGTAGAACATGGAGGCATCTGACATTGGCGCTTCAGAGGGAGGCGCTGAGTCTGGGTCGGCACATGCATGAGCGCTGGGCAAGGGAAGATCTTGAGAGTCATCGCACGGCGATTGTGGTTCATCATGAACCTCGTCCAAGTTTTCCAATAGCGGGCTATGAGGTCGAGTTGGAGTATCGAGGCCATCCCCAATGTCATCCTGAAGGTCATCATTGTCCGTTTCCGCATCCGTTTCATAAATCACTGTCCTTTCGCGTTGGGTACGCCTTGGTAGCGGTTCCTCTTCGGGTTGCGAGGATTTCCGGGAGACTTCTGACGCAGTCGTCAATGTATTTTGTTTGGATGATGGTAGAACCGGGTCAGGAGAATTGCGACTTGTAGTTCGGTTTTGTGTGGGTGTCTGGTTTTCAATCGTATCTTCTTTGTCGGGTGGCTCCTCGGCCATCCCTGATGCGCTGGGAGATTCTTCCTTGATGGGATCTTCAGGATTAGCGAAATTTAATCGCCCCTTTTTCTGTGGCGACCGTGTTGCACTGCGAAACTGAGACGATGTGATAATCGCCAACCCCGGACTTTCCGGTGACTGCGATGACGGAATTTCGAGTCTCCTCGGTTTTCGGGGGGTGATTGGAGTCTCGGTTTTAGAAGGGTGTTGAAGGTCAGGCTGTTTGAGACTTTGGGTTTCATCGGACTGGGATATAGGTTCGCCCGTAGACAAGTCTACTTCAGCTTCAAGAACCCTGCGAGTACGCTTTGGGGAGGACAAGCGAGGTTCCAGTTTTGGTTCCTTCTTTTCTGTCGTGTTTGTTTGTTGAACATCCTCTTTCGAGTCCTTTTCGCATGCAGGCGGTAAATACCCCATATTCACATCACTATCGTCGTCATCGTCAATCGTAATATAGCGTCGCACGAAATCCATTTGCGTGAGTGTTTTGTCGCGCTTTGCTGGAGCCTTGTCTGTCGACTTGCGCTTTCCTCTAACATTGCTCTGCCTAGGAGTTTGGCTCTTGCGTAGGGGAGCTCGTTGGGCGACCACACTCTTTCTCCGCCGTTTTGGGTGGTCGTCATTCATTCCGAGCGTAGATAGGCCTGATCTGGCCTGTAAAGTTGGTCGATATTCGGTATCTTCACTGAGATCATCATCTATCTGCACTGGCTGGGCAGCTTTGCGTGCATCTTCGCTTCCTCCAGTGTTATCGATATAGTCGAGCTCGTCATCGTCCGGATGTGGAGTTTGGGTCACAAAATCGATCTGTGTGAGAGTTGACTGTGCGTGATAGGAACTCGGTAGGGAGGCTCTTTTCCGGGTTCGCCCAGATGTTGACAATCCTGGAGACGCTGTTCTCTTCGACGTAGTGCTTTTCGAGGTCTTGGAAGATGACTGGGGACTCGGTCGTCGAGGTGTTCGAAAACGATCACGGGGTGTTCCTGATGCGGTATCTGGCGTATTATGGTGTTTCATCGCAGCTTCCACTAAACATACACAAGCACGACTCGTGGGTTTTCGTGGGATGACCTTACTGAGAGCCACGGTTCTTTTCCGAGGATGACGTTTGGAAATTGTTGCCTGAGGCTCACCGCGTCGGACGCGTCGTTCAGTTACGAGTTCACGTGATCTATTGAGCCTTATTGATATCAGCCTTGATGCCTAGTCAATGGTGAATGTCAACTGGGAAATTCACAAGGTCTAGGTTATTGGAAACTCTGTGATTATTGTGGTTTCATGGTGTCGCGAACTTTGAGAATGGTGTAAAATACGCCTAGAGTATGACTTTCAACTATGGACAATGCTTCAACTATCCATCCACCTTAAATCTGCCTGAATAGATCATAATATGTCACAACATGCACAAAATCTGTTTACATTAGCCACTCTGGAATGGCATCTTCATCTTCCGGATCCTCAGACAGAAGAGACCCCTTTTCAATCCCACTATCAGAATCTGGAGCAGGTGGAGACTGGATAGCCTGTGGGGGAGATGGTGGACGAGAAACGATATCAACGCTAGCAGATTTAGAGCCACCGTTGGCTGACGAGTCGACTGTGATTGGAGCTGTCGCTGATGATCCATCGAGCCCCGTTGTGGGCGGGCGGGCTAGGTGCTCTTCCTCTGTTACCCACTCGGATTTGTTTGGCACAACAATCAACTCATAACGAGGGGCGGTAGGCGCTTTAGGTCGTTTATTTTTCGGCAAATTCGCATGCAATGGAGTCGTAGTTGTTGGCTGAGGAACCGGTGCGCGAGGTTCTTCGGTGGAATCATCCTGGATGAATCCTCCTCCTTCGTCAGGCTCGTCAGGAACGAAGCCTCCGCCCTCGTCTTCAGCAGCGGGTTCATCCTCCTCGGGTACAAATCCACCGCCGGTCTCAGGGAAAAAGCCACCGGCACCTTCAGGCACAAAGCCTCCGCCTTCTTCGGGAATGAAGCCACCTCCAGCGTCTTCAGCGTAATCCATATCAATCTCTGGCTCTGGCTCATCGGCATACTCCATTCTCTCATCATCGTCTGCGTAGACTTGCACTCTTTCCGCAATCCTTAGTTTGATGAGGAACAGTCGCCATAGTCGCAGAGCTTCCGCTGATCTCGCTTCAACGGCAGCTTGGAGTCGCTCATCGGCGATACTTCTGAGCACCTCGTCAAGGGCTTCTTGGAATTCTTGGGCAATGACGATTCCCGCAAACACTGCAGTGCCCCTTCGTCCTCTAAACTCGAACCCGGTCACCGCGGCTGCATAGTCAATGCCCAGAATTTTCGCAGATCGAGCTGCTTCCGGGTGCTTGATGTGGACTGCTCCCGGTGGAACCATACTGGGCACGTAGACATCCAGATTTCCGTATGCATTTTTCGGGATTCTACCTTGCACCACGGGAGGGGGACGGTATATCTCAGTTTGATACTCCGCGTAGAGAGCAGTATCCTCGGTCTCTTCATCATCCTCGTCGCTGGCGAATCCACTCTTCGGCCTGGTCGCAGGGACATGTTTGAGAGGCTGTTCGCCTACCTTGACATCCCGTCCCAGCCGATACCACTTGTCAGCGCTGCGTACGATATGTACGTCAGAGCGACGATAGACGGTCTCCAGATTGTCACTCTTTGAAGTAGTCTTGCTCAGGCCCACGTGTCCGATGACACGTTTGGGGAAGATCACCTCATTCCGTCGCAAGTGTCTCTCCAGCGCGTAGACAGGGTGGTCTTTGAAATCCTGAATGTTGCGCGGCATCGGTTCAGCGGCAGATTTGGAGGTCAATTCACTAATTTCAGCCTCATCACGATCCTCGAGGAAAGGCTTCTCATAGGCAAGTAGTGCGTCATTCCACCATTTCTCCCCATTTCGCGTGGTCTCTACTCGGGACTTGCGGGTTTTCGCATTAAAAGCTTTGGCGTAGCGTCGAGTGACATCTCGCGCCGATGCATCATCCTCAAAGGCGACCACATAACTCAGGTAGTTGTATGGATCGCTTGCAGGGGGCTCGAATTTCGAGGGCTTTGCCAAGGTCTTGGTCACCAAAGGGTCAATTGGAATCCATTTTTGTACCGCCTCGTTGAAGGCTTCTACCCAGAACACTGGATAGGAGGAATCTCGGGGAGTTGGTAGAGAGCCTATGAAGGTTAGTGATTGCATAATGCGTACGAAAGGGCTGGCATACCTAGGCGCACGGATTTTTGAGCAGGACGTGAAGTGAATTCGGGCCTCCCAATCCGTCGTGTCCGTGATGGAGTTGGCAGTCCGCTGGATGACTTCTGCTGCTCGTCGGTAGATGTATCATGATCATCAGATGAAATCACAACATATTGTGGGGGTTTTTTTGCGGGCGTCATATCCTTGACGGTCCCAGAGAATGGCAACGGTTGGAGAGAGCAGACAAGCCTCGCATCTACAGCAGCTGAGCGCAACAAAGCGCAGAACAGCTGGGCTCCGAAATCACGAGAGCCCTGCAGTATCTTGGCTTGGGATTGAAACTCATCCTTGGAGAAGAATACTTCAGCATCGGACATGATTGTTTCCTAGATTTAGTCAAACATTGTTTGTTTCAAGAAATATATCATTATATCAAGACTTACCATTCTCTGCTTCAGCTGTTCCTCATCCTCAGCCCAGTGCGCACGCTTCAGGCCCGGTTTAGTTACACGAAACCTCCGACCAAAGATGTCACCAGCTTGATTGAGGCCGTCGATGAATGTAGTCGATCTCGTAAACTGCGGCTTATCCTCGTCGGGGTTCAACAGGGCAATGACCTTCTTCGGTAGCATCCTTTTGAGGTAACGCTGCCTTTCCTTTAGATTTGAGACCAATAATTCAGCAGATTGAGACATACCTGTATTGTATCATCATTGCACCACCGGTTTCTCAAGTTGACATGAGCCAAGAGGCAAAGAAGATGAGCCTTGTGAGCATCTAACCGCAGCTTTTTCTCGGCCGCGGTGACCGGCTTCCTTCTCGGGGGTGCCCTCTTGCGGGTCTCTGTCTCTCGATCCAACGTAATCTGTAGAGTTTCATCTCTTCCCTCATTATTGGCATTATTGGCAGCTGTGCCAAATAGTCCTTGGGCGGGTGGTGCAACGTCCACATCTTCCCATTCAACGTCCGATTCATCAGAGGTGGTTGAATCATAGACCGTTTGCACCTTCTGAGTGATATTCCCATCTGGAGAAGGAGCCGCGTAGGCCTGCTCTAGCGGTGGAGAGTCGACGGGGATAGCCCTTGTCCGCAGAGACTTTGAGTCTCCAACTTTGCGCCTCTTGACCGGTCGATCTGATTGAAATTGCCCAGGGTCTCGAGCTTCAGCCTCTTCCAACATCTCCTGGTAGACTTCGGGAACTCGGTCTTCACTTGTGGTCTCGACCTTTGAGCGACGGCCACGAGCAGTCCTGCCCCGCGCAGGACGCGCTGCGGACTGGCGCGCCATGTGATGCTGCGTGGTGCATCAAGATATTCTGTTCATGAAAAGGAATTTTTGGGTCGTAAGTCACAAGGGCCTCAAATTTTTGACTTTGTTGTCGGATATTATGAACAAGTAGCTCAGCAAGAAAGTGGGTGAGATGCTGTTAAGATCTAATGTTGGGAGCTCTAAAGGGCTCGATCTTCAAGCTGATGCTGATTGGGGCCTGGTGCGTCATAGCGGAATTATGGTTTATCCGGCCGTGTTATCGTATCCGATACGGTCGGATATCAACAAAGAAAGTTGAACTACTTGTAATCTGGCAATATCGAGGATTTAAAGATAAAATTCCTGAATACAGTTTTCACAAGAACTTATGCTGGCTATTTGATTGGTTTATTTTTAGTTCGAGGTGGTAGTTCACGGTCTAGTCCACAACATTTCCACTGGCTACCCGGACAAACCCTAGGATATATATCGAGCTATCATTGTTCAAACCTGTGGAGCGCCAAATTGTTGATGCCACAGAGATCCCATAATTTACTTGTACCCATCAGCTATAGTCAATAAAAGAGTCTATTTCAGGTTCAGATCCACTGGAAATTGGGAACTCTCTTTGAAACTTACCGCTGGGAAAGCTTCAATTTGCGCATCAGCTACAGAACAATCACATCACAACGTCACAATGACAAGCTCACTAGACCATATATATAGAGATTCAGAACTCACATAGAGTTAAAACATCTTTGATCCAAATTTCAAATCATCTCAGTTCTACATATTCAATTTTAAGCTTGAAAGATGGCTTTCACCGCTCCAGCTTTAACGACACCTGCCCGGTGCAGGGCAGATTTCTCTTTGATCCCAGTAGGACACTTATCTACATACCAGTTTAATTATCTGAAAGTCACTTAACTTTGGCTGTTATTCTCTAGATTGGATCTGCCACTCCATCCTTTTCCCAGCAAATTACCGACATCCAGCGACTCCTCCAAGACTCGGGGTTGACATTCGTCACACATACTACTGGCACGACGATCGGTAGGTGCTTCCCTCGATGCCGTCGGCAAGAATGAATAGGATAGTCAGTCATACTTGAATCTGGTCTCTGGAGACAAGCCACAAGTCTATGGCTTGTTTCAAGGTCAACGCCTCTTTTCGAGTCCATCATGTTACGTACCAGAGTCGGAGGACTAATCTACGCGAATAACAATAGAAGGTACATGGGACCAGGTTGTCCAGGTAATTGGGCTGGCACACACACTCACCCATCAGCAAGGAATTGCCAGAGTCCAGACAGACATTCGTATTGAAACTAGGTATGGGATCTATCCTATGACACTCGTCCAAACCTAGAGAATGCTACTTACAATAAGCATCTGACAGAACGGACAAAGTCCAACAACCCGTTGGAGGAACAGTAGCATCAGTGGAAAGAGTTTTCGCTGGTTCTACTTAGTCTCCCAACCGCCTTCTTTATTGGAGCAGGCTCCCATTCGAGTCATTGCAGCTATTGCTATGGAGAGTAGTAAAGATGGTCCGAGTTCCGGGCCACGATTGCAGGCTTCGTGGCCACTGGGAAGAACTTGATAATGCGGACATGATGATCCGAACTTTGCTCTCAATCATCAATAGCATTCGATATAACCGAGACAGAGAATGACAAATTCACTCCCTTCCCTCGCTGTCATTATTGGTCCCAACCATACTGGCGAGCCGCTAGAAACCCCCTCCAACACAGCTCTTTGGTGGGTCTTGCTCGGGGGAAATCCCTGCGCGGATCGGGAGCAGGTCCAGGAATGAATCTAATAGGTGCAAGCGGAGAAAACCACATCCTAGTAGACGCGCCCGATCTACAGTAAATCACCTTTCTTTTTGCAGTTGACAGTCAGTGACCCGTGTCACTTACGCATCTCTTCTACGCGACGAGCTGATTGGTGGACGGCCTCCACTTGGGCACAGAGTGTGGTTTTGTTTAAGTTCCGTGGTGCTGGGAATTCCAAATTGTAGCCTGAATTACGTTAGATACCGCACCGTAGAGTGGGGAGTTTGTTATTGTTATTTTTCTTGTCGCTGTTGATCTCAGCCTGACAAGCCCCTCCACCATCGGGCGTTGTTGCTTTATCAACTTGGAAGGGGCTGGGAAGCCACAAGCGGTATGTTGCTCATGGTGGGGGAGGAGTTCTCCAGCCGATCATCCAAGGGCCCTGCTGGATACCACTAGTAAATTATTAGCCTTCCTACCAGTATAGCTTTTCTTCATACCGCTTGAAAAGAGAGTTCTACTATACCTCTTTTGTGTGTTTAATTTATTCTAGATAGCCTTTCGCTTCCAATTCCTCCGTCGTATTGTGCCAGTGTGTCTACGATACCAGCGTTTCGAGTGGACGAAATAGTCTATCATCCAATGATGAGCAGGTGACGGTGGGCCAAGTAGTATCTGTCACAGGCGGCGGTCTAATATATAGTGGAGTGTCATAAGTTTGAAACCCCGGCTAAATATCAAAATCATCTCATCAGTCATGATTTGAAAGACAATTCGAGGGGTACTGCCTGGGCTATTCGGAAAGATTCTCTAGAAACCGAGGAGGATAAAGCGTGTCTGGCTAGGCCTTTTCTTCCAAAAATTTGAACTACCACTATACCAGGGTCTTGCTTCATGTGGTCGCAAGCCATCTATCATTAATTTGAACGGGATTGACTAGCCTAAACAAGGGAGAGTCACTAAGTCCGGCCTGCGTATTCGGCCGGATGGCCATGTCTCGGCGAGAATATATACATTGCTGAACAATACTGGATAACATCCGGGGAAATAGCTTATGGAGATGATAAGAGTAAAATCGGATAGATGGCTATAAGTGCTTGAATTAACAATATCGGTACGTGGTGGTGCCCAGAATCGAGCGCTAGAGCAACGCTGTATCACTATCAGCATGTCGATAATCTCGTTGTCGGCTCTAAGCTCATTTTTTAGCCGTCATGAAATTCTTATCAGCTGATACGCATTGCATTATCTGATAACTAGGGCCGTTCGTAGAATAAAATGAGCCTAAAATGAGGTTTCCCAGAACCCCAGTGTATTCCAGAGCAGAGAACCATGGAGTTCGTGGGGTACCCACAACAGTCCACCGTAGACCTACATACATACAACAATCTTTTTCCCGAGTAGTGGTGCTAGGTTGGTGCTAAATTAGAAGAACGGAGTGTCGCTTAACGTTTAAGCATGCATATAGAACTTCTAGGGAACGCATACGCAACGCGTGGTTCCGTGGAGCCCATAACACCCGCGAAGGTTTAGAGAACAGCCCCCTTCCTAGAGCTTCACCCCACCAAACTTCGACCAAGGGAAAGTCCTCGGCCCCGAACACGAGCCCACGACGACCTGTCTCCACCGCGGCGGAAACATTCGGTCGCGCGAGCCAAGCCATCGCATCGCTGAACTAAGGTATCTTGCATGCAAAAGATAAATAACTATCGCCAAAAATATCACCTCGGGCTCTCAATTTCCTGCCATTCAAACAAAGTATTTCCAGAGGTACAAACGCAACCAGTCCCTCGGGATCCCTCCCCCTTTCACCAAAATTTGGCTCCTGCGCCGGCGTTACCGACACTTTGGGACCCCGAGACTTTCCTGACAGTCGGGTCGGGGTCACTTGTTTTGACTCGCCCGATTGCCAATCAAGGCCCCCCCCCAGATCCCTCGCAGTGGGAATCCAGCAGTGTGGCAGCTAGGGGGAGAATTTATTTTTGGTTGGGGTTTGCAGGGTGCTTTTGTCTGGGAAAGGGATCGCAATCACAGCCGGGATCTAGATGCACGGTTGCTCTGCTGGCCCATGGCCCGCCCCCCTGTAAGTATGTACTGTGATCGATGGTGATACAAGATTATGACTCGATATTCGGAGTACTCCGAGTACGATGAGTTTTGCTACATCCCTCGCTTTGGCCGTTATGGAGCTTGAGAACTAGCAAGCTTTGTTTGAGCGGTGTTACCGGCTCATTGCCGGGGAGCCGTGATGGAGCTCAGCCAGGAGCAGTAAAGTTGTTGGAGATCATTAGCTTCTACCAGGAGCATTGTTCTTCCACGAGACATGGTCTAGCAGTTTTTACATTTTTACTGCGCGCATTAATCGAAGATGGTGATTGGGAGATTGGTTTCGTATCACTAGTCAATTTCAATGGATGACAGGAATAATATAAGTGGAAACTAAAGGGAAATTCCACAAGCAAAGTAAATTAATCTACGTAGCATCCTCGGCGAGTCAGTTACACTCTGCAGAGCGATGGAAAAGGAATCGGTGCAGAAAAGCACAATCCGGATCGCCGGAATAATGCGCATGCTCCGCGATGCATTTCTCCAAACCCCGACAATGGGGAACCCCTGATTTACGTGGCCTAGACAGCGACTGCACTTCGGGCTGAATCCATATATACCTGGACTGGTGGCCCTTGCGCCATTGATATACAACTACTGTGCTTCTGCACCCACACTTTAAAATCGTTGAGGAAAGGAACTGGAGGAGCACCCGTAGTAAAGGTAGCCAATAAAGAGCGGGAAAAGAAGAGAAAAAGAAAACGCCAGGCGCTTCCATTGATGATTACTGGGGACGCTATTTCTGACATATCAACTTTTCCACCGCTAAAGCTGAATACGGCAGGAGTCTAGTACTTAGGCTCTGAGTCAGGCGAAGGATTTGCTATTCTTCCGGAGGGGTAAGAATGTAAATTGATTTTCTGGTCTTACATTTGATTTGACCAATCGCAATTCGTTGGTAACGAGCTAGGCTAAATTCATAGCTAAATGAGCCACCGTGCGTCATCAGCATATAGCAAGATTCCCTGGGGTCGTTGTTGATTTAGAACAGCAACTCTTGGCATGAGGCTTTGTGTAGATGACTTCGTAACGAGGCTATCTGATGAGGTAGGATAGGAAAAAGTACTGTACATACTACTACTGTGGTTGCGCTCTCTTCTGGACAGTACTTCCTAGAGTCGTACTCAAGGAAATTCCCTGATAGCTCCACTCCCATGGCGGCTCTCCCCCCGATAGTTGCGGGGCTGACCATTCGCAATCAGTTGGTCGATCAGAAGAATTTCCTATCATGATGCTCAGTCAGTCTCGATCTAGCCTAGCAAATTGAAGAATGGCATCCATAGTTCACCCTAACTATAAAGAGTCCCACCCACCTCGATTATTTCTAATATCCAAAGTGCACCAGATTCCCCCACCTTCCGACCTTTTCGTACGGCTTCACCCCCCTACAAGACGAAAGTCGGGGAAATAATCGCGACCGGGGGTTTTTGTTGGCGACCAGGGATGACCTTGCAGGGAGATGCAACTACAACTTCGCCTGGGATTGAGAATGGTGAATTTTCTTTCTTTCTTTTTTGTTCTCTTTGACCCAAAAGCGGCGGGGTCCAGTCCCAGCACCAAGGGTGGAGCGGGCCGTGGCTGGGCTGGTTGCCAATTCCCAGCGGAATGGCACCGGTTTTCATTGGTTGATCGGTCGACAGTCCTTCTTGGTTGATTCTTGCATGAGGGAAAGAGAATTGGGTGCAAAATAAGTAATAATGATATGCTGACTGTTGACTCTCCCTCGCTACCCAAGTGCTGTACCCGAGGACGAGCTCTAACAAAGTGCTAGCCAGAGGGCTAACATTCTCGAGAGTTCGGTTGAGGCGGACTTTTCTTTACTAGCCTTATATGAGATTTGGAGTCAACCGGACTGTTAGTCAAGAGGATTATACGATATCTACCTGGACCTCCGCGGAACCCCCGACTCCGGCGCTCTGGGACCACCGTCCGGGTGGTTCCCGGCTCCCCAGGGCAAAGGGTCCCGGCCTTCGTACTACTGTACTGTGCAACCAAAATGCTCAGACGTACGGACTTGCCGAAGGGTGCTAGGTTCTCGAACAATAATAATCATAATTCCACAGCCCCCTAAAGCTGTAATTCGAAATTCGAAAAATAGGATATTCCTCTTTAGGCCCTCTGGAAAAGCACCCTGTCATTCTAGCCTCGGAATCTAGAAGAAGCCGCATGGCAACTCAACTGGCTTCGGACTATACCGTGCTACCTGCGCCTCTACATGCGTAGCCCAGGAACGACTTCCTGGAGAAAGACTCCATGATTGCCCGCCCGTAGCGCCTGTTCTGATCGGCTCGGCGACTCCCCGCTCATACTGTAGTTTACTGGTCCTGGTCTATTTGGCCCATCCCTCTGACGTCTTCTGGGCCACCCTTCGGTATACTCTGGCTTGACCTTGTACCCCATCCATGCACTCTTGGAACTCCACTTGACCCTCCCCCTGCGGGCCTTCGTTTTTTTCGCGACTTTTCCAATGTCGATCCCAACCCCGGCAAGCTCATAAGCGATTGTTTTATACTTGGTCGGATCATCTTCCCGCCCTGCCAAATTAAAACTTAACCCAAGCTGTCGGGCTCAACGAGGACGAGACCGAGACACGCCGCCCCTCCTCTTCCTCCTCATTTCCAAATATTTCGTCTTCGCCTGCACGACTTTCCCTCTGAACTAAATTCCTTCGCTCACCTGACCCTCTCCATATTTGGACCAATATCGACCCGCAGTGGGACAGGAGATGGAGCATTGCCAAATTTGCTGGCCTACTCGCATATTGAATCCACTCAGTACTAGCTCCCTGCCAGATCGTGTGCCCTAGACCGGGCAGCGTCTCACCCCCCTATCGATTAGAAAAAGCCAAGAGTCTAACACATATCTTGTAGCTTCCTTTCAATAATTTTTGATTTCAATCTGTTCAAAAATCGTGGGTTGGAGCCTGTCCATCTCATCTTTTCTACCCGGGATAGGGCTCAACCTCCAAATCCCATCCACCTGGATCGGTCCCACTGGACAAAGATCCGAGGTGAACAAGGATGGGTAAATCATCTGTAAGTCTTTAACCGATGTCTTTCTTTGAGAGAGATCTACCTGCAACTCCACTATAAGACAGTGGTGGTGGCAATGTGGAATCTTGCAAATCTGATCCTCCATTTTCTCTTCCCACGTTGGCTCCTCGAGACGTTTCTAACATGCTCTCTACGCAGGAACCAAAAAGCGAATGGTAATGGCTCTCGTCAAAATCCAGTTCTTTCATTTTCTGGTTCTCTTCCGAGCCTCTTAATTTCATACTAATATTGTGACAACAGTGACACGCAATCGTTGACCGACAGTGTAACGGACTATCCTATGGAAAATGGAAGACGATATCACAAGTACCATGAAGGAGGTATGCTGTCATTCTCATCCGACCACTACTCGGTATATCCATCTAACTTCACTAGCATACCCATACCCCAATGATGAACAAGAGCTTGATCGTCTCGACATGCAACATCATATGTTTAAACTTGTCATGAATGGCAAACTATACAACGTTCCGCTTGACAAGCCTAAACAAATTCTCGACATAGGCACTGGATCTGGTATCTGGCCTATAGAAATGGGTATGATTGTTTTGCCTCGTACACAGATTCTCCATGTCATGTTCGTCAACTCACAGCTTTTCTTTTCTCGGATCCTGCAGCACCTTTATTCCCAAACGCTGCAATCACAGGCACAGATCTCTCCCCAGTCCAACCAACCGAGGTTCCAGAAAACGTCCATTTCCTTCTCGACGATGCAACTGAAGAGGAGTGGCTATGGGACGCGGATCACTTTGACTTCATTCACGTCGGACATATGACGGGGGCCATGAAGTCTTTCAAAAGCCTATTACGAAAGACATTTAAACACCTTAAACCGGGATCATATCTTGAATGTCACGAGATGGATCCCAAGCCAAGATGCGACGATGGTACCATGCCGCCCGAAAATCCGGACGGGTACAGCGCATTTGCTGTCCATGACTGGTTTGACCTACACATGAAGGCTAGCCAGGAAGTCGAGCCCTTACGACAATTCCGAATAGCACCTCGGATCGAACGGTGGATGAAGGAGGTCGGCTTCGTTGATGTTGAACAGCGAGTCTTCAAAGTTCCGATGAACCCGTGGCCGGCCGATGAGAAGATGAAGGATATTGGGAAATGGAGTGAAAGTAACTGGCTCGAAGCGCTGGCTGGTTGGTCTTATAAACCCTTTCTCGGACTGGGTTGGTCGAAGAATGAGATTGAGGTGTTTCTCGTCGATGTGAGAAAAAGCATTCAAGATCGGAATGTGCACGCTTACATGGATTTCTTCGTGGTGACCGGCCGGAAACCGCTGGACGACACAAAAACATCATGAGTCGACACTCCTCCGATTCTAATTTTCTATTATTTGGGCTTCGTTACCCGATACACTTCCCCTATACCTTTTTGATTATGTCTTGGCTGAGATGATTTGCATGAGATACCACTGGCCGGAGAAGATTTTTTGCATGCATTATATTGGCGCATGGCTGCATTCTGCTCCATAAATAATGGATTTTGAATACAACTATTCTATTCTAACGTTCTCAACGTGTTTAAACCTACTACTTGATTTTACTTGACCGTGAATGGAGCCTATTCCACGAATGAGTCGCACGGGCAGCGGTGTACAGGATGTGTTTATCGAAAGAAAGTATTCAATACTGGTAGTTTTCTACGACACACGTAGAAAATAATTCAATCCCATCAGGCTGAGAGCAACTGTGACCGCGATGGACTTCATAGTAAACGGTGTCTTCCTATTGGCTGTCCGGTCGTGACACTTAATCACGTGACGCCAAGCCCTGACTGGAGACTGCCAAAAGGCATCGATGGTCTCCAGCACCTCCGGTTTGACACAACTTATCGCGGTCAATTGGCTCGCGCATGCCACATATAGATTCATGTCTTTCGGTAGGCATGCCTACCGGCATGCGTTAAAACCAACTGCTGCTCCAACGCTCGACCACCTCTGGATCAGCGACGACCTACTTGCAGCAACCTTCCGCCGGTTTGCGAACGGCCAGCGTCGCCATGGCAGCTGTGTCCCTGGGCCTCTCGAGGCACGAAGACGCTTAGCCAAACGAAGAAACACGGCCCTTGCTGGGTTTGGAGCTGGATCAGCTGAGGATATTGCGTGTCTTTTCGGTCGCAATGGGAGGGAGCACATGAAGTGGACCGACCACCCGTGGCAGAGAGCGCAGCTTGAAACTCAAGGTATCCAAAGCAAAAACACCTTTTGGATCCAATCGGATGCTGACTGCTTGGAAGATTTGAGGAATTATTCAGTAGCGACGCCGGAGGCTTCCTTACCCTTTTATGACCAGAACCCCGAACCAATCGACACCTCCATCTCCCATGACCCTCAGCCCAACTTCCATAAGCCGACCAACCCTTCCCGAGCCGAGCTCCTGAATGAATTTCTAGAGCAGGGTGATTGGGGACTTGAAGATGCCAGGGACTTTGCGCGTCAATTGAGGATTGATCTTCAACGAGAACCGAAATACAGCCGGCAGATCTTTGACAAACTGCTCTCGCGCTCGACCACAGACCTGAACCAAGCAATTCAATTCCTGGATGATCCATTCTTGAACACACGAGGCTCTGGAAATTATTTTGCTGCTGTGAGCTTGTTCGTACAAGCGAAGCTCAAGCGATCAAACCGGATCGCCATGCTGAATTCAGTCTGTCGTGCTCTCGAATTGGGGCTTCTCCCAACAGACGAGCTTTGTCTTATCATCAAAGCTATACCGAACATCATAGTAGAGCGAAATCAGACGCTCAGAGAATGGGACCAGAAGGCGTTGTTGAAGCATTACCTGGCCATGTGGAAAGCTATCGGTCGCTGCACCATCCTTGGTTATCATGATTTGCACAAGGGACTTGTTGATGTCTGGCTTACTGAGCTTGTGAACCTGCGCAGCTTTCGCTTTGCCGAGGAATTCGTTCTGGCCACTCATGACGCGAGCTCTGATACTCGTTGGCCCACGACCTTGATCATGGAGCAATTGGACGAGTTTGAGGTGACCACGTCCCTCCCGACTTTCTACCAGATGCTGGATGGACTCGATGCGGATTGTGCAACCCGGTGTATTGTCGAGGTTACAGAGTTACTGGCGATGCCTGACGCCCAAATCCAGGGCCGAGCCCAACTGCTAGAGCAATGGCGACTTTGCCTTTCAAATTTGTCGAATGTCTCGGCTCTTGCAAACTCGCAGGTATGGCTTGACTTGCCATTTGCCTACAACGAGAATGCGTTGGAGATAGCGCAGACCCCTTCGATCCTGCCCGTCCAGCAACAAATTATCCTTCGTCTATGGGCGTTGCGAACGCTGAGCCGATCTTTTGGGCCTATGTACCACCAGAGTCCACGGCCTACCGACAAACTAATTTACTTCTTGCTCGGAATCTACGAAACGTCGACCAAGACGACTGATGGGTCCTTGCTGTCGGACTTGATGCGTGGTATTCAGACTTTGAATCTCCCGTACAGTAGTCTGCTTCTGCTTGCGGTGAATATCAAAATGAAGAAAAACATTACCAAGACTGCCCGCAGGACACTCGAGAAGCTGGAAACATCGCAACTTTCTTTAACGGATGTCTGGGCAGATCCATCGGCTTACCATGGCATTCGTGACCTGTTCTATGGCACATTCGAGCAAATGTTCCGCCGCCTCGACATCACGAGCCAAGAATCCGCGGACGAATTTTTACATCTCGTCAGAGTAGGAGATTCAAAGAGCATTTGGTCCGTTCTGAGAATCCTCCGCAACCACACCCCTTTCAAGCTTTGCCTCAACAAGGCATGGGTGCCCCTCCCCCACCCCGACGAAATGGCCCTCGTGCGTTATCACCCCGGGCCTCGGGACAGCCAAAGTCCCGATCCTTATGCTGCCGTTGACTTTGTCCATCGACTGGCCGTTGCCATCTCCTGCAGCCACAACTTGACTCCCTCGCGGTCTTTCCATCTTATTCATCATTTGTATGACTACCTGCGCCGGCATGGAGGCCCTGTATACCCGTCTTTGGTTCAGGCCATGTATCATGCTGGTGTTGTGCGATATCGTCGCGAGGGACGCCGCGTTTCACCTACGCAGTACGAATACATCCTTTGGATTGTCAGCAAGTTTGAAGGACGCGAGGTTGCCACGCAACTGAGAGCCCCGGCGCAGATTGGCCTGAGTAAACCTGATCAAATGCATGACTACTAGGTTGCATCGTTGCAGCTCTTTATCGAAGACTTGGGCTCGCGCTGTACTATATAGATACCCGTTCCATGCATACCCACCAAGGGACATGGACACATGTATATACTCATGAAATGCTAATTCTGATCAATTTACACGATCATTTCCATACTTCCTGTCATCTTTGAACTCCCCAGAATAGTATGCCCATTGTGGATAAAAATGGTACTCCGTACAATAATGAGACACAATCCAAGTGTATATTAAATCATCTTAGAAAAAGACCACTAGCCTGTGCCTCATTCCTATTCCTGATTCAGACCGCATCTAAACATCAACCTCCATCTTCTCTCCAGCTGCGAGGTTGTCATCTCCCGACAAGGTCTCGATGGTGACATATTTCTTCATATCCTCCTTGCTGATGACCTTTTGATTCAACCAAGCAGTCGTGCCACGAGGGAAGCGGTAGTTGCGCTCCTTCTCTCCACGCTCGTTGGGCTTCTCGTAGTTGCGAAGCAACTGGGTGGGCTTGTCCTTCTCGATAACGCACACATCGACATTGCTACCGGAACCGAGATCGTTGAAGATACCGGCCTTGATGGCTTCGGAGCACAGGGCGATGGCACCTTCCTTGTTCAGGTCTGGCTGCCACATCGACTCGAACACAGACATTGCCGCCAGTGAACCGGAACCCATCGTCACGTATGGCAGCTTGTCCGTGGAACCGTGCGCGTGCACGGTGTACAGCCCGACGCCGGTCGGGTCCACGCCCGCAACCACGAGGTACGCTCCAATGTGTCCCTGGTATCGGAAGAGGTGCTGCTTGAGCATGGTCATGCATGTGATAACGCGAGGGTCGCGGCCGGTGGATAGGGAGTGCAGCTCGACGTTGGAACTGATCAGGGCGGTGGTGAATTCGGTGTCTGCGGCAGTACCGGCGCCGGCACACCAGATCTTGGGTGCGATGTAGTGAAGCTTTTCACAGTTCTATTTCCCGATTTCTGTCAGCCTCTGAACGGAATTTCCAGGGAGTTGTCATCGTGATTCAGGTTGCCGGGATCGATCGTACCTTGTCTGCTACTATAGGGCCGCTGGTGGCTCTGGTATCTGCTGCGATCTTCAATCACCAACGAGTTAGCCTCCATTGGTTGCGCAACATCCGAAGCTTTCGTGTCATTTGGAACCTTACCACAACACCATTATCGTAAATGCATCCAACAATTGTCGTACCGGTGCTGGTAGCTTTGGGAAGGGGAACGCCCCTGGCGTGAAGAGCCGCGTTGCGGTTGTAGTTGGAGAAGTCAAAGCCCGGCATCGTGACGACGCAGAGGGTACACGACCGAAGGAGATAGTAACAGTCAAATGGAAAAAAGGATCAGATCAGACGGAGGTTGTGAGTGAGAAAAGGTTCAGGAAGGTGGTCGAGGGGAGGAGTAAGGTGATGGTAGAGGTGAAGTCAGAGGGCCGAGCTGTTTGAAGTGACGAAGCTCCCGCAGCCTGCTGATTTCGGGCCTGAACCTTCAGGCATCAAAAACCATAGCTCTCCAACTCGCAACTCGATGTTTTTGCCTTTGGCCTTGCCGTTTATTTAAACCTCACGTCCACGTCTTTCTCAGACCTTCACCTTTACACCTCACAAGATATCTCCTTTCGTGCGATTATCTTCTTCTCTCTTCCAAGAGAGCTTGCTTCAAGATTTTTGCGCGCACCTTGACCTTATTTAACAGGAGTCCTCAACCACTCCAACGTCGCTCTTTCTCTTCAACTCCGCCAACCTCTCCTCTACCCAATGCGCCCAAGCCACATTCACCTCTAAGTGGTCATTCACGCTCCATTTCTGCTGATTTCGGGCGCCTGAAAATGGCGTTCAACTTCGGGTCCTCTGCCAGCCCTGCTGGAAAAGGCGCACCCAATGTCCTCGAAGAAGTTTACACCGACGTATGTCGCCCTGCTACAGCTTTCGCGTTCTTTTGACTGTCTCACATCTAACATTCACAACAGGACCTCGGCTTTAAAGGCATCTCTGGTGATGCCAATATCCGCTTCCTCCCCACCCCTTGGCCTCAAGACGCCCTCCCAGCCCCAAATACCTCTCTTCTAGCTGTCGCGCAGACGAAAGCTCTTGTTGTTGGTGCGGGCCCGGATTGTCTGGTTGTCGCCACCACCGAGTCCATCAGGAGAGCCATCGAGGCTCCTTCTCCCGGCGAAGAAAAAGAGCAAACGAAGCCATTCCAACCGCATGCGACAATCCCGCTTCCAGCCCGCCCAACACATGTTGCCTTCACTGCGAACGACGATGCGTTGATCATCGCGACAGAGAACGGTTCTCAGATCACAGTATTTCAGACGAATGCTTTGTTACAGGGCAACGCGCAACCAGCTTTATCCGTCCCAACAAACGGCGTATCGATACGATCACTTGCGCCAAATCCAGATCCTACTTCGACCTTTGTTGCCTTGGTCACGACCAATGGTGAACTCCTCGTCGCAGATCTGAAGGCAGGAAACTTGATCTCGGGCGCCAACGGACCGATCCTGCGCAACGGTGTTAGCTGCGTTGCATGGAGTAATAAGGGAAAACAGCTTGTGGCTGGTATGGCGAACGGAACGGCGGACCAGATGACCCCAGACGGGACGAATAAGGATCAAATTCCTCGTCCCTCTGATCTCGAGGAGGAGTGTCATGGTACGTTATTAAATTTCCCTTTCGTGCTTCTTATTCTAACAATCATACTTCTATAGTCTCGTCGATCGGATGGCTGGAGAACGATATCTTCTTCATGGTCTATACTCCGAATGCCCCGGAAGACGATATGGGGATTCCACCGTCATATTTTTACATCATTACACGACGAAAGCAGGAACCCTTTTTGATCCAGAAGTTGCCAGACATCTGTTCGACCGTGGGATTCATGATGCCACGTTCGCCAGCATACCAGTTCATCGTCCGGCTGCGTGACTATAAGCCACATATGAAGGATGTGTTGATCGTCGCGTCAACTGCCTCGTCTGACATTGGGCTCATCGTTCGATCTGACAAGCAGCTAGATAAGAATCCCGCCGGCCAATTTGCGCTAGTCGGTGTTAGCGACGACAGTAAAAGGGCATCCGTTCCGCTGATGAATGGCGATGAGACCTCGGTGATTGGCCTGGCTGCTGATTTGTCGAGCAGCGAGAATGTTCTCTCACCCATCCTGGGAGAGGATATTCAGGAGACTGCCACACCCCTGCCGGCTCTAATGCTCTTAAACAATGAAGGCATCCTCGCGTCCTGGTGGTTCATATACACGGAATCTATTCGCCAGAACATCCCATACTCTGGCCTCGTGTCAGCCAGCCAACCGCCAGTTAGACCCTCTCAACCTCCTGCTGCACCTCCACAGCCGACTCCGGCTCCGGCTCAACAGCAGCCCTCATTTGGTCAGCCTTCATTCGGCACACCGTCACCATTTAGCTCTTCTGGCTTTGGCAAACCTTCGGGTGGTGCTACATTTGGAAGCCCCTCCACAATGGGTGCAACAGCCTTTGGAAAGCCATCCGCTCCTTCATTTGGAAGCCCTTCAGGCCTCGGTAGTAGTGCAGCCCCGGCATTTGGGAAACCTTCATTTGGCTCCGGAACTGCGTTTGGCCAGACCAGCTCTCCCGGACAGCCAGCGTTTGGCAAGTCAGGTTTTGGTGCGGTCAGTTCGCCCTCGCCATTCGGGCAGCCTAGCACTCCAGGCAAGAGTCTCCTGGGTTCCGGAACCGGTACAAGTGGCGGTGGATTTAGCTCTTTCTCAGGAGGTGCTGGAGCAGGTGGGTTTGCTGGGTTTGCGGCTGCAAAACCAGGAGATTCGCCTTTCGCAAAGGCTTCAGGTGACAACGCATTCTCAAAGGCATCACCCTCGCCCTTCGGAGCCAAGCCCTCAAGTGACACGGCTTTCCCGCCGGCACCGACCAATGAGGTGAAGAATCCTTTCGGATCTGGATCTACTGGTGGTTTCGTTCTTGGTTCCTCTTTCAAGGCTGATGGTACGGCTGCAACTGATCTGTCTAAACCGGAGAAGCCTTCATCGGGTGCGCTATCTTTTGGCGGATTTGGCGAGTCGATCTCTCTTTCGGAGAAACCAAGCACTCCTGCAGAGTCAATGGATGACTCGGAGGACACAACTGCGGCTGAACCGGCCAAGATTGAGCCAGTTTCTCTGTTTGGAAGACCAAGCAAACCCGCAGCCCCGGCTCCATCGTTGTTTGGTACACAGGCAACGCAACCTGTTAAGTCGCCGCCTCCTCTTGAGACAAACAAGTCGAGCTCGGGTTTCTCCATCTTTGGCACCACTTCTGCTACCACTCCCCAGTCTCCCTTCCAACCCTCTTCCCAGACACTGGTCACTAGTCCTCTATCCGCACCTTCAGACGTAACGGCCACCCCAATGAAGGAGCCTTCCGTTACCACTCCTACGCTCTCCTCTCTCGAGGCACCGTTGCCTCCTGACCCTACCAGCAGGGCCAGTTACGCTCCAGGAGACACGTCAGCTTCGTCCAACGTCTCAAAAAGCTCTGTTGAGGATGCTCCCCTTCCCCCAGATCTCGTCTCGGCGAAGAAGCCCTCTTCCCTCTTTGGCGATGCACCCTTGCCGCCTGACTTTGTCACTCAGAAGAAGCCTGTTCCAGAGGTCGATGATGCACCACTGCCTCCAGACTTTGTGAGGAAACCGATCAAGTCAGAGAGCCCACCGCCTGGAATTCCGGACGAGCTTCCTGAAGAGGCGCCCTTGCCCCCCGACCCGATTGCTTTCAAGGCAAAGACCATGCCCGTAGAAGAGGCAGTTCCTATTCCCGACGGCTCAGATGCCGAGTCCCAGGATGCAGACGAGTCTGACTTCAGCGACAGCGGCGAGGAAATTACGCATGCCGAGACGAAGATACCAAGCCCTAAGCTGTCGGAGGCAACTTCCTTTGGCGGTCTCTCTGATAAGAGCTCTACTGGTGGACTCTTTAGTGGGTTCTCGAAGGCTGCGCCCAAAGAGGAACCGAGCCGCGGTCCGCGACAGCTGTTTGGCGAAATTTCCAAGCAGCCCATCTTGCCGCCTCCAGGCCGTGAGCCCTTCCGCTCACCTAGCCCCACTCGCATCAACTCGCACAAGGGCACGATGTTCTCCCGGAAACCCGAGGGCCGACAAGCCGGAAGTGCCTTGGCCTCTAGAAAGGCTTCCTTGAGTCAGGTTGTTCAGCGCGAGAATCAGCGCAGAAAGTCCAGTGACGCTGCTCGCCAGGACCGGGCTCGCGCCGAGGCTGCCGCCCTACGTCGAGCAGAGGAAGAGGTCCTTGCTCTTTCCGACGACGACGAAGACGAAATGCTTCGTGCTGATCTTGCTCGCCCGGTTGAGCCAGTCGCTACGCTTGATCCGTTCCTCCCCCATCAGAACTACACTGGTGACACGGTTAAGCCCGGCATTCCTGGAATGATTGAGCGACTCTACCGTGATATCAACTCCATGGTCGACACACTGGGCATCAATGCTCGCTCGCTGGAATCGTTCCTGCTATTCCAGCAGCCGGCCGAAAGCTCGGACGCGGACAAGTGGGTTGAAGTCTTGCAGAGTGACGAACCTGCCAATGTCCTTGATGAGGAGACATTCCTCCAGGATATCAGTAACTTCGAGGATGTGGTTGCGGCAATTTCCCAATCTCTTGACGAACAGCGTCTCCAAGGTGTGGGGGAGAAGCTGGACGAGTGCCGAGAGCTGCTCACCAAGGAGATCGTGACTCTGCGCGGTCAATTTTCCAGCATTCGCAAGACCCTTGACGCGCTGACTGACACCGGTGTGATTTTGTCGGCCCCACTTTCTGCTGAACAAGCTACTCTTCAGCATGATCTTCGGACCGCGTTCACGAACCTCCAAGCTAAGATGGCAGAACTTGAGCAAGGTGTTTCCATGCTGCGGGCCAAGATGGCTGACATTCCACGCCCCAACGGAACTGGCAGCGGCTCTCGGAAGCGTCCCACCGTGGAAGCCGTCTCTTCGACCATTGCCACTATGATGAGCATGGCCGAGAACAAGAGCAGCGATATTGATGTTCTTGAGGCTCAGCTGAAGAAGCTTGGTGTCGACACCTCGTCTTCTCGTCCCGTCAGCCGGGAAGGATCCCCATTCACCACCCCCCGCAAGAATCTTGCTCGTTTCCCAGCTACACCGGGCTCGCGCGGCTCTATTGAAGGCAGTGCTTACCACACCCCGGAGTCTGCTTCTCGCGACTTGAACTTCCGGGCTAGTATCAACGGCTCCGCAAAGCATAGCCGCCTGCGGAGCGTCGATATCGCGGGACCGGTTGCTATTCGAGAAGAAAGCTCCCAGTGGAAAGTTAAAACTCAACGCCGGAAGCAACTGGTTGGCAATTTGAAGGACGCCATCGACAAGAAGGAGAAGAAGGTTCGGGGAGTTGATGACTTTTAGAAATTGGGCTATTTTGAGCTACTTGGATCACTTGGGTGACCGTTGGATGGATCCTTTCTTTGGCTTGGTGTAGCCTCGCATATGGACATTGTTTTTCATTTGATATTTTTATTTCATGTCCCAGGCGTGGTTTTCTTTTTCATTGGACTGGCGGGCTATGAGATTGGATGCCCATGGAAATGTACATAAATGCTTTTCTTTTTCGCAACTCATTGCTTTGATCTCTTTTGCTTTCTGGAGTTTAATCAAAAGCCGGACACTGACATCATTTTGCGGTGTGACATCAGTCCTCCCTGACCCTCGACTCCATCCGATAAGGTTGTTTTTAAGCCTCGTAGAACAAGCTTTCTTTGTTACCTATGTACCCCTGTTTCCCTCCCCGCATCAATATCCGCCATGGCCCAAGTTAGTAGTGAGTTTATCTTCTTCAAGGTCAAGTGCGATGTCGAACCGGAAGATCCTGCCAACGAGCTGGGCGAGGGCCTGATGAGGGTTTTCCGCGCCACCAAACATCAAAGTGGCCACCATAGCTCGGCATGGGGTCGCACGGTGGAAGATCCGAATATGTTAGTATGGGTGATCGGTGCGTTATCCATTGTTTCTATTGTCCTTTTATGTCGAATTACTGTTACTAAACGGAAATCCATCAGAATGGACCGATGCCCGCTGCGCAATAACCTCGTGCCTTTTGAAGCCCTTCCTCGTCGAAGAAGACCAGCCTATAACTGCAATATATGCCACCCTCAGTCCACCCATCGGTAGCACCGAGACGTTGACTAAGAACCCGGTGACCGAGCTCTGTTTCCTGGCATTCCCCAATAACATGTCGGCATGCGAGACCCGTCAGCTAGACGCTGAGTTGATCAATTTCCGTACCGCGTTGGTCGTGCAGCTACCACAGGAAATGGGGCCGCGGTCCTGGTCAATGGGCCACGTGGATCGGCCGAGTACGGTGAAGCATGGTACCAGTCCGAACGGCCTGGCGACTGTGCATTTGCTTGCAGTGGGATGGGAGACCATGGAGGCCCATGACGATGCCAAGAAGACGAAGGAATTTGTCGATGCCATCGCGCCGATTCGAGAGAAGCTGCTTCTTCCCCCTGTACCTGATATGGAGGTGAAACATGTCAGATTCCAAAAACTCTAGAGAATGGGGAGGTTGGAGAGAATAGAGTGAGAGGCCAGCGTGAGAGGGCTTTCATCGAGTTGCATGGGATAACCTGCAAGAATGAGATATGGAGGGTGACTCGGGAGGTAAAACAAAGGTAGATCTTGGGTCCTGGGCTACTGGTAGGGGAAAGGGGCAATAGGGTAGAAGAGAATAGGTGAATTGGTTATTAGGAGGCAGGGATCGGGGCACACGCCTCAAATAAGATACAACGAGAAAAGAGTCAAAAACACCCGTGTGAGATTGAAAACAAAGAGAAATAGAATCATCATGAACCACCGTAGACTTTTGGAGCGCAACGCCGGTAGAGCTCCCAAGAGATAAAAGGTTGTTGAACTTAGACGCGGTGCTTCTCGCTTTCTATATGAAGGGTCAGTATGATGAAGAAGATTTGAAAGGGATCAATGACACTAACCAAGTCGCGAGTAAAGCATGTACAAGGCCATCTGGTTGCATTCCTGAGTACCGGTAATGGTCACCAGACGCTCGTTGCTGTTCTCCTGGGGCTCGTTGATCTTGATCACACTGCCGCTCAGGTGGCGTATTTCGTTGATCTTGGCACCGCCCTTACCGATAATGGCACCCACCATATCGTTGGGGATGTAGATCTGCTGGGTCAGTGGCTGGCCGGGCATAGCACTGCCAACGGGGGCTGGGGCAGTGGGAGCACCGCCGCGGCCGGCAGCGGGTTGCGGGCCACCGACGTAGGGGTTCGGCTGGTGGGGGGCAGCACCAGCGTAGGGAGTGTGCGGGGCCGCACCATAGGGCATAGCGGGCTGCGCAACGGGGGCAGGGGCCTGACCCTGTAGGTAGGGGACGCCGTACGCACCAGGCTGGCCACGGTTGGGGTGGGGGTGGTTGCGCTTGAAGGTGTCTGGGTGGCCGTACTGGCCACCGGCGGGCTGGGGCACGTATGGCACTACCTGCATGCCACCAGGGACGGCGCCAGCGGGCCCACCGCTGCGAGTGGCATAGGCCGAGGCTGCAGGGCCGCCGAATCGCTCAGTCAGCTGCTCCACCAGGGTCACGGCAACATAGTAGGTCGCAATGTGCACGGCATCAGCGACACCAAGGATAACCAGGGAGCGCTCGGTCGAGAGAGGAAGGCAGGTATCGGAAGCGTTCAGGCGTGCACCGGAGGCTTCCTGGATCTCGCGAATACGACTACCGCCCTTGCCGATGATGGAGCCAATGAGAATGTGGGGGATTAGCAAACGCAGAGGGTACGTCTTGGACTGGGCAGTGGAAGGGGCATCGATGGGTTCATTGTTCAGGGTACGAATGATAAGACCGAAGGCCTATGAGGGTTAGCATCTTGAGAACTTTTTTTTGGCTTACAACGATAATAAAAGAAGTCACCTACCTTGGCCACCGCGTCCTGGGCGCCGCTCACGGTCAAGATCCGCTCGACAGCGCCCCGGGAGTAGTCGCTGACAGTGCACTTGGCACCGGACATACGACGAATCTGGGACACGTTCTCACCTCCCTTTCCAATGACAGTGGCAGCCTCGGGGCTGGAGATCACGGCACGGATGTGGATCCAGCTCGACTCGTCCTGTGGGGGGTGAGTGTCGGACTGGGAACCAGCCCGCTCGCCGTGCGAAGCGGTCGACTGGATCGGCTGAGTCTCTGGGTGACTCTTTCCATTGGGGGCATCGGGAACAACGGTGTCACCCTGGGTATCCTTAGAGTCCTCAACGGATGGGATCTGGTTGCTCGACACGTCGGTCTCGGCCTCGGCCTCGGCGTCACTGCGTGCTACTTTGTCGAGTGCGGGGCGCTTAGCCTCCGGCTGGTCGTTGGGGCCCGAGGGGGAGGAAGGGTCCTCAAGAGGACGCTTGGTCGATTGCAAGTTGGATGGAGAGGCGGACATTGTAATCACTGTGCTGATCTGTCTTCACTTACGTGAAAGGAGTCGAATATCAAGAATGAAAACTGCTTTCTTCGTTTCTTAAGATCGTCTATGTACACCAGAAGTTCCCACAGAAGGTGCTGGTGCTTGGCGATAGACGGGGAGGGGAATCTGGTGCTGTGAAAAGGCTGGAGGTGGAGAGAGAAAGACGGTGTTGGTGCCGACGGAAGAAAGGGCAGAGCAATGGTGATGATGGAGCTCGTCAGTTGAAAAAAGCAAGGGGAGCTTCACGGGATATGCTGCCGGGAATTATTCGAGGGTAGGAAGCGAACAGAATGGAAGGGAGATGGAAGGTGTCGGTGTTGGAGATGCGACGGGTAGGGAGAGGGTCCAAAGTAGGGAACCAGGGAAAATGCGCGACCTGAAAAACAGCTTTCTCTAGACGTGGGATCGCAAGAGGAAGCCTAAAGGGAGAATAGGAAAGGGTACGCTAGGATGAAAGGGGATGAGGAACTGAGAGAAGGCGAGGAAGAAGGCGAGAAGGTGAGGTCAAGAAGTAGCCACGGGGAAACGAAGATGAGAGGATGAGGTGAAGTCGGGAGTTCCCCGCTAAACCCAACTGGCACGTCACGTGATATCAACGCGTCGCGAGTGTTTTGGCACGTTGGGTTTCCTGCAGTTGCACAGCTTCCAGTTCTAAGGATATACGCAGGGCACAGCTCAGAGAAGATATGGAGATCTCAGAAGAAACTGTTGAAAAGATTCAGAAATTTGTCCAGAGCCGACAGGCAGCCGAGAAAGAAGCCTCCCAAGAGCCGTTTAGCGCAACGGCCTTGCATGCCTATGCGCGACGCCTCGATGGGACCTTACAGCAGCTCCAAGAGCAAGTTCGACGACAAGAAGATGAATTAAATAAGGTCTGTGAAGCTTCATAGCCCTACAATAGGTGCGTATAGCTGACATTCAGAGAAACTTGCAGCTTCGGGAAAGTCGTGGTTCCCATGGTCTTTTGGACAATAGTGACGGCCCTTGGATGCGCGTTTCCCAGGCACGACGCGCAAAAAAGGCGTACCAATCCCTGGTTCTAGCCGAAGATGACCTGCCAACAACAGACTCTGTCTTGCCTTCACTAATCGCTACCGAAGATACCTCCCAGCTCATCGAGGAGGGCAAATTGTCCATTCTGGTTACCGCAGACAGACTGTCTGCAGATCGCGAGCGTTTCCGTATCGAAGAAGCCAATCTTCGGGATTCGCGCGCAATCTCGGCTGGCCTTCGAGAGCGAATCCAACGGATACGCAATGCCAATTCACGGAAGCAGGAGCAGACACCTTCCCAAGTAGCCCGGGAGGTTGTTCGAGAACAGAAAAGGAAGAACAAAGGCCTGGATCATGCATCCGAGGAGCTCAAAAAGTCGTTGGATAAGTTCATCGATGAGTCGCTGGCACAAATGCTCGCAGCCGAAGACCTTGGCGGTCCCACGGTTGGTGACGCCCTGGAGGTGTCGGACGCGACATTGAAAGCGGGCTATACAGCACATGGGAAACCGAAGAAACCGAAAGAGCCCGTTGAACAAGATGGGAATCAACAACGAATCGACCAGTTCCTTCGTCGCAGTACTGATGGCTCAAACCCCGCAAACAAACGAGAAGCTGCGGCGACGGAGGCGCATGAACTGCTCGATGCCTTGCTTGAAGCCGGTACTTCGTATATTGATTTGAAAAGGGATTCAGCAGCCTCCCGGTTCCTTGTGCGAGCCAAAGTGGCTCAGTTCCACCCGCGAGATGCACGGCGCTTACGACTGATTGATTTTGGCCGATCACTCGGTGATTAAGGATGATGAGCTATGGAGTTTTCCAGACGGAAGATGGTCATTATGTCTACTTATATCCTATCCTAAACCTGTCATAATCTGTCACAAGACACATGAAGAATCCATGCCTCTGCCCATGGGTAATTGCAACCGCGAAATTGCTCGCGGGAAATGAGAAACGCCTATAGATGCTCCATGCGTAGACAGCGCCAAATCATGAAACCTTGTAAAGAGAGAGAAAAGAACAAATAAAAGGAACAAAAAAAAACCTCAAACAGGCATCATTCCAATCGTTGATTTTGAGGCTTTGGAACTGGCGGTTTTTCGAGGTGCAGCCGAAGACCTGCTGGGAGCGCGATCACCGGCAGATTTCGCCCTGGACCGGGCTCCCTTCGCTTTCCAGGTGCCTGTGGAGCCACCGTTCTTTCGTCGAGGTCGCTTCGTGTATGGACGCTTGCCACCCTTCGAGCTCGACGCAGCACGGCCAGGCTCGTAATCGTCGCCAGGATCAGGGCCGGGGGAGGGTGCAGGAGGGAAGTAACGGCTAGTGATGTTGTCTGGGGGGTTTTCCATGGGGTAATCCAGGTCAAGAGTCGAGTTCTGGTCCACAAAAAGGTCATCATCACTATACTCATCGCTACTGCTGAGGTTGATAACATTGTGATGGTTGGGATCCGGAACAATGCCATTGCTTTCTGCCTCGTCTTTTAGTTCGTGGTAGCGGCGCCGGGCATTGTCCACCAGCTTCAAGATTTGGCGACCATATCGTTTCACCTTATCAGAGTCGATGCCAGGAATAGCAGAAAGCTCTGAGATGTCTATAAAGAAATCAGTATTCAACCACTATCATCATGAACGCATTATCAAACTCACTCTTGGGGAACGAGATGGCCATATCGCGCAAAATATGGTCAGGGAACGGCTGTGTTCGAAGACCCTTCTCCACAACAATCTATGCAAAGAGTTAGTGAGCACGGCGAAATAATCAGCAATACACGATGGGGTCTTACCTCTTGCAAGTACCTCTTGGCTGTCACTTCAAAGTCCTCCACAACGGCACGGTGAAGATGATCCAGACGTTCCATCTTTTGATCGATTGTGATGGGAGGGCCCACTTCATGTCCAACGTCATTTCGGGGCCTGCTCGCCACTCGGAGAGGCTCAAAGCCATCACTCTCGTCATCAGTTGATGAATTGTCGACGCGCTTGCTCCGCTGTTGAGATCGCGCCTGGCGGCGATCATGAGCGGATTGAATAGGTGATGAAACCATAGTGGATTGAGGATAAGCCTGAGTGCCAGACTTTGCCCTTTGCGCAGGTCGCGCCGCAGCCTTGCCTTTGCCTTTAGGAGAGATGCGCACTTGCAGTTTCAACTGGCGCTCGCCAGTTTCGAATTCCGTCGCACGCCGGCCGAGTTTGAGGTATTGAACTGCGAAGTCCTTCCCATTGATAACATTATCTTCCGCCAGGGCATCCTCTCCCAGTAGACGGTAGAAAAGTCGTTCGGCTTCCCCTCGATCCAAATCAGACCCCTTTCCGTACCATGGAAGGCTCTTATGCGAGGGAGACTTGGCCCGTTTCAAGTCTCCGCGCAGGATATCCACGCAGTAGAGTACAGTCACTTTTTCACCCCTTTCGCCCTTTTCATTGGTTTGATTCTGGAACCAGCGAACAATGTTGATGATCCAAGCAGCGTGCTGAGAGAAATCGTGAACCTCAAACACCAAATCGGATTTGCAATTATCACACGAATTGCCACAGTCCTCACGGCGGAAGTATTCATTGAAATAAGCAAGAACTTGCACACGTCTGCAATCACTGCGATTCTCACAGAACTGGACGACGTTCCGAAGCATGTGCTTTTGCCGGGCTTTCTGCTCGTAGCTGCCTTCGCCGTCATCAATCATGCGCTTAAGCGTGGCAGCATCCTTGTACCCGTAGTAGAGGTAGCAGCCAGAACGTTTACCATCACGACCAGCACGACCAGTTTCCTGATAGTATCCCTCCAAACTCTTCGGAATGCTGTGGTGCATAACAAATCGTACATCAGGCTTGTCAATGCCCATTCCAAAGGCAATGGTGGCAACGATGATATGAATTTTGCCTGCTTGCCACTGGCTCTGCACCTTGGCCTTGGCCTCAGATTTCATGCCAGCGTGATAATGCGAGGCCCTGAGTTTGTACTTCTTCCAAAGATCGTCCGCAACCTTCTCACATGTCTTGCGTGACAGACAATAAACGATCCCACACTGGTTCTTGTAAGAAGTTGTGATTGTTTCTGCAATGCTGGCGAGCACTTCATCGTTCTTTCCTTTAGGCCGCACTTCGTAGGTTAGATTTGGCCGGTTGAAAGACTGTAAGAATACCTTGCATCCGGTCATCTTGAGATTATGGATCACATCAACCTTGACATTCTCTGTTGCGGTAGCAGTCAGGGCCATGACAGGTACACCTGGTAACTTGGCCCGGACTTCACCCAGCTCCTTGTAATCTGGTCGGAAGTCATGCCCCCACTGGCTGACGCAGTGTGCCTCGTCGATAACCAATCGTGCGAGCTTGTTCCGGTGGTGAAGCTTCTCCAGAGCTCTGACCAAAGTCTGGTTCTTGTTGATCATCTCGGGTGTGATGTACAACAGCTCCAGGTCTTCGACATCTCCATTGGACAACTGGCTAAGGATCCAGGACCGCTCAGTCTTGTCCGACTCGCCATTCATCAGGAAGGCCTTGATGTTCAACTTTCGGAGATGATCCACTTGATCTTGCATCAAACTCAGTAGCGGAGAGACCACGAGTGTCACGCCATGTGTATGACCGCCCGTAACGATAGACGGGAGCTGATAACACAATGACTTGCCACCACCGGTTGGCATCAGGACGAAAACGTCCTTGCCGCCAAGAGTTGCATCGATGGCCTCGAGTTGATTAGGACGGAAGCCACGGAGATGGAATCTATCTTTCAGGACAGTCTTCACCTCCTGAGACCATGGATGGTTAGACCAGAAATTGCTGCGGCCAGGTGATTTCTTCGGAGGGGGCATAGGCATGCGAGAGGTATTTCCAGACGTCTCCGCAAATACTTTGCGGTTCTGAGTGGGCTCCCGGACAGGCACCTGGGGCTGGTTGTCAAAACTTCCAGCCACCTCTAGCATCTCATCGTCGCTGTCGCTCCAATCGAACTCGTCGAAGTCTACCGTTGGCGAAGCCATAGTTCGCGAGACGTAGGTTTCTCCATTGCGAGACCGGTCAGTCTGGTCAGGTACCCATGAGCTTTCCTTCGGTTTTCTGGGGCTTGCAACAGATGATTGGGGTCTTTGATACACAGGAGGTGGCTCCCTGGATAGCGAGGCGTAACTTGGCACATCTGGAAGATCTTCACCCAGCTCCGCGGCAAGTTCCAATATATTGGCTTTGGGAAGAAGTTCGCGTATCTTTGTCTCTATCTTCTCTAGCTCTGCCTCAACTGCGCGGCTTTTCGAGAGTTCTGGTAGAGTTGACGGATCTAAGCCTTGGGAGATGACACGCATGACATCCCGCTTGAGGGTGTCCTTGCGAGAGAGGCAGTCAGTATGTGAATGCTTCTGCCTTTGCAATGCCTCAATTGCTTGAATCTGCGAGACGAGATCTTTGTTGGCGGCAATCAATTCGGGTGCTGGTCGACCCGCCATTGCCTGTTCGTAGACAATCTCAGCGTTCTTCTGAAGAGTCTGCTGTAATCGCTGAATGGCCTTATCTAGGACCTCCGAAGAAAGAGCCGCAAACTTCAGGATGTTTTCATCCTTGGCTTGTGAGCTTGGCACTGTTGGTCCTGAAGAGGACGGTTGGGTTCTTGGGGGGTTTTCCTTTGAACTCTTGGCTTTGCGTGCTGCCGGTGGTAGCCCATCCTTAGGAGCTAGGATCTTAGATGGTTCCTCGGGAATCGGTTCAGACGCATCCTTTCCATCATCCGAAGGGCTCACTGCAGGGAGCTTTGGATAGAGTCCCGTATTGGCATCAATGATCATATCGTCGTCATTGAGCCAACTATCGCCAAAGGGATCTTCCTCATCAGAGTCCGCAATCTCGCGTTTTCGGCTATTCCTAGGAAGGTCTGGCGAACTGGGTTTGTCATGTTTCGCTCCGTTTGAACGGTCTGCGCGGCTGGATCGACTCGGTACCTCCGGTATGACGTCTCTCAAAATGGAGGACTTGGTTGCTTTCGGAGGTGATCGTACTCTACTTGTATGCTTTGACGGCGAAAGAAGATCCGAAGTATATTCGTCGCTTTTCCGCTTCTTTCCTCGTTTCTCAAGTGGGGTTTGGCGCGATGCAGGCTCCTCGGTCCACAGGCGTCGTGTTCCTGCCAAGTCGAGATTAGAAGTCGCAGGTAGAAATCGATCAGGGTCGCCAGTGAGATCGATAGACTCGATCGCATCGAACGGGGACGTTGCGAATTTAAGGTCTGATCGGATTGGAGTGGCTTTTGATCGCGTGCTCTTCAAGGACGATTGAGGCGGCTCAAGAAAGGATTCTGCTCGTGGAAATTCCGCATTAGGTCCGAGATCTGTTGATATTTCTCGAATGAGCGGCATACCTTGAACTACACTTCTCGAGGACGAAGGTTTTTTGATAGTCGTGGGTGAACTGGGTGGCCGTGTATCGTCTCGACTGAGCATTCGAGGTTTGCTCTCGGACGAAGGCGCGAGCATGAGTCGTGCCATATTCTCATCTTTCACGTCCTCGGCATCCTCTAAAAGCTGGTCGAGGAACTCGCTTTCGTCGGATGGTGGAGTGGGTTGTTGGGAGACGCGACTGCCGGAATCAATTGGCGGGTTGTCGGCGGACAACGTGGGGTACAGCGACGGGCCTTGCTTCAGTAGCCATTTCAGGTGTAAGGCGAGATTATTTTTCGTCATGGGGGCGTGCGTCGCTCATGACCTTGGTCTGTTGTCGTTTTCGTTGTCTGGTTGTCTGATTGTTCCTAATTGTCGATTCTCCGCGCTGTCGCGAGCCTGTCGACGCGTCTTTCACGTGAGCGGTCAGGGCCAACTGATAAGCCTCGTAGATGCTAGCCTCGACCTCACCACGAGTCCAGATATTGGAAATAAATTTTAGATTGATTATAATTAAATCAAATTCTCAACTAATAAGCTATCTACATTCGTAAAAAGTCGTCTTCACTACTGTGTGGTTAGAGTGTGCAGGCCTGCTTAAACCGTGCCACATCCACGATAAGCGTGTATGTGGGGAAAAGCTTTTATGCCCCGCGGCCCAGAATATTTGAAGCATCTAAAAAAATCCGTCCAACGGGCTACAATTCACCATGGCCAAAAAGAACAAGAAGTCTGCCGAGCACAAGGAGCGTGTGGCAGCCAAGCAGTCCAAGAAGTCTGCCCAGAAGGAGAAAAAGTCCAAAGCCAAGGGCAAAGATGTCGATAGCGACGCCGAGGACGCCGACCTCGATGCTATCCTCGCCCAGTATGCCGAAGAGCAGGCCAAATTCTTGAAGGTCACCGAAGTGCCATCTAGTCCTCCAGCACCCAGATCTTCTGCTACTGTTCTTGCATCTCCATCCAACCGCAATGAAATCATGTTGTTCGGTGGAGAGTACTTCGATGGAACACATGCGACATTCTTCAACAATCTCTTCGTGTACCAGATTGATCGAGGCGAGTGGAAGGAGGTGACTAGTCCCAACAGCCCTCTGCCTCGAAGTGGACATGCTTGGTGCCGTGGAGGTAACTCTGGAGGCGTGTACCTGTTTGGAGGTGAGATCTCTATGCATAACATGGCTTCGCTGTGCCATCTAACAACGACTAGGAGAATTTTCGTCGCCCAAGCAGGGTACTTTCTACCATTATAACGACTTCTGGCACCTGGATCCAGCCACCCGAGAATGGACTCGCCTTGAGACCAAGGGTAAAGGGCCTCCTGCGCGGAGTGGTCACCGAATGACCTACTATAAGGTATGCCCATGCTCAAAATATGTATTTGCACAAAGCCAATCTAACTTGAACGACAGAACTATATCATTCTCTTCGGTGGTTTCCAAGACACTTCCCAGCAGACCAAGTATCTGCAGGACCTGTGGATTTACGACTGCTCGAAGTATACCTGGTTCAATCCCGCTTTGACGACGGCCTCCCAGAAGCCTGATCCCCGCTCCTCCTTCTCATTCCTGCCTCATGAGACCGGTGCCGTCATCTACGGTGGTTACTCACGAGTCAAGGCTGCCGCCGGTGGTTCTGGTGGCAAGCAAGGCAAAGGTGGCCCTCAGAAAATGACTCTCCGACCCATGGTCCACCAAGACACTTGGTTCCTGAGAATCACACCTCCGGAAACTGAATCGGCTGCAGCCTCGACAGGCCCAGCTATTCGCTGGGAGCGGAGAAAGAAGCCTGCCAACACGCCTAACCCACCACGTGTGGGTACTACGATGGCTTACCACAAAGGCCGTGGCATCATGTTCGGTGGTGTTCACGATGTTGAACTGACCGAGGAGGGCATCGACAGCGAGTTCTTTGACACGCTATTTGCTTGGACTACGGACCGAAACCGTTTCTTCCCATTATCCCTCCGTCGCCCACGTGCAGGTGGCAAGAAGCAGCAAGCGAATCAAGCAAACAAGTCTCGTAATCGTGGCAAAGCAGACGAGGAAGAGCTCTTGCAGAATCTCAAGGCATTGGAAGCGAAGCAAGGGCTCCGCGACGAGGATGACGACGATGAGTTCATGCAATTGAGCACACCCAAGTCTGAGGAGGAACCCGTTGAGCCTGCCAAGCCTGCAGTTATTCGATTTGAGATGCCACACAGGCGATTCAATGCTCAGCTTGCGGTGCAAGACGACACTCTTTTCATTTACGGCGGTACATTTGAAAAGGGCGACCGCGAGTTTACATTCAATGATATGTACTCGATTGATCTGGTCAAGCTCGATGGCGTGAAAGAACTGTTCTACGTTGAGCCTGAGAACTGGAATCTTCTGGACGAGGCAGACAGTGATGAGGAGATGGATGATGACGAGGAGGAAGAGGACGAGGAAATGGACGAGGAGGGAGCGGATGCCATGTCTTTGGATACTTCTTCGCCTGCGCCCACTGATGTGACTGTGCCCTCTGTCACTCAGGGCATGGAACAACTAGAGGTTGAGGAACAAGAATCGGATCAACCCGCTGATACTCGTCCCCAGCCTCGTCCCTTCGAGAGCTTGCGAGAGTTCTTCAGTCGCACCTCTGAAGATTGGCAGAATATACTTCTCGAGGCATTGAGGTGGAAGGGCCAGGCCGAAGACAAGACAGTCAAGGAATTGCGCAAGGGAGCGTTCGATATGGCGGAAGAGAAATGGTGGGATAGCCGTGAAGAGATTATGGCCTTGGAGGATGAACAGGAAGCTGCGGGCATTGGAGAGGTTGTTAGCATGAACGACCGCGCCGAGAACATGGGCGGAGCAGGTCGTCGTCGGTAAAAATCTGAAGGCTGTAGATTCTCGTTCAAAAATAAATTCTCATTGTCTCATATTAGATCGGATTATATCTGCTAGTTGATTATGAAGATGCTAATGCGTATGTTTTAAATCCTTCTTGTCTGTCTCGCCCCTATTGCCGAGCCACCTCGGCCAAAACTCCGGTCACCAGTTTCAGATCCCTTTCGACATCAACCCTCCAATTCGAGATTGCAATTCGAGTAGCGGGAGCGCCGTCCCAGCTGGTCCCGGACACGAACATCCTCGAAGTATCATTGATCTTCTTTGACAGTTCGCGGTTCAAGTTGTCATCCGTGGCACGGAACAAAACACTCATGAAGGTCTGATCGAGCAGATCTGACTTGGAGGAAGTCACCGGCAAAGGTGTATATTCCGGGTGATCATAGATCCAGTCGTAAATCCCTCGGGCAAGGCGGATTTGGCGTTGCAGCATGTCTTTATATCCATCCTTACCGTAGGAGAGCAGAGATGCATAAACTGGCAAGGCCCTAAAACGGCGAGAATTCTCCATGCCAATATTCAAGGGGGATGGAATCACTGGCCCATCCGAGGGCCCTGCCGTTAGATAGGCAGCGTTGGCATTCTGGAAGACATTGACAGCTAGATCAGGGTGTCGACAGAAAAAGAATCCACAGTCGTAGGGCACATTGAGGAGTTTATGACCGTCTCCAGTAATCGAATCTACTAGATCAATGCCTTCACTTCCTTGCCTAACCGTTGCGAACTCCGGGTCGTCATCCAAGATGCGAGCGAAAATCCCGAACGCACCGTCCGCATGAAGCCATGCCCCGTATTTATCGCACAACTGGCGAATCTGCAGTAGATGCTCCTTCGTGGTTGCAAAGCGGCCAGTGTTGACTTCTCCCGAGGAGACGGCTACAATACTGACTTTGTCTGTTCTTGCTAATTCCTTCTCCAGCTGTTCGAGATCGAAGTGAAGCGGGTTGTCGGCACGGCAGACGTTGCGGACGTTGGCACGGCCAATGCCCAGCACACCAGCCGCTTTCACCAGCGATGAATGAGGCAATGTTGATAGTACCTGGATTCCAGAAAGTCCTAGAGCATGCAATACTTCGAATAGGCCAAACTCCCCCACACTGTTCACCTGAACTCCTTTTTTCTCCGCGGCTTTGCGAAGAACGTATTCACGGCCACAAGCCAAGCCGAGAATGTTGCTTCCAGTTGCCCCCGTGGTGAAGGTGCCATTGTGCCAGACGGATCGATCCAATCTGAAAAGATCCGCGAGAAGACCTAGCGCTCTGAACTCGACATCTGTGACAATGGAGTGATTGGGAATATGCACTTGAACGTTTTGGTCGTAGGCAGAAACCACGTTATCGGCGAAGAGTGCAGCGGGGGTGGTTCCACCGGTGATGAAGCCGTAGTAATTAGGACTTATACTGCCTCCATTGAATGCTGGGACAATATCATCCAGAATGTGCCGCTGAACAGCTTCAAGGCTTGTACCGGTGGCTGGTAGTGTGGTGGGAAGAGAAGCCCGCGCGCGAGCTAAGCTCTCTGCGCTTGGGAGGACACCGGACTCCCATTTCCCCTGGGCGACTTTCCACAGGTCTTGTAGGATTTGTTCTTGCATTGATGATCGGATATGAAATATGTGTATGATTGATTGAGATTGACTGGGACTAGATTTCTCAATATAGTCCGGTCGGGATTTGGTTTACGCAGCTTCGGGATGAAGACTCCGGTTGGACTATCCTGAAGCAGAAGCTGTGGAGATGAATTCGATCTTATCTGCCTAGAGGAATCAGAGGCAGAAGCATTGATTGGTCAATTCCAAGGCTAAGCACGTTGTAGATGGAGTCGCGGGATGATTTAAGTCCCGGGGCGAGGCTGTGGGAGAAGTGTCATTTTGGGGCGGGAATACTCTTTCAGGTCTGGCAACATCCAGTGGGAACGGGCACGCTTCTCTCAGCTTCTCCACTCTCTCTTCTCGCCCTTTTGGACCCCAACCACTCCTTGCATGGACGAAACTCTAACAAAAAATGGCTGCCAAACTGATCGATCGACGATTCCATAATGTGCCTGGTATGTACATCGCTAATTCTCTACTTCTGGATACGAAAGTCTAGAGCATTGTTGACCATTGTTGACCATTGTTGACCAAAATTTCAGGAAAGCTTCGCGTGGCTGAGCTGTTCTTTGATGTGCCCCTCGACTACAGCAAGCCCAGCGATGGCACATTGAGACTCTTTGCCCGAAGCGTCTCTCGTCTAAACAAGCCTGTCGAGCCCGCCAAAGAGGAGTCCAAGCTACCCTGGCTCGTCTACCTTCAGGGGGGGCCGGGTTTTGGATGCAGTGCCCCGCAAAATTACGGCTTTGTTGAGCCAGCCCTTAACAAAGGCTATCAAGTACGAGACCATTGATGATATTGTTGAACAACTTCTGTCGTTCCTGTTATAATTTCCTTTTTACTAATTCACAAGACAGATTCTCTTCCTGGACCAGCGTGGCACTGGTCTTAGCTCTACCCTCACTGCGGGGACCCTAGCCCGTCAGGGGGATGCGATCAAGCAAGCCGAGTACCTCAAGAAGTTCCGTGCTGACAACATTGTCCGTGACTGTGAGGCTATCCGGAAGTTCTTGACTCTCGAGTACCCCGAGGATCAGCGCGCATGGAGTATCATCGGTCAAAGCTTCGGCGGCTTCTGTGCTGCCACCTACCTGTCCAAATTGTGTGTCACTCTCGCTCCATGTCCTACAGTTAGAAAATGTATGCTGACTTCTACTGCTCGATACAAGCCCCGAGGGCCTGAGAGAAGCTTTCATCTGCGGTGGACTGCCACCTCTTGTTGACAACCCAGACCCCGTCTATGCACGAACTTATGGTATGTTGGTCTTTAACAGAAACAGGGCCTATGTCGATACTGACACTCGAACAGAGAAGGTTCTGGAGCGCAACGAGGCATACTATACCAAGTTCCCCGAAGATGTTGAGCGCGTCCGGGAAATCATGCGGTACCTGGCGACAAACCAGGTTGCCTTGCCCTCGGGCTGGCTGACTCCAGCCCGTTTCCAGCAGCTTGGAATCATGTTTGGCTTCCACGGTAAGTTATCTCCTGTTAATAGATGGCGAGTCTGAGATCTAATTATGAAGCAGGCGGTCTCGATTCTCTGCATGGTATGTATCTACTCTTGTGAACCCCTTATCGAGAAGACTATTCCTCACCCTGGCCCTAGAAATTGTTCTACGAGTCTGTAACGACCTAGAAATCTTTGGCTCTCTTACAGGCCCAACTCTTGCTATAATTGATAGCAGTGGTGGTATGGACAAGAACATCATCTATGCCATCTTGCACGAGGCAATCTATTGTCAAGGGTGAGAGATGCCAATTCCGAACCCCCATCAAACCAAAAAATGCTAATCTTCGACTCCAGCAAACCCTCGCTCTGGGCAGCAGATAGACGACGAACCGAACACCCTCAATTCCAGATCTCCGACTCGCAATCTAAGATCTACTTCACCGGCGAGATGGTAAGAGCCTCCGCTGCTATCGCGTAGCCGTCGTGGCATGGAGCACATCTAACCCATCTCTCACACAGGTCTTCAAAGACATGTTCGAGTCATACACGGAGCTCAAGCAGATCCAAGAGGTAGCCGATATTCTCGCTAACGCCAGTGATTGGCCAGCCCTCTATGACGAGGCCCAACTGGCTAAGAACAAGGTACCTGTGTATGCCGCTACTTACATCGACGACATGTACGTGCACTTTGACCTGGCTTCCAACACTGCGGCCAAGATCAAGGGTACCAAGCAGTTCATCACCAACACCATGTACCACGATGCTTTGCGTAGCAAGACGGGCGAAGTGATGCGTCAACTCTTCAACCTTCGGGATGATTCTATTGATTGAAAAGGTGTGATTGCGAAACAACTTCGCTTCTCAGCTTGATATGCTTAGCCACGAGCGCTTACATTATGCTCTTTTGCGTCATTCTTGGTGAATAGATGGAAACCAAGAGGGTAGCAGCAGCGAGTCTAGACATACGGAATAGCACACGAATTCAATGAAAATATAAGCATCAGGTATGGTTACGAGAAGCTAGAGGTGTTATGTACAGTGCGGTTTCAACCAAATGTAGCTAAAGGGTAGATAAATTCTAGCATTTGACGGTCTGGGTTTGGGTTCGGGTCCCATGACCGCCATGAGAATGCTCTCCGAATGACCTTTCCACCATGTATGAAATGATCATATCGAAATTATGCGCACGGTGGTCAAGCTTGTGAACCACGAGTGTATGTACAAAGCGCTCTTCGTCAGACCGATTCCAACCTAGCAAGAGAGGCGTCGAGGATCAAAAGACCTAATGTTTCTGTTAGTCGCATGAGCTAATTATGGTAATTGAGAAATCACGTACGGCACCCCCAATGATGAATAGCCTTTCTTCCTCTTGCTGTACCCACTGAGCAATTTTACTGGCGCTCTGCACTAATGCATTCCGATTGGCATTGGGCTCAGCAACGCAGTATAGCTCGAAAATCGGGGTTACCCATGCAAATGAGCTCGCGGATCGCGATACACAGTGGTGCACCTTGACGTGGCTATTCTTGGCATGGATGCTGGAGTGGATGTTATTGTATACGGACATCAATCTGCACATGAATGTTAGAAATTCAAGTCCGTTAGGGGGGGGGGGGGGGGAAGATGAATCCTGACCTTCGCCTGCGAGAGATTGAAGTGAACTCGGGAGAGTAGGACGACATGGTGAATTGGACGTTCGCTCGTGACTTGTATATAAAATGATGTAGTACTGTTCCGGGCATAATGTCGGTGGTAGCTGGGCGACCCTGATCAATTGCCGCGGCGATCATCTTCAAACTGCCATTCTTCTCCATTTGCTTTAGATGGACATGAGTCAGTCTTTACTGCCTTATGTTTCCAGGCGAGTATCTACTTACCTCCACGAGTGAGTCGCGCATTCCTTGCATCTCAAAGAAGCTTTCCTTATCCGGGCTAATAAGAACAATAGCGACCGACTCGTCCTTCGAGATGTCCTCATTGTCGTCCAGATTGCCTCGGAGATTGAGGAAGCTGACATACATGTAAAGGTAGCCGCTGCTGTTGAAGCCAGGTAGACAAACCGGGACCCAGCTTTCACCACCTCCTGCTTTGATCCCGTCGGCCTCAAATATCATATTGAAAAGAAGTTGTAGATCACCTGGGTGGAGGGAATGTTTCTTTGGCCGCACGACGCTCACAAGGCGCCCGCCAGCAACCACTAGTCCGTAAAGCAAGCTACTGACTTTCGTTTTCAAAAGCGCGTTGTTGATTGACTGGCGATGTACTTTGCGTAGCTTGAGACACTCCAGGGCAGACAGGAGGGTGGATGGTGATCCACGAGTGAAGCTGTCTGCTAATGAAGACAAAAGTGTTTCTGACCCCTGCAGTGGCCGTTTCAAATCCGTAGACGGACGGACTGAGAACAAGTGAGTGAGAGACGGAAGAGTCAAAGTGGATAAAATTTGCATGTACAAAGCTTCTAGCTGGAGCCGAAGCTGAGTATCACTCTCCATCATGCGGCTGATGGCGACAAGATGTAGCGGTCCTCGAGTCACAATAACAAACTTGGTATCTCCGGCCGTGAAGCTCCGAAGATGATCGCCAGATTCTTCATAGAACGATATGATGGTTTGGACAACTCCGACATATGTTGAGATCAATCCTCCATCACCGTGCCGTGTCCAGATTGGCTTACCAGCGGCAGAAAGAATCATGTAGTGTTTATGCTTGCTCTTCCATCGCTGAAGAAGCAAGTCTTCATTGCCGGCATCTTCATTCAGTTCGCCCACTGGCTCAAACTCGGCCATGAAGTCATCGTCATCGACATCATCAGCGGGAAACTCGGGGAAATGAAGTAAGGTTGCGGCATCCGGATGAACTCCTGGTGCTGTCGCCACAAAGTCCTTGAACAGGGCTTCAACGTCGCCCGCGTCACTATTTTGGATGGAGCTCCGAATGCTCGCAGAATCGCCCGCCTCGCTACCTTTCGGACTCGCCAAGTGGCTAAGACTAGCTCTTGCTTTCAGCCCTCTAGATAGACCACGCACTGCCAATGTGGAATAGGCACTACCCCCGGCTTCCGGAGTCAGTGTGCCAATCTCCGCTCGAGAAACGGCCGTTGTTGCCTCTGCTTGTAGATTCGCATTTCGCGATGCCGTCTCATCGTTCAATAGGCTTAATGTGTTCGGTCGTGGGGGCAAAGGTGGTCGTGGCCCCTCTGGGCTGGGGCTGCGATTCCGAGACTCGGCTTGGGAAGGGCTGGGAGCTGATGAAGGTGTCGAGTTCTCGTCGCTAAGTTCATCGCGGTTGACGCTCTGAGACTCTGGGGGTGGTGTAGTCATCCCCGCAATGGGCGTGCGCCTCTGGACGCAGTCGCTGGGCGCGGGGGATAAATCATAAGTTCCGCATGTTCAATATCGTAGAAAACCGCCCAGAATCGCTGGGTATGCTGGTCGGCGCGTGGTTTCTGCGGGGAGTTGGGGGGAAGACACTGACGTCGATCGGAGACTCGGCGAAGCTCGCAAGGCGGACAAAACATCAATGTGGCCGCCTGCGTGGCCCTTTCGACCCTAGTCCAACGTTCAACCTTCCCCGTCCACTAGGGTTGTTCTCGATGTCCTAAATATGACGGAGTGCGCCCTGCAGCTTTTACAATATTTCACTCTCCGTCATTGGCACCATGAGCCTTGATCCAAGTGCTTTTCCGAGGTCGGACTCCCCCGCAAGCTCCGAAAGCTCCCTGACGCGCACGCGGCTACAAGGAAAGGAAGGTCTGTACCTCCCACAAAGCTTCGCTCTTGAGGAAACTCGTGTCTAATTATTGTTTTGCAAAAATAGGATCACTCAAGAAAGACAAGAGTTATCGCCGCTATGCGTCAAGCGTTGAACGAGCGTTGTCACTGTTCGATAACGCCCTCCAAGAATGGGCCGACTACATCTCCTTCCTCAGTCGCCTGCTAAAGGTGAGCGCAAGCCGAAGATCTCCGTAAGAAGTATGGCTAATTACTGTTTAGGCACTTCAAACCCACCCCCTGATCAACCAGTCGTCCCGCATAAAGTGTTAGTCTCGAAACGACTTGCCCAATGCCTAAACCCATCATTGCCCTCGGGCGTTCACCAGAAGGCGCTTGAAGTTTATACATACATATTCGGACTGATAAAGGTATAGTGACTCGTGAAGTGTGCTCGGAATACATGGGCTGATATATTTTATTGATGTCTAGCTCGAGGGACTGTCGCATGATCTCCCACTCTACCTGCCTGGCCTTGCCCCGACCTTGACCTTCGCTTCGCTCACCGTTCGTCCCCTGTTCCTATCTCTGATAGAAGGCTATATCGTTGATCTGGAACCATGGGCCATTCGCCCCGCCCTGAAAGCAGTCCTTCTCGCCTTGCTCCCAGGGTTGGAAGAGGAGACCAGTGATGATTTTGAACCAACGTTGCGGATAATCAACAAGCTTCGAGATGTATCTGGACATCTTGAGACGCAAAGAACGTCCGAGGCAGGCGCCTCTGGACAATACTTTTGGCAATGCCTCTTTCTGGCCTCGATCACGAATTCTAGTCGGCGGCTCGGTGTGCTTGCATACCTGAACCGTTATCTCCCAAAGTTGGGGATCGCCGATCGTCGGCTAAGCACGGCGGATAGCATGGATATGAAAGACATACCGGCCGAAATTTTGGCGGCTGCTGATTCTGTCATTCTACCAGAGCCGGGCCTTCTGATTCGTTGTTTTGCATCGGGCCTTTCTGATGAACAGCTCTTGGTGCAGAGAAATTTCCTCGATTTGCTAGTCACTCACTTGCCTTTGAACTCTCCAATTCTCCAGTCTCGAATCGCCGAAAATGATCTACAAACGCTGATCGTTGCTGCTGTTGGCGTGGTCGCTCGACGAGACATGAGCTTGAACCGCCGACTTTGGGCATGGTTCTTGGGACCGGAGCCTGCAACTGAGCGACACTCTACAGATGACCGAAAGTTTTCTTCAGAAACCACTCGCTCGTACTCCATTGATGGCAAGGAACTTTCCCAGTCTCAATATTTCAGCCGCGTTGGCCTGCAACCCTTGGTCAACGGCCTCCTGAAAATGATCAAGCAGACACCTACAGTCCCTTCTGAAAGGACGAAACCTTTCCGGATTGCACTATCCTTGATGGATCGTTGGGAGATTGGTGGCTATATTGTCCCAGCCGTCTTTCTTCCTATAATGAACAGTGTCCAATCATTCGAGAAGCAGGCACCAAGAAACCACTTTGAAGAGGTGTTCCGTAGTGCCAGTGCTTTCTTCGATGGCGTGGAGAGTAGTGTCATCTTTGCGGAGCTTTTGGGTCTGATTGATTTCCGTCGTTCAGATGTCGACAAGGATAGTGGCCAAGTCTTGCACAACCTGAACCTGGCCGAATTTATTCTCGAAAACTTCAATGTCCGGGAGGAGGATATGGTTCAGATACATGTGCCTCTTCTGACCGTGTCATTGCTTGTCAAGATGGACGAGCTCTCCTCTTTGAACGCACCACCCTCAGAAATGGTCTCAACTCGGCAAGCCGTGTCAAGGTCATTGCACAAAGTCCTCAAGTCTTTAACACCGCTTCTAACTGAGCGGGCCTTCTCGAAGAAGCCTGGCTCCGAGAAAACCACTGCCGCGGATGGCAAAGCCCGAAACAGCGAACTTCTACAAAAGGTCCACAGCTTCTACGAAAGCAGCAAGAACAGTCTTGAGCTTCCGCCTCTTCCATTTGCTCCAAAGCAACTTGCCGAGGTGATTATTCGGGAAGCTCACGAGCTGTCGATCCAGGCTCTAGAGAGCGATGATAGCACTTCGTCACTTCATGAGAACCTCAATATTCTGGTGACATTGCTACAGAAACTCCCGAAGTCGCGTGTCCTTCGAGACCGACGGCTCTTTGAAGCAATTTCGGAAAGGCTGGCCGGAAAAGCCGAAAGCTCCACAACAGCATCTTTTGCAATTGTTTCAACCATTGCGTCTGCAGTGACCAATCTTTTCTTCATCCAGAGCCCTGGATTTTATGTCAGCTACCCAGACGCATCAGACCTCATCCCAAGCCTAGTTCAAAGGTTGTGGCAATATCTATCACCATTGAGCCCGAAGTTCCATGTGGAGGCCGTACGCTGTTTGTGGTCGCTGCACTCAATATCATGGGTGGATCACCTAGTGGAGGCGTCCATTACTTCATTGATGGTTAATCCATCTGCAGCGGGCTCGTACCATCTCTCATCAGAAGAGCAAGCCGAGAAGTTCTACATTCTGTGGAACCACAGCCATCATGGTGGCCATGACCAGCCTCCTAAACAAGTTCTGGAGGTTGGAGGAACCCCGTTCTCCTATCAATGCTCGATGCTCGAACGTCCGTTGTTTATCGTATTGGATCTTTTGTCACAGGAGCCTGGTGACGTTTCCCAGAGCGTTCAGCAGTGGCTTCAGGATCTACCATCGATTCATAGGTATGAGGTCCCGCAGCACAATCAATGGGACCTAGAAGCTAACACTGCGGCAGAATTTTCCATGTTGTTGTCTCTAAGCTCGAAGAACTTTTTGAGCGTGACGTGCCGGGTGCAAACAATGACCAAGCGATCTCTCCAGATGATTACAAAGAGTGCAGTTACTTGCTGCGCACGGCCTCGAATATAATCTCTACCCTTTCCCATCCCGGGTGGATGGCACTCCTCACACATACCCTAGGCCAACTAGAGAAACGGCCAAATGGACCAAAGGCGGATGACAATGCAAACTCGAAAAGCCTTCATGCTACGATATTCGAGGCTTCTTTGCGAATAATAAACGACCAAACACCAGAGACCACACAAGTCACCCCGGAAGGAGAAAAGCTGCAGAAAGCCGCACTGTATCTCATGCGGCAACTTCTCTTGGGTCCTGGAGCCGAGGATCTCGTCGAATCTGGGATCGATGATTTCCTAGTCGATCGTCTTCTTGTTGCTGCAAACGAAGGAGGTAGCATTGCCGTTCAGGGCTCGCTCATCGATGCGCTTCTAGCGGCTCTCAAAGTACGGTTCGCGCAGGCTTACCTACCCCCACCTCCTCCTCGACCCAAGCATCAGCGAGCGGCCTCTCGTGAACGGTTAACCAGTCCTTCAATACTCTCTTTTACAAGTGACAAGGCAGACAGAGCACCGTCGATGCCCCAACTTCCGCGGCCGCCTGAGCGCCTCCTTGATTGCCTCCTGAAAGGCATTAGCTCCGCGGAATCTCGAGAGATTGTGGACAAGTGGATTGGCCTACTTTGTGAAGTGCTTCCACTCTACTCACACTCAATCTTCCAGATCCTCCTCATGCTTGTCGAATGCTTCTGTAGGGAAATCAAGGCCTCATTTGGAAGACTTCAGCTTGCGTTCCAGCAAACAGAGGACTGGCCACAAGACCGCTCCGAGCATGTGACGATCGCTCTTCTTACGGGCCTTGAAACATGTATCGCAAATGCCCACGAGCGCCTTCTCGTGGAGGAGTCAAACGTCCCAGCAGCGAAAAGTCCCGACCAACCTCAGGGCTTCTTTGGTAACATGGTATCAGGGGTCTTCAACTCAGATGGCAGCCAAAGCCGGACCAATACCGCTAATGACCGCTTAACTGTTCTACTCTGCTTCCAGGACGCTGTTCGTCTTTGCTTCTCTATTTGGGCTTGGGGAGCCGGGGACAGTAGTGGGACTCACCCTGACTCTGAATCGATAGCCTCCTTCCAGTACACATCTCTGCGCATGCGAAACAGGTCTCGGAGGATTCTGGAGCATCTCTTCGGCGCCGAGGCTCTGGAGTGCCTGGAGACCCTGGTAGAAATGTGGGCGAAGTCGGACATGGGTACTGCGTCGCTTATCTTCAACCTCTTGCATACCCTTGATGGGTCAAGCCCGAAGATTACAATTCCAGCTGTCTTCAATGCGATCTATACGCGCACAAATCCAGCTGCTCTGGATCAAAACCGCAAGTCGTCATTGACCTCCAGCTTGTCTGAATCCGAGCTTGCCAGTTTCCTGGTCGCCTATGCACGCTCCTTGGATGATGATGTTCTTGATGAGATTTGGACGGATTGTACGACATTCCTACGCGACGTGCTCAGCAATCCATTCCCTCATCGTCAGATCCTCCCACGGTTGATTGAATTTGCGGCTATTCTGGGAACCAAGTTGGAAAACACAACATTTGGTGAAGACCGGCGTATGCGTAAGGAACTCGGGGTACGTCTTGCTTTTCTCTATTACTATTGACAGATTGGGGTTGACTAATTTTTCTCAATCTATAGGACGTGGTTTTGCGGCTCCTTACAGCCGTTTTCACCAGCAAGCCCCTTGGACTTAACCAGGAATCCAGTCTCATGGCGCGATCATCTCTGGACTACGACCGCACTGCAGTGTCTCATACAGGTCCAGACGACATGCTCAGTATATTGGCAGTCTCTATGCCATCGTTCCTTACAACCTTGGGCGATCCAGATCGTATCAACACTGCCATCAGTGCTGTGTCCACCAACGTCGTTGGACCACTGATTCGCTCCCGCCTATTCCCCAATAACCTCAACCGCAATGTGATGGTTATTCTCCAGCAAATGGCTAAAGTGCCCGCCGCCGCAAAGATATGGAAGAAAGATATTTCTGATGCCTTCAATGATACTCGCTTCTTTGGGCTTCATTTGGATCTGGTCATGGGGTGTTGGATGGAACTTTTGCGGCAGTGGACCCTTGCCGACAAAGATCGTCTGTCTGAAATCTTGAGTCGTTTGCCACCACCTAGCGCAGCCGGAATTATGTTTGGTGTGGGAGCGTCAGCTGCACGATTGGAAGCCGATCGCAAGGCACAGTTGAACCTTCGTCGCATCGCTCTTTTGATCCTCTCGGCAAATGAAGACTACTTTGTGGCAGAGCTACCTGGCTTGCTACAGAAACTTGAGGATCTCTTAGCCGCGACCAGCGCCTCGTCACCGTCATCTGCGACTCGGGCAGAAGTCTACATGGTTCTTCGTGCCGTGGCACTCAAGACTTCTGCGACGGCGATCGCACCATTCTGGCCCTTGATCAACGCCGAGTTGCAAGAAGCTGTTGCAGCAGTACCTCGCAACTCCCAGTCAGACCTCTACAACGCTTACTCGCTGCTGCAAGCCTGCAAACTCCTCGATGTCCTCTTGGTGATTGCTCCAGATGACTTCCAACTCCTGGAATGGCTCTTCGTGACTGACACGATCGACGCCGTGTACCCGCCCAACCGCTGGGAACCAGTCGCCCTAGCTGATGAGGTATCACAAAGCTTCGGACCTCGCGGTGTATTCTCACCTACAGTTCCTGGGGATTCCTCTGAGCCTGCGGCACGTAGTGGCTTTAAGCGACCTTGGCTCATCTCAGACAATATCCGAGAAACAGCCAAGGATGAAGTTGTTGAGCGAGTCTTGCGGCCTTTCTTCGACCGGTTGAGCATCTATGTGTTTGAAAGTACTTATGGGATGGAGAGCGTGGATTTCGGGGTGTGCCGGGATGATCTGTTGGCGGACCTGTTCAACGAGAGCACGATGGCAAACTGAGTTTTTGATGGAGTTCTTTGTATAGATGATTGTAAATCAAAGCGATTTTTATTATGCATTCATTTGGCTTCACTATGCATCATATGCTGTTCCTTGGGATGTATAGCCTGTTTTACTTCAATGCGAACCGTAGTGTTCGAGTATTAGAGCGGGTGTACATTGGTATCTCAACCATCCACGGGCTTAAACTAGTTGCATAGACCGGTGTCTTATTTTAGGGCTCCAGTGAATCACATACCATACTTTATTGGTATTCGGAAATCTGCAAGTGTTGTTAAATTCGTTGCAAGTCCATTTGTTTTGTAGTATACTTCGCTCGTATAGAAACCTCCCGTTCCCGCCGCCACCTCCGCCGGAATTCCCTCCTGTCAACGTCACTTTCCACCAAGCTGCTTCGATCGCCACCATCTAATCTACTTCACAACGTAAGAACTACCCATGCTCTGGGAATAAGGTTGCTCCCTGGGCCTAATCTAACTATCAAGGTCAGGATGACTGTGCGCACAAAGATTTTCCTCCCCCCTTCGCGGGCGCGTGGGTGCCCGAACATTCTCCGTCTCCCGTCCCCGCTGGGAGGCCGCGCCGTTGCCAGCGCGAAAGCCTGTTGGCGCTTTCCGTGGAGGGTATGTCTTGATCCCTGATATCTAGCTTAATATGTGCTTTGATGCTTGATATTGTATCATGCTGTGGCTTCTTCTGACAACCAACAGACTCTTCGGCTTCCTAGCCGGTGCAGTCGTTGCCGGCGCGTCCGTCTACTACTATGTGCTTGGAGACTACCGTGTTTCCAACGAGATGTTGAATGACGATATTACTGTATGTTTCAACCTTGTTCCTTTGTCAAACACTTGTTTGCAGTAGCTGATCGTGCGACCATCCTCCTCTCCGGTATCCCCGGAAGGATGGTCTCGTTGATATACAGGCTCTTCAGCATGCTACCATCAAGCTTCAGTCCTACATTACGGAGCTGGAGACCCGGGTGGATCAGCTGAAGAAGAAATGAGATATTTCTTTCATTTGTCCTTGATCTGCTAGTGCTTTACTTGGTTCTATGGCGTTGAGGCGTGTTGTCATGCATTAGTTTGACTGCGAATTAGGCATTTATTCAAATTTATATCTGTGCTAACTAAACTGATGGTTGCAAAAGTCCCTTCTAAATATACGGAATTAAGTACAAAGTACAAAACATCTGCCCATTTGATGCCAAGCTCCTCTCGTGGTTTGAGCTTCAGGAAGCTCTGGGTGGAGTGCAAACAAATCAAACACCGCCTTATCGTGGTCATCCGAATAAATCAACTCTCGGCCTCTCTCTTCCCTGGACATTCGCCCTTTACACCCTCAACACTCCTGGAAATCATGTTTCGCGTCGAGCTTCTAGCAAATTCCTCATCTCATGCGACCCCAGGCTACACCTATGTCGCAGACCGAGGCTTCGACCCAGCCAAAGCCGCCATGGCTCCGGCCCTCGGCCGCAAACGCGGAATTCACAACGCCAGCAAAGGCGGCGACATTTCTTCGCGACGCGCAAACGCCATCATCCGCCACTTGGCCGAACTAGACCGCGAGAACCAGCGCGATGTGCAGATCCCCGTACCCGCCAGGCCAGCGAAGGAAGCAGGCGCACGCGTCTCCCGGACAAAGACTACCTCGAACGTGCGCCGTATCTTGGTCTCGCAGAAGACGTTTCGGAATCACCTTGATGACGAGGAGGCTGCTATCGCTGCCGGAGGTGGTGGACTGAGTATACCGGTTGGAGCTGCGGCGATCGCGCCGGTTATCCCAACGCGAGTCAAGGCAGTAGTGGCTGCTGCTGCGGCGCGGCGGAGCTCGACGCCAGCTTCTACTGCTGCTGCACGGAAGAAACGACCGTCGGCTGTCGCTACTACCACTGCTACCTCTACGCCTACCCCTGCGCCCTCACAGACTGAGAATACGGATGCCGAAGCGGAGGAGGATAGCGACGAGCGGAAACACAAACTCATTAAGACGGAACACGATAATGATCCCCTTCTACGGTCATATGCTCCAACTCTGCCGTCAGAACGTATTATGGATCGTCTTTTGGCGGAACCCGCTCTGTCGTATAATGCTTCGCGCGCTGGACCGCCGATCTCGACACAGCTTCCCCGGGCTTTTTGTTGTATGTGTGGATACTGGGGCAAGATTCGGTGTAAGAGTTGTCACTTGCGAACCTGCGGGTTGGACTGTTATAAGGTCCATGAAGACTCGAGGTGCGGTGCCTTTTTCTAGGGCGAACTGGAGGTATCTGTTGTGTATACTATGGAGAGGAGAGGACATTCTTATGCCCTTCTTCTATCTTAATGACTTGATGAATATTATGGCCAAAAGCGACTGTACCATAGCTAGTGTACTCTTAATCATTACCGATTTTATTTTTCGCTATGGAAGTAACCAAAATGTAAAAAGGATTTCTACCGTTCAACATTTCAGGTTGATACCCGCTCGCAGCTCATCCTCGCGAATCTCAAACATGACCTGCACTCCAACAAACAGCACTACGCAACACGAAATCATATATGCAACGCCCGAGTACGATCCCGTCAGGGTAGTAAGCAGGTTCTGCAAGCCATCCAAACCGAGTGCAAAGCCAACCAGGTTGGCAATCATCATCATGAGCACGTTGCCAACCGATCCGATGCCACTCAGGACTCGGTACGCGGTAGGCCGCGAGCGCCAGCGACTAGCAGGGAACAACATGCCACCCAAAACTTCAGGCAAAACGAAGAGGGTAATGAGCCAGCTCCACATCAACAAACGCAGGTTGATATCGTGCCACAAAGCAACGAAAGTGAACACCAACAAGAAGTTGCGGATCTGGAGGAACTTGGCCATCAAGCCTGACTGCGGTGAAGACGAGGATGGTTTTGATCCAGCAGGCCGTCGTCCACCACCGCCTCCGCCAAGGGGCACGTAGACATATCGGACAATCCAGCGGTTATAAGAGCGGTGCCAGCCGCGCCAGAAGGCAAAGGCAGAATAGTTGTTTGACATGCAGCGGACCATGTTCTCTGGCGGGTCGATTCCGTCGATGAGGGCCCATAGACGGAAGAAGCGCCAGGGGATGAGCAGCTTCAGCCAGATGATGTGGAGATTGAAAAATGCCAGCATACTGAGTTGGCCGGGAGTGAACAGGGACCAATCGGGCGATGCCTTGGAGATGGCCACAGCATAGATGTAGTGGAGAATAAGCTCCATGCAGAGCAGGGTGAGGAGGAAGCGGATTCCATAGAGGGTAGTGCGAGTACTCGTCAATGAGGGTGCTTTGTAGCGTTGCTGTGACATGTAATCGTTGAAGGTCAAAATAGGGCCGGCCAGGTACAATGGCGAGTAGAGCACGTAGGCGATATAGTTGCGCATACTGAATGCAGAGGGCTCGGCGGGGATTTTGACACGGTCTCGGTCAGACAGGGTCGCGGGGTCGAGCTGTTTCTTCTTGTAGAACTCGGTCAGCTATACCCAGTTGATGCAATTTTGCAATACAGAAACTCACTTCAATCGCGCTCCCTGCGGGGTATTCCAGGCTCCAATAGTAATCCATATTGAAACTGATCAAGCGCAGGACGGTGACCTTGAAAAGAACCTCCCATCGAGGCATAATGCCACCGAAGCTATCGAGTGCTTTCGCCCACTCGACAAGCAGAGTGTGCTTCTCCCCTGGCGAGCCGGACCCCGGAGACAGTATGGTGGCAATCACTTCGAATGGGTACCCTCCGCATAGTTCGTTGGCGAACAAGATGCAGATATTGAAGGTCCATGTGACCGCAGGGACGTAAGACCGGGGAAGGTTCTTGCCAATTTTGTAGTTAATAAACAGGATCAGCAAGACTTTGAGCGCTGAGACTCCGTGAAGCGCAGTGACGAAGATTAGCCCAAATCCAAAGTCAAAGCGCATCCGTTGCTCTAGCTGCGCATCACCGGCCGCTGCCGCCGAAGGGTGGGCGGGCTTGGTTTCGGAGGTGGAACGACTCGTGAAGGACTGGTAGACCCGACGGGCAATTGGATGGGCAATCAGGAGCAACAGGAGATAGGGGATGTTGTCGCGGAAGCTCGCATATTGGGCATCGGAGTTGTCCTGTCGTCATTGAAGCGGCGAACGTGAGCTATATTCGCCTCGGGGATCTATAGTTGACTTGAACTCGGAACTCACAACAAGACGGCCAGGAATCCATCCTGGTGACAGGAGGTGGGAGTATGTGGGATAGATAGGGTGGGTGTCTGTTCAATTTGCAGATCTGCAGTAAGCATTTGAAGCGCTATCCTCCTGCCATGTCCGCAACATAGGCTCTTCACTCACCCTTCGAAGCATCCACGACGGTCTTAAACATCAACGGAACGAGTGTGATGAAGAAAAGGTAATAGACGAAGAACTCGGGCGTGCGCCAGAGCGGAGCGGGTGCACTCTGGGCGATAGCATTGGCGCGGGCATCTTTCGCACAGGGAGGTCGCGTGTCAGCGGCAGCGTTGCCTGGGGTGGTGGCGGTGGAGGTAAAGCGAGTGTCGAGGGTGTCGAGCGAGTAGATGCGTCGCAGCCAGGAAAGAAGGGCAGGCATTTTATAGCAGGGGCATGGCGCAACGCGACGATCGGAGTGGAGGGACGATGGATCGAGGGTAGAGGGTGTTTACTTAAGAGTCTCAGGGGGGGGCCGAGGCATTGCCAACTGGCCACGGGGGTCCTTCTCTGGGGAGCCAATCACCGCCCGAGAATACCACATCGATCTATAACCATCTCGATACTCTTTGCGGCCTCCCAGGGAATGTTGTTAAGAGAATTTGCTATTCTTAGGCTGATTGAGAACTACTTCCCTAGCCAACCCTCTTTTCTGCTTGACAGCTTTACCTCGTAGTAAATATCATTTCTTCTTTCATTGATCGTATTATAACTTAACTAATGATGACTCCAGCAGCATGCAAACAATTTGGCAAGCAACATTGTTACGTGATGAACTATAGTCCATCAGACCAAACATTTCTCAGCAAATTCGAAATTGCCAAACAGTCTCATCCGTCATACCTCCCTACCTCTAAGCTGCTTTTTCAGCAACGGGCGTGATAGAAGTTTCGGATCCACGGCCAAGAGAAGCCAGTGTAGACTTGCGCACCAACCGGAGATTGAATACGAGAAGAAGCAGGGCAGTCAGACCCGCAAGAACACCCAAGGTGACCATGGCACCAATGACACCAGCAACCGCAAGACTCATTCCTCCGCTGGAAGACGATTTAGACGACGAGGCATTAGAGGAAGAGTCAGAAGTGGAACTGCAGATACCAGTGGAATTGCCACAGGCCTGGCACCACTGCTGCTGGGAGGTGATAGCAAACTTCTTGGTGGAGTCGACAAACTGTGTCCATGGAATCTCCACATCGGACTGTCCAAAGAGCGGGTAGGCTTCCAATTCGGTTGAACCCTCGATGCTCGTTCCATTATGGAACAAGAAACGGACGTTAATGTCCGACTCCGAGGGCATCCCTGTGCCAGAAGTGTTTGTGACGAGCTCCCATGTCATCGAAGAAGCATAGACGGGCATTCCAGTAAAGTTCACATTATTGCTGAGCCCAGCCAGTCCAAAGTAAGCCAGGAACGTTGCGTACGCGCCAAATTGGATGTTCAACTTGGACTTGCCGCCAGAACTGATGGTCTTGTTCAAGGATGTCAACACTTCACCGGCCAGCGTCATGCCTGCCACTGCACGAATGGGCTCTGAGCTGTTATATGCGAGATTGAACTCATGAGTGTTGGCTAGGACCAGCAGTTCTTCCATCACCGCATCGGACGGGATGCTGGCAGAAGCATTGTGGATCGAAGCAACGTTCAGTAAGTCCCAGATGGTGAATGCATTCTTGAAGCTGAGGCCACTCGAGGAGACGGTATTGTTGAGATTAGATTCGAGAGATTTGTAAAGACTGCTTGTGCTGGAGAGCAGCTGCTGGTACGAGCTCGAGTAGAAATAGTCGTTGCTGCTCACCTCCGCGTTGTTGCATTCGGAGGTGCTTTGGAGCCATGTATTGTCTTCACTACTACTGCCAGACTGCACATCTCCCATGGGGATGAGCTGGTAACCGCTCAGAGGGGAGTAGACGGTGGTTCCATTGCGAAGAGTCTCGTTTGCAGCCGAACCGACGGGCGGGTAGAGACCCTGCAAGAAGGCTTGACCGGAAATCTGAATGACAGTGTCCTGGGGCGCACTGGCACTGATCTGGGCTAGGTTGACGACGCTAGAGCTAATGCCCTCGATATGATTCTGCGAGCTAGCCGAGATGTACCGCTCATGGAAGAAGTTGCCGGTCATGTATTCTTGATTGTAACCGAGATCCGTCAACTTTGTAGGTGGAAGGCCCTTGGCTGTGCGATCTCCATGTCGCTGGAAGATGTAAGCACCCAAGACTCTTTCTGCACTAGCAAGGTCTGCCAAAGGCAGAGAGGCAATGGCCAGCAGGGTATGAATGATAGCCATTGTATCTTTGTTGATTCAAGACGTAGAAAGCTACCAGCTTGAATTTGACAGATCAAAACTGAAACTAGGAAACGGTAGACCTTGTTGTCTTATTTATCTGAGCACGGTGCGGGGGAAATTCAGCCCAATAGTGTATGACTATTCCTGGTGTAAGAGAAAAAGTCTAGCTCAACCCATGTGGGATGTTATGGAGCACTTTGACTTTGGCTTCCGACGGTCCTGGCGTACCAAATGCATGCCTGATTCGCCCATCCTCGTGCCCACAAGACATGATTGTATACCAATAGTTCCAGGTATCGTCTAAAAAGACCCTACTGGGTGAAAGATGAGTCGGATAGCGCGGTTCCCTGTCAACCTCGTATCGGGGGGGCGCATAGGCTATCTCCAGTCTCGATGCAATTGTTCCTTGGGTCGTTTGGCGAAAGCTTAAAAAGGTCCGAGGGCACCCCGCCCTCGCTCAGACCTGTTGTACCAGGCCTCTCGACAAAAGCAATGCTACTTTTCGCTCTTTAGCTGCATGATACTAGATCTCCCTGGTCATACCATTGACTCATCGTTGATACGATCAGCATCTGGAAGGTAGTCACCCCGCAAAAGCCCCCTCTTTCAGTCCCAGACATGCAGTCAGAAGTGTGCTGACTATCGTTCGGACTTTAACTTGATATTTCAAACAACCATGATCGAGTGGCTACATACTGTGGCGTCTTGTTATCTGCGGGTTTTCAGCGGCTATAAACCGGCCCTGCACTCGTGGCCCCGATCTTCCATGGTTCGGACATTCAATCACGAATCCTCATGTGTGCCGCAAAGCTTCATGTCAGCCTCAACAGGAGGCGGATTGCCAGAATGAATAACAAATCTGAGTAACAAGTAGCTCCATATCTCAACTTCCAAGTACAATCTGGGATGAGATATCTTATGTGCGACCGGGCTCACTATGACTTGCAGCCAGCAGTATCCAACTGGCCATCGGTGGGAGCATCATATTAAGTACAAAATCCTCCTTAGTCTGTCATGACGATGTTTATCTTGACGTCAGCAGAGTTGAACTGGCAACAGTGATAGATAGATTGAATTCGTAGACTTCAAAGGAGGTATGATTGGACCCAGTGGCAACCTTAGCAAGCTTGAAAGGTTGATTGCATCAATCTACCGCTTTGCCTACTTTGGGAAGCACTATTCATCCAATGAAAGGCAAAAGGTTTCATCTTACGCAGGGTCTGCCACCTCCAACAATGGACCCTCATTCTCCCTGCATTCCAGAAGGGTCCAACTCTGGCGCACGGACATCAAAGCCGACAAAAGCGGGATCGCAGTCAAAACTCCTAGCCAATAGAAGCGGGAAGCTGGGGAATTGACATTCCTTCCACATCCCTTGATACACTTCATTCAACTTCAATTTTGCTGCTTCAGGTAACTGTTAGACTGTCATATCGAGCTCAGGAAAAAAAAAATAAGAGGGATACACTGGAGCGACGATCACCTGTCATACTCTTGTCATACTTTTGGGGAGACGGAGGAGCTACTCGACAAGGGACTCCCTAGCACAACCATTCCTTGCTCGAGACATTACCAGTTATAAGACTCTAATCAGTGCGGGAGATCGCTTAAAAGCCCTCTTCAGTATAGACTATTGGACAGCCGGATGACTCGGCTGATAGCTAGTATTAGTGAGTCGTGAGGTCATCCGGAGCTCCGGTTCCCGCAGCCGAGCGATTAAACGAGTTATTCGAGCTATTCTTCTGGTCGAATTCTTGGGGCAGAACTTTCTTTTCGAACGAGGGGCTGGGAAGTCAATGCTTGCAAGCCATGGAAGCAATTGTGGAATGTCGCATGAATGATCCCCTGCATTCGAAACCATATGGGTTCCGTGCAGAGAACTATATAACAAAATGAACGAGCCGACCAAGTTTGCATCTTCATCAACCACTTTCTCATTTGTTTGCATGAATTGATCCAGGACTCGTTTCACTTATCTTTATTATCTACCTTCGTTCATCATGGAGATCACTGTGGAACTGGATACCAACAACCGTCCCGATGAGTGGAAGATCGAACAGGGTATGGCTGGCCACAAGCTGCCAATCCTAGATCAGACCGGGAGTGATACCATCAATATTTATCCTCCACCACCTACCAAGATCATCAAAGACGAAGAAGCTATTCAGTCGGTCGGCGATCGTGCGAAGCTGTTCTCTCGAGAGCGTGTAGGTTGGAAAGGGTACGTTACTCAAGGCGATTTCGGGTATACAAGGTTACCATGGCTGACATATTGTGCTTGTTTGCTTTAGATACGTCGAATGGGAGAACTTCCCGGAGAAAAAGAGCAGAGCCAAAAAGATCTTGGCATCTCAGACCTTCCCAGAATGCCCTGACTTCATGTTCGGCCCCATCCCCGGCACCAATCCCGTCCTGCCCGGCGATGACTTCAAAGCCTGGCACGCAGCTCTCGGTGGAGAGCTCACCACCGTTTCCGATGATTCCTGGCGTACTGTACTTCGCGAGAAGCATCCCGATATGCTTCACCTCCTTCAATTCCCCTATAACGGCGAGCCCCCGAAGCGACTTGTCACTTCCAAGACGATCACACCCAACCCACTTCACTTTGTGCGAAACCACGGTGGCATTCCCATTATCGACAAGGATAAGTGGGATATGTCGCTGGATGGGCTGGTTGCAAATCCCAAGACCTACACCCTGGACGACCTTATGGATGAGTCCCGGTTCCCTCGCATGGAGAAGACCGTCACTATCCAGTGCTCTGGCACCCGCCGTATCGAACAAATCTCACTGTACGGTGGCCAAGGTGACGAAGTACCTCAGGCTCCATGGGCCGAGGGTGCTATTGGAACCGCTCGATATGTGGGCATCAGCTTAAAGAAGGTGATCAAAGACTGCGGCGGCTTACTCAAGCCGGCCAAGCACCTTGAACTCTACGGAGCCGAGACCTATGTCAAGGATCTCGAAGTGGGCAACTACGTTGTCAGCGTTCCATGGTCTAAAGTCAAGGCTAACGAGGTCATTCTGGCCTGGGAGATGAACGGTGAACCTCTACCCAAGATCCACGGCTATCCACTGCGGGTCGTCGTTCTAGGGTACATTGGTGCTCGTAGCGTCAAGTGGTTGTACCGCATCAAGGCTATTGAGCATCCTTCTCGCGCTCCAGTTCAGTCTAAGGAGTATCTTTACTTCAACCAACAGGTTGGCAAGTACAACTTACGCGCAACGGACGGCATTCAAATCCAAGAGATGCCCGTCAGCTCCGCGATTATGTCGCCCTGGACCAAGCAAACTGTCGTTCATATAGGTACGATCAGATGCAAGGGCTGGGCATACTCGGGCGGAGGTCGATGGCCCGAGCGAGTCGAGCTATCTGCCGATGGAGGCTTCACTTGGTATTCCGTGCCTCCTGAGAAATTGTCTAAGAAGGGGCGTTGGACCTGGCGAACATGGGAATATGATCTTCCATGCGATGTGGAAGGTTGGATCGAGATTGTCTGTCGATGCTGGGACAACTCGCTCAATACACAGCCACTAAATGTTCGCGCCGCATGGAATTGGGGTCTACATGTTACCTCCTCCGCACATCGCATCAAGGTTTACAGTGTCAATAAGAGTCGGGAGCTTACCAGGAAACGTTTGGATAAGTATGAGCAGCTCGGCATTCCTCTAGCGCCTCTAACTCACTATGACATCATCCCTGGACAGACGGCAGAAGAGTATGAGCAGTACTGGCGGGATCATGATCCTCGCGACGTCGATGATTAATTTTGTTTCGGACAAAAGCTTGTTATTTCTCGATTGCCTGTACTATCGATGTGTATTTGGCTATCCTTGTTGAAACGAGATTGTACTTAATAATACTAGCTGCATTGATCTCTTTGCGATTTACTCAATTTATACCTCAGCATATTGTTTACATTACTTTACCGTGCTCATCTCGCTTAGAATATTGTAATGCCCATAGCAACCTCATGAAGCTCCCGGCGACTGGAAACGATATATTCCGAGACTGATCAAGTTAAACCAACTTTGGCTTAACTCATTCAAAAATCATAATTAAAACTGACAGATTGTTTGTATAGTGTTGGCGTGGAGGAGATGCGCGATTAGATCAGCACTCTGCGCCGAGCATTTCCCCGGAACCTCCACCTGCATCGACAACCTCCCCTCGCCACTTTACAAGTGCCAGCACAAACAAACATCCAAGCATGACCAGCAAGAGGGTAAGTATAGCTTTAATGAATTCTTCCAGGTCACCAGCCTTAGAATTACCATGGACCTTACTCTACCTTGAAAATATCCCTTTAGCCCCGCAGAGCTGACCTAATGCTAGATCGCATTCAAGGTCCACGGCACCGTGCAAGGTAAGACAACCCGCCTTACTGCCTCGTCTTTCATCAGCCCTTGCTGCCTGAATAAAATAATACATAAACACAAAAGAAATTACATGCTAATCCCATCGTCCAGGTGTCGGCTTCCGGTAAGGACACGATCACCCAGATCGGGGTATGACATCATATCTTATACAACGGATAAATCACAGAGATTTTACTCAAAAATGTGCAACTAGTCATGGCCTAACAGGCTGGGTTCGAAACACCACATGTGGGAGAGTAAGTAGACTCTCGACCACAAGGTTTAGTTGGCTCTCGGGCTAATTCGATTTCGCGGCTTAGGTTGAGGGAGAAGTTCAGGGCGATGAACAGACCGTGCAGAAGTTGCTGCAACAAATTGATAAAGGCCCGCGTCATGCCCATGTTGTGAAGCTGGAGAAGCGAGATTTGGAGCTTCAAGACGGGGAGGATCAATTTTTGGTGATGAGGACTGCAGAGTCGATGTTTCATTCTGGGGCTTAAGCTGTTTCTCTATGATGGTGGTCCTTCCATCGATCGCTTCCATCGTCCTTGGATCCTATTTTAACGAGAATCATGAACTTTCCACAGGAAATCATTAACTTTTTCTTCATCCATGAAAGATTGCAAAGTCCTAGAGTAGTTGCTTAATTGTCTAAATTCCACGAGGGTGTAAACTCGACACAAACAACCATGTAGAACGTGGACTATATTTACATCAGGCCCAGCCGCTAAGCATCCCCACCGCGAGCGACAATGAGCAAGATATCGGCAAGCACCGGGGGCCTACATTTCTCTTCAGGACTCGTGACCAAGTTCACTCCCCAATTTCTCACCGGTGAGATCGAGTTTCAGAAAATTCAAGATCGCGAATAGCAGACGCCGTGCTCATCCCGAGATTTTCTCGGGAGGCCGTGAGTCAGTCAGTGCCTGACGGGCAGGGCGAAAACGGTGGCCACCCCCGACTCCTCCCGAAGTCACCTGCCTCGTCCAAAGGCCCAGGCTGACGGTATTCGGATAACGGTCGAATATCAACGTCGTAGTTAACACACGACTACATGGGTAATGGGAAGCTCGTTGATGCTGCTTCTTGTTCGTAGATGGTTCTCTAGGGTCGTATTTACTAGCTATCACGTCAAATGCATTGTCATTCGAGCCGCAGGGCAGACGATCGGCGAAGTGGGGGTCGTTCTGGTATTGTTCCTCTAACGGGCGATCGTGGCCGTCGTATGGCCCGCCAATAAGCACTGGCAAATGCCGTCATTCTTTCAGGCACACCCCTGGCCTGTTCCAAATTTGAGACTGTCAGAGGAGGGCGAAGCTATGGTTTACGATGTGTGGATTTTTTTTTTTACTACGGTTTTTGCTCGGGCTTCGTATTCTCTCGGGCTTTCGGCCTTGAGTCGCGAGGTATAAAGCGCGAGGCTGACGCCGCCTACACTTGCTTTTCATCTTTCAAAGACATTGAACTACATCGAACAAAGAATTACTTTCGACATCAACTACAAAGCTGATCATCACCCACACCAGCTTGTTCATGATGAACTCACTATCAACACTATCGACGACTGCACCCTTGCGGGTTGCTGCACGGCCGCAGACTTATCTCTTCCTGGCCGTTCGCACATACTCCGGAATAGCGGCCACGACGATCAACTCTTCATGTCTCGCCAGACAACGCTCTTCACCATTGACCTACACATCAAAACGCCTGATCTCCTCAACACCTCAACCCAAGATCAAGGAATTCTTCCCACCTCCGGCAAACCCCGCAGTGAAAGACGTGACACCGGCATGGTCGCATCCAATGTAAGCAGAGAGACACCCCGCAAGCTAATCTCGAATACGAGCTCATACAAAGTTTTACAGTTATACCGAGGCGCAGATGCAAAACGTGAGAATCGCGCATCGCGAAGCCACCAACTGGTCCGATTGGGTTGCCCTGGGCACCGTTCGCTTCTTCCGATGGGGTATGGACTTGGTGACGGGATATAAACACCCACAGCCGGGACAGGAAGCATCGGAGAAGTTTAAGATGACGGAGCAGAAATGGCTGACCCGATTCATCTTCCTGGAGAGTGTGGCGGGTGTACCTGGAATGGTTGGTGGTATGCTGAGACATCTTCGGAGTTTACGACGCATGAAGCGTGATAATGGATGGTATGTATCTATTCTCGAACCGAGCCCAGGCCTCAAAAGGTTTACTTACACTTACCTTTCTCTCTAGGATCGAGACCCTCCTCGAAGAAGCATTCAACGAGCGAATGCATCTCCTTACATTCCTTAAACTGGCCGAGCCCGGCTGGTTCATGCGCTTGATGGTGCTCGGCGCCCAGGGAGTGTTCTTCAACGGCTTCTTCTTGTCGTATCTCATCTCCCCACGGATCTGCCACCGCTTCGTGGGCTACCTGGAAGAAGAGGCAGTGTTGACATACACACGGGCCATCAAGGAACTCGAGGACGGCCATTTGCCCGAGTGGAAAACGCTCAAGGCACCCGAGATTGCAGTGAACTACTGGCAGATGCCGGAGGATCAGCGCACGATGCGAGACTTGTTGCTCTATATCCGTGCCGACGAGGCCAAACACCGCGAGGTCAACCATACGCTGTCGAACCTGGACCAGGCGGCTGACCCCAATCCCTACCAGACGGAGTATCAGGATCTGAGCAAGGACCATCCTACTCGGGGGATTGATAATTTGAAGGCGACGGGATGGGAGCGGAAGGACATTTTTTAGATGAGAAAAAGCGCTTGGGGTAATTGGTGATTTTTTCGGGTTGGCGTTGGCGGGAATCACTCTTCTCTCTGGTTATAGAAGCATGACTTGATGAACTATGCAATCGAATTCCAATCGAAGCATCGAATCGTTCCAGTTTGTTCGGTTGGAACGCGGGACGCGGGGCTCCGCTAAACCCAAAGGGGCAATTCAGCAACACGTTCGGGGTTTCTGTAGTTTTCTGAAAGTAAAACTTAATCATCTCATACATCCAAGGAGAAGTATTCCGTAATTCAATCTAGTTTATACTTGGAGTACATTGGATGCTGATATCTCACACTTCAACATGAATAGGGGCTGTCCGTGTGATGGGTGCAAAGATCTATACGGTCCTATCGGAGACCATCGACCACCAACGACGATAGTTACAGATTGACGACAAATTAAATTCCCACAGGGTTCCAGTCTGTGTGTTGGACTGTCCGACCCGCTTTCACCCCCCTTTCGCCCTTGATTTCTAAGTTGACCGTTTTATTGTGCTTAATTTTAGCCCTTGGTCTCTGCCCCCGTTAGACCAATTACACAGTTGGTTAGTCGGCACCACCCCTTTTATCCCAAAAAAGCCTCTCGGCCGTCGATCCTGCACGTTCTCATTAAACCTCCGTTCAATCTGGTCTCTTCCGTTGGCCCTCCGACCCGAAAGACAGCAGGGCTCGACTCTTTCTCTTGCTTTCTTCGACTGTACGATTCTCCAAGTTCACCTTTCAACCCTCATCATCCGGTCGTGCCATCGTCCCGAGTGAACGGCGACCACATCCCCTCCCGATCGAGTCGCATGCCAACAGTCGCCGATCGAACGATTGACCATTGAGACACCACCGCGACTGGTGCGACGACAGTTGCGGTTTCAGAATATCTTTCAACCACGCGAATAGCCATGGAGGAACCGCAGTCTATGGACGAAGCCTTGTCGCTGCCCGTCCGCGCCTCGTCGCCATCGCCGTCCGTTCCCGCAACGCCCGCCATTTCTTCATACTCCTCCCCGGACCGCACCTTCTCCTCCGTTTCCTCCCACTCCGCCTCCTCGGCGACCTCGACCGACGCCCGCTCCACGATCTCGACTTCCTCTCGCAGACATGGATACGTGCGCGCCTGCGGGGCCGAATTCGCCGACTCGGCGCGGCATCGCGACAGCGTCATGAGCCTGGGCAGTATCGCCCATCTACAGTACTACTTTGCCCGCACGGGCCTGTTGGACGGAAAAACAGGCCGAGGCAAGGATTTTAAGAAGAAGAATAGGGATAATGTGCCGCGGGTGCTGATCACGCCGAATGAGCGGCATATGGAGGATTTGGTGGCCAGCCCGACGGAGATGGTGGACGAGGCGGAGGACGAGGCTAATTATGAGGACGAGGAGGGGGAGGTGATGCTGCCCCCCACCGTCAGTACATACAGCATTAAAACGCACCACGTCCCTCCCCCGCCCGACGTGGTCTCTTTACGCCGCGATTTGCAAGTCGCACTGGACAGGGCCGAGGGTAATATCGAGGCTATTGAGAATGGCGTGGAACCTCCACCCCGCGCGCCAATACGTACCAGTCTCTCCCCCGGTGATATTCCCGAGGGTTCAGATGACGATACCGTGCGGGAAGCGCTAGCGCCGCAAACTAAGGAAGAGGCGCAGGGCATGTGTATTCTGGATGATGTGACGATGGCTATTCGAGCTGCCAAGATCTACTATACCGCCCACCCGCACCCTGAACGCCTGGGCTCGATTAAGAGTGAACGCGACATTCGCAAAGATCTGCTTCACGTCCTTGATGTACTGAAACGCTGGGCAGCACGACACTTTGCCTGTGGTCTCCGCGATGAAGAGCGAGATGTGATCAAGGGGTGGATTGTGGGTGTCCGCACCATGCTAGTCCGGGAGAAAGCCCTGGAGGACCTGGAGGCTCAAGAGCGAGAGAATTGGGACTGGGCCCGTGGCGACTGGGCTGGACGGGAACGAGCCCGCGAGGAGTCTTTCCTTCGTAGTCTCATGCCCGGTGGTCATAGTCTGCCCGAATGGACGGCCATCGATGAGACGCCGTTGGACTCCCTCCCATCCCCGTTCCTAGAGCGTTTCCGGGATGGCCGCATCCTGGTCCAGTTACACAACATCGCAGTCAAGAAGTCGAAGCGTCACTTTGGGGAGATCAAGGCCTACCACGAGGACATCGCCAAACCGTATCGCCAGGCAGAAAATCTGCGATTCTGGCTCAAAGCTGCCGAGTTGCGGTGGGAGATGCGGAAGCAGGTGGACGTTATGGGGGTGGTTCAGAGCACCAGCGAAGTAGCCTGGAGGCAATTCGACGCCGCACTGTTGGCCTGGTGCAAGACGGTGCGTGAGGAACTGGTACGAGATTGGATGGAGGCTAACCCGGGACGACCCCCGAGTGCCGGTCTGATTTAAATGATAGGGTTGAAGAAGGAGGAGGAGGAGGAGGAGGAAGAGTTTACGAGTTGCATTTCGGCCTTGACATATTGACGTTGTTGTTTTTGTTTATTACCTCCATGGGCACTTGGCTAGATACCCCTGAATTGTCTCCGACAGCTTCTGCCCATTCTCCACATTTGGTGTTGGATATTGGTTGATTTGTTCATTCTCCGATTGTTTGGTTTAGTTCGGAATTTCGCTGCATATTGGTTTGATCATCTATGGATAGTGAATACTCCGTACAGTATGATAATAATAATAATCCTCGGGGCAGGGCTTTAATTGATAATATATTTATATTACATATTACAGGACTCTTTTTCACGGAGTGGAGCCCGTGTATCCATGTGCAGTGACAAATTCGTAGTTTTCGTAGGGGAGTTCAATCGAGACGAAACCGTGGATGCGACTTGATGGTCCCTTGGTTGCTGGAGTTGTTCCTGACTTTCAAAGTTTTCCATTATTTACCGGTTCGCGTTCAAAGACTGGAATGGGACAATAGAAAAGCAAGCCATTCTTCTTTGATCCAACTACTCTTCATCACGGGCCTCGAGCTGTCCTTTCATTTCCGTAAAGGTCCGTTGACGCTAGGGCACATGGGTGCTGATCCGAGCGCCCCTTGAAATGAACGCTCCTTTTTGGATATTATCACTAGATTTGACTGATTATTCGCTGAATTGAGCTTCGTGGATACTGTAGAAGAACGTGGAGAAAGGAGATCATTCAAAGATACGTAATGTCCATGATAGGATTCATCAAGTATAGCTTTAATCTAGTTCATCAGATTATGGTTTCATTGGACTCAGCTTTATGCAGCCGAAAGACAAAGAGTATGATACTGCAGTATGATTTCATCTGATCGTCCAATGCAGATCCCTTGACTACGAAGCATACTGAAATACTCCAAACTCATGCATTAAATTACAGACCGAGGAGAACGGAAGGGTACTTAGGCCCCCATAGTTAACCAGGCGGGACCCCAGGTACCCTCTTGATGCGTCAACACCCTCCCCATCCCTCGTTTCTCTTGTCTTAAAGCCATTGCTGCCCAATACTTATCTGCCTACACCACCAGATAATTCTCAGCTCTCATCGTTGACACTTTTACAAGAACTATTAACCTGGCCATGTAGCCCTCCCCCAATTCTCCAATTACTAAATCATCAAACCCGCCGTGAGAAGGGGGGAACCCGTCCCACCTATCCTATACGTCCACTATCCTTTTACCGAACGAGAACGAAACATTCCTTGTCCCATCCCTACCTAAATTGTCGACACCTTTCCACTCTCTACCCTGTCCCTTTCGACCGTCCTCCTACCCATGCATGCCACAGTCGACGGCCCAACTCCTTCTGCGACTGACATCGCGCCGTCTGCCAGCGTGTCCGTTACGTCCGCCTCACCTCCTCCGCCCCCCGCGGTCTCCGGCTCACCAAATGACCCCGGTCCCTCCCCTCTCCGCCGCTTGAAGTCCAAGTCTTCTCTCTGGAGTCTCGGCAGCAGCAACCATAGCGGTCACGAAGACGACATCCCAGCCGAGCCCTCTAGCGCCGAGAAGGCTGCAGGTGGTAAGCCGGGCATCTTCCGTCGCCTATCGCCCGCGCTCGCGGCCCGCGTGAAGCTACTCGACGGCACCAACAAGGTGACGAGCGCGCCCCGGGATCCTAAAAACGTCGGTCGGATTCCCGAAGAACAGCTCAAGGAGCTGGACAGCCAGCACCAGGACCTGTCGATCAAGGTTGAGAAGCGAGGACAGGCGTGGTCCGGTCCAACGGCTCCTTCCCCGGATCAACATCCACAGTACTTTAAGCGGAGCGCGTCGAACAGGCTCGAGATCCCCAGTCACGATCTTCTACAGCGCGCGACCGAGGCATACGCGGAAGGGCCAGATTACGCCGACGCGGTCGTCGACGGCCCGGAACCCCCGTTCTGGCCGCCGCTTACAACCCGGTGCCTGTCCCTGACACTGAGAGCAGCTCTCCGCCGACAACACCATCCATGTCTGTTGCAGAGGCTGCGCCCGCGCCGCTGCGCGTAGAGCCCGCGTCCTTGCCCGAACCATCACTACCCACCGACACAGCCCAAGATACGCGGACGGATTTTGAGAAATATGTCGATGACACGAAACGCAGCGAGGAGCAGTCAGCGGAATCCGCCCCTGCGCCCCCGCCAAAGGACTCTCCACCTAACTACGCGGTCGCCTCATCTTCTAACTCACAGTCGTACTTCAACCCCATGGGCTTGCAACGTGCCGAATCAATATACTCCTTCTCCCGTGCCTCGTTCAGCAACCAGCTGTCCCAGCTCACGTCTATTCCTTTACCGCAGCCCGGAGCGCTCGAGACTAGTATAAGAAATATTTCCACGGCGTTCGCGGCGGTGCGCGCGTTGAACGGCGCGGCGGAGCAAATCCAGATTTGGATTAGAAAGGCGTCGGATGTGCTCAGTGGGCTGGACTCCGAGGATGACGTGGAGTGGGCGGCTGCCGGTGGGCGAGAGGGTCTTGATGGGGTGGATAAAGCCATCACTCGCTTCGAGTCGCTGGTGAATGTCTACGTGAAGGCCATCGAGAACGTGCAACTTCGGGACGATATCGCTAATGTCGACTCGGAGAGCTTGAAGACGATTGTCAGTCAGATGGAAAGCATTCTGCACAACTGGGCTCAGATTAAGAACAAGTTGCGCGGTGTGAAGGAGCAAGTGGAGTTGGCCATGGAGTGGGAGGAGCTTTGGTCTAACGTGTTGGGTGACGTGGGCATGGAGATTGACAACCTGAGCGGGATGATTTTTGAGATGGAGGAGAAGCGACACCATACTTTGATGGATACCGGCGATTCAACGGGTGGTCTGGATATAAACGAACTCGAGACTATCGTGGAGGAATCTCCGACCAAGGGCCGGTCCCCTGCTACTAATCGTCTGAGTATGCTCGCAGCAGCATCTGGGACGCCCGTTATCAAGACGCCGCAGGATGACTCCAGCTATTCTAACCTGATGGCCCTGTTTGCGCGCATGCAACCACTCCGGGCATCTTTGGATTTCTTGCCCATGAGACTCTCTATGTTCCAATCGCGGGCCGAGGGCGTCTTCCCAAGTGCTTGTGAGGAGCTCGATGACCGACGAAGCCGGCTGGAGAAGAGCTATAAGGTCCTTGAGACGGATGCGGAAGCTTTGCGAAAGGAACTGGGTGAGGACAAGTGGATTATAGTGTTCCGCAACGCGGGCAGTCAGGCACAGAAGATGTTCGAGTCGGTCGAGCGGAGCATTTCCAAGTTGCAGGAAGGATTGGAGACCAACGCGCAGGTTCACAATCCGGGCAATATGACCAAGCGGATTGAGAATTACGAGGCCAAGAAGATGCACTATGTTCCTGCTATCGAGCGGGTCATTTCTATTATCCAGAAGGGTGTCAATGATCGTTTGACTGTGAACGGCGAGGTGCTACGCCTTTTGTCCGACATGACCTCGCGGACGGATGCCCTCAAAGCTAGTCTTCGGGTGATGGATTCTTCTCTTGAGGATGTGCAAATTGTCAAGGGTCAACAATTGCGTGACTCGATCTCAAGTATCATTACGATGGACAGCCCAGCTACGGGTAGTGCTATTGACACCCCCGGGAGCTCGCCTGCTTCGTCGGTTGTTATGAGCGGCAGTGGATACAAGACGCCCATGGGAAGCTCCAGTCGTCGCGAAAGCTCGGTCGGCAGTGCCACGACGCGCTCAACCATGTCAAAGGTCCGTCGATTGTCTGGTCTGCCGCAAGTGACTGCCACTATGACCGGACGCAAGTCTTCTCTCCCCAAGCCAACGGCCCCCGTTACACCCACGCCAGCGACCCGCAAGACCTCTCACATCCCACAACCATCTACCATTCCGAATCGCCCTCGTTGGAACGCCAGTACCAACCTGAATGATCTACATTCGAGCTCTGGATATCTGAGTACCACAACGCCGGGCACCACAAGGAAGAGCTCTGCCCCGGTGTACGGCCGTCCGTCGTCGACGGTCCCTTTCCGGCGAGATATGTCTGCATCTCCTGTACCTGGTGCTGGCCGTTCACTTAGCCGTCTATCAAACCGACTGGCGTCGTCGTCCCGCAGTCCCAACCGCAACGTGTCATCCCCCACCCCACCCAGCTCCTCCCTGCTCGATCCTCCACCTTATAGTCGTCTCCGCAGACCATCTGGCCTATCCGCTACTCCTCGTAGCCGACAGAGCTTCGCTGGAACGGGCTCTTCTTTCAGTCGCAGCGTTTCTTCCCAAGGGCCAGGCTACGAACCACAGGAGAGTCCTACAAAGTCGACGCGTCCGGGTACAGCCCTCGGCCACTCTGGCAGTCGGCGAACTAGTCTCCTACCCTTGCCTAAGCGATCGAACGGGGGATCGGCTTCACAGGCGAACCTGGCTGCCCGGCCACCTTGGAGAGCATAATGACTCTAACCCAGTCTGCTCCATCAATATCCGCCATCCTCCTTACCTTTTATACACTTTCCTCTCCTCCCTCGACCCGCCTCACCTCCTCTCTCCTAAATATCTCTCCAACCCTCCCATGTCTCCTCATCTCTTTTCCATTCAGTCCCATTGTCTTATTTTGCCTTTTTTTTGTGCATTGCGCCCCCGCGCCAACCAGTGTTTCTTCTATAGGTACTGAGCGGGCGGGCATTGGCGCCATGATCTTGAGGATTAGGTTTTGCGTGATATCCCCATTGTTGCATGGTATGGTCTGAGCGTTGGGTTCTATCTTACTATTGTTTTTATCTTCGGGTTGTTTTAAACTTGCGGTTGCCTTGTCTTGATGTGATTCTTCCTTGGATTTTCATCTTCCATCCCATGTGAATATCTCATGTAGTTCTATCCTTGGTGTTGGGTAGTGGAAGTCGATCTAAACTTATAGACTGAAATTGATACACAAGTCTGATTCCCGCATTCTCCCGTAAAGCTCTCTGCGTCTTGTATCCGAGCGTCATCATTCATTGTCAATGTTCATTGTGACTGCCTATGTATATACCATATCCAGACTTTTCTTTTTAATTACAATGCAACCGAAACAACATCTAATTTCCCAACTCGCGTCCAAAAACCAACGCATCAACCAGCTCCTCGCTATTAGCGAGACGCGCCGCCTTAGGAACCCGTCCAATAACGCTGAACCCAAGTCTCTCCCAGATACGGATAGAAGCAGGGTTGTTAGCGAAGACCAGGTTGAAGACGGAGTATTTGTATCCCTAGAGAATCCGGATTAATTTCTAAACGAAGTCCTCAAATGTTTGGGGTTGAGATGAGCTTAACATACTAGCTTCGGAGCAAAATCCAGATAAGCTTCTCCCATCTGCTGGCCAACGCCCTTGCCACGCGCTGCGACGGTAGTCAAGAAACCGGCATTGCAGATATGCGAGCAACGACCTGTAATCATCAGTACAAGCCACAATTATACCATTACACTTCACACCTTATCAAACAACAGGGGACAATACTTACCAGGATAATTCGGCTTAATATAAAACGTCCCCAAACAAACATTCTCCCAATCCCTCCCTTCCACCAACCCATTTCCCTCACCCTCCTCCCCATCAAGCACAGCAACAACCGCAAACGTGCCAAACCAATACTCCGCAAACGCCTCCAACTCCATCGGCTTCTCCATAGGATAAGTACTCCCGCGCTCAATCTCCGCGCTAAATTCCGCGTGGAGGAATTTAACTAGATCCCACGGGATACTCGACGAGCCACCCGTGATAGGGTAGAGAGTCATGCCTGCATTGGAGGCTTTGGGAAGGGTGGTGTGCCGGGGTGATAGTGTGGGTGCGGCGGTGGTGTGTGCTGTTGGTGCGGGGATGCGGGAGGAGGGGTCTTCGAGGATGGAGGGCATTTTGATTGATTATGAGGGTGTGGATTTGCTAGGGGAATTGAATTGGATTGAATGGAATATGGGATTGGGGGTGGGATTGGGGGAATTGGGACTTCTAGGGAGATTGGTTTTTTATGTTCGTGACTGGGGTCGATTGTCAAGGGAAGGGCGTACCTCCATTTCGTTCTATAAAAATCGGCGAAGAACCCGATCTCGGCTGCCGATAGTTAGTTGGTTACCGATTTTGGATTAGATAAGCTGATTTGAGAGGTATGATTGGACAGGACAAGGCTGGGCGTAGAAATGACTCGATCTAGGACATGTAGTTTTGCAGATAGATTGCTAGAGAGCTATGAAGGTCGGCATAGGGCTCTCAGAGACGAGTATAATTTACTCCTGTAGGTAATATTCCTCAGATATAGGCCTCTAGGCGAGTATATCGCAGATTGCGGGGAAAGATAGGTCTAGCACTAGAGTTGACATTATGGGATCGTCTCCTCGAAATTGGAGCTTGTGAGATTATCAACGGTATCAGTGGACCGACTGGTAGCATGTGAACAAGAGGGATTCTACTTGGAGATCTCCTCGGATCGAATTTCATAAGAAAGCTTTCTCTCGTTCATATATAGTACAGATAAGGTTGAAAGGGTAAACATCGAGTATTGCCTGAATTCCTCAATGACTATGCCAGGCGTAACAATGTTCGACAAGGCGGAAGGGTTCAAGACCACACTTGTCCTGAGTAGCATCGAAGCCCTTTGGTCGGAGGGCCTCGGCTCAATTTTAGAGAAGCCGAGTCCGACGATGCCAGGGTCCTCGACGCCAGGCTTAAGCTCCTCGGAGAAGAGATATTACTTCACTCAAATCAATCATTGTTTTTCGCCCTCACCCTCGCCTTCGGGTTCGGGGTTTTTGATGGCCTGCATCAACTCAAATAGCTGTCCGATTTGTTGATCTGGAGCAGGGCAGCATGTTAGTGACCTAAACCAAGCAACAATCACCAAGAACCATACCATTCAGCTTATCCAATTTAGACTTGTCCAATTTCTCTCCAGACCAGTTATCGCCCTCCAATTTTTGCGCGTATAGTTGCCATTCCGTCAAGAATCCGATCTGCAATTGTCCAGTCAGTCCTAGTCCGTCAAGCCGAGGGTACCATCTCCAATCCATTCGTCCCCCAGTTCTCCCATAGACCAACAGTATAAACGTACAATGTGTAGTGGATTCTCCGCAGTCCGATGCGCCCGGAACTCCTTCTTCACGTATGAGTCGCCCAAAACGCGCAGCTCCGGGTCGAGTTTGCGATGCACGCGCAGGATGCGCCGGTAGAGTTGCAATGGGGGGAGGAGGGCGAGGGCTTCACTGAGACTGGATTTGGAGCCCATCGAGGCCGGCGTGGCCATGAGGAGACGGTGTGCGAGACGCATGGTTGCTGGGTTGTAGAGGTTTAAAGAAGAAGAAGAAATGACATAATTTCCTGGGGAACGGGTTGGAGAAGCCGAAAGGCGGCGAGGCGGCGGAGCGAATCGGTGGGTCGCTTGGGCCCGGCTTTGAGCTTTTCCTTCAGTGCGACACTGCAAGTTATATTCCAGTCAACGACATTAGAATTCGGAATTGAGACCTTACAGCAGGGCTTTTGAAGAAAATCAGCCTAAAATTGCACGCCTGTCGCAAGAACTCGAGATTGTTGGTCTGGCTAGTGCCCAAAATCCGCTTGCAGCAGATAGCGACCATTTTGATATCGAAAGAAAAAAAATATCAAAGCTGAAAGAAGACCATCAAAAGAATCAAAATTTTCAGAAAAGGCTGAAAAATGCTGCCCACACCGGACACCTCGCATGTCTCTTTCGACACTATCTATGAGCCCGCCGAGGACTCATACCTCTTCCTGGACACACTATCTTCAGAATCCGAGTCCAAATGGCTATCTGAACGCTTCAAAAAATCCACCAGCCCATCACCAGACTCATCATTCAACTCAGTACCTCTGGTCGTGGAGGCAGGTACTGGATCTGGTGTGGTCCTAGCTTTCGCAGCCGCGCAATCACAACATATCTTCGGGCGACAGGACATCCTCACATTGGGGATAGACGTGAACCGGAATGCTTGCATAGCAACCCGAGAAACCGTTGCATCAGCTATCAAGACAGTGCAAAAAGAATCAAGCACATCTGGTGCAAACTCAAATCTGCATACAGTCCATGCCTCTTCCATAACCAGTGACCTCTGCACGGCACTGCGCCCTGGAAGCGTCGACGTCCTTCTTTTCAACCCACCCTATGTTCCAACAGAAGAGCTGCCTCGTCTACCTACCGAGTCAGAGAATGATCCCACAGCATCACAATCCATGTCTCGCTCTGCAAAGTTTGAGAGCGACTCATACTTCTTGTCCCTGACGTATGCGGGCGGTGCAGATGGCATGGAGACGACGAACCGGTTACTGGAGGCTATTCCTGGCATTTTGTCTGCTCGTGGTGTGGCATATGTGCTTCTTTGCAAACAGAATCGACCTGAAGAGGTCAAGGAGTGCATTCGTGCTTGGGGTGGATGGAATGCTGAGACCGTTGGGTCAAGTGGTATGCAGGCAGGATGGGAGAAGCTGGTCATTGTTCGGATTTGGAGGCAAGATGCTTCTTAGAAAGAGGCATTTGAGTAATATAGAAAGATACGGACATGTATTTGGGGCAGCTGCTATCCAAATTCTCTCCTACCTGTACCTACCTAAACAGCTTGGAAGATTGCATACTACAGGATTAAACCTCATATAAAACGGCCATACTCGCCAGAAAAGATGTCGTTCGGTATGGGTAGCTACACTGGAATTTCTCAATCTCAAACTAGAACTAGAACGACGGGGAAAAGAAATGCAATGGAGGTTTGTGACTTGCTCGGGGCCACCCTCGAGTGACGCTCGCCTAATATGTATAGCTCACGACAGAGACGGATCTGCCGGCTTACATTGCACCACAAGATAAAATGATCGTTTCAGTCATTGAAACCAACGTGGTAGCCGAGGACGGCCCAAAGGGATAAACCCCCCGAATCGCTCTTGGATGATACAGGTCTGGTCATTCTCAAAATAGTTGTCGGTGGTTGTATAGAATCCGGAAATGCTAAACATAGAATAGTGAAACGAGCCAGTTTATAAATACCCTGAGCTTGAATGTTTCATTACCATTCGATCTTGCAATCCTTACCATACCCCAGTGTGGCTCACGCGGGAGTATGACAGGGCGTAGCCGAAAAGCTTTCTTTCGGTATCAGATGCAAGCATTAGATGTGGGATTTATTGTTTTACATGGGGGAGAATCGACAGACAGTCTTTCACATTTGTTTCCAACAAGCACATCATCTTATTCGATCAAATCTGACATAATACCAAGCGGGCTTTCGGGTGGAGGTAGGTTCGCTTGACAAACACATGGAGGGGGTTTGACAGGGTCCACCCCCCAGTAAGCACTATGTGTACATCTTTAATTGATTGATTCTAATAAATGAAAAAGAAATATTCGGTCTAGTACTCGTCTGACACTAGGCCAACACGGTCAAGCTCTTGTCCCTAGCCCCCGTATAGCATCGGTATCTGCAGGCCTCTTCGGGAAGAGCCAGGGGTATTGATACTGAGTTTTTGGAATAATATGGCTCAGACTACGTGGCATAGCTAGTGTCGCCCCCCGCATGAAATGGCCCTGGGGGCCCGTTTAAATCGGCAGCGTCGTAATAATCTCGTGCAAGTCAGCGTTAAGTTTACATCAGATCCTGGAAGATTGTGCAAGTCAGACGGGACATGACTCGCAACTCGGATTTGATAGGTAGTTAGACTACTGCATACGAAATGCCGAGAAAGGCCCCTTATGGCATACGTATTTTGGAGATAATTAGTTCCGAGCAGGCATGCTCGCGCGGGATTATACGAGGACGGAAGGCCCCAAAATCAGAGCGTCCATAGACATGGTACATGTCAGCAGATACGCGCGGTAATCATTCTGAGCGGCGGTAACTATATGCCTATTTGAGAGATTGAGATTATTCGGAGCGAAGGGATCCGAAAAGTGAAATTTGTGAGACAAATGAACTACTCCACCGGGCTTTACCACAAGGTTTGCGGAAGTGCGATCTTCACACGTCAGCAGAAACCCAACGCACGAACTTTCGATGCATACCCTTTCGGCCCTAAGCCGTTTCGGCCGTATAATGACCTTGGTAATCTCTCAGGCTTTGGATGAACAACGATATTGGATCATTTAAGGCCAACATCTCCACTTGACTAACTCGGGATTAAAAGGCTTCCAAACTATCAACTGCAACTAAGAGACACCAACAGCCTGATTGATCCGATCTTGCACAAGGCAAATTTACTAGGAGGGGCCAGCCAATAAAATCTCTAGAATATCGAAGACTATTCGCTGCCTGAATGAGGGGGTCGGTCAAGGGGTGTTTTGGTGGCCCCGATTACGGCCTCCTATCATTCCCGCATACTACAGTGTCCCGGAAAGTGGATGTGAAAATCTTTCATGCTGGGTACTATGTAAATGAGTTGTAATTCCATGACTGGTCTTACAATATCGTTTTGTTAGTTCATGATCTTTCACGTGGAAGTCCGAGCAGTCATGCGCTTAGCAAGTGTGGAGGAAGGATTATCAGGAGATGACAGTCCTCGTCTATATACCTGTTTTAAGTGTCCCACAATTCAAGCTAGCAAGACATGTCATGCTTAGCATACGATGATTCACGAATCTCGTACGCAATCTCAGGCAACCTCCGAGCTCCGAGTCGGGAGTTAGCCTTGGACCCCTTGGATTGCATGTTCAGTACTCGAACAATAGTCTCAATAATCAAACGATTACCTTGAATTAAATAATAACACATGATGACATCACAAAGAATAATGTCAAAAATGTCGCCTACTTCTTCTAGAACTGGAACCTGAACCGCTCCACCCGTCGATCGATGGGCGAAAGCTTGAACGCCAATTCGATATGCCTTCCGCCCCATATCCCGTAATTGTATCCGAGCAAAGGACTCCCCGAAAGAGATAGTCGCAGACGTAGCTGACTTCTCATTTGCTCCCTCAATTCTCACCATGTGGACTTCTCAGTGACAGATGCTTTGTTATTGATTATCATTAGTAGCCTACAATAACCAATCCTGCAGCAGCATTTTTGTACACGGCCATTCTATAGAACGGGTCCTTCTGGGTCTCCTTATTCTCAAATTGCGTAAGCTAGCCAAGCAAACCTATATTGAAAAAGGCAAAACGCCTAATTAGATAGTCTTGGCAAAGTCATAATAGCGCATCGGCAATGAGGATATACTGGATAATAATTGTGAGACAAGATATCCTCTCGAATATGGAAACCTTTTCTGAACTACTGCCACGATCAACCTACGCGAACAGACCCGGGGCCAGGGAGCCGAGCTTGGCTCAGGGTCTAAATGTGGATCATCAGCAATCTACAAGGCGAGGGGAAAACACTATCATAGATCGCCACCATGACCAGACGAACGGTTCAAAGGTCTTCCTGTTTCAGAATATAGTACTTTGAGCCCGATACTATTTACGATTCAGTTGCCACCAGGCGGATCCAATAGTACGGATACCATATGGGGCGGGCTCGGTTACATGGCGTAGCCCCAAGTCAAGATTCTTCGGTGCCAATGGGGCAAACATAGTAGCCTTGCCATTGTCCTAGATCAAAGGGGGTGGCGATGATTTCATAGCTTCCAAAGAAATGGGGACATCGGGTGCCGAGGGGCGGAAGGAGCTGGAGATATAGATGGATAGAGTTAACTACGAATTTATGGCTATACTTTAGCTGTATATCCATGGTGATTCTCATCCTGGATATACACGTGCTATTCCATGTACAAACTCCGGAGGTTTCCCGATATTGCCATTGTCGATCGTCCGGGGCTGGTCCGGCTTATTTCTGAATACAACTACTCGTACAGTACGGCCGGTATCTCGGCCCCACGAAATAAGTCCAGTGCTACCCGAGAAAAGGTAATCTGAAGCTCAGATTGAAGTTGCATTGTCATCACTTCCCCACAGGCGTACGTATTTGGGGTAAGTTAGGGCAAGCTGCAGCTTATATGCATGCCGTCACGTGTGACTATTCTACAGTCAGGTGATGGACCAAGTTGGAGATGAGTAGAGTGGATATGGCTTGTAGATCTTATGCGAGAAATGGACACAGGCAGCTTGCATGAAGAGATTGAGTTTTTCGTATAGCATTATGATTTTGTAGCCAATAGGTCCCCTATCGATTGGGGGCAAGACTGGGCCCTGGGAATCAGGAACATCTCTCGACCATTGGCCATCTGCATACATTATTCCAAGTCGTTTAGACCTGGCAAACTCTTCATCGCTGTAAGATTGTGCCGTAGCCATTGTGATCGAAGTCAAGAAAATATGGCCAGTACAAGCCAAGGGAATCGAAGAGAGAGAAAAAATGGGGGCATTGCTTTTTCTATCACCCTCCCAAGTCGGAAAAATGCCCCGGGGTAACAACAGATGGAGAGTTCCCATGATCATGCAAATAAAAAAAAAGAACCGAATTTCTCAAAGACATAAAAACGCCGTTCTGTACTCTCAGAAAGAAAGGATGTGCTCATCAACTTAGAAGCCACGACCACGGCCACGGCCACGACCCCGGCCTCTGCCACCTCGGCCCCCGCCACGGCCCCCGCGGCCGCGGTCTGCCTCCTTGCGGGCCTTGTTCTTGGGCTTGGGGGCGTCATCCACAAGCAGAGTGTCGAGGGGCAAGCTGTCGGGGAGGATGTAATAACGAATTGTCGAACCACGGATGTTGATGGTATCCAGAGAGACGGGGTCACGGCCCTTGGGGGTCATCTTGACGGTTCGGAGGGAGGTGTTCATCTGAGGCGAGACGGATGTGATGGTACCGTGGAGAATTGTGCCTATAATGAGGGTTTCGTTAGCGTCAGAGCTGGGTCTGGAAATTCGCGTGCCGTCGCGAGATCAAGGCTGGACGCCGGACTGAGAAGGACCGAGGCGACTGGACGTACCATTCTTGAGCTCAATGGTCACCGTCTCATTGGCGCATTTCATCAAAAAGCTAGATGGCCGGTCAGTTTGAAGCTTCTAAAAGATATTTCGGGATTCAAGCGGGCGCGTGTCGCAGCTCATAGCTGGCCACCACAACTCAACAAGGCGACTCACCGGACGAGCTTCATGTTGGCTAGACGGACTGCAGTTTGTGAGATATTTCAAGTGGTCGATATTAAACCCCAGCAATCAGCAGTGTTGGTGGGGATTCTCCGTTGACAATCGCGGTGGATGATGCCGTCGGATTACAGTGCAGAGTTGACCAAGGTCATGTGACCGAGCTCCCATTCTCAGTCACGTGACTACATTCTGGGCTCCTACATATTCAAGACCTCATCATCGAACTTGTAAAGAAACAAGCAGTGGATTTCCTGTTTCCTCTTAGTCGCTGCTTATCACGATGATTTGAAATTCCAACCTGCAAGTACTTCATTGAACTAGTATTAGAACTGCTCCGGTATCTGCCCAGTCATAGTGTAGCATTTGTTGCTTGTTCCATCAGCGAATCAGCACCTGGAATCCGACTATATACTGGTTGCCGTCTGCCACATCGTTGTCAAGGCAAAAATGGGCGCTTAACATCTTTCATGCTACAGAAACAGGGGGTTTCGGAGATCTTCGGCAATGAGTAGTTTAGAATGTTCGCTCATTTTCCTGGCAGCAAGGCTGCGGGCTTATGGTAGAGATGGCGCCGGTAGTTTGTTGTTCTAGCGACAAGAGAATTTGTCTCTATTCACTACCAGCCAACCAACAAGCGACACTGCAGACGATTTCCCCCTAATCATGCAACCCCCGCTACCGGCAAAACTCCGTTAGTTGCAAAATCCGAACGAATTAACTTATTCCTACCGGACTGGCTCAACAGTCCGGTCCCTGCTCCAAACTCTGCCCGCTTAAACGCGTGCGTGGCCCGGAACCCTCGCTCTCGATCTCTCCCTATCGGGGTCCACTTTTTTATATTGTCCCCCCCGGAAGCATAGTCATACCCCCGTTCCATAGTTACAAGATGCCGGGGAACGGATGACTTGCGACGACTCCGCGATGCATCAAACGTTGACTCGCGGCCCTCGTGCACAATGCACGGATGGTGATGGCTCGGCCATGACCAGCGGCTCGATGCACAGCTCACGCATGAAGTCTATCGAATCAAAAACCGATGAGGCTTTTCCCAGGCCCTCCACACGAGGCTGCGGCAGCCAAATCAGAGCGCCCAACGTGCACAAAGGTGCAGCAGGTCGATACAGTAGGCTCTGCATCAGCCGGGTAGAACCGTCCCCGGGCGATCCAACCAACAGCAGGCCTTTTGTTAGGGGGGCAGTATGATTTGCAATGCACCTGGATGCAAAGACACATGGCACTTTTGGCACATGGTCGATATGCGGATCCCCGAATTATTAACCCTGAATGTGGAGTTGTGTCGATCTAAAAGGTGGTCTTCCAGGCGGGAGTCCTCCCGGACGCGCTGTGGCTCCGGAACTCGCTCTCGACTAAGTCGACTTAGTTGGTCCTTGCTGGACTCGAGTGGCTGAAGTGATAATTTCGCGACGACGCGGCGCCATCACATCCCTGCATGTCGGGTTCCCACCATGCCTGAATGGCCATAATGGCTTTCTCTGCCTGTTCTTGGCACGTTCCCGGCCAACTGGTTGCTTATTTATTGGTTCCACCTCGGCGTTTTACGGGTTTACGGGTGGGCGCAACCAACAAACCCCCCGGCCCCCCGATATAGTAACTGGACGAGCAAGCTTGAGTGGCTCACCCGGACAGGGCTAATACTGCGAACTTTCGAACCTAGTACAGTCGACCTACCACCACCCAAATTGAGTTATCCGATTTCCGGCATTCGAAGCTAACAGTCATGGTTAGGGTGAACCTGCCCCCTGGTTCGCCGTACTCGGTTCAATCTACAGTTGTTTCGCCGGACTATTACCGACCCTTTCCAAAGGGTCTCACTTTTCTCGAGAGGCTAATTTTTTTTATTTTCACTCTTTCCTCTCTCCTATCTGGCGGATTCGACTATTCTCTTTCCAGTATAAGACGAAGCTTCTTATACGACTTATGATCTGGCCTTCATCTGTTCCAACGGCTTGTCAGTGGGGGCCAAAAAGGTACGAAGCACGTTGAACAAGAGCCGGAGACAAACCCCGTCAGACTTTCATGATTTTTACAGTTAATTTAATTTCTCTGGATCGGCGCATCGAATGGCGGCCTGACTCGATGGAGACTAACTTTTTTCCCCCTCTAAATCATGTACTCCGTACAGTAACTGAACTGCCAGCCACAATAGGAAGAAAATGCGCCAGCGTCATGGCCCCCAATTGTCCGCTCTGCCCCATTTACCTCTATGGGGCTAAGAATCCACTCAACCCAGAGATGAAAGCTCACTTGTGCCGTTCAGGATCAATACACACGCCCTGGCTACTGGGCAGTGGCCCCAGAGTAGACATCCCCTTTTACCGAACCTATTTTTTTCCTCTAATTTTCCAATATAGGCTTTGGCCTAAAAACGGAGGACCCGGTGTCACTTGTGGGGGTCGAAAGTCAACACAGGACCACTCCTGGCTCGCCATGATAGAGCGATTTCGGCCCACTTGTCGAAGATCATAGGAATCTTACGGCCGCTCTTTTTCTCGTCTATGTCGTATGAGATAGGGCAATTAATACAGCATTACCCGCGATAGAAGAACCTAACCGATCAAAAGGGTTAATGAACGACCTTTGCCAACACAAGTGCGTTTCAGACCATCCGCCTCTCTCGTCCACTCTTAGTTTTTCTTGGTTGCCCGCAAATCACCCACATCTCCATCTTCATCTCCATTGATTTGAAGACAACGACGTTCTAGAAGCCCCCGTTGTGTTCGGCCTGTTGGGGGGTGGGCCATCGTTTACCAAGCGTACCCAGTGTCTCTGTACAGACTTTGGTACCTGACTATACTCCTTCCATACCTAATTAACAACGGGCCCTTCTTCGATCCCTAGAAATTGCGGGGACTTCCCTCTGCTCTGGGCCTAGGAACGCCCTGCTCGAAGATCTGAAGATTTTCTGCTAAGAAAAACTTCTTTCTTGCGCCCGTCAAATAGCCCGATTGCCATCCCCAGGAAACAAAACCCCGCGAGCCTGGCAATATCGCATCCGACTCTTTTTGCAAAAGATTGCACTGTATGTTTTGTCTTTCTACAGTTTTTTCTCTTCTCGCACTTTGCAATTGCCGCCCCCCTCCTTAGGCTTTTTTGGCCCCTCCGGCCCCCCTGCTGTTTGATTGTTGTAGTTGTGCGCTAGTTAGGTCGACGGCCTACAAGTCAAATCAGAGATGTCGCCCAGGGATTCAAGCTCACACCATTCACCTTCTCACCATAGGTGCCAATCCAATTACCTCTCGGCCCCAGCCCCGTTTCCAGAAGTTGAGCTTCTTTCCTCGGTGTTCGAGCCAGTGCAGGCGCCAGGCTACCAACAACAGCAACAACAAGGCTCTCTCCGCAGCTCGGACTCTTGGCCTTTACATAGCCCTGTCCCAAGCCTTGGGAACGACTCGCAGCCCACGCAAGCATTTCCACTTTCACTACATCCAGATATCTCGTCTTTATCGTTAAATTCAAGCGCCAGCGTTGCTGGAACTATTCTCGACCCGGATACACCACTCCCGAGTCTGGAAAACGAGCAATCCTTCATTAGTGTCAACCGTGAAGAGCAGTTGACAGACGGCAGTCCCCAGTTAGTACTAAATGCTTTGATTACCCATTGATATCTTCTGTGGTATTTTTCATTATAACAAGCATCTTATATCTAACCAATCTGTTTACAGAAGCCTTGGGATCCCATCATACCCTATGTCAGTAGCTTCAGGCTCATACTTCGCTGGCCCGATGCAGCCAAACAACCACCGTAAGTATGGACTTTAAGCATAGAACAAAAGTTATCATGCTAATGATCCAGCAGCTTATGGTTGGGGCAATCGCTCCTTTCAACCAATGCAGCCTCAGTCAGGCAATATGAACCAGCAATATGCGCCATCACAACAGTACCCTCCGGCAGGGTTTCCTGTTGGTTATAATAGCCAATCATTACCAAATTATCCACACGATCCGCAACAAGCTTCATCATACTTAGCTGCAGCGCCTGGGATGGTTCCTCGACATAACCAAGCTCGAAGGTGGGCGGGTCATTTTGAATTAGGACTTTCTGCGGCGAATTACTGACAATTGGCTTCCTAGTCCACCAGTGCCACCAATGGCTCGCCCATTTCACCACCAATCCGCTCCCGCCACCTTACCTGATCAATCACTAATAGCATCGTGAGTTCCAAGAGATCAAAGCCGAACTCAGAGGAGTTTAAAAGTATGGGCTGATTACTGATTGGGCCTGCAGTTCTTCTACCTATATGATGAATCAACCCGCCTACTATCTCCCCGAAGCACATCCAGTTCCGTGAGTCCACCGTGGACAAGAATGGTAAAACACCTACTAAACTCCAGAGAATAGATCCTCTCATCCGTCCTCCATGAGTCCACAAGCCTCTTCGATGGTCAACGAGCCTGTCTACTCTTCTCCACCTTCGATTCCGACAGGAGAGTCCACCGATCGCCCCCTACGCGTGGTCAGTTCACGACCTCGACCACAATGCTGGGATCACGGATGTGAAGGACGTGAATTTTCAACTTTTAGCAATCTGCTTCGACACCAGCGCGAAAAATCCGGCGTCGTCGCCAAGGCAGAATGCCCTGTCTGCGGAGCCGTGTTCACGCGCACGACGGCGCGCAATATTCACGTTGCCCAGGGCAAGTGCAAGGGTCCAGGACGAGAATCTTCGGCGGAATAAAAAGGGTGCTGGGAGGTTTAGAGGTTTGGATATGGTGTTTCTTTTTCTTCTCTTTTTCTTCTCTTTTTCTTGTATATTGGGTTCTCCAGCTTTTTTTTTGGCTTGTTCTTCGTTCTTTTTTTCTTCTGCGCATGGATACCTGGCAGTAAAAAAATAAAGTCCGTGGTAAAGCGGCATTTTGAATGATTGGCTTTCTACTATATTTTTATTCTAGAATCAAAGTATATTGATGGTATTTTCGAACATGCACTTCAGGACATTGCTAGCAATATCTAGAAAAGACCCCCTAAGTGGACATCATGTGACTGACGAAAGACTGGATAGGGATTTAGGAACTGGATTAAATTACACAAACTAACGAAACCACTTCCGGTGATATAACCAAGTCATCAGTCTTGTCAGTATGACCGTTGAAGTCCCATCAAGGTTGACTCTGTTCATAGTTCATAGAGTGCAACGTGGGGGGGGGGGACCCACGTGGTGCCTCAGGCAGCGCCGCACACTTGTGACTCAACCGCCGACTTCAACTGACGATTGCAACGGAGTTTCAACGTTTACCAACACCAACCTCTAGTCGGCGCAAGAATGCCTGCTTCTGTCTCTACGACTTCTACCGTTCGTCTTTGCTGGAAATCTTCTTCGTACCGAATACCTTTATTACCTGTGTGAAATTGTAATCGAAGCCATGGCTTCTATCTTCACTTACGATCCCGACCCGCCACGGGTTTCCTCCCCATGGTCGACCTCGGGATCCTCCACTCCAGGCCAAGCCAACCAGGCCAACCAACCCAGCAAAAGCGGACTGGCAATTCGCACGCAATCGAGTTCTGCCCTGGACCGCGCTCCAGACTTCTTGTCTGACTATGGCATTACCAAGTTGGAGCCGGAACCTCAGGAGGGTCCTACAGAGTACAAGCTGCACTTGCTGCTCCGCCCGCGACGGCCTTACCTCTCTATGTCAACGGGGAATGTAGTCGCGGGTTCGTACCACTCTCGTGTATCACTCACTCCGGCTTCGTACTCTGCATCTCCAGCCCATGATGCAACTCCCCGCCCTATGCAGGCCAAGTCAGCCCAGAGCCGCCAGCAACGGCTGCAGGGCCTGACAACGCAGCTCCTTTGGCGTTTGCAACAGTCGTCCCCGTTTCACTCGTCTACGACGGCGAATCTGGTCGTTCCTGTCCTGCCCGACGCCAGCCCGCAATTAGGTATCCCTTCCAAACCAGCCCGCCTGCTTCCGGGCCTGGAAGAGAGCCAGGGAGCATTGTATGAGATTGGCGTTGCCGATGATGGCACATTTGTAGGCCTCACCGAGGATGAACTCGATGAGAGTGTGACCACCCTGCAGACCATGGCCGCAAGTCTTGGATGCAAGGTCGAGATTCTGCGTCGAGTGATCGTGGGTAAATGCGAATGGGCAGAGGACTCGCTGGTTGTACCTCCAGACCCGTCCAAGTGTCAGAAGGAGAGCCTGTGGGTTGCTGAAGCGTTGGTCTCTCCGGACTTGGACTTTTATAACCTGTCCTCTGCCCGTACGAAAAAGACCACTGCCGTTGGCTCCGCGGCGGATGCTGAGGATGAGTCGGTTTCAGAGGAAGATTCTTCCAATACTGAGCAGATTCGAATATCTCTCACTGGACCGAGCGCCTCGGGGAAGTCTTCCTTATTGGGGACTTTGACTTCGTCTTCATTAGATAATGGCAGAGGCAGCAGCCGACTGAGTTTGCTGAAACATCGCCATGAGATTTCGTCGGGGGTCACCAGCTCCGTGGCTCAAGAGTTGATTGGATATACAGGAGATATGCCTCCCACGGTGGTCAATTATGCATCTGGGAACGTGGCGGCGTGGGATGACATTCATGCCGCGTCTCGTGGGGGTCGCTTGGCCTTTGTATCGGATCTTCCTGGTTCGGTTCGGTATCTCAAATCCACCTTGCGGGGCCTGGTTAGCTGGGCTCCACACTATGTCATGCTCTGTATTCCCGCCAACTGCGGCGATGAGACGGCCGATACCGAGTCGGGCGCTGAGTCTGCGGGGGAAATCGACCGATGCTTGGCATATCTGGATCTCTGCTTGAAGCTGGAAGTCAACATTATCATCGTCATCACTAAGCTAGATGTCGCTTCCCGAGGCGGCTTGCGCGAGAATCTCGCCAAGGTCTTGTCTGCTCTCAAGACTGCTGGTCGCAAGCCGGCGATGCTCCCTGCGTCGCCGGTGGGTGATAGAGTGCTTGATCTGCAACATGTAAGCGCGTCCGACAGCAACGAAGTGCGAAAGAATATCACCGCGGCGGAGGGTCACTGGCCTCGCACGGTGCCTATCATCCTTGCCAGCGCCGTTGATGGCACCGGAATAGGCAAGCTGCATGCATTCCTTCGACACCTGCCGATTCCCGCTCGTCCACCGCAAAGGCGATTGCGTATTGCTCAGTCGCTGCAAAAGCCTGCAACTGTCTTCGACGTCGACGAAGTCTTCGCTATACCGCCATCTAAAGTGTACTCTGCGTCCTCAGACAAAGAGGGCCGTGAAAGCCGTGGCATGGTACTCTGTGGCCTCGTCCGCCATGGCAGTATCTCAATCGGTGACGAGATGACCATCGGCCCAATATTAGTCGATACCTCCTCGGATAGCGGCAGTGATCCTGCGCCTTTGAGCCTGCTCTCTCGTAGCAGTGGACCAGGTCAATCAGGCGAGTTTCCAGCCTCTCTATCCCACGGCGTTCTCTCAGGCAAAGACGCCTCCACACAGGCAAAATGGCAACGCGTACGAGTCGTCAGTGTCAGAGACCTTCGCCTCCCCGTTCGTCGTCTGAAAGAAGACCAAGTCGGGACAATCGGCATAGAGTTACTCACTTCACCGGATGAGGGGCGCTTACCTCGTCTCAGTCGAATAAGGAAAGGAATGGTGCTAACAGACCTGCACACATCTCTCCACCCGAGCAATACCCTGCCATCTCCCCTCCCATCAACATTGCCCCTGCCATTCCACACAGGCTTCACAGCGACCTTCCCAGCCTCAGAATTCTCAGCTCCGAATTCGCCGCCGTTACTCCTGGGTGGGAATGCAATAGCCTATATTGCCAATATCAGGACAACAGTTCGTGTCGTATGCATGGCTCTCGCGGGAACAGGTGACGAACCAGGTTCCCGCTCACCCTCGCCATCCCCGTCTCCTACTGAACCTGAATTCTTCAGCTTCGATGGCGACACGCAGACTTCGTCTTCGCCTGGGAAGGAGAAAGGTAGTGGCGCCGGTCATACGGGTGGTATGGACGGGTCTATGCGGCGGCGTCCGTCCGCTACTGATATCAGCAAGGTGGTTTCTGGGACGGGCGACGGGCCTGGTGCATCTGAGACATTCAATGAGGATGTCAAGATTACTTTTGGGCTTGTAACGTCTGTGGAGTGGATTGAGCTTGGCTCGCAAGTCCTGGTTATGCCGGGTATATCCATGACTGCTTCTTCTGGGGTCGCTATTGCGCCTGCTCCTGGTTCCGGCGCTAGCAATGCAAGCAGCAGTGGAACGGTGCCGATGTCTGGGTTAGAAGGGTTTGTCGGGACGGTTTGTGAGGTGGTCCCTGGGAGGTCTGTGGGGAGTGAGAGTTGAGGAAGAGTATGGATATGAATTAATTTTGAGCGATTGTTGATACGTTTGCATTAATCATCTGTTTTGTGCTTTTCGCTTTTGGTTCTCTTCTTGAGTATGTTTATATTGTGCGTGGGAAGTATTTAGAGTCACGAGTTGTGACGCTCGACTAGTTATACAGTGACTTGAGATAAGTCTGATGGCTAGGATTCGCTTTTTAATGAAATGGTTTTTGTCTTTTCGACGAGAAATTTTCAATTGTCTTGTGTGATACTAAGTTGCGGTTATCGAATAGGCATTGTTCCAGACCTCCACAATCTCTAGGCGCTCATATAGAGATACCACTCTTTCAGAGCCATCAGTCTGCGATCTACCTTGTCAAGCATTACAGGATCAGGTGATGTGTATATTTTGAAGTAGCTAGCTTACTTCCTATGTCTTTGAACCATGAGCAAGCCCCTTTCAGGCCTACTAGTTGGGACACCATACAGCCCAAGCTATACTAAGCCCCCAGCAAGTGAAACAGTATCGTCCGCCAGTCATGCAAAGTGACCATGAGCATACACAGTTGGGTTCAATTCGTAGATTTGTTATTTCATAGCATCGAGGGAGGCATCCCCTCGCTAAATCGGAGTCCCCTATGACCTTTAAGTCTCTCTTACTCCCATTGCTGGGAGCATTTCCATAAAGTATCCATCAAATGCCTGGCGACCATGCTACGCCATGGCTACCAGAGCAATTCGATAAACCAGATCAAACACGTCGCAGCATACCTCTGGATCCCGAGATCTTATAACCGGGAGCATCAAGGTTGACACTTACCCACCCTTGCGCTGGTCACCAGCATTACGGGCGAAAGTGCTGGTCGACCCAATAGTTGCGCTCGCGTTACGGAGCTCGATCTTCTTGCGCTCCATCTCGAGCTGTGAGTAGTAAATCAGTACATGGGGTCACTTTCAAGTCTCATTGCGAACGAGTCTGACTTACCACCTTGCGCACTCGAGCCAGCGCGGCCTCATTGCCCTCTACCAACGGACGGCAATCATCAACCCGGTAAGGAGGGCTAATGCTAACCGCATCCGCAACCACAATATGAGGACCGTTCCAATGAGCGGGCATAGTCCGACTGAAAGCATCAAAAAGATCCTGAGCCTCACGAGTGACGCCCTTTCCACGGCGGGCTTCACGATCCATCGCTTCGCCAATGGCCTTTGTCTCACGTGCCTTCAGCGCACGGGTATCAAGGGCCTGAATCGAGGGCTGGGCATCGGTGAACGAGGGCGCGTCGGAGGAGTTAGATGAAGGAAGAGCGAGAAGTTGGAAGGACTGAATACGAGAGACTGGAATGACATGGTAATCGCCGCTCTGGGCCTGTTTCGCATCTGCGGTTGGTGCCGAGGGTGACGTGTTGATTGCGACGAGATTCGTGATAGGGCATGCGGTAAAGAGGGTGCCCTCAAGGGTTGAGGCGTTTGGTGCGGCGGTCGTGATGCGAACACTATCAAAGGGGAATCGTCAGTACGTCTTTGGTGTGTACATGTGTAGAATACACGTTGGATGGAGGGGTAGAGTGTACCGAGCACCGATCGCGCCGCTCAAAGCGGCCTCCAAGGGAACCATATTGGTCGCCATTCCACCAGCAGTCGAGGTACCGGCGGAAGTCTGAGATCCTTTCGCACCGGAACTCTGGCGCTTATTCTCCGCCATGCGACGAGTGGTAGAGCCCCGGGCGGTGTGATTCACACGTCAACAATCGGCCCGCAAATCGCTCAAGGAGAGCCGAGTCAATCGAGGGAGCTTGATCAGGTCTGAGTAAACACTACCAGACCATTGGAAGCTACCCAATGCCAATTGAATCCCGGGTGATGTCACGGGAGTTGGGCTGAGGGTCGTCCTGACTAAAGGAACGTCGTCCCAACTGTCCGTGAGCGGGAAGGGTGGTGGGTTCCCCAGAATCCTCGGATCTCCGAGGGGCAGAAAGAAAGGAAAGGGGGTTAAAGCGGAGGGAGAAGGAGAGAAGAGAAAAGCACCAACTCCCCGGAAAATGTTTGGAGGAAGGAGAGGGGAGAGTTGCGATAAGATGGCAGGTGCGACGTTGCTCAGACTGCCCGATATGGTCTAGCGTCTTTTGGCCCCATGATTACCTCAGGACCCAGGTACTCAGGCACTCAGGCAGCATTCATCTACTGATCTACTGGACTGTACGGAGTAGAACGACTTGACTATCTCTACAATTAAAATACAGCTTTACAACGAAAACCCCGCAATAATTAAGATAATTCGTTACGTTCCATTCATGGTGGCATCTAAATACATTGAACCCAATTTTTGTTCCTTCTATCTCCGACCTGGCGCTTATGCGATGTAGGTCGAGGCCGACACATCACCACCACGACCGGTCCAGTTAACGTGGATGTCCTTGCCCTCGGGGAAGTTCTCGTTGGCGTACTCGGGCTTGACGCGGAAGGTGTGGGCACCGAAGTAGTCACGCTGGGCCTGCAGCAGGTTGGCGGGCAGGTCCTTGGTGCGGTAGCCGTCGTAGAAGCTGAGGGCAGTGGTGAAGGCGGGCAGAGGGATACCCCACAGAGCAGACTTGCTGACAACGTTACGCCAGCCGGACTGGGCCTTGTGGATAGCGTTGGTGAAGAACTCGTCGAACAGCAGGTTCTCGAGCTCGGGGTTCTTGCGGTAGGCGTTGGTAATGTCCTTCAGGAAGACGGAGCGGATAATGCAGCCACCACGCCACATGAGGGCAATGGAGGGCTTGTTGAGCTTCCATTGGTACTCCTTGGCGGCGTTCTGGATGAGCATGAAGCCCTGGGCGTAGGAGATGATCTTGGAGGCATACAGAGCCTGCTCGAGGTCATCAATGAAGGCGGCCTTGTCACCGGAGAACTCGGGAGTGGGGCCGTTGAGGATGGTGGCAGCACGGCCACGCTCGTCCTTGAGGGCAGACAAGCAGCGGGCGAAGACAGCCTCACCGATCAGGGTAACGGGCATGCCGAGGTCCAGAGCGTTGATGGCGGTCCACTTGCCGGTACCCTTCTGGCCGGCCTTGTCGAGGATCTTCTCGACGAGGGGAGTGCCGTCGTTGTCGTTGTAGTAGAGAATGTCACGGGTGATCTCAATGAGGAAAGAGTCGAGGACACCGGTGTTCCACTTGGCGAAAACGTCACCGATCTCCTTGCAGGAGAGACCAAGACCGCGCTTGAGGATGTCGTAGGCCTAATTGTCATTCACCAATTAGTTATTTGATACGATGGTGCGAGACTTTCGCCTCGCAACTTGAAAGCAGGAACCAATGGCTCCAATCAATCAAAAGCTTACCTCGCAAATCAGCTGCATGTCACCGTACTCAATACCGTTGTGAACCATCTTGACGTAGTGGCCAGCACCCTCGTCACCGACCCAGTCACAGCAGGCCTCACCGTCGCTCTTGGCAGCGATGCTCTGGAAGATGTCCTTGATGTGGGGCCAGGCATCCTCGTTACCACCGGGCATGAGGGAGGGACCGTAGCGGGCACCCTCCTCACCACCAGAGACACCGCTGCCGACGAAGCTGATGCCCTTCTCACGGAGGTACTGGGTGCGGCGGTTGCTGTCGGGGAAGTGAGAGTTACCACCGTCAATGATGATATCACCCTTCTCCAGGAAGGGGAGGAGAGACTCGATGAAGTCATCGACGGGCTTGCCGGCCATGACGAGGAGCATAATGCGACGGGGGCGCTTGAGCTTGGCGCAGAACTCCTCGATGGAGTGAGCACCGACAATGGACTTGTCTGTGAGGGGAATGAGTTAGCGCATTGGCGCCTTCAGGGAGTATATCAAAGATGGGGAGGGAGCAAATGCTTACCCTTAGCCTCGTTGGCCAGGAAGCGGTCGACCTTGGAGGTCGTGCGGTTGTAGGCGCAGACAGTGAAACCGTTATCAGCAACGTTGAGGATCAGGTTCTGGCCCATAACGGCCAGACCGATGAGGCCGAAATCAGCACTAGGAGCAAGGTGCGCCGGAGCGCCGACATTAATGCCGGCGAGACGGGCACTATAGTCAGCGACCGAGTTCTCATGTCAATAGCCGGGAAAAATTGCGAATCATCAAGGGATTGGAAGGAGAAGGATATGGGACCCGCGCAATCCCGAGGAAGTCGGGTCCGTGAGCTCCATTGTCTTCTTCCGCGTCGCTTCTCCTGGGGCGCGCGTAGTGTATTCGAATCAATCGGATTTTGATTCACACACTGCGGTACCAAATTGAAGCTGGCAATGGGTTTCACGCGCTCACAGTTTCCTGTGAGCTCCAGGGGTTGAGTGGAATAGCATTGAGGGTGATGATGATGATGATGATGCTGGTGGCGGGGGGAGGGGCAACCGGTGCAGGATCCGGTGGGGGGGAAGAAAGGATGGTAGAGGGAGAAGTAACTTACACAGCCTGGTCAGCCATGGTGTGTATAATTGAAGCTGGAAGAAAGAAAGAAGTGCTGTAGGGGGTATCTACAGAATTGAAGGAGGAGGGAGATGGAGAGTTGAAGAAGGAGAGGAAGGAGGGGAGAGAAGATGTCAGAACTCAACCGGCTGACGGAGCAACTCTTCCGTCATATGGGTGGGACAAGGACCGGCGGGGGCAGATTATTTAATATTACCGCCGTACTGAATAATGAAATACTCCTTCCTAACTTCGGGATAGGTGGACCGGTTGCTACTCAACCAGGGGGAAGGTACTTCGGATTGGGTGGACAGATGGGCTAATTTCTATGTACCCCCCAATGGGCCTGGCTGGCTTCGGTGTAGCGCCAAGTATCTCAGAAGTTCCAGTATTCTTTTAGTATCGGTTGGTACAGGAGTAGAGTCCTCCGGTGAAGAGGGTCATCCCACTCGGCTTCTGCTATTGGGGACAATTGGAAAAGCAATATCCGACCCGATCGTGTTCCTATAGTTACCGCACATGTTGACATTGTGAGTTGATGATTATCAATCTTACGCTGGTCTGGATGGCAGCCTGCGTAGAGAAAGGTTACTGGAGACGCGGGGCACGGAGGGGTAGTGATCTCATCGACCTTTTTTTTTTCCCTTAACTACGGGAGACGATAGAGACAGAGATACATATAACGAAGTATACCTCTAATTCTAGTATGCATACTCTGTCTATAGACGTTGTCTATAGTATAGCTATGGCCGATAGTTTTGCTTCTTTACGATCGCATGACCGTGCCAATTCCCCGTAAACACCTCGAATTTCCGGAAATGTATCCAACTCTCCCACGGACTTATCCACGCATCGGTGAACTGTTCTGGTGTTAGAGTCAACGGAGAAACTTCTTCACTTGCCGACTGCCCGACCACAACCGGCTTCGGTCGCGCTATTCCCATTGCGGACTAGGGTGGGGGTCTCCTTGTCCACCCCAATGCAGAGCATGACCTTTGTACGGAGTACGGAGGGCCGAGTAAGTTGGTCGATCTATATCCCGCGGAATTGCAGTTGTATCGGTTACTACATAGTTTCAAGATAAGTTATGTTCCACGAGCCTCTTTACTTTCGAGCTGATATCTGTGACGGTGCACATGGGTTGGGTATGTTGATGCCTTGCTGATGCCTTATGTGTCAGGCACCAGATTGATATCCCAGATCACTCCGCACTCTCTCCCTTCTCCATTAGCTTGCAGCTCCGTCACCCTTAGTAATCTTCTGTCACTGATCTGTAACTACATCATCAGCTTCACCCATAAGACAACCTAGATTTTGTCTAACTGGAACAATCCTATGTCATGTCGCTCTTCCATCACGCGGAGGTATAATAATACTTTCACGTAGCCACTTGGCTGATCCAGTGGGCATGCCTTCAAAATCACAGGTTCTACATTACCAAATATAAATAGACTAAAAAATCTTATCCAACCTAGAACATCGATATGTGGATCTAAAAAGGAAGGAGTCTAGACCCAGTGCTAACTCTATCCTTTTTGTCATTATCTTATTCAATCTTAGAAGTGTAGATATGCGCATGGTCTAATTATTAGCAGAGTCATAGTAACGGATCCCTTGGAGTTAAAGTCGCTACTATGAGTTACGTAAAGGATAACAATGTTGTTGGTATACACCATTCTAGTGAAATGGTTCTGCACAATATGGATGTCTAAAGTAAAGTGAGGAGCTGATGCATAGTGGTACTCCGTTCACGATCATTTTCGTAGCTATGCATAAACCCCTGCCTTCTGGGCTGTTCCTTGGCGTAAATAGCCTTAAGCCAGACGGGGCTTATAGTTTACTAGGTACCTGATCTACCCGATGACCTTATGGGTCCTAGTGGTAACTAAGTTGTAGTGCTCGGGTGGGGTATGACAGGAGCTGGTTCATAGGAGAGACGCCGATCATATTTATCCATGATCAACTCATTCATTCAATAATAAAACTTTTTCATAAGGTATCAACTAGCTTTTAGAGATCGTATCGTGTTCCCATTCACGATTCAACACAGAGTCCGCACTACTCACATCCGACGGTCCATCTGTATCTCGCCGAACACTTGTATGCGCCGTAATCGCATTCAACTCCACATCAGAACTATGTCTACTCTGCGTAGCAATAGTTGTAGCATTCTTTGATCCAGCCCACTTTCTATGTTGGTCACTGATTTGTCGAAAGCCATCGTTTGTAGTGCGCGATGAGTGGAGTTTTGTGTTGGTAGAGGGCTGCGAGCGATCTCTCGATACACCACTTTTGACCTTTCCAAGAAATCCCTGCACAAGTGGTTTGAGGAGTGGGAGGCTACCACAGATGATGGCGACGTCGAGTTCGAGGCAGGTCCAGATGGACTCTTTGGCGCTAGAAGCTAGACGATGTTAGCAAGACTCGATTTCCGGGAGCTGAGGTTGGAACTGACAAGCAAGGTCAGTGAGTACAAAGTTCCGAAACTCAATCAGGCGCATGAAACTGAAGATGCAGACACTGTAGGCTGGTTAGTTGACTGCTAAATAGAAAAGTATATTGCGAAAGCCTTACAGTGCACCGAGAGAAAACACCAAGGTTACCGCTAGCTTCTGCCGAAAGACCATCTGCAACCTCCAGACAATAGGAATCGGCAAGCAGAGAATGATGATATCTTCGACCAATGCAATTGAACCCATAGCCTGAAAGAATTTCACCTGTCCCTTCATGCAGTGTCCTTTCAAAGTCTTGTCATAATAGTACTGCACCGGTATGCATTGAAAAGTATTGACCAACAGTGCAGTGATGGCCCATACGGCGATGAAGACGATCAAGCAATTTGAAACAATGGAGAATACACGGACAGACCCGAGGAGACGTTTAAGGAAGACGACGATGGAAATCTTCACAAAGGCCATGGATGGGGCCCAGAATTTCTGTATCATCCACGATCCCTACATAACGTGATGTTAGCTTTTAATTCCTGTCAAGGTCAGCATGAATGGATTAGGTACAAATTGAATACGTTCCCGTCTGTCAGGTGGTAGCGATGCGACTGACAGACCGACTCCATTGAAGGCAGCTTCAAAAAGTCAGTATCTCAAGTAGGTAGGGATGATCAAAAGGAAGACTCACTCTGCACCACAAATGCCGTAGCACAGTAGGAAATTATCAGCCCAATCCCCATGAGTACATCCTCTAGCAGCAGCCCCACAGCAGCCAGTCGCCGAGAGTACAGACGCAACAGGTAGACAATGGTAGCTATACTAGCCCCAACAATAGGCACGATAGTCACGACATTTTTCCAGTACGTATTGTGTTCGGCCGCCATCCTGCAGAGGTGAACACAAGAAAATCCATCTGAGATCGAAGATCCGAAAAGAGCGGATAATCTAGTTTAAGGGGTTTAATTTGCTCTGTGAGGACTCTGCGTTATTCCCACTTAATGGTTCATGTCGCCATGTGGTGTCAGTTTAGCTCTCCTCTAAATACCCATGTCACTCCACAGAGAATATTTCGTTGGCTGATGTTCCAGAAGAAAATCCTTCGTTTGATTATCAGTTCTCGAAGAGGAATTCCAGAAAATGTTAATCACGCACTATGGACACATTCTGCAGACTGTATGCCGATCATGTCTCACTCTGAAATAACTTCACTCCACCATGATCGAATTAAAGACATTAATCTAATCTGACCAGAGATTCCGGATACCATATCGGACTGACCTCGGAGAATTGCCTTTGCCAGTAAATTAAACAAATCTACAGGGCATTTCTTCCTGAATCGTTCTTTTCCCCTGTCCCTCCATTTATCTGTCGTCACATGCAGCATACCCTTGTCTAGAAGGATGGCTTCGTCATTGAAACTGGCCGGGCTTGCCTCCTTGGCCGTATTGAGCTGCCCTGTCGCAGGTACAAAAACTCATGCTCACTCGAACCATGCTCTAAAGACTTTCAACGAGACGGTTGGCGGACGTGTGCAGCCTCTCCCCCCTTTCTCTCTGCCCTGCTTCTCCAATTACAATGGGCAACCAGTGGTTCGCGATGATGCAGTCTGTACCGCAATCCAGGCTAACTACTCGGACCCATGGCTACGAACAAACTCTCCCAATGGCTACATGAACAACCAGGCCGAAATGTGGGCATCTGATCCCAGTGATCAGTGTCTTCTCGATGATAGTGATCCCGCTGACCCTTTGGCGTACGTGAATGCCACCTGCCAGCAGGGAAATGTACCTTCTCATTATCTGGAAGTACAGAGCCCAAAGGACGTGATCGAGGCTTTCCGGTTCTCGAGGCACCACGGCAAGCGGCTCGTCATCAAGAACAGCGGCCATGACTATCTCACTCGCAGCAGTGGGCGTGACTCGCTGTCCTTGTGGATGCGTAATCTCCGGTCTATGCATTACAACCCGGCCTTCGTTCCCCATGGTTGCAACGAAGACGCTGACAAGTACAATGCCATCACCGTCGGGGCGGGAGTCAACTTCGATGAAGTCTACGCCTTTGCGCAGCAGTATAACGTCACGATTCTCGGCGGGTATTCACCCACCGTTGGTGTCTCCGGTGGCTGGGTCCAAAATGGCGGCCACTCAATTCTCAGTCCCGTATACGGGCTCGGCGTTGACCGCGTACTCGAGTTCAAGGTCGTTACTCCAGATGGTGTCTACCGAACTGCCAACGAATTCCAGAATGCTGATCTATTCTGGGCTCTGCGAGGCGGCGGTGGTGGGACATTTGGTGTGGTTCTTGAAAGCACCCACCGCGTCGAGCCAGCCGTTCGCTTCGTCTCAGCCAATATCAAATTCCCCAGCACTTCTACCAACATGCTCCCCTTTATGGACATCGTCATCAACAACACCTTGAAATGGGCTCGGGAAGGCTGGGGCGGCCACATTACCGGCAACACCCTCGTCAACATCTCTCCTCTCCTCTCCGCCGACGAAGCCAAGACCTCCCTGGCAGACGTAATCGCCTATGCCGAGGCAAATGGCGGCTCTGCCATCATCGAAGAGTTCACCTCCTGGTACCCATTCTACGAGAAATATGTCACGACCAGCTCCGTTGCCGTCGGTGTCACTCGCTTCCCCGGAAGTCGTTTGATCCCGCGTTCCGTCTTCGAAACGATCGAAGGCCGGGCGGATCTCATGGCGTTCTTCACCCTCATCCAGTCCATCGGTCAGACGCCTTATATCCCCGTCGTCGGACCGGTGCTGTATAAATACACCGAAGGATCGACTAGTGCCGCTCCCGCCTGGCGAGATGCTGTCTGGGAGTTGGGTTCCGGGGCTTCATGGTCATGGAACAGTACCCTTCCGACTCGAATCCAGAAGATCGGAACCATCCAGAATATGACGGCCGTTATTGAGGGGATTACGCCGGGTAGTGGTGCGTACAGTAACGAGGCCAACCCATTCACTATTAATTGGCGAGAAGCATGGTGGGGTGATAATTATGAGAAGTTGGTGAGAATTAAGCATCGGTATGACCCGCACGGGTTGTTGAGTTGCTGGAAGTGTATTGGTTGGGAGGAGTCGCAAGCGGCCACTTCGTCATTTGCTGCACTTCTCTGATCTTAATTTTTTTTGGGAAATGAGGCACATATACATGTACTATATTAATATATTTGTACAAATGTTCTGCAAAGTATCATCAAAAAATCATCTTCTGGTCAAACGACTGGCTCTGAACTAATGTATCGGGATAGCTCTACCCGAGAAGCATAAAAATGACCATCTCTAATGGCTGCTCTCTACCCCGAGCTCTTCAGAGTGGAAGACCTGGTGAAATTGTAAAGCACATCCAAACTCAAAGTATCTTAAAGATAAGGAAAATTACTTATTATTTAGAAACCATTCGATTATATCTCAATAAGTTGGTTCGACTACAATGTTAAATGCAGAGGCCTCATCTCATTGGCCAGCAGTTCTCGGCGGTAAAGTCGCATTCTGATTCTGCCGATCTTTCTTTCAACGTGAGCTTTTTCTGGTCTTCACCTTTACTCGCCTCAACCCAACCGCCTCTTTGAATCCCACCACCACGAACCATATCCTCCAAACAGTCAGCCCAGAGTGGGATAATAGGTCTGAGTGTATTTGATATCATTCTCGCTCCGGTCCTGAAGGTACGTTGCAGCTACTGCTCTGCATAATAGCTCAACCTTCTATTGCGGACACCTCATTCATCATGTCCTATCCGCCACCTCCAGGTCTCAAACAGACTCCCGCCTCTCTCCCACCTCGACCTCCTCCTTCCAACAATGCCTCCAAACCATCGGGCTACAGCGCCTTTACGGCGTTCCAACCGCGCGCCGTAGCGTCCACCAAGACACAGTCGCAGCCTTATCGCACCCAGAGCCCAACCATCTCGGCACCACCCGTCTCATCTGCCGGGTATGCATCACCTGCGACAGGCTATGGCAACTATTATCAACAGCCGCAACCCCAAACCTACCAGTCACAACCTCAGTCCTACCAGTCCGGTCCTTCCTATTACAGCCCGAGCGTCCCCCAGATCCAGAACCCGTTTGGCTCCACCCCGAATCAACCTCAGGGCGCTCGGCGCGGACAGAACCCTGGGATGGACCCGGAGACCGAAGCTCAGATCGCACAATGGCAGAGTGCCTACGCCAACCCTGCCGAGGAAGTTGGCAAACCGCAGGGCTCTAATGCTGTGACACCCGCCGTCGGTACCCCGATTCCCACACCTCAGCCAGAGCCTCAAGCCACAGTTGCCCGATCTGGTGGTGGTGAGAAATGGACCGACTCGACTCTGCTGGAATGGGACCCCGCCCATTTCCGCCTATTTGTTGGTAACCTTGCAGGCGAAGTGACCGACGACTCCCTGTTGAAAGCGTTCGTGCGTTACCCGTCGGTACAAAAGGCACGCGTGATTCGAGAAAAGCGGACACAGAAAAGCAAGGGATATGGCTTCATCAGCTTCAGCGATGGCGATGACTACTTCAAAGCCGCCCGTGAAATGCAGGGCAAGTACATCGGGTCTCATCCCATTCTACTGCGACGCGCCAACACCGAGGTGCGCCCGGTCTCGAATAATAAGAATCAACGGAAGAATAATGGCGGTGGTGCGCGTGGAACGGGGTCGAAGGTGAAGCAAGATGGAGTGAAGAAGCCCGGAAAGACCAAGGGCGGCCTGAAGATTTTGGGTTAATCATCAATAACATCCTGTAGAAATATACTTTTTTCCAAGTACATGCGACTGGGTTGCCTCTCTAGAAGTGATTTGTAAACGCAAAGACGTCTTGACCAGGATATTGACTCCTTCCCTAATGGGCTCGCACGTAGTAGCACCTCAAAGTAGGAAAATCAACCACGGTTTCCTTTGAGCATTATCGAATGAGCATGCTGCACTTTCTCACTTTACCACTCGAGCCCGTTGCTCGAATTTCTCCAATCCTCCAATGGGCGGGGCCGTGGAGGAAACCAGGCTGGCGATCCGGTCCACGGGTGGCCCGCGCGGCCAATAGGGCTGACGCTTTGAAGGCGGCGCCAAGACGAAGCCCAACCTTGAGCTCTCCCTTTCGAGTCTCGACTGAGTCGACTCACACACCCCCGGTTATTACTTCCCTGCCATATTTACGAGGGGTCCGGCAACAGCTAGAGCTAAGATTATTTTTACCACAACACTTTACCCACTTTTGTCTTTGCTGCATCTCTTTCCAATATCGCCACTGGTCGCTGTGGATGTATCAGGATGGCGGACCAGGTTGACCCCGCGGTCAAGCTGGAACGCACCACGCCGGACGCTGCTCTGGCTGCGACGGTTGGGGCTGCCTCTGCGTCGCGATCTTCCGCGCCGCGAGTCCGTCTCAGCTGCGAAGCATGCCGCCAGCGCAAGGTCAAGTGTGATAAGCTCAGTCCCTGCACCAGCTGCGTGCGCCTGGGCTTTGTCTGTGTCCCCGTTGAACGAGCTCGTCTACCGCGGGGCCGCACCAGAAAGCCATCGGAACGGTTGACTGGAAACAAGGAGCTGATAGAACGAGTAACGAAGCTGGAACAGCTTTTGAAACTTGTCGGGCCTCATGTTGAGTCTCGTGCCGAGTCGCATGTCGAGACAACGCCACGATCAACGACCGCCAGCACCGAGAATAGTCTTCAGACGAAGATGACCGATGTTGAGACCTGGCGCGCCGAGAATGCTCAGCCTAGTATGTTCGCCTTACCGCACCGACCACGCCCCTCGACGACCTACATGGGTAGTTCGTTTTGGGAAGATCTCGCGCAGCAGGTAAGCACTTTATTCGAATTCGATCCCTGCATTGCTTGATGAGGGTTTCTATTTGACATGTTCCCCCGTCCCAAATCGTCTTTGTTAATCCTTCAATGCAGGCACATGAACTCCGTACGGTCTTGGATGACCACTTGGAAGACGAAGAAGCAGAGGAGGAGGCTAGGAGTCAGCCTGGCTTTGGAGCGTCTTTTGTCGGCTCCGAGACCTCAGAAAGCATGTCTGGGTCGCCTCAGTCGTACAAGGGACTTACCATTTCACCACAGACGAGACGGCAACTATGCGAGATTTATCTGTACAATGTCGATCCGGTCTTCAAGATCTTGCATGCGCCCACGCTGAGGGCCTTTCTTCGGGACGACCAGCCGTATCTTGATTATGAACCCGATCATCATGCCCCCAATACCTTAGCATGGGCTGTATACTATGCGGCTGTCTGCACACTTGACGATTCTCAATGTCAAATCCTGTTTGGTGTGGACAAGAAGACGATCACTGCCGACCTACAAAGGGAAACGGAATCTGCTCTGGTAAAAGCCGATTTTGTGACTACCAACGAGTTAACGGTTCTGCAGGCCTATGTGTTATCATTGGTAGGTCATTGAGGAGACCTCATAATTTGAGGATAAGCCCATAGTATGTCTATTGATATTAATCTTGCCTGCTATAGCTCGCCGCTCGCTGCCAAGATCAAAGCCGACGGGTGTGGACCATGCTGTCAATGGCTCTTCGTGTGGGTCAAGCTCTTTGTCTCCATATGCCCTTCCCCCCCTTCCAAGTCAGTCCTTTCGAGCAGGAGTTACGACGACGCACATGGCAGGCCATTGGTGTTCTCGATCTGGCTGCCTCTCTCGACCGAGCTTCTGAACCAATGATGCAATCTGCTTGGCTAGATCATGTCCGGCCGGCAAACATCAATGATGAGGATATCTGGCATGGCATGGACGTGCCCTTCAAAGAGCACCCGGAGGGTACCTTCACCGATATGACACAGAATTCTCTTATCGCCGCAGCGCAGTCTGTGGCTCGGTCGATCGGATTCACCGACTTCATTGAGCCCACGGTCAGATCATCGCAGAAGCGTCAGGAGGTTCTTGCGAATTTCCGGGAAACAGCAAATACCCTCTTGGCTGGGTGCAGACCTGAGTTATCGGCGTACCACCTCTACGTATCACGAGTAGCCTTGACTATCTTCGGGTGGCTACAACTGGGATGTGTGCGACCAATTCAACGTGGAAGAAATTGGGTTCCCCCACCTGTCGAGGGTGATGTGCTCCTTAACCTGGCTGCTGACAATCTGCAGAAATTGATGCAGACAGCCAGCGACCCTGCGATGAGGCCGTGGATGTGGTTTGGATCTATGTGGGTTCCCTGGCATGGCCTGGCGGTTGCCCTCGCCGAACTCTGCGTTTGCAAGGACCCGGCAACGATAGCCAAGCACTGGCCGGTGGTGGAGCAAGTATACCAGCAATCGAGTTTCGTCATTGCAGATTCCCAACACGGGATGCTATGGAAACCCCTTCAGAAACTCATGAACCAGGCACGGGCCCATCGGCAGCAAATGCTACGCAGCGAGTCTCCCAGCGAAGGAATCCGCCAAATCACAATCGGCGATCTACCAGCAGCCATGGAGACAATGCCCCCTCCACCTGCTCCTCCGCCAGTCACCGAGCAGTACAATCCTCAACCAAATGCCCTCGTTGACCCTACGACCATGTATGACGTGGGCATGGAAGCACCGAACATTATTGATGCTGCTGGTCAGCAACTTGATCCTGCCATGATGATGGCACCATCGACATTCACGCTCGAACCATGGCCACAGGTCTGGGACCAAATGAATTTCGTCGGGGACTCGGGGATGGAGCCAGAAGCGAATAATTTTGCGTGGATGAACTACTCGGCCTTCATGGGTGATCTATACGATAGCGTTGAATGCATGTTTCTACCCCGACAAGGATGATTGAAACGCATCTGTTTGATTAAAGTGCGCGACAGGTAGCCCTGTTGAGTCAATTGGATTGGAGGCTCCTTGCGTGGATTTTTCCCACTAGCGTGGTACAGTATCGGTTTATGTCTGTTGAAATAATTCTCGATATGACCCTCGGAGGAATCTGATCATAATGAATAATGAAACAAAATTTCTCCATTCTGAATATTCCCAAAACTCTACAATACAATACAGTCTCAACAACCTCCACCGCCACCACCAGCACCCATTCCCATTCCTAACCCAAACCCCGATGTATACGCATAATCCCTCCCATGCCTCATCTGCCTACTCTGTGACCGACGTTGCTTCTCCCGAACCGACACCCCCGTTAACAGAGCTAGTTGATCAAACTCCTCCCCAAACTCCCCACACATCTCAACACACCCAGGAACCAACGAATACGAATCCGACGAAAACACCGCCAAAGGCTCATCACTCGACTCATTGACTAACTTAAGATTCCCCAGTGGCGTAGCGTGCTTCCCCAAGGAGTGCGTCTTCTTCCATGTAAATCGCCCCATTTCGCCGTGTAGGCTCGTTTGGAATGCATAGCTGGGTGATAAATATCCTTTCTTGGACAGTGTAACTTTCACCCCGTTGTTATCTAGACTGTGGGTGTATATGAGGTCGTTCTCGATGAGCGAGATTTGGCAATTCTGCGAGAAGCGTTTGTATCGTGATTCGCCGATGATGGCGCCCGTTGTATCGGGGCCTAGGTGCATGCGCAGATCGGGCTGGGATTTGTCAAAGGGTGAGTTCTCGAGGAAGAAGTCTTGTGTGTCGCCGGTGATGTCTGTGGTTGCTACGTAGTAATGGTGACATCCGGGTTGTTCGGTGATGTGGAATTCTTTGTATGACATGTTCGGCGAATGGAGGCAGAGTTACTATAAATTGTCGAGTCGTGGGATATATGTTATTCAAAGATGTCTGTTCATTATTCTCTGGTATTTGATGGCAGGTAGGTAAATGGCTTCTGGGGATGATCGTCTCTTTTAAGAATTTCCCAGTCTATGTGTTCTTGATGCTCGTAAAGCTGCCGTGGAACAAATTCGTCGCCACTCTTAGCCCCCACGGGTATCCAATGATTCGTGGCGGTGATCCTGAACGGCGACGTCATATGAACCTCGCATCTCTGAAACATGTTGCTTGGTTGCCTTTGGTTCATGGGGGGGTAGATGGTTCTATAATTATGTGTGCAGGCTATTGGTTCCAAAAATATTGAATCTCAAGGCGCAAGGCAATGCTCGTACAATGAGTCCTGGCTACCAACATGAGATGTATATATTGTGACGACATTCAGCCAATCTTAGTTTATTAATAGCCTTCATTTTGAATATGGACATTTTTGAAGCCGCGGGATTTCAAAATATCCGAGTCTTATATATCCTATAATATCTAATAAGTCACTGATGAATAGCTATCCTATTGTATGGATGGTGGTCATGAAAAAGGCTGCTGGCCCCCAACCTCGGTTCTTGGCGCAAGTGGGGAGGCTAACCTGCATGAATGTCCATAGCCTTGTCAATTCCAAGACGCAGCATCTCCCACAACAAAATCAAGATCCTTGCAATCAACCCCCTATTCTGACATTCAGCGCTCTCAAGAGCGGTGGAAACAAGGGAAATGTCAAATTCCAGCCCCTCGGAGGCCCAGTCCGGCCAGACTGACATCGTGTATCGATCTCTCCCTATCCTCGCCAGCTACCTCATTCTGGCAGGCTCTCTAGCCTTGAATGGCTGCCGCACCATTTTCATTCGGTATCAGGCGCGAATCAAGAAAAATGACTGGGAGACTCCTCAGCGACGCGTGCAATTCTTCTTGTTCGCCATTTTGGCGGCCTTGAGCCTCGGCGCGACCTGGTATTACATGTTTGCTTTCTTTGCGCATTCGTTTCGCAATTGGGAAGCGAGCCAGACTCTAGTGGATCTTGCAGACCCGGAGATTACCACTCTTTTCAAATTGGAGCTTTGGTTGCAGAAGGCGAAATTGTTCCGTGAAGCTTGGGAGACTGTTATTGAGACGCCTGCTCGGTTTTGGTGGAGCGGTCAGATCTTTTTGTGGACGACCGGGTGGAGTGTCTTTCTCGGTGTTATGGGTTAGTTCTATCGCCCCCTGGTCTTTGCATCGTTAATATATGCTGATATCTTGGCTTACAGCTCGGAGATATCGCATCCCCCATGTCTGGGCGTATATGCTTCTGGGCCAGATTGTCGCTATTTCCTTCGCTCAGAACTTATTCTTTGCTACCATTCTTGTGTCGCGACAGCCGCGCTCTACTGACGGTACCAAGAAGGACAAGAGTGATGCTGAAGATTCTATCGCAGCATGGTCCCCGCCTTGGTATTCTGAAGTTCTACCGGTGGCTATCTCGCTCATCAGTACTGTCCTGGTCCCGACGGTGGCACATACCAAGCACTTTATGCTGATGTTGCTGGTACCGCATCTTTTCCTTTTTGTGCCCGCTATTCTGCGCCCGAGTCAATCCTCCACTATTAAGACGCACGGAAAGGGCCACAGCGAAGAGAGGACTATTCGGAGATACGTGTCATTCTTCCAGTGGTATACGGTGGCTTGTGTGGCTATCCAAGCCCACTCTACGTTCCTGGTATTGCAAGGCATGGGGCAAGATATTTCTGTTGAGTCATTGCGAACATTGGCCGTTAACCTGCCGAGTGTTATATATGAGCATCCCGCTGTCAGCAGTGTCAGCTGGGATGTGGTTTACTGCACCATTACTGCAGTTGCTTGGATTGCTGTGAATGGTGGCAATCCGAAACGAATGCTTGGGCAGTGATGGATTGGGGAGGCCTCGGTCGTTACTTGATAGATGTTACTGGGAGAATGGCAAGGGAAGAAAGTAAAATAGATTCAAAAATCTAGAAAACATCGAATATCATTCTCTCTGATTCCCTTTTTTCAAGGGTAAGCATGGAGGAGAAAGGAGAGGAGCTGGTCCGAGCGTCACAATGTTTTGGCTTCCAGCTGCCCCGCCCCTTCTTTTAACTTTAACCTCAACACTCTTACCCCCTAACTCTGCTTCGAATATAGCGACAGACTATTGACCATCATGTCCAGCGAAGCAGAGCCCGTTCCTGTCGCGAATCCGCCAGCGGTGTCAAATAACCCTAACTCAAATCCGTCAACAGAATCGGCCCCAGTAGTCGATGACGTCAAGGTGGCTGATACCAACAAACCCAACGAGACTCCATCAAATGATAGGCCGCCCTCAGTGGATACGATTCGAACGGTCGAGGACTATGAAGTGCTCGATAACAAAGGCGAGAAGCATTCGTTCAAGAGTATCTACGATGGACCCGATTCAACGGGGCGAGTTCTGGTGATTTTCATTCGCCATTTCTTCTGTGGAGTAAGCTTTCTCCAGGCTTGTTAACTATGAAAACCCCTTATTAATCGTCTACTCTAGAGCTGTCAAGACTACATTCGCGCACTCGTAGAGTCAATCAAGCCAGAAGAATTACTGCAATTACCTACATCCACCTCCGTCGCCATCATCGGCTGCGGTGACCCTGGCTTGATCGACTTCTACGCCAAAGAAACGGGATGTACATTCCCCATCTACGCTGATCCAGCAAACACCCTGTACGATGATCTGGGCATGGCAATGAGCTGGGCCTTTGGCCCAAAGCCAGAGTACCTCCGCAGAAGTATGGCTCGAGTTGTCTCGAGTTCGATCATGCAGTCGCTCAAGCACTTGACTAGCGGACTTGCTACGAAAGGAGGAGATTCGAAACGTATTGGTGGTGAATTTTTGTTTGAACCAAGCGGCGAAGATGCAGGGAAGAAGATTACGTGGTGTCATCGGATGACGAATACGCGCGATCACACTGGGATCGATGAGTTGGCAAAGGTGCTTGACGCAGATGGTAAGATTTTGTTGCAGAAGGTGTAGAGTATCACGGTGGAGGAGCATGTTATTCGAGACGTTGTACTCTGAGAGTGCATGTTATGACCATAAACAGGTTACAGGCAGACGAGTAGTTTCGCCTGAGAGGAGCAGTCCTTCTGAGTGAGAGAGCAGGAATCATTCCTATTGGGGTTAGGATACACCGAGGCTTCTCACCCTATGATATAGTTTAACGATGCAATTTAATCCTAACGCCTAATTACCCCTGTTATTCCTCCAAACGCTTTAAAAAATATCTATCAAGAAAGAGAACGTAATATAGCCAGTGACACCGTTTGAATGCATCCCGCAAAGACCTCAAGTGCCAAAACTGTTCCGGGCATAGACAATCTGACTTGCTTCCCTTGACGGGTAGAAATTCTGAGGCCCCAGTTCCCAGGGTGGTCCTTCGGGTTCATCAATGTCCATCCCTGGTGCCGAAGCATTGATTCTGGAATCGTTCTTTTCTGCATCATTTTGGGGATTTGAAATCGGGACATCCATATCCTCGTAGAGCCGTTGATAGGTACAAGGTCGCCCACGATGGTTACACTCTGAACAAGGATTTTCCCCGTTACAAGCCTTTCTTATGCTTGCACAGCTGTCACAAGCACGCTTATGCTTACCCCCTCGGTGACCCTCGGGCATCTCGATGCCATTTTCGAGGCGTGTCTTGCATGATCTCCAATGTCGTCGTAATACATCACTTGATTATCATTAGCGATTGAACCTCATCGCCAACAATGTATAGATCCAAACAGCAAAGGGGGATCATAATTACCCACCCCCGGCTAAATAACGCGCCACAGAAATGGCAAGCGTGGCTTCTCTGTGTTTGATCTGTAACGGACAACTCAGCCGCCTGACACCCTTCATGGTTAATTGGAAATTCTGCATGGACACACGCGTAGCCGAATGGCGTTTCAAATGATCCTGGCGCTTGAAAGTCGAAGAGCACCGATCACATTTCCAGTGTTTCTCATCCGCCGCAGCCTCCAGGCGTGAGGGCGGCGGTGAATGTTGCATGCCGAGCGTTCGTTCGGGCTGCTAACCCGTTTTGAGGAATAGCAGGCGAGAAAAACACAAATCGACGAGGTCCGGGATTGCTAATACCCCGACGTGATTCGCTCCGAGCCCGATGGGCCGGGGATAGTCGAATGAGGATTCTTCAAAAGCGAGGGATCCAGAAGGGGTAGTTGTACTGGGGAAGTGGATGAATCCCGTCAAGCGAGGTGTTTCGGTACTGTCGCTAATCCCCCGCGTCCGCGCCCACTCAGCGTCGGATGAGACGGAAAGAATAAAGAAGGCATGGAAATTCCAGATGCATGTGAGATGCGCTAGTGAAGATCACCAAGTCATCGGGGGGGGTTAAGATCAAGGTTAGAGGCTGGGAGTGGGAACGGCCGTAAAAGATGGTGGAGATGGAGATGGGCGAAGGTGTGAGAGTTTACGCCGACCGCTCCACTGGCGCCGATCCAACTGGCGTAAATTGGTTAGCCGTCGCGATTCCCCCACTTCCACGGTCGCCTTCATGCTCATTTCAACGCGAAAAAGGGGGAATGGTCCAAGGATGGCCTGGAATGGTCTGAGTGGCTCAGTGCAGGCATCAACTTGTCCTTCAAGGGGTCATCTCCAATATATAAGATACGACACGACCTGCCTTGTCTCGATCAATCACTCGACTGTCCAAGCTCCGCTATCTACTCAACACGAACAATATACAACATCCAGAAAATGACTACTGTCACCGAGACTGCGCCTTTGGCTGTAATCAATGATTCCGCTGATTCTCAAGAGCATTGGAATAACTGGCCAAATGCAAAGGGAGTAAGTGTTCGTTATATCTAGACGCCTTGCAAATTTCTAATCCTGTGCACAGTTCGATCCTGAATACGAGGAACGCACGCCCGTGGAGCTCGCAGTGACTGGAAAGATTCCTGCATACGCCGCCGGTACTTTGTATCGCACTGGCCCAGGCAAAAGCCAAGTCGAAACCGAAGAAGGCCAGACTTTCCAAATCTCGCACTGGTTCGATGGATTTAGCCAAACGCATCGCTTCCAAATCATTGACTCGGGTGAAACCGAGCCCACTCGAGTACTATACAATTCTCGCTTCGCAACCGACGAGCTGATTGAATATATACGAAAAACCGGATCTGTGGCCAGATTAGCCTTTGGCCAAAAGCGCGATCCATGCAAGAGTGTTTTCAACAAGGTTCAAAGTGAATTTGAACCACCAAGTGGCCCCTCGGGCTCCAACATTGGTGTCACTCTTTCAGTCAATATGCCCGGTCTTGATGTCCAGCCAGATGCAGAGTCATCAGAACGCTGGGGAACCGCCAAGGGTATTCGCACCCTGTACGCAAAGACCGACTACAATAAGTTCAAGAAGTTGGACCCGGAGACTCTTGAGCCGATCGGTCTCGCTTCCCAGGAATCTCTCCATCCTGAGCTGACCGGGCCATTGGCAGCATCACATGCTCGATCGGACCCTAAGACCGGCGACATGTTCAACTTCAACCTTGAACTTGGCAAAACTTGTACATACCGCGTCTTTGGCGTCTCTGCTTCAACGGGCAAAACTACCATACTCGCTACTTTCCCTGGAACGCCTGCATACCTTCACTCACTGCTCATCACAGAAGACTACGTTTTGCTCTGTGTATGGAACTCTCACGTGAACCCATTGGCCCTCAAAGACGGTTCCTTCATGGACTCGATCCTCCCAACCGATCCCTCTCAGCCGGCAACCTGGTACGTCGTGGACAGAAAGAACGGAAACGGCTTGGTTGCCACGTACGAAAGCCCAGCCTTCTTTTGCTTCCACACAATCAACTCCTGGCAGGAACCGTCAAAGGAAGACCCAACGAAGATAGATATTGTCGCGGACTTGGTCAGGATGGATAGTACTGAGTTCCTCTCCTCCCTCTATTATGACAACTTGATCTCTTCACGATCCAGTGCGAAGGAATTCGCCGGAAAAAGAGGAGATGTCCTGCGTTCGACCGTTACTCGCTTTCGCCTTCCGGCACTACCATCCTCTCCAAGCTCTGATATCCGCAAGGCTACTCTTGAATGGTCTGCTTGCAAGTCCTTCTCCCCCGAACTGCCTACTATGAACCCAGCGTTTGTGACCGAGAAGCACCGCTACGTCTATGCTACTACTTTCCGGGGAGAAGCTACTTTGACCGATGGTATCATGAAGTTCGATTGTGAGACTCAGGAAACTCGCTTGTGGGCGCAGCATGGCCACTCACCCGGTGAGGCGATCTTTGTTGCTAACCCCGAGGGTGTGAGCGAAGATGACGGCGTGCTTCTGAGTGTTGTTCTTGATGGTCTGGCCGGTAACAGTTATCTGCTGTGTCTTGATGCTCGCAACCTCACTGAGCTTGGTCGAGCACATGTCAAGGGCGTTGTTGGCTTTGGGTTCCATGGACAGCATGTTCCCACTATAGGTTTACCGACTGGTGATTATTAGGCTATTTCTTCATGTATATTTCTTTTGCTTGCCTAGATTTTGACAGAATGTGAAGATGAACTCCCTCTCCCACTTTGCACTCTCTGCTTCAAATTATTGGTGCACTTCTTCTGGGAATTTATACAGGAGTTCCTGTCTCTCTTAGGACCTTCTAATCAACCATCCATGCCGAAAGCTCGGATAGGCAAGCCAGAGAGACCTTGAAGCACTTCCTCTTTCGGTGTCGGCGGTGGACTATATATCGGATAGAAATGTTACAATATACCCACACTCACCGCGGTAACATATCATTTTTCCTAGGCGGAAAATCGCCTTTAGATAAACGCGAATTGGACGCCGAATTTGGACGCAGTGCGAGCCTCAATACGATTCGCAATCGCCACGGGCCGCCTCAAGGTCGCCTAACCCCACCGGCCTATACAACGACACCCACTAACCCCCACTAACTACCTTATGCCCGAGATAGTAGACGCGCTTCAACTGCCGAGGATTGGATGTTGAACACTTGGAGAAGCGCCTTCAAGCCAGTCTACTAATTAACACTAACCCACAAGGACCCGCTAAGATATTAACATCTGAGATGACATACACTGACAAGAAGCTTGTATAGGCTCTAAGGAGGCACAGCATTAGCTAGGGCATGTATATTTAGATCAGTGATAGTTGCCCTTTCGGTTCAGCCGCCGGGCGTTAATGAATTGTGTGTGTGTGTGTGTGTGTGTGTGTGTGTGTACCCTGCACGGCGCATCAGTTACTGAATAAATTGGCAGGGAGGTCGAGTCCGGATGCTATCCTGCCGGAGCTTTTGCCCTCTTTGCTTGAACCTTCTCTGATCGAGTCGTCCGGCTCGGCGTGCAGGCTGAGCAGGGCGTGATCGGTCTGACGAGAGGTATAAAGCCATGTATCACGCACGCCGTCTTGGTGAAGAAGTTAGTCAAGTATCCAATTTGGTATTTTCATTGCATCCAAATGTTCGGTTTCTTGCAGCATTATTCACTGCGTATTTCCTTTCATCACTTCCAGTGGTTCGAGTCAATATGACCTCCTTTACAGAGAAAGCACACCAAACCTTCGGTAAGGGATCTTGAAAATGTATGACCGATTTCATTTAATAATGCGAAGCTTTAAGCCTCACTGAGCCGTGTGAATGGCCTGAAGTGATCGTATGCAACCCTAACGTTTCCTCCGAGTATGGTACGCAGACTAATCACATAGTGATCGGAGATGATCTTGCAGCGTTGGGCTCGGCTTCCAATCCTATCGTGATCCATGTTAACGAGGTTGGTACGGTGATGAACCAGGCCGGCTTGGTTCCGTTGCCGACCCTAAGATCATGGCTACGCCGGGATTCTGGGAGACGTTGATCGGTAGAAACTGGCCACCCATATAGACGAAGGCGAAGCTGTCGATTCCGAAGCTATCCATTCCTTCCCTGTCGGTGCGCTAACCAGATCGCTAGTCCGTGAGGGTCCAGAAGACCTTTAATTAACCGAGCAATCTTGCCCGGTCTAGTTTCTCTTGGATGATATAGCACTTTATCTTGGGTTGAGAATCCAGCCCAAATATCGTATAAATTCCACCAACCGTGGATCTTTAACGCCGCTCATAGTGTGGACTGTAACGGTCTCAAGTGAAGCCATATCCCTGAGTATCTGATTGACTTCGGATAAGATCGCAAGCGCAGATGCGAGATTTTCATGGAAAAAGGCTTACGACTCCCACCGATCGTAGAATCTTAACCTCGTAATTCTAGTACATCTTAATTGAAGAAGATGAAGAGCCTTTAAACTATCAGCTCTGATTTCTAACCTCTCCGTCCGTGATTTCTCTGCGTATGGGAAATGCATGTCTATATAACGGAGAAGATACGCACTTTTAACGCCGATGCGGTCTGTAAAGGCTCTCAGCGTGAGGTCTTAAGGTATAGTTACGCTGCCCTCGCGTATTTAGTTTCTCCCAGGAAGACTGCCTCTGCCTCTATGTAAATTTGCCAGCTTATATAGAATAGGGCCAGGGATTGGGGGTTTCTTCGATAGGTGTAATAACATCGTAGGTGTGCATCGAGAATTCCCTCTTGGTGTTCGACAACCTATGTTCCTCCGTCAATGGAGGGAAAATTCTTAGAGAGTAACCAGCTTGGGCGTTAGTGGACGAGAAGTTCCTTATAGATTTTCGATCGAATTTCGACAGGCAGGCCGAGAAAATGGGCACGAGGTAAGCTTGGTGGTTGTGGAGGTATCATAATGACCGAGATAGGTAGTGGTATTTGATACAGCAGGTAGGAATTGTAAAGGCTGGAGCAGGATCGATTCAATGTACTAGGCCTTCGTGCTAGTATAAGCAGTACAATAGTTTTGAAGAGAGGGGACGCGCTGTGGTTTCTCTGCTGACTAGGCTCAGCAGCACCAATTACCCTCATAGGATTAGCGAGGGACCAAGGGCCTCGTAGCTCAATTACTCTACATAGGCGAACAAGGCTGTGGAAATTCACCGAGCGAGGTACGGCATAGGCGGGATCTCTGCGGGGTGTGGGGTTGAACTTCACAATAGCCTAAGTTCTGAGATAGTTATGGTCTGCTTCACAATCAGTATTTCCTGGATCTTATAGCCGGTGAGGATAGGTCTCGGTCTCGCAGTGTGTTAAATCCGTCGGGGGCACAGAAGGTGAATGTACCTATAGCTTTGAGTACCCACGAGGGCACAGAGTATCCATACATGATTGACCAAGGTATTTTCTTGAGTATGATAGAATCCATTCCGTGCTTGATGACCGAGTGGCTCTGGCACTTTTAGACCATATAGCACTCTCCGTAGAGCATGAGCTTATTCTGCCAGGACAAATGAGACACATACACTAGAAGTATTTTGATAGTTCCCAGAAAGAGAAGAAAGCCATGACATGAGACTCGGGTTGTGGTCGTGAATTAATTAAATGTAAAATATGACAAATGGGCGTGGTTTATACATAATAGGCGGTAAGAGTGGATCCATCCACTTTTGCGGCGCTGGAGTGAATCTCGTCAATTCATGAGGCGTCTGATCTGATGGCAGCGATTTTTCTCCCATTTTATATTCAGAACATTCTCAATAAAGGCGAGATAAATGGCGTCGTTGATGTTCTTCTTGAGAATAATGAGACATATGATACCGTGGAATGTATCATCCAGTGACAGAAACTCAGGGAAGTATTCGAGTATGGACAGTGCATCTTGAAGCGGACGAGAAGACATCTCATGTGAATCCAAAGGCATGCTGTGTAGCGATTCATTCATCTGGTGTTGTTGAAGGAGCTTCGAGTATAGAAGGATTGACAAAGCCGACAGATGCAGTCGTCCCTGCAAAGAGGTCTGTTCATTCAGGGCCATCGCTTCCAGCCGTTGCTTCCAGATGTCACATTCTCGTAATAGGAAAGTAATTATCTCTGGATCATTCGCAATACTGGTTGTATTGGCGTCATAAGCAAGTTTGTATATTTGCCATGGAAGTCCCAGTACGGGACTCTCATGTGGAGACCATGAAGCTTGACCGAAAAGGGGAGTAGCAAGCTCCGCTTCAATGCTTGGCCACAAGGTCTCCAGTATAACATTATGCTCAGGGTCATCAAGGATAGGCAACGCCAACTGCATTAAGCACACCTGGTGGATGATGGATTCGGATTCAATACGCTGCAGAATACGACTGTTTCGCGATCGATTGACTCCGTCTTTCAGATGCTCGAGGCGGAATTGATAAATACGACAAGCCCCTAGAATGTGACATCTGTGGTCAAAGAGAGTGTGTTCTCCCCATGACTGGATGCAGAGGATTGTTAGCTAGTTCGAACAAGTCAAAAGGAAACGGGTTGTACAAGCACCTGCAAGACACAGTAATAATACATTAACTGCGAGGGTATCCAACATAGCCTCGCTCAAGCGCGTGTCAGACTGCACATGCTTCACATTTTTCTGAAAATTGACAATAGACTGACTGTAGTATTGAAGACTTCTGGCAATATATATATCGTCTTCAGTAGACATCAACAGTGCACCGCATGTTAGGAGGGCATTCATGACCCCTGCGTCTTGACATGCAATTCCCACGATGTAATTTCGCACCTTGAAGAAATCGGGATGCGCTGTGGGCAAATCGAGTAGAGGCAAGAAGGAACCGACTGCCTGATGGAGAACATTTGCTTCCAGCTGGTCTTTGGTCACAAAGCCTCTCCAATCAGGCATCGTAGCTTTCTCGGAGGTCGTTAACCAAGATATCTGAGTGGACCACCGAGATTGAGCGTCTCGACGGCGACGGTCCTGATTCTCCAAGATTTGGACGTCCGGCCAAATGCAAGGTGAGTCGGCCTTTGCACAAGGGCTACATTGGGGTTTTTGATCATCGCATTTCTTCGCCTGTTGCCTGCCTAAGCTCAAAGAATGTGTGCATTTAGTTTGGCTGGTTAAACGAATGCAAGTTTCAGGGGGTCATACATCTTAGGCAGCCTGTCTTTGTACGAAGCCTTGGCTTTTTTGAGCCCGCCTCCATCCTTTATGGTCGACTGTTGAAATTGTAGGTCACTTCACGGTGGAGGGTGGAGAAGGAGCGGGGTGCTAGCAAATGCGTTCTGTTAACGATCAATTTAGCGGGGAAGATAGGCGCAATGCAATGTGGATCATGCCTGTGGAGCGCGCTAGCGGTAAAGCTTCTGATTGGCAGGGATTATCACCATTCCGGGGAAAGCTCGGAATCTGTTCCGTCTCTATGGAGTGACAGTACCTCCTTCAGAGGGAAGAAAACGATAGATGCTGTGGAGGGTATATAAGTAAACATATGCGTGGTCATTTTCTAATCTTTCATTACTGTCTGTAACTTATCAAGATCGGAATCTGGAGCGCCAGCCCCCTATCCCTCTTTTACCTGCTACTCATGGCTTCTACCAAAGAATCACTTCCATGGCAAACCCTTGCCTCCACTCACCGGGACCGAGCCTTTGCAAATATCCCCAAAGAGTGGCATCTATCACCTGAGATATTGTCCGCCATATCCCCTGATGCTCGGATCAGCGTTGCCCATATTCCGGCTCAGTCAAAGATTCTGAGCCCACGCGAATTGGAAATTACGGAGACATTGGATGCAACTGCTTTGCTGCAGAAAATTGGCGCTGCAGAGTACTCTGCCGCAGAAGTCTGTACGGCATTTTGCAAGCGGGCGGCCGTTGCGCAGCAGTTGGTGAGAGTTTCGAAATTGCTTGGCCTTTAGTATACTATCTAATCCCATCGGCAGACTCATTGCCTGACTGAGATATTTTTTGAAGCTGCTCAAGAGCGGGCAAAATTCCTGGATGAGTATCTCAAGAAGAACGGGCGCCCTCTGGGACCACTCCATGGTCTTCCAATCAGTCTCAAGGTGAGCCCCCTCGAATAGCAAGATACATCAGCGTATGCTAACAGGATCATAGGACTCCCTAAATGTCACCGGCGAGTACTCCACTATTGGATATGTATCCTTTATTAGCCATGGACCAGCCAAGAAGAACTCTCCTCTGGTGGATATTTTGCTCTCCTTGGGAGCAGTTTTGTACGTGAAGACGAACTTGCCCCAGTCATGCATGGTGAGTAGATCATAGTCCCGGATGCTCTCACGGGATCCTTGTGACTGACTGGCATTTAAGACGGCCGATTCCCATAACAACATCTTCGATAGAACACTGGTATGGCCAATAACGTCTTACAGTGCCTTCAAATGCTTAATTTCTCTAGAATCCGAACAACCTGGCCCTCACTGCCGGTGGAAGCAGTGGAGGAGAAGGTGCTCTTATCGCCCTTCGCGGCTCTTTACTCGGTGTCGGCACCGATATTGCTGGATCAATCCGAATTCCGTCTATCTGCTGTGGTACTTATGGATTCAGGCCTTCCGCAAGCCGAATCCCCATGGGGGGTCAGGCGATCCCCGCTCGGCCGGGCGTTCCTTGTTTCCTCCCTGTGACCGGGCCATTGGCAGCATCCGCAAGGGACCTCCGTCTGTTCATGGAGTCAGTCATTCGGGCTGACCCATGGAAATCAGACCACAATTGCCTGCCTATCAAATGGAATGTACCAGAGGAACAGAAGAAACTTCGCATTGGTCTGATCCTCGAAGACCCTTTGCGGGCCTGTGAGCCGGAAGTACTTCACACTCTCCAGTCCGCTGCCCAGAGGTTGACATCGGCCGGTCATGAAGTCATTCCCGTGACCAAATTTCCGTCAATCGTTGGGGCCGAAAAGCTGGCATTGTCATACTTTGCTCTTGACAACGAGCATTACCCTATCTATCATGCTACTAAAGCTGGGGAGCCTCTAATTCCCTCTTTGACTGCAGCAATTGAAGCTGGGTTCGGATACGAAAAGAAAACAATGACCCTAGAAGACCTTGTGCAGATGAATGTGGAAAAGGAAGAGCTCATCGAAAATTGGAACGAGGTTTTCGAGCGTGACTCGTTTGATGTCCTGTTGACCCCTGGGGCACCTCATCAAGCAGTCCCACATGATACATACCTCCGCACTACGTACACCATCGTCTGGAATCTTGTGGATAATCCAGCTTGCATCATTCCAATTGCGACTCCCACGGAGAACGGCCACGATGGTAAGCAAACCTTCCTTTCAAGTCAAAGGTATCCCCTGATACTAAATATCGACGTAGCTACAGAGGATCTTCACGAAGGGACGGTCAAGCACACTGTGCAAGTGGTGGGAAGAAACCTTCAAGACGAGGCATTGTTGCATTGCGTAGAGCGGATCTCGGTAGCGCTTAATTATTCCACTTAGTTCACGATCTCCCTCGTTATAGGAGATATAGGTCCGACGGCATAAAATGCCCATATAGAGACCTCACGCGGGTTAGTCCTTATCAATGGAATGAAAGCATGGAAGAATGAAAAGCTGCTTTGGTGACGAACAACCTTAGAATATTGAACCCTGAGATATCAACTGGTATTACAGCTTAACCCTCGCTGTGTTCTATTCGCTGTAACATCTACGAAATCGTGTATGGTATACATATGAACCTTTTGAGCTGTACACGGTAGTACCTGCAGTTGAGAGATGGTTCTCAGAAATGAGAATTGACCTCTATTCCCAATATACCAGAGGATAACACTAAAGGGCTGTTGAATGACGTTTAGAGATGTGGCTCTCGGCGTCGGAATGTGAGACAGAAAGATAACAGAGGAAACGGAAGCATCCCGCCGCATCTTTCGTACAGCCTACGCGAAAAAAATAAGGGACGGTCCGCCTATCTATGGCCAATGAATATAGAACAAAGCCGCAGTTCCGGGGCAATCTGGGTATTATCGTGGCACTAGCGGTAAAACCCCTCATTGGTCCGATCTTACTTTCCTTCCGCCCCAGATTTCAATATAATTTGCGGGGTCATGCACGGAGCTGTCATAGATAAGACGTGTGTATATAAAGCTCACCAGTAGCCAGGAGAGTGCCTGGGTGTTCTTAATATATTCATGTAGGACAAAAGTTTTGTACCAAATTGAGCCAATTCAAGCCAATTGAGCAACAGGGTGATTTGGGAAGTCATTCTCTCTCTCATTGATACTCAGATGGAGCAGAAGAAACAATTTCCAGTTCCCGGGGAGACATCCTTGATAGATCATCATGCATCGTGCGACAATACCTACGAGAGCAATGGTAGTGTGCGGCTTGTCCCACAACCAACTGCAGACCCCTTGGATCCTTTAACGTGGTCAAATTCTCGCAAATACGTCGCTATGTTGATCATCTCCTTCTGGACAATGGTGTTAGGGGCTGCTACGTTGAGTGGGGGCGTCCAGTACTCCGCAATCATGGCCGAATTCGAGATTGATGTTGGATACCTGAATGTTTCTGCTGCGCTCGCACTTCTGCTGTGTGGAGTCAGTAACTTGTTCTTCAGTCCGATGGTATGTGATCCCGAGTGATTATGAAAATGTGTACTAACCACGGCCCACGATGCTTAGGCGTTAAAATATGGCCGTCGACCCGTCTATTTGTTGTCCGCATTTCTCACTTGTTTCGCCCAAGTACTGATAGCTTGGGCGGTAAACAAAGAAATGTTGACTGCTGGTCGGTGTCTGGTGGGTTTAGCAGCTGGACCGTTCGAGCAATTGCCCGCCGTGTCCGTTGCAGATATGTTCTTCGTGCACGAACGTGGATTTGGCCTCTCGTTCTACGTTTTCTCAATATCCTTCGGATCATTCCTTGGGCCTATGGTGGCCGGGATCGTCACCAATAATCTCGGATGGCGATGGGTGAACAATATTCTCATCATACTAGCGGCAATCTCCTTTGTGATGATCTTGGTGGGTCTGGAAGAATCATCCTTCCATCGTTACAGTATCATAGAGGACTCCTCGGTTGCGGTGGGGCAGAACAGTGATATCAGTCATACTCTGGCGGCCTGCGACGACGATGGCGAGTCGGCACGACGAAGGATGGACTCAGTTCGGACTCCATTCTGGCAAACGAGAAAGCTCATTACTACCTCGAAGTCTCAACGTACCTTCATGGCTATGTTCACGGCGACGATACGCCTGCTGTTCACACCCATCATCATCTGGTGCGGTATTGCCTACGGCGCAGCTATATCTTGGCTTTCGATCATGGCCGTCACCGCGTCAACTGTTTTCATGAATTCGACTTATAAATTCAATTCTATCCAGACTGGTCTGACTAACATCGCGCCCTTTATTGGCAGTCTCTTCATGATCTATGTTGGTGGCCAGGCGACCGACAAATTCCTGGTGTGGAAGGCCAAACGGAATGGAGGCATCATGCAGGCCGAGTCACGACTTTACCCGTGCCTGATCGCAGCGCCAGTAATGGCCTCCGGGGTGTTGCTGTATGGGGTATGTGCTGCACATGGCGTGATATGGATTGCTCCTACAATCGGAATGGGCCTGATCGGGGCTGCTATGCCTCTTTTGGCGCAAGTGACCCTTGGGTACGCCTCAGAGAGTTACCCACTTTTGGCAGGCGAGGCGACGACCGGCATGATTTTGATTCGAAATGTCATTGGGTGCGGAATGACTTTTGCTATCTCCCCGTGGATTGAAAGCAGCGGTATCCAGTGGTGCTTTGTGGAAGTCGCCGTTATTGCGCTTCTTATCAACTTGTCTGCCGTCTTGATTATTTGGAAAGGAAGTGTGATTCGACGGAAGACGGCTGCGATTTACTATGGAATTTTGGGTCTCGAATGTTGAATGATTAAACGATTCACATATACTGTAACTCAGAATGGGGGTCCCATACATGCCGCTTCCAAGTACAAACTACGAAATGCAACTTCGTCCAGCAACCTCTTGAGGGCTTGTCCCGGAAGGCGCTTACCAGAATTTTTCCAAGACTTTACGAAACTTAACTCGACAAGCACTGTATCGATTTATCCCCTTAACCGTACGATGGTTACCCACTCCGCCTAGTTCTCACTGTATCCCACTGGCCGCTCCCCGGCGTGTCTGGTATCGGAATCTAAACTAAATAGCAGTCAGGATTCAAAGGAGGGAACAGAAAGGGCTTTCCTTTTTGCTCCGCGACATCCACTATGAAGAATTATGTTAAGCTGAATGGTGAGATGGGATCTGTGACTAACTTATGAATAGTCTTTATGGATGGGATAGCATGACAGGAAGTTATACTTATAGAATCTAGGATATTGCCTTTTAGACTTTAGTGAAGCCTTTTCGCACTTGAAAGAACTGAAATACGAACCTCATATCTCCCTATTTATCCGTCCGCTTAAGGCTCAGTTTAAACTAATTAACCTTTTATATTTTCTATCAGATATCTAGACTCTCGTCTATACTATATAGTCCATTATCGCTTACCAGTTATTATTCGAAGGATTTCTCGCGACAGAGGACGATGTAACCTATAAGTATATCGATACTCTTGGTGTCCTGCTACCTGAGTGGCGGAGGAAGTAGAAGGCTGGACGATATAAAATTTCCGAGGATGGTAAGTTATTCAACTGTATACCCCTTCGGTTCCTAGGACGATCGATTGAAGGATAGTGTGTAATAACCTATGCGAGATAGCAGGATGATGTTAATTGACGTAAGGGAGAGGAACGCTGTTTTGACATGCTACGTCCGATGCCCCTTATTTAGACCCAATAGTTGTCTAACTACCTAGTAGATCCTCGAGTTAGATTGGATGGTTAAATGGGCTTTACCCGAATATGGCGAGATCAAGAATGATGTACAGTTACTATAGGGTAGAACTGTAAGAATTATTTGAATCGGCTCTGGAGGGAGTATTCCGGAACCAGATGGCAATTTTAGGATGTAGGAATCTGAAAGAGACTATGACATAAAACCTTCTGCCACTAAGTTAACTAGTTATAGATCAAGCTAGCTCGTCTCAGAGCCAAGCCCCGGTACGGCGGACGATATCGGCCAATCTCCAAAACCCCTTCCCGCCCTTACTACCGCCCCCATAAGTAGACTAGCCTACTAGGCCCTTGTCACCGCCCTTAACTATCTTATATAACCAATCAATCACCTAATCCTCCTCCATCACCATCGAATGCTCCTCCATTATCATCGAATGCTCCTCCATTATCATCGAATATCACTATGCCCCGGCCTTCTGTTAACCTTGATCCTTACCAGGAGGAAATTACTAGGCTTGTTTATGCGAATTCTACCAATGAGGATATCTGTGCTTTCTTGCTAAATACATATGGTATTAGGATCTCTCCTACTACTTTATGTAGACGGCGAAATGCATGGGGTCTTCATACTCCACGGGCTTACTACCAAAAGGATACTCCTAATGAGATCAATCGTAATCAGATAGTATATAACCTTCTTCAGCTATCGTTAGATACGCAGGAAATCCTTCGTCTCTTACAAAAGAAGGGGATACCATCATCTGAACGTTCTCTTTATCGTATACGGCAAAAGCTTGGTGTTAAGCTACGTGTTAACGATGCTGCTGAACGAGCGTCTCAGGAAAGAATTATTGAGAGGATTCTTACTGCAGAGGATCAGATTGGAGATATTGAAGGATATGGCCGACGTTACCAGCAAATTCACCTGCGTAGCCAGGGAGTTTTCATCGCAAGGTAAGTATCATATGGTCGTGTTTATCGGTCATATAGTCGTGTTCATCGGTCATATGGTTGTGGTTATCGGTCATATGGTCGTGTTGGTTAGCGATATGTTTACTAACGATTATATAGAGATCGTGCCTATGAAATCTACCGAACTATTAACCCAGATGCGATTGATGACCGCCGGTCTGGCTTTCAACGCCGACGAGGTGCCTATATATGCGATGGGCCTAATGCAATTTGGCATCTTGATGGCTATATGAAATTAGAACCTTTTGGTATTGAAATCTACGCAGCAATTGATGGCTACTCTCGATATGTTATATGGATATATATCGGGATATCTGCACGTACTGCAGTAAGTGTCCTTCGGCAGTATCTTGATTGTGTGAGATCGAATGGGTATATACCACGAAAGCTTCGGGTTGATCTTGGTAGTGAGACGGTATTGATTGGTGATGCCCATCTTACTCTACGAGAATCGCTTCTATCACCATCGAATACTCCTCCATCACCATCGAATGCTCCTCCGTCACCATCGAATGCTCCTCTATCACCATCGAATGCTCCTCCGTCACCATCGAATGCTCCTCTATCACCATCGAATGCTCCTCCATCACCATCGAATGCTCCTCGATCACCATCGAATGCTCTTCCATCACCATCGAATGCTCTTCCATCGACATTATCATCAGTTTCTCGGTTTCGAAACTACTTTATCTACGGGCGTAGTATTGATAATCAACGTATTGAATCCTGGTGGGGGCAGCTTGCACAGTCAAGTCTCTTCGTCTATCATGAGTATTTTAATATACTCTTAGGCGATGGAATCTATTCAAAGCAGTGCATTCCTGAGCAGGTAAGCAGCGGTATATCCTCGACAATTTAACCTAGTAATCCCTACTAAAAGATGTCTAGATAGTACTTCTTGCCATCTACATGCCTATTCTACGAGCTCGCATTCAATCATTCGTGAGCAGTGTATGGAATGTACACCCGATTCGTAAACAGCCTAAGCGGCCACATGTCGTTTCTGGTAAACCAATGATGAATTACCACTATCCTCCCGAAGGTATTCCTGATTGTAAGGAATCTTTTGACCCTTCTCTTCTCCAGAGGTATGATTCTATGGTTAATTCCTTATATTCTATGGTCAATTCCTTCTATTCTATGATTCATTAATCGTATACTATGATTCATTGATCGTATACTATAATTAATTCATCTTATATTAGGCTCCAGGAGGATGTGGCAGAATGGGATCCTGCTGAATACCTTCCACCTTCTACACTAGCTTGGTGCCGTCTATAATTGATAGAAATTGGCCAGCAAGAAGTGGGCGAGCCGTTTGACCCTGAAGACCCTCTCATTCAGCTTCTAGGTGATAGAAAGCAGCCATATCGGAAGGTATATGAGACTATGCGTGCTCGGGCCCTTCTACACGACCAATTAGGTACTTTACCTATATTAACACTAAGTATAAAACCTACCGGTGCATTCTCATAGGGTCCGAGCGCCCAATGGCATCAGGGCGCATAAGCTACTTAATCTATAAGATTAGAAGACGGCATAGCATATTCTCTCTTTCATCGAACATATTCTCTCTTTCATCGAACATATTCTCTCTTTCATCGAACATATTCTCTCTTTCATCGAACATATTCTCTCTTCCATCGAACATATTCTCTCTTCTATCAGGATGGCATCTAAACTATCTTTCCCCCTCGCTACTCTACAGGCTACTCTTAAACAGCTATTAGAGACTATATCGGCAGCTACAGATCCTTCTTCATCTACATCATCATCAACAAGAACACCAACAGCTACACCAACACCATTATCATCATCGATATCTAATATTTCGACATCAGCTTCGCATATTCCAGCATCAGCTTCGCATATTCCAGCATCAGCTTCGCGTATACCATCGCAGCTCAATTCGCGTTTTGGAATGCTTTCTAGTACTACTAGCCAGGTTCGCAGTGCTTATATTAGACGCCCACAGGCAACTATACCGCCACCACCACCAGAAGAGGTCACAATCAATATATCCTTCTATCTATTAATAGAGAGTGAGGATATTATACCAATTAAAGGTAATATACTATCTTCCCTCTATCATATACTTCTATATTCTTACCATTTACTTCTATAGGTACACATATCTCTACCAACATAATTCCTTCGCAGGAATGGCTCACTATGGGTAGTTTTGCATACTCTCTGGTACAAAAACTATGTTACCTACCTATTAATTTCGAATTCAACCACGACGATGAGGCATTCCTAGCTAGGACGGTTACACAGTATACAAAGAAAGGACCATTAGAAGCGCAGTATCTCCTACCTACTAGTCCATCTGGGTCTACTAGGTGGACTTCTGGTCAGTTATGCCGATTGGTCAACCAGGAGAAGGGGGCAAAGGTCTTCTATGTTATTATAAAACGATCAAAAGAGACCGTGGAAAGGATGGCACATGGACTACCATCTCGAGCTACGATATCAATTGAAAGACAGCTAGGATCTATGGAAGACTCGGCAAGTAGGCCTCTGCACGGGACCGGAAAGACCGCACCCAAGACCGCATTAGACCGCACCGCGCGGTCTTTGGTCCCAGACCTTGAGACCGCTGGGCGGTCCTACATTTTTAGGGACCGCACCACTGCGGTTTGGTGCGGTCCTGCGGTCCTGCAAACAAGCAAAACATCTTAGACCCAAGGTATGCATAATTTATGTAGAAGTCGCCTGTATTTTTGAGTATTCTGCTTTCAAATGATATTTAATTTTATATAATTCTGAGGTAGGAGTAAAGAATAATTCTTTGTTTGGTGTCTGTTGATTTCTACCGAAAAAGCGAGGATTGACTGATTTCCTTATGAATAGCTTATGTGGTTCTTGTTTCTATTAAAGATATACAAAATCCTCATCCTGTCTCAAGCGCTTTGGAACACGCCCAGATGAACGCCTCTGAGTAGTCCTCCCTTCTTCTAAGTGGCTATTATCAGGCAGGGGAACCTCATCGTCATCATCGTCAAGTTCAAATAGCTGATCCGGGGTAGCCCTTCTCTTTCCAAGCGCTCGCGCACTAGGAAGTTGGATAGTTTCGGCAGAATCTTCAGTAGTGGATAGGTCTTCCTCGTTATCACTAATTGGATCAAATTGTTCCTCTTTCTTCTGGGCGTCCTTCTGCTCTTTCTTTGCTTGCTTCTCTTGCGTAGAAAGATACTCATCAACTAGGGCAAGCTGCTCTGACTCCACGTCAAATTTTGTTGTACACATAAACAACATCAATTCCTTGATTGTCTGCGGTTTCAGTGAGCCCCGGCGATAATGGCAGATATCACGCGCAGAGTTAAATAACCGCTCAACGCCAGAACCACTGGCTGGTGTTGTAAGGATGTCTCGAGCAAGGCTTGCCAGAATAGGATATTCATTTTGGTGTTCTTTCCAGAAAACGAGAGGGGTTGCTTCGACAGTACCTAGTGAGGGTGGTATAAGAGAAGGAGTATATAAGAAGAGGTATATAGATTAACTTACTACTTCTAAGATACCGTGTAAGCTCATCTGGAGCCGTCACGTTTGACTGAAGAGATACAGTAGGTCTCAGAAGGATATCAATGTCAGAGACGTCTTGAATTGTGGGCTGGAGAGTTGATGTAGACTGTGCCTCTTCGTAGCGCTGCCGGTAAGGCTGAATGTAAGCCTCTAGCGACTGCTTATAGCGAGGCCCCCAGTGAGGTTCCCATTCAGATGTTGTGAAGAACTCTAGCTTGTTCCGTGGTCCTAGGATAGTCGCAATTGCATAGAGATCACCAGGAATATCATCAGTCTTTCCATAATACTCTGTAAGCTTATCGCGCGCACGGTCAAGCGCGGACTTCATCACTCTCTTCCAACCAACCTTCTTTCGCGCTAGCTGCACTTTCGCCTTATCAATATGTGTGAATAGGGCGTTATAGATACCAAAGACGTTATGGATAGTCACGTCTGTAGTTGCCGAAAGAGACGAAGTGAATTTGAAGAAGGGATAAGTGATTGACAGAAGATAGTCAACTTGTCGCCATTTATCTCTGTCTATCTTTACATCAGCGAGGTTGAATTGGACACAGAAGTCATCAAAGGCAGACTGCAATCGCCGGGCACGCCTGAGCATGAGGAACGTCGAATTCCATCGTGTCCGAACATCTTGTATAGGCATAAGCTTAGGCTCTTTCGTCTGAAGCCTTATGAAGCTCTCGCGGCGCTGGGGACTTTTGTTGATGTAGACTGCTACCTTCCGAACCTAGAATATAGTGCGAGTTAGTAAAGAAAGAGAGATAATAGTAAGAGATTAGAGAGAGCTAGACCTTGTTCAGAGTATCCACGATCTTTCTATTCTCTTGCCGAGCTATATGCCCTTTCTCGGTCCATTCAATCTCTTCCCTCTCGTTTCCTGGGTTCGCGTCCATCTGACCAAGGAGCTCCTTCAAACTGAGCTGTATAACATGTGCAATACATGGTATACGAATAACCGGTATACTACTAGGTAGCTGTAGGGATTCGACGACCTCTTGAAGGCTACCGAGTAATGTTCCGTTATTAGATGCGTTATCAGTAGTAATAGTTAACACCCTCTCAGTAATCCGATGCTTCTCAAGAAGGTCAAGCAGGACAGTGCTTAGATAGGCCCCCGTATGTGAGCCCTGTAGAGGTTCAAAGCCAAGCAAGAGCTCTCGGTAATTCCACTCTTGGTCAATGAAATAGCCCGTTATTGCCATAAAAGCTTGGCGAAATGGTGAGGTCCAGCAATCTAATGCAATAGAGAGCTTAGCACTATTAGGAAGCTTCTGTAGAAGAGTATACTGGCGTTCTTCCACGATCTCTTGAAGATGACGGCGGACTGTGGTTGCAGTTGGGATTTCGGGGAAGCAGGGAGCAAGCCGGGCCATCTCAAGAAGGGCGCGAAATTCAGGATGCTCAATAAGCTGGAAGGGTAGCCGCGAGGCAGCAATAAAGGTAATTAACCTTTCCATCCAAGCTTGCGGCGTAAATGATGCTTTACGAGACGACAGATATGCCTAGAAGGGGTATTTTATAAGATTAGTAATAATTAGAAAAAGGTAGACTGATTATCCATACCCCGTTCTTGATAGCCTTCCTAATATCTTGCGACTGAGTCGGTCCTCTCCGACAGGTACCTACTTGCGAATAATGCCTATTCATAGTAGATGTTCCCCGGCGCTTATCGGCAGGATGGGCAAGGATATGGTCGCAATTCTTGCATATTACCTTAGGAGACCCATCCTGGATAGTAGCGACCTGGTAGAAGTGGTCCCAACATTCTGCATTGCGTCTACCCTCAAAGATATTCCGTTTCATCTTACTTCCATACTCCGTCTTTAACCACCAGACGATGAAATCCTCATTCGCCATTTCTGTCCAGAGGATATAGTTTTTCCTTTTAGGAGGACCAACGCGTTCGAGTGTTTCTGGGATAACAGGAGGAATCGCCGGTCGGAGTAAGTTCACGTTAGGAGTAGAAGTTGGCGTTTCGCGCCCGTCGAGGTTAAACAGCCCATCAGATGTGAAGAAGGAGAAAGTATCTCGTGGATTATCCTCAAAAGCCGATGAGGGATACTGATCAGAGAACTGAGAGGAGGCCTGACTCTGTAACATTTTGACGAAATGAGTATAGGATAGGACGGGGGAGGTAAAGGACTTAAGGAGATACCTGCTAAAATATTTCCGTCTACTAGAAAAAGCTGAATAAAGGATTTTCTCTAGGAGAAAGCTATAGGCATGATTTAGATAGATCAAATTGAATTGTAATAGTGATTAGGCAGTAGGCTCCACTTTACTACAATCCGATAGGATAAGGGCTACGAAGACCGCAGAAGACCGCATAGAACCGCAGGAAAAACCGCGATAGACCGCATAGAGGGCTGCAAAGACCGCAGAAGACCGCATAGACAGCTAGTAGGAAATACTATGATTGACCGCAGAGGACCGCAGAGAACCATGAGGAGGACCGCACAGGACCGAAAAGGACCGCTAGAAGGCCCATATAATAGTATAATCCTCCTTTTCTTTCTAAGTCTACACTTCATATCAGAGAAACCAATTTTGAAAAGAGATTATTATGATATATTAGTAGTAGAATATAGAATTTCAAGATAAATAGTTAACTAGAGAATCTAAGCTCTCTGATAATACCCTTAATACCTATTTTAGCTGTATGTAGGGGGTTATGTACACTCAACGAAGAAGTCTCAGATGAAGATAGGGTCAGGTACTGATATCGAAATATATATTTCTTACCTCATACACCTAGCCAGCAATAATTATTACTAAACCTCTCTATTAGAACTTAGAAATATACTAGTACTGGCAGGTCTAGGTATTTTAAATAGTAGATTTTCTATATACGAGTATATTTCATCTGTTTTCATAGTGGCTGATGCTGAAATACAGTAAATGTTTATGAAGGGACCAAAACAGTGTTTAATAACAGTAATTAAATGGGATGAATCATCAATTTATGTAGCCGAAAAGAGAAGGTCTTGGTAGAATTATGCAATTGCGGTTCACCGTGGTGAAGACCGCAAGGGACCGCGGTTCACTATGGTGCGGTCTCAACCCCCGAATTCGAGACCGCAAGACCGTGCGGTCCGGTCCGCGGTCCTCGACCTAAGGACCAAGACCGCACCATGCAGAGGCCTATCGGCAAGCATCATGGAAGACCCGGCGGGCATCATGGAAGACCCGGTGGGCATCATGGAAGACCTACCACGAAGGAAGCGAAGACGTGCTACACCACCACCAGTGACGCGGCGGAACTTACGTCGGCGACTACAAGGATGACAGAGACTATGTATTTATACTAGAGGAGGGAATTACTACTATCGGTAAATCATGTACTTAATAGTTATATAATTTAAATTATCCTTTTATTATATCAGTCCTTAATGACGATAGAAGAGCATTCAATGGCGATGGAGGAGCATTGGATGGTGATGGAGGAGCATTGGATGGTGATGGAGGAGTATTGGGTGATGGACTTAGAAGTTTAGATGTAATTCTGCCGTTTTTCTGCCAGTTCTATCTAGGGGTTTTGGAGATTGGCCGTTATCGGCCGCCGTAGCCCCGGAAGACCCCCGCATTTCTCAGAGGGAGCCGCCAAAATCGCTTGCGATTGACCGCGAATATCCACCAATAACTGTGCCTCCTATAGTGTATCGGGGTTTCGCTCCCCCGGTCACCGAGATAGAAAATGCAGGATGTCATTAGGGTGGCTTCCTTGGCATCGTGCGCTCGGTATCACACAGACCGAAAGCATAGTTTTGAGAGCTAAGAATACAAATACATGGCATAACGCAACTTTCTGATCCCCTAAACCTCCCAGGCGGTGCGAACCACACAATGAAGACGCGAATGTTATACGCCATCCTAGCTACCCTTCTTGCGACCCCTGCCAGAAGCAAGTACATTGTGCCTGGAGGTCGATGGTACGATACAGATGGGGAATTGATCAGCGCGCATGGGGCCGGAATTACTTTCGACCAGAAAACCGGTCGGTTTTGGTGGTTTGGCGAGTACAAAACCGAAGCGCAAACAGAAGGGGGCGGTGTCTCTGTTTACAGTTCTGAGGATTTGCATACTTGGACTTCGGGTGGACTGGCCCTAAGTATTTCTCCCTGCTGATAACTCTTGCTTGCTATGCTCATAACGCGTATAGGCCCAGTTGAAGGACATCCGTACATCTCGCCGGAAAACATAATCCAGCGACCTAAGGTGGCATACAGCCAAGAGACAGATGATTATCATGTATGTGGGCTGCCTATTTCCTCTGCCACATCGCTCATGAACAAATGCTTACGCTAACCGCAAAGATGTGGTGGCATGCTGACAATTCCACCTATGGCCTCCTTCTCCAAGGTCATGCGGTATCTTCTACGATTGGAGGGCCGTACTCTTTCGTGGATGCGACCGCACCTCTCGGAAACTGGTCGCAGGATTTTGGCATGTTTACTGACTATCAGGACGGCCGATCGTACGCCCTCTACTCGAACGGGGATAGTCTATATGGCCGAGATGTGTACATATCAGCCATGAACAAGAATCTCTCAGCACTCGAAACAGCCGTGCATCGATTCCCAAAATTCGATCTCGAAGCACCAAGTATCATGCACACGGAGAACGGATATTGGGCACTGATGAGCCACAAGACAGGATACAGGCCAAACAGTAAGCCAGACCTTTATTTGATGGCTATATTCGGCTGGTAGGCTAATAAAACAGACGTGGTTGCATTTCGGGCCGACTCATTGAGCGGTCCTTGGTCCCAGCCATTTATCATCGCCCCGTTGAACACGCGCACTTTTAACTCGCAGTCTGGATTTGTGCTTAGGATAGAGGGAAGTAAGAGGACTACGCACCTCTATATTGGGGACCAGTGGGACTCTAATACTATTTGGGAAAGCCGGTATATATGGCTGCCGATTCAGACTGATGGAAAGAATCTAGAATTGGTCTGGCATGACGTTTATGATCTCGACGTGTGCGTACTCTCATTTCTGTTTCTCCTACAACGCGAAATACGAACTTGATTTTAGGAAAACCGGAACATGGACACCAGTCGAGGGTACAACATACACGGCGAAAAATGCGAAAACTCATGGTGATGCATACAAACAGGAGGCTGTAAGTAAAGCTAGATGTCGGATGCCAAATTCTCCGCAGCTAACAAGCTAACAGAATTTCGCCACCGACGGCATCATTCTCACTGGAATTTATGGAAACGACAGCACTGTTACGTTCGAAGGTATCGAAGGATCTGGAGAGCCGCAATGGATATCATTTTACTATCAAAGTATGGTTCTGTTCCTTCCTTCTTCTTCTTCTTCTTCTTCTTCTTCTTCTTCTTCTTCTTCTTCTTCTTCTTCTTCTTCTTCTTCTTCTTCTTCTTCTTCTTCTTCTTCTTCTGCGAGATACTCACAGTATCAATAGACATCGATGATATGGGCTTTGGGGACCAACGTAAGTTCACAACCCTGAGACTGAAGTGTTGTTCTCATGCATTCAATAGCTGGAGGTACCCCGGATAGGATCGGTGGCTCATGGCAGCTGCGTCGGATCAGTAGCGTGGTGGTCAACGGGGACACGTCAAACGTACAAACGCTCTACCAGAGAGATACACACAAGGGTATTATCCTCTCTACTCCGCTTCAATTGACGTTGAAGAAAGGGAAGAGCAATACCATCACAGTTGGGGGTCTATATAATGGGTTTGATTACAAAGGTGCAGATCTGGATCGGATTGTTGTGTATCCCCCTGAAGGGAAGTAGGAATGCCCTAGCTGGGGCCGAAAGGGGAAGGGGTAGCTTTCCATCTACCTCGAGTCTTCTCACTCCTACCAATTAGTCCATAACTGTGCTCCTTTCCAGGTCTCTAGAAACACACAATGGCAAAGGATGCTTTCCATCGCCCTGAAATGATATGCAATAAGGAGAGCTATCATCTCCTCGACGAGTAACCAGAAAGAATGAACTGCATTGTATATGGATCCATCTTGCTAAATGCACTTAGCAGGCCAGAGATATCCCAATACCTTAATCGTAGAAGATAAATTCGGTCTCGGCTTTGGCAAAATTGAGAGAAGAGGGAGAAAGTACATTGAGAAACGAACCGGAGTAATAGTCCATGTATTAAAAGATTCACATATACGGTAACTACGCTCAGAATGCGGGTCCCATCCGCGGCGCTTCTCAGTACAAACTGCGAAATACAGCCTCGTCCAGCAGCTTCTTAGGGGCTTGTCCCGTAAGGCCTCTACCGGAAGTTTTCCAAGGGGCTGCCAAACTCAGGCTCGATAAGCACTGGATCGCTTTGTCTGTTGCCTCTTGACCGTACCATGGTGGCCCACCCCACCTAGTTCTCACTGTGTCCCACTGGCCGCCGTCCGGCGTGTCTGGTATCGGAATCCAAAGCGAATACCAGTCGGGATTCAAAGAAGGGAACAGGAAGGGTTTACCTGTCTGCTCCGCGACATCGACTGTGAAGAATAATTTGAAGCTGAACGGTGGGATGTGATCTGTGGATAGTTTGGGAGCGGGCGACGTGATTACGACACCCATGCATAAAGAGACCGAGGAGTCTGTCCCATTGAGGAGGGATGAGTTGTGGTTTGGGTCCGGGTTACTCGCTGACATTGGATCTGCGCTTTCATCATCTGATGTGGTGTTAGAAAAATCTCTGTAAAGGTAATTAGGTAGGGGGAAGAAGGAAGGGAGGGAGAGAGAGATATATACATTTACCCCACAGAGCGATTGGCACCGATCTGTCAACCACGCTCACTTTCGTCCATTGCGGGCTGGGACTCGACCCTGGCCGACAAGGTCGGATTGATACCTTCAAACGACTGGTCAAAATGTCTTTCGCTTTCATTGGTCTCGCGTAAATCTGTTGGTTACGCGCTGTCACCTGGACGGTCGTGGATGAGGGACCGTCAACGGTCACGATATCGGCTTGGTTGATCGCAAACTTGGATGCAACGGTGAACCGGAACACAGGGCCACGGACATCCCAGGATTCCGAGTTCGGGGCCGACTTTTCATTGCCCGATGGGATGAGACCATCGTTGCAAGAGAATGTATGAGGCTGCATGGTATCATTCGCTGATGATTGGCAGATTCCCCGTGGGACGTCTGACTGCAAAACCAGATTGTAAAACTCATCGAGGTGCAACACTTCGGTGAGTGCGTTTGATGAGGGTCCGAAGTTCACGTCAAATCCCATCAGCCAGAAGTTGACATGCACACGGCCAGCCATCGGCGGCCCAGCAAGATACAGCGTTGCACCGATTTCCACACTGATGTGAACAGTGCAAATCCAAAGGTTCATGGTAAACCGCACGCCCACGCTTAGGCCACCCTCAGCTGTGAAGTAAAAGGGCTTGTAGTTGATCAAAAGATCAGCATAGGCGTGAAAATATGCCTCGAGGGGTCCAAGGCCAATTGTGACGTCAAGCCGTCCTCCTGCCATGCACACCTTCGGGGTGACGGCGAAGTACGCCTCTCCACAGATGTTGATAGTTGAGTCATACGACCAGCTGATGGCCAAACGAGGAACGTCGGGATACTGATGTGGTCAGTCGAATGATCGGTGATAGCCGCCAATGGTGAAAACCCAGTCGTCGGCGACGTTTCCCGAAAACCACTTACATATTGCAAACCCACCAGTCAAATGGCAGCTGGGATCGAGGACAAAGGATGACGGTGACAGTTGACCTTCAATCTTGAGCGTGCCACCTTCGGGATCCATTAGCGAGACGATGCCCAGCTCGACATGTGCGAACTTTTTCTGGTCCGTGGCACCTGCTGGCATATCGGCCACGGCCACGCCAAAGAGAGACAACTGCACTTTCGGATCCCATTCAATCACTGCAATGGCTTTGACCTGCAGCACCTCAAAGGCCAAAACTGTCAGGCCTGCAGCGACCCAGAAGAATCCTGCCTTGGGGCAGAACCAGCCGCCTTTAACAAGCCCGCTGATAGCACTGCCGGGATCAGTGAAATCTGGAGTGTCAATAAGTGGAAATTGGAGTACATTAGTGACGTTTGGGAGGGTGATGCCGGTATTATACCCAAAGCCACCAGTCACGCTGTTTGTCTCAGCCAACTCCAGAGTCACCAAAGGACCATTCAGCACAAAAAACACGAAGACGCTCCTGAAATCTCTCTCATTACCAGTAGTTTTTCCATAATATCCAGCAGCTTCAAATAGATACGGTTTGTAGCTCACGGTGACAGCTCCCATAAACGAGTTAGTCACATTGTCCTTGTCGAACATCCCGTTCACAAGGACTGGTTCGCGGCTGAAGGAGACTCCAAGACCAGCCAGCGATACCTTCGGAGTGGGCAGATCAAACAGAGTCTTTCCATTACTGAAGTTTAGGTTCAAACTGAAGCCCATCAAAGCCATATCCACAGGCCCTAAGGCAATCAAGGCATCTATTAGGATCGAGAGCGTCGGACCTGCCTTCAACTCCAGTCCCATATTCTGAATACTAAGCGGTCCAACCTTTTTTGAATAAGCCGTCTTCACGGATCCTGGTGCGTCCTGGGGTGCGGAATCATTCGAGGTAACCAATGTACCGCTGTTCGAGCTTGTTGAGGACTTGCCAAAGACATAGTCCAGTACCACGGTTGATTCACCCTTATCATCATGCAACAGCAGAAGAAAATGAGCACCAGCTTCCAGGACAATGTCTGTGCTCATGTATTGGTCATTTGGTTTGGTAACTTTATACTGCAGTTTCCTGGGCCCAGACGCGATGTTGCTGAGGATGCTGTTAATCGCAGTGACATCTTCATAGGTGAGGCCGGTGCTGGTGCTGGTGCTGGTGTCATGCTGGGGCTGAACATAGACAAATAACATCTCGTCGAATGGCTGGGTTAGATTGCCTACGATGGGTATATCGATGCTCGGAAGTTTGTCGAGGCCAACCATAAAAGCCTTAGTCATTAATGCACTCGATCCGCGTTACGGCCAAGCAGGAACGCATGCAGTGTATCCATGCATTAGCAAATACCTCGCGCCGGAATTGCGTCCACAGTCAGAGGGCTATCAGCCAAACTTGGTTAGAAAGCCAGCCCAGAGCGGATTTTCCGAATTTGTTCAAATCCCACCCCAGATCAACCAGGCTGGCCGGGTTAATGCTGCTTTTGTCGTTCATGACAGTCGGCATGAAGAAAATCCCGACCAATACTCCTACTGGCGGCCGGTCACTGAGAGGGAGAATCCAATTTGGGACTGGTTGGTGATCAACTATGCCAATAATGGAATCCAGGTCTTCCTCCCGGATGGGACCTTCTACAGGGAAGTGCGTATCGTCCAGCATGCCAACACCACGCTCAGCGCCAAATGGCTTCCTTTCGACCCTCCCGTCAAACCACAGGATTCTGGTCAACTTGACCGGTTGCTGGAGATGTTCACAGCCAAAGACCAGAAGCACCTGCTCGCTTTCTGTGATATGATCAACAAGTCGCTCGCGAATTCGTCTTCCCCGCCAAGTGCATATTCAAGCTTATTGCAGTCTACTGTTGGAAGGCCGCTGGCACTGGTGAACGCGGGCTGGTCACTAGAATTGGCAACTGACGACAAGATCAATCAGTCGTCACTGTCGAATATACCCGCCGAACGAAACCTGTTAAACGGTCAAGACATTTACCAGTTCCCGCTAAAGCTAGGCGACAAAAGTCGACCATACGACGGTCTCATTGGCTACTTCAACACGCTTCCCCAACCTGCTGTTGAGAACAAAGTGGGCAACGAACTCGACCTGAGTAAGATATACACTTACTACATGGACATGGATTCCCCGCCTGACGGTCCACTTCAGCAACTCGCATCAAGCCTTCCCAAATTCCAATGCTTCTGGTTGGACCCTGACGATGCAAAGTACGGTGATCCCGCGCGGACAGTAGCCCAGATAGCCGCGGTGTTTGCCAAAGACTGGAACGAGAAACTTCGTGTCTTCGGAACAATCATAGATCCATTCGCTCCTATCACGGCATACAGCGGCATCCTCCCCGTCCAAAAACTCCAACTTCCACCCTGGACGTGGCAGAATGCGATGCAGAAAATGACAGCATTCTTCCACATGGGTCCGATCGTCTCGACTGAGGATGTGGATAAATACTGGGATCCAACCCGCCAGCTTAAGCCGGACTACAGGCTGGATTCCACTGATAGCAATCAAGCGACAGAGGAAGATAGTGCTGTTAAGATTCCGTCATTAGCGATCGCCGACTGGGCGTGGCTACAGCCGTATAGTGATCCTGATGACTATATGGCCCTGGAAGCCGGACACTCGGCCTGGATTTGAAACGGGGCCGTATGTGGCTGTCGAGGCCTATTTGCAGTTGAAACGGCCGCTTGCTAGACCGGATGAACCTGATGCCCCGCGGAGCGTGTCCACAGAGAACAGGTCATAGTCTGTCAGCATGAAGTTGTGATCAACAGCTAGCAGATTCTAAGATGTTTCACCGTCCATCGTTAGTGAGGGATGAATAGGATACAATAACTTATGCGAAAGCACCTTGTCTGCATCATCTAGTAGTTTTAACATAAAGTAGCAACTAGTCAACACTATTGCCTTGAAGAGGTAGGGATATCAAACTCAGATCGCAAGGGATTACCCGATGAGTCAGGATCTGATTGCCGTGATGCCGTATTTCAGAGACCATACTAACTGAATAGGGATAGTTTGAGGGGAATCGACCAATGGAATCTGGACTATCCCGGACACTTGTCTCCACTCTTGTTAACTTCCTAGAACGGAAAGGCCTAGGTCATGAGATTTCTCATCAAGTTTGCTCCTCTTTGCTAACAACTACAAAGGTTTAAATTCTCGCTTCAGCTCTCTTATACATCGTTTATCAAACTTCAGACTCTGCTGATATTTTCTAAGACAGCAAGCTCCGAAGTTTCTCTTCAATATGCTTGTTCAACTTCTTCAATCGCTTCAGATATCTCTGAAGGATCCTTTCGTTGTTCGGAGCGCTATAGCACTCATAATTCTTCTTGGCATTACCTTGGCTATCATCATACAGTCTGGAAATGTCCAAACAACACGAAGAAGGTTGAGAAACCTACAAAGACTCGGCTTGACCACCAGCAACATGGAAGACCAGTACAATCCCAAATTCGGCATTCCACCGGCAGCTCCAGTTGATGGACAAGTACGAATCAAAGCGATATATCTGCATCCTATCAAGTCTTGCGGGCCCGTCGAGGTAGATCGGGCCGTGCTTACCAAGACGGGATTTATGTACGACAGATGTTTCGCTCTTGCAACGAGAGCTGTCAACAGCAACGACCCCGCGGCCTCGAAATGGCGATTTATCAGCCAGCGAACCAAGCCGCTCATGTCCCAGATTAAAATCGAGTTATGTGTTCCGCATAAGAACAGCGATTCGCATGACTCACTGGTACAATCAGGTGGATGTCTGGTTGTGACATTCGAAGACCCTGACTCACCGAGTTGGATCGATCGTGTTGAGACACTTTTCTATACATGGAATCTTTCAGCACGACCACACCTTTCATTTATTGTGCCTCTTAATGTTACGGCCGCCCAGGCAGAGGAGTCCCAGGTCAAGATGAAACCCTTCGGGATCCACAGTCGTGAAGCAAAAGGCCTCGACATGGGTGGAATCTCTTCTATCTCAACAGCTTTGCCCAAATTGAAGAAGTTCTTGGATATACCGCAAGACCAAAGCCTCACACTTTTCAAATGTACACCGGATACCATGACGCCTACGAACTTGAATCTCGCGCCACTTGAACACATTGGTTCACCAGCTGTGCACGGTTACACAGATCAACAACCCGTCAACATCAACAGTCTATCCTCTGTTCATGCCGTGTCCGCACTACTACCGACTGAAAATCAACCTATGAATGCCCTTCGTTTCCGTGCAAACATCTGGATCGAGAACGCTCCGGCATACGAGGAAGAGACATGGAAACGCTTCCGTATTTTGTCAAAGGGTAACGGTACGAAGCCGCGAGCGAGTCTTGAAGCAACATTGTCGGTTGTTTGTCGTACATCGCGATGTACAATGCCCAATGTGAACCCGGAGACCGGAAGATTCGATACGGAGAATCCTCTTCCTGGGAAGAAGAGGGGCAAAGCTCAGCCAAGCACAGCGTTAGTGCAATATCGCACGGTCGAGACGGGGAATAAAAGTGCTCTTGGGTATTTGGGCATGCATTGTGTTCCAGAGGATAAGAGCTTGAATGAAGCCGAAGGGCAGGAAGCAGGATTGTACGTTGAAGTTGGTGATGAGATTGAAGTACTCGAACGCGGGGCACATCTCTATGGGTCGACGGCGAACGACTATTAGGTTTTATTGTATTTTTAGTAGGTGGGCTTCTAAGTTGAGATTTTCAAAAGGCTTGGGAGTCAGGGAAAGCGAAGATATAGATAGCTTTGTGTACTATAGAGGACTCATGGTTGTTTTCTAAAAATCGATGCTCTTCCACTTGTCCCCAGCGGTCTGAAAAGCGGGGTGTGTCGAGAATCAAAATCTATCAAAACTCACCCGCATCATATCCACCCCCTGCAATCATCCAATATCCAATTGAGAAATCCCCATTCATCAATTCCCATCCTACCACACTCACAAAAATGGCAACCGGCGAACAAAACCTCTCTGTCCTCCTCGCAACAATGGAGCCCACCCTAGACTCCAAAACCTACGTCTTCATCACCACAACCCAAGCCCTGCACTCCCTTCCATTAGCCACTCTACAACCAACCCTGATCGCCCACGAAGCCGAGGGCACAACTATCGTGACGACTGAAGACCTTGCCGCATCACACGGTCTTGAGGGTGTCTTCCCTTGCAAGAAGATCTCGCTGACGGTGCATTCGAGCCTGGAGGCTGTGGGGTTGATTGCGGCTATCACGAATCGGCTTAAGGATCACCAGATTAGCACTAACGTGGTTAGTGGGTATTATCATGATCATATTTATGTACCTGCTGAGCGAGCGGAGGATGCAATGCGGGTTTTGGAGGAATTGATTGAGGAGGCGAAGAAATAGATCCCTTGCAGTTTGATGATATCTAGAAGTGTCAAATCAGATGAAAATGGAACCGTCATTAGTGCGCTTCCAGAATCCACGCTGCTCTGGACAGATCCAGTGGCAGTCTCCGAAAGTCTTGCGTGCCCTACTTAACTACTGATATCAAAAGTGGTTCCAAAAAATTGAATTTGATCAAAATTGACGGTTCTCTCTATTGAGACATGAACCTCCCCTACTCCATTCCTATGGTACACACATTCATCGATCATCGAGGAAGACATCAAACACAAATAGAAAGACAAGACATGACAGACACCGAGAGAAAAAAGCCCAACGACCCACAACGACAGGAGCAAAATAACTGCTGATCCTATTCTATCTTCCTCGACCAGAGACGCCAGAAAGATAACGACCACCGACCACGAATCCCGTGGGAAAAACTCCGCTGTGCTTTTAGCGTGCAAGGCTGGTCAAGCACAAATGGCGACCAGCAAATTTGATGGAACAACAACCGTCTCGCTGGCCCGGTCCTGCTATAGCTCTGGTGTATGAGACCATCGAGGCGAGAAGGGGCGGTTGAGCGGGCGGGGTATTAGTTGTACAAAACAAAGGCGCGGGGAAAGTGAATGAAGGAAAAGAAGTGGTAAAGAAAAAAAGAAGTTGATGAGAGTCAATATGAACTTCTTCAGTAGTCGTCCTCCTTCTCAATAACCATGAGAAGCTCGGTCAACTCCTTGCGCAGAGCACGGTTCCGATCCCAGACCTCCACAATCTTAGGCCGTTGGCTAACAAAGCAAGCCTTCTTCCATGATACATTGCCGTATTTCGTGGCAATCCGTTGAGGTAACCCTCGAGCAATGTTCCGCAAAACGAGTGCGGCCTTGTAGGCGGCTCCATAAGCCTCAAGCTTATCATTCACTGGCGTATCCATGTAGTACCACTTGCGTACAATTCTCTCCTGAAGAATCGGACGCTTGGTAGTAGGTGGCGGAGCGTCGGCCGGACGATCTTCGGGCAAATGAGAAGAAACGTGGCCGGCAACCATCGCAGTATTAGTGCTAGGTCCCGAAGCCCGGAACCGCGTGCAGCTATCCCACTGACAAGTGTGAATAGGAGTTTCAGCAGCTTCCATCTTGAATTGGCCGGGGGTTTCAGTGGCTTCAAGGTTCATGTGGTCTGCAAAAACGTGGTTACGGAGATCGGTAGGTGATGTAAAAGCGCGCTGACACAACTGAGAAGGCTTTGAGTTATCTGCCCATTTGCAGTACAGGTATGGGAAGCCTTGGAAAGTATAGGCAGCATCCAGGGGCCTGATTCCCTTGATGATGAATTTGGTAGCCGTGCCAGGACCGTTGATAACCTGCGCCTGTGCATTGGTGAAGGTGTTGCTAACATTCTTAATGAACTCCGCAGCTGGGAGAACACCTCCACCGGCGACTCGCGGGTCGGCAAAGCGGCTTTGGTAAGCCTGCCACAGTGCAATCTGCGTGATTTCGCACTCGGAATCTTCAACGAAACAGCACCGCAGCCATTGAGAGCTCCGCTCCGGTTCCGAAAGCTCCATCAATTTCTCCAGTAGCTCGGGCGGCACACGAGGAATATCAGCTGGTGGCGGAGCAACCTTTTCCTCTTGTAGAACAGTCTCTTTCTTTGCGGGACGTGCCTCGTAGGTAAGAAGAGCAACCATACGGGGCACGAAGACAATCGGGAAGTTGATAACATCCATCAAAGTCTCGATATTGTCGGGACTGAGGGTGTATTGGTACCAGAAGTCCAGCGCACCACTCAAGATATCTTTGTCGAGGTCAAGAAGTGTGTGGTAGTACAGTTGTTGCAGGGTTGGCTTTGACAAGCTCTCCATAGCTCGGTTTGCGTCGGCCTCATGCAACTCGGTAGAGAAGTGGGTTAATGCCCAAAGAGCTCTCACAATGTGCGCGCGATCGGGTGATTCAAGACAATTAACCAAAGAGATCCAGAGCGGATCCTCAGGGTCAGTTCTCATGAACTTGGTGACTTCCTCAGCAATGTCCAACGCGTCGTTCTTGATTTCATTCAGACGCGGTTGATTTGGTATGTTCATCATGATGACAAGGAAGTCTCTAAGAAGGCCACTGGCATAGCGAGAAACGTAAAAGGCATTCTCCTTAAGTAAAACCATGTTTCTCAAAACCAAAGTAGCCTCCTTGATATTCCGAAGGGTGTGGTTGAACTCTTTCGTTTCAAGGGTGTCCGTCGGAATGTTTCTGGGAATCTTCCGAATCTTCTCCAGGATATCTCGTGTACCATGCAGTGAGTTGAGTACATTGACGCGGTCGGACCGTTGTCGGGGGTCATAGTCAAACTCCCAGCGCACTCCAGTGCAGAGATGTGTGATTTCCAAGGCTTTCTGCATAAGCGACTCGGCAAGTAGAGGGAAGCCCTCGAATTTGAACTTATCCCACCGTTGATTCGAGATCTGGACCAGATGATATAATGCAAAATCGATTTCATCAGGGATGCCAGACTGAAGACCGTAGTGTGCACGCTTGTAAATGTGATCCGCTGCGGGTTGGATGCGAATTAGGTTTCCATCTTCATCTCCGGGGCACTCGGGGCGCAACTCACTGCGAGGGACTTCCAAAAATCTCAGGGGGAAGTAGGGGTCATAGAAATCGGGCTGCTTGGCGAATTTTGTGCGATCGTATAGACTCGCGAATAACGCAGGCCGGTTGCCTGGGGTAGGTACTTCGCGCGTCGACATCGGCAATTGTGTGTGGGCTTTTCCCTCCCAATTTTCGACCGCAAAAGACGCGCTCTGCGGATTGGCAGCCGGATTGAGGGCAGCATGAGGGGACATCGATGGCTGGGGTGAGGTGAAGCTTTGATGATGCGATCGCCGAGCGGGGGTCGTGTCTGGAATGAAAGGTTGGTTTACCTTCGGCGCCTGACGCAGGCCCTCTGTATGATGTTAGTATCCCTCCGCCACAAATATTGGAGATGAAGATCTTACGGCGCAGAGAAGTTCTCTGGGGTGTGGATGCCGACATATTGATGGCGTGTCGATATGGCAACTAGGAACGGAGGTTGATGGAGCTTCTGCGCTGCGCAAGCTCTCCCTTGCGAGCAGGACTGGCGCGGTCACTTTAGGACACAAGCTCGATCGCACAATTTGCGCTCAGCCACCAGAAGCAGGCTTCTTGAAAGGATTTTGAACGTAATTGGCGGCCTCGAAGTCGAGTCTGCGTGGGAAGGTATTCGCCTTGGAGATGGATGAAGGGTGACAGAGTCTCAATCGGTTTCCTTCCGGCTAGTCTCCAACAATCTCGTCAAGGAGGAGACAGCAATGCGTGATGCGACAGGTCAATACCCGCGAGGGGTGTGGTTTGCGATTGAGTGGAGTCGGCGGGCGCGCTCGAGGTCAAAAGGCGTGGGAGGATGCGCAACGAGGGCGAACACGAACACGAAGTGATGGCAGGGGCCAGCAAGGGTTCGTATGGTGTCGTAAATGGTAAATATACGACAAACCTAGGCGATCGGTGCCTTGGGGTGGGTAGCTTTCAATTCCTTATATGTAGCCCTTGAGGGCATAGAGAAGAGCTGAGCTTTGCGATCAACGGGACTGATCATCCAAAAGTCCGCGCTTTCTCCAGGCGCGTTGCCGGGGATACATTGTTCCGACACCGGGATACTTATGTAGCGCTAGGCCATTTCCAGTCATATTGGCGCCTCAGGCATGAATAGTTATATAGTTCAAGCCACAGGAATTTAATATGGAAGCGAGCAACGGACTTAGACACATATTTTCATTCGTGAAGATGGAAATGAGCCTTTTTCATGTTGTAGAAATGGTGTCTCAAATTGTTTCATTAGAATTCAGTTCTAATTTATATGCTTAACCGTACTTTCACAGGATGTAGAGGACATGGATCGTGAACCAATCTATAACGAAGCCAACGCAAGGAAGCATAGAGGGCATTATTGAGGTATGCAATTAGGACATGCAATTAAGGAATTCTATTTAGTCTATATGCGGCGCTGCCTTGGAGACAGTGATGAGAATGCCTAAGAGAAAGTGCTGAGGCCTTTGACACTGAAGTGCTGCATTTACATTTCCTTGTCATCTGATTCTCCTTCCACCCGACTTCTTTTTCGCCCCACACATGATTTCACCCCCTTCAGCATCTCCTTTCGTCTGAAATCCTGTATCTCTGCTTCACGATCTTACGATCTTATTTCCACGCAATGCAGCAGTCATCTCGAAGCCAACACCCTGTGGGGTCACTGCTGCTGCTCTCCCGGTTTTCCCACACAGTCACAACTGTCAACTCCCACGCTCAGCTGGTTTGGACTCACATCAATGGAGACGGAGATCTGTTCTGTGAAATGACAAAAGTTGTTGGAAGTGAACTGTCTCAGCCAAGTCTAATCCTCAAGGTCATCCATGATGGCAAAACTCTGGTATAGTTGTCACTGATACTCGACGCAATATATCCTCGAGTGAGCTGACGAAAAGTATAGGAACAACTTGACCTTGGAATGCATGTTGATGTTTTTGAAAAAGAACCCCGGTCAAGCCAGAATAATACGGATTCGAAGCCAAACTTTGCGGTTATGGTCAAACTGCCCTGCATCGCGATCAAGTATCTACAGGATAACACTCATGTTGGTTGATCATCAGATCCCGAGGATTCCTGATATACTAATCAAGAGTTCCATACAGCTTCGACGATTCCAGGTCAAGTTCACCCAAGACTGCGATTACTACACGGCTTTATCCATGATCAGCAGTATCGATTGTCCTATGGCAGATGGTACTTTGCCTTCCTCGCGCGGACCAACCACGGCCCAGATACTAAATAACCCTCCTCGAGGAATGGGCCCGATGATTACACCGGAGAGCAATGCGCCGGGACCATTCACTCATATGGCCCGAACCGCATCCGGTTTGGAGACATGTAAGTATTCCTCAGCGTCACTGGGGCGAACCTACTAACTCCTGAGCTGTAGTGGCCTCCAATGCCCCGTCTACCTCCTCAACCAAGATTTATCAACCCGTCTCCGGTGCATCTGGCGCCTTACAGGATTCAATCACGATGCAAAGCCAAAGCGCAAGCAATGAGACCACATTCCGACGCGGCCCTCTTGGCATCAATCCCCAGCCAGGCCCAGCAACGTCCCAACGAGTTCTCTCACGTCAGTCCACTGGACCAATTTACCACGACAAGGAACTCAATCAGATGTTGCCCCCAAAGAGGGACCTACCATTCCTAAAGCCCAAGTCGAAGATGTCTCGCGCCGACACATCAAGTCTGAAATCAAGCCAGCAAGTCATCCCCGAGTCCTCATATCCGGAACCCATCATGAAACGGAATGAATCGTCGATGTCCGAGTTGCAATCCCAGCAACTCATTCAGACACAGCCCTACCCAGAGACAATGGAGCCGTCTCAGATTTCCTCGCACATCCATGCTACGCTGCCCTATCCAGGAGCCAACACTCAGACACAGCAGTCAGTCACTGAGTCCTCGGTGGCTGGTCCTACACACGGGGGTTCAAGCCGCTGGACATGTTAATGCGACAAATGTTCAGTCGGCTGCGCCAATGGGAACCTCCGTGGAAGAGCAGCTGTCGCAGTATCTCAAGTCGCCAACTCCGGCGCGCAGTGCCTTCCTGAGTACCTGGATGTGCGAGTTGATCCAAGACGACGACTTCGTCACCCTTTGCGAAGATGTAGAGGGAACATGGCGGCGATTCGCTTTCGGAATGAAGCCATGATGGCGAGTGAGTGGCCAGTGAGACCTTGTGGTAGCGAATTGTGATACTAGTTACATCTGCTATTCAGAGGTCTGCGTATCTGATTAATGACTGAGTTTTGCTGTTTCTTGCGTGCCTACGTATACCCTACTTTGTAAGACTTTATTGACTCAGTATCTCATGTAGTGTGAAGAGAATTTCTTTGATCTTATCAAATAATTCTACTTGGAATAGTAGGTGAGTTACAAATAATAGACGAAGCGAACTGCTTATCACCGGAACCAGAGAAGAAAAACGGAGCAGAAGAGCAGCGCGCACACACAGGAGGTAATTGAAGAAAATCAACCGTCAAATTCCCATGGAAGAATAGTAAAGAAGAACACTAAGTAGAGATGCGGGATATAAAGAGGTGCGCAGAACACTCGAGTAGAAAAGATGTTTTGCTCAACGACCCAACTCAATAGACACCCTTGAGAAGGAACCTAAGACCAGAGGGGAGAAAAAGGAACAAACGGCGAAAGGAAAGCATCTCAACGAGTCCGGCGGTAGATAAGACCGGAGAACACGTTTAGATAACCTTCCTTGGTGAGCATAGTGAAATCCACCACAACGCGGCCACTACCACCACCGGCCTGTGCAAGCTGCGGCGCAAGGTTTGGCGATGTCTCGCCCTGGTCAGCAGACAGCCCCGGAGGCGGCGTCGACGCGTTCTGACCAACCGAGCCCTCGGCGCCCACGGCCAGATCGGCCAGATGTTGAAGTGAACGCTGCTCGTTCGGGCCCATGACGGGCGGCTGGGAACCGGCACCAACCTTGACTGCGCCCCCAGCCTCGTGAAGAAGCGACTCCTGAGACTTTGCGCGGCGCCACTCGAGGAAGACACGGATCTTGGCGTCCCAACCGGGCGTCCCAAAGATATTGCCAAACTCAGCAGCCTCCAAAGAGCGCTTGCTGCGGCGTTCGAGGATTTCTTCCACTTTCTCGAGCGAGCCCCAGCATTCATCACTGTGCTCGGGCAGAACGGTTGCCTCGAGAAGAGTCATTGAGGCGAGAGCCAGGCTGTGGAGATCGAATGGGGTGGAAAGGCGATTTTGGAGGGTTGCCTTGTGCAGCTCATTGATCACTTCCTGGGCGCAGTAAATAATTTCATAGGGGCTGTAGATAAAGACGTGGCGCTTGATCAGGAGGCGGACAGTCCAGTAGAGCTGAGCTTGAAGACTTTCGAAAAGCGGACGGGTGGTGCTTTCGGGCATCTCGTGCACGTTGAAGATATCCTCCATCTCCGCGAGGCGCTCGAGCGAAGCGACCATGTGGGCGCCGACCATGCGACCGAGGCCGGTAGTGGTTTGGCAGACATTGTGCTCCACAGTGGCCAGGGTGACCATCTCGGAGAGGAAAGTAGAATAGGCTAGAGGACTATGTTAGCAATATGCTCGTTTGAAACGTGGGAGAATTTCAACCTACAGGCGATTCCAGTGGTAATCAGACCGACAACCCGCTCATCCTCCCGGCCACCAATCTCCTGTTCTCCGATGACAGTCGCATCGGCCACACTGATAGCGTACCAGCGTGTCAAAATGATAAAGGCGACCCAGTTACGACGCGTCAGATTGGCATCTGAATCAACATCAGCATCGGACACCCGCTTGGTCTTCAGTTGGCCCTGGCTCTTAGCCAAATCGTATCCAAGCTTGCTAGCGGCTTGGACCAAAGTGTGCTTCGGGAGACCGTCCTTAACGACAAAGTTGTCCGGGCCACGCGTGTCACAGTCAATGATCATCATGATCAAAGTCTGGAACCAGATCAAGTTTGCCGCCGTCGAATGAACGATCAAAGGCTGGCGGGTGTGGTACAGAAGCAGATCCTGGGCGTTGTCGAAGGAGGTGACCTTTTCGAAATTGCCGGCGACGCGCGACAGGTCAGTGCGAGTAACGGTGTACAGCGCATAGCAGAAGATTTCCTGGGTCTCTCGGTTGCACTGATGAAGCAGCTCCAAGGTACGCTCCCTAGTGTGCGGAAGGATAGGCAAAAGAGGGTGGACCTTCTGGTAGTACGCATCCAAGGCGCCCTCGTCGAGGTGCACAGGTGCCATATCATCATCGCCTTCATGCTTGGGCAATTCAGTCATCTCCAGGACATTGGACAGACCGTTGGGGATATCCTGGTCATTTCCAGTAGGGTTCCAGAACAAGTTGCCAGGCTTGGGCGCGCCGCCGCTGGTGACAGTGGGGTTGTATGGGTCGGCAGTTGCTTCTGGAGCATCGAAGGCGTTTTGCGATCCGCGGCCATTGAATGAGGGCTGAGCGAAGGAAGAGCTGGGCAGCCCCTCGAAGACAGAGTACGTTCGCTTGCGACTGGCAGAGCCAGGGTCCACGGGTGAGGTGAAGTCCTGGTACCCTCGGGCGAGGGACACCTCGTTCATTGACTGGTAAGGAACATCGGACTGCACAATTCCCGGTTGCATCTGACTTTCGAGGGTGTGAAGGCGTTCGGCAAGCTCCTTGATATATCTGCACCATCTTCGTCAGTTTGAGTGTTGTTTTGCGGGGGCGCGTGTCCACCTACCCTTTGCTAGGACCACGCTTCATAGGCACGCGACTGAATTGACAGACAACCCCCAGTCGACGACAGTTTGAACACGTTTCGAGGCCGGTCTCCGAGCTTGCGTCACATCGTACCTGTTGTTTGAAAGATTCACAATGTTAGCTGCTGGAACCCGCACGCGTCTCGATCGAGGCGAGATTCGCGACGTACCTTCTTGCGCCTACATTCATCACAAGCTCTGGAAATCTTCGACCGTTTACGCGCACTCTGCTCGCCATAACTCAAATCATGATTCGGATCCACGCCCACTTGCTGGCTTGGGGGGAACTGAAGCATGTGTTGGTGCTGGTGTTGATCCTCGTTAGAAGGACGGCCCATGTCGCCAGCATTACCTGAGCCGAGAACCATTCCTTGACCATGATGAACACCATTATTTGATCCATCGCCCAGGCCAGGACCAGAGGCCTCACGCGACAGCTCTGCGGAGAGCAGCTCATCGGTGGTCATCTGGCGGTTGCTGTAATACGGCATAGCGCCCTGGGCCATCTGCGCCCCGTTGGGAGAAGGGTAGGATGGGGCCGGAGGCATATCAGACTGCTCGCGGGAGTTCATCGCGCGAGATCAAGTCTCGAAAGACACGAAGAATGATGGGTTGGGGGGAAAGCGAGCTTCCGGGAGATGGTGGAGAGGTGGGAAGGACGCGCAGGAGCAGCGGAGGCAAGGTTTTATTTTTTTTCTACAGGCTAATTTTTCGCGGTCAGGGAATTTGGCAGGGGCTAGCGCGGCCGCATTGAGCAACACCATTGTGTTGCGACATTGTGAATTTCATTCTGCGACACTCGATCCAACTGTTTTTACTTTGATATAGTTCATTGCTTCTCGGGATGATCACGGAGGACGGCCTTTTGTTTCTGCGTGTTCCAGCGGATTAATACTATTTCCCCATCCCCTTCTCCGACCGGATGGCGAGTTTGTCCGATCGTGAGCCTCCACTCAGGACCTGGCACAGATGATGGAGCTAAAGTCTTTGCTTGTCTCTGTTGTGCAGACATTGATTTCACGGTACATGTTTGATTGTGACCAGAAATGCTAGTCACTTCCTTTATTCAAGCATGCCCCCAGACATGACCATCCCCAGTAGGCCCAGTAGGGAGAAGCCTCATTGGGAGCGAAGAATGAACGGTGACTAATTATAGAACCCCAGCCCATTCACTTATTCTATGCGTATATAATTTGGCTTATAATCTTGGTAGAATACTCTGTCTAATTTTGATTTCGGTGATATCTTATATCCAGTCTCAAAGTGACACAGTGATTGCGTATTCGAGTCCCCTTTTAAGGAAAGCTCGTTGTCCCCCTGCCTAATTGGCGAACCGCCCTTACTCGGGTTCGAAATATGACTATTTCTGCAGAGACAAGAGACTTCAAAAAATAGATGGTCACCACCAACAAGTCTTTATATCGTGAAAATGGCAGGTCGCCGGTTCATTCAGGCCGTTCAGCCTGACGATCTCATCATGGTCTACGCTCCGAATCCCAATCCAAATAATGCTAATACGGCGACCATGTTCGTCGTTCTAGGTGCCCCAGACGACAATGATCCTCATCCCCTCACCTCCGCAGTAACAGTACGACAGGTTGACTGGGATGTCCCAGCGTGGCCTGGTAACTGGATCTTGGACGGTCCCCAAGTCCGCTACATCACGGAGACGCTGGAATGGTGGGGACGCGACGATTATGATTCACAAGAGCATCGCGATCCATGGGAGTTCAATCATGATCCAGATTCTGGACATCTACTCCAGGATATCCTCGATGCTCGTTCACCCGGGGTTGCGCCAGATGACAATCAGGAATGTACCCAAGTCTTGGTCAATCCTCACGGGCGGTAGGCATTCTTCAATTTCTATGACCATCATCAGATCTTTACATGCTAATTCCCAAATAGAGATGTCTTGAAATACTACTTTCAAGGCAGATGTCCCGTCTGCAAAAACGAAGACCTCTATTTGCCCTGGGTGTGGTGGATACTCATGGCTCTATCCTCAGATCTTCGGTGGTTACCAAGCATGTCCTATGTGCCTGGGTCATGACCATGCACTTCGAGATAAAGCATTCTTGCGTGCGTTAGATCAAGCCTCAGATCAACTTTGGCAACACGAGGCTGCACTTTCAGCAAAGACGAGATTGAGCCAAACCAAGGAAAAACCGGTCAATCCCCAGAGTGACCCCGAGAGAGATATCCTACCGTGATCGAAAGTGGGAGCTTTGAAGCGATCAATTATTGCGCTTACTAGAGAACGTGTCTCGTGTGGTAATGCGCGAAAGAGGGAGATGGGTTTCAAGGTAGAGAATGTGGAGCAGACTATTCGGGAGACGAAAGAGTCTTTCAAATTTTGGTTTCTTGAGGATGAGTATTGACTTTGAGGTGGACAATCTCTGGCTAGCTGAAGGGTGTGTTGATTTTCAGAGAATATCAGGTTTTTGCTTAAATTAATTTGGACCAGTTAGTTAGCTTCAAGACAAGAGTAGTTACCGAGGGCTCCTTCATCTTTATCCTCTGATCTCTTATTGGACTGGTATGTTTATGCATATAGTGGGAGGTATTGTCGATCTAGAAGGAGCTTCTCTTGCGGCGGCTCATTATTCCCCATCGTGATCATGGGTAGACAGATGGATATCCTTTGGAAGCATTGCTGACAGTTAAGTGAGGTTGCCTTCCCGCGCTAACTACATGTAACGGTATCCGTGGTCCTCGTCAGCAATCAATCTATCCCGTCTCCTATAGAAGACAATTCTAGACCTCGCCAAAAGCATTTCCAATTCATATATATTCCTAGCTAACCACATGTCGATCACCGTTAACTCGACGAATGTTTTCTCTCAATTGAATAATCACCCACCAAAGTGACTCCCTGGTTCGCCCGATGGCTCTAACGCCTTTTGTCAGGTTGATCCCCCGATCGTAATTTATGACCCGTACCCGGTGCCTAGACCACTCGCTAACTGGTCAGTTTAGTTCCAGCGGTTCCTTAATTTAGATTTCACCGAGACGTACGTACGGCCGCCGTGTTTCTCCTCGTGCGTGTATTTGTCTCGTAACCGGAACCGACACCCAGACGGGTAATGATTGGCCAGTTGAGGAGATTGTTGCGCAGATCAGGGCACGACGCTGGCCGGCGCTAGACCCCTCTGCAGCCCGCCCGAAGCAGGAACGGTGACGCCATCCGACGAGGTCGAACGGCGCTATGACATGCAGTACCGTACGCGACTGTAAGTTATCTTCGTCGATAGGTTAGTATTGCAGGCCCTCGTTTCTGCGCATCTGCTGCGCAGGAGAGAAGACTTTCCTGTGGAAGATGCTGACTGGCTTGTACGATTTCTGACAGCGCCAAGCAGAGAATTCGTTGCTTCGCACCAATTACTTGGCCATGAGAGGCGCAGATTACAGGGATTATGGAAACTTCGTGGATCGGATGATCTGGTACCTGGACAGATCCTGATGTCTAGTAATGGGCTGGTTCGATCTACGGATTTATTTCCCCTTGAAACGGCCTCGACCAGGGACCTATACAGATCCAGATTTGAGGCAGTCGAAACATATCCCAGCAATGGCTCTGCGCTTCTCAAGGGGCCAGGTGTTAAGGCTTGGGATGTGCGGCCCCAGATTTTACTAGCGAGATCCATTTTGCTGGTGGGGTTGTTCGTGCAAAGAGAAAAAGGCCGTGCTCGGTTACTCCGCCGGAGAGAGCGAGAGGAGAGCTGCCCCAACATTCAATGTATGGACGGGATCTTGAATTTTTTTTTGCGCTTTACATGTTTTCGGTGTTTGTTTCCTTTTCTTTTGTAGCAGTGGTCTGCCTCGTATAACCCAGTTTGTTGGGAGAAATCCGAGGGCTGACGAAGGTGGTGGTAACACCATGCTTGTTTTTCCTAGTCCCCATAGTTTGCATTTCCCTCGTGGGAAGCTGGTAGCAGGACTGTATTCGTGTTGCCACGCAAGGCGGTTCCCGTCGCTATGCGGTTGAATTTGGCTGGACCAAAGGATGCATTGATGCACTGCTTGGACTGACGTATTGATGTGCATACCGCACATACCATACCGGCCAAAGTCCCGAATCCTTGGGGATAATGAACTTGGAATCGGATGACTTATCTTCAAGCGGTTGCTGGACCAACTTGGAGGCATTCACTGACTGTGGGAATCAATACCAAAAAGAATCAAACCCTAACCAGAGCCGTACAAACAGTCCCCGTTGTGGAGCCTGGCCACGTCCTGGGAGTCGAGGTGGAGACCTTACTCCGTAGATTCGTTGGCACGGAGAAAGGGGGAGTCAAAGAGAAGAGTAGGTATGGTAAACCTGGCCTGCCACAGAAAGAATTGATTCAATTCCACTGCAGGATATTGGATGAGCAAGATTATAATTCGTAGGAGTCATTGTGGCTGCAAGATGATGAAAGAAGGGGAATGAGAAGACAAGAGGGAATCATCTCTACATGTGAGGTACCTGCCCCCATGAAGAACTTACATAATATATTACGGAGTACCATTAATACGGTCACTGTCCTGTCACAGTGTGCCTTGTGCCTCGCTCCGGCAGACTGCAACGACCACTTGCGCCGCGAAAATCCCACTCCCCGTCTTTAAACCCTTCGCCTCCTCTCTCTCCTCTTTTTCTTCCCTGCATAGGGTGTTCCTTCAGGCTCCTTCTATCGATCGCTTTCTATCTTGGCCGCCACTACCGGTACTTGGTGTCCTGTCTCACGGCCGGCGCCAAACGGTGCGTAGGCTTGGTCCCCCTCGAGTTCGCTCTTCTCCAATCCTCCTCCTCTCTCATCTTTGATACACGGATTCACGACTCTCCTCCGGTTTCGCCCTTCCCTCTTCCACCCCAGACGCCAGTGCGATATTCTCCCTCAACCTCCCTCGGCCCCCCCCCCCAATATCAAAATACCATTACTACTGTATACGGGAACGGCGTTCTGTGAACTTCCGCGCATTGGGATCACCCTTTCGCCCAAAGATACCCTTTTGTCCATTCTTGTTCAATTCGGCCCCTCTTGACGAAGCGGCTGAACTATACCCCCCAAATCCCGCCTTGACGGCTCCTCTCCGATCCTCATTGCGATCGGTATTTCCAACTTCAATTTACCATTCAACCCCCATTTTTTATAACCATTTCGCGATTCATCGCATGTGTACCTTTCAATAACCACAGCGATGCTTATCGATGGTGAGAAGTGGGCCTGTGAAGCTTGCGTCCGGGGTCACCGGGTCAGCAGCTGTCACCACAGCGGTATGTCGATCATGCTCTCGACTTTGCGCGGTGTCCTCGTCTCTTTTACATGCGACTAATCTGGCCTTTTCCCCTTTTCTCCCCGATAGACCGCCCTTTGACCCACATCAACAAAAAAGGCCGCCCAGTCTCTCAATGTTCCCACTGCCGCGGCCTACGCAAGTCTCGCACTACCCACGTCAAGTGCGAGTGCGGCGACAAGAAAAAGAAAACCGACTCCGATTCTCATGGTGACAAGCGAGATCTCAAGCGTGAGCATATGATGCTGTTTATGGCGATGCCGTTATCGGTTCCCCCATTCTGATCTGAATTTACAGAGGACTCCCTTCACCGCTGTGGCTGTAGCCATGGCCAGCGCTGCATCTGTGCGTTGAAAAAGGAACCGCATCTAGATACCGTGCCGGAGGCAGGCTTGCCCCTGTCTCAGCCACCGATTCCTGCTGAACACCCGCGGAAACCTCATCTCACGTCAACCAAGTCCGAGTCGACGCTGACGATCTTCCGTGATGGTCACCATAAACCCGCCCACAAGCATAATGACATGGCCCACAAGTGTGGATTGCCCTACACAATCCCACGATCACATACCATCCACCACCCCTCCGACTTGCCTCGTCGGTCTGTGGACCACCTCCCGTTGACCCAGTCGGCATTCGTCCAAGAACCTCTCAGCCTCTCCATGGAACCCCTGTCTCAATCACAACAAACGTCTCAACATGGTTCGCCCAATAGCATTCCCTCTGCCGGCACGGACGACGTCGCGACTACGACTGCTCTTGAACAAGCCTTTTTGGACAGCTTTGCTACTCCTGCTCTCCCGTCGACTGCCACAATGGACGCGTCCATAGACGGTACCTCCAACAACCCGACCTCTGGCCCTGCCGCTATGGACAAGTTTCCCCTGGAGCAAATCATCACCAGTGTCCCTCCGCCTCTCGATGTTACGACCTTTTCCACCTTTGCGACTACATCCAATAACTCCCCGATTACCTGCATGGCCTTCCAAGATCCCTATCATGACCCGTACTTTACCTCTCCCGACTCGGATGTGCCTCTTGGTCCGACCGGTACGGGCGCACCATCTGTCGACTGGTCCAGTTTCCCGTTGTATTCGGATGTCCCCGCTTCTACCAGCACGCAAACGCCGTCCTATGCTAGCTTCGACTACACGTATCCTTCGGGCCTACCTCCTCCCTCTTCGTCAGGTGACATCTCCGAGGTTGACGAGTTTGGACCGCTGCCGGGTCTGGGACATGCGGGTAACGATATGCACGATCTGCACAGCGTGAGCGAAGCCTCGGACATGGACCACCTCCGCGTCAGCTCTGCGTCCTCATTGGTCGGTCTGCCCCAAACGCAGCTCCTGTCTTCCAATGACCTGGGATCGATCAACATCGATGATTTCCTCAAGTCCGCCAATGAGTCCACTGCTGCGCTCGAGCATCAACTGCAGGCCAGCATGGGTATCGATCCAAAGCCCACCCCCGCGCCAGAGCTCTACTCCCTTTCGCAGGCTCCGGACTCGGTACCCATCTGGCCGGCGGGTCTTTTCGATACGACAGGTTCTACCTCGCCTCTGGAGGAAGAATACTTCCGCCAGACGTGGGCGCAATAGCACATGGTTGATACACTCGTTTGGCAAATCCTCTTGTTCTAATTTCTTCTCTTCCTCCCTGGGGTTCTTCCGCGGAATCTGTGGGACAACATTGTCTGTCTCGTGGGTTCTACGGTCAGTTCTTACCACCACCTCCACACCGTCTTCATGACCTTGATGAGAGATGATGATAAATGCCTATCTTTTTTTCTATATATTGTCACTTGTTTTACTAGCCAGTCTAGATCTTCTCATGATAGCATTTCAATCTAGAGGGAATCTGCGATTTGGAGATATGCGTCTTTGGTATATGTACATGGCTTGTCCATTTGTTGGACTTGCAGTTGAATTTCGAATGTATAGAAAACGTTACTTGTTTACTATGTATATACTCGAGTATCTAGGGCCAGGATTGCAATATCTTACGCCTCCATCGCAATTTCAACCAGTTACTCCCATTGACACGAGAATACGTGCATACAAGTCCTCGAGTTATGTATCCCTACCTTGAGAACCTGGTGGTATGTACATCAGCCAGCCACCATCAAAATACTCACCGGAATCACCCCATCTGCACACCGCGTACGTTTCTTTCCATACAGTATAGAATATGTTACCTAACCAACCACTCATATCCCTGCACCTACCCCGTATGTACATTGAATTTGCTTTTCCCTCTACGCCCGATTACTACCGACCTATAGAGTGACCATCCACATAAATCATATACATCAGCATGCATGTACGTATATGTATATGATACAGCCGATCTACCCCATACTCAACATACTCGCACCTCCGGCAGAACATCCGAGCCAGAACAGAGCTCCCCCGGCTAACCTTGCACACCAAGCTTGTCATGGGGTATCACGACAGATCTAGCGGTGAGGAAGGAAACACGCCGAACGGGATCGGATCAACACCCGGAACACTAGCTTTAGATTTACACTACTGCGCTCAAGTGTGCGGATAGAGATGCGTAGGGTAAAGCAGGTTTTTCATGCGGGCTGTGTGAAGAAAGTTTAGGATCGATCTCGGGCGGGAATGGGGCATATACGAGGTCCAGGTAGTTTCTACATGGATGTTACTGGGTTGGGGCTGCTGGGGTGCCCTGATAGATCGAGGTTCGGTCATCAATGTATATTTTTGGTTCGGAGGTTTGATTAAAATTTTTTTAATAAAAAGTAATGTTACTCGTGCTCCTAGAAATGCCCGAGGTCGGCGTTGTATTCTCACGATTCCATGAGAACCGGATATATATCCCCACGTGCCCTTTCTAGTATAAGTAGCGGTGAGCATCATCCACACAATTTTACTAAAGTATGACTGGGCTGGAAGTAAGATTACTACAGACAACTTTATGCGTATCGTTAGGTAGATTCTATTGAGAATTCTCGACATAGGATCATGTTCGCCTGACTACGAGCCATCATCTTCTACTCCATAGTCAAGGTCTAATCAACCACCAAGACTTCTGACTGCGTCTCTAACTCACCAGGGCAGGCGTAAGACAATAAGCTCCTTCATTAATTCCACACACTATCCAGTAATTATACTCCAAGTCTTTCGCCCCGCTAGTAGCTAGCTAACTACTGCCGGTAGTTGACTAGTAACTACCGTACCGTTCGTTGTCCATCACACATACCGGCAGCACATACCGGGGGATAACTGACAGTAACCTACCATGATGTGCGCTGCGCTGCACCTACCTTACCCTGCAGCTCACTGGCATCTCACGAGTCAAGCATTATCTGCATAGTCTTGGCTAATGCTTAGCCCATGCACGGGTCCGTGTATGCTGTATGGACAGGGATTGCCCTTGTTCTTGGGGTTGGAATATGCGGTCAGGATCTGCGAAGGATAAAGCAGGTTTTTCATGTGGGCTGTGTGCGGTGAAGAAAGTTTATGGATAGATCTCGGGCGGCATCCACTTGAGTTGGATGTACAACACGAAGTTCCAAGACTCTGTAGGTACTATGGAGTACATATTACTGGCTTGGAGCTGTACGGTCCTTCTGTAGGTAGCGTGCCCGGTAGATCGAGGTTCGGTAAGCTTGATGAGATGGTCTTTGCGATAATGGGACGGAGTTATTAATGTATATTTTTGATTCGTGGGTTTGATTGAAATCCCATGTATAGGGATCTATCTTCATTTTTTTAAAGTAGAGTCATTCGTTACTCAGTGATGTTCCTTGGAAGACAAGTATGAGAGCAATTAAACTATTTATAATAAAAGACAAAAATCTCAGAACGCAACTTGCCACAGGATCATTTCCTCACAACATGCAACGTAGTTTTTGGCGCGATATATGGATATGACTTAGCCAACAAAGCCTCATTCCAGAGATCCTCTGCCCCGGTTACTCCAGGTTGGTGGGTGTAAAAGAACTCGGTAAGGATCACCCTAGCTTCAATCCAATCCTGTACCTGCAGATACTCCTTGGTTTCGATAAGGTGGGCAACAAACCAAGGATGCAATGAGCCCCCCCTGGATGCCATGCCGCCCATAAAAAGCATCCAGAACATGAGATCTGGAGCAATACTCTGTAAATACAGAAGTTCTGCTTCTAGGTATTCCTGGAGAGACGCGACCAATGAGTCCAGGATAGGCAGGCCTTGTAGATGCCAAACGCGGAGATTGAGATATAGAAGGAGGCAAAGACGAAGAGGCTCGTTGAGACTGTGTGCTTTGTCGGCCGAGAAAGATAATGAGAGAAGTTGATGTTCTGTGACAACTAGTAGGTCATTATCTGTTAACAACCCATGTTCAGGGTGTAGCGATGCGTTCTCGAAATAAAGAATAAGACGGCGAAAGATCGTAACAGAAGCTTGCATGCTTCTGTCTAGTAAGGTAAACCACAAGCCTTTTGCGAAGCGAACACCAAGGTCTTCTAATCCGGGTGGTATAGCAAGGTCGCAATCAGGTTGGAAAACATCGGACTCGTGGCAGATCTCGCTTCGGAAGCGTGCGGACATGGGGAATAATGGCTGTGTGTTCCTTAGGATTGCACCTTTAACATCGCATCTAAGAATAATTAGCTGATTTGATTTTCAGGTGGATTCAGGAGGAAGCATACTGGTAGAGTTTCGAAAGTGTCATATGTGGTAAAGCTTCAATTCCTCCAAAGAGGTGAACAAGCCTCTTCAATCCCCTTTGATGTGCCACAACTGCCTCGATATTTCCCATACTAGACTGCATTGGAATTAGTGATAGGGGAAGGCTGAGTCTCAATAGGAGATGCATACCTCGATTGTCACAAAGCTTGCGATAGCATAGATTGTTGTCTCTGCGATAGCATTGGTCGGGTCTCCCATAATATCATTCAGGTATTTAAGAACACTTCCCCGAAACTGAAATGAACTGGAAATGGACATTTGGACAGACTGTGATGTCCCATGTGCTTTTGACTCTAGCATTGCAACATGCCTGGCACTAAAGAAGCAGAAAATATTGACAAGTGCTGGTATCGAAATGAGATCTCGCCATAGGTATGTACCCATTAGCGTCACATTGAGTGGATATGCCGCTCCGACGCCGTGGATTCGAACTAGTGTATATTAGCAGTTTGGAGGCATATAGGGAGGTGGGCCAATAAATTCAAGATTCGACATACAGTGATTCAAGTACATGTGCATAGAATCTGTCATGGGAATAGCGTAGCTATTGAATGGATCTTTAAACCCTTCCCCTAGGCAAGTTGTCAATGTCCCGGTGTTTTTTCTCAGAACTGCCTCAGAGTTGTCGGGCCTCTGGTCTTCATCTATAAACTCTTTGTTCCGTCGAGAAATTTGGGCGCCGGGTGGGTTTAATAGAGCAAGGGTTGTTGACTGAGAAGCTGATTTCGTAGATTTTAGTCGCTGGATAGCAGCTTGCTTTCTCTCTCGGTGATAACGTTTGGCAAGAAATGCCTGTTTTTGCCTGGCTTGGCTGTATTGGGTCGAGGTCTTGCCAGTATTCATGGGGTCGACGAAGAAAAACCCTGTAGTTGTTGAGTCTGAGTCAGGCGCCTTCTCCGGGGAAGACGCTGGCGACGAGGCCTTGGAGTCGCCAGACCAGCCATCTTGCGATAAACTTGATTGACTGCTCGTTGGACTGGATATATCCGACATTGCAAGGGCGTGAAGATCGTGACAATCCTTAGGATAATGAAGAGCAGCAGGACGGGATTGTATGATGGTCACCGGAAGCCTAGCGAAATTCCACTAAGCACTAAGCACAGTAATACTATAGGCATGGTTTGTCATGTAGTAGTAAGAGGTGCTAGGGGAGCATCCGCCAGTCAGAGAGTCGCTTGGTATTTGGAACCGAGTAAGTCCAGTACAAATCGCACTACTGCAGGGATTGACCGCCATGCACCACACTGCGGTCGGCGTCATTGGAGTGTACAGAAAGTGCGGAAATTGTGAGGTTTGAGACAATGAAAGTGCACGTACTGACCAGTTTTGCAATTAAATTGCTCCAGTTGCGATGCAGAATAAGACTCCCGCTTAATTATTGATGACAACTACCTAGTGTGCAGTCGCGCTCTGTCAGCCCCCAAAAATCCCATCTGGGTCCATCCTGGAAGCTCAAAGGATTTGGACCGATAACTGCCCTAGCCAGCGAAAACTTCCGACAGGCGTTCTAAAGGTAAAAAGAAGCGCCTGGAAACTCAGTTTCTCGGAAGACTAGGTCCCGCTCCTGTCAGCGATATGAAACCATCCCCACCTCCCCGGCCAGTCGCATTCTCATTCCTTGTGGACAAGACTCCAATTCGACCAATTGCGTAACGACATTTGTGTTGAAGCGGAGCTCCCTCGTCACGAGTCGAAAGGTGAAAGTTGAATCGCAAAACGAAAGCTTTTAGCCTAAGGGTCCACCCTACGGTGTAATGTGCAGCTCGAACAGTCGAATTGTGACATCTTTTGAAGCTTTCAGAGACACGAGTGTAGAATGTTAGAGGCGCTCCGTGTTAATTGTGAACCTCTTCGAGATGGGTTTCGTCGCTCGAACCAGTCAAAAGAATCGGAGCCTGGTGAAACCCGAGACAAAAGCGGCATATGGGTTTGGCCAAATTGTAGTCCCGATTGTTTGGTTGGACCATCGTATCGCCGGTCGAGTTAGTCGAGCCGCATCGGAGGTGATCCGAGTCAGCGCGAAAGGGGAAGGTCTTGTTTGTCTTGAAGCCGGAAAAATTCGCTAGTCAAACTTAACTCTCCGACTTGCGACTTTGCGGCTTGTTGTAAAGTGTTGAGCATAGTTCACTTGTGAGTTCTTGATTGACAGGAGAGGCCTGGTAGGTGGTATCAATTTGAGAACCTTGCTTCCTGTAAGTTTGAGTGAGAATAGTATTGTTTTATGTATTTGACTCACATGGAGAGAATGTCAAACTTATAAAATGGTCTCATAGTCTTAGGCGTAGAGGGTTTGCAGTACATTAGCAATCTTAAGAACGAACAAGATGGGAGGGGACGATACCTATAAGATAGCTCTATTACAGCTATGTGAAGTTTCGCTGGTGGCCAATCACGGCAGGCTATATGGTAGCTAGATCTGGCTTAGATCGAAATTTCCTCCTGAGTCCTAACCAATGATGGGAGGCAATGAGGTATCCAAATTTGGTTTAGATCGAATTTTACGCCTGGCCAATTGTGGCAGGCTATGAGGAACCTGGATTTGGTTTAGACCGAACATTTGGAAATGACTTACTTCTCTCTCATAGGTTATGCCACCAACTTTGAGAGTTCTCCGGCTCCACCGCACGCTACGAGCGGTCGATGCGCTTCTTATGGGCACTATTCCCTCCACAGAAGCAGTGCTCGATATAGGTGAAGCGATCCACAATGAGCGTAGCGCAAATCTAATGGTAGGACGTGCTGAGATCTCACAGTAATGGTAGCAGGGGCCAGGAGTAGATGAAAATAACTGGCCTATACTGTCGCGCTGTTCCCAGCATTGGCTCTAAAAGGAACTGAATTGAAGTCTTGCGCCTCTCTGAATTTTATTAACTCGGGCTAAGCTATACCTATAATCTCGTCCCAAAATCTTCAGTGGCGCACAGCAAAGCTGCTGCAGGCTACAACCATACTGTCTTTAAGGATAATGAGTCCAGGAGTAGAGGGGGACATATGCACTAGTGAGTCTATTCTTCGTTGAGCTTCTAGCTTCTGACTAGCGGGTTACAATGCTGGGCTGTAAATGTGACTTAGCGACTAGTCCTGATGAGGATGACTCCAAACTTCATCTTATTGGCTGACATTAGATTTCTGGTAGATTTTAAGGGCCGCAGGGATGCCAGAGTAACATTGCTACCCTTATCTGACTGCTGCGCCGGCACATCAGAAGTACACTAACAGATACTGCCCGTTACCAACCCGGCATGGTCTCCACATCAAATCAATCTAAGCCACATCAGGAAACCTCACCTTATCCTTTATTTGGTCCAGACAGCGGAGTGCCGTAAAAGATTTCCATCAATCGACCGTGACTGGATACTGAAACTCAAAGAGCCCTAAGATCTCCCTTAGCACCCAGAGCTTATGCAGTAGACAAAGGATGCGCTATTCCTGTTGCGGTGCTCTCCTTAGTAGCCCTGATTGGCTGAAAAGTAAATAATGTTTAGTTTAATTATCCCTGCAATTAACGGGCAAGATCAATAAACATGTTCAACCTATCTATATAAAGTAAATGCTCCCTTGGTCATTAGATTGATTCCATCGCAAGAACTCAAATCGAACTATTCAGAATACAGCTACGCAGCGGCGCACACGGATACACATACACACAATGGAGGACTATTGGAACTCTCAAAACCCCAGCATTTTCAGCATGCAATACCAGAGCGGAGAGATGCCAACACAGGAGCCTAGAATGGTGAGTTCGGCTTCTTCGAATCTTATAGCGGAAACGCGTTGCTTACTTGCGAAGAACTATATGGCAGAATACCAGGGATTCGAGTTTCCTCCCACCTCGGTGCCCCCAGCTGAAGCGGACCGTAACCTCAATCCACCCGAGAGTTATCAAACGCTCGACCTCGACTCTACACTCTCCTTCAATGGTACTATTTCGCCTTCGCTATCCGCTTCGGATTCTCTATCCGCCTTAGATTCGCTATCCGCCTCAGATTCGCTATCTACCTCGGATTCAGGATCTACCTCAGATTCACAAGATAGCCAGGGCTCAGTCACATATACAGGAGACGCGGAAAGCCAGAAACTACAGACTGTAAGCTCCATATTACCTCACATAATCTCAAGTTAAGGAGCCAAAACTAATTACGAATTACAGGTTCGGCGACGCATGCAAAACCGCGAAGCCCAGCGCCGATTCCGCGGACGCAAAGAAGAGCGCTACCAAATACTCCAGCAACGGACTACCGAACTCGAAGAAAAGTGCCAAGAGCTTTCGAATGGGTTCAACCAGAAGTCCGAAGAACTATCTAAGATCTCCAAGGAAAACGAGACTCTTATCAGCGAGATCCAAGATCTACGCAAGCGGTGGCGTCTTATATTAATGCTACTGAGACGGCCGAATAGGCTACAGTCGTTGTCCGGCTTACTGGGTAGTGATTTATCATCACCGTCTGCGGTGATGGCCGAGCCGTTGGATCTGCCGCTGGAAGACTTGTTCGGTTGTCTACAGGAGTTACTATTGCCAAACGAGACACATACTGCCGCTTAGTCGCTTGATTTCTTCTTTTTCTTTTTTTTGTTCAGGGACGGATTGGCGAGAGTTCTATATTTTCTTGGGGGAGTTTTTTGGCTTCTTTTTCTGAAAAGCCTTAGCAATTTCGTGGGTATTAATATTTTTGCTCTATGTTTTACGAGCGCACAAGAAACATGCGACAGTGGCTACTGAAATCTATCCCAAATAATAGCTACGACTCTTTTCAAGTTAGTGATTAAAATACCCTGCCAATTGACTATATGATCCATGAGTATGAATATGAAAATTATCAAGCAAAGAAAATGGCATTACATGACATTTAGTCTAGATGGGATCTTAAGTGTTCCCAGGGCGGGACGCCCTACAAATACAAGTCTACTTAGATACAAAATCTAGCTAGACTCAGGAAAAAAGTACATAAAAATAATTCAATGTGTATATTCTATATTGATGGTATCAAAAAAGCCCAGACAACCCCAGCGTCCGGCAAGTCTCGGATGAAAGTCCGCTAACGAACCCACCAACGACAAATCTCATATAACGACATGATACAAAGGCCTCAACCCGGAAGCCCCAAGTTCAAAGCTCAAAGCGCAATGCTCGCCATGAAGAAAAAGGAAAAAAAAAACACCACGCAGTCGTCGAGCATAACTCGTTATCTTGTTCTTCTCTTGCTCTGTACACGTTCAAATTCACCGGTACTGATTGAGGAACTCGGAGTGGAACTTGACGATGCGCTCGACCCAGTCGGTACCGGGGGCGAGGAAAGTTGTGCGGAAGTGGAATGTGCCCTCCTTCTGGCCGAATCCAGAGCCAGGGACGGCGCAGACACCGGTGGCGTCGAGCATCTTCAGGCAGTAGAACTCATCGGCAGCGCGGCCCTCAGCCTGAGCGGCTTCAATGGCCTTGGCGGGGAGGTTGATGGTGGGGAAGAGGTACATGGCACCCTAGTCATTCTTCGTTAGTTGATAATTCAACTTGGGAGATTGAAGCATTGATAACATACCTGAGGCTTCTGGCACTCAACACCCTCCATACGCTGGAAAGCATCGTACAGCGCGAGAGCACGCTTGTGCAGACCATCCCGGATACCATTGTACTCCTTCTGATAGAGCTCAAAGCTAGGGTCACCAGCACGGGGAGGGTTGACCATCGTCTCGAGCAGGCACTGTGCGACGACCGGCGGGCACAGGCCAATGCTAACGAGCTTGTAAATCTGCTCCTGAACCAGCGGGTCGAAACCGACCAGCTCGAAGAAACCACCACGGTGACCACACTCGCCGACCATACCCTTCGAGGTACTGTGGAAGGAGACCAGCTCCACGGCGTCGTACTTGCCGGGCTGCTCCTTCTGGAGCTGACGCAGACGCTTCTTGAAGGAGACGAACTCGCCCTCGAAGACATTGGTCTGGTACACTTCGTCGGCCATGATGACCAGCTTCTCATCAGCAGCGACATCGATGACCTTCTTAATGTCATCGGGGGTCAGGGAGGCACCGGTCGGGTTACCGGGGTTAATCACGACAACAGCGCGGACGTTGGTGCCAGCGGCCTTGGCCTCCTTGATGGACTGGGTGATGGCATCGACGTTGGTACCCCACGCCTTCTGCTCCTCCAACAGGTAGGGCACGCACCGCGCGTTCAGAAGGGCCAGGGTAGCGGTATACAATGGGTACTGAGGGATAGGGACCAGCACACCGGCGTTGGAGTCGTTGCAGATCACATTGAGCAAGGTGCTGACACCCGACGAAGCACCGGCAGTCAAGAACAGGTCCTGGGCGTTGGCGGGGAAGCCATCACGCTCCTCAATGAACTTGGCAACGCTCTTCCGAATGCCGGGAGCACCTTGGCTGTGACTGTAAGCACCAACGCTCTGCACATTGGCCAACAGGGTTTGGGCACGGTCGATCACATCCTGCTTGTATCCGAACGAGTTCTTCAAGGCCTCGGTGTTCTCGAGAAGCAGCGGGTTCTCGACGAGACTGAGCACTTGACGGAAGAATGTAATGGGCTTCTGGTCGAGTTGTTGGGGGTTGCCAATGTTGGCGAAGATAACGCTATCGAAGGGCAAGGACTTGTCACCATCGGCCAGACGCTGACGGTATTCTTCAGCCTTGACGGCCAGTTCACCACGCACGGCGTACTTGGCTGCTTTAATGTGGGGGTTGATGTTGTCAATGTTGAGGCATCTGGGCTGGGTGGTGGTCAGGGTGCGCTTGGCATAAGCGACGGTGGTTTGAGTCATGGCGGTCACTGATGGGGACCCGCGGGGTCAGAGTTAGTTATATAGGATAATGATATGGAATAGTAGGTTGATGTAGAGTGAGTGAAGTGTAAAGAGGAGTATAGTATGAAGAAGTAGAGGTTGAGGTCGAGGTATGGCAAGTCAAGGGTTTTTGATGTCGAGGAAGGTACGAGCCCGGTGAAGCAATTCACGGAAAGAAGCAATGTGATGTAGTCATACGACAGCAGCGGAAACCGCGCTTCAAGAGGGGTCGGAGGGGGGACAAATCAAGAGCCCATCTATATATAAAACGCAAATCATCCCACGTACCTGATCCAGCGGAGAAGCCCCCCGCAGCGCCGCGCGCGGTCGGGCGAAGTAGGAGGCGGCCATTCGGCCGGGTCACGAACGCCTTCGGAGAGGCCCGCACACTGGAGGCGAGCTTATATTGCCAGGACATCGTGGAGTCAGACGATCAGACCTCGAATTGATCGAATCAAGGTCCTTGTTTGGCTCGTGGAATGTATTTTCAGGGCTCGGAGATGGGTGTTTTGCTTTTGGAGAGAAGGAAAAAGTCCGTTTCAGGGCCCATTGGGCGGTGAAGTTTGTGAGTCAGCATTTGGCTTTTTTGCTTTTCCCCACATTTTTATTGAATGTGGAGGCGTGTATCGGGCGAGAAGCCGATTATCTACAATCTTGAGGATTCTAGCGGGGGATGATAGGGCAAATTACTGGACAATGAGAATGATAAGGGAGGGGACTGAAGAATGACAAGATAGTATGTGAGATTGTACTACGAACAAGACTAACTCACTATGGAGACTCCGTCGCTTGGACGATCTTCTCCTCGGGAAGCCTCCCGTTGCCCGATGAAATGGAGTCCGGCCTCGCCCCCATCGGGCCCTCCGGAGCCGCCCGATATGCGGGGGAGCTGGAAGACTACGCTTGACATCATGGTAAATGTAGATATAAGGAGCATAGAAGGTATATAATCTTCATTGAAGATAGCATCCCAGCATATAGTCCTATGACATAGCATGTGGTGGCTGGTCATATCACCATTCTACAATACCATACAACGGTCTGTACGAAATACACGGGTGGATCACCGGTTGGTCATGTTGGATCATGTTAGATAATATTTCTGCGTTCAGACATGGATGGTGGTATCACCGAGTCATCTCTAAATAAAACAAGGACACTGCTCCAATTAAAATACCTCACACCCAATCTAACTGCGCTCACTGCCTCGCAGACGGACCGCCTGTCCATACTTCTGCAGCTTCGTGATCAGGGCATCGCCGTGCTTAACCACATCCGAGTACTGCTTGTTCTTATCATCGGGCCGGTTGGTCTCGATAATCCCGTTGACCCGGTCGATCGTGCAGGCAATCCGGTTGCTGGAGATGAATTTCGCCAAGTCCCTGAAAATCGCGCATAGTTAGGTAATGAGACACAACATGGCAGCCCGAGGATAACCGCCGCCAAGGGGGAAAGTAAACATACCGGTCCAAATAATCCACCGTCACTCCAAAGTCATTCGCCATGCTGGTCAGGCCCACTACTCGGTAACTCTGAAGCAGCTGCTGGTAGGCGCGTAGGCGCATCTCCCGGACGAACCAGGCCCGGTGCTCATGCAGGTACCGGTCCTGGGTCAGGAAGTGGTCCTCCACAGCCGCAAGGGCCACGAAGAACGAGCGGTAGTTACCATTATACAGGCTGTTGACCAAGTTGGCCAGAGAAGAAAAGTCCACGGGGGCTTCGTTCTCTGCCTGCTCACTCGAGCCGGTAACTAGAGTGGTCAGGTTAACGACGGTGGTGGCTCCGGCCGACGGGGTCGACTTGGATACCGCTGCATCCTTCATCTCCTCATCACGAGCACCGGACCCAGATGAAACCTCGCCAGACAGCGCGGCCAGCTGATCCTCTCCAGCACCCAGGATGGCCTTGATCTCGGGCGCATCCACCACCTTCGCCTTAAAGTCCACCCGCTTGAGGGATAAAGATCCCGCTAGCACGGAGTAGATGACCAACGAGGAGTAGCTACAGAGCTCATAGCTGGTAAATGTGGACAGACTGTCGAGGAGGAGGGGGGCGGCGAGGCTGTATGAACGGCAGGTGAGAAGGTGCATGCCCTTGTAGGCCTTGAGGCGATTCCTCCGATCCCAATCTCCACCGCTCTCCACCAGAGCCTCTGCACGCTCGATAGTCTTCTTGACGAACACGCGGTCACCGAAGAACAGACCAATGCGGATCATGGCGAGCACAAGGTCAATCTTGGTGCCGAGGAAACCGATCTTTTCGAGGAGGGCTTCGTGTGACTCGATAGCTTTGTCCTATAACCAATCATCCGTTAGACACAATATTCCAGATACTTTGTCTTCCCAAATTTCAGCTTCCTACCTTATCTCCAACGCGAGCCCAGAACTCGGCCCGTTTCCCCCGTGCAGCCTGCACTTCGGTCTCACCAGCGGCTTCCTCTGCCTCCTCTTCCTCCTTCTGGATACCCTCCAGCTCCTTCTTGTTATCCTCAACTAAGGACTGATAGAGCTGCTCATCCCAGGGGAAATCAATCTTGGATGACGTTCGTGTGGCGAGCATGTTTGAGGTGATGAGCGGCTTCGAAGTCCCTGCAATGTGAGGGTGCGGGTGTTGCGTCACGCCCTCGCCGGAGTTGTTCAGAATGCCTTCGACGGGATGGGCCAGGTGGCGGTAAAAGGGGGCCATTTTACGCTCGTTGATCGCATCTTGCAGCTTCTTCAATGAGGCCTGACGGGTGGATGGGTTGCATGCAGGGTTGGAGAGGTTGAAGACATGTTGGGCGAGGACGAGGTCGGGATACTTGATGAACTGCGGATCAGACCCCATGATTGCAGATGGGGACTGAGGAGTGTGATGATGACGCGAAAGAAGGGTGGAGGGTAGAGAGACGGGGAGGTGTTTGGATGGGATTGTTGGATGGCCAGTGATGCATCACGTAGCTGGTTCCCAAGCTCAGCTGGGGGAACGTTTTTCCGGTCCCGTGCCTTGGCGGTTCTTTGGGTGCCTGATTTATTAGGCCATAAACATTAACTTGGTCGGTAAGCGAGTGGGCCATGTAAGCGAGCGGGCCACCTAACCGCTTTTTCGCGTCCTACCACGTTTATCTATCTTCTATCCACCACCATGCCTCCAATTCGCGCCGGGTTAAGCCAGGATGCTATGCAACAAGAGGGCCGCATCTTATTAGCTGTACAAGCTATAAACAACAAGGAAATCGGCTCTATTCGGAAGGCTGCAGACCAGTTTCAAGTTCCCCGGAATACGCTCACGCGTCGACTACGCGATACTACAAACCGTGCTGAATCTCGCGCAAATTCTCATAAATTAACAGAGATCGAAGAGGAACTACTTCAGCAGCGGATACTATCGCTAGATCGACGTGGAGCAGCCCCTACACAAGCTCATGTACGAGAAATAGCTAATTTGCTACTCGCGAAGCGTGGTTCTATCTCTATCCAAACCGTCGGCGAAAAATGGGCATATAACTTTATCCAACGCCATCCGGACCTTAAATCTCGCTTTTCACGACGATACGACTACCAGCGAGCACTACAAGAGGATCCAAAGATTATTCAAGAGTGGTTTAACCTCGTACAAACCACGATTCAGCAATACGGTATCCTCGCGGACGATATCTATAACTTTGACGAGACTGGGTTCGCGATGGGCCTTTGTGCGCATCAAAAAGTGATTACTCGAGCGGAATACTACGGTCGGAGATCGGTTTTACAGCCAGGGAACCGCGAGTGGGTAACCGCAATCGAGTCAATTAACGCTTCGGGGTGGGCACTTCCACCGACGCTTATTTTTAAGGGCAAGCAATATAATCAAGCCTGGTTCAAAGATCTTCCGTACGACTGGCGCTTCGAAGTTAGTACGAACGGGTGGACGTCTGACGAAATAGGCCTTCGCTGGCTTCAAAAGCAATTTATTCCGTCGACAAATAGTCGTACGCGCGGAAGATATCGACTTTTAGTCCTCGACGGACACGGAAGCCATCTAACAGCAGAATTCGACCAAATCTGCGCGGATCACGATATTATACCGATCTGTATACCAGCACATTCCTCGCATCTTTTACAACCGCTTAATATCGGATGTTTCGCGGTTTTAAAGCGCGCATACGGTGGTTTAGTCGGCCAGAAAATGCGGCTCGGGATTAGCCATATCGACAAGCTTGATTTCCTCACAGCTTATCTACAAGCTCGTACCGACGCATTTAAATCAGAGACGATTCAAAATAGCTTCCGAGCAGCAGGATTAGTACCTTTTAATCCCGAACCAGTGCTATCAAAGCTCAATATTCAACTTCGGACGCCTACGCCGCCCTCAAGCCGCGGTAGTCAAGCAAGCGCTTTTTGCCCCCATACGCCCGCGAACGTGGACGAGCTTTATAAGCAAGCAGCTTCAATTAAAGCTTTCCTAAAACGAAGCTCGAAAAGTCCCCCATCGCCGTCGCAGGCCGCGCTAAACCAGCTTATTAAAGGCTGTCAAATCGCGATGCAAAACGGTATCTTTCTCGAGCAAGAAAATAAGCAGCTACGCGAGGAAAATACTACACAGAAGAAAAAGCGTGCTCGTACAACTAGATGGATAGCTCACGATGACGGTCTGAGTGTACGAGAAGCAATGGAGCTCGAGGAAGCTCATAATGCCTTTTTTCAGGCCATACCAGGTCCACGAGTGCCACCAGCGCAGGGTATACCGGCACCGAAGCCGAGGGCCTTACCTAAATGCGGCAATTGCAGTGAAATAGGGCATAAGAAGAATTCTTGTCCAAATAGAGAATAATGAATATAAAGGAGTTGTGGTTGATATATATCGATAAATGTGTAGAAATTCTGGTTGGGTGGCCCGCTCGCTTACATGGCCCACTCGCTTACCGACCACGTTAACTATAGGTCGGACCCTAGATCTTTTTTTTTTCGCATTGGTCACTTTGTTGATTTTGTAGATACTTACTGGATGGCCACGTCACTCAACCTTTGAATTTCAAGCTTCTCAGTAGTGGCCGATTGCGTTGCGCTTGTTCTGCATGGCTGGTGATCGCCTTCATTGACCGACTACCGAGCTACTTTCGACTACTTGCCATCTCCACTTCCCACGTTTTTTTGACTACCAACTTACAAGAAGTCGCGTGCCTGGATCATTGGATGCCGTTTGAGTATGCTTCTTGAATGTCTCACCACAATTACGTGGAAATGATTCCACCGAGTACGGCTAATCAGGTCGGCTACGGATCATGGACGGCCAGGAATCCAATTTCCAATGGATTATGGATTTCATGGAATAATGGAGTATCTCTCGATGACTAGTGCTTGAACTCGACACTATCCAAGTGCTCAGGATATCCCACGTGCATTCGGTATGATTCTTAGTATCCGGTCCATCTCCATAGGGCTGGTTTACCGTTTAGGCTGACGCCAAACTGCAATTATGGAGTACCTCAAAGTACCCGGTAGTACCACTAACTGCAGGGTCTTTTGTAACTTCCACCTTCCCCAACCGTGAGAAACTCGAAATTATTGAGTACTCACCTAGTGAATGTTATATGGTATTCTTGGACTCATTGTCTTGGCCTTTCAGTCTCCTCAGGCCCAAACTCAAATCCGAGCCAGGAACAGAAGGTGGTCTGTTGCTCTGGGGTACTGGTACTTCCACTGGCACAGGGCTCCCAAACTTCTAACTTCCGCCATCCCTCGGCGCCCCTCAAAACGCCACGCTCCACTTCTCTCCCGAAAGTTTCGAAACTGTCCCCCAGCGGAGACCGATCGAACTGGCTTGCACGTGCAATACTTCGTTGGATACCGGCGCAAGAAATCAACTTTTACCAACGTCGTTGGCTTGAACTTGACTACCACACGGGCTCCTCGTGGCTTCGGTCGCCTTGCCTGGATCGGCTTGGCTTGCGTGTTCATCCACTCTGCCGATATCAGATCATCGGCCTGCCGAGAGCGCAATGCAACCTCCGCGTCTTTCAGCTCCCAAGAGTTTCCCAGGGCTGGGATAACGGAAACTCCGTCTGCCCCGTGAATGGCCGCGTGTGATAGAAAACTGCAATCTGATTGGTGCTGGAACCTGACCAAATGGAATGCTTAACCCGATGGAGAGTCGGGGCCTGCCCCACTGTCGACTGGTTTCTGCCGTCATTCCAATTGGTGGGCACGAGGCCATTTTCTGGAGAGGGTTGCTTGTATGGAGCAGCGGGCTGGCCGAAGTACTCTTAGTACACTTAGTCCATCCAGGAAGACTCCGTAATCTCGAGTAGTCTGCTTCGACTTACTATTCCGGGTTAGGGAACACCTCGTGCCCCCGATTGCTGAGCCAAGATTCACTTTTTTTTCTCCCTGGGATCGGCAGATTCCCAATCCTACTTAACTGCTAGCTTCACGCCCTCTTTCTCCTTCTCTTCTCTTTCAACTCTGCAGTTCGCCTTACATCGCAACCCCGCGCCTTGGTTCTCAGCCCGTCTGTCGACATTCGCTGGTCCAGTACTCTCTTAGCTCGGCCTTTGTGAATACGCGATTATCTTTCGCGTCCCGAGGTGAGCTATACCCCAAGCTTGACTTGTTTCCCCGCTCGGTCTTTCCTTGTGATCGCCGGGTCTCACACTAGAGTACCACTGACGAACCGCTCGCTGTTATTGTCAGTCAACTACCATGAGCGCCGATACTCAGCCTGAAAAGATCATGGAGGAAAAGGGCACCGTTCCTGTAAACGAGGCCCCCCTCGACCTCCCTCCGCTGGATCAGCTGCCAAAGGGTCGCTGGGAGCGCGCCTGGCCCACCATCGCCTGTGGTGCTGGTCTGTTCTCCGATGGCTATCTGAATGGAGTATGTGTTCTGCATCCTTGTCGCACTACTTGGCGCATCCTGATTTACCCCAAATTGGACCCTGTCAAACGTCGACCTTGTGATCTCAAGGATATAAGACTAACCCCTCCTTGCGCTGATAGGTAATTGGTCAAGTCAACACCATTCTCGGAGTTCTCTACCCGGACACCTATGCCAATTCTCCAGCGAGTCAGAATGTTTCGGCCATTGCCTTTGCCGGTACGGTCGTTGGTATGCTGATCTTTGGCTACACTAGCGATCACTGGTCGCGCAAGTGGTCACTGATGATCTCTACCATCATTCTTTTCGTCTTCGCTGCCCTCTGTGCCGGTTCCTACGGTTTGAATGGTAGTCAATATGGTCTGTTCGCAGCCCTGACCGCATATCGTTTCTTCATCGGTGTGGGTATCGGTGGTGAATACCCTGCGGGCTCCGTTGCGGCAGCTGAGAACACCGGCGAACTCAAGGCCGGCCACCGTAACCGTTGGTTCATCATGTTCACCAACTTCCAGATTGACTTTGGATTCGTTGTCTCGGCTTTGGTGCCTACCATTCTCCTTCTGATCTGCACGGAGAATCATCTGCGCTTGGTCTGGCGTTTGTCTCTGGGCTTGGGCGTCATCCCACCCTTGAGTCTGCTGTACCTTCGTCTCAAGCTGCAAGAGCCCGAGGAGTTTAACCGCGAGCGGATGCACAAGTTCCCGATCTTGTTGATCATCAAGTACGTCCTATACCTGCCTCGTCCATCCGGAGTATATCAAACATCCTGCTAATTGCATCTCTAGGTTCTACTGGTTCCGCCTTGCGGTGGTTTCTCTAATCTGGTTCATCTATGACTTTTCTTCTTATTCCTTTGGTCTTTACTCGTCGAAGTGGATTGAGATCATTACTGGCTCGGATGCTCCCTTGTGGAAGACCTTCGGCTGGACTACCCTGACCTACCTGTTTTACCTCCCCGGCTCCGGACTCGGTGCATGGGTGAGTGATTGGCTGGGTCCTCGCAATACACTCGCCCTCGGAGTGCTTCTCCAAGGAATCGTCGGGTTCATCATGTCTGGATGCTACAAGTGGCTTGCGACCTCCGCAAACGTGGGTGGTTTCGTGGTGGTCTACGGGTATGTTACACCTAAAAGGAATAACCATTAATTCTTGTGCAGAGCTTTCTGACTGGCGATAGCATCTTCCTTGCCCTGGGTGAGTTTGGCCCTGGCGATAACCTTGGTCTGTGTGCAGCCAAGAGTAGCGCTACTGCCATCCGCGGTCAGTACTACTCTTATGCCGCTGCCATTGGTAAGATTGGTGCGTTCGTGGGCACCTACGTCCTGCCAATTGTCCAGAAGAATGCCCCCAACGCGGTTCGCAAGGGCCAGGATCCGTTTTTCGTCTCCAGCTCGCTGTGCATTTTGAGTGCTTTCCTGGCATACTTCCTGCTCCCGCAGATCAGCCAGGTGCGTACCAACGTTAACGGAGATGTTCGACCGAGTATACTTACACTCTATGTAGGACACCATCACTAGCGAGGATGCGCGCTTCCGCGAGTATCTGACTCAAAACGGCTACGACACCTCGACTATGGGCAACGCAGAGCAGATCACCACCGAGGTGACCCCCGCCCGTGATGACATGGCATAAGCTATTCCCGGACACGGCTATTGCCCATACTGTATGCTGAAATCCCGCACGCGCCATTACTTTTTCGTTGTTCCCTTTCCCTATGCAAGCACATCCGGCCCCTTGGTGTACATCCGGCCCCTTGATGTATTTCCTTGGTGCGACTTTCCTGGATCCGAAACCCCAAAGCGACAACATGCGGCCAGTTTCCTTGCAGCGCGAGATTTGACAAGACGTTGCGATGATCCAGCGATCTGCATTGAACTCCCCCGTGCGACACGAACAAGATGAAACTGATGGCCCTCGCGACTTTCGACCCTACATGTGTGAGCATTAACCGTGCTGATCTGCGGGTGATCTGCCTCGGGGGTGCAATTCCGGTACCAGTTCCACGCAAGACTTGTCCCCACCCCTACTTGCTTGTATGATTGCCTGCTTTAATGTTTAATGAGGGGTGGACGATCTGGATGAAAGCATTTTGACGATCACATTTTTGCTAAAGCCTTATGGATTGGTTTTTATTAGAACCGGATCTTTTAGTTCCTGGCTCTGAATTTGTAAGGCGCTGTAATGACAATTCCGAGGGCTGCATACCGACAGGCGGACCGGTGCCGGGGGTCAGCGTAATTTATACATTTTTGATGAGGATAATCCTAGAATTGACCAAGTCTAATAGGACTGCAGTTGAGTGTGTTCTATTAGGTCGAGACCCAGACAAGACTTCCAAATCGTGTTGTGAGCTATCTAGAGACTTCCTCATAGGCTAGGAGGTATTGCCGAAAAGGCGAGGAGAACTGATTTAAAATCCATCTAGAACGACCCTTTCGCACCAGACGAAGATGAATCATACTTACTGTCTTATCTCAGCACTCAATTACTTCCCTACTGAGTTCTGTTGCTACACCCGTACTATAGAGGGTAGTACTACTTCTTTCAGATCGGCAAAAGCTGGAAGGGCGAGCTGTAAACTCGGTGTTTTCTCGGGCGAGACCTATCATCCTGCAGCATTCCTGTTATGACGAAAACCGACCGGGATAAGAGAGAGGAGAGAGTTTGAGTCAGGATCTCACAGATATAAAGACAAGATACCATCCATGAAAGCAAGCCAAAACTTCAAATTTACAGGTTATGAACTAAAGAGTAAGAACCAAGCATTTCACATGAAAACCCCCCCCCAGCTCCTGTCACTCCATATTTTTTCTTTCTCCAGAACGGGGACCGGGGGACAGCCGCGCTCCACACGGTTCAATCAGCCGAGGTTGACCGTCCGCGGCTCCAGACACCGTTCAATTACCGACTCCTATCACCACCACCGTCACCATTTCATCCTCTCATCTTCCCTTTATATCGTCGAGTAACTCCCCTCCACCCGCTCGAGTTAAGGTCTCTCCACACTAGATATTAAGTGTCTTCGGAATCACGCCGAACCATCGTCCGGATAACCACACAAACACCACTCATCTCGTGATCGGGATTTGAAGGAATCATGGTCGCCGACGCTCTCCTCTACCACCCTGCGCTCGCGCACTGGCTGCGCTTTGTCGCAACTACCGGTACGTGTATCTTGACAGTATCCCCATACATTCAATCCGCACCACTCCCCGGGCTATCCTTACGATAAAGGATGAACCGGGGAGGTGGCACGACATCCACCATCAAGCCCAACCCCAACATGACCTCCAGACCAGAGTCTACTCTCCCACCCCATCCCCATCTCCCAACTTAAACAACCAACTAACCCAGCTCCACTCTAGTCGGTCGCGACAAGCTCCTCCGCACAATCCAATACTTCTCCCGCTTCTACGCCTGGTACCTGTACCGCACCAACAAGCCCCAATCCGCCATCGACCCCTACAACGCCGTCAAGAAGCAATTCGGCACCACCCGCAAGATCCTGCGCATCGGCAAATTCGCCGAACACCTCAAGGCCGCCTCCGTGGCCCTCGACAACAAGGCCCCCGTCGACCCGGTCCTGCGCTACCTCGCCGTCGGTCGCCAGCTCGGCTATGCCGGATACCTGTCCCTGGATATGGTCACGGTGGTTGATGCGATCGGGTATCGCAAGTTGGCAAGCGTGAAGAGGCTGCAGGAGAGTGCTTATCGGTCTTGGGCGGCCGGGTTGGCGTGCAGTGTTGTTGCGGGTGTTTATACTTTGTTCCAGTTGCAGGAGAAGGAGAAGACTGTTGATCGGAAGGAGGGTGAGGGTGTTGTTGAGGCGAAGAAGATTGAGAAGTATGTATTCCCCCCGGTTGCAGTTGAGATATCCTGTGGTTTATGGTTGTGTTGAGAGGAATGATGCTAATGATTTTGTCTACAGGGAGCGCGCTGCTGCTCGGATACAGCTCATCTCTGACCTGTGCGATTTGACCGTCCCCGCCTCTGCTCTGGGTCTCGCCCAGCTCGATGATGGCCTGGTCGGTCTTGCCGGTACCGTCAGCTCGCTGATCGGTGTTTGGTCGCAGTGGCGCAAGACCGCATAAATGGCTCGAACCCGGACTTGTCTTTGAAGGAGACGGGTGTGTGCGAACTGAGCTTGGTCTATATGGGGAGCCTCTCGTTCTCTCTTATAGGCTAGGATAAGAAAGAAAACCGCAGCTTAGGGCGAGGAGTCTCGCGATATCCCTTTGACCTGCTTTGGCAATCTTGCCGTTTATATCCTCGATTGCGTTCATGAACAAACCCTTTTATCCTATTATTTTCTTTCTTTTGTTGTGTTCTTTAAGGAGGAGATGTCTAGATGCCCGCGAGCTGTCTTTTGCGTATATAGCAAATTTATTTCATCTTACTGGATCACGATCACTACGGGTTTAGGTTAAAGTAGAAGATGTAAATTCATTCTCCCATCATAAGATGCTGTCTCCCGGATATCTCATAGCCCCAAACTACCGTATCCTCCTCTGCTTCATATCCAACTATCTAAAGTCATGCCTTCTGCGATAAGCATCCGGCGATGCTATCCAGAGATCTAATTGGGGCAAGTCTGTAAACTGTTAGCGCGAGAGTACCTTGATAGAATCAGAAATCCACGAACCGCGCCACACGAGCCGCAGGTCTTGCCGCCCTCGATGGGGGCACTGCAGCTGGGGCAGGAGGCGTGTCCCATGATGACTTTGTTGAAAGTTGGGGGGTTGGAAACTGGTTGTGAATTAGTAAGAGTTTGTAGAAGCGCTGATATCCAGCCTCTGTTAGGGATAGGGTATGAAACATACAGTGTTAAAGGTGAATAGAGTAGTGGATTGTGAATTTGGACGAGTGATCGAGAGGAAAAAGGTCAGCGAGGGGGAGAAATCGTGACTCTATTTGTACCCCGCCGTCAGCCCCGCTTGGGCTCTGGTCATCCTCTTTTTTTTTCTTTTTACTTGGGCCAGTCAGTTGATCTATATCTATGGCACATGATCAGAATATACCGAGTCACGTCGATCTTACAATAACTCCATTCCTGCATTATGGTCAACTCCCATCTCGAACATCCCCATCAACCCCGCTCTCCTTCCACATCACCCCCAACTGCCGCACCGCATCCCCGTACATCTTCTCCCTCGACCCATTCCCCAAAAAGAACGAAGGCCTCTTATCAAATCCATGAACCACATCCTCAATCACCATCCCTCCAACAGACCTCATTCCCCCAGATCCCACAAACCCCCTCAACCTCTCCCGAAACTCATTCCCCTCCACAAGCAACTGATCCCACCCACAGGTATAAATCGCCACATCCCCAGGATACGACGCCAATATCAATCCCATGGGCGCTAGTCCAGGCGACACATACGGATGAGCCATATCAATTTCATCCGTCCCATCCTTCCGTGGTAAATTCTCCAGCATTAAATACGAATCATCAAAGAACTTGAATACCTCCGGCGTAATCATGGATTTCTTCGAGGCAATCGGATTCGTCGCATCCCGCTCAATCCGACTGCGTGACCAGTCCGTACTAGGATAAAACGCGATTAAACCCGCCAACTTGATACCGGGCGATTCACCCTGCCGCTCACGGCGTTTGATCAGCTCCTCGCGGAGGCGCAGCGGAACCGTTAAACACAGATTCCCACCCGCTGAATCCCCGCATAGCACGAACCGCCCCCGATCAAGTCGATACTGTCCCGCATGCTCCCACAACCAAATCATCGCGTCGACGCAATCTTCCATCGGAACGGGGAACGGGTGTTCAGGGGCTAGTCTATACCCCACGCTCACGACGACTGCGGAGGCATGTTTCTGCAGAACGGCTGCGATCCACCGCGCATCGTCGAGTGGATGACCGATTGCGAACCCGCCGCCGTGGAAGTTGATGAGGACGGGCCGCTTTGTGTGTGGTTGTTCTTCGTCTTCGCCTGGGGAGAGCAGGGTTCCCGTTGCGGTGAAGAAGTAGAGTTGGATGGGACCCGGGAGTTTGCTGATTGTGCTGGGGATCGTGAGTTCGAGGGCTGGGCGGGTGGGTAAGGGCCAGGAGAGGTAGCGGTCTAACCAGGAGAGGATTCCGGCGTAGAGGCGGTAGCGGCTCGCCTTTTTGGCGAGGTCGGTTCTTGTGGGCAGGGGCGTTGGTGTTGCCATGTGGTGTGTGGTATTGGGATGTGCCCGGGAGTTGTGGAGAGTGTGTAAGTATGGGTGACACTTGTTTATTACGCTGGTTATTTGCCTGCTGGGGAGGATGTCGGGGAAGTATATCCGGGTAGGGCATGACGTAGAATATGGTCATTTGGATGGTGTACAGAGGGATATCATGTCAATGGTTTCCAAGGTTGGATCGACCCATGTTAAGAGATATAAAACCATAGTTCAGAAAAGAGTAGAGGTAGATGCCATAGATACTGACATGCAGGTTGGTGAGTAGAAGGTTTGTAGTATTCCAGTTCTTGTAGGTTAATCAAGGTCCTGGAAACCCCCGAAGAACGCCCAGCAGTGGACACGAGTACCCAGCAAGGTTGTTCTATCATTACGACGGAGAAATGTTATTCGTGACTGTACTAGATGCTCGTACAATATCTACGTATCTATTGGGAGTTATGAGATTTGGTGTAAGGGGCTTTCCTGACTGAAACAGTTGAAGACTGAAATAGTGATTAATTGGCCTTTAGTGTTGTGGACTGGCCGCTGGTAAGAAGCGTAATAATATCACTAGGAAAGTACGCCCAACGAGGGTTATCATTAACTTCCACCTCAAAATTAGCAACCCCCGCGCTTGGCCTAGGGGTCAAGGCCTGGAATTTGTCAGCCTGATTCGCGTAGTTTGAGGAAAAGGAAAAGTCCTCGTAGGTCTGCCGCGGGGGTTATCATTTTTATGCTCGCGGAATTTTATATTACCACGCCACAACTACATTTTATGTGTTTTATGATTTATCTTTAGATTCAAAATCATCAGAAAAATCAATAGAACTTACTAATTTTTTTTATTCAAATCTAAACGTGTTGGTGGCTGGGTGGGCTGGGGATATGTTGAAAGTGAGCATCGAAAGGAGGTCAACAATGTCGCGAGACGAGTTTGTATGGTAGACAGATTGTATGGTAGACAGAGGTCGAGGGTTCATGCAGTCGACTCCTAAATATGCGTCGAGACATCTGGCAAGATGATTGAACTTTAGAGTTTCTCGTCTGCTAATGGCTCTATAGAAGGAAGAGTCAGTTCAAAAGCCAGGATTCTGCTTTTGACATAACTGTCTGGAGTGTTACATGATAACGATGTCTGCTCTATCAATCGATGTTGACAAAGATCTCAGTCATTAAGCCCTTGGGGTATTTTCTGTTCCCAGCAACTAATTTTATATGTACAGCCTTGTCCCAAACTTTACTACCTTGCTTTTTTCATTGGCTTACTAGATAACCTTTGGGAGCCTTGTCAAGCAAAACGGATCCACATCTTCTTTTACAAATACCACTGCCAAGTCTAATTTGTTGGAATCCATCTGTCTATAGCGATGATCGTCATTACCCATGACATGAGGTACTTATAACGGTTCTCCCTTCAGGCTCCCTTGAATTTCTCTACCAAAAGCCATTGACGGCCAGTTATCTACCAAGAAAAGTCGAGAAATATGACCAGAAATCTGTCATTTATCGCCACTGTCGCTCTTTCGACAACAGTCATTCCAGCCGCTGGCTCATTCATTTCACCCGGACCCATCATCCCAAATGTACCCTCATACATCTTTTCCATGCCCCTCGATCACTTCAATGCTTCCGATCACCGTACCTTCAACAATCGATATTACCTCAATGACACATACTACAAGCCAAGCAGTCCAGTCTTTTTCTTTGACTATGGAGAATCAGGCTTCTCACCCTACTACGCGGGAATTTTCCTAGCCGAATCCACCGAGCAATCGGCTGTAATGCAGCTTGCAAAAAGGTTCAATGGTCTGGCTATTGGATGGGAACACCGATACTTCGGCTCAAGCTTACCGTTTCCAATGGCTTTGGGGAATAACACGCCCGTGACTCCCGCGGAGTGTTATAATTCCGCTGATTGCACGCACTTGCTCATCGATTCCCCGGGGAGTTACCGCTATATGACAGTCGAACAAGCTCTCGAAGACGCGAATTATTTTGCCAGGAATTTTGAGCTTCCTAAGGGAAGAGGAAGCTATTCTAAAAGCTCGCTCACTGCAGATAAAACGCCGTGGATCTGGATCGGTGGCTCATACCCCGGTGCAAGAGCGGCGTTTGCTCTAATCCGTAACCCCAAGACCTTCTTCGCGTCCTGGGCATCTTCTGCCCCAGTACAATGGCGCAAAAATGGATCAGCTTATTTTAATCCTATTGAGCGCTCGCTTCCGGAGCCTTGCCGAACTGATATTCTCGCGAGCGTGAAATATGCGGATGAGATCTTGAGTGGGGAACATGGAAAAAGGTCATTCAAAAGTCTACAGAGACTTCTCTACCTTGCACAAGAGACCATCAGTGGATTGAATACATCATTCGATATCTCTGGTGCTGATAGTCTCGGCGTGAGAAGTATTGCGCATGGACTTGCTACAGCTGTGCAGGATGGCTACCAAAGTCTAGGCCCCAAAGCTACAACCGACATATTGTGCTCTTTTATGGTCGCTTACGATCCAACTGCTACACCTGAGAACCGGACGAGTCCCGAAATGTCAGTTCTCAGCAACCCCGGAACCAGGAAGCCTAATGCAAACGGACTTGCTGCGACTTACAATTCCTCTATTGCATTTGAAGCCTATCTCTACGGATACCGTCACATGGAGTCCGCACTCGCAACCACTGACAGTCAAGTAGCACCCGATTCTTGGGATAACGTTGCCGACATCTCCTGGAACTAAGAATTCGGCTGCTACCAAGCCTCAAACCCGAACAACGTCTCGATCGTGAGCCGATACTGGAACTACACAACACTAGAAGGGAGCATGTTCAAAATTCCCGATTTCAACTCCACAGACATTTTCGCCGGCGGTCCTGACCCTTCCCCAATCATCGAGAAATATGGTGGTTGGCACATGAACCCAAGCAACGTCATGTTCACGAACGGCCAGTTCGATCCCTGGAGGAGCTTCACGGTACGGAGCGAGGATACTCAACTTGGAGCTCCTCGGCGACAACTAGTTCAAGATATTCCTGCTTGCAATGTTGCGCCTGGGAAGGATACGGTTTTTGGAGTGACTTATCCAGGACAGGTTCATGAGCAGGATATCAAGGGAGATGTAAGTGATGAATCGTCGCCTTTAAGAGTTGGGTTGGATTTGTATAGCGCTGCTTTGGATAAGTGGCTGCCTTTTTTTGAGGTCAAGTAGCCCTGGTTGTCTGAAAATTGCGGACGGATGTACATATAGTATAAATGTTCGATCATGTCAGAGGGCTTATTGAAAAGTGATTGACACATATCCGACCATGGTATTCCCAGTCCCTAATATTGTTCAAAAGACGATAAACCAATTATGGCTGCCGGCTCATGAAGCCTGGTAATTCTCGTATAAAGGTCGACCAATTAATCGAAGCGGGTGTCATATCACATGGCGTCTTCAAATGATGACAGGACAACCAATGAAAGCTCGGAGATACGTCTGGGCTGTGGGCCATATACGAGTACCTATGTAGCCAGCTCTACAGTACTCTAAATGGCTCGATTGAGGGTTGGCTTCTAGCCCGAATCTTACATTCAATTCTCCCGTAGAATGGGGGCCACGGCTCCTGCCGGCTTATAAATAGCGGGGAGATGGCGGGGCTGACAATTTGAATCAACTCCCAGTTTTCCATCTCCTATTCTCTAGATCTGGTAAAATTCGATCCCTTTGACGACCAACTATGTCGTCCTTGTCGAGTCCAGTTCCGGTGATACTTTGTGGCAGACGCGCCGAGATTGGGAGGCCAGTCTCGGAGCTATTGGTCCCTGAATTCGAAGGTAAATCTGACCCAGAAAATCATCTCCAGCTGTTTGAATAGGGTTAAGAATAACATTTGTATCAGTCATCCATTTCATCACGACCAATGAAGCCGCTCTGACCGATATTCCTCGCCTCCTGAAAGGCGAGAAGCCTCAATCTCCAGATGACAGCGGCGTGGGCACCCAGAATTACAGCCAGGTTCCACGCGCCGTCGTCTTCGGTCGGGGATATGATATCAGTGAAGTAGAACAGTTTAAAAACGCAAGCGAGGGAAGCAATGCGGAACCCGTGGCTTGGATTACGGGTGATCCGAATAAGAAGCCGGATCCTAGTGCTCCCCCTCCAGGGCCGGGGTATGCTCAATTTGCGGCGATGCAGGTAAAAGAAAAGCTCTCTGCTTGGAAGGAGGAAGGTGCTACAAATAATGGAATTATCTTATGGTAGTCAGTTGTTAATTCGGAATTGCATTGGGTCTATCTTCTGTAGCCCATCACCTATACCCACATTGGGACAGAGCTGTCCCATTCAAGTTGAACAAATTCAAGTCCTCCAATCGACTGTGATCTCAAAATACGTACCCCCAAGCTCGCAGTGGCTCCTGACGGAGGCTACCAACACAGTTCTTGACAGGCTCCATGTGATAGGCGCGACGCCAGATCTTTGCAGCTCCAAGATCGGTATCTGGACACCATGGGGTTATGTTGATACCGTATTGGTCTTCCAGATAGTTATTTTCTGTCACCGTTCCAAGGAGGGTGGGATCATCAGGCATTGAAAATTTCAAGTGATCATACAGTAACATTGCCGACATAACCCCACCCCCTACGGTCTGGGGCTCCCAGTGGGTTGCCCCTTCGACCGCGTTTAGAATATGCTTAAGGCCCCGCGGGATATTATCCTTGACGAACCCGGGAAGGTCGGTTCTGATGGCCATTCGGCGCGATAAGGGAGCTCCGGGTCCGTTTCTCTGGCGGTATTCTGTGCTAGTTTTAGTAACTAAATTTCGGTAAGTAGTAAATGTGGAGATGGTAGGAGCCGAATCGTAAGGCTCTTGTCAGGAAGCCTCGGAGGGATGCGAGCTGCTCATGCTCTTGGGGCGCGAAATAGTCTAGATATTGCCCCAGAAGCGCTGTCCCTGCCTCGACTGAAGGGCCTGAGCTGGGCAGAAGACTCGAGAAAATAATTCAAATCGTTACAGATCGCGCTCAATGCGGATATACTCGCTGTCAGAGACAGGAACCGGGTCCAAAGGCGATTCACGGAGTTCTCCGTCAATCCGGTAGAATCTCAAAGTGTATGAGGCAAATACACTGGACCAGTGCTCAACGATGCGGTAGAATTTGGAGAGTGCGAGACGGTGGGAGAGTCGAGGTTGGAACGACGCATGAAAAGTTTGGACATCTCGGACAAGATAAAACTCCATGACTTGCTTGCGTGCTTGCCAATGCTGATACAAAGGGAGCTGCGAGGCCATGAATGCGACATGGGCGTCAAACCACAGAGTTCGAGGGATCGATTGTTCTAAAATCTGGCATAATACCCACTTTTCCCTGTCGTGAAAGGCCTCCAAAAATCGGCGAGATGTCAGAATCATGCATTGTAGGGATTCAAAGTCGGGTAGGTCGGCCAGGATCTGCTGTATGATCTCTAACGGTAAGAGATCCATGGTGAGGTTCAAGATTATTGACTGTTGATGTGTGAAACTGGTTTGAAAGGAATGAGGAAGCGAGGGTTCTTAGGCAAGAAGGGAGGTGTGGAGAGGTGTTGCAGAAGAAGAGGAGTGAACAAAGGGCGATCGCGGAGATGGAAGGAGGAACAATTCATGAGCAAATCAATAAATATCAATTAATATTGCCATCGGCAGCCTCAGAAATCAGTCATATATAATTTGAGAATTCCTGAGTTTTCATATGCTGAATGCTCGTTTTCTAATCACCTCTGATATCTAATTGGGGGAGCTTGGAAGTCTTCTTAGATTATCAGCAATGAACTGAGATGCCCAATACTCGATAGTCTCGCAAACCTCTTTGATTTCCAGACAGTGGGCGATCTGGGGGCGGAGCCATGCATAGAATAACTCCTTAATCCCACGGACGTGCCTGACCATCTCCAAGGTGGGCTGTGCGCCCCCCTTGTACTCTGCGCCATGCGAGTAATGGCACAAGGCCCATTCTATGAGGCTCCATACCTTCCGGGCCTTGTCTGGGTCGCTCTGCTTTCGGGTCGCTTTCAATTTCTTTTAGGTCTTCAAAACCCGGGTTGACTAATACCGCTGTTGCCCTGCTGGTGTTGCGGTTGCTTTATCCTCGGTGATCCTTCCCTCCACCCATGCTAAGGCAGTGAGGGGTTTCTCATCTAGCTGCCCTAAGTTGTGCAAGACCTTTTTCGCATAGTCAAGCATTTTCCTCGTTGGCTACGTGCCGTGAGATTCCAGGACATATTATGATGGTACAGCCATTTTGCGACTCGAAGTAGCTCACACTTCTTCTGCGCCACAGTAGCTCGATTGAGATACCACTCCATGGATTCATCCCTGCGTTCAATTTTCATCGCTCAAGCGAGAGGCCACCTGTACTACCTCTGCGTCAAACCCTAACGCACGAGGAATAACGTTTTCGAGCACACTCAGAAGTATGTTCTCGTGTCGGCTCTTGAATTCCCACTAGGTCTGTCGAGGGGTCAGCATCACATACTGAAGTAATTTTCAGTCTGGGAGACTAGACAAGTTTTCTTGGATAAGCTCGACTGGTAGATTCTCCATCGTGGCTTCTTAAGATGGGAAGCGATGGTATTCAAAAGGAATGAAAGGTGCAGTGATGTGTTTTGTAAGTCACAGGGAGGTAAGGACGAGGGATAACTCTAAAGCAATATAACCACTAAAGGGAGACGTCCACTTGACAGCCCCAAAAATCAGTCATATATAGCCCGAGGATGTCTGAGTTTCTATAAATGGAGTCCTTGATTTAAAATCACCTCTGATATTTAGCTGGGTAAGATTGTGGTTCTTTTTTTTTGGAGTATATTCTGGCCCAGGAGAGGCAGGAATGTTGTAGAAAATATGGGGATCATGAAGTACTAAAGAAAACTGTATTGCAATTTATAACTCGGTCTATAGGTAACTTCCTATGTTCCGTTTGTAGGCTGTCAACCCACATTCTTTCTCCTGGAAGTTGCCAGATTATCACCATGTCCTGCATTTTCGTCAAGCTTCTAGACCCTTTATGTCCTGCATAGGCTTTCCACGTCCTAGCAGTATATCTTGTAGTTATGGCTCGCCTATGTGCATGGGCTCGGGAACTTATTCTGTTTAGTTTCTGTGGTATAAACCTCGCGCTCTATGCCAAAAGGTTCTTCGATGTGGAAGTAATAACGCAAAATCTGAGTCCACATGTGGTCCACACGGTCCTCGCGGCAATGAGGTGTGATTCTGTCCATGTAAAGCTGGATCAACTGATTGCCATCGTATTTTCCCTAGTACCAGATCATTAGTATCATATCCTTTCAATGAAAGTCGATCATGGACGATATCCAAACCGAGTTCGCCATGGTTGCAATGTTTGAGTAGGTTCTCTATTCGACGTAGATTGGAGGTCACGAAATGAGAAGTAATGGGTGGAGTGGCATTGAATGACTCGGTATCTCGATCGAGATACCATTTCATGAACTGCCACCTGCGCTCCCACTGTCCGTCTGGCAAGAGTCGAGAGGCCAAGTTGACCGCCTCGGCGTCAAACCACAGCTCCCGAGGAATGAGGTTCTCCAGTACACTAACCAGGATGCTCTGTTTCCGGCCCTGGAAAGCCCCCCAGATTCGCCGAGAGGTCAGAATTAGAGACTGAAGTGAGCTGAAGTCAGCGATATTCACCAGGATCTTGGATCACCTCCACTGGCAATTTATCCATCATGGAGTCTTAAGCTGTCGAGATTGTATGCGATAAAAATCAATGGTGTAGCGATGTGTTGTGCGAGAAAGAGAGGAAGGCGGGTGAGATTAGAAGCACCAAACCAGTGATCTTGCCATAAGGGTTCGCGGGACCACAGTAGGGAGAGCAAACACATTCAACTCCTTAGCGGCCTCAGGAATTTATCATATATAGCATGACTATCACTGAGTTTTTATATCCATAGAACTTAATTTCAAATCACCTTTGATACCTAACTGGGGAGACTTTGGGGTAGCATCACATTCGAGTATAATTCGAAAGTTATTTATAGTCGAGGACATGAGGTCGAATTTATATAAAATTTGGGGAAATGTAGTACTAAAGCAGGAGTTACTGCAATTTATAAGCTGCCTTTCCGTAGGTAAACTCCCTATGTTCCGTTTATAAGGCATAAAAGGCCATTCTCATTCTGGGAAGATGCCAGACTATCACCGTTCCTCTAGGCCTATCATGCTAAAAGTGGTGATATCCCAGCACACAGTCATCGACCTTATACCGAATTCAAGTTCCATGATCAAGCTGCCTGGCGGTTGAGATCTTGCCTAAGCTTTCCCCATCCAAGTAAGAGATCATCATGTTAAATCTAGCATAATGTCCCAACCTTTCAACCACAAAGACGATGGAAGATCCATTTATTTCATTGTACCAAAAGTCCAATCCATCATTCCAGTCACTCCAAAATTATGGCGTCCATCCCGGTGATGTGCTTCATGCTCCATGACACTAATCCATGCCTTACCATCACTCCGCGAGTGCGAGTACATTGCAAAGACCTTCGCCACGCTGCTAAGGAAGCAAAGCTCCGGAAGAGTTGCTCCAACCACCCAAGCAGACACGAGTTCAGTCGACATTTGGGCAAAGACATATTCCAACGGATGGACATCAAGCGCTGTAAGTGGTCCACTTTGCTGAGTCTCGTGATGGAGCCGATGAATGCGTCGATAAAAGTACTTCCAGTGGAGGACACGGTGTATGCTGTAATACATAACATCCGCGAAAACGTATCCGACAAAGACTTTAATGAAGAATGCTTGGATAGAAGAGTTTCGCTCGAGAACATTGGACATGGGTAGCTTCTTGAACAACAGCAACAAAGAATGAGCGGCTGCGCCCCATATGACGTTCATCATAACTCGAGTGAATGTCCCCATTGATAGTGTTCGAAGGTATGCAAATTGAAAGAATGCCATGGATCCAATGGTAATGAAGAGAGAAGAGTGTAATGCAAACACTTCACTCCAGTTCTGGCTGGACAAGCACAAAGAAAAATGATGAAAGATTCGGGAAACAATAGACTGAATCATGATGGAATTGGAAAAAGATTGATGATTGAAATAGCAGAATTGCTTGAATATTCTTAAGCTTTGACTGATGGTCTTCTGATTTATTATTTAGTCCAGGGAAAACTCCAACTTCGAGATTGGAAAACCGCCAATTTATATCCCATCCAAGGGGAAGAATATAGTATCATCATTCCTATCCATAAGGCTATAGTCGCCATAATTCTAGTACCATAGTTACAAATTCCCATATTTGGTTCAAAGCAGCCTGGTGCTGCACAACATGACTCGATAAACACCCGTGCACCGACTCTCGATTGATTCCTTGGTACCTATGGCAGACACGGGACGCCTTTTGTTGGTTATCTCAAGACGCCTCAATTTTGAAGTTTTACTAGCCTCGATATCAAAGAAACTAGATGTCTACACCGATTGCGCAGTTGACGTTGGCCCTTCACATCAAATCAAAGATCCCGCAGTCGGCTATCACGGCTCAATGTCGGAGCTCAGATTGATCGACAGTTGGTTTCTTTCATGCTCTGGGATCTACGGTATTATTGCTAATCTTGAACCAAAAAAAGTACAGAAATAAGGCCAGTTCGCTTCGTATACTCAAAAGTCAGATCTCAACATGCTAGTCATGGATCAGGCGCACAGAGCAAGATGAGTATCACCATCAGGCAACTATGACATGGGTACTCATTGGATATTACTAAAATCTTTGATTGGTCATTTCGTCTATTCCAAGGTACATTAACTTAGTTAAGTTAATATTCCAACATATGTGTGACTAAGCTCATGTTCTTCGTCGGGAATTCTCAAACACTCATCTTCGAGCGCAGCGATAATATAACCTACAGAGTACCCTAAAGCTTGTATCCAGCTCCTACTGCAATGGTAAGCCCTATCAGGCCCTATTTGGAAAAAAATGGTCCGGGAAAAGGTGATTCCTGAAGCACTCCTCCCTGTCTTTTGGATTGGTCATGTGGAAGGAGACCAGTTTCGTAATAATGAGAAGGCTTACCTACTTGAACCACTTTCTAAATGAACCGAGTTCACCTCAATGGAGAGAGCACTATTGCTTAGCAGTTCTATGCGGCTGAATATATTATGAGGCTGAAAGAGACTTTCCTCCGTACTGCGACACTTTCAGGCACTCCACGATGCCTGAAACATTTGGGGGCCTATTCTTCCATTTGCTTAGCCCATTGCCGAGTCTCGGAGAGACAAAAAGGATTTTCTAGAAAGGAAGGTCTGATTCTAAGTTTACGGTGGATGATTAAAGTGCTATTGACTAAATCTTCCTCACAGAATGTGGATTTTTCACTTGCTGCTGCGCTCGCGGCCAATTGCTGTTGGAAACAGTCATAATCTCGCATGCTTGGTGGCTGCATGTCTGGCCCAATGTTATTGTAGAAAACCAGAAGGCAAAATTGTATAAATAAGTACAAGATCACACTAAACTTAATGCATCGCTTACTGGTACAACGTAATGTTCCCAGTCATTTAAATCGGAAGGTGGCCGACTAGACCCAGAAGCCTTGAAGTCCCGAGTTTGCCAGACCTGTTCGATAACCGATCGTGTCCGAGAAACACTAGAAACGCTGACTTTGGAAATCTTATCGAGGAGACTCAACACGAGTACCCTCCCGTCTGTGACGGTGCTTGTCTCTGGATCTGACCAGAGCTCATGATCTAACGGGTCCAACTCCACGGCCGCAACGAAAAGCGGCCAAATGACATGAGAAACCGAGTCCCGCTCAATAAGAGTAACAATTCCTTGGAGAATTTCTCGCACATGGCTCTTAATCATCGGGTCGGCTGGCTTGCCATCATATAGAGCACAATGAAGATAGACGTGGCAGGTGAGCTTTTTCAGGTCTGCGATGCTCTGGAGCGTTTGATCCGCAGCATTGGTGTGTACTTGTTGAACTAAATCCTGGAGCTTGGTGTTCAACGAAGAGGCCTTGATGTTGAAAGTCATCTTGTCCGAATCTGACACCATGAGCCGTCGGGATCGACTGAGATCCATAATTGCAAATAATATCGAGACCAGGGCTGGACTGCAACCCATCCACCCGTCAATGAACTTGTCATTCTCATCCCAGTAGCTAGCACCAAACAAGTCTGCCTTAGCACAGGCTGTGCGTCCCATGACATCTTGGAAAGCAAAGAATAGCTCCACAAACGCAGATACAGGGTCTTCTTGGCGACGAACGGAGGGATCCGGAGAGATTTTATGTTGCTTTTTTCGAAGTCGAATAATATCTTTCGCTCCCTGAAGATGCAGGATCCACTGCCAATCACAATGATCCACAATTTCAAAAAGACATAACAGCATCACAATCACTAGGATTTCAGGGTCTTGTGCGACCAAAGATTGTGGGTCTGTAGTGATCTGTCGCCTCAGCTCCGTCAAGACTTTGGACTTAAGTTGTAAGCCCAGTCTACTGTACTTTGAGTCATATTGAGACCAATGGCAGGCCGCGACCGCCTGAATCGCTCTCAGGACGGTAGGTGTTGCCGACAGGCAATATGGAAGAATGACAGAGGCAAAGGGTGACTTGGAGACTGCGCTGGGCGCCGTGCGTGGACAGATCTGGTTGATGTAATAATCGAATAATATCGGATTTCCCAATTCGTTCAGGGAGGGAAACAATGGAAGGCATGGCTGTATGTCCCGGTTTTCAAACCCTGCTGCCTGTAAGAATCGGTCCGAGAAAGGCAGCATAAATGATAAGGGCGAACTCGGGGCATCCGGCCTCTGCGCGTAAGCCCGAGTGTCTCTTTCCCGAGCTGGCAGGAGATGTGGCTGGATATCATTTTGATCCTCGTTATAGAGCCGCTGAACCAAGGAGAAATCATTGCTGAGAAAGTTCCAGGGGTGAATTTCAGGCGTCTCAAGCCAAGTAGTACCAGCTGGCAGGGCTCTAGGCCCTCCATTAGATCGTAACCGGGCCTGACCCGTTGATTGGGATGGAGTTTTACTCCAGACGCCTGATCTCCCAAACGCGATTCCGCGATTGTAAAAATCAGCCTCCCACTTGAGTTTAATTCCGTCTTTGAGGCACTGCAGGTCCTTTTCCCAACATCGCGTGCAGATAGGCTTTCGCTCGTCGCATTTCACCTTGCTTCGGCGACAGTTTGCACAGCCTTGTCGGGATCGGGTTCTAGTCTGCCGGTCATTTTTTGCGGTTTTTGATTCCATGGTAGATAGGTATCTTCATCGGCACGGGTTTCAGATATTACTGAGACGCTGTACCTGACAGTCGGGGTGGCGAAGATAGAAGGCACTTAGAAGCTATTTTTGGGTGTAACGATACAGAATCAACGTAGTAGGAAGGTGACACTGAATCCTCTTTTAGAGAATGATATGGAGTGATCAGGTATTAGTAAGAAGAATGAGGTCGTGTCGATGGCGTTCTTTATCAGATTGCCTCCCATTTGGTGGAAGTCAATCCAGCGGACAGGCCATTCTCCAGCGAAGAAAGTACACCTATGCCGATAAATCAATCCAGCGGTACGTTCAGATATCTGTCAAGATAGTTTGAATCGCAGTCATTGAAGCAAGATGAATTTTTTCGACATCGACGAGATCAATGATGTGCACTCACTCATGGCTTATGTCAGTGAAAGTTGGAGGGCAGGTCGAAGCGAGAATAAACTTTCAAGTGGGGCTCCTTCAACCAACCATAGTGTTTTAATCACGTGCTTCTCTTCGGGGCGAGTATCTGCAGATCGGTCCGTCAGCCCTACTCAGTGTCACTCCATAATGTAGGAGAGGATCTGTTGAAATTCACCATTCCATAGGAACAAATGCTTTCTGGGAAAGTACAGTTACTCCACAATTAAGATTGGACTCAAGCTGAAAGGATTCCAGCAATCATCAAAGTTGCTCTAGCATCATTCACAAAGGTTCTGAATTCAGTCATAGTAGTACCCAAAGTACGACTTGCAGTGGAATATTCCACTTAATGAAGGGCGGAGTCTCCCATCTGACTTTGCTTAAACCTTTCTAGTTTTCCTGGTTCTGTTTTAAGCATATACAACTACTCCCACTGATTATATATTTTGTCGGCTTCCTATACCTGCAGATTCACTCAAATATATTTTCCTCCTCCTGACAAGGAACTCACATTGATCATGTCAGTTCAATAACCCCGCAGGCACTCGTCATAATCGGTCTCCCACCAGTGGGACTTTCGGTGCAAAATATCTAGTGCCGTGTCCGACAGCCCTGGAGGAGCGGCAAGATGAACGCCCACTCTATCTCCTTCACTGGCGAAATTCGATCCCGCACAGTTCATTCTCATCCGGGTCCACTATATGGTTATAGGTATGTTCTTTTAAGTCAAGTACTACGCCAGTGAAGGCTTAAATATTGACTGGATATCCGGTGGTAGTACCATGATATTTACCTCCGAAAACCCGAAGGTCTTCCCTACAAAGCGTACAAAGCGACGAGTGTCGGTGTCCAAGGGTCCCAAGAGTTTCTAGGATACTTTCAGAAGCTCCTGTCTCCGCATCACTCATTCATCGATATACTGTTTATTTCTGACTTTACGGACAACACCTGGGACTCTGCTAAAGGGGAATGACTTCGCTGCGCGCACTGCAATTCGGCGGAGACGCCCCTACCACTGGGAGCTTCACGTCGGCCGGTATGCGGATGATGCGTTTCCACAGCATTACTGGAAGCAACGTCGTGCTCGCTTTACCACTTCCCTGTCTAGAACTTCCGCCGCAACCCCGGATAATCTCAACAAGAATTTGACAAAACGGTTAACCTGGGAGTTAATGACGACCAGTGGCCGCTTTTGATACGAATGCCTACCAAGACCATGTGGGATCGCTGACTTGGCTCGTCATGGGCGCACCATTGGAGATCGTATAGCCAGCCAACGAGGTATACCGTGGCTCCCTTGCTAGAACGAGGATTGGACCTAGTGGCCCAATATCTCGACCAATTAGCGCCATGGAACATGAACAATTCGCGACCCTTCGAAATTTTCATGACAAGAATAGCATACTCAGGTCCGTATCCATGTGCGGATTATCACCAAACCATGCTGACACCGAATAGCAATGGAACATAACAACCTTTCTGTCCTTTTGCTGCTTCATGGAGAATTCTCACCTATCGTGACCTGCCTCGAGAGTGAAAGACGAATCTTCTGTTAACAATACCTTGGACGGTTTACGCCCCACGAGCATGAACAACTAGCATCCAGCCTAATTTCATGACACAGGCATTACTATCAGGTACGTACCATCCATCCACCCACGATCACCAAATACCAAATAATGCTAAATAGCCAGAGTAGAATACCAACAACGGAACGGATCCGGGGCTATTATTCCGCCCTGAATGACTATCAGGACGAACCTTGTCAGTTTTGCTTAGGACCATATTCACGAAGGCATGCAGCACGTTCTGGGCATTATTAGGGGGGCCAACTGCGAGCCCCAGACTGCGCTGAGCAAAGTGAATCAAGCGACAATGCTAGTCTGGAACAGTCTCTAGACTATGATCCACCCTCGGACTGGGTGAGTCTGCTTTAGTGATCTTCCCAAAATATCGACTGCAGGGAGAGAGATCATGTTGGTAACTTTGTTGTATGATTACCTTCAACTCTCAATACTAGATGATCGATCCTACCCTTCTTGGCACATTGCCAGAAGACGAGGACTGCGTCCTACCCGAGACCGCTTTCGAGGGACTTGACTTCGAATATGGCCGCCCATTCCCGGCCTCTCCGTCGCCACCTATCTTTCCCACTGGCGCTCCACTACATACCGTTGATTGGGCACACACTATTGATTGGGCAAAGGCCTACAAGCGAAAGGACGCCCTCACCAACGTTCCCGGAAAGCGTGCTACCGACGACGCGATCAAGCGGAAGCAGAGCAGACGTATCAAGAACGAGGACACCCGCAGAAAGAACGCGGTCACAAATATCACTAGACCAGCGTGGACGACGATTTGGAAGAACAGGCGGTATCAATACAACTTGTCAGCCAACTTGGTGCTTAGCCCATTTCAAGGCTGAGAAGTCGAGTTCAAACCCGGTGTCTATTCTTCGACTGTGTGATGGGTGATGAGAGAAGGGTGTGAGTGGCCCGAATATACGACCTGCTCAAGCAGTTTCCCCAAGCCGTGAATCCTGATTCATACTAGCATTCTTAGCCGGAGGCTGAGTTTAACGGATCCGAGCCTGCTTCATTTGTGGTCATTCTGACAGCAAGTAGAGGATGTATCGGCTGGACGAGGGGACAAGGAGCTGGCTGATATCTAGGAGGATGTCAATAAAGTATGCACACCAGTATATATTTAGAGAACAGATAGTCATTAATCCAACAAATCAAAGGATATCTCCATACCCAGAAAAAGCTGCAATAAAACCAGAGTTACTTCGGCACTTGACCAAGTAATCAGGTAGCCATTCAGACAACTCTCCAAACACAACAGCCGGGTATAGCCCCCGACTGCCGTCCCAAGCTGCACATAGCTCAGTGGAGGAATCAAAACTCACCACGCTATACCCCGCATCCGCGAGCCACGCGACAGCTTCCCCAGACAGCCAAGCCGCCAAGCCGAGTCTGAGAAGGTCTGGGAGCGCTCGGGGTATTTACCAGCGAAGTGAACTCGGTAGACCATCCGCCTACAACAATAATAATCGCTCACTATACGGGTACTACGGGGGGCAACATGGGAAATTTATCGGGAAATTGGGCCGACTTACATTGCCGAGTACGGAGGAATCAAGAAGCAGCTCCCATGTGCGGGAGTAATAGGGCCAGTCCCATGACGTTAGAGTGCTTTGTTGAAAGGCCCCCGTCGGGTTCGGGGAAATTAGGAGGGCGAGAAAAGATCGTGGTTTTGGTTTCCGCACTTCGGCCCAGGCCGTTTCAAAATTGGTGCGTGCTGGTTTACTTGTACAACTGGTGATAGGTCCAGGCTCGAATAGAAAACAAGGATCATATCACGGGTGAATTAGGAAAGAAGGAGGCTGACGTGATTGGCAAGTGATAGAGTAGGAATATTAACTAATGCGACCGGGGGGTCCGACGGGCCGGGGAAGGGGAGATGAATTTACGGGGGGATTTAGTCTAGGTTGGTGAATGTTGATCCGGATATTGATGATAACGGGGCTAGGTATCCGGGTGGCCAAGGGGAGAGATCATGTGTACAATTGAAGATAATCTGAGTGGAAATGCATATCCAATGATCCATTGGTCTATAGAGTTTGTTGCCCCTTCTGTAATAGTCGTAAATCTCTCTAACTCCAAGTACAATACTTCATCCGGAATGACTTGCTACGATTTTGCGGAGAGACCAGGGGGGCGAACCCCTTCTCCACTCGCCCCTTGCTCCATCGGGCTTGAGGAAACCAACGCTTGCGAGTACATCGTGACCTTGAAAGTCTCCTAAAAAAGACAAGTCTGGTCCAGACTCAGCCCCAGACTAACACACTAACGGAACGAACTATCCAACCCGAGTCACGCGCAACTGCAGAAAAAGTATGGAAGTTCACGATGTTCACGAAAGAGTCATAGTCATGGATCAGCTGAATAGCCAGGAATAGAACCTGCTACGTAAGCAAATGAAACCAAAAATCGCGCAACAAGGGCGAGGGCGATCTGTTTCATTATTTGGCCGAGTTCTAAAATCCAAAAATAATGACAATAGGTATGTCCGAATGTCGCAACCTGATTCCTAGGCGGATATGGAAAGCAAGAATTCCTAGAGGCTCGACTTCCCGAGACCGCAACCGCAACGTAACCGTAACCGGGTCGGGATCCGCCGCTAACCATCGGGAAAGAGGATCTGGGGTTTTTTTTCACTCTTCGAAGAGCAAAGCCACACTTTTGTTCTGCACGGGGGGCCGAAGGTGTGGTCCCCGTGGCAAAGCGACCGGGTCAATTTCCAGAACGTGCAACGAGAATTCCATGTGGGTTTCGAGTTTCAAGGACTCAATAGTCATTCGGGTAGACCGCTTGTTTTCCATTCTCCCGAATGGAATTTGAACATCTGTCTCGCATTTTTTGAGGGATTAAAACCCATTCTCTATCTGGTTTATCTCGTCCCTCTGGATAGACCAGAAAAATAAAACACGCATCTAGGCCGAGACCGATAGGGCACGTAAGATGCATGATCTGTAAAAAGACATCTGTATGGTTAGTATGCTCCGAGCTGGCGGGGGGACCAGGTACCGCGTCGGGATGAGGGCCCTCGAGGCCTCGATCTCATTGCTCTAGGGCACCGGCCCAGCCTTGGACGATTATCGTGTTCGGCCAGCGAAAACCAGGGACGAGTCGACGATGTTAGGACCCAGCGGCAATATCTTCTGCCCACCCGAACATGCTTGTCAAAGTGGACAAGGTGGAAATGTGTGGCTTGTGATTGGCCCGAGCCGCCGCGATCGATGTCGCAGATGCATCATCCTCGGCTGGGATAAACGCCGTTATTGGAGCATGCGGAGGTATTCCTGTTCGATTCCTAGGACGTTCCGAACCTGCGTACGCCGGGTCCCTTTGTCGTCATGTTCGGAACGGATGATAGGTATTACATTCTTTTTTTTTATTTTCGTCCATGCCCGAGATCACTTTCCGATGTGAATAGGGAAGCCGAGAAAGAAGAGGAAGAGGGTCTAACGATTTCGAGGAATCTCATTGGTGAAGTCGAAACGGTCCAGACAAAGAAAAAAAAATCCCGACTGACCACGGGATCGACAGCTGGCTGACATAATCCCCCCGCGATTTTTTTAAAGGTGGCTCTGCGTTAGCCTGATTGGTAAGGTTGGTAAGGTTAATCCTGTCTATGTATGGCTTCTTCATCGACTGGTGAAGTCATTGCGCGTCATTCCAGTCGTCCGTGGCTTGGAAGGACAACTTGTAGAGCCATACAGACTCCCCAGATGAAGCACTCTTGCAATCATCATCTCGAAGATTTACCCAAACCTAGGCTGTAAACGGCCATGGTCTATAGTTCTTTAGGACTGTCTAGTTAATGATAAAAAGCATGAATCTGTCTTTTGTTGCCTCTTCTCTTTTTCCTAACCGCCACCCATCTAAAACAAATCACCAGCAGCAACGAGCAGCATACTTCCGTGCATAGTATTTTGCGGCTTTTTTTTCTTGCTCTCGAATTTAAAAATCGCAAAAAAAATAATACATATTATTTTCTAGTTTCGGTACCTAATCCCCTTCGTCCCTCCTTGCCTTACCCGAACAGAACGCCGTTCCGAGTCCAATTCGTGTGCTCACACTGGCCGTACCCTCCGTTTCGGGACAAGTCGGACCCTCCGCTGACTAGTCACTAGCGCACGTAAGGGCCCCATTAGGCAATCAGGCTCTGGCAATCCACGGCTACGCCTCATCTCTCTCCAACCATCGGTACCCGCTCGCTTCAGCTCGGCCTTTTGCTCTTCCCCCGACATCACCCGTGAAACTGTGGAGAAACCACGCTGAGAACGAGAATACTCCTTCATACTTGAGACTATGTTCCCTCCTGGAAAGAATTATATACCCCCCGGTCGCCCGGCATCCCCAGGTCCTTTGGCTGCGGATTTCTTTCAACAGCAAGTCGCGAAACAACGCAACAATAATTATCATTCCACTTCACTCAGAACAATGGTTGCCACATCTGTGAATCGCACGGCGCTGCACCCTGGTGGTGTCCAGTATGTTCCCATCTTATATCTTCTTCTTCTTATCTTTTATATACCTCGTCGTCGCTAACCACATCGACATTATAGGCCCGGCAAGAGCCACACCGAGCTCGAGGAGGAGCTCCACGAGACTGCGCACATTGACTATGACCGAGTCGCAATTGTAAGGAAGATCCTCGCCTGTCCTTGCCCTTGAGACTCGACCTGGTCGTTGGCGCTTGCTTCTCAAGTACTTCTACTAACATATCATGACTTGGTTCCTATAGATCGCCAACCCTTCCGTTCCCGCCCTCTATGAGGACGCTCTCGTCTACGAGACTGGCACTGCCATCACCTCCAGCGGTGCTCTGAGCGCTTACTCTGGTGCTAAGACTGGTCGTTCCCCCTCCGACAAGCGTATTGTCAAGGAGGAGTCCTCCCAAGATCAGGTCTGGTGGGGACCCGTCAACAAGCCCATGACCCCCGATGTAAGTTGCCTTCTTGATTCTCATTACTATGCGTGATTTTTTCGTCGTCATCTCGTTGCATATCTGCCTGGTCGACATCAAGGGTTGCCCTTGCAGACGCCAGCCGTGGACTCCACACAAGGATCCCTTGCATATGCATCTGGAAGGGTCAAGCTTTTCTGGCACTCTGCCTGGTGCAACCTACGATGCAAATGACCTCGAGTTGACTCGAATTCCTCACTATCAACCCTTTCTTCCCTCTGCATTCTCAGTTTTGCCTTTTACCCCTCTTCTTTCCCGCAATGTTCGGCTGAAGATCGCCACTTCCCCGCGGGACCGAGGCTCTTCACGTGCATGACGTCATCAACCCAGTTTTACTAACTCACCCCTGCAGGTCTGGCGTATCAACCGTGAGCGTGCTGTCGACTACCTTAACACCCGTAACCGCATCTATGTCATCGATGGTTACGCCGGCTGGGACGAGCGCTACCGTATCAGCGTTCGCGTTGTCTGCGCTCGCGCCTACCACGCCCTGTTCATGCGCAACATGCTGATCCGCCCTACTCGTGAGGAGCTTGAGCACTTCCACCCCGACTATGTCATCTACAACGCCGGTTCTTTCCCCGCCAACCGCTTCACTGAGGGTATGACCTCTGCCACCTCCGTGGCCATCAACTTTGCCGAGAAGGAGATGATCATCCTCGGTACCGAGTACGCTGGTGAGATGAAGAAGGGTGTCTTCACCGTCCTCTTCTACGAGATGCCCGTCAAGCACAACGTCCTGACCCTCCACTCCTCTGCCAATGAGGGTGAGAACGGCGATGTCACCGTCTTCTTCGGTCTGTCCGGTACCGGCAAGACCACCCTGTCTGCCGACCCCAAGCGTAAGCTGATTGGTGACGACGAGCACTGCTGGACCGACACTGGTGTCTTCAACATCGAGGGTGGTTGCTACGCCAAGTGCATTGGTCTCTCCGCCGAGAAGGAGCCCGATATTTTCAACGCCATCCGCTTCGGTTCCGTCCTCGAGAACGTCGTTTTCGACCCCATCACCCGCGTTGTCGACTACGATGACTCTTCCCTCACCGAGAACACCCGCTGCGCCTACCCCATCGAGTACATCGAGAACGCCAAGATCCCCTGCAAGAGCGAGAACCACCCCACCAACATCATCCTGCTCACTTGCGACGCCCGCGGTGTCCTTCCCCCATCTCCAAGCTCACCCCCGAGCAGACCATGTTCCACTTCATCTCCGGTTATACCTCCAAGATGGCCGGTACCGAGGACGGTGTCACCGAGCCCCAGGCCACCTTCTCCTCTTGCTTCGCCCAGCCCTTCCTGGCCCTGCACCCCATGCGCTACGCCTCCATGCTCGCCGAGAAGATCAAGGAGCACAAGGCCAACGCCTGGCTCCTCAACACCGGTTGGGTCGGTGCCGGTGCCACCACCGGCGGCAAGCGTTGCCCTCTCAAGTACACCCGTGCCATCCTCGACGCCATCCACTCCGGCGAGCTCGCCAAGGCCGAGTACGAGACCTACGCCGTCTTCAACCTGCCCGTCCCCAAGACCTGCCCCGGTGTCCCCGACGAGCTCCTCAACCCCCAGAACAGCTGGACTGCCACCACCTCCTTCTCCGACGAGGTCAACAAGCTCGGTAAGCTCTTCAACGAGAACTTCAAGAAGTACTCCGACGAGGCTACCCCCGAGGTCCTGGCCGCTGCTCCCCAGACCCAGTAAATGTTGGGTATTCCCTGGGTCAGGGATGTTTACACAAAATTGATGGCATATTGTTTCTTGTTTCCTTGTTTCAGACATTTGCATGGCGTGCTGCGTTTGCTTTGGTCGTGATGATGTGGTTTCCATCATTGATCTCCGCCCTTGCGCTTGGGTCGGGACGAGCGTGAGGATTTATTCCCCCACTTGTTTCTCCCGATATTTGGTTTCTTACTGCTTTATGATTTCCTTTTTACTTTTCCTATGTCTCTTTTCCCTTATCTTGATGAAAGTGTATTGTGACGGCTGGCTCCACTGGAGTTTTTCGATGGATTATCCTCAGAATAGCCAATGAAATCAGATATCTTATATAAAGTTGTGCTTTGTAGCTGTGTAACCTAGTAGCATTAGACTGCCTGAGAAGTCGTTACTCATTCTTATGCTCAGGCTGATCGAACTATCTGATCTCCTTTTGCCTCTCCATTTTATAGGGTCTTCTGACGGTAACCACGGCTAGGATATGACATACTCCCACGGCGCCATAGTACATTCTTCTCTCTCCTTTCCTACTTCCTGTTCATTGACCCGATCTACCCGTTAGTCTCTATCATAATTTGATTATCTCGCCGTCTGTACGTTGTATCATTCACTATTACGCCTACAATGCAACAAATACTCACCCCTTATCTTCCATTCTGCAATTTTGGCACTAATTTGTCACCAATATCATGCACTACCATTATTAGGCTAGTCATATTGTGCTCTGGGCTTTGGTAAGGTCAAAATACTGAGCTACTGGAAAGGTAGACAGAATCTCAGTCTATGTGCTACTGTAACAAGAATTTCACCATGAAATTCATATCAACATTCAGTCTGTGCTCTGTTTAGTATTTGGCGATTTTACAACTCCATTCACAGCCCGCTCTAACGGGAGACAATTTGTTGGCCATGTCTACCGAGAACCTCTCTCATGACTCAAAGTTACCAGCGTAAGCCTTGGTCAAAGGAATGTTCACCTTATACACAGCCTTCTTGTCTGCTGATGAGTACTTCCCATTCTTGCCAGCGTGAGCGGCACCAAGCACAGTGATACTGCGAATTGCAACATTACCAGGGTGATAACCAAAATCGCCCGTCATCTTGAAACGACCGGTCTTCCCGTGATAGGTGAAAGCGATGTTACTAGTAGCTTTCTGAACCAAACTATCACCATCGTCGAGGTACAACGATCCAGATGCGTTGCCATCGGCGTCTTTAGCAATCACCAAGGTGAAATCCCTTTGGCGCAGTTCCGCGGTCGTGTATGCTGACTCCGTGCGCATGGGGATGATGTTCCCGCTCTTGAAGTACAGAGGCATAGTATTGTAGTCAATATTTGAGAGTCTCACGGTGGAGCCGGTGCCTTGAACGGGTGCGCCGGTGTAGAAGTCGTAGAAACGGTCCTCTGGGAAGTAGACGTTCACTGAAGTAGAGTTCTCCTCTGAGATGGGAGCGACCATAATAGCATCGCCCCAGAAGAACTGGTACGGCAAAGTGGCGGTATTGATATCCGCCGGGTACATGAAGAACATGGGATTCAGCATTGGCGAGCCTGTTCGAGTTTGGTTCCACAGTGCGGTGTAGGCGTAATCTAGAAGACGATAGCGAATATCGATCGCAGCACGCGAGGCCGATGCAACCTGAGGAGAGTAATAAAGCTCGTGGCCCGGCGTGCCCCAGCCTTGGTGATCACGGAAGAACGGCGAGAATGCGCCCAGCCAGACCCAGCGAGAGCAAAGATTCTCGTTGGTGTAGCCGCCATATCCGCAGATATCACTGCCAACCATGGGGACTTGGAAGAGAGCTGCAAATTCTTGCAGTTGCTCGATCGTCCAGAGGTAGTGGTCCCAATCGGCCATGTTGTCTCCCAGCCAGTGGCCGACCTGAGCGCCGGCGCCGGCAAAGGTAGACCGAGTAATTACTAGGGGACGCGAATCGGGTCGGCGGTAAATGAGGGCGTCGCGACTAGCTGAACTCATCATCGAGCCGTATAGATTATGGGTGTCGTACTCGGTGAGGCCATTGGCGTGGATTAGGTCTGTTTGCATGGTCTTGTTGCTCAGCGCTCCGGCAGCGTTGTTAATTTGGTATGGAGGATTCAGGAGGTCACGACCGGGTAAGCCTTTCATAGATCCAGGAGTGCTGCTGCTGCGGCGCTCATTCTTGATAGCTTGAACGGAGGAATAGACTGTGGCCTCAAGGGATCTCTTGTGCGGCCCGGAAGTGGTTGTAATGTTACCAAACACGGCCTGGACTCCGGAATGACAGTCACCAGTGGTGAGGGTGCGGTTCTGAGCCTCATATATGAACGTGCCGTCTGCCTCACGGCGGACATACTGATAAGTAATCTTTGTCTTTGGCGGCAACTGAATAGTAACCTGCCAATCCGGGTAGTTCGTCGCATCCAAGGGCGCTGCCATGAGCGGATCACCGTTGCCAAAGCTAGGCACATCTCCGAGGATAAAGATGCTCTCGCCATAGTACGCCTCGGCATAGCAATCAAAGGATGCTTCTGCAACACATGTGGGCTGGAAGTCTTTGGAAAAGCCAGGAATAGGCCGAGGGGGACTAAGGCGCAAAGGACGAACCGAGGGCGGGTCACCTGCAGTACCAGCAAACGCGGCAGGGTCGGTACAAGGGAAGTCACAAAAGTTGGACGGTTCATTCATGTCAATCCAAAGGGCATCAATATCCACACCAGTGTTGGGATCGAAGAAAGTTGCAAATTCTTTGTTCCAGTAGTCTTGAGTACCAGGGGCGAACCAGTCAGGCCAAGTGGTGACTCCGGGCCAGACAACTCCCTGATAGGTTGAACCATTAGGATACTTCATGAAAGCGTCGGCTTTTTCGCCGTTATTGAATGGTGGATAGTCGACATATGCAACTGCTGGGTCTACCATCACCACATAGTGTTGGTTATTTTTGTGCAGGTGCGCGACGAGCTCCCGAGTCTTGTCCAAGGGGAATCGGTATGGATCCAGAGTAAATACTCTTCGGAGGTCCATGTAATCTGCAGAGATTAGCAAAAAAAACCCAACTGCTCGTCAAGGGAACTGGATCTCACCAATATCAGCCCATTGAGTCTCCAGTGGAATGTTTGCGGCGCTGTAGTTGGCGACGACCTCTGCAACCTCGTAGATATCATAGTAACCATAACGACAATTGTGGAAACCAAAGTGCCAATAGGACATCATTGCAGGAAGGCCAACTGTCTGTGCATACTGCATGGCAACTTCTTTAGGGCTAGGCCCGCCCAGGAAATACAGGTCAATCACACCACCAAGGGTGCGATACTCGAGATACTGCCCATCGGAGTCATCAAGGACAACATCCATGCCGTTGCTGTTGGCCAAGAAGACACCATGGGTACCATTCTTCCCACGGTAGTCAAAATATACGGGGTGGTTGCCGTACAGGTTGGTGAATTCGGGCGTCCCGTAAGCATCTCGCGACCAGAGAGTCCTGGAGTAGTTCGAAGTCTTCAGGCGGAAGGGGTCGACGCTTTCTCCCAGACCGTAGAGGTTTGGCGACTCGGGTAATCTCGTGCGCAGGCCGAGGTACTGCGATTCAAAGACAATTGGATGATGACTTGTATCAAAGAGAACTTCCCCTGTCGACTTGCGAGTGATGGCGAACGAGAATGGATTGTGATTCATAGAGAACTTCAGATCCGACTTGCTCGGACTCATGCCTTTATCGGTCCCTGGTCTCGGAAGCACGGATTCAGGAATCTGATAGACCTGCTCGTCGGCATCGTATATCTTGACATGCAGTCGCTCAGCTACTAATTATCAGCTTTTTGTCAAGAAGCAGACTGTAAATCTCACTCACGGGATTGATACTCCACAAGCAACTTTAAGTTGTCCAGGTCGGTACCATAGACATTGCACGGAGCTCCGGCGAGATTCAAATCTGCGCTCACGATAGCTCCACCGTCGGTCTTTACATTGCTAGCTTTGTACCCAGGGCAAGCCTGAGGGTCCCCTTGGCGAGGGAGAAGCGCAGCGGCCTCGCTAGAGGCGCATAACAGCGCCACAGCCGCCAAAGGCTTAAAAGCCGCTTGCCAGATCATGTTGCAAGGCCGATGCAGAAAAACCGTGAAAGACCTGCATCTTCCCCAAGCAAGGGAGCTAACTCTCAAGACCTTTATATTTTCAGGATCGAGGACCCTGCATTGTCACCTTGGGGACTAGCCCGTGCCATACCCCGCATCGTGGAGATCCGATATTAGGCCGGTGACAAAGGGACCGAGTTGCAGAGAGCGCAAGGAAAATAGCGTTAAGATTCTGATCTGGGGGTCCAACGGGTGCCTTTTCTCCGACTGCTGTTGCCACTTTCCACATTTCCCGTCTATTTCCCCGATAAATTTGGAGTACTCTTTACGTCGCTGTAGAGTCTGGATGGAAGCAACGGACTGTGCACGTTGGGGTGGTCCAAATTGCGGCAATAGAATGCAGATCTCTCATTCCAATCAAAACAAATGCTACCCCCTCAAAAACCCAGGGGATTCAGTACTTTCTGTGGAAATTTATCACCAGTGTACTTCATGGTCATCCATTCATAACTGGGGCTGCGCCAACTCTTATATCGTTTCTGCAGACTTCAATGTTTTGCTCCCTACTCCCAGCGTGCGCCTGGCATGAAATAAAGCAAACAAGCTGAGCTGGGGTCCCGCCCCTTACTTCCTTGTGCCCAATTGGGAAGGTTACTTCCGCTAGCGTCTGTGGAGCTAAAGCTTAGCCGATTTCAGCAAGAAAATGTTCGACTATGAAGTCTTGCAACTTGACGCTATAGACCGGTGAACTGTCTCGAAATATTGATATAAAACTATCTACTGCTAGACTAAAAACGACTCGTATGTAGAAAGTGATGTATCTAGATAAAGGCTATGAAATAAGATATGAAATAAGAGCGGTGCTATTCTATGACCCTAAATCTAGCGCGCGGTAAAAGGTTCATACTCGACAGCTACTTTGAGGCCTCTCTTTCTTGTAGTTTAATAACCCTAGATTATCCCTTCTTTCTGTCTTCCTATCAGATATACACCGATCGCTTTGGATATGGTAATGAGGTGAATTAAAGTATGTTCTAGGCATTACAGCGATTCATGTACAAGCCGTCTGCAGGCCCCGGACCCCGTTCCGGGTTGGTCTCGCAGAATAATTGCGTCGCGTAGCGGCTTAATCTTATTCATTAAATGACCCCCCTAAACCCCCCGATCACGCTGGTCGCTTTGCTTTCGCTTAGTAGTAGAAGTAGTTAAAGTAGGAGGGGTAGTAGTAGTAGGTAACTAATGTGCCAACTAATATGCCAACTAATGTGCCAACTAATGTGCCAACTAATGTGCCAACTAATGTGCCAACTAATGTGCCAACTAATGTGTCAACTAATCTACTAACCAATCTACTCACTAGTCTACTCACTATGGAGCTAGTAGAGATAGTAGAGATAGTAGGGCCAGTAGGGGTAGTAGGGAGATCTTAATAATACCTAAAATCTAAGATTCTCAAAAATACCATATGGATCACGAGAGGTCACCTGATGCTAACACGGAACCGGCCAATCATATCGAATCAAGCGTCAAGTTTGACAATATATTGCTCCGCTTCGCTCCGCAATAAGTAGCTCGCTGTAGTTAATCCTAACCATATTGTAGTACAGAAGGATAACCACCCGCGAACCATCATCGACGGACTTAATGCTGTAATAAGTCCATCTGACACACTATCATTAAGTACACGAAGACATTTTTACTCGAAGCTTGTCATAATGTCCATCACCGAGTGGGGCAGTGCGACCCATTTGCATCGTGTGAACCAATCAACGCGTCAGCTAATCTAGAGCACCAGTGAATCATCATGATCCTCAATCTATCACTTTGACTCGAGTATCCAGCCCAACTATAAAGACAGTCACAAGGCAATGTAAATTTTTCAAAGAGCCATACCTTTTTTCATCTTCAAATGCTGAGTTCCTGTATCATACACCCCGCCAACTCACCCATAGCCATGGATTCAATCAATACAAGGGAAGATGTCCTAAAACTAGGCATCATCGACCCCGAACTCGAAGAGGTAAATAAAACGTACCATCTACCATCTCAAATTCCCCTAACAAAATTCTAATACAACCATAGACTCTCAAAAGCACCCCCTTCCCAAGAACGTTCAACACACCCTCCATCGAACAACTCCGCCAAGCAACCTCTACAGCAGAACAAACAAACTACACCACCTCCCCAACACACAACACCCACGAATCAACCATCACAATCCCCATGCGCGACGGTCACCTCAACGAAATTCGCCTCATAAAACATAATACCATTCCCAAAAATGCACCACTAATCATCCTCATCCACGGCGGCGGATACATAATGGGTACAAACATGCAATGTATACCGTGGGCTCGACCTATCGCTGCCTTATACGGAGCGATAATCGCACTGCCCTCTTACCGTCTCGCCCCGGAATATAAATTCCCCTTTGCACCGCACGATATCTGGGATAGTTTATCCTGGTTAGCGAGTAATGCCTCCTCGCTAGGCGCAGATTTAAGTGCTGGATTCGTGATAGGGGGTTGTTCAGCCGGGGCCGGGTTGGCAATTGTTACTGCGCATCGTGCGTTAAGAGAAGCGCTCGGTTCGCCGTTAACTGGGGTTTTGGCTAATATCCCGGGATGTATTAGTGAGGAGACTTTGCCGGGGAAGTATAAGGATCTCTGGGTGTCGCGGGATCAGAACGCCGAAGCTCTGATTTTGGATCGCAAGCTTTTAGGGGTTATTGAGGAGGCGTATGGGATGGATGTTTACTCTGAGGATTACTCGCCGTTTAACGACGGTGTGTTGTTTGAGGGGTTACCCAGGACGTATGTCCAGGTTGCCGGGATGGATACTTTGAGGGATGATGGGATTGTTTATGCGAAGACGTTACGGGATTATGGGGTTGATGTTAAGTTGGATATTTATCCTGGTGTGCCGCATGGGCATTTTAATATTTGGCCAAAGTTGGGATTATCGGTTAAGTCTCAGGTTGATACTATTTGGAATATTGGGTGGTTGTTGGATAGGGGGTTGGAGAGGGAGAGGGTGGAGGAGTTGTGGATTGCGAGCATGGGGTGACAGAAGAGATTATACGGTCGTTGTTAGTAGTGCTAGTTCTATATGCCACTTTCTGTGGCGTTTATAGATTATCGTCTTGCCCCTTGCCCCTTGCCCATGACAACTTCAAGTTGTAAATAGTCTGCCCAGACATTAGAAGTCTTTATAGTTAAAGTTAGAGATGAACAAGATCTCTCCATATATTCCTCGGCTTTGGAAGCTCATATCCATTTTTGTTGTATCTAGAAATAAAGTGTTAAGATAATTAATGCAGAAAGTCATTTCCTCCTTCCATTACGGACTTTACCTCTTATCTAAATCAGGATCCATCTATATACCAGCCCCTGTAACTCCTCAACCCTCCCCACCACCAGCAACACCAACCCCATAAACCCCGCTACCTCTATGGGCAACCTATTACCTACAGGCCACAACCTACACACATTCTTCACTCCCAAAACCAAATCCATAGGTACCACACCCCATTGCCGAATAAGTCCCCCACCATCCCGTCAATCATACCCGCTCTCCACCCGCCAAGGGACTTTCGGGCCCACTTTGCCCGCCGGAATTCCCTCCGCTCCCGAGCCTGCATGCCGGGAGCTGGGAGAGTTGGACTCGGGATTGTCGAGGGTAGTTGACCGAAGTGCCGAGGGGTGTTCCCGTAGAGGGGTGAGGCTGTGATTTATTATGGGGGTTATGGGGATTTGGATGGAGGGGAGGGAGGATGTGGATTTAGGGGGTTATTGTTGGGGTGGGATTTAAGGGGGTTTTATTTGTTGATTTGGTTGGTTTGGGGGACTATGTGAGACTCTGTTGTACAGTAGGCGCAGCTTGGGTGGGTATTGTTAGTTGAGTTTTGAGGATTGTCATCACTGGCGGGGCTTAAGATATGAGTGCCTGGCAGGGGTTGTTGTTGAAAGTATGTCTCAATGGCATTCCGGACTTGACTACCTCCGTATAGAGTGTCTGTTGGGATGTGCTCACGGCTCAACGTGCTGCAAGTCAGTGTATGGACGTCGGAGATGCCCGTTCTCGACAATCTCGCAACATTCGAGGTCCGTCACGAACGGATATCGTCGGCGTAGAGTATCTGATCTACTCTGCACATCAGGGTCCAGGCTGATGTATACACTGTAGACCAGGCACGGTCGATGTAAGCAATCACCGGAAAATTCTCAGCTACTGCAAAATAACCCCATGAATGAAGGTGCATCCTCTGTCTCTTCCCAGAAAATGCAGTGGATCATCCCGTATACCACGGAGAAATCAAATCCTATACTTCCGCACCCTGTAAGTTAGGATCACAGTCGACCGCATCCCGCGTTGTGGCTTGGAACGAATAGCACGGCATCACAGACACATCCTGCCCGTCTGATGAGACGGAATCCCAGCGCTGAGCAAGTAATCACACCTTCAACGGCCACGGCCACGGCCCCGGACTGCTGTCCTCCGCTGGTACCGGCAAACGGCACGAAGATGATGAACAAGAGATATTGTCTCCACGGAGGACAAGCATCGACGTCCGGACCTGAGAGAACCAGGTCTTGAGGCCTGTCGACCAATCCGCGTGCAGACAATCCACACACGAGGTCCCAGCAAGCCGTCAAGTGCCGGTCATCGGCGAAAAGACGGTGCTGTGAAGAGGGCGATCGGAGGATTCCAGCGGGACTTCCGGGGAATAGGCAGCTAGGCGCTGAGCCCGATTAGGTCGTAATGGGGCATCGGCGGTCCCCAACGGGGTTGTGGTGTTGACATTGCCGGGGATAGGATTGGCTGTGGCCGGTGTTCAGGACATATCGTCAGTGCGATGGGGGCCCACCGTACCTGGGACTATCTAGGATTGTGGGCTAGCGTGGAACAGCTAGTGGGAGCCTGTGGCCTGGAGGGGTGGGAATCTCGGATCTGGGTCCGGAGAGCGGGAGCGGCAGAATATTATCGAGGGAAGAGGTGGAATAGCCGATGTAGCTTATCCGGTTTCTCGATGCCGTCAAACCGAGATGCCGCCTGTACGGAGTACTGTTTAGTAGGCGAGTTGGTGAGTTGGTCATCTTCGATGGCTCATCATTTTTGGATGTTGAGATGGCCGGAAAAACTGGTCATTCATTCGTTGGTGATTATCAGGTCTTCAGCTATTCAGCCTCTTCCCAATAGTTCCAGAGAGTGTTTCCCTCGGAGTCAGGCCAAGATCCTGTCAAGCGGGTTCCCGACCAGTTCTCGTGGGGCATCCCAAAGGGGAATAGCGGGATAAGTGGGGTTCCGAGTTTAGCTCGTGGCACTTGGGGCCTAGTGGCTCTTTCGTGTTGGGCTCCATGACGTGGAGCATGGGGATGGGGGTGTTTGATATTGGGAAGTAAGGGATGAAAAGAGAAAGAAGATGAGACATAGAAAATGAGGAGAAAGGATAGGAGTTAACGACAAGAGGATGAGGGGTTTATTATTTTACTTTAACGAGGGGGTTACAATCCTGGGACTCGTGACATCAAGCTTCCCCCGCATTTTTCAGACGTTCGCGTCCACTCTCTAGCAAGTCAGTAGTAGTACTCCTCGTTGTACTTTATGATCGACTTGGCCCACAAGGTGGGGGGCAGGTGCAGTGCGATTTTCGCAGGTCCAAGCTATTCGTCATTCCCCACTCGTGATTGGGGATGACAGTCTTTCACGTTAACAGACTATTGCCGTCCCACTGGACCTGGAGAACTCCATCCCGCGGCTAACAATCGGTCCAAAGGGCCCAGAGCCGGTTAGAACTCGGAAGTCGCCTTCGGTTGTTCGCGGTCTTTTGCCCTCGGGCATCATCTTGGGGCCACTGGAGTCGGTAGCTGACGAGGTACTTGCCAAAGGTCCAAGCTGTAGTCTGTAGAACAAGGGGGGATATTAATAAATCAGAGACTCCGGAGTACAGGTACTACTATTACTAGGATCGTCCGAGTTATATAGAAGCAAGCTTGGGCCCCTCTCCAAGTTACCACGAGTGTACTTATACTTCGGCGCCTGCTACTCCTCCATTCTCCGTACTGATACTTAGGAACTCACTGACAACTGACTGGTTCCCCCGCATCCTCCATTTTCGTGTCTCTCCCCTCATCTTCCCCTTCTTCTCCTTCTTTTCATTATTTCCATCTTCTCCTTCCCCCGTGGTTCCTTGAGAAGTTCGAACATCCGCTTCTCCTCTCTCGTGATACGTCATCAGTAAGTTATCCACGGTCCAACCTGCTACACCCCCCGTGACTTCCGAATCCCCCAAGAAATTCGCATCCTGACAGCCACAGGATACTCGGAAACTTTGACTGCTTCGGTGCCTGTGCCGTGAACTCTTTTTCCCTGGTCAGTGGATGAATCATCCGGTCTTTTTTCGCGAATCCTTCATTCTTTCATCTCGCATCTACGTCTGCGACACAACCATCACCACTGCACTACCACCACGACCACCCACAAGCTAACCAATCCTCCTCAGACCATAAATTACTACCCTCACGACCATGGCATCCAACTCCGTCAAGGAGTCCGCCCATAATGCGGCCGTCTCCGCCCAACAAACTACCAAAGCCGCCATCGAGAACCCGGCGCAAACCACCTCCACCATCCTGCACCACCCCTACATGCGCGCCGCTCTTCCCTTTGTCAACGGCGGCTTGGCTGGTATGACAGCCACCATCGTAATCCAACCCGTCGACATGGTCAAGGTGCGCCTGCAACTCGCTGGCGAAGGTGCCCGCACCGGCCCCAAACCCTCCGCCCTCGGCATCACCAAGGAGATTATCGCTTCTGGTAAAGTCCTCGACCTCTACACCGGTCTCTCGGCCGGTCTCCTCCGCCAAGCTGTCTACACCACCGCCCGCCTCGGCTTCTTCGACACTTTCATCAAGAAACTAAATGCTCGCGCCGACGAGCAAAAGCGCAAGGTCACCTTTGCCGAGCGCGCCGCCGCCGGTCTCTCCGCTGGTGGTATCGCCGCGATGATCGGTAACCCGGCCGATCTGGCCCTAGTGCGCATGCAATCCGACGGTCTCAAACCACCCGAGGCACGCGCAAACTACCGCTCCGTCTTTGACGCGCTGGTTCGCATCCCCAAGCAAGAAGGTCTGGCTGCGCTGTGGGCGGGTGCCTTGCCCACGGTTATCCGCGCAATGGCGCTGAACATGGGTCAATTGACCTTCTTTGCGGAGAGCAAGGCCCAGCTTAAGCAGCATACTAGCTTGTCCCCGCAGAACACGACGTTCGCGGCTTCTGCGATCGCGGGTTTCTTTGCTAGTTTCCTCTCGTTGCCGTTTGACTTTGTCAAGACTCGTCTGCAGAAGCAGCAGAAGGATCCCGCGACGGGCAAGGTGCCGTATAAGGGTGTGTTGGATTGCGCGAGGAAGGTTGTCCAGGAGGAAGGGTGGTTGCGATTCTATCGTGGCTTTGGCACGTACTATGTGCGGATCGCTCCTCATGCGTTAGTTTGCCCCCACTTTGCATTGCTTTTTTGGACCCACTTTGAAGATAAACTGACGTTTTTGATCGATAGGATGGTGACTCTCATCGTGGCCGATTATCTTAACCTCATTACTAAATAGAGGGGTGAAAGAGAAGGGAGGTAGAGCGGAAATTGCTCAACTCTCCAGTGTTTGAACACACGATGTTTCGATCTTTGTTCGAATGAATTCTCTTGCATGTCGGTGACTCGCCTTTCGATTTTCGCGCTACTCGCAAAAAGGGAACCCCAAAACGCATCCCCATGCCTGCTTCTTTGCATCGCCAACGTGATTCCCATCCTCCAGGTCAACTCTATACCTTACGCGACCGCTATTCTCAACCTCAAGAGCTAGCGTTATCTACCAAACAACAAGCTCGCTCTGCATTTCTAAGGTTTCAAATGCCGGACCCACACTGAAATCGCATTACCACCGGCTTTCATTTTCATCATTATCGTCTGGTTTTTTACGATCGGAAAACTAATGTCGGTCACTTTCAGACCTTGCTTTTCCCATTCCTATTCTCCCTCGGAGAGAACACTTTTCTCCGGTGGGTTCTTTTGTTGAGGGCCGATGCTTGTGCGGTTTGCGTCGGACGGCGCGGTGTAGCAGCTGGTCTGGTCTGGTCTCCCGGCGATCTCCGTCTCCGCGGAAAGGATAGGGAAGATGGGATACGGCGATGGTGCAAGTATGGGAAGATCCTACGATGCAATCATGTTTAGTTTTTATTGCTTTTTGCTTTTTGTTTTTTTCTTTTCTCTCGACAAGCGAATACCCCCCTACACTTGTCCTATCCTGTCTTGTCCTGTCATATCCCTTTGCTACGCTATGCTGTGCAGTGCTCTACTATCCACGTTTGTCTGGAGTAGGTTTACCTCGATGCGTTATCTTCGTAATGGGGCATTATCAATATTTCCAATCCATGGATTAAAGCATGACTTTCCCTATCCAGCCCTAACATGTCTTTCTCTGCTTCTTTTTCCTTGTGTTGCTTTGTAGCCTTAGATGTCGCACAAGCACGAGGATCTCGGTTACTCACTTGTTCATCCCTTGCTTATACTATGCGGTTATGTATACTTCGGGGTGAATCCCGCTTACCGGCTTGAATTTGTGATACCGTTGCGCTGCAGTGTTTCACTTGCACGGGCACGAGTGTACAGGCCGAGGATGGGTATGAGTATAAGGGGGTAGAAATGAATGGAATGTAAGGATGGAAGAAATAGAGAGAAGAAGGTTCAACATCTACGTCGACGTCTCACTTTGGATTGGATACACTACCTAGACCAATATTAGACAAGGCACTCGGGACAAAATACTTCTATAGCTGGTACATAACTAGATAGTTACCAGACCCTACGGATAGCTCTTACATCTACGAAAACACAATTCATATTCATGACAGCTTTTCCATTCGCGAAACCGGGTATGTAAAAAGAAACAGCGAAACGCGCAAGTATGCATCTCATAGTATTAAAAGGGGGAGGGTGCAAATGAACAGGGGGAAATAGCAAAAATGAAAAGCGTCATCCATGAATCTCATAACGAGTCATCACATTAGGAAACCCCCCAGACCGAGGTGGGAAGGGTCAAGTCCATTGATGATCCCGTGAACAAGCAAAAGCGAAACCGAAGCCGGATGCGAATCAGAGAAATTCCCACGATAAGGTATTTCCCAGATTACACCAGTTCCCATTCTGGGGGTATGTAGCCCAGAACTTAGATGTCGCCGGCGGCACGCTTCTCGGCGATCGCATCGGGGGAGGAGGACGTCCTCGATGGTCTCGTCGGTACCCTTGAGATCGTCTTCCACGGGGACTGTATCGCGGATGCGCATGAAGACGACGGGGAGGGCGACGATGAGAGAGCCTGAAAGGATACCCCAGTTGGAGGCGAGTTCGTTCATGAAGGGGGTTTCGTTGCTGTCGAGGGACCACATCACAGCGGAACCGGCAGATTGAAGACCCTTGTAGAAACCGGCCAAGTTGGCGAGACGACGGCCAGAGTTGCCGAGGGCACCCATGAACCTGGAAAGAAAAGATTAGTTTGGAATGCTTGATGGAGGATTATAAAAGGAAACGTACCAGTAGACAACACCTTGCCAGACAGCATCGTACATGCCGTAGAAGAAGTAGAGGAACATGGGACCAACGTAACCCTTAGTAGTCCAGTCCCAGGGAACGAAGGTGCCAGCGTTTTGAGCCTCCGTGCTGACATCAGCGCGGGTGTAGTGCTTCTGCCAGGCATAGCCACCACCCCAGATGACCATAGTCAGAGTAAACAGGACACCAAAGGCGATCTTGGCACGGACACTGCGACGAACACGCTCGACATCCAAAAGAGGACCGATGATGACGGCAGCCACAATCTGAGCGAACCAGTACAGGAAACCGTTGAGAGCCTTGGTGCGGGTATCGAAGTAGGCACCGTTGATACCGTTCTGCTGGTAGGTATAGAACCAGTTGGAGGACCAGAACATGGGGAAGAGCAGGATAATGTAGGGCTCGGCCTTGATGGTCTCCCACAGACCATAGATCTCAGTCCACCAGCTGGGGCTCTTCATCAGAATGACACGGGAACCATCCTCACGGACGATCTTGTCGGCATCGCAAATGAACAGGGCCAGGCAGGCACCGAAGAACATGAGCACAATGAAGGCAATGTAGGTGCCATCGCTGACGGTGCTGTTAGTGCGGACGTGGATGTTCTCTCCAAGAGGGATCTATAAAAAGAAAGTGTTAGTTTAAAGCTGGTGATCGGGTAAATGCGGGCACGCGCAATGCCCGCATTCCAATGCGCAAAGTACAGCGATCACTTACCAGACTGCCAATGCAAGCACCGACGTTGAAGATGCCCCAAAACCAAGCAAAGTAGCGACCCTTGGACTGCTCCAGAGGGTAGGACATCATGATGGTGCCCTGCGCAGTCCACAGGAGACCAGCGCAAACACCGAGGAAAGCGCCAGCGAAAATGTTGAAGCCGGGGACATACTTGTGGACGGAGACGAGCAGGGAGATCGAGTAGAGACAGTAACCAATACCACCAAAGGACAGAGAGGCGCGAACACCCAGACGGTTGACAATGGTACCGGCGAAGAAACCAACCACGGCAAAGGTACTGTAGAGGGCAACATTCTATAGACAGAGCAAAAAGAGGAAGTGGTTAGCGACCAGTCAAGTCACGGATTTTCGAGATCGGCGCACTCGCGACAGAAACAGCCACGCGGGATGGCGCCGAGACTTGGAGAACTTACCATTTGATCGGCCAAATGGGCATCGGCCTTACCACCACCGCCGAGACCACCGAGAGCGTTGAACATGCCGGGGCACATGAAGCAGACGAATGCGACCATGCCGAGCTGGAACTTGGGGGAAGCATACCAGCCGACATTCCACTTGCCGACACCGATGCGCTTGTACATCCAACCACGGGGGCGCACAACATCGTCCTCGGAGGCCGAGTCGGGACCGACCTGAGTAGTCGGAGCCTTGGGTTCAATCTCTGCCATGGTGAACGATGTGCAGGAGAGTAACCCGAGAGCGGGGAGGTTGGTGAGGTGGTGGTGAAGTGGTGGAGCGCGATCGGGGGAGTGGTGGAGGTGAAGGGGGGTGGTGTGGGTGTTGGAGGAGGAGAAAAGAAGATCGTGTGGGGAAAAGAAAGAAAAGAAAAAGAAGGGGAGGAGGGGATTAAAAAGATCGTGAGACGCGAAGAAAAGGAAGCGCAAAAAAAATAGACGGACAAGGTAGCTCGGGTGAAACTACGACTGATTCGGAGCTGTCAATGTTTTGTCCTCATGATGGACCGAATGGGACATTATGGGGACTGGGGGAAGATTCGAATACTACCACGCGGCAAGGTAACATTCAAGCTTGTCCCTAGGTCCAGTCAGCACTGCTCCTGTGGAGTCTGAATCCAAGCAACGCAAAAAATAAGCCGTTTATTTTGCGAGGAGAGTAGTAATTGGATAATTGATTCGGTAGTTACTAAGGTACAGGAGTTATAGTAATCATAGCTGAAGTAGAACGCGTAGTATGTGATAGTAGGTGTTGGTGTAGTAAAGACGTGGAGGTGAAGCGGGCAGGGCCGCTTTGATAGCAGAGTTACACTTGCCTGGATGGAACATGGTAAGGACTCGGTAGATTGGGAGGTTCTAGTGTACTTGGACAAAACTAAGCGATAGGGAAATCATCAACAGTCGGGACCCCAAGTCGCGTGACGGACCCCTAAACGACGTGGTATTATCCACCTCCACTTCCTCCTCAACCCCCAAAAGTATGGAGTATGGAGTTGAAAGTCTGGAAATCTGGAGTATACTGGAGTAAAACTGTGGCTCTCTCTGGAGGAAACGAGGATATGTGACCCTGCCGCATTGCGGTTGCATGGGGTCCCTTCAGTGGCTGAATGGCTTGAGAAGAACACTTGGAGCCAGCCCTTCAGGGGGCGCAAAGAACTAACAGAACAGACCAGTCGCACCGTTGGTTCCCGTGGGCTTGTTGAACTAACAGCTGATTAGGGAAGAGAAGGAGGATGTAGACCAGTCAGAGGCCCGGAATAGGGGGGGCGAAATTGGATGCTTTGAGTCTAGATGGTGTGGGGAAGGATATACTAACTCGAATGGGTTTAGTGGATGTAGTTTTTCTCGCTTTAACAAATTTGGTTCCCACGTTATCCCCGTCTGGGGTTAGCGGGGGCAGGCTATCGGGTGATGCGTGAAACATTGCTCGAGGCATGTGCAGTTCGCCAGCAGATCGATCCAGTAGAAAAGAGCCATGACGACGGCAATTACGAAGATAACTGCAGATTTGGTTTAAGACATACGATTTGCAGCAGGGTAGGTAATTATAGTGTCGCTGTAATGGCAGGATTTAAAATCTAAGCATTTTCTCCTGCAAGGCCACTTTGCTTATCTGCACCCGTCCGTTTTGGCCATTCAGCTGGCCTGCTTTCTTATCTAGCCTTATCACTTATCACGCTTATCGCATGACTGGCAGATGCATTTCAACCAGCCTTGCCAGTTGCCACAGAGGTGGTCCAGTTCAACATTTAGCCTGCTATCACTGGCTATATTTATCCCAACAATATAAATACGTCCAAGCGCAGGGCGATTAAGATGGATCAAAATGGATGTTCTCAACACCGGTCGCAGATTGGAATAGATAGAGACCTAGTGCCTCAACCCATTCCACATCGCTTAACGAGCCGAATGGAGTCATTCGTTAATCGCTACTATATTTTTTACAAGTCATCGTCTGACCAAAAAGTGTGCGTATAGCGAGTGAGTGCAAGCCAGGAATGAATTGTAACAGTTGCATATAATCCCAGGCAAATCTCGACTGAGATAAGATAGCCATCTCCCTTGAAAATGGCCGATTGCTTGTTATCATGATCGCATATCAGGATGTAACTGATCGGTGGTATTGAGCCGCACTGCACTGGAGCTACTAATTATCAACCGGTATCCGAGAGAAATTCTACATAAAATATTCATGATTTTATATGCTCCAATGATTGAACGGTTTCAATAGCCACTATGTTCAATAATGAATCCCGCGCGTGCAGGTGGTCTGTTGGGGAACAGAGGTCCTCACACTCAATGGTGTTGAATTAAAGTATACCAATGCTGAGCTCATTTAGCGAAAGTTGCCAGTCTTCGAGAGATATATCCTGTTGCTATAGTACTCGTCTAATCGCTCGACGCCTATGCAAACCTAACAGACCTAGTCCACTCAAGGTAATTAATCGATAGCTTTCCTATTTAGATATACTGGAAGGCTTATTTATGTTTCTAGACTTTCGCTGTAGGAAGATGAAGATAAAGCACGGTCGGGGTCATTCACAAAACAGGTAGAAGGCTAACATGGTTCCCCAGATTCGAACTTCTTCCTGCCAAGAGTACTAAGCCCGTATTCATTGTAGCCAAGACCAGCACTCATGCTAAAGTGAGGAAATGTGAATTTGTAATGCCAAAATACGAGGAACCTATAGTTACAGTGGTAGTGCAAAAGTTTGAAACTATTTCCTGCTTACCGCCCATGTTTCACCGCCTGTTACTGACTCCTAATTACCGTCTACCTCTTTCGCGAGATGCGTTATTTATTAGCTGATATAGGTGCGATGCCTCACAGGGTACAAGAAATTATAGACTTAGAAGAGTGATATACAAAATATAATGTTGTTTGGGATGAAATCTCTCTTCTTCGATAGATTTTTGACTAGCAGAAAAGCCTTGGCATTAAGGAAATAGTTTCAAACTTATGCACTGCCACTGTAGCATTTGTCATCTGGAGAATAAATAACCAGCCAGAATGGCTATGTCGTCATTGCAGTTGACATATTTAAGTCTTGTCGCATTGAAGCCTACAATTTCTTATTTATCATACAGTGAATTGTAAACTCCCATTGCTACAAGAATCCCAATTCTAAAGATCACTTCCACAATGGCAACCCTTCCATACAACATCATCGACGTCTTCTCATCCACAGCCTACAAAGGCAACCCACTCGCCGTGGTAAACAACACATCCGATACCCTCACAAAACCACAAATGCAACTAATAGCCCGCCAATTCAACCTCTCCGAAACGACATTCATCTGTCCACCCACAAACCCAGATGCAGACCTACGTCTACGATCCTTCCTCCCTAATGGGGAAGAAGTCTTCGGAGCAGGCCACAATTCACTCGGCGCCTGGTGGTGGGCTATCTATTCAGGGACTTGCGATGCACCGCTGGATCACACTGCGCGTACCTACCATCAACAACTCGGTGAAGCTATTTTACCTGTGGAGGTCTCCAGATCGTCAGCGGGGGAGATTAATATATCCATGCGCCACGGCGAACCGCAATTTCTGAACATACATACCGATAAAGCGTCATTGGCTGATGCCCTCGGAATCGAGGATACGGATATCGGACTCGAAAGTCCCTCGGGGACCACTCTTCTCGAAGAAGCGCAAGTTGTAACGACTTCGCCGGCTCGACATCTTTTGATCCCTCTTCGCAATAAAGAAGTTCTTGACCGTGTGACTTTCGCCAATAAAGAGCGTATTGCGGAGGAACTCCCTAGCACGGATAGTCACAATAGTGGCGTTTACGTCTTTACAGCGGTTGAAAGCAAGAATGGGATTCCGACATTCGAAGCGAGGTTTTTCAGTCCTGGGATGGGCATGGAAGATCCAGCTACTGGGTCTGCGGCGGGGCCTTTGGCGGCGTTTGTGTGGGAGAATGCTAGTGAGTTGGTTTCTGCTCAAGAGGAGGGATCGGGGGGTGTTGGTATAGAGGTTGTGCAGGGACTGAAGACTGGGAGAGAGTGTTTGATGAAGGTGAGAATTGGTCGTCGTGTGGTTGGAAGTATAGAGTTGTCGGGGACGGGTGTGCTGGTTGCCGATGGTAATATTGTAGTGCCTTCGTCAGATATTGTACTTTAGAAGACCTTGACGGGCAGAGCTTTCAAATACATGAGATGAGGGTGGCATTGATAGACGTGGGCACAGATTGTGTGACATGCTGGAGAAAATCTAGCTTTCGTAACTTCAGACCGTTCTTCCCCGCTAGGATGATTAGATGATATAATGTTGTACACATGGATATACCATTTCATAGGAGGAGGAAGCCAGGTCACAGAGATGCCATAGAACAGGTATGCCTGGATATTTTCGACTTCGCATTTGCGGATATAGTGACAACTCATCTATTAATCGCTATCTTCTTCAATGTCTCCACTACTCTCGGTTTCATCTTCTCCCTCTTCCTCCTCCTCCTCCTCTTCATCTTCATCATCTGACTCCATCATCCGCCTTTTCCCCTTAATCTGACCAGGCTCGGATTTAATCTGCGTCCCAGGTGGCCTATCCACATCCATCGCATCCTCATCAGGATCCACCGCGTCACTGGCCAACGTCACCCGGTTCAGTCTCCGCTGTGCATCCTCGTCCTCCTCGTCACTTTCCTCCGCACGCCGCGCCTCCTGCTCTTCCGCACGACGTACCCGACGTTGCAAGGCCGTATCGCGGACCAGGTCTCCTGCAGTAAGGATAATCGAACACACGGGGCACTTGACGGCCTTGACACGGGGAGGGCCGCCGGGCATGGGCCGTGAGCGCGAGATCATATCCATGATAGCATCGTGCTCGAAGCTGTGTGGACATTTCGTGCTAGTAACCGGATCCCGGAAACGGACTAGAGTAAGGGGGCAATCCAAGGAGATGCGCTCGAGCGCGATGGCGACGTCGTCCGAGTCTGCGGGGGATGGCTGGCGCTGGTTCCGTGTTCGGCGCGTTGAGGGACTGCCACCGGAGGCGCCTACATCGGAGCCAGCATCGTGGTCATCCATGTGCGAGAACCATGTAGAAGAGTGTGGCATGGGTGGTGCTTCGTTATCGGGATACTTGGAATCGTGCATGATGCGGTAGAATCCAGTATAAGTATTGTTGTTGGCGTATCTACACCATCCGTGATGTTAGACATGACCATGGCATAAACGGACATAGTCCAGGACAGTAAAAGACCATACCTCTGAGTCAATGACAACGCTTCCCAGTTTCGTTGGTCCTCGGCCAGCGAGGTATCCAGCCTCTTACGAGGCGGATTCTGTGTATTGCGCTCGCGAACCTCCCGCACAGGCGTAGACTCTCGATCCATTTCACCTTCATTCATTTCAGCATCTCCATCTTCATCGTTCACTCGCCGCATCGGCCGCTGCCGACTCCGCAGTTGTCGCTCGGGGAGCAAAATAGTCTGTATCTGTGCTTCCTCCTTATAAAGCTTCTCCAACGCATCTTTCAACCCAATAGACTTGGCCTCGCTATCAACGACATGGCGCATCTTTTCCTCCAAACGGCCCACAATAGAATTCACTTGTCGTTCCTGCTCCGCAAGACGTTGATACTCTTCATCCTCGCCCCCGTCTAGTTCCTGGCCATCTTCCTCGTTTCGCCGTTTTTCTTTTCCCTTCTGGTATCGAGTTTGCGCATCACGGAGCCGATCGCTCACTTCGCCGACTGATTCGGTGAGATTGACGCCTGCATCGTGGATGTGTTTCTTGACTATCTCGAGGGAATGTTTACCGAGGAGCTGGTGAAGATTGTGATAGTCATCTTTGGATAGAGGGGCCTCGGGGCTCTGATATTCTGGGACTTCCGGGCCTTCTGTGCCTTCGGGGATTTCGGTGGCTCTCGCGGTAGATCTTGGGGTGGCTCGTGAGCGGACGCTGGGTGGAGGGCGAGATTGGGACAAAGAGGTGCGCTGTCGCGCGGGGGTTGCGGAGAGCATTCCGGCCGTAGAGTGGGTGGGCCAAAATAGGTGATTTTCTATGAAATTTGGCAAATCTTTTGGGAGATTCGAGTGGGCGAAGGGTGTTAAATGATCTGCCTTTGAGGTGGTTTTGCCGTTGCGTAGACAAAGCAACTGGAAATCCTAACGCGACGCGACCACACTAGTCCCGATTTGGTTACATTACAGCGATAAGCTTATCGCCCTTGACTATGCACGTAAGGACTGGAGGAAATGTTTGAGGTTGTACTACGCAATGAAGCACTATATGGTTGCATTGCAGGCGGAATCTCTTTCGAAGGCTCTTCACAAGTGGTGATGCGGCATTATTTTAATTATCTGGTTTTCTTGGAGTAGTCTCGCTAAAGTATGCAAAGGCGAATTGGCATAGATACAGTTTTAAACCTTGTAGAAACAGAAAGCATGGTAGAAGCCTGCCAAGGGTTAGCATCAAGTGGCCTAAACTGGATCGGATCCAAGCACTTACTAACTGCATCCTTCTCCTCCTCGGTCATCAACAACTCTCCAGTACTACGATCCCGCACTCCCATGCGCTCACTGAGCGGGCCCAGCTCGCGATCATTCTTCTCGTCTTCCCAGATCTCCAGGAACGGCTTGCGGTACTGCAGCTCGAGGTTGTAATCCTCGGTCAAACTAGAGTACGATTAGCATCTTAGAACAAAAGGGACGGGACCTTTTAGCGTTAAACTCACGCTCGGAAGGCCTCCCAAGGAACGACGTATTCAGGAACACCCTCAACCGCTTCCGACATAAAGTATGTATACTTCCATCCAAAAGGCGGACGGAAGACACCATTCTCAGGAGTATCACCAGGGAAGCGAACACTGTAGATATCATTGCCCCATCCACATCGTTCCTCCTCTTCGACCTCGCCATCCTCGGGGCCTTCGGTCTCAGCAGGCTTGGCGGCTTCCTGCTCCTTGCGATTCTTGTGGAAAGTACTGACTTTGCCGGTGATCACATCCGAGTTCGGGCACACACCGATGAAGCGACCACCCTTCTTTAGACAGCCAGCGACGTTGCTGAGCATCTGACGGGCCTTCTCCTCACTTTCAAAGGCATAGTGAATAGCAAACATGGAAGTGACAACGTCAAAGCCACCGCCACCCCATCGCGATGCCATCAAAGAGCCACCAGGTCCGGCATTGGGGTCAATGCCGACGCGCTGGATAATGTTCACATCGGCCAGGGACTCGCCAAAGCAATCCTTGGTCGCAAACTCCGCGTGGAACAGAGCAGTTGGTGGCCGGCGGCCGCGGCCACCTCCACCACGAGACCGCATCTGACCGTATCGATCTCGAGCCTGTTCAATGGAGATATTGGCCGGGTCGAGTCCAACGTATAGTTCTACCTTTTGCGGGGCAAGCTGCCACTTGCCCAAGTCACCACCCTTGCCGCAGCCCAAATCCAAAACAAGCAGCTGCTTGTCCTCGACCGGGTTCGGGCGCGTGCTATCATCAGCCCAATCCTTGGTATCATTGAAGCGTGCAGCAAACTCCTCGTCAGGCGAGAACTTCTGGATCAAGGTGCTCTTGATCCAATTGTTGAAACTGCGCAGCCCCTTGATCTTGCTCTCAGTCTTGCGCCACTCGCGGCCACGCTCAGGTACGGCATTGTAGTGCTGTCTGACAACGTCGGACACACCACGATCTCGTGATGTCCGCATTGCATCCTCTTCCATCGCGCGCTCGCGCTCCTCCTGTCGTCGCCGCAATTGCTCGGGGTTTAGCAAGCCAGCTCGTGCGCCACCGCCTGGTCGCTTGCGCTGTTTAGGTTGTTCCTCGGGCTCTGGTGAGCGACGCTGTAATGGGGAACGCGAGCGTCTCGAGTAGTCATCGCGCGGTGTAGCATTGCTAGGGCTGCGAGATCGATTGCGTCGAGAGTAGATCGAGGGGGGAGGTGTGCGGCCGCGTCTGCGAGCCTGGTGCCGCTCCTGCATACGCTTGCGCTTGTTGGCCGGACCAGACTGGTATTGTTGATCAGCTCCTGGGGTGGATCCATTGGGCTGTGCCGTAGGACCGGAAGGGGGAACAGCGCCGTTCCTGTCTCTTTCGGCAGGGTTTGGCGTGCGAGCCTTGGGAGCACCCGAGCCTGGTGAAGAGTCCATTTGGTCGTGAGAACCGTCCGCAGGTGATGAATCGAGGTGAATGTGAATTTCTTCGGGAGAATGGATTTGCGGTGGGTACGAAGCCAATGATCAAAGGACTCGATTGGACGGAGTGAACAAGGGCAAACCCAGTGGATATGGTTGATTGATAATATGAAAGAGCTCGGTTCTTTCACCCGAGACTCGTTGAACTTGAAAAGTGAGAGAGGTTCTTCGAGACTGACTTCGGTGGAAGAAGGGAGCTCCGCTGCCTGTGGGTCTTGGCCGCAGCTGCCGTAATCAAAGCTCCACACGATGTGAGCCTCGCTTCTCTACCATTTATACATTGAAGCAAATTACATATTTAGTCAGGACTCAGTACATTTCTCATCCCATGCATAACTATAATTCACGTACAGGTGGCTTTGAATTGTAATTTGCCTTCGGGGTCCAGTCATACAGGCTACAGCTACAAGTACATATGTACCCTGGTGGCGCATTGGGGATGGTAAAAACACAAAATATCTTGTCATTCTGTGAACTAAAACGACACGAAAATGCATGCAACCTACCTGGTCCTCCCCCTTTTTTGCTTTTTTGGATAAGCGCAATTCCAGATAAATGCAAAACATAGCACACGAAAAAGATCAGATCAACCTAACTTGCTCGAAGACAAATCAGCTCATAGTTGGCCCTTCAGTCTTGATCCTTCGTGGCCAGGTGTTTTCGCAGCCTAGCCTCGATATCTACGCACTGGTCGCGCAGATGCACCAGAGTATCACGTAGATTTCGAAATCGCCAATAGGGGCCCTGGTCGTGTGAAGTGCGTACAATAGCGACGGTGGCAAGGTCAAGTTGCTGGATTTCACCAGTCAGGTTCTGAGCGAACTGACCCAGATAATTCGGATCCAGTAGCTGGGAGCTTCCAACACTGAACGCATGTGTAGATTGAGTGGGTCGAATGCTGAAGAACGGCCTGCGAGTGTCCATGTTTGGAACATCTAAACTTGCGTGCTGATCTTCTGCAGAATCGCTCTGGATGTTCTGAGTTGGATCATGAGTTGATGCAGAAGCTTTTGAGAGCTCTTTTGAGACGTGGTCAGAGGAGCCTGCAGGGGCGAAAGTTGAAGGCTGAGAAGAATGAAGACCAGGTGGAAGACCCATAGAAAGCGCCGTCCGACGACTAATCACTGGACGGATACGAAGAGTGGGAACAGGGCGTGGTAGGGGACTAGCCTCAGAGATTGGTTGGTCAACTTGCAATTCCTCGCTCTTTGATGCCGTTGCCTTTCTGGCCTTCTTGGGAGAATGCTTGCGAGAATCAGCGTCATCATCGACACTGCGTTTAGCAGCGGTCACCGTTCCCTTTCGCTTGCGACTGGGACCTGCACCTGCATGACTGGATTCTGCGGGTTCATATACCTCAAGACGTTCCTTCCACTTGGGTATACAGGACCTGAGAACTTCCTCCGGGAACCGCAGTTCACCGTCAGGAAGCCGCTCAAACAGGATTCTGCAGTATGCAGCGCGGATGACCCCATGGCTCGCGAAATAGTTGGTATAACGTTGACGGATTCTTGGAGGCTGACAGCAGAGGTTCGCAATCTCAGCGTCAGTCAATTCGTCCTCTGGATTTGGCAGACTATCAAGGTCAACAGTTGGTTTCATCCGTCTCTTCGACCGGGTACCCTTAACGGAAGAGCTGGCAGGCTCAGGATCTGGAGAGGCACGGATGCCAGAGTCCGATACGGCCGTCTCAATGTGGGACTTGGATGATCCAGGGTCTAGCAGGTCGTTGTCAGCGAGCTGGTCTTCCCGAGTGTTGACATCCTCAGGGGCAAGGGAATCGCGGGAGACCTCAGCATCCTCATTGGGAGCACCCAGGACAGTCAGGTCGTTGTGAGTGGGCGGATTCTGGGAGACTTCGTCTGAAAAAGTAACAATGTCAGTGGCAGCAGCGTCCCCGGCTGCAGAAACCGTAGAAGTGCCACCATCAAGCACGCCACTTTGACTTGCCACATGGTCGTAGATGCTGAGCGGAGACATGGAGCCATGTATGTCATTTGTAGCGATGATGAGAGGTGTAGAAATAGGGGAAACCGCAGGGGCCACAGGGCCTTGCGAAGTCTCGTCTGCGACATTCTTGTCGGGATTGGCAAGCCCCGGGGAGTTGAGGGGTGCCAGGCTGACCATGATAGTGGGCTGTTCCTCAATATCCATGTTGGAATGAGGTTGACTTTGATTTTTCAGTCCAAGGATATGGTAGATGGTGAAATGTAGAGGGTGTGTCAGTGACGGAAATTGAGAAAGTGACTTCAGGTAGTGAAGATGAGTAAGGTGTAGCGTATTTGGAGTAGTATGTCCAGAGCAGATGTGTGGGAAGTAGATCATCAACTGCTCATAGTCAGAGCTGGTTGGAAGTGGTAAAGCCGGTTAGGCCAGGGATGGTTGCACGAGTTGAAGGAAAGGAGAGTTGTGGATGGAGAGTTGTGGATGGAGAGTAGTTAGTAGAGAATGTAGGAGTTATAGAGGACAGCGGTTAGAAGATGACCATTTGATATAGGGCAAAACGCTTAGGTTGACGAGACTAGCATGAAGAAATGAATAGGTGATGGATCACGGTGAATTCAAAGTGCGTGATATGTGACGTGAAAGTGCGAGCTATAGATTGATCTTTATGGCTGGGCTTCAGCGACTTCTCGACGTTCAAAATGACGATTTCAGAATACTAGAATGTATTTTGTTACCTTAATTACCTCACTGTAGGGACAGAAGTAACGAATATTAGCGATAAAATAACGATTATCAGAAGTCTACAGACCGAATACTATGTTTCTTGTAGCGCCCCTAACATCAGATGAATACCACCCTTTCTATGATATCTCCCCTTTATAGCACCTCCGAACCAGAAAGTACTTAAAGATCCTATAAACATATACTATAGTTCATTCTCTTACCGCTAATATCTAGGTAACGATAGTTAGTGACCAAGGAAACGAATCTAAGACTTTTTATGACGGCCTAACATCAGATGAAAAAACATGCTATTTATACCACAAAGAAGCCGTAGGAGCGGCCGAAGAAAAAGTTATAGGAAAACTAGTAGCGCTCGTAATCACACTTAGGGAGTACCTTGGGAGCACTCTCGAAGCAACCTAAAGTACTGTAACCCATGCTAGAAGCATTGTAGAGGTATCCTAGAAGCACCGGCGGGGTTAACCAAAGGAGTTGTCGTCGGAGTCCTTAGAGTCATCGAATGTGTTAAAGGGGCTAAAGGGACCTCGTTTCCTGGTGATGTCTCACTGGCCAATTTTTGCTGGATGATAGAGATGGTGTTGCATCGTATAATATCCGGAAAATGCTGCCCCAGTTTACGGCGCAATATCCTGACCTATTCCAAGAGGGACTGCAGAAGCGCCGGGCCGAGGAGAAGAAGCCCATTGAGAAGAGGAGACGGGCGGACGTCTTCAACGGTATTTGTGAGGACCATCTGCGGGATATGATGGGTGTAGTAGGGGATTGTGAACAAGCACTGGAAGGAGCACTCGAATGACGCCTCGAAAGACGTCTCTAAGGAATACTCGCGGGCTAAGCAAGAAATCTCAGTGATCCTGAACGAGTTCTCTCGTGCGTTACTGTGAGTAGTATAAAGTAGTGAGTGTAGATGGAAGGACTTTCAGTTTGGACTACAGTGTAGACTACAGTATGAAAAACGGTGTAGACTGCAGTGTGGTTCATACTACAGAAATAAGCAAGTCGCCGTTATACGAAGTGAAATCGAACAGCGCAGGGCTGGAGGAGATCCTGCATCATACATGGTAGTGATGCTGGTAATGAATAAGGAGCTTGCCCGACTTCAATTCTGAAAACAGAGAATGCTGACAACGTGATAGAACATGAACCTACAATTATGCCCATAATGCCTGTAACGCCTTGCACATGATTGTAATGACAATAGGGGACATTAAAAATGGAATTAGACACTCAAAAAGCAAGTCACTGCGGAGGCGCAGGCTTGCGCCGCGGTGACTTGTGTGTCAAGACATGTCTCATGCGTCGAATCTTGGCCCACCACTCACGGTCTGCCGCCTTCTTTGTCTCTTCATTCTCGGCGGCCTCATCATCGAACGTGTCTGCCGTTGGAGTACTTGGTTCGGTGCGGAGAGTACCCACTGATGCCACAGAGCGTATTCGTCTGCGGTGCTTCACCTTGACAGCCTCGGTGACAATTTCCCATCCACTTCGTAGATCGGCAGTCTTCTCATTCGCTCTGCCGGTTCCACTCTGGGCTGTCCGGTCAACCCACGGGCAGTAGTCCATGTGCTCCGTAGCCACGTCCAGGGAAGTGTAGACAGAGACCTCTCCGTTCTCCTTTGGTTTGTACATCCAAAGGCCCAGGCGGCGGAAGCAGGCTCTGCAGGCAGCTAGGTCCTTCGACCCATCGACGGTGGAGTCCCAGCCAAAGAATGCCATGGCTAGCGCTGCTTGATTGATGTTTTGCAGCGGCTCGGCCGTTGGTTGCGGGGTGGTTTCATTGTTGTCCTCGTTCGCCTCGGTGGGTTGATGAGTAGCCTCAGAAGCTTCATTGGACTTCTTGAACCAGTCTTCTGGCAGGGAATTCATAAGACTTTCAATATCGAAGCCCTCCGGGGTCTCAATGCTGTCATGAGCTGGCAGCTTATCGCCTATCTCAGCGAGATGCAGGTATCGAGTACGAAGACCAGATATGGCTGCATCTGTGTTTGTCAAAGGAAGATGTTGTATCGTAGCTGCAGGATAGTTAGAAAAGGATCATGAACTCCCATGAGACTACAGCATACCATCACATCCCCTGTTCCTCCATGGGCAATTATCGCCATGCTCTTCTGTGATTTGCTTCTGATATTCTTCCACCAGTTTTGCGCCTACAATTGTTACGTTAGCGCGAATTCGTTCAAATCCCTGGAATCATTTCCCATCAGTGTCAACATACGGACTTCCTTTCGTTCTTGAACTTTCTCCATATCATATCCGTCAAGCTCATCGATCTCATCCGGAAGCTTGACCACTACCGAGCCGCCACAGCCACTAATGCAGCTGACTCGCATGATATCAGTACAGATCCATCCTCGCTTGGCCCACTGAACTTCATTGATGGGAGCAGGTTTGGAGGTCCATCGGTCAACACGGCGAAAGGTCTCGAGGCGTTCGAGGAATCGTTCACGATCCCAAGGTACGAAAGTAGGGCGCGTGGAAGAGGAAGAGGATGTGGTTCGGTTGGAAGGTCGGGATAGCTTAAGGATAGAGTCGCGTACAGAGGTGAGGTTCGTGGTATCGTTGTCGCTCAGCCGGACCTTTTTGATTGAGAGGTTGGCTGGAATGCGGTCTTGGGCTGTGGTGGCGGGCCCCGTGGTGGATGGTTTCGAGGTATTATCAGTCGCAAGGGGCTTGGAGATAGACTCCAGCACTCGATGGAACTTGCGCTTCTTTGACTCGACGGCGTACGACATCTCCGCACCGTGTGGTGAAGCAATGAGGCAAACACAAATGCGCGAAGGAGCGCGCCGACAAGCTCCCCAGACAAAGGTGTTTCTGCCTCAGGCAGGAATATCAGCACACCTCGCCACCAGTCACTGGTTGCTCTGGGGTAGTTAATACTCAAGGCGTAACAATAAAAATCAATCTAAAGGACAGGTAACGCTTCTTGCTAGTATTCTCTTGAAAGTAATCGACCATAAACCTTGTATTGTATTGTTTGCACTGCTCTTAGTGAAGTCGAGCAAATCCCTGGCCTCTGATTGGTGCTCGGCATCCCTCGCAACATCTTATGATTTGCGCAACCAACCGGCCATTTCCTTTTTCTTTCCCCAAGGGCATCTGCTGCCACCAGTCAGTCACCATGGCTTCATTAAGCTCAGCTCTGCCGGCATGGCGGAGTGTTGCCCCCCGTCTATCGAAAGACCTCTTTACCTGCAGACAATGCCTCCGAAACCAAGGCTTTGCCGTCAAATCCGTGCGCCGGTTCGCCGCAATGCCGTCTCCCAAGCCTAGCATGACCCGATCCTCCCTTTTCACCGATAAGAACCGCCAATTCTTCACCTCGAGTCTGCGCCGATCTGTGGCTGCCCCGGCTGTGGGTGCTGCAGCTGATGAGGTTGCTGCTAAAGCCAAGTCGAGCTTCCCCAAGATCAGCGACAAGTCCGTTGCATACTGGCTTCTGGGTAGCGCCGCGAGTGTGTTCGGTATCGTGATCTTTGGAGGATTGACTCGCTTGACTGAATCTGGGTTCGTATACCTTGTCTGTTACTGCTACAAAAGCCATTGAGTTCTGCACGCTAACGTATTCTTTGCCTGGACAGCTTGAGCATCACCGAATGGCGCCCTGTTACTGGATCCCTGCCGCCTATGAACGCCGATGACTGGGAGTCCGAGTTCGCCAAGTACCGCGCATCCCCCGAGTTCCAGCTGCTCAACCCCAACATGAATCTGTCCGAGTTCAAGTCTATCTACTACATGGAATGGATCCACCGTCTCTGGGGCCGATTCGTCGGTCTCTCGTTCGTTATCCCCGCCGTTTATTTCGTCGCCCGCAAGAAGGTCTCCACGCCCATGGCTTGGCGCCTGGCTGGTATTGCCGGTTTGATTGGTTTCCAAGGCTTCCTGGGCTGGTGGATGGTCAAGTCTGGTCTCAAGGATGATCTGTTTGCGCCTGGTAGCCACCCCCGTGTCAGCCAGTACCGTCTTACTGCCCACCTTGGTGCTGCCTTTACCTGCTACGTCGCTATGCTGTGGAACGGTCTTGCTATCCTGCGGTCTCACCGTCTGATGAAGGATGCTACCGAGGGGCTGAAGCAGCTCGAGGCTCTCCGTGACCCTCGTCTGGCCTTCTTCCGCCGCTCCGTTGCCGGTCTCGCCATCCTGGTCTTCACTACTGTCATGTCTGGCGGTCTCGTTGCCGGTCTCGATGCCGGTCTTATCTACAACGAGTTCCCCTACATGGGCAAGGGTTTCGCTCCTCCTGGCTCCGAGCTGTGGGATGCTCACTACTCTCGTCACGAGGACCGGTCTGACCTGTGGTGGCGTAACATGCTTGAGAACCCCTCCCTTGTCCAGCTTGACCACCGCATTCTCGCCATGACTACTTTCACTTCTATCATGGCTCTCTTCATCTACTCCCGCCGCTCTTCCACTGTGAGCCGTCTCTTGCCCCCCGCGGCTCGCAAGGGTATGCACGGTGTTGTCGGCTTTGCCTGCATGCAGGTTGCCCTCGGTATCTCTACTCTGCTCTACCTCGTCCCCACACCGCTTGCTTCTGCCCACCAGGCTGGTAGCTTGTTCCTCCTCACCTGGGTTATGGTGCTGGGTAGCCGTGTCTGGCACCCCTCGCGCACAGCCAAGCTTCTCCAGATGGCTGCCAAGGCTCGTGGCCAGCAGCTTTCCAGCTCTACTGCCTCGGCCATGAAGCGGCTGTAAAGCACCAGCATTGCCGTTGAATGTATGAATATGTTGAGCAAGGCGGACTTTTGCGATCTATAGCCTTGATGTTCTGATACCATCTCCATTCCTTTCCGACTCGTTGACTAGCTCAAGAGTCTTCTGTATAAGTATCTTATCTACACGTTGTAAAGACTAAAATAAAATGAACAGTCTAAACAAATTCAAACTCCAAATGCAATCGTTCAATTGTTAGCTACTAGATATGGCGCTAAGATCTTCGTCACTTCATACAACGCTAGATTCACAGGTCATCTTTTTCACGTCTTCACTCTTTCATGTCAGCCGGTCTCGCCCTGCGGGATGGATTTCGACGCACATTGACGAGGTTATCGGGCAAATTATCATCATCAGTCTCGTCCTCGGTGTCAATATCCGGCAGAATCTCAGTCTCATCGCTGTCAAATTCAGCACCACCGTCCGCAGCACGGTTGGTCGGCTGAGAAGGGCCGGCAATCGTTCCACTACCACGGGTATGTCCACTCGTTGATCCCGCCTGCACCCTGCTCCGCTTATCGTTCTTGAGCTTGAGAAGAATCGCAGCGGCCTCTTCCTCGGGCGTTGCATATTTCTCACCCTCCCGCCCCGATTCCTTCGGGACTGGTGCGAAGTACGACTGCGTCATACTGGCTCTGGCTATCGCCGTGGGAGGCGCGTCCTCGGGGACATGCAAATTGCCAGCTTTGGGATGTGTACGATCTCCACCTCTTTCGGCGAGACATCGACGGCAGCATTGCCATCCGCATGGCTTACAGCGTACCATGCCGTCTGTGTTGCGCTTGTCGCAGACATCGCACTTTGCTGTGTGGGCGGCTAGTTCTTCGAAGTCGACTAGCTGTACTGCTAACTCTTTCTGGGGGACTTTGAACTGGCGAGGACGAATTGACATGGATGTCTGCGGAGGGGGTCTCGGGGGATTGCTGAGGGGAGATGTGGTCTCTTGGGACGGCTCATGGCGGCGAGGTGGAATCCAGGATGCGCCCTCTGGGGTTCTCAGAGGGTCACTCTGAGGAGGTGTAGGCTGCTCAGGTATCTGGTAATGGCGGGGCAGAGGTGGTAGAACTCTCTGGGGGGTTCTTAGAGGGTCGCTGTGAGGAGGTGTAGGGTTTTGTCCATAGTTGGTGGTATGGGTGATGACGGGAGAAGGGGTGGGAGTTCCTGTTGGCGATGGGATTTAGCATATAATGCGAGCCTTGTTGATGATAGATACATGGACATACCTCTCTGTGGAACAGTTTCACTGGGCTCATCAGTATTCGTGTCTGCTCCGGGCTGCAGATACCGCGAATAGCCAGGGTAGCCAAGATTGAGAGGCCACTGCATTCATTAGAATCATCCTGTCAGTCGACCGAGAACCGTGAATTTTCAAGAGGAAACCTACAGGGACAGGGACATGACGATAGTATCCCAGGAGCCTATTCGCCTTCATACTCTAGTCAGCTGAGCATTAATAAAACGCTGTCGATACCGGATCGTCAAGTAATAGTTCAACTAACATCTTGATTTGGACCACTTGGCTGATAAGCCAAGTCCACGGCCGGGGGTGGTAGATGCCTCTCTTGTGGCGTTTCTGGGGTGCCAGGGAATCTGTCGACGACTGGTGTCCTCAGATCCATCACCATATTACCGGTGCTGAGTGGAGGCCGAGGCGAGTCTGATGCTCGACGCCTCTTTGTTTCGGAAGGGTCAGGGAAAGGACTCTTCCTACCACCCGGTTTCGACGGCCGGGGAATAGGAAGCATGGTGAATATTGGAGATTTACCAGGATGAAACGGAAAGTTGAGGATAGAAAGTGTTTGTGAAGGAGAGGAGGCTAAGTGATGTTTTGCCAGCTTTTTATGTCAAATTAATCGTGAGGAAAGAGAGACAAACAAAAGTCTGGAGAATGCCATATTCTTTCTCAAGACAGGAGTACACGCTCGAAACCACTGAGGCAGATTCTACAACTAAATAGATACCGTCATTAGTAGTGCTAGAACTTAACTCAATACTATACCTCGTTTTGTTATAGTACCGAGGCTCCATGTCTCAACACTGCCTGGTCTTCCCCACCCATGTCCAGATATTTTATCTTGGATCGAGGATCTGACGAGAATGCGTGAATATGAATGGTATATTTTCTTTTGCGGTCTTCATTCTACTTCACACGATACCTCCTTTTCACAGGCAGTCACCACAGAATTCATGTAACCATCCGTATGATGACCACTATGTAAAAACCTCCAGTATCAATTCACACCAGAAACTGCAAACCCTCTATCTTTGCCCAATTCTGCTCACCTATTTGTTGGCTGTATATTCATGGTTAGTGAGATTGGTTCATGAAAATTGCAGGAAACTAATAACATACGGTTGCCCTCCTCAGGCTGGGGCACGCTGCCAGCAGCATCCGCAGCGGACTTGCCATGCTGTGCAGTCTTATCCTCTTTCATCATTGGGAAGGCTAGAACCTCCTTGATACTGTAGTTGTTGGTGAGGAACATCACCAACCGGTCAATGCCCATACCCCAGCCACCAGTCGGGGGCAACCCGTACTCGAGGGAGGTGCAGAAGGTCTCGTCAATGAGCTGAGCCTCATCATCACCCTGCTCCTTTTGACGAGCTTGTTCCTCAAAACGCAAGCGTTGTTGAAATGGTTGGTTCAATTCGGTATATGCGTTGCCTGTACGTATTTATCAGTCAGATGAAGTAAGAGAAAGCTCGGGGGAGTATATAGAAGTGTGCTGGGGTCAAAGGGTACAGGATGGACTCGAGAAATGTGGAGTAGAGGGGGATGGGGGATGGGGGATGGATAGAAAACTTACAAATCTCCTTTGTGGCGACGAATGCTTCGAAGCGTTCACAAAGACCAGGCTTGCTGCGGTGATACTTAGCAAGTGGCGACATCATCTCAGGGTGACTCATGATGAAAGTCGGGTTGATGCAAGTGCTCTCAAGGAATTCGCCAACCAGCGTGTCCAGCATGCGGGCGTTGGTCAAGGGCGGCGTGCACTCCACATTCATCTTCTTGAGAACACGCTTGAGGAACTCTCCAGTCTCAGCGGTGTGAAGCTGATCCGCAGGAGGGAAAGTCTCCCCTGTAGCTTCTTCCAGGCCTGGAATCATCTCAATTCGGCGCCAGGGAGCCTTCCAGTTAATGTTGTGCTCCTCGCCAGTTTGGGTTACAAACTTCGTCTCATATCCTCCAGTGACGTGCTTGACCAAGCCTGAAACGAGTTCCTCAGTCATGTCCATCACATCCTGGTAATCAGCGTAGGCCCAGTAGAACTCGCAAGTGGTGAATTCGGGGTTGTGAGTAAGATCAATGCCTTCGTTGCGGAACTGGCGGCCCATTTCGTACACACGCTCAAGACCACCCACAATAAGCATCTTCAGATACAGCTCTGGAGCGATACGCATGAACCTATGTAGTTGAATTAGCAAAATGCGGAGACATCGCACACTTCTGTAGGAGTAACGAACATCTATACTTCATATTAGCATATTTCAAGCAAATTGATGTGGAATGAATGACTTACTTTCTGGTTAAGATCATTATGATGGGTTTCAAAGGGCTTCGCGGTAGCTCCACCAGCAATTTGGTTCATCATGGGAGTCTCCACCTCGGTGAAATCACGGCTATCCAAAAAGTTGCGGATGTAGCTAACAATCTTGGCGCGAGTACGGAAGATTTCACGGGTACGATCGTTCATGATAAGATCCAGATAGCGCTGACGGAAGCGCAGCTCCTTGTCCTGGAAGCCGTAGTGCTCAGAGGGAATGGCGTGCAGGCATGGAGCCAAGAGAATAACCTCAGTAGCGAAGATAGAAAGCTCGCCGTCGTCACGGTTCTTGGGAGAAGTACGGCCGGGGAAACCGACAATACCGATAATATCACCTCGGCGAAGATTCTCGTGCTGCTGCTCGAAGGGGACGCTGCCAGTAGCATTCTGGGCCTGACACATAACCTGGACCTTCTTGCCCTCAGCACGGATGTCGTAGAAAATCAGCTTAGGGCCGGAGGAGCGTTTGGTATAGACACGACCGGCAAGACGGATGGGAATTTCGGGCTTCTGCTCGCCCTTCTGGAGGCCTTCGTACTCCTTGAGGAACTCGCGCAGGTCGTTGGTGACTTGGAACTTGTGGGGATACGGGTCCGGGTTCTTAGACTCGAACATCTTCTCGACCCTCTTGCTTCGGATCTCGAAGTATTGCTAAATAATAACCAGAAAATTAGTGAGCATGGGTATTGTATAAACGTTGCGCATAATGAGACAATGGATTGCCAAGTCACTGGGCTCTAGAGCCGCAATCGAAGCAGGGATTGCATCGCGTTTTAATGCTTCTGGGTCTGATTACTCACGTTGGGGGTCAGATTAGCCTCCTCCTCCTCAGCAGAGACCTTCTTCTGGGCCTTGGGGGGAGCGGCAGCTTCCTTCTCCTTCTTCTTGGCCTCCTTTTCACGGAGCTTCAGACGCTTCTTGAGCTCAGACTTGGAGACCATCTCGCCGGTAACCGAGTCAAGCTGGAGGTTGGCCATGGAGACCTCAGCCTCCTTGACAGTGTTCTGATCCGCCATGTTGTCTGCTTGCAGGGAAGGAATCGGGGTGGATGGTGGGATAAAGGTCGGAGGGGCGCGCGAAATTTTGGGCGGGAGTCATGGCGGGGTTTGCCCGATTGGGCCGATTCTACAGAGAGCGCCGTCCAGGCTTTGTGAGTCACATACAACAACCCTTGCTTCTAAGGTTGTTGATTTTCACTATAAGAACCTTAATTTAAGAATATTATACTTGACAGAACTTTATCCTCTTTGTTCTCATTGATTCTGTCTCGCAAGACTGTCGACCCCCACGATCACCCCGCCATGGAATGATCCTAATCTGGATATAGGGCTTAGGGCACTGCTGTGGGGCTTTCCACGCTATACCTCTTTGGGAGTATAGAGTACATCAAATATGCAGCACGACAATCAAATCCAAATCGTGTGCATCAACAGAATATAGGACAATAATGTTTCAAAATAACGTACCATGGCTTAAGAGTGAGCATAAAAGAATGGGCTTTACTCAATGAAACCACAAGTCAGCCCCCCTTTGCCACTTAGAGATACCCCAGCTATCTACGACGCAACAGTTGGACCTACAAACAAGTACTTGAAATACCCCTGAATTGTCGAGAGGGCATTTAGTCTGCCTAATCACTATACAACATACTATTTAAATGAACTCATTAACCGTCATCACTCTGGAGCCCTGGTGTTCTTAATCTAACGCGTTTTGCCCTCGACGGAAACTCTACTCCCAGAAGCGCTCCACCCTAGGCTGATAACCACATCAAGATCAATACCAAGGCCATTTTACGGTACAAGACATTCTATTCAAGCTTCGTAAAATCGACAAAGAGAAGTGACCTTTTGAGTAAGCTGGTCAGGGACCTAAGCGTGGGGCGAAAGTCAATACATAGATAGGGAGGAACGAGAACGAGACAGCAAATATGTGAGAAGTTCCATAAAGAGGAATATTCCAGCATCACGTTCCCTCAACTCTTAAGTATCGGAAACGCTCTAACACCCACCCTTCCCCACACGGCCGGTTCTCCTTCCACTCTTCCACGGATTTACCTTACGACAACCTCTCACTCCTCGTCGGCTAATCTCGATGCCTGATTTTTGTCTAGAGAGACGAGAAATATGCTCAAGGCTATCCACGAGATTATCACTCCCTTCCAAGTAAGCCATACACCACTCTGAAGTATGTCTCCATACTGACCGGTTCTAGAGAACGATGACTTCTCTGCCAGGACCAGACATCGAGATGCAGGACGTCGAATTACCTGCCAAAGCCAAGATGCCCCCACACCACTGTCATCCCTTCGGCCTTGGTGGGGGGGGGGGTGACCTAGACAGTGATCTGGAGAGTGATCTGACAGACCCTCCGGATAGCGATATGGAGTTGGACGACGATACGAGCAGCGACAACCTTGACAGTCTCCCAGACTCTGATTCGACCGATAGCCTGGATGATGATCTAGCCGATAAGCATGCTGATGAGAAGGTGCATACGGAGACCTGGATCCGAATGAAATCAGCTATGACTCTGACGATGAAGATTGCAAGAGCGTTCTTCACGACGAAGAGGTCCTCGAAGTTATCTATAAGATAACTGTGAAACAAGAACTTCTCACCAAAGTGATGACAACTGAACCAAAATTGACGTTGTTATCATTGAAGATTCTCTTAATCGGAGGCTATTCTGGAGGAAGAGGATACGTTTCGCAAATGTGTTCCATTGCCCAACGCTCAAGATGATATTCAGGAGAACGAAGCTACACTTGTTGGTTGCAAGGAGAGGCCTACATGGATGAAATTCGCTTTCCTCAAGCCATTGAAAAATTCGAACCCAGTGGTTGTAACCCATGTGTTCCTTCGTCAAGTTCCCGGGAACGTACGTGCAGTCATCGTACTTTGCGTCGGGAATACCTGATGTCATTGCCATAGGTGATGATCATCTCTATGACCACAATAGTAGAAGGTTGTATGTCAAGCTGAATACACATTAATTGCCACTCTTTCCAAAGGTCTTTTTGGATATCTTTTGAATCGTCTTTCCAGGTAGCCGTAAATGCATCTATCGAGCTGCCTCTTGGGACGTGCCCAATAGACTGTTATGAAAATTGATAAGGGAGTTGACAACTGCGCGACATGCCAGAGTAATCGGTTGACTGGGGCCGCTTCGTGTAGTCCGTTAGTTCCGGAACGGATGGCCCCAACCGCAGATTTTCATCTGCGAGCTTGATTAAATAGTGCAAAGAATGAAGCAGAAGTTATATTAACGAGCCCTAGTTTACCGTGCGAGTAATAAGAATCGAACTGTAAGATAGAAATAGTATACTTAAAATTGAATGTCATGAGCAACGGCTCTGCCTGCAGAGGCTCCAGTTTCTTTGCCACCTATCTAGACTTGTCGATATACCTTGCCCTCGAAAGGCTTAGTAGAGGAAGAGAGGTTGGTCCGTAAAGCTTACTATTATGAGGGTTAAGGTGCGGAGATTATGTGTACTTCGAATGTTTACGCCAATATCGTGATACAGTGTGAGGACCCATGAAGTACATGCTACAGAACTCTTACTCAGCCATATTTCCAAGGTCGGCGTCTCTTCCGAATGTTTCGGTTCATTCTTCGATAGATCATCACAGCTAAACTGCACGAGAGACGCGCCGCCCCACTCATGCTCAGTGAGTAGACCATAAAGACACTGAACAATCACTAACCAGATGACGGTGGCGACATGTCAGAGTAATTGGTTGACGGGGGCCGCTTCGTGAAGTCCGTTACTTCCGGAACAGACGACCCCAACCGCAAGCGTTCATCTGCGAGCTTGATGGCCTCATCCATAAACTCACGAATACTGAACATCTCCGCAAGGAGAACAGTATGCTGGAGCTTATGGATGGCATGGACAATCCATCTGACCCCAGTCTGCTTGTGGTGGGTATCGTTTTCCGTAATCGGGATCGTCTCTAGGAGGTACTGGATAAGCGAGTACGTGATGTCGTTTGGGATCTTGCCTATCAGGATCTTCTTGACCAACGTCGAGCAGTTGGTCGGGTCGACGTGCGGTTTCTGTCGATAGCGCCACTCACGGTCAGGGTTGGACTCGAATTTGAAAAAGGCGTCCGGCTCGGGAACGTTGGTGACATCGTATGCGAAGCTGTCTGCGCCTGTTGAGACCTTCGGGGTGATTATAATCGACCAGTTATAAGCCCCATATCCCATTTTCTTTCGGTTGTGTGGCAGCGATAGATCATCACGGTGGTGCAGCGTGATATAAACGCGGCGTTTGTTGCGATTTTTGATCCTCCTATCGAATAACATGGTGATCAAACGCAACGCGGTATCGAAGACTCGGTTCTATCTGCGAGTCTGCAAGGTCAAGCATGTCAGGAAATTCCCATCAGACCAACTTGACTCGACAGAGGGTTCGAGGATTCAAAAGGCGGGAGGTCGAGATTTTGGGTAGTTCTTTGCTCTAGGGAGAGGATGCGCAGGAGGAGAAAACAAAAGGAAGAACGATGAACCGGGGAAAGTCCCAAAAGGGTGAAGATGGAATACTCCGTTCTGACTGAGAAGTCCAGCCGGCGAGATGAGTCGCTCTTAAATCCCTTCTCCCTCGCCAACTTTCTCTCTTTCTCTTCCTCGCCTTCCCTAACTTTTTCTCTCCCTCTCTTCCTCACCCTCCCCAACTCTACCGTCTCCCACTTCATCAACCATTTCACAACTCCCCCACTACTTGTCACACTGGTATTCAGTCATCACTTTGTGTATCACTGCTGGCTATTCATTCTTTTTCAATCTCAGCTAGAGTCAATACTGGGTGTGAAATTTCCCGAAGTCTCACCTCGCCTTCGATCAATCCTGCACCCTATCCCCCTCAGTCATCATACAATACCATCAATCCCCTCCTTACTTTTCACCTACCCTTGAAACCCCCATTCAAAGCCTCCGGTACGTCTGTTTTGAACCTCACTCAAGCAACCTCTGTTGAGACTTACCATGACTCGAGGGATGTTGTCTGGTCCATCTCAGATGACTGAACCAAAGGATGAGTACCCGGCCTCTTTCACCGGCAATATGGACCACTGGGCGGATAATAGTCTCTTCGTCGAGGGTCATTCGAACACTACCAGTCTGCCCCAAGAGGCAAACGGGTTCGACGTTATGACCCTCGATATGACCGATCTAGTCCGCAAGATCCAAGAGTTGAGCCACCTCGGTATCGAGGACAACAAGATTGCCCTCCCTAAAATCTGTGTTGTCGGAGATCAAAGCACTGGCAAAAGCTCTCTTATCGAGGGTATCTCGGAAATTCAAGTACCGCGCAGTGCGGGCACTTGCACGCGCTGCCCGATGGAGATCAACCTCTCAGAGAGCCAGCCCGGTGAGGCTTGGAAGTGTGTCGTTTACCTGTCTCGTCGATACTGGTACGACCCTAACAAGCGCATGCGGGTCGTCCAGAGGAAGGCTCAGACTCTGGGGCCATGGGTTCCCATGGATGGTCGAGATGAGGAAGTCTTTGTGACCCTGACCGACAAGTCTCAGGTGAAAGATGCAATTAAGTGGGCTCAGATTGCTGTTCTGAACCCCAACCGCGATTCCCAGATCTACGTACCAGGCAGGAAACAGCAGGGCACGGATGAGTCGACCACCGTCTCACCAAACGTCGTCCGTTTGGACATTTCTGCTCCAGGCTTCCCAGCCCTTTCATTCTATGACCTCCCCGGCGTTATCAGTCAGGCGGAACATGATGACGAGAAGTACCTCGTCAGTCTCGTCGAAAATCTTGTGAGATATTATGTTTCACAACCGAATTGCATCGTGCTCCTCACTTTGACGATGACTGATGATGCTACAAACTCGAGTGCAGCAAGACTGATCCGCGATATCAAGTCGGCCAAGGAGCGTACTTTGGGAGTTCTTACCAAGCCAGATCGGATCTCCCGAATGGAGTCTTTCGATCAGTGGAAGGAGATCCTTGCCGGCCAGAAGTTCAAACTTGGTCATGGCTATTTCGTTGTTCGCAATAACGGGGATCCCACCGTGGATCATGCAAAGGCAAGAATGGAGGAAGAGGCGTTCTTCTCCGACCCGTTCTGGGTTGGGTTACACTCACAGCACCAAGACCGTTTCGGAATTCGACGCCTCCAGACGGCTCTGTCGGCCATTTTGATGGATCAAATCCAGAAGTGCTTACCTTCTATTATTGCCCAAATTAACGAGAAGGCCTCTAGCATCGATGCCGAGCTCAAGACTCTACCGGATCCTCCCACTGAAAACTACCAGCGGATCCTGACCGAGAAGGTCGTTACGCTTGGTATGAGGTTTCGCGGAGTCTTTGATGGTGGTTCTGGTAATGGATCATCAAGCAATCTGTTCCAGAAGTACTGGAACCGCCTGGCAATGGACTTCCAGAAGGCTTTGGCCATTACGAAGCCAACTCTCATCACAGCTACAGCTTCCGATGTGGATATTAAGCCACAGCGGATGGACTCGGACTGTGAAATGATTCTGGGTCCGTCGACACCGCGTTCCAAGCGAAAGGCGCCTGGTACAGATGCTCGCCCGCCCGAGCCTCAATCTCCTGTGGCCGTTAATAGCCCGAGCTACGCCACAAAGGATGTCTTCGATAAGTGGAATGGGCCGAGCCGAAAGATCACTCTCAACGAAATCAGGGACATCAAGGAAGAGTCCCACCGAGCTGGGATTCCCAACCAGATTGACCCTAGCGCGATCGAAACTCTGAATCGCGCGAGTGTGAAGCATTGGGATGGCCTAGTCAATGCATTTGTGTCTGCAACTTGCAATCTCGTGTTGCGGGTGCTGGGGATGAACCTCGATGAGGTAATTGCCCAATACCACCAGACAGGCCTTTACCGAGAGCTGCGTCGAGTGATCAGTGAGTTTGTGAACCAACTCCGCGGGGCATTCCTGGATGATGCCATGGCGCATTACAAGATTGAGTGTGAGAAGCCTTTCACCATGGCTCAGTTGCTCCATAAGGAAGCTCAAGGCAACGCTCTTCGTGGACTGATTGTTGGACGCAACCGCTCTCGCGCCCGAACCTACCTACGGAGCGCTGCTCTGGATGCGAATGATGAGTCCAGAATCGCTGAAATTATTAAAAACCTGGCTCCCGACACCTACTCCCAGGAAGTTGAGATGATGGCGGTAAGTTGGCAGGAGTTACATTTGTCGGTCTTTCTGAATTCTAATATGTTGGTTTCTCTAGAGTTCGCGCGCATATTACGAAATTGCCAGCTCTCGTTTCCTGGATGTGATCTGCCAGTCTGCTTACGCAAAGGTGTTTTCGAAATGTCGCGACGAGTTAGTTCACGTCATCAATTCTCAGTTGAACGCCGACTGTGAGTCTGAAACACCCAATGTGGAAGCTATGGCATGAGCTAACAATATCATTAGCTAATGATCGGTGCATGGAGTTGATGGCCGAGGACCCCGAAAGACAGCGCCGTCGAATCACCTTGCTTGGGGAACGAGCAAAGCTGAGCAAGGCACAGCAGTGGATTGACTCGATCCGGCGGAAGGAGGATGGGGAGGACACAGAGATGTCCGAGAACACTGTTGGTGACAGCTTCTCTCCGCTCACCGAGTGGATTGATGAGTCCATTTGAGCTGTTGCTGGATGAACTTTGATTGTGTGTGTTGGAGTTGACGAAGTCTGATGATTGTCTCGGCGTTCTCGATTAATTTACCAGCCCTCAACATCTTTGACTGGCATTTTTTGAAGAGATTATCATTATTGTGAAATATCATGTTGAGTCTAGTGATTTAGTCATGATGAAATAAAACAAGAAAAAGTGGGCTCCCCAAAGCCAACAAAAAATGCATCCCTGGTAAACGTAGGGTCCCCAATAACATTCTCCATTAACATGTAGTAAACTGGCCAGTACTAGGTCCAAGAGCACAATTCAATAACCTAAAAAGCTCTCCCACCAGTGTCTTGACATGGAGCTCCATTTGACCAGGCTACCAAGAGGCTAAACATGCCGGAGACGCCTTACGCATCGTTATTAGCGAGGCCACAGAGAGCTGATACGAACGCCCTTGCCCACTAGATGAGTGCCCTATGGTCAGTTACTACGGGTCTCAATTGTAGTTAATTCGAGAGACATGGACGAGCAAATTCAGATACCGGTAAGTCCGATATCTCAGACACATTCGTAAGCGTGATGAGGGAATCAGCCAGCCTCTATCACACCAGAACCCGTCACACCAGCCTAGCCTAACATGAATACCAAAACAGGTTGAAGAAAGCCGAATTCGACAATTTCTCCATCGAGTATAAAAATAAGCGGAGAAGAAGCACATTTCGCACGGTTCTTGGTAGTATGGCAGTCAAAAAGCCGACAAGAACCACAGTCACCACAGCCCTTCCCGCAATAGTTCATGCCACGCTTGCCCTTGCATCGCTGAAGATTACCCAAATATATTATCTGGTCGCTTTTGGATACCTGCAGCTCAGCCATGTCGCTGACTTGCTGAGCGTAGTTTGTGATAAGCGTGGTGATTCGTTCGGGGACCCTAAGCCTCGCCTCGCCTGCGGACCCCCAGTTTGAGACGCCGTTCGCCGTGGCAGCGGGTGCCGACGCTAACAACACTAGTGGTCAGCCAAGAACCCCGCATTCTTATCATGATGTTGATGATGGGAATATTTGGGCGAGGATCAGGGCGGTGCAACTTGATACTATCCTTCTATGATGGTTTTCGCTATGGAGCTCTGAATGTCACTGCTACTCTCCTCGTTAGCGGTACGTGCAGCGGCACCGAAAGGAGTGATAACCCCAGACGGGATCTCTTGGTGAGAATCTTGGATATGCAGGTAGTCAACTGAGCTGAATACATTTTCAAAATATCAATTTTTGAAACAAATAACTCGAGAGATGCAAGCACTGATTATGGCCGGGCAACTACTTACAATATTGTACTGCGGAAAGTGGACCCACATCAACCACGCGATATGTAGAACCATGGAACCCAGAAGCTTGTCAGATATCAAAACTACAATGGCAAGAAAGACCATGCTCAATATGATTAAATCTCTTCGATGCATTTTTGTCATAGATGTCGGTGAATTCTCCGTCTGGCTTCCTCGTTTCGATGTTTCTTCGGAGAGTCCGAGCCATTTCCCTGTTTTTGTCTCGGTTCAGCTGGAATGTAGCCGCTTGACGAAGGTGAGATAGATCCCAATATCGCTATGCATTTCCTACTCCAGGTACTTAGTTGTAGAGTTGGGTGGATGGCCAATTAGACAGGGAGAACTGAGAGAGCGTCTCGGGCCGAGTCGCCTTGTCGGTAAAAACGCCACAACATGTGGAGGAGAGCTTGGCGGAGGAGGTCGGCCTCCCCGATGCCTGGTATTGATTACCGTAAGAATACAGATCTCTAGGAATCCTCAACTCATCAGCATCGAGTATAAAAAGAGGCAGGTAGACTCGGATTTTGTGATCATCATCTCTCCAAGAAAAAACCAATATCTTCTTTCAATCCACCTAGCCTCAACAGAGTCTTCATTATTCAACATGGCTCCTATGATCGACCCCAATGGAACCCAGGCCACGTCAGTCCATCCTTTTAATCCCTCCACCAACTTCGTGCTAACGATACTCACAGACCTGTCGAGTCGGAGGTCCAGGACTTGAAGTCTGTTTCCAATGGATCAGATGCTTCTGCCCGTGGTATCAAGAGGTCCGCGGACATGAATGGCAACGCTCCTCAGAAGTTGGAGGCACACGTTGACTTTGCCAAGTTCGATGGCCCTCGGGAGACTCGATCCTTCCCTTGTGTGATGCACATGCGATCGCCTGCATTCCCTAGTGTGAAGGATGCTTTGCCATTCCCCGATGATATGTCCCAATTGATCGCGTGGACGGATGCCTTTGTCGAACGCTTGGGTTGGCAGGCACTACAGCAACACGAGGTAAGCTTAGACTTCATATCAATATCGTCTCAAAGACATATTCTGAGTTTCCTATAGAAAGCTGCCGAGCATGAGATTGAGAAGGCTCGCCTGGAGAAAGAAGCGGCCGCTCAGGCGGAGAGAGCGCGTGAAGCTGAGAAGCAGCTGGGCCCGTTGAAAGATGAGAATGCCGGCCTTCGACGCAGAATTGCGGAGCTCACCGCTGCAAACCAGTCTCTCGAGGTGCAGCTCGACATTTCCATGGGAGAAATCCACAGTCTCGGCGTGACCGTGGCTAAGAAGGAAGCCATCAACATGCAACTCAAGCGTGATCTTGACGGCAGCGAGCATCGCTACATGCAGTTGGATGCCAAGTGTCAAGATCTCCTGGCCCAACTCGAGAAACTACTGTCAAACGATGAGTTCAAGAAGTACAAGGCAGAAGTTGAGCGCTGGAAGTGTGTAGATGCCGAGAAGGACCGCAAGCGCGAAGCCCTCATCGAGAAGCTCGAGAAGGAGCTCGCAACAATCAAGAAGGAAGTCATCGCCAAGGAGACCGAAGTCAAGCAGAAGACCCAAGAACTCGCCAAGGCTCAGGCTGAGATTGCAGGACTCGGCGTCACGAACAAGGATCTCAACAAACGGCTCGCTGATGCAATGGGCAAATTGCACAAGGCCACCGAAGATCTGGACAATGCACGCAGTCAGCTTGCCGCACAGCAGGGTCTTGTGTGCAGTCTTCAGCGAACCAAGGAGGGCCTGGAGGAGCGGATTCGTGCCCAGATCAAGCAGTTGCACGATGCTGAGTTACGCGAGGATGAGGCTCGCTTGGCTGTCAAGACTGCGCAGGAGCACTCCAAGGCCCACTGGAAGACTTTGCAGAAGATTCGGGCTGATGGTGGCTGGCTGCGTACCAAGGCTTCGGATGTTTGCGACCGGGTGGCTTGAGGTGGATTTGGGTGTAGAATATGTTGATGGCTAGGAGAATCCTAATGCTGATTATCTCGGGTGCACACGATACCGATGGTTGAATTTATGGGACATTGTTTAGGCGGTTCTTCGGCAGGGTACGAATTCATATGTATTTCTGGTTTTGGTATGTGCCTTCTTTTGACTTAATTCTTCGTAATTATTTAGTCATCATTAAGGTGCTTAGGTACCTTAATAAGGTTGATAATTGCGGACGGGCTCTGTAGAATCCACGAAACGAACCTACAAGATGGCAGACAGCCCGTATTCTTGAAAACAGCGAGCCTCTCCCTTATTTTCATGGAAAACTCAGACTACGGTCTACGTAATGCTAGTTTATCATTATTTAGGAACAGGTATATGCTCGATTTCATACGATACCGGCTAGATGGGGCTCTTAGTTCGCATAAATACCACCTATGCTGGATATATATTTTGCACGGTTAACCTACTACTTCAACTTGAAGGTGGCAAGCCAAATATGCAATTACAGGTTCCGCCTCCATCATAAATACACAAAAGTGCCAGATTATAGTCGTATTCTAACCAAAAGACTCCTTCAGCGTAGTTCCTAAATACCAGACAGCTACCTAAGGGCTACAGAACTATTTGTTTGGAGTGGAGATGCAAGGTTGTTATGTAGAAACACTACACTTTTGTAGAGATCGATAAACCCCAGCCTAAACGATCAAAATTAAGACGTCTTCTATCTATCAAGGGCACAAAATTCTTCTGTGATAATCTCAGCTAAATTTGAGAATTGCGGTCGGCTGATATTCCTCCGTGTAATTGATTTCCCCTGAAGCGGATCTCCAATGGATCTCCTGTTCCCACGTTCCCACGTTCTGGATTCCACGTCAGGTGAGCCCCCCCACCGCAAGCGTCGTCTTGGCGCCCGGAGCTCTCGACGCTGATTTCGGCCACCTGGTAACCTTCTCGAGTCCATTCCCTTTCGCAAACCCCCTATTCCTCTCACACACAATTCATCATGCTCCAAGTGCCAGTGCGGGGAGATCCCAACCAGTCCTCTACCAAGGCTGTGATCTTGGTAAGTGACGCAATGGTCGTCCAGATTAGTGGTGTACACAAACTGACCAGATCAACAGGTCGGAGGGCCTTCTAGAGGTACTCGTTTCCGCCCATTGTCGCTCGATGTGCCCAAGGTATGTATACTGCTTTGATCCAATTCCATGCGCAATGGATGTGAGAAAAAATCAGTCTAACCATTGTGCCCCGCATCTAGCCCCTGTTCGAAGTCGCCGGCCACCCCATCATCAACCACTGCCTGAAGGCGGTCGCCAAGGTCAACGATGTGCGCGAGGTTATTCTGATCGGATACTATGACGAGACTGTCTTCCGGGACTTTATCAAGGATGCTTCCAAGGAGTTCCCCCAGTTCCGCATCCAGTACCTGCGGGAGTACACAGCGTTGGGCACCGCAGGTGGTTTGTACCACTTCCGTGATGCGATCCTCAAGAGCAAGCCTGAGCGCCTGCTCGTGCTGAACGCCGATGTCTGCTGCTCGTTCCCTCTGGGTGAGATGCTGCGCTTGTTCGAGGAGAAGGATGCAGAGGCCGTGATCCTGGGTACTCGGGTAACCAACGAGGCTGCCTCCAACTTTGGCTGCATCGTGTCCGATTCCCACACCAAGCGTGTTCTGCACTACGTCGAGAAGCCCGAGTCCCACATCTCCAACCTGATCAACTGCGGTGTCTACCTGTTCGCCACCGAGTGCATCTTCCCCGCCATTCGCAGTGCCATTAAGCGCCGCACCACCCGCCCCCGCCTCCTCTCCTACCCCTCCTCCGATAACCTCGAGTCCTCTTTTGTCGCCGGAGACGATGAGGACGGCGAGAAGAGCGAGGTCCTCCGCCTCGAGCAGGACATCCTCTCCGATCTGGCCGACAGCAACCGCTTCTTCGTTCACGAAACTAAGGACTTCTGGCGACAGATCAAGACTGCTGGCTCTGCCGTGCCCGCCAACGCCCTCTACCTGCAGAAGGCCTTCCAGGCCCAGTCTGAGGAGCTCACCCCTCCCTCCGCTACCATCGTGCCCCCAGTTTACATCCACCCCACCGCTACCGTCGACCCCACCGCCAAGCTTGGCCCCAACGTCTCAATTGGCGCCCGTGTTGTGGTCGGTGCTGGTGCCCGTGTCAAGGATTCCATTGTCCTGGAGGACTCTGAGATCCGCCACGATGCTTGCGTGATGCACTCCATTATTGGTTGGAGTAGCCGCGTCGGTGCCTGGGCTCGTGTTGAGGGTACTCCCATTCCCATCGGCAGCCACTCTACCAGCATCATCAAGCAGGGCGTCAAGGTGCAGAGCATCACTATTCTCGGCAAGGAGTGCGGCGTCGGTGACGAGGTCCGCGTGCAGAACTGTGTCTGCTTGCCGTACAAGGAGCTCAAGCGGGTAAGTCATACAATCATTCCTTCTTGTCATACTGACTTTATACTAACATTCTTCTCTTTTCTCTAGGACGTCGCCAACGAGGTCATCATGTAAACGCCCGCGAATTGAATCTCTGACTTATTTGCTTCAAAAATACCACACCCATCTTGTCAATATCGAGCGTCATAATGTTGTCTTTGCCATTGGATGGTAATCTGGTTGATTTCCCTTTCTATTCCCGTCAAGCCCATCGCTAGAATGATGCCATGCGCATTGCAGAGTCGTTAGAGAAAAAGAAAATCTAGACTATCTACCGGCTATCTCAACCCCCCCTTTTTCCATATCATGTCATCCGAGAAATATGCCAAGTAACGCCGTCATGCCCATGCAATCAATATCAATCAGTTTGAAACCAGTCAGATGCATCCCACGCAAGGACGTGAGATACACAAATCCATCATAAAAAACCTCCTTCTGAACAGGGTCATCAAAGAAACCCCAACGTCAAGGAAAATGAAACGACGAATCAATCCATCCCCCTTCACCGATAAGCCGCAGGATCATACCCCGTCTGCTCAGCAGGATGCTGATACCCCTGACCAAACCGCACCCTCGCAGCGCCCCTCCTCTGCTCAGGCTGCGGCACAGAATCATACCTCCCCTCCGCACTCGAATCCCGTCTCTCTGCCAACTTCACATCCCACGGATCCTCCCCCACAGCCGCCGAACTCCCCATCGGCCCATAAGCGCCCAGCCTCGTCTGTCTCCGCCTCACAACGACATCCAGCCAAATCGCCGCGATATACGCCGCCGTGCCGACGACGGTGAATGCGAAGAGAGCTTTGTAGGACCGGCAGACGGAGAGGGCGGTTGATGTGGGCCAGTAAGTCGTTGTGCATTTTGTCAGGATCGTGCCGGACATGCTGTAGGCGAGGAGGGCGAGGGAGAGGAGCCAGAGGATGAGGAGGGGGATGTGTAGGGCTAGGGAGAATTTTGGGGAGAGGCCGCAGCAGCAGTTTGAGAGGGTGGTTAGGAGGGTGGTTAGGAGGGAGAGAAGGGATGTGATTAGGAGCTGGATTTAATGGGTTGTTAGTGCTTGAATGGTTTGTGATTGGGGTGATGGGTTGGAGACGTACGACTAGGAAGGCGAAGGGTAATTTGTATCCGTCGGCATGGAGATGGTAGATGAATATAGCGAGGATAATAGCGACCACGATCGAGGAGAGAAAGCTCATGAAGCGAATGCCGTGGAATGGCAGCGCTGGGTAGTCAGACGGTTTGACAGAGGGTCGCGACCGCATTGTGTAGTCTGTCTGTGTGTTTCTTTGGTGGGTTTGAATATCCTAGGGAAATGTGGGAGGGAAAGAATGTATTAAGTTGCAAGTGCACAGTGTCTTTGCCCCGGGAACGAGAGTTGTAAAGTGTAAACACGCTAATTCGATCGGCGCTCCACTTGACACGTCGGGGCGTGCGTCATTCCCGCCTATTTTTATCTGCCGCACGTTGTTTCGGGTTGCTCGTTGCGCGGTGCCGAGTCTTTTGTGGCGGTGTTTCGTGTAGAGTTTAATATGCATTTTGGATCTTGGATCTTGGTCTAGAACGTGTGGCATTGTGATTTGGAGATTTCATGGTATCTGTCCATTTTGAAGTTCTGGATAATCGCATGGAAATGTTCTGGCATACCTGATGGAGATAGTTTTAATTGCAATACTACGAAGCCCTCCAATTAATGGAAATAGACACAGTCGATATTAATTATGTAGCGTCCTAGATTCTCGATCTCCATCAAGCCCCAGACCAGGGTTAAACTAATTACCGACGCTAGTCATTTGGGTTGCGGCTACGATGGTCCCCGCATGGACTAATTAATCCTCGAAATCCAAGCGTCTTGAGAGTTATCACCAACTTCAAGTTCTTCCAGGTAATCTCCCCCCTCATGGCCTAGTTGGTCAGCCAGGTTTGCGCCACCTGGTTGGCCAAGGGTGTGCCCCTGTGAAGGAAAATGAGGGGAAATATGGTTGACTGGTATCCGATGTCGAGCATAGCTCCACGGATGACCGGGCACACCCTGAGGGGGAGAGTGGGCGAGCGGCTAAACCCCCCGCTCGCCGATTTCTTCTTTTATTTTCATTTTTTTTAATTTAATAGATAGATCCCTTTTATATCTTCTATTGTAGATCTAAAATAAAATATTTTAAAGGTATTATAGTAGTGTGGAGGGAGATTGTTTGGTGGGTGTAGTCCCAAGGAGTATGGACTTCGGCATCGTGGGAGGGCGATGGAGCATTTTGAAGAAGTATATAGGGAACGTGAAGGTCGGGGGTTCGATTCATGCCAGAGACAGCTCTGCATTTTTCGATTTTCTGGCCTTTGGCGTTGGACCTGTTCGATATAACTTTCAACTATCAATCAAAACTGTCAAAGTCATTTCACTCAAGGTCTACCGCGTCAGTCATCGATTTACTTAGTTGTCCCCTGTCTTGAGAGTTCGGTGCCTCTTTGGCTGCAGTCCGACAGTCACACACTACTGCTCTACCCCAAGTAACAGAATTTCTCTCCATCCTTTGGTCTCCACCTAGAACGGACTATCATTTCAATGTACAAAATTGGTATTACCCAGCACGGCGCTTGCAATATAGAATCATTGAGGCAACCCTGGTTTCTGGACATGTGGCTCGGGATGTGCAATTTTTACTTTGAAACTTAAAGCTCTGGCCAAATTGAATAGTCTGAGGTCCGTTGTGGGAAGAATAGGGCATGGAACTATGATGGATGGAGTAGAATACGATCTGCATCCTTTGACTATAGACCGGACACGGTCCAACCATATACTCGCTTTTTTCCTTCTCGGTCGATCGAAAACTTCTTTTGTGATGGCTCGTTATCCTGTATTGCTGTCCAACTTATGATTGATACGGTATTTTTTTTGGCGATTCTTGATTCACAAAGTTTAAGCAGCAGTCGATATACAAGTAGAAAGTTTGGAATCCGTATGGCCACCGGGCTAAGTCTCCAGGATTCATGATGATGAGGCACCACGGCCACATATGCCTGGACTGTTTTTGGCCTAATCGGACTTGTGCATTATCATCGCATAGCCTACAACATGCCTCGCATTGCCAGCCTCGAGTCATGTAGTTCTGGGCAGCCTGGGCAGCATGACCAGATCAGTCTGTGGAGGACCTTACCACCGATGGAGGCAATGCTCCTACCGACAAGTGAATGAGGGCTGATCCGGTGAAATGTGAGGAGTGTCTTGTGTGGTGAATGTTAATGACATATCTCATACTCTACATTACCCAGAGATCCCCACTGTAAACGCGGGTATTTAGCGCCACTATAGACGGGACGACCCGCACCCCGAAAACGGTAATATCAACACATCTCGAAGAGTTGTCAGTATGAGATGGGAATGTAAATATTTTGGAGGCAAAACACATACAGAATACAATTGAAACAAAACTAAAAATAGCGATGCATCTGTGATTCGAACCCGAGGCTTCCAGCTACCATACAAAGCCACACCTCGAGTCAGATGTACCTCCCCAAAATGCTCGCCAGCATTCAACCGCCTCAAACCTCCATACACCACATACAGACATCAACTTCAACCTCCAACAACAACGACCAAAACATGAGAAAACAAAAAATAAAAAAAGATATTTGTTACTAAGCCGCTGTGTTTAGTGGGGGTGTTCCAAGGATTGACCTTAATAGACTGCTGGCTTAGCAGTGCCCCGGAGGGCCACCAGTACCTGTACGCGACTGGGGTGCCACGCCCAGTTTCGACCATGGAAGGCCATATTACGCGCAGGTTCTTCGTACTCAGCAAAAGCTCCCAGGTGCCCCCAAGAGGTTTGCCGAAAGTACACGAGTCGGGGAGAGGGTCTTGCCTCTCAGCGGATTGCCATCCACCACTGGACCACCGGTGCTAGGTTACTTTTTTTTGCACCTCCTTCAATTATAGCTTCTCTTTGGATAATTTTTATGGTGATCCCCACTGACCCCATTGCCTCTATGTGCACTCCCTTCACCTTTTCCCGTCCACCTCGACGCTCTATTATTCCTGTTGGTATTGATATCGTCGATTGACAACCTCCACCACAATCCTTACCCGAGTTTATATTACTGACAACACTAGTTTCTCTTCCACAGACTCGACTCCGATTGCAAACCCTCCTCCTTGTCTTTATGGTACTTTTTTGGCCAGCCATGCCAACAAAGCCCAACCGACGGACTTGAATATGTCCGCAATTATCCTCTACTCATACAGAGTTGTGATGAACATCCTTTCATATCTTGGACTCGGTTTAAGCATGGTCCCCTTACAGAGAGAGCCAGTCCTGGCCACGTAATCTCCCCAGACCCCTCGGGGTTCTCCCACCAGTACCCACGTCAGTTGGCGCAACCAACCGAGCGAGGCCACTCAAAGATGGCTTATACCTGCAATCCCCGGAGTCAACTACACTGTTCATCTGGCTAACCATTGCATGTCGGTACAGTATGAGTTTACGCAATACCAATACGCAATTGAGAAAATCGATTCTAGCAGCCTGGTTCCCCATTACCGACGAATAATGTCAAGCGTGACCACCAAGAGCGCGATCTTCAATGCATAGAATATGACAGCGTCACCGTGTGGAAATAAGCACGAGTCGCTGGAGAAACATTTATTTGAATTCTTTATCGCGGGCTCCATGAACAACAGCGGCGAAGCAACCGACAGGCTGGCTGACGAGGCCATGATACACCAATCTTGGGTAACCATACAATGAGAGGTTTAGTCCCTTCGCTTCATACACACTCTCATAGTTCCTACCATCCTTCTCTTCCACTCAAAGGACAAAACTAAATACACATCTCTATTGATCTGTCGTGTGCCCCGCTGCCTGAGCAGCTTCCGATGCACGATCCAAGACCTCCCTCAGCGCTCGAAGCCTCCTCTGGAACTCGCGCACTAGACCCGGGGCTCTCTCAACCTCCGAAACCTCGCCAGCAGGAACCACCACCGCTCGCAGATCTCGTGAAATCATTTCAATCTGCTCATGCAGCTTTTCTCTCAAGGTAACGAAGGGTTCGTTCATGGCAGTAAGATATGAAGTCTGTACAGAATCTGTATATGTCCGGTAGAGTTGCATGTTGGATAAGTGGGCGTGCATGATATCAGTGCGTCGTTTAGCGCTTCCCCTTCCTAGATTAAAACAAATTCTGATTAGCTTTTGGCTTTGTGGTGGATATTTGGATATTGATCCCAATGTACCTGACTGTTGGTTGCATCTATTGTATGCCTCTCGCATTAGATCGGCAATCAACGAACTGTTGTTGTGGCCATTAAGAGTGTGGTCTCGTGTGGATCTGGTAAAGCATTAGCGAGATGGATAAATTGAGATTGGTGTAGTTGGCGTACTCTGTGATTTGAAGGATATGTGTGACCATGTGAGTGAAAATATATTGGATACATCTTGCTCTATAGTCCATAACAGAGAGAAGATTTCCGATAGCTTGTGGGGCAATCGGCAAATGAACTGTAGGGTCTCATGTGTTAGAATGAAACATAAAAGCATCCATAGAGACAATAAGGTTACCCCCCAGGATAAATTTGATAAGGACAAAACATACCTTGGAGTGTATCAGAGACGGTTTGAAAGGAGGTCGAGATGTCTTGATGAAGCGCGTTCCTCTGAGACATGATCCATGTATCTATTGCATCCCATCTTTGACCTAACGCTGGCCGTGCTTGTGCCATTAGCTCGTCATTCCAGCAATGTGTCCCTTTGGCCCCGGTCGTGTGGGTGCCGTTCTGTCGGCAGAATGCGGCATAACTGGCAAAATGATACTAGAAGGGAACTTTGTTAGGGTAGAAATAGTATCCAGTATTTGATAGAAACATACAGAATTTGCCCAATTCTCACTCACTGCAACAAATTTCTGCTTGAGCTCTCTCTGGAAATAAGGATCTTTTTACATGCTTAGCTCAATAAGATGGCCTCTAATTGAAGGTTGGAATAGGCTCACCAAGCTGTTGCATAACTTGGGTATCAAACGTATTGTATACTTCGCTCTGAGTTCGAGCGAGACGCCCACGGGCTGAGATAAAGTCCTATTGATAATTAGACCGATTCTCCCCGCGACGCCTCGTTTACGGCAACGGGAGAATTCAAATATACCTGACGAAGGTCCCCTTCCACCTTCTCTAGTACTCTTCGGAGCTCACGAGCTCTAGCAGAATCCACAGAGTCCCGACCTGTCAACGTCCACTGGTGTATGGAATGCAGAAGCGCTGGTACTTGTCTCTTGATGAAAAATGAAGCGGACAACATTCTAGCCTCTGCAGGAACGGATCGACAATATGAACGAAGCTCGCGAACTCCGCTGAGAGCTCTATAGTCCTCTGCCAGCCGGTGTGGAGGGTTTCCGTATAGCTCATTGCCGACGCAGAATATCTTGATCTCCTTGTTCACATGCTCTGGCTTGTTGTGGATTACACTTTCGAGTTCTCTTGTAGTTGAGTTGTTTCGGTCATTCATAAGGAAGGCTTGTCGTCTAGTCCCAAATGTTAGCATTCGCGAAGGTCTCCACTCTATTGATTAATACATAACACGTACTCGTAGCGGAGTTTATGTATCCTGTCCCTACAAGATTGGTCAGCCGGTTGTTGACAATCTTCTTTGTGCGGCTTACTTACTCGTTTGTGGATTCGGTAACAGCAAGCTCTGCTTTCCTTTGACCCCGTGCTCTTTGTCGTTCACGCCCGATGCGAGCTGTGTCTTTCTCAAGATTTTCAATCTCTACGTTCATTCTTTTGACGCGGTTAGCAAAATGATTATTACCACGAGCCAACTCTTCGGCGGATATGTCCTATCAATAAAAGTCAGAATAATCCCAGTTTCTCCGAAGTAAGGCAATAATACATCGGCTCTCGTGCAAACAATCCGTATGCGCTTTCTCTCTCCACATTTATTGATCGTATCGTATATTGATTGATTCGAAACACATCGAGATATTCCAGCCACGATGAACACTTCATCGCATGTGCTGGCAAGATACTTTTCTGTGGCTCGTACTCTTGCATAATTCATATCTCGCAATCCTACCAGATGTTAGTTATCTCGATATAATCACTGCAGTACGGGAAGAGTATTACCTGGGAGGTCTGCAAGCACCAGACCAGTCTTCAACACGGGCAACTCTAGGAAGACCCTGGAAGGATATTAGAGCCATAATTCCTTGACAAAAACAGGGGTTCGAACCTAATCAACTTGATGAAAGGCCACAAAGCATGCTCATTGTTGTCCTCCGGGTCCCTAGTCAACCTGTCCAGTTCATCTTTGCATCTCTCCAAATCACCCGCAACAACATGGTAGTCCAGCGAACTCGACCCTCCAGGTCGGAATATTAGTCGATTCATAGCCAGCTGCTTCAACTCTCGAAGGATCTCATCTTCCGCTCCGGGACGCGCCAGATACTCAATGGTCAAGTCTGTCCGATCGCTAAAAATTGACTGGATGGTTTCGTGAGACATTTTGCCGATGGCTTCATACTGTGCCCAGTTTTCCCCCGCGATAATGCTTCTTTCTGTCGGGACGGCAGCGCGGCGGATACTCCGTAGAAGCTCATCTAGGAGGTCATTGACTTCTGCTTCATTCATGAACTCGGCGTCTATGGTGTAAGCACCGGGGTGAGCTTCATCCACATATCGATACTCCATAGGCACAGAAGTACAGGCCGCGCTTGCACCACTCTACATCGAATTGTCAGAAAGTTCTCCTCGTCACAATACATAAGATGGAATACATACCGAGCGTGCGAGACCCCGTTGGCCTAGTATTGAGTTGATGACAGAGCTCTTGCCTGCTTGATGGTTAGGCCTGTCTTTATAAGCTTAAAAAGCAGAGAGCACTAACCAACTCCAGTCTCCCCTATGAATCCGACGATGCGCGTTTCTTGATCCTTGAACTCGCTAAGCTTTTTTGCTTCCTGGTAAATCTGATGGAGTGTGGTCTGGGGATCCTGAGTCAGTGGACAAGCATTCATCGTGCGGGAAAGCTCTTGAAGCTGGAATTTGACAGCATTCAGATTGTCCTGAAGGCTCTGGTCATCGATGGGGTCAGGAGTAAAAGAATCATTGCCAGCCTCATTTGCTTCGTTTTCATCTCCATTCTCATCTTCATCCTCAGTCTCCCATCCGGCATCCCGTTCATTTTCGCCTTCCGCATTTTCACTCGCCGGTGGGGTGCTCGAACTGGACGTCTCTTCAGGCCGATTAATTTCTCGCCTCGCCGGGATATCTCTGACGCTCCCTGTTTCCATATGGAACGATATTGGTGCAGTCTCTCGTGCCCGATTGCTGAAGATACTTGAAGATCTTCCAGTCAAAATGGGAAATGCTCGAGGCTCTTGTGTTGTGTTCCCGTTTACACTCTGATCTGGGACACTTATAGGTCGAGAACTAATAGCCCTAGGTGCTAGATTCGACTCCGTAGGTGGGCTTGCAACAGGGGTAAATGAATCCGAGAATAATCTTCTTCCTCCAGAGTTCTGTCCACCGAAGAACGGAGAACCCAGAGATGGAGATCCCGACGAGGAAGAAGAGGGCGTTTGGACATTGTGGTGAGACCCAAAGAGGCTACTGCTCTGGGAAGGCGAAGGGGTGAAATTTCCCTCAGACGAAGGACCTGGTGAGAAGATAAATTTGAAATCAGACTCGTAACTCATTTTGTACGATTTTGTGTATATATCAGCTTTGATCGAGGGAGGTTCATAAGTTGGACGGGCTGATCCGGCTTTATAAGAATGTTCTGCCCTACCTACTAGAGGATCATGCTGGGGCGCAGCGCTCGCCACGGAGAGGCCGACGGCACTAGGAATGCATACTACTGTCTGGAAGCGGAATCCTAGTCTGCCTTGTCACGCGCACCTGTTTCAATCTAGCATCGTAGACGCCAGTGTTAGCGGCGCTTAGCTATTGGTTCTCCAATACTCTGCCAGATAGTCGACAACGACAAGAAACCGATGAAAGCCACTCCAGCTATCTCGAACAGTCTCCTCTGTTGCATTTCCATGGATTTCGTCTCCTGGTTTCAGTCTCCTCGAAGCAGAAGGGGCTCTTAGATCCCATTATGGCCCCCACATTGGCGTGCGCCGGCGTGCATCATGATCCCGCCCTAGTGCCTTGCGGGTTTAGGCGCTATCTAGTGCCCAATCGCGTCTACACTAGAGCTGCATGTTACCTTGGTCTATGAAATTGCCTCCCGGATAAATTATCCGCTAAGGGTGTTCACCTTTGATGTTAGGGCTAGCTCTCCCTAGCATAGTATGTGCATTGCGCTAGTTATGCCGGTCATACCTAGGAAAGACTCAACACGATCTCCAGTCGTATCTCGTTTGTTAGTCTGATAATCTAGCGCGGTTAGCTGCACGCTATTTATATTTTGGCGTGGGCGGACATTCTTAGCAACTGCCATCTAAAATACCTAAAAACTCGTCATTCGAAATTTTGAAAACTTGGGAATGGAATAATCACGGGGCCCTCTCCAGAATTTCTATTGCTTAAGACGTAATCATATTCGTATTGAGTTGAAATCTCGTAATTGATATACATAACAACATGCCAGAGGGACAAGCTTGGCTCACTCCTTATTCTCCACCTTCCCCAATCCTGGAAGCTGATCCAAGGCAGCACACGCTTCAGACCAAGCAAGGTCTTCAGGATAAAGTACACTGCGTAGATACGCCCAAGTCATACGCTGAACCATAGCAAGTCGTTCCGGACTCTCATCATCAGTTGCTTCGGCCGTGTCGAAACCGGAAACTCCACCAAGTCCATGCTTTCCATCTTTCACCTTGAGAAGCGACTTTGGACCCTGGCTGAAATAATATCCATCGGCATGGTACTCTGCACCACGGGAAGTCAAAAATGGGAATCCATCGCTGTCCCCAATGACGACCAGGGTGGGCGTCTTCATCTCCGCATGGCTGTGATATTTGAGGTCGGTGTTCAAGGCGGCGGGACCAAGTCCTTCTCCACCACGGCCGTCCCCAGGGCTTGCGAGGAGGATACCTGCCTTGATGCGTGCGTCCGATAGATCTTCGTACGTGGGATGGGTAGGATCGTTTCCTCGGGCACCCAGAAGCCGGCCAGCAGTATGACCGCCTCCGGAATGACCAACAACGGCGATACGGCTATGATCAAGGCGTCCTTGGATTTGTGGGAAGAGTGTCTCGATCTCGTCAAGCCTGTCCAGGATAAGTTTGCAATCAATCACGCGGGACCGCAAGAACCAGGGAGCTTCTGGGTGGTCCTCGGGGCTGATGCAGAGTGTCCGAGAGCCGAGATGAGTGGGTTGGATGACAGCGAAGCCATGGGCAGCCCAGAAGTTGGCGATTGGACTGTATCCATTCAGAGATGATAGGTTGTTGGATGGCCCCTGACCATGTGAGAGGAGAATTATTGGGAGATTGTTCCCTGTTGCTGGTGCAGAGACACGAAGGTGCATGTCCATCATACGGTCTGGAGCTGGAAGGATCAATGGACTGATCGAGATGACAGCAGTCGCATCGTTGATAGGAAGCTTTGCAGATTCTCCAATCAATGCATGATCTGCGAAATTGGGGATACGCTTAGAGCTTGATTGAGCAGTAGACATGGTGGTGAATTTGGTATTGAAACCGAAGGCTGTTGAGTACGGATAGATTGGGTTGTATTTGGATGTGTTGGAATATCATTGAGGAGGGGAGGTATCGAAGTACTTATAGATACTGATCAAGAAGTATCTTGACGTGGTATCTCCGATTCTGATGCTCTTAAACCCGCAAAATACAAAGGACATGTAAGGCTGTCGTGGGGGCGGGTATAGTAGGTGTTCCAAAAGCCGACACGTTGAGGACGAGGTTAGAGTAATATCTAAGCTCCACAGGTGTGGGGGATCAATTACTCTTCGTAGTTAGGTATAGACCTCGCAGGATCTGAAGACTTGTGAAGAATAAGCTCGAAGTGGTGAGATTCGGCTTTTAGAATTAGTCTGCGGCGTTAGGGTTTTGGCACGGAAGAGTTAACTAGTGCTGTCAGATCCATCTATGTCCACTCATGAAGAACATGTCAAATGAATAATAGTACACATATTACGGCGAAAGCTCAACAGTATAATTCATTTATCAACTATTTACTACTACAGCTCCCAAAATATTCCAAAGTTTCGGCATTTTCTTCGAATTCTGGAGCTTCTTAAACTCTTCCATGGCCGATGGGCAGCCCCCAAGAATTGGGGGTTGCACTAAGAGTCCCACAGCTCAGCTTTCGAGTCACTAATTAAGTGGTCTGCTTCTGATGGTTTGATGTCTAGTTAATTCTAGTACCTGTCAATTAATGAAGTTATCAGGGTTTCCGTCAGCTTGTAGTCTGGGAGCAAATGTATTAGGACTTTGTCCAAAGATGGCATCCATCTATAGTTACAGCATACAGAATTTTAGAAGGCTCTCGACAGAACTCTCTCGTACTAGCCTAATCATATAGTTCAAATACGGATAGAAATTTCAAGCCCAAAATTTCCTAATAGATTATTCAGACTGTTAAAAAGAATCAAAGTTGGCCATGGCTACTATAAACACGAAGCTTCGTGGGCTCTCGCCGGCCCAATCATTCCCCGCGCCGCGTTATCGCGTTGCTGCCTCCGATCGACTCTGCAGCTCCATTTAACCTTCATCCCACTCCTCCGACTTCACTTCCTGCTGAATTGCGCAATTTATTTCCGCCCACTCATTACCACTCCTCCAGTGTGCAACCAAGCAAACAGCCGCGTGTCACACACAGCAAAAGGGGATCTCCCCCTCACACCGTCTCTCCTCACCTTCCGCTCCACATCTTCACCTGCCACACCACCTCGGCCGAACGTGCGAGGACACCACCACAATGTCGACCTACGAAAGTGAGTACATATCAACCCGTCGAGATCTTACAGTAACGCGTGAGCTAACTCGGTATTCAAAAGGCGAACACAACACCACCGACCTGGCCGTCAACAATAACAGCCCTCGCCGCCGTCGTCCCGATCTGTCCACCTTCTTTGCAACACTCTCCGAGATCACCCCAGCTCCTGATCACCGTCCTCATGCTGTTCCCGTCCCGGGCGATGTGAGCGCCGCCTTTTACTCGCTCGCAGAGGCCTTTGAGGTTATGCGCCGCCAGGCCGCTGATCTAGCGACCGAACGCGGGGATGGCGCCGATGGCGAGGACCTCTTGAACCAGATGATTCAATCGCTCCTCAGCGAAGCGGATACTCCTCCCCGGGAAGTGGAGGGAGTCAGCGACGAGTTTTGTGATAGTAAGCAGCCCTCTTTCAAACCCCTCGGCATCTTGAAAGCTATAACGGACATTTGTTAATTAACTGCATGTCATAAACAGTGCTCGAACGTGTCCCCAAGGCATCCCTAGACGCCTCCCAAATTTGCCCTATCTGCAACAACCCCTTCCTCGACGATGAGTATCCACTCGTTGTCCAGCTGCCCTGTCACCCAACCCACCTCTTCGACCTGGAATGTGTGCGGCCCTGGCTCAGACTGCGGGGTACTTGCCCGCTAGATCGGACAGACTTTGCCAAGCAGCTGCGGGATAAGGCTGAAGAGCGCAAGAAGCTTGCTGAGGAGGATGAAGAGGAGGAGTGGGATGGCATGTACGGCTAAATCGCCCTCTGGTGCTGAAGGTGGTTTGGCCTGGTCTGGCGTTTAGACATGAATGATGCATTTCACGAGGGGCGATGAGCGATTTCAACTGACGGCTATGAATACCACATACTCCAATGAATGCATGATGATACCCAACACAGTATGACTGTTTCTACTCCAATTCTGGGGAGGCAATTTTTACTTTTCTACATGGAGAGTTCATATTCATATTCATTTTGATTTGAAGATTCGTAAATTGCTCTAAACAAGCATTGTAGATGCTGTGCGCTATGCACTCATATCACATTAGATGGCTTAGTAACTTCAACTAGAAGAAACCATGAGAAGCCTTTTAGGCCGAAGCATCCTTAGGCCGAATAGCAAGCTTGCCGGCCTTGTCAATCATAGCCTCATAACCGCTACGCTCCAAGACGCCGCCATCATCCTTGACCACCTCACGCGCCTCGAGTTCCTCGACCAGACGCTGATTCTCCCGGTTACCCTCCAGAAGGAACTTGAGGCACATAACCGCATGTTCCTTAATGTAGGGGTTGTTGGAGTCGAATGAGGTGCACATCAAGATAGCCTCCACGCCGCCATAGCGGCGAATCTGCTCTTGGACCTCGGGGCATTTCCACACCAGCGAAGATAGAACCAGAACGACAAGCTTCTTAAGATTGCGCCACTCGAACTCGGAGGGATCTTCGGTGATGGGAGGAGACTCGGGCCGGGAGTCGACGCTCCCGGCATGGCTGTCAAGCGGGTCTGCTGGATCGCTAGGATCATAGGGCCGCTCGACGGCCACCGGCGTAGGCGAGGGAGGCTTGGAGTGGTCACCAGGTGAGGCACTGCGGGGTGGAGGGGGTGGGGGAGGCACCGAGCCGAAGGAGAGGGAGCTCAGCTGGCCCTTGGGGATGCTGGCTTCCAATTCCTTGATGAGGGTGACCAGGTCATAGACAATCTCCCACTTCACAAGAATGTTCTTCCAATCATTGTTCTCCGTAAGCACGGCGAAGAACTCAAGGAATTGATACACACCCTCATAGACGCGCTCCATGTCCCACAAGTTAAGTGGGAAATCCTCTGGCAAGGCGCGTCCGGCGCGGATTTGACCCTGGAGGTAAATCAGAGCGCACGTTTCCGGGATGATATTTCCGCGGAAGATGGTGAAAATGTATCGCACAGTAAGGATATCCACGCGGCTAAGGGGGGGAGGGGTCCGCGGGACGCTACCCTGCATATTGCCTGTCACAGAGGCGGGCGAGTACTTCGCACGGAAAATGTGCGTCAGAATTTTAATGACCACTGCCTGAGCTGGAGAGATTATGTCCTTGGGCTGACCGAAATCAGAGTAGGCGTGGGACATGAGACCGTTACGGAGAACCGCCTCCATAATTTGGACCATCATCTTGAAGTAAAGCTCATCGTCCGGAAGATCCCAAGCAGCAATGAAGATCAAAAGCTCGCGGAGAAGGTTCCGGCCAGTTTCCTGCGTGAGGAGAATATGGCATCTTAGGGCTTGCATGTTGCGCGAGCCATTTCGCTCACCACCCTTGAGTCCGAAACTGTCGACGATACCCGCCTGGATGATCATAGGTAAGGCCTCAATTTCAGCGGGTCCCAGCACAAGAGGAATATCGGTCAACAAGCCGCGCTGTTGATCGCCAGGACGACCACGATAATCATCATCATCTTCGTCGTCGTCCACATCTCCACCATCATCACCTCGATCGATGTCATCGTCATCCTCCTCTTCATCCTCATCGACACTCCCGTCCGCGTGGCCCTCCAAGCTGTGCGCATCATCTTCACCCACAGTGCCTGCATCGCCGTGGTCGTACTCCGCACCGTCATCCCCAAGCTGGGAAGCTTCTTGTAACCGGGCCATCAATTCGTCCTTGGCATCCTGCAGCGTATCAGCAGCTGTTTCGGCTGTTTGAGGCGTGCTGGTATCTTCCTCTGTTACCGGTGCGTCTACCAACCAGGCTTTCACTTCAGGGAAGTCAGCCCAGCACAGTCGTGGGAAGCCAGCAGTCATGCTACGATCGATTGTGAGGATGGTCTTTTTTCTAGTAGCTTCGTGCTCCTCCTCTTCTGGGAGGGCAGGGGGCAATTCGCGAGCCCTCTCCTGTAGATCAGACCACCCATCGACTTTGGCTCCCAGGATCGAAGTCAAAGCAGCACGAATGTACTTGACTTGCTCAGGATCCCTGCCCATCTCCTGAATATCTGTCAAGTCTCGCCCCAGAATCTTCTCCATGTGGTCCTTAATATTTGCGAGGAGGAGCATTGCAGCTTCCTCCTTGATGGTGGAGGGCTCGCGTGGGAACTTTGCAATGGTCTCCAGAAGAAGGTCCTCGGCAGTCTGATCATAAAGTGCTCGAATGGGAGGGTTGATGACACGTTCTCCGACCTTCACAATGGGTGCAACTCCTTCAATGCGAGCTGTGGAGTCCAAAGCTTCTTTGGGTTGGATAATGTTCGTGTCGGCAGTCGAGTGATACCCGAAAAGATCCAACCACAGCACCATCTTCCGGTGTTCATTGTGCATGATGAAGTTGTGAAGATACTGAAGACATGTTATAAGAAGTCGCTTGTACAGATTGACGACCTTCTGCCAGCGCTCCTCATTTCGTGGGTTTGTTTCGCCGTCGAATCCCCTTGCCGTAACTCGCACACAGGTATCAATAAGCGCGAGGATTCGCTGGTCAAAGCCCTTCTCAGCAGCCAGGTTCTGAGCCATTTTGGTTGTCGCAAGCAGGTTCCTCGCGATGGTGCACAGATCGTTGAGTCGCTCGATATCCTTCACTAGCGAGAAATAATTGTATGCAATGAGATTGGACGAAGAGTGCTCGAGTGCAGCTCTGGGACTCTTCCATGCGAATGACTGGGATTCAAGGACCGGAATCGCCTTGGTGAGCACATCTGTGAGACCCGCCCAAATGTCCGGAGACATGCCGAGATTATTGCTTGAGGCGCGGGATATCAGCACATGGCGATAAGCAGGAAAAAACTAAAGTTTTTGCTTACCGAACTTCGCTTTCCTGGTGAGTCTTGTACAGGATCTGCTTTCCAGCGGCGAGCATGTGCTCCAGACGCTTGTCGTCGATCATCCCGCGGGTCTCATAATGGCTTAGAGTTCCTGCGAGGATCACTTTCAGCATGAGCTCCGCTGGAGTACATAGCGGCTTTTTGTCCGCCATTTTGCGCTGCGAAAGCTTCGACCAGCGTAGACTGTGAACGGAAGTTGCCGTCTCTCACGGTGGGATGGATTGAGAAATCGCGGCGGGCAAAATGAGGTTTTACGGATATTTCCTTCACCGCCCTGCACTCACCGCCTACCGTATTTGTCATCATACTCCTATACGTTGGACGAAACAAGTGAACTTAATCCAATGTCTATCCTGCTAGACTCATCTAAGAACGGAGTTTATACATTCGCCTCATGGTTGAGATCAGGAGAGTTGGGATCAACTAGATTGCTCTGTCAGAAAATGTCGACCGGATGTCGGGCCGAGCTACATCTTGAAATGCTTGAATTTTGTCAACTAGTATACATTCATTTGCAATGAGACTTGACGAAAAGCTATATACAGGCTTTCTGTCGAACTGAAAGTCCAAATGCATCCACCAGATTTCTTCTAAACCCCATATCATAGATGTTGTCAAGGTCTCGTATACTGTGAAGTTCCACCCACTGCGGGTCGATCGGTCTCGCCCGATTGACATCACCACGATAAGAGACTCGATTGGAGGTACCTTCAAGAACGTAGCCTTCCAATGGGGGTTGTCCATCTGTGACCAGAATTTGATCGCTTTGCACCGGCCAGGGCTGGTCACTGAGATCCACATATGGCGGAGCATTCTGAATCTGACCTCGTTTCGCCCTGAAAACGAATCCATCCGTAACATCTTCCTTCCAGTCAGCCCATTTGGCACTCTCGTTGGTCGTCATACCTGCCCAAATGAGATATGTGTGATAAACCAAGAAAGCAACCGCCAACGGGGCTGTCATGAGCATCAGCAGTGTGACCGTCCCAATTTTTGGATCCCTCGTGATCACGATTGACCAGACATGGAGGTACATGGACCAACCCTTCATGGCAGCCTGTACATCCGGCGGAACAATCTCTCGCAGAGTTTGCCAAAGAAGGGAGTAGCCGAGCAAGGTGCCGTAGATCAATAGTATTGATACCGCGAGAAGAAGCGATAAGAAGTACTTGTAATTGTTGGCCCCCATGCAATTCATCAGCCACACGCAATGATGATCATGTCGAGAGACACAGGCCTGGCAGATACTGCAATGTTTACTGCGTGCAGGCTTGAGAAAATCGCAGGTTGAGCAGAGATGTCCAGGGTGGAAGAGCACGCGGTCATATGGGTACCGTTTCAGCTCTTCCGCGTGGTTCTCTGGAGTGACGAATGATTTGGTGGTCACACACTTGTAGATAAGCACATATGGTAAGATGACAACGCCGGGGACCCAGAAATGATGGGTACTGGACATCCGAGGCCATGCCACCGGTAGGAAGAAGCACTCGCCTATCGCAAGCAAGCCGATAAAGAATGTCTGGGATTTGTTAGGTAAAAATCAAGAGGCAACCAAGATCGTTCATGGAACTTACGAGGACCAACGGGTGGTTCTCATGCAGGATATAGCTGCCGGAGCGGCTCCATGTTCTGACTAGCTTCCCACCAAACAGGCGGGAGTCCATCCAGGCTATTCCATTGGGAAGATAGACCCACAAGAGTCGATAGAAAAAAGCAATGGGGGTTTTTCTTGCCGCTGTCAGTTGGATTCCAACAATATCCGAGAGATATCTCACCTAAATACGGGCAACCGGCCGAAAAGTGCGACAAAAACGAATGCTGAAATGCTCAAGATGACAAGAGCAACCGTTCGGAGGGCCCCCATGGTAGCATGTGGGGGTTGAGCCCGTTCCCTTCTCTATTCTGCTCAATAGTCACCGTAATAAATTCAAATCAACCTTTCACGTTGAATCTGTAGGTCCCATCTTCCTTGGCCTTTGTTTTCGTTTCCCTTGAAATGTTGTTGACTGGTCAGCGCTCTTGAAGGCGGGCTTGTCATCAACAAGGTCACGTGTTTCCGACCCTACGAGACTACTCGCGCCAACTTACTCTTCGTTTGTTCTTCGGCTGGGCTCAACGCCTCAGTTCCTCGTGGGGGTTTAATCTGTTTAACGGCCTTTATGAAACTTTATCTCGCATAATCTCTTTCAAAGGGCTCTGTGGTTTGCGATTTGCGCCAGAACGGCCTACGAAACACGCAGACACGTGATAACGCGTCACAAAGAGTGATATCACCGAGAGCATCGCAGTTCATGCACAAGCAGCTTATTTATCTCGAGAACTATCGCGTCATTGCAATATCATAACCTCCAGGAATAGCGCGAAACATGTCGAACATCTTCGGAGGGGGAAGATTCTTCTTATCCCGTGCTATCCCACAACGGACGCAGCTGAAAGAAACGATTGAGGTTCGTCTCATTAAAGAGGGATGTCAAGGCTGAAATGCTAAGTTTCATCTAGAAACATGGTGGCAGCGTTGTCCTGCTGGAGAAAGATGCCGATATCATTCTGGTGGATCATTTGAGGAAAACCCAAACCATCCCTCCAAACGCGTACATTCGCCCCATTTCCACCCTATGGGCAAGCGTACTGACGTTCTCTGCAGATTATCTTATCGATATGTCGAGCAGTCAGTTCGACAAGGAAAGTTGGAAGACCCTGCATCCCACCGGGTCGGCCCAGCTGCGCCCCGTCCGATGGGCGCGTCTAATATCCCCACAAAGACCACCAGGAGAAGCTACACCTTGGAAGATGATCGGATAGTTTTCGATTGGCTGTACCCTTGGGAACAAGCAAAAGGTGCGCCAACGCACGGCACCACTATTTACAAGAATCTGGCTGAGCGAGTACGTATTGCTCTTCTAACACTTTGCACGAAGATGATCCTGCATACGATGTACTAATATTGTGCAACAGTTCCCACATCACACATGGCAATCCTGGAGAACTCGATATCTGAAAACATTACGTGGAAAGCCACGCCCTGGAGGAGGTGACCCAAGACCTGACCTTGTATATGGGGGTCCTGAAGCAGTACCCCGGGCTGGACCACCATCGCCAGCTCCTCAAACGCCGCTGGGGTCACCGCGTCCGGCTGCACCTCCTGCACAGCATACTTCAAGGCCCAGCGATCCCCAAAGCCCTCCAGCAAGTTTTAGTAGGAAACGTGGACCACCTTCCCACTCTCCCCGTCCCTCTGACGAAGCGAATACCGCAAAGAGGAGGCTAGCAGAAGTGCAAGAACAACCGCCTTCTGCCACTCAAAGCTCTCTGGATCAACCTCCGGATGTCGCAACACGGCCACGCAAAACACCCCCCAGGAGCCGCCTGACCAACATAGCGATCCATCCGTTCCTATTCCAGAACAAACCCGCCCTCAAACTCCATCAATATCAGCGCCAACTATCCCCACAGAAACAGATGAATCTCCCAAACACACCGTGGATCCGCTATTCCAACATCTACCATTCTTCCCATCAAGCTCGGAACCAGAAACCGAAGACAACGAAGAGCAGGAGGAAGAAGACGACGATGATGACAGTGATCCAGAAGACTACCCCGACATAAATAGCTGGGTTCAAGCACAAGTGGCGAGAGGCGCCGACGTAACAGCCGTACTGAACGCTCTACGCTATACAAGCATGGAACAATCGCTGGCAAGAAAATTACTAAAAATCATAATGGCTGGCAACCCAATGCCCGACAACATGCGTGGAGTGTGGACGGAGGAAGACGATCGATGCTTGGAAAGTCCGGATGCTCGCGACATCGAGCGGGTGACTAAGAAGCATGGCGACAGGCTATTCCAAGCCCGATGGGAGTACCTCGAGATGGCTCGAGAAAGAGGATTAGTTGAATAAGAGTTGATTCAACGCATCACGCGTGATCCATTATTCCTGTAGATGAAGTAACATCTCCAAAAAAGCACCGAGAATTCAGAACGCAAAGATTAAGACAATAGCTTGCAAATAGCGAGAGCACCTCAGACGCCCTGACGCCCGCATTGTGGGCTCTCGGCAGAGGAAAGAAACAAGAAAAAAAAACATCCATTGGTATTCAGTCGCATATCCTACATTGGAAAACCTGGCTCAGAGATAAAAAAAGACAAGACCCAAACTCCGATGAGCTCCATAGGAAAGATAATATTCACTAGATTCTTGAAATGAACCTATCCATAAACCCCTGACGAGGCTTTCTGCTCTGCATGAGCTACAAAACAGCTTGGCAAACTCAAGTCTCCTTGAAGACCCTGAAAAACAGTTAGCATTGATCAATGGCTGAAGAGAGGGTTGGAGAGGACTTACAAATGGTTCTCGTAGAATTGAAGCATCTACAAACGAAGATTAGTCTTCTGCTCGTGGGGGTATATTGGACGCATGAACTCACCTGCTTCGGACATCGGTCATAGCATGTCTCCAGTGCAACGCGAGAGCGCTTTCCATTCTTCCAGAGCAGGAAAGCAAATAGTTGCTTGCTGTCTTGATCTCTGATGATTGTGTCAACTTTCTGGAGCTGGGAACCCCAGTCCTTGCCCTTGGGCGTCCAGCTCAGGTCATCCTCCTCGCTCTCAGCAGCCGTCTCTGCGGGCGTCTCCTCTGTCGCGGGTGCGGAGGACTTTCGTCGCCGTTTCTGTTCGGTGGGTTCGGCGGAAGCCGAAGTCTCCTTGGCCTCGCCCATCGACTTGCGCTTGCGACCCGGTCCAGGCTTGGGTCCGGGCTTAGGTCCAGGCTTCGCAGCGTTCTTCCTAGGGCGTCCACCGATCTTCTTGTAGTAAGCAGCCAAGATGGCCTTGGCGCCGTCCCTGTAAACAAGTGTAAGTTGAGGCGCAGTTTCACACTATCCAGGCTATACACACTTTAGAGATGACTCGGGCTCCCACGTAAGGTCTTCTGGCTTGTCCCACCCCTTCCACTTTACCTGTAGCTTGAAGGATCCCTGCGGGGGTGGTTAGCACATGTAAGCAAAACAAACAATTGCGAGACCAGGTCAACTCACATCATCCATCCAAGCGTGTTCGAGGATCTTCTCAACAACAAAGCTGGTCATATTAGATCTCCAAGTCCCAAAAACAGCTCGTCAATGTGCGCGACTGACATGTCCTCTCCCTCTTCCTCGTCATCATCCTCTTCGTCCTCGTCTTCCACCTGATCGGGTTCTTTCGCATCTTCGGTGGTACCGTTCTTGTCATCAAAGGGGATGTCGCCGGACTCCTCGTCGGAGATATCCTCAATGGGAGCTGTAGAGTGAAAGGTCAGCTCAAGCGCGCGCGCAAACAAAGATCAACGCGGCGCATTCACTCACGCGGCATGTTGGTTCGAAAAGGAGAGGCGAGATTTAGCAGTTTTGAGAACAGTTTGGCGGTAAGAGGTTTTGACCTCAGGCAATTGCGATTAAAAACCCGAAAGCGAGAGCGACAGCTCGGAAGATCGCAAGCTGATCGGGAGCTCGGAGTCGGAGGGCGCGTGAGGAGAGAAGCTGGAAAGGCGGAAAGGATAGCGCTATACCGCTTTCGGGGACCAGAATTTAATTTGCTGTGAGCCCCGGAGCTTCACCCCTCTGCATCGCTGCTGTGGGAACAAGGACGTTTGCCAACTTTGTTCGCCTTTTGTTCCCTTTGTTTTCTCTCAGTTCCTACTTGGCTTTCTGATCTTCTGCCAGGTGGTAGTCCACCGTCAAAATGGCGATGCGTACGTACTGCCTGATTCCTCCCCGGATGCCCCTCAATGAACCCCCCCCCGTATCAGTGACTGACCGTGACTTGGATTTCTGCAGAGCTTGATCTTTCTCAAGGTGATTAGCGACTGACAACTCTTACATTCGAATTACACGGCCGTTAACATTCTGGTATAGCCTCGGTGTTGAAGGATGAGCAGGGCCGCCCGTTTATCGTTGTTCGCGAGTACGTTCACCGACACCCCGTCTCGATCCGCCTTTTCGTTATCAAGTCGGGCCGTTTCGAGGGTTTGAAAGCATGAGGCTAACCGGCGGAATTTCTATTGTACAGTCAAGGAAAGAAGAAGAGACAGCATGGTACTGAGGCTGTGAAGGCGCACATTGTCGCCGCCAAGACGGTGGCCAGCATTGTCAAGACTTCTCTGGTACGCTTTTCAACGCCGGATGAATCGAATAGTTTCTAACTGGCTATGATAGGGTCCCCGCGGCTTGGACAAGATTCTCATTTCCCCCGACGGCGATATCACGGTCACCAACGATGGTGCCACCATTCTCGGCCAGGTTCGACTTGACCCCCTTTTGCATTAATGACAACCCAGCAAAAAACCCTAATTCATGCGCGAAAAATAGATGGAAATTACCAACAACGTCGCCAAATTGCTCGTCGAGCTCTCCAAGTCACAGGATGAGGAAATTGGTGATGGAACAACGGGTGTTGTGGTTTTGGCTGCTGCCATGCTGGAGCAAGCCGCGGATTTGATTGACAAAGGCATTCACCCCATTCGGATAGCCGACGGTTACGATCAGGCCTGCGAGATTGCCATCGCAGAGCTTGACAAGATCAGTGATGAGATCCCCTTCTCACGCGAGGATACCAGCAACCTGCTCAAGGTTGCCAAGACCAGTCTAGGCAGCAAGATGTATGATGATGATCCAAATTTCCCCATCCGTCACATTTAACCATCTAACCTCGAACTATAGTGTCTCCAAGTCTCACGACCAATTCGCCAACATCGCCATCGATGCTGTGCTCTCCGTGGCCGATCTGGAGCGCAAGGATGTTGACTTTGAGTTGATCAAGGTTGATGGCAAGGTCGGCGGTGCTCTTGAGGACTCCCTTCTTGTTAAGGGTGTGATTGTCGACAAGGACTTCTCTCACCCCCAGATGCCCGACGAGGTTCAGGACGCCAAGATTGCTATCCTGACCTGCCCCTTCGAGCCCCCAAAGCCCAAGACCAAGCACAAGCTTGACATTACTTCCGTTGACGAGTTCAAGAAGCTCCAGGACTACGAGCAGGAGAAGTTCGCCGAAATGATTCAGAAGCTTAAGGACTCCGGTGCCAACCTGGTTATCTGCCAGTGGGGTTTCGATGATGAGGCCAACCACTTGCTTCTCCAGAACAAGCTGCCCGCCGTCCGGTGGGTTGGTGGCCCCGAGATTGAGCTGATTGCCATTGCCACAAACGGCCGCATTGTGCCGCGCTTCGAGGACTTGTCTGCCGATAAGTTGGGTAGCGCCGGTCGTGTCCGTGAGATGACTTTCGGTACTACGAGAGAGAAGATGCTGGTCATTGAAGAGTGCGCCAACAGCCGGGCTGTCACTGTCTTCATCCGTGGTAGTAACAAGATGGTAAGCACTCCATTCCTTTGGGATTTTTGCTTCTGTGGCCCCGAACTAACCAGACTTGCAGATTATCGACGAGGCCAAGCGGTCACTACACGACGCTCTCTGTGTGGTTCGCAACCTGGTCCGCGACAACCGCGTTGTCTATGGTGGCGGTGCTGCCGAGATTGCCTGCTCCCTAGCCGTGGAGGATGCCGCTGTCAAGGTTCGTTCATTATCACTGCTACACCCCGCGATCATTGGACTAATCATCTCTACTTTTTACAGAGCCCTGGTATTGAGCAGTACGCTATGCGCGCCTTCGCTGATGCTTTGGACGCTGTTCCCTTGGCCCTCGCTGAGAACTCTGGTTTGAGCCCCATCGAGACTCTGGCTTCCATCAAGTCGCGCCAGGTCAAGGAGAAGAACACTCGCCTTGGTGTTGACTGCATGCTGACTGGCAGCAACGGTAAACATTCCCTGATTCCTGCGGTTTCAATGTTCATCAACTAATCTAGTTTATGTATAGACATGCGCGAGCACTTTGCTATTGACCCCCTGATTGGCAAGCGCCAGCAGCTTCTGCTCGCTACCCAGCTTTGCCGCATGGTTCTCAAGGTATGATCATTGATGTGTCCAACTAGGATAAAGCACGAACTAACATTCAACTAGATCAACAACGTCATCATCTCTGGCGATGACAACGCCGAGTTTTAGGTTACCCGCATATATTTCTAATGCCCTCTACACGGCACTGGAGTACCCGGTCCGGTGCGTCGGCTAAAAAAATCTGATGATCCTGGTTGGACTCCTATGTAAAACATGGCCCCTTACATAGAATTTTCCGAGTTGCAATGAGAAAAGGGTTTACGATCTCTCCTACTATTCTCGCCGGTTGGTCACTTGGTCTGATCGTAGATATCTATGACCCGGTATGCCCCGGCCGACTTTCGCCGCAGGTTGATCAAATCCTAGTATCGATCTTGAAAGATCAAGTGGAGCACATGCTTCCCCGATAGGCATGCGTATGCATAAATGGTTATGATAATATCTGAACACCTTCCGATGATCGCCCGACTAGTTTGCGCAGATCAAGCCCAAGCACGTTTCGCTCCCCTGATCGGCACATGAAAATATACACATGGTGCTACCTGCGGGGAAACGGCAGAGAAACTCTTCGCTCGAGCAGAGTTAATCGGGTACTTTGCTATGACACGTCCGTATCATTTGATTACCCCTCGGTGATGTCGAAGTTCATGAAAACTCGTGCTCTTGATCGATAAACAGTTACATGTACCTCCGCCCACAAGGGTCACCTAACATGCCGAGGAACAGAGAACGAAATATACCAACATCCCATTTCGATCATCCCATGTCTAATCTCCCTACCTCGGCCAGCTATAGCAATAAACTAGAGTTCTTCCACTCAAAAAATATCATGCGTCTGTTGATGTCTAAGAGTACGCAACCCGATAGCCTCGTGAGAGTTTTCGCCGCTCTTGTACTACTTTGATACAAGTAGGCAGATCTCTTGGGAACTTGCTTTAGCTCACAGCCATCGAGAAACATATCTTCAAGAGCCTTGAACTCTCAATGAACTACCTTTTATGGACTTCACATGTCGTAGTTGCAGGCAGGTAGTCTCATCATCCTTGCCCGTCGTAGAACCCTGTGGAGATCACCTGCGAATATTACATAGAAGTTAAGGGGTACCTGCTTCTTGCCAGTAGAAGACAGTAGGATCTTGCTACCCATAGAGAACTTATATGAGGTAATTTGTACTACCCAACCCGGATCGGGATCATGGTGGATGGTTCGATCTCTGGCTTAAAACGGCCAGTGGTATGTAGATACAAACTTCAGAATAGCTAGGCTCGACGGGCTCTGTTGTTAATATTGACAGTTTGGTTGTTCAACGTAGCTTCCATGGAAAGATAGTCACTGTAGTATCATTCTTAGACCTATAGGAGTCGGTGGAATATGACGGGATGGTATAACCATAAACTTGTGTCTGTTGACCAGGAAGCCCGAATCGCAATATCACGGGAGATACGTTTCAAGCAGCTACCATGTACTCCAGCCAAATCATCCATCGAATGTTGGCCGTCTTGGTGACATTTTTCTCTATCCGCCTCCTCTAGACCGATGCGGTCAAGTTCACGGAATGGAGAGATAGGGTTAAATCGGTCCGGGCAGGGTTTCACAGCGCGTGGAAATGCGACCCCGGTTCCCCGCGACTCGTGGTCCGCAGAGTTCGAAACTTTACGATCCACTGCGTCTCGACTGTAGACAAGACAGGATTGGGTTGCTGGATTTCTTGGTTTGGATTATCTATCACGGCATGTGAGAAGAGATATGACATCCTTTGTGGAACGGATGGGTTCGTCGACGGATTGGTTCGATATGTGCTGATAGCAATTCTATACACTGATTTGGAGGGTATATTGTCTTGCGCTAGTCCAAACTACATTCATCAAAGTGTGTGCTTAATTGCTAGACTCTTCTAGATTCATGTGATGTGATCGGCTGATCCTCGGCTATCTGGCCCCCAAGTCTCTGCCTAGAAGACCGAGAAACATCAGCGATCTCATCTCGTATCTCCAAACACATGGCTGCGTTGGGTAGCATCTGGAACAAAAATGCTGCAGAAGTATTACGAGATGAGCAAAAAAGGGCTGAAATATGCAATAGAGGCCTTATCCTGTCCCCGAAATCGTATATCCCGATCTATATATAGTCAACGGTATTAAGAAGATCGGCAACCGCAGATCTGCCTAATCTTCTACATGCGGTACTGCAGTCCACTCTGCCTTGTGGGTGGCCCATTTGGAAATGGAAAGTATGCATGAATGCAACCGGTAAGCGCTACTATGGTGAGACGGTCATCTCCAAGACTTGCATGAATAATAGTTTGGGTGGAAGCTCCGGGATCCGGTCAAGATGCAAACCCATCACTGCGGTGTGACAACACTGACAGGTACCGGGCAAATCTGATCTAGTGAGCTTTTTCGTTGACGGGGGCGAGATTGAAA